TTATTTAGAAATATAAAATAGTCTAACCTTAATATAATCTAGTTTCTTATATTTCTTCTTCTAGGTTTAAAGATTTTTTATAAGTAGATATACTTTATCCCCTTCTTTAGCTAAGGTGCTATTTTTTATTTTTAGTTTAAGTAGGAAGTTACTTACTATTAAGCTTTCTTAAGGTTTTCTTAGAGTTTATTATATATATTTTTATATTATCTACTATATCTATAGCTTCTTTTACGTTAATATTCGTTAGTAGTTATTAGTTAAAAAGATTTAGATATTTTCTATATATAGTATAGTAAGGTGTTTACCTTATTACTATTAATACCTTATTATTATATACTAATTATACTATAGGTAATAGTAAAACCTAGTTATTTTTTTATTTATTATAGTATATTTATAGATATATTTTTATAATTTAATTTATTCTTTCTATTTTCCTATCCGTCTGTGGATAATATGCTATAGATAGTTTTTATTTTATTCTAATAAGTGCTATAAATATTATCTAGAAGTTTAATATAAAGAGTTTATCTCTATTACTAATAATTATTTTTAGAATACTATAGTGTCTAACCTACTTATCCTAAAAGAGGTAAGCCAGCTCTTTAGCTATTATATTCTTTAGATATGGAATTAATTTAATATAGCTTATAAAGTAATATATAATTACTAAAATACTATTATATAAGGTTTTTGTGGCTAGTTTAATTAAGTCTAGTATTCCTATAATAAAGTCCATAGTAATATCTTTAAAAGGTACTATTAGTATCTTAATTAGTTACATTTTTCTATACTTAAGATATGTGCTATATTTATTCTTTTAGCATTCTATATATTTTTAGATATAGCTAGTTATAGCTTCCTTTATTCCCCTAAAGGTGTAGTTTCACTAAATAAGCTCTATTATTTTTCTAATACCTAGGTGTCTATATATAGGGTTATTATAGTATTATTTAATAATCTCTATCTATAGTTATTTTAGTACTTCTTAGTTTATAACTAGGAGTTAATTAAGTTCTACTATTACTTTAAAAGATCTATCTTTATTTTTTTAAAAAATTACTAAGTAGGTCTTAACCTTTTCTCCTACTAAATTACTTTATCTACTAAGTGTATCTACTTACCTATTTTCTTTTCCTACTATATAGATAATTTTAAATTTATACTAGCTAGTAGTCTATAACTATCTTTATTATTATAGTATTAGTTCTTTTGTTATTATAAACCTTAATAGGTTCTTATAATCTATATAGATTTCTAGCGTTAAATAGCTAAAAGCGTAGATTCTCTAGTGTTTTAAGGCTTTAATAATAGTATAGAGTTCTTTATTATATATATTATACTATATTTTAGCATTATTAAACTTATATAAGTAGTAGGTAATTAGGTACTATTTACTATTTTATTTTTATTTTACGTATACTTCTAGTGTAAGATTACTTATGTTAGTTTTAAATTATAGTAGTTTATTACTTCTAAAATAAATAAGAACTAGTTCTATAATATATACTATTTTAAGAAGTTAGAATAATATTCTATACTTATCTATCTATTTAAAAGGCGTATCCTTTCTAGTAAGGTTTATTAGTAGTATTATAACCTTTACGTAATCTTTAATAAATTATTAATTAAATCTATAGAATTCTAAGAATTCTTAGATATTCTTTATAGTTTTTAGTATAGGCTAATTTCTAATACTCTTTATCTTACTTAATACTATCTTAATTCCTTTAGTGGTAATAACGTGTCTAAGAAATTTAAGTTATTTAATATTAAATTAGCATTTCTTAAGTTTAATCCTTAAGTATACTTTATCTAGGGCTTTTAGTACTATCTATATGTACTTAGTATAGTTAGATTTATTTTTAGAGAAGATAAGAATGTCGTCTATATATATAATAATAAATATATCTAAATATTTATAAAGTACGTTATTAATAAGTGCCTAGAAGATTACTAGTGCGTTAGTAAGTCTAAAAGGTATTACTAGGTACTTAAAGAGTCTATAGTATAATTAAAATACTATCTTCTACTCTTTACCTCTTTTTATTCTAATTAGGTAGTATCTATCTTATAAGTCTATTATTATAAAGACTTTTACTCTTAAGAGTCTATCTCTAAGCTCTAAGATATTAGGTAATAGGTATCTATTTTTAATTATTATATTATTAATTACCTAGTAGTTAACGTATAGTCTATCTAATCTATTCTTCTTTTTAATAAATATAAAAGGGCTTACTACTAGTAACTTTAATAGTCTAATATATTCTTTTACTAGGTTTATTTTAATAAATTTATATTCTTTCTAGAGTTCTTCTTCTATCTTACTATATAGTAGTCTAAAGGGTGGCGTCTTCCCTTCTTCTAGGTTAATTATATAATTCTAGGGTTAATATTTATTACGAACCGAATAACGGTGGGGAAGTTTGGGCGCTTATAAAGGTAGAAGATGCAATAACTAGAATTATAATAAAATAAGAATACGCTAAGTTACTTAGATAGTAGTTATATAACTTACTTAGCTACTTAGGGTTCCTAAATAACTAAGTAGCTAAGAGTTATTATATAACCTACTTAGTTATTTAGGGCTCCTAAGTAACTAAGTAAAATCCCTATATAGGAATATAAGGATAAACCTTTATACTTATATTTAACCTAAGTTTTAATCTATTATTTAGATTTACTTAGGCCTCCCTTATTAACTTATTACACTTTATAAGATACTTCTATATTAATAAGAACCCCTTCTTCCTTCCCTTAGTAAGTCTTACCTAAGAACTAATCTTAACCTATTTAGGACTAGCTACCCTTCCTAGATTTAATATAGGATAATTAGGTAGAACTCTTACCTATAGTATAACTAGCGTATAATAGCTCTAGGTTTAGTATAATAGGGTACTCCCTACACTACACTAACTATAAATATAAACTAATTATTTATTAGAATCTAAGAGATATAGAAAGTCTTTCTATAGAAGCTTATAATAAAGCCTAGAAAATAAAGAAACTTTATAAAATTCTATATAAGAGGATTATATAAAAGGCCCTCTTAGTATCTAGAAATATAAATAAGTAAAGAATTAAGGGACTAATTTTTAAGAAAGGGGATAAAGTCTTTCTATTATAAAGAAATATAAAGACTAAATAGTAAAATAAAAAACTAGATTACCTATAAGTAGGCCTCTTTAAAGTATAAGAAGTTAGAGAACTAGTTATAAATAAATTATTTCTACCTATAGGTACTAAAGTATATAATACCTTTTATAAAAACCTCTTAGAACTAGCACTACTAAATACTCTAATTAAGACCTAGCTAGAGCTAGAAGATAATAAGTATAAGGTTAAGAATATTAGGGACCTAGTAATAGTTAAAGATTAGTAGAGATACCTAGTTAAATAGAAAGGATAGCTAGAATAGTATAATATATAGAAGCTAATAAAAATTTTTATAAACTATAAGGAATTACTAGAGGACTTCTACTAAGGAAAGGGACACCCTTAGAAAGATTATACGCTAGTATAGTAGAAACTAGGTTAGGAAAAGTAGTAGTAAAAGCTAAAAGATTAAAAGAAGGATTAGCCTATAGCTAGGTAGAATTAGTAAATAAAGGTAAAAGTAGTAATAGTATATAAGTACTACTAAAAGTTCTACCCTCTACTAAGCCCTTCTCTTATAACTAATCTATTACGTTAATAACCTAGAGGTTATAATAAGTAAAGGAATATTCCTTTACCTTAACCTTAGCTAACTTTAGTTTAAGGTAGGTAGTTTTAGTATATACCTAAAAAAGGGCTAGCTACTTCTACTCCTTCTTTTTATAAACTAAGGTCTAGTTATCCTTAGGAACCTATAAGCTATAATTAGTATAAGCTAAAATATAACTAGTATATTAACCTAAGGTTACATCTATAAAATAGTAGAGTTTTAACTTCTAGTAATACTTATAACTAAGTAATATCTTAAGGCTTTAGGATTTAACTTTTAGCGTATAAGCATAATATTTCTAAATAGATAAGTAAGGGGCTTTAGGTATATTTAGAATAGAAAGGGAAATCTAGGTTAAGGTATAACCTAAGTAGGTAAGAGGGCTAGCGCATCTTTATATATCTAATAGGCGCTAATAGGCTAGCTACACTATAGAAAGCTAGACTAGGATATTAAAATAATACTCTTAAGAAGGGGGATAATATTATAATTATAGTAGAACTAAGTAAGGTAAGTAGGGAGAATAGCACTTAGGATATTAGTAATAGAGATAAGCTAGATTAAGCCCTATAGGCTAGCTAAATAGGTAGCTTATATTATTTATTATATAATAAAGTCTAGTATAAGTAGGAGACCCTAGGGATCTTAAAGACCTAAGGGACCTTAAAGTCTAGATAGAATTTCTTAGATAATAAAGAATAGTATATAGTCTAAAGGGACTTTAGTATCTTTTTTATTCTTTATAGTTAACTTCTATAGTTAAAATTAAAGTATATCTTCTATATAAGATCTATTAGTCTTCTTATATAATTATTACCTTACTTTCTATAAGTAAGGTTAGGATATTCTCTTACCCCCCTTATTATTTATTCGCTCTCGTCCACTAAATACCTGTAAGGTCCGACCTAGGTTAGGTACGTGGAAACCCCTTATAACATTAATCCCGTAAACGCCTCGACTGCTCGCTTACTTCTACCTCATCTACCATGAACTTTGATTGCTAAATTCCGTTCTGGCTTCAGGTTGAGATTCGTTGTCCCTGGTCCATTGCTTTGGTGTCCCCTTTTCCAACGCCATTGGGGGTTGGGAAACCTTCGTGGGCGCTTAGACCCATGCATTCACCACGCATTCCTTTTCGGGCGTAGTCGTCACCAGCGTTGACCTCTCAAATATAAAGACACGTGCTTATAAAATAGAACTGTTATATCCGCTCACGGTCGACCGTGGACGTTCCAAAAAATACACCCCCGCAAACGTCAACCTCTTCCCCCGCGAGCGCCGCTACTCTACCATGTCGTCAAACGAGGCTCACATCGCCAGATACCGCGCAGCTATCACCCGCTTCGAGAACCGCCGCGCCACTGCCACCCCCGCTAATGTAGAAGTCTATAATATCTGCATTACTACCCTCAACGCTCAAATCACCCACCTCGAGACGCTCGACCCCAAGGCCGACGTGGTCAAGGAGACGGGCAAGGAGGACGACGTGGAGGTCTGCCTGCTCCTGGACGAGCTACAGCAGAGTGGAGACGTACTCAGGCAAGCTCCTGGGCCGAATGGTGGATTCCTCGCCATGTTCAATAACTTGAACAATGTCTATGGGGACCTGTGGGAAAAGTGCCGAGGTCTGTAAAATACCTGCGATTGTTGGAGGGGTGATATGACTTACTTTGAGTGCAGAGCAGATCCTTGAGATTGGCAAGAGGCAGTCGGAGTAATTGCAAGTTCGTGGATAGTGATTTGTCTAGGGACGAGCTTGGGAAACACGAGTTTGGGAAACTTGAGGCAGGTTTTGAGCTTGATATGTGAGGGTCTTGCTTGATCGGGGAGTACCCGCCGCGTGTAGACTTTGGGGTGGGGTGCCAACGACAATGGCTTTGTCAAGTGGTTGAGCTTCTTTGTGGAGCAAATCAACCGTCCGGAAAGTAAATGAAGTTTTTCACCTTTTCCCTATGCGCAACGCTAGCTTGAAGAGAATCGTGGGAAGAAAAGGCATCCCATGGATTTGGTAAGGGTTGATCCCACTAGGTCGGTACCCTTGAAGAGGCGCGCTACACCCCAGATTGTGGAAATGTAAACGCATCCGTCACATGGTTCGGGTGTCGTCGGAATTGTCTTTTTCTATCCCGCAGACGAGGTTGATGGCGGAGGAGAAGCTAAGGAATAGGGCCTGGGAACGCATCTTGCTGCCTGCCAATCCGAGTCGACAAGCAATTCGAGCTATGGATGCTAAGCACGTTATATTTTCGAAGCTTTAGTAAGTCGATGTGTATTTCGAATTGTTAGTAGATCGTATGCTCCACTTACTTTCCGCCCAGTGCTGTCGGTCAATCTGAGTCTGATGCCACTGGGTCAACGGGAAAGCATACTGAATACTTGCGCTACTATTGGATTGCAACTCTTTCCGTCATATGAATCTGTTGTTTATTATGCGTACCAGCGGTCAAATCTTTGTTGCATGCTTGCGCCCTTTGTCATAGTAATTTACCCTATCTTGCAACGAGGTACTAGCTTTATGAGCATAATCACCAATGACGACGTTGTTACTCAGTGTGACAGTCATACGCGTGCAAAGTTCGCAGACAGCGCCTGTTCAAAGACGCCTGGTTCATGGTCATCAGCGAAGACTGATCAGGGGCCAACGATCCGATTCACGCATCCACTCGATCAACAGACGTCCTGCCTCTTTGTACTGAAATAGTGACGCACATCGTGCTTCCAACAGTGGTTGCTCTCACCCACACCTGCAGAAAAGTCACCGCCCACGCAGCGCAGGCCCCTGCATTTCATCGCGCCTGCATCTACGCCCTGCATATGCGCTCGAAGTCGTCGACATGTTGGTGGATGTTGGCAGATAGAGTTTGCGGGGGAGGAGAGTATGATGTTGGTGTTGTTGTGCATGTGGTGTCGTGGGGGGTCTGTGATTCTGGCACTCGCAGATGATCCCCATGCGGTTAGTCCACTGATTCTCAAAGGTGAAACTATGACGGGACGCATGTGAACAAAGAACACAAAGCTGATATTGAAGGCGCAAAAGTATTGTTTGAATATATACAATTTGAAGAGCAAATGAATGCTACGAATTCTAACATGCTGAAAATGCTGAAAATGCCGACAACGCCGTCGCTGCCATAATGCTACGCTGAAACCAATAGAGACACGCCTTTGCTATGCAATCGATACCTTTGAATGAAAACAATAATTCCAAGCTCCGACGAGCCACCTAGCCACATCAATTGTGCAAGCTGAGACCAAAAAGGAAGGTCGACGTAGTCTTTGAGGCGCAGATGGATCTCGGGGTTCAACTTCGAGGCTTGCGCAGTCCCTGTCTCGCCTGCAGTCCGTAGCCCCGGCCAATGCGCACCGCGCGCCACATGCGGTAATACGGCGTCGCGTATCGCCCCGTAGTCGAATATTCGCTCCACTACCAAGACTACTATCGCGATTTCGCTGCAGGGTCCTGTAATTGCTAGATCTAATCTTGCAATATGCGCAACTGATTTCCGTGGAAGGAGATTCTGCTTGCGCGGACTGCATGGCCTAGATGCGCCATCTTGAGAGAGACGCGGTGAGCGGACTTCGTGTCGGCGTCCACGAACTGGTCGTCGTCGGAATCGTATTCTGCGTCTGAGTGTGACGAGTGTAGCGGCCCTTCCCAGTCATCGTCTGACACCGTTGAGCGTACGGAAGGGCAGCGCTTGAAGCATTCGAGTGTTGGCGTGGCTTGAGGGGTTGGTGGGAGGTTGATGACTGTTTTGGCCGGAACGGGAAATGGGTCGGAAATCTCATCGTGCGGCGGAGAAGGATGAAGAAGTGTGCTGTTCTTGCGAGAAGGAGCATCGGGCCGACGAGGTGCGGATGTAGGAGTCGGCTCAGAAGGGACGGGTGCTGGAAGCAAAAACGTGAAAGGATATCCAACTTCTTCCAAGCCGTCACCCACAGATGTAACTCGAGGAGACGAAGGATGAAGCAATGATGAGTTCTCTCGCTTGGGTGGACCTGGGCGTGTAGGAGGAGTGGCTGGTGGCGTAAGGTCCTGGAGCGAGGTAACCGAGGCACGCGGTGGACGCTCGAACTGTTCCTGTAGTGGCGGAGATGGATGCAAGAGGGTTGAACCCTTGCGTGGAGGAGACGGACTGCGTATGCTCGGAGCTGAAGTCTGGTCGAACTGCTTCGCATTACTGGAAAGCAGCTGACGAACGGAAACGATCGATATGCGACGCGAAGAAGGCATAGATGAATCGGATGAACTCTCGCTGAGATCACGCTTTAGGTTCGGTCGCCAGTTAGACTTTTGGCCTGACGATCGAGGAATGTTTGACGAACGTTGTCTTGACAAATCCCTCCATCTTCTTGTCAACGCCGCAGATTGTCGTGGTGACAAGGAAGCGTCGTCGTCGGCAGCCTCATCGTCCGCATCGGGTATCAAGTCGCTCTGGTAGCCGGAGTCGTACTGTTCACTCAGATCCTCCCTTTGTTCCTTGACCTGGCTGAGCATCGAACTACCACTGCCACTGCCGCGCGCAGCCAAGCCTCCTCTTCGAGTGAAGAACCTGGGTCCACCGCAGTTGTGACACAGTTTTCTGGTTATGATGGGGCGGCCGTGTTGCCGAATGTGAGAGCATGGTTTGTGACCAAATACAGAGCGGGGTGCATTGGCGCAGTGTTGCCACATAGCGATGGTATGATCGCACGGTGTGTGATCGATGGGGATAATGACACACATCTTCGGTGGGTTCGAAGGAGGAATGTCGAGGTGTTGTGTAGCTGTGTTGTTACGTAGGCTTGGTCTTGTAGTAATATACGGGCCGGGGTGAAGGTCGCTGACGTTCGAAAGCGGAAAGACTCGAAAGTACCGCGAGGCTGTGTATGGGCTTGTTCATAGACCGTCGTTGTGGAGAAAGTGCGAGACTAGGATAAGGTGTTCGACTACTAAACGGACAATCGTTACAATGCCGCTAGATGCTAGACTCTAGTGTGCGCCCGCCAATGCAAACCCGGGGGATATGAGAATTCGTAAGACGATGTAGCTTGATGCAGGGTCAGCAGCGCAAGGGAAGCGATATGATTTAAAGGCGATCTCCCTGCAAGGGACTGTTGTTTCCCGGTCTCGTAAATCGCCTGTTGAACAAGTGTGCTCTGGGAATGGGTTGGCGTTGGGGTGGTCATGGCGTCGGAGTATGTATAGTAGCCCGGTGACCAACTACTGGCGACCGGATTCCGTGGCATGCACGGCCGCTCCTACACCGTCATCTTACCCTAGTGATCTTTCGCGAGGCTCGGAGAGCTGCACAGATCAACCTTGGCTTTTTCTGCTTCTGTCGCTTAGCTATTGCGAAAGGATGCGAATGATGTAGACAGGCCTCAGGTTGCCGGGACGTGCTTCTAGAAGACTTCCATTTCCTCCGTAACTCGCTTACCAAACCAATCAACGAGCTCGTCTCCCCCAGCCTCGTCCCTCGAAGCAAAGAAATCCGTCATGCGCATGTCGCCATTTCCGTCGTCGTCTACAGGCCAGTCTACTTTTACATCTGCAGTCTTGCCTTCTAGCAATTCTTTGGCTGTGCCCCACGAAAACCGGCACTCGTTGCCCCAACCGAATACGGGATCCATATTCTGCTTCAGCCACGTGGTGGTGCGGACATCAGATGGATAGCCGGATCCCCATACGACGACACCTTTATCGTTGGACGTCTCGTTGACAGAATCGTTGCCCGCGGCATTCTGGTAGGGTTCGTAGCACGTGTCGAGCGCTGCATCTCGGGTAACTTTGGCGCACACCGAAGCGGCGCTCACAACGGGATACAGACTGTCGGCCTTTTTTGCTACTGTGATCTGCACTGTGGGCCATATCCTCTCAAGCTTCTTTTGGTACACTTCGGGTCTGCCAATGGTATCTATGTATATCTCCTTGACATTGACTCCCATGGCCATGACCTCTTTGATTAGCGCTATTGTTGCGTCCATTGCTTGGGCGTTGAGATTGTACTGCGAGGGTGCAAGCATGCTCGCGGAGATGTCACGGGCGGACATGATGCGGGTTGCCCAGCCACATGCCGCGTGGAGATCTGTTTCCCGCGTGCAAAGTTTCCGCATCAAGTTAGAGCGCACCTCCGGAGTCAGGACTTTGGAATCGTCGAAGTGGTGTGTTTCAGCTAAAAGGCTCTGCTGCAGCTCAAGAGGCAGGTAGAGTAGTGCGTAGACCATCGGACCTGCAGCTGTGAGCGACGAATACAATGAAAGAGCAGGCCGCATACCCAACACCGGGCCACGACCGGCTTCATCGACACCCAGAACAACTTCTTTCGCCATGTCGTCTGCAATCTGCGAGGGGATGGGCGAAAAATGGGAGTAGGATTTGCCAGCCAGCACGTCAGGCCTGTGTACGGAGGGCGCACTGAACACGTCTGACGCCGGAGTTTCAAGCTCAATTTCCTGAGTGTCCATCTGGACGTCCTCGACCGAGTCAGTCATGGGTGTTGGCCGTGTCCTGCTATACTCGAGGTTTTTGTAGTAGATAGGATGTAGATCAGAGTGGTGAGGCTTCTTTGTACGGTGCTGCTGGGTTGGAGACGCGTCGCGCGCTGAGCTAAGCAGCCTAGCGTGCGACTTTCGTGCGGCGGCGGGATCTTGCATACGGACAGTGTGACCATGCCACTTTCGGAGCACTAGACAGAAACGAATGCTGTGTAACTACTGGTGTTAGGCCTCGGTTTTCAATGACTTTCATGATTGCCCAATGTAGTATGTTCGCTTGACTTTGCGCGGAATGCATATGAAGCTTTCGTCTATGGCCGCCATCATCCAGGTCATCGTATGAAGATACTACGTGAGAGAGACCGATCGGTAGCAGGCAAGGAGTTTAACGTAACAAGCAACTTTCTACAATGCAAAGCTCATGATGAGTGAAATGGAGTCATCTTTCTGAGACCTGATGATGAGCCCCGCGCTAGCCTTGTACAGCCGCGCTAGCGTCGAGCTCGAGGCAATGACTTCAGCGGGGAAAACCGCGAATTCCACAAACATACTGCAGTCCACGCGACAGCTGCACACACCAGTATATCTTCGATAACTCTCATTATCTGGTAACAAGGCTTTGTGCACGGAGCTCGTAGTACCCCACGTTTCTCGGATAAGCAGAACAACGCTCAAACTATCGACGCTAGCTGCACAACATGTTCAAGAAGAAGCCCAACGTACGCCACCACAAGCTCTACTTTAAAATCGCCAGCTCATTATTCACAGATCAAACCGCTTAGTCCGCTCAAGTCGTCAGAGCGCCGCAGAACAGCCGATCAAATCATAGCTGATTTCCAAATTCCGACCCCCGTCGACCCGAACGCAGATCCAGAGGATAAGGCCGCCTCTACCGCTGGCCTCACTGCTTTGAGGAAGTCGCTGCTGCCCGAGAACGCGCTCTCTGCACGCTTCACAACGACCGCTGGGCCCGACCTGAAGCAAGTCTCGGGCACGGTATATGTTGGTAGTCATGAAGGGACCGGAGATGAGCAGAGGATACTGTGGGCCAAGGTTGGCGAAAAGATGTACCCTACCGGTATGTAGAGTATGATGGCTTTTGCATTTTCCCAGGCGGGGCATTACGGAAACCAACATCACGTAAATCGTTCGTGCGCCGCTTGCTAACGCATGCATAGTTTACACGCTCTGGCACAACCCCGGTATTATACCGCTGCTCTACACTCCCTCTTTTGTCGTCGAGAAACTGCAGGGCGGTGCAGATCTCATGACCCCGGGACTACAACGCGGCCCGCCTTTCCCGAAGAAGGCCACCAAGGGTATGTAAGACCAGGGCCCTACAATGTAGTATGGGTTGTGTTGCCCTATAACATACAGCACAGCGGTGATGACAATGCTGAATCCATACTAGGCGCAGTAGTCGCGATCGCGAGTTTGGAGAGCCCCACAGTACCCATGGCAGTCGGCACCTGCGAGATCGATGTTAGCTCTCTAGGCAGTGTACAGGGTATGAAAGGTCATGCTGTTTCGACATTCCATTGGGCTGGTGACGAGCTGTGGTCATGGAACCCGGCTGGTAAGCCGGGCTCCGAACCGCCAGCTTCCTTGCAGGGATGGGATGATGAGAACGAGGATACAGCATTAGCAGCGCAGACTGCCGGCATGGATCTTCAAGATGATCAGGAAGGCGGCATTGCACTAAGTGCGGGCCCTGCCGAGCGATCAGAGGCCGAAAAGTCACAGGGACTTGAAGGTGAAGACCCTCCGTCACTAAAGCACGCAGTGGAACTTGTAGACGACAAGGAACTGTCCCAAAAAAGGTAAGTTGCGTCTTACATAGCAACCGGGGTTATGCAGTTTACTAATTATCAACAGAGATCGATGACGCCTTCCGAGATGCATTTCTCTTCGGCGTGCGCTACCATAAAGACCATAATCGGAACCACCCCACTTTCGGCCTGGAATTTCCGCTGTCACAATCCAAGGTCATGTCACTCCTGGTTCAACCATTTCTACCGACGTATACACCAGCAAGAACCGCCTCTTTACAGATAAAGAAGACGAGCTGGAAGAACATCCGGAAGTTCATAAAGTATTTGGACAAGCAGCAGATTATCAAATCTAAAGAACAGAACGGCAATGAAACAGTAGTAATGGACATCGACTTCAACGATAGACATGTGGAAGCTTTCGTGCCGTATCGGTTGCCGAAAAAAGACGCGCCGACACCGTCAAGTACGAACGGCAAGCCCGCTGCGCCCTCGTCCGCCGAATCGTCCGTGGGACAGAAGCTCAAACTGGTTTTCTTGCTTCGTCCGAAAGAGAAGCTTGCGCCGATATTCCACGTCTCCAAGGCTGATCCCCGTGGCTTATACACGCCTGCAGAGCTAAAGCAGGTCTTGATAGCCTACATAGAGGCAGAAAATCTAGTCTCGGAGAAGAACAAGCGGCTCATCAAGATTAATCCCCAGCTTGCGGACTCGTTGCTCGGCTCTTCCGCAGCAGATAACGCAGCACTCGCGTCAGGTGCGATCCCCTCGTGATGCGCTTGCTGAGCGTATGGTTGCCGCTGCATCGCCTTTCCATGCAATTCTTCGGAACAATGAGGATATTGCTGATTCTAAGCCGAAAGCCGGTGCGCCACCGAAGATTCAAATCTTGTTAGAGACCCGCAGCGGAAACAAAACGGTGACCAAAGTGAGCGGTGTCGAACCGTACCACATTGCACCGCAACCGCTTGCAGATGAATTACGAAAGACCTGCGCCGGTAGTACGAGTGTAGACCGACTCCAGGGCAGCAGCCCGAAGAACCCGGTAATGGAGGTCATGGTACAAGGTCCTCAGAAAGACGCCATCATCAAAGCACTGGAGAAACGGGGAGTTAACAAAAATTGGATAGAAATAGTAGACAAGACAAAGAAGAAGCGATAGGCTCTGAAGAATCTACAACATAGGCAATGCAAGGCCGACAACACGTATAAACCCCTGACTAATGCAGGGTTCGGGTTCGTGCAGCCATCCTACTCGCGTACCCATCAAAGCTGTCCAGCCAGCATGAGAAGCTGTAGAATATGCGCATGTGTCATGAGTCAAGTATCGAGGAATAGAAAGCATGACCACCTTTCGGTGTCCATAACATACGCCAAGGTTCCGGCGGAAATACCGTCTGATGTGTTCAAGCAATACAGCGTAGGCTTGCACGCGCTTACCTCGCGTAGTTGGCCGCGAAGCGAACCACCGGCGTTCACCGCTTCCGGGGCTTTACTAATCCGCAGGAGCCTTGTTCGGCTTCAGCTGAAAGCCGCCCTTGACAGCACACTAGTGCCAAGTCCTTGAAGTCCTAACTATCATTCCAAGTATCAATTTTGATACAGGACGGTCCGGTCGCCCAACAAAAGATGACTTACACTACTCGTAAGTACGCTTGTTCTTGTAACCCACTACGATGAGCTACCTAATGTGGTTAGCAGCAGCCCCTGATTCAGATGCGGCCCTGGGGCCGTCTCCGTCTTGATGCTCACAGATGCTTCAACTTGAACGCTAGATCCTGAACGTGGGCATGTTCTGAATCCTCTATGCAGCCACTTAATAAGTTTTCATCTTCATACACCCTCCGAGATGTCCCATATTACCGTTTGTGGGACATCTTGCGAGGGACCCTGGTCGGAAGGCGGCGCTTGGCCCCCCGAGCCTCGGCCCCTGATAAGAATTACATCTGAGTCTAAATATCGTTCAGACCCACATACATCATAAAGCGCAGCCCTATCGCTGTCATGGCGAATTGTCGCCTTTTCTCTGTCACGAACCCTTCTCGTTAATGCCGTTGATGATCACAATGACACGCGCTCTGAGCCTTGCAGCTGTAGGAGCAGCTGTCGCTGCGCTGGTATCTCAACCCAGCTATCGCACTCTTTTGGCTAGATGGTCTGGTGTTAATGCGCCGGGAGGCGTATGGAGACTCCTCGCGATTCTCTTCGCGGTTATGAATTTTAAGAACCTGCCGTTTGTGTGGCATGTACGTGAACCCCCTATGATTTTCGTGTGCGAAACCAACGCTGACAGCCCCCAAACAGCTGCGCTTCTTCAAAGCCTACTGGTACCAGATCTTCATCCAACCGACGCCTATCCCCCCACACGCCCTCTTCCAACCCGTAATAACGCAAACCCACGCACCCCTCCTCGAAATAGATTTCAACATGCACAAATCGAACTCGACGTACTTCGCAGACATGGACATTTCGCGCACCCACCTTTTCACGAGCATTGTGCGCAACGGCATTCGCAAAGTCTCGGCGGGGGGGTTCCATATGCCCAGGGCGAGCAATAAGAGTGCGACCGTAGCATCCGCGACCGCGGGACTGGGCGCAACAGAAGGCAGTGTCGGGACAGGAGGAAACGCAAAATACATGATCGCGCTGGGCGGCGTGCAGTGCAACTTCAAAAAGGAGATCCTTCCCTATCAGAAATTCGAAATGTGGACACGCCTGCTGAGCTGGGATCGGAAGTGGTTCTATCTTGTCACACACTTGGTTCGCCCGGGCGTAGGGAAGCCCGCGAGCTTTAGCTTGCAGCCGTGGCGCAAGAGCAAGCGCGTGCAGGGCGAGGAGGTGGATCCGGAGAAGTTGACGGGCGCGGTTTTCGCGACGGCGATTGCGCGGTATGTGATTAAGCGAGGACGGTTGACGATTCCGCCCGAGAAGGCGCTGTTCGACGCGGATATGGTGCCGGAGAAGCCGGAGGGGTGGGTGTATAAGGGCGACGATGAAGCCGAACTCAACGGAAAAGTCAATGGGAATGTAGAGGGTGTGCTGCCGGAGAAGGGCACCGTGGAGTGGAACTGGGATGTTATCGAGAGGGAAAGAAGGAGAGGTTTGCGGTTTGCGGAGGCATATTCAGAGCTAGACGGGTTGCATGATGTTTGGGATGGGGGAAAAGAGGGGGTGTTGGGAGAGTTTGCGGATTTATCGCTATTGTATCGGTGATCGTCATTGAGAGATGGATGTAGATATACCCTAGACTTGTGTTGTACGATGGATGATCAAATCACATAGATTTCTGTACCCGTGGTGCGCAGGGCATTTCCCTTTGACTGGTCGACTCTTGTGACTAAATGGGCTTGGAAGAAGTCTTTCCGGGTCGTAAAACATGCGTGAGCGATGCTCTGGGTGAACAGCTCGCCGAGTAGGGCCACTGGACTGCACATGACAGAGCACACAACGAATAAACTACAATTCCTAGCGCCGGCGAGGATGTGCTCTTGCGTGTACTGGTAGGTGGAAATTCGATATAAGACAACGCTTGCAGCGTGGTGCGTCGCCTGCATAGTAAACTCCATATGACAGGGAAGTTTAAACATGGATGTTTAGAGATAAGGGTGCTATTGGCACGAAGGCGTTCAGAAAAGGAAGCTAGGTATGGCCGTGCTGGCCCCCACTCCATTTCACCGCAATCTTCAGCGCGGAAGAAGGGTACTGAGTCGGATCTACACCGATGTTGATATGTATGCGACCTTTTGCTTGGCCTTCATGCCCCTGAAGCAACTTCGAAAGACTCAACTTGTACACCCACAAATCTACACAAGCTTACCGGGCTAATGTTGAAAATGCTCCGCGGATGATAGATTTTTTATGAGAACCTCTTTGTTCAAATTCTAAATGTCTACCCCAGCATATCCCTCCTCTCCTCGGCCAACGCATTCTTAACAATAGCCCCACACATCTTCGCATACGGATTCGTCCTCACGCTCATCTCCCTCGCAACCTCATCTCCAAATTTCGCCGCCAACGCAAAGTCCGCACTAGCTGACTCCTCCAGCTCGCTCTTACTCTTGCCTCTCCATTCCACCCCTAGTTCTGCAGCTTTCAGATACAGATACGCGCGGTGGGAATATGCAGTCCTCAGAATGCGCGCCTGGTACGGCGACACCGAAGATGTTGCAGACGGGGATGACACAGTCTTCGAAATCGCACGCGAGATGTCCATGAAGAGGGCATCTATCTCTGGTTCAGATGATGAGAAAATGGACTCGTCTTTTGATAACGTTGATTCGAGCTTCATTCGCCTGAGCATGGCGCGGTTGAGATATGCGCTTGGGTACTCAGGGTACTTGGTGATGATCTCATTCTCCTGCTTCATCGCGGCGTCTATATCGACTTGTGATGAGCTTGAGGTGATATGTTGGACTAGCTGGTTTTGTTGGGCTTCGAAGATGGACAATTGTGCTGATGAGATGGTCGGGTGGGAGGAGGAATCGTCGATTGCTGATGTTGATTTCGAAGCTGCGACTGATGAGGGAGCGTTTCTGGGTCGAAAAGCGCGTTTAGGATTCTTGTGTCGTTCGCGGAGAGCGTGGTGTTGGGTGTTGAGACTGCCATCTTGAATAAGACTGGTTGAGAAGAGTTGTTGACAGGTAACAATGATGATGAAGATGTGAAGTGTTGATCGAGGTATCTGGGGTTTGCACAAAGTGCTGTGTTCGACCGTAGTAATCAAGAGCATTCAACTTGACGTTCACTGTTCTGTGACATCGGCTTACGGCTTGTAGCGGCTGTTCTGGTACTTTCGTGAGGCGCTAAGTCAAAACGAGTTAGTCTTGTGCGGCTCTCAACTCCAGCACGCCTCCAGCTTGGACCTCACGTCTTCAGCATGATTTGGCTAGGTTGCGATATGTTGGGAAACGGGATATAATCAAAGTATCGCCGATAGCAAGTAAAGTATTGCGTTTCATGTCGATGAACATACTGATGCTATACCTAGCAGCAGCGACCGCTTGCCTGCAACAACCGGCCTAGCCGTCTGTCAAGCGCAGTCAACACAAACGCGGAACCCCACCGCGGAACATAATTATCAAACATACCAATGGAGTCTCTACGCGCGAGCCCGCTCACGTGCAAAGACGCGCAAAGATTGCCGTGTAAGAACGACTCGGCTTTCCCGGTTAGGCGCGGAGCTAGCGAACAATGGGTACAACGGCCTCCTCAGGAGCGCAGCTCGGCACAAGTGACATGGTCAGCACGGTGACGTTGGCTCGCGGTACGAATGAAACTCGGTTTTTGAAGGAGATAGAATATTCGCATAGCTTAAAGGCTGAGGTGAACCGCATCACTCATTCTAAACCATCAACTCACTCTTGCCACTCTACTGCTGCACGACCACTTTCTTCCAGCCGTCGAGCTCAGATACGCTTACACATAAGTTTTAAGTTTCGTTCACTTTCTGGACTACACACAATATGGCACCTGGAAGGATATCGCCACCCGGATCACCCATTTCCTCAGAACCGTCATCTTCTGATATCTCAGCATACCGGGGGTACCACCATGTCCACTGGTATGTTGGCAACGCAAAGCAAGCCGCTTCCTTCTATGTAACGCGTATGGGCTTTGAGCGAGTTGCATACCGTGGTCTCGAGACTGGCTCGCGCTCTATCGCTTCCCACGTGATACGGAACGGCAATGTTACCTTCGTCCTCACATCGCCACTTCGGGGTTTAAATCAAAGCTCAAGATTCAGTGAAGAAGATGCAAAGCTATTGAATGAGATTCATGAGCACCAAGAAAAGCACGGAGATGCAGTGAAGGGTATGTCGCTCCCCCAAACCACAAAACACAAGTCTAAACATATTGACACACCCCAGACGTCGCCTTCGAAGTCGACAACCTCGACGCAATCTACTCCTCCGCCATCTCCGCAGGCGCTGAATCCATCTCCGCACCACACACTCTCAAAGACGCCAACGGCACCGTGCGCCTCGCAACGCTAAAAACCTACGGCGATACTACTCACACGCTCATCGAGAAGTCCTCCTACAGCGGCATCTTCCTCCCCGGCTACGCCCCGCCCCGTCGACCTCGGACCCACTTTCAAAATTCCTTCCCCCGTCCTCCTCTCCAACATCGACCACTGCGTCGGCAACCAAGACTGGGACGAAATGGACAACATCTGCGACTACTACGAGCGCGTGCTCGGCTTCCACCGCTTCTGGTCCGTCGACGACAAGGACATCTGCACCGAGTACTCCGCGCTGAAAAGCGTAGTAATGAGCTCCCCCAACGACGTCGTCAAGATGCCCATCAACGAGCCCGCGCACGGAAAGAAGCAGTCGCAGATCGAAGAGTACGTCGATTTCTACGGCGGCCCGGGCGTGCAGCACATTGCGCTCCGGACGGACAACATCATCCGCGACATAACGAATCTCAAAGCGAGAGGTGTAGAGTTTATCAAGGTGCCGGATACGTACTATGCGGCGATGAGGCAGCGGTTGAAGAGCAAGGGGATGAAGCTCGAGGAGGACTTTGAGGTGCTGCAGAGTCTGGATATACTTATTGACTTTGATGAAGGCGGGTATCTGCTGCAGTTGTTCACGAAGCACTTGATGGACCGGCCGACGGTGTTCATTGAGATCATTCAGAGGAACAACTTTGATGGGTTTGGGGCTGGTAACTTCAAGAGCTTGTTTGAGGCTATTGAGAGAGAGCAGGAGCTCAGGGGGAACCTTGTATGAAGGGAGCGTGACTGTTGAGTCTTGTGTGGAAACCTTTAGCCTGAGCCGCATGAAGGCGTATTATGCTCTTAGGTGTATCAGGCTCGTGTATTGGGCGGTAGGACTGGCGCATCGATAATAGCTTTGAGTATTAAACGCATATACTACCTTCGTGAACGAATCAAGAGTGTCACTTGCTCCCTTTAGTCCGTTGAAAAGGAGGGGAACCCTTGTTCTTTCGGGGGTGACACGTCAGCCACTGACTGTATGGAACAGGTGCAGGCATGAACTTGAAGCTGACATGCCATTTTGAACGCCGACCTAGTGAATATCTATATCTAAAAAATATTACAACTTCTCAAGTACACCACCATATCGTAACGCATATCAATCATCACTCATGCCTTCCGCTTCTTGTTTGTCCAAAATCAACGTACCGTCGCGTGGTACAACTCAAGCCCCCATTACATAGGCAAATTCCATATGAAATCCAACGTGCCGTCATCAAAGCCTTGGAAACTAGGGTTTGAATCCAGACCGAAAGGAGCCATCGCCGGATCAAAGGGCAGCGCCAGCCAGTCATCATCCGGCATCAAACCGTTGACATCGTTGGCAAGTGAGGCGATACCTGATGTGCCTGCGTTGTGGTTGTTCAAGAAGTCCATCCCAGCTGTCATATTGTTCTCGAGCGACGTTCCTCGCGAAGGGATGCGCGGCGGGCGCGCAGAGACGACGAAGTTCTCGCGAAGTCTGGCTACGTGCAGATCGAGCAGAGTGGCATAGCGGGAGGCGAGGTGCATGTCGTCGAGTGTGCTGGAGCGCATGGCACGAATGGCGGCGTCCAAGATATCTAAAGAGCTCTGCAACTTCTGATTCCGGGAACCTAGGCTGAGAGCTTTGATCAAATAAATGGAGGACGCGGTAATACGAAGGAAGATCCGGACTGGTGAGTACCGTAGAGCACCAGAGTCGTAGAGCTGAACGACTTTCTGCAAAATTTGACAGCTTCCATCGACGACTTCTTGTATGAAGTCGTAGTCTCGTGGCTCTAGATTGAGTGGCAGGATATCCTCTTGCGGTCCATCCGGATCGGTTTCAGCGAGGGTGCGCTCCACTACAGCCTGCATACCAAGGGAGTTCGTGTAAATCCTGACATACTGGTACTCGATGCACAACATGTCGTGGAGGCCGACCTTTAGTTCTATAGCAGAATATCAGTAAGACTTTGATACGAAATGCCATGTTGAAGACTTACTGCATGGATCCAAGTACTTTTTCCTCCACGTAGTAAGCAGAGGTTGAAAGTGCTCGAGGAGTCCAATGTATCTTCCCGTCCGTAGCAGATTGCGTGTAGTCGTTGTTGAAGGATAGATCGTATCCGATACTGATCGAGCCAGTTTGGTCAGTTCGACCCAAGCGCTCATAAAACCCTGCCACTCCTCAGGAGCGCCCGTAGTTGCATTGACAGGTAGTTTTTCCATCAAAGCGTGATTCAGGCTTTGTGGAATCATCGATGTACAACCTAGACGCCACGATAGTTGCTCTATGAAAACGTAGAGTAACTTCCGAGCGCGGATCCGCCTTTGAACAAGTGCTTCCGGTGGTGTCTTTGGGTACGAAACCTGGTCCCTCTCCACATTACCATTATCTTCAAATAACCCCAACTCTTGCGCCAGCGAAAGCGCACAACCCATCAACATCCAGGACATTCGGTCTGATCGTTTCGCAGGCTCAATAACGTCTTCGAGCCAGCGACTCGACGTCGTGTCGCCTTCTAAGATTTGGACGCCCTCCGATGTCGTGTTGTTTGCTCCAATCATGAGCTCGCAATCCCACCCATCACTGGCGGTGGGAAAGTGTAAAGCACGTGGGTGCCATTCAGAGAGAAGCAGCAGAGCTTCTATTGATCCGATCGTCCGTGATTGAGCTTTGGATAGCTTGACTTGGCCCAACATGATCTTCATGATGAAGCGTTGGCATTGCTCCCACAACCGATCATGGACAAAGTAACCTCTCGAGGCACCACCTACGCCGGGCAAAATATTGTACCGCGAGGAGATCATTAGGATGGTTACACATAGGAATGGGTCCAAAGCTATTAATGACCAATGGTTCTCGTGACGCGAATAGAAATCAGAGAGGATCGGTGAGAGCGGCGAACAGTTTTTGAAAAATAGATCGACGTAGGTGACAGCTTCGTGCGCGGAGAACCAGCCCATCTGTACGAATCTGCAAGATGTCCATACTCGCAGAGTCTCTGGAGAAGGCTGTGACATCTGCACCGGTTGCGCCTTGAAGGTGAAGGGGGAGGATGGCTGGCCATCGGGTCCTGTTGAACGAAATAGTCAGTAGATGATAGTGTAGCTTGAGTGAACTTGGGGATGAATGCGTGAGAAAAGTTGTCGTGTGGAGTCACAGCTTGAGATGACACAAGGGAGACGAGAATGGTGCTCACCTAACCCGTACGAGGTGCCCGACCGAGGGGTATCTTGTGTTTGATTTTGTTCAGCACGTGCTTGGTTTTCAAGCGCATCTCTATGATGGGCAGCCTCAAAGAGTAGATTTAAAGCATCGCTGCCGCTGGAGACAACCGTCCTCATGACTGAGTGGGATAGATCAGGTTGAGAGGTAGAGACTCTGCGTAAGTGGGCCGGTGGGGACATCATATCAGACCGCCTGGTATGAACCGAATCATGGGGTGACATGGACTGCACCGATATTGAGGATCGTTGCTGGGTGGACATGTGCTGTACTCCATTGGTTGCTGATGGCGGATTCATTGTTTCGCTTGTATTTACTTCAGATTCCCTCTCTGGCTCTCCAGGTTTGCGTCTCTTCACCCACGAGCGCTCTGAGCGAAAAATGCATTCTCGCATCTCTCTCTTGCAGCGCTGACATGGTGGCTTCAGTTCACCGTCTGGTGTAGCATCTAGGATGCACTTGGCCTTCCTCTGGCGGCAATTGATGCAAGCCTTGTATGCGCGCTTGAAGTCCTCAGGGTGGGTCCTCTTCTTGGATGCGGTACCATCCAGTGGCGCGCCAGGGGGTGTTCTGTCGTTCTCTGGCTGTTGGGACATGACGCGACGGTGGGATGACAGCGAACAGGATATCGCAGGAGAATTTGCTTTGAAGAGCGGAAGGAAGTGGGCGGGCTGAGCTTGCAGCCGGCATTTCGCGGCTTACCCCGCTTTGAGCCGCGGCTCCCGAGTCCACGTGAACAGCCGCCTTCCAAGCTTGCGCCATCAGGTCAGAATCTTGAACAATCATCACAGTGCGAGTTACCCCAGGATACACGATCATAGAGTCTATATGTTGTTATCTAGGAAGCTTTTACCGAACATACATGGTGGTGAGAGCTTGGGCGTACAGAAACTTGCGAAGTTCGCGTCGATTTCGCGGTGCGACACAAGTCTGCGGTCTTCGGAGACGCGATCTACAGCAAAGTGCAACCTCCCTTAGATTCTGCGATGAGAAAGTGTCGCTCTCTGTAGACCCAACGGGTTCTGGCGTCCTATCCAGTTCCTTGCTTCATGTTGTAGTGGACGTTACAGAACAGCAAGCGAAGGATCCTCTTGCTGAGCTTTGAAAATTAGTAGCTTGAGATTAGAACATTCGCGACGTAGAAAGGGAACGGGGGGTATTTCGACAGCCGTCGTACTTTCTTATGTCCTTCAATCAAGATAACTCTTTCTTCTTAGCCAGCACAGGCGCGCCTGCTTTAGATAAGCGCGAGGCTCGCACGTACTCGCCCTTCGGTCTCTTCATCTTTGTCGGCCCTTCACCCTAGAGCCGATCAAAGATGACCACTCGTTCCGTACACTGGCCCAATTCAGCGTAGATCCTGAGGCGCAAAGGCGCAAAGTCCGCGGTGCCTGTGCATCACGGACGCGGTGTTCAGCGGACTCTCTCCGCACTCTCCGCCCTCCATGCCCCTACCATCATCTACGCGAACTACAAACATCTTCCCGAAGGTCCATACCGACTGGCGATCTGCCGCTATTGAATCTGCCTCGTGCTCATAAACACCGCGGAAACATTTCGATCCGAATGCAGCTTTGATAGCGTGCAGGATGCGAGCGCGGATGCAGGCGCGGAGCGGATGTTGTCCACCCCGCGCCATAAGCCTACGAGATATCGCCTTGTGCTAGCAGCTCAGCTGGGATAACGATGCTGGAAGAAGCGGTGAGTGATGCAGGCGTTGGTAGATCCTGGGAGTGCAAATGTTAGGTGCAGATGATGTCGTCTTCGATTTTGGAGTGCGAAATCGTGAGAAGATGAGGACGATGGGCCCCAAAAGCACACTGGGCTCCGCGCGAATCACAGCACCCCTTGGCATACCTCCCCGAAGCAGCTAGCCCCGCCACACGCCTCCTCCCGCTTCCGTCCCAAACACCTTCCGTCCCACGACGTTCAAATCGACTCCGCCGAGCACTCTTCGCAGTTTCACCGGGACCCGCTCAGCTATGGCCCAGCCTTGCTGTCCTGCCCATGAAGCCTCGTAATAGCCCCACCGCGATTTGTCAAAGTCGCACATCCCAATGCCTCACGCCAGCGCCCAGACTTTTCATGTTGACATAATGTTTCGCGCAGAGCCTCCTACGGGATGTGCTTCGGGAGGCTAGCACCCGCCACAAATCTTCACACATGTGCAGGCAGCCAAGAAGAACCACTTCTTCCACGCATCACGTTGTCCCACCCAAGGCCCAGCGCTGCGCAAGCAGACTCCCGGGAGACGAGCTTCCCGCTGGCGATGCGCTCCCCAATTGTGCACACATCTGCTTCCCGACGGGCTGCATCCCGAGCTTGGCTGCGGCCGATGATCTCCCCCGTGTAAGCTGACAAGACTGTCCAAGGAACCACGGGACTTCTACGCGCCGTGGGCCTGAAGTATTTAAGGGCGAGGGATTTCGAGGGAAAAGAGAGCGGGACAGTGGGCGCAGTTGCTTTTGTTATCTTTGGACTGCAGCGAAGCTCTCTTTGATTGTGTCGCTTATAGCGAATCTCTCTTTGATTTTCCATATGGGAACGAACCTCTGGCGATTTCTTGAGGACTGGAATGGACCTCTGGCCAGATTTGCTGGTAGATGGACGAATTTGCCATTATTCGATTTCTTGAGAGAGCGGACATTTGAGCTCAAATTTGGTCCCACGCCACGATGCAATTCTTGAACCGCGGGAGTGGGAAACGCGAAGTGTGGATTCGACAGGCATCCAGGACAGAGCATAAGGCGACAACCTGCGGACTTCTCAGTTTCAAGGTCGAGAGATCGAGAAGAATTTGGCAAGAAAACGCCATGGCTGCCACGACAACAAGTCGTGGCTTGCCACGTTATCATTTGTATCACCACAGGGAATGTCTAACATCAAGGCCTTCCCCACACACAACTCAGCCACATGAGAAGTGAAACGCCCACAGATGCAATGAATCAACGCCTCCATTCTAATTATACAAGATGTAACTTGATAGGCAACTGATAATACATGGAATTAACCCACTATCATTAAAGAAAGAATGGTTGCCCCTGTTTTAGACGTTCTTTCATAGCAATATATAGGAAAAGCAAGCAGAAAGAGATGATTGACCCAGACCAGTTTAGGTTACAACACCGTGACGACTCCCCCAACCCGTAGTGTACAAGGCTCGCGCACACGTCGTACTTGATCGACATGATGTGGCTGCATAGTCACAGTCTTACCCAATGCAAGCGCATAATAATGCTGACTGGTCGTGGAGGCTACTTGCGTCTCCAAGTTCCTGACAAATGAGAGAAAATGAGAATTACGCATGCGATGCCAAGCCACTCTGGGGCTTGGTCCTAATTTGACGATGCCGAGACGTAGTTGCGTGTGGTGATTCGTGAAAGATGTATTTTCGTGATGCGTTAGGTCGGACGCCAGCGGAGAAAATTTTTGGAGAAGCGAAGGCGTGATGCTTACGCGAAAGCACCGACAATAGACATACCGGCGGCACCGATCAGGACGTAGCAGAAAGCCTTCTTCTTCGCGCTGCCGGTCAAGGTGTGTTGCGCCTCCTCGGACAGGAAATCTTCTGCTAGCAAATCGACTAGCGCAGCGTAGAGCAGAAGACCTGACGAGATGGCATTGAATGTACCGATGAGAATGAGGCCAAGGGGACTCTCGGGATCGAAAGCATTGCCGACTGCGAGACCAAGAGCCTGGCCAAAGGGAGCGGTCGTTCCGAAAGCGATGACGAGTGCCCATGGCTTCCAGCTGCCCTTGGGATATGGGACGGCGGCGATACGCGAACCCAAACCAAGGCCCTCGAAAGCTTGATGGAACACGATGGCGACGAGGAGAACGATGAAGCCGTCTGCTGTGAGCGAAACAGTCATACCAACGAAAACCGAGTGGAACAAAATACCACCTTCGATAAGCGTGATTTGCGAAGAAAGCTTCCTGAGCACCGCTGGGTCCACTGGAGCCTCCTCAACATCAGTTTCGAAGTACGATTGCTGCTTCTCAACGTCCTGAGGCGGCTGGTTGTAGTTGGGCAGCGCGGGCATGGCGCGGTTGACCATGGCCATCATCTCGTCACGCTGGCGTACATATTGCTCATAGAAGACGATGAACCACGGTGGCATCTCGGACTTGACTTCGAGTTCGCGGTCGTCCTGCTTGCCGAAGGGGAAGTTGTCGCCGGCATATGTGTTCTCAACCCACGGGCCCTTCTTGTCTGCTGGGTACGCCATAGTGACCTGGGAATCGTAACTCTGGCGTCTGATGGGGTTATTGAACTGATTTTGAACGCCTTGAGCACCTCCAGCAAATTCATGACCATCTGCGCTACCGTGGCTGTGGCCTCCAGTTTTCGAGTTGAGCCACATCTCGATGACGAATAGAACGAAGAGCGAGCCCATCATGATGACACCCGGCATGGCAGGATACTGCTCCGTGAAGAGGGCCGGCAATGACGGATCATTGAGTGACTGAAATGCCGTTGGAAGTAACTGTACTTATTAGGCCATGCATTGTCAAAGGTTGAGATGACTTACATGCACAAAGGCCGTTGCTATAAGCACTCCAGTACCGAAGTGCTTACAGAAGAAGAAAGCGCTCGGCGGAATCTTCATCCATTTCACCTTCTTTGCCACGACCGGAAAGCCGGCTCCACTGATACTGGCAACGAACACGATAACTAGGCATGTCAGTGTGAGTTGTAGAGTGCTTCAAAGTTAGTCTACTTACAGACCGCCGCGATGTGGATCGCGTCTACCGGCATGTTGAAGGAAGTTTTCTATTAAAACGTCTAGGACAAATAGAGATGGAATGAAAGAAAACTCCGTCTAGACCTGCCAGCAGCTGAGGAGATGGAAAGAGAAGGCACACAAAGAAAGTCTCTTCCAGAGAGTGTAGAAAAGAAGTGAACGAGGTGACCCACGGTTGCAACTTGAGGCTCGGCGCTGCGCAATGCGTCGTGCTTTAAGGCTCTAGTACAAGGTAGCGAGCTAGCCGTTCCTGACTGATCAGCACGGCCTCAGAACACTTGGGTGGAGCAACTTGGTAGTAGTGAAGCTTCAATAACGTAGACCATGTCTTAGTTTCCAAGTTGAGATGAGGCTTGACACAGATGGGCGGAGGTCCAAACTGTGCCAGGTACCACCGCTGAAAGGGCCAATCCCAGGCCCATTGGCCATCTTGAAGCATATTGTCAAGGCATCGAGGCTCGAGTGACGGCTGGGCACTGGGGAAGCACAGTGTGGAGTGGCTGCGATGCGGCTCTACCGCCACCCTCGGCTTGTGGGGCCACTGCCGACGAAGAAACATCCAAGCACGTCCAAGCACCGAATTGATGCGCTTGATGTTGTAGGGCGAGGTCACCTGTTGCAATGAGGGTGGGAGAAGTCAGGTACACAAATTGGTGGAGCCAATAGGACGCGTCACGTTTCCACTCGACCTAAGCGCCAAGTCGGCAGAGGGTTTTCCGCTATGGGCATAGGTACAGGATTTCTTGGCGGTGTAATTCGGAAACGTGAGGAGCATGAAGAGTCGAGGTTGGAACAGCCCGTTTCGTGGCGCCATGCACGACGATCTTTTAGCACGGCCGGCATGATCAGCGGCTAACCGATATGTCCACGCATTATTCCCCGGTCTTGGCAGGCAGGCGCACCCCGGCCGCCAAGGAAAGAGCAAGGAAAGAGCGATAGGAAAGAATAGCCCTACACAGCCGCCCCCGCGGCAGGTGCTCGCGAGTTGCCTCAGTCCTCCTCCATCCGCTGGTCTCCTACTCTGTCGCAACTCTCCCGGGACCACATTTTCTACGACTTTTGCGGGTCAACGCGCAACGCCTCAAGATATGAGATATGCAAACATTTGACAATCTACGCCTGAGGCAGCATTAACAGTGGGGGATGCGCGATGGTTCAAGATGGTGTCTCCGTTTCACCCCCCAGCCAACGTTGCCCAGAACGCTTAGCGAGTTTGGCATTCCGTCCCCATCACTCCGCACCATCACATCTCACCCTGCTGCAGATGCTTACCTGCGTCTAGTGCTTCTCGGCGTGCAGAGAAGCTCTCGAGCGATGGGCTAGTCCCATGGCGCTTTCCGCCGCTCGTTGTTGCTTAAGACCAGAGATTCTCTATATGGCCTGCTTTCTCTCTTCCATTCCAGGCATCAACACAACAGATCCACTTCATCACGCTCGGAAAACATGGCTTCCGGATCTCGTCGTAAGGTTTTTGTCTCCGATTGCGTCGCATGTTTCCACTGATCTCTCCTCTTAGCCTCATCACAGAAGGGCCAAGCTGCCAACCAAACATCTGCACCACTCGACGCTGGCCCCTCGTCACCGACAGCCATGTCGGCACGCTCCACTGTCACTGCTAATGAGCAGGCTGATGCCATCCACTCTCTGGGCACCAACACTGCCATTGCTCCGGCCGAGGATCAGGTGGTTGAGGTTACCACTGCCAACGGCGGGGACCCGTTGGGTCTCGGCCAGCACAAGCGTGCCAATGTCACGCAAAGACAGATGGTGGTTGACTACCCAACTGCCAATAAACGTCACATGAAGAAGTTCTACACAAGACAGAACGCCCTCATCGATCAATTCCTTGAAAGTGGAGACGAGGAACGCTTGGCTGCTCTTGACACCATGGAGAATGGTCCCAAAGTCAAGTTTGCCGTCAATGCTTCCTTCGCGGTCAACTTCTTTCTCTTCGTGATCCAGCTCTATGCTGCCATCTCCACCGGTTCACTGTCACTGTTTGCTACAGCAGCAGATGCCTTCATGGACCTCGTATCATCCATTGTCATGCTCATCACCTCCCGTATGGCTGCGCGGCCTAGTGTGTACAAGTACCCTGTCGGTCGTACGCGTATTGAAACCATCGGCATCATCATGTTTTGCTGCCTCATGACCACGGTGGCCATCCAATTGATCGTAAGCTTCTCTTGGCTGCGAGGTTTCACTCGTCACTAATTATTCCCAGGTTGAGTCTGGGCGTGCATTGGGAGAAGGTGCTAAGGACCACGAACAGCTCCACATCATCCCCATAATCTTTGTTGCTGTCGCGAGTAAGTTGGTCCAAGACTGGTTCGTCTCGAGTGATTGCTTATTCAGCCAAGTCTTCTGCAAAGGTTCACTATGCATCTATTGTTTCTTCCTCCGCCGTTACCCTGCGGTGCACGTCTTCTTTGTGGACCACCGCAACGATATCATTGTCAACGCTTTCGGTTTGACCATGTCCATCATCGGAAGCCGTGTCGTATGGTACCTTGACCCCCTCGGCGCCATTCTCATCGGTGTCTTAATCTTGTGCTCCTGGGCTGCCAACGCCTTTGAGCACATCTGGCTCCTCGTGGGCAAGTCTGCACCGAACGAGTTCATCTCCAAGCTCATTTACCTCGTCGTCACCCACGATACCCGCATTCAGAAGGTTGATACCGTAAGTGTTTGACCACATGGTCTACAATTAGAACAAGACTGATACATGACAGTGCCGAGCCTACCATGCTGGACAGAACTATTACGTCGAGGTTGATATTGTCATGGATGAGGACCTCCCACTCAAGATTACGCACGACGTCAGCCAGACCCTGCAACGAAAGCTTGAAGGTGAGTGAACCCCAGTATCGGATGTGGAGCTTGACGACTTACTATATATAGGTCTTGCCGATGTGGAGAGAGCTTACGTGCACGTCGACTACGAGAACGAACACGATATCAAGGAGGAGCACAAGCCCCTTTACGAGATCACCGAACGACGCTCAATAAAGCAACGTGTTAAAGCGCTTCTATCAAAGAACAAGGCCGAGACGTCATAACAAGGCCGCCTTATCGCTGACGCCTCCCGTGTTCGTCACCCCACGACACCGCGCATTGTATTTCTAGCTCGTCTTCCTGTCATCTCACATGGACCTTGGCGCTTTGTTTCGTTGTTCAAAAGTCTTCTTCATCATCATTTGATACCTTAGTGCCTAGGGCGAGACGCGCAGCACTTCACATATAGCATGTACACATAGTCACTCTTTGACACGAATGTTAATGAATTGGGTCGGTCCTTGAGGACCGCCATCTATCTCGTACGCCTTGCAAATAGCTTGTTCTCGCCTTCTTTCACGTCGGGCACGGCTAAATGACTTGGATCGACGCAGCTCTCAACAAATTCCGAACTCGACGCAAGTAAACACTTCCACCGTGCTGGTTTTCCCGATCTGTCTTCGAAGGATCCTTCCCCTTGCGTTCCTAGGATGAGCACGCGCACATACGCCTGACTGGGAACCCGAACAGACAAGCGGTGTCAAACCCCACAATGGCACTCCATTGTGGATACTCCTGACGGTGCAGACTCGGCATGACGATCTTCTGCACTTCAGAGAATGTAACCCAATATAGTGCGGCTGTGCATGTATCAGCGCATGCGTTCGTAGACGGCAGGCTGGAGATACACCAGGCCGTTCGCGTCCTCCAGTATATCGTCGTCTAGCTCCCGGATCTCTGAGGTTGCCCGGTTTCCGGCCAGCTGCTGGGAAGTTCCCCTTTCGATGGCGGCGTTGACGCTGGATACAGTTTCTTGTATTGTTTCGTGACTGGGCCACACATTCTCGCTCACTTCGTTATGGTATGCGCTGGGTGAGTAACTAGCACATTTACGTATCAGGGCTATCTTCTCCTCCGAATGAAGGTCTTCATCAGGATATATCAGTGGTCCTCGTGCCTTCTTCCCGGGCTCAAAATCTGGGGAGAGGACCTCTGGGGCGCTGGCGAGCGTGTCCTCGAGCTCTGTGTCGTAAATGCCGTGGCTAGGCGGCCTCGACATCTTCTCTTTGAGAACAGGCTTGGTGCGGGTTTTGCGCTTCAGCTTCGCGGGGTTGCTGAAGTCGGGAGGAGGTATGTACTCCATCGTCTCGTGGAAATCGTTATCGTCTTCGATTTGTCCGGTTGCTGCAATTGCCGCTGCGTTGCGGCCTTCCTGTTTTCGTTTGTCGGTAGCCGTTACCTCAAGCATCAGACGCCGCCTATGTGCAACCGTGTTTCTCATATGAGGCTGGCTCTGGATTTGATCGCCGATGGCCACGTCTTCTAGCATGTTGATCAAGGCTGAGCTGTCGATGGGTTGTGAATGAGGAAGAGGCGGCTCGCTGTTCTCTGTCGTGGGTGTCGTGGGGTCATCTTCTGTGCTTGAGCTTCTTGACGGGTGCCAGATCACGGTCTCCACGCTCGACGTACTACCGCTGCGTGCCCTTTCCAGCCGTCGCTTAGACGATCTGCCCTCGCGGTCACGCTTCTCCTTGCGCTCTCTTCGCCGTGCCTCGTGCCTCTCCTTCCGTTCATCCTCCAACGAGACTATGACGTCCTTTTCCGCCTTGAAAAGATTCTGGATGTACAGCTCCTCCTGTTTCTGTCGCTCGCTCGCGGCCTTCATGGTCTCTTTCTGCACGTCTCCAAACGCAGGGGTCTGCTTCTCTAGCTCCCGAAAGAAGCTCCACCGTTCAGTCGTCTCAAGATACCAATGACGAATCGCCGAACTCTCCGAAGACGCATAGACCCTGTTAATGTAGTTGCGCACGAAGTTCAAGCCCATCTCGCGCTGGATAGGCGAGTGTACTGGGAAGTTATGCCATAAAGCTCTGATATCGAACAAAGTGACGGGTGGTCCTATCATGAGTGTCGTCTGGATATGCATGTACAAGGCTTCGATGCCGGCCGGCGGAAGCTCCAACGCCAGCCATGCCTTGTGGACGGCAATGCTGACCAGTAGGCTGGGTGTTGTCATGTACCTGTCGTAGGTTCCAGGTGGATTCTTAATGTTCGCGATCTGCATCATGCGCGCGACGATCCATCCCAGACCCTCAACTTCCATGTCCTCGAGGATGTTGACACCAACATAAGGCGTGCGTAGTGACAAGTGGATGCCAGCTGTGCTGAGTTCGGGAGGTGGCATGATCCATTTGCGCAGAGCAGGAGCGAAGTGGAGGACCATCGTCAGAGGGATGTTCGTGGGAAGGTCAGTGAAAGCATCGAGGTCGTTGATGCCGAAGAGAACGTAGGGTGGGGAAGTGACGTTCTTGGGGAGAGGAGACGGAGGGAACTGGAGCATGTAAGACATGGCGGCTGTCTATTGGCTTCGCAATAAAAGCAGGCTCGATCGTGAATCGAGACTGCTTCGGATTGCCGTCTGCGCGTAGAGAGCCCGGGTACTCAGGCGACACAGGCCGCGCAAACGAGCGAGGTCGTTTGACGCGTTGCGGCAAACAATTGCCTCCGTCGACTGAGAACCTGCCTTGGTCAGCCGCCTTGAGTATATATGTCAAATGAATGCAGTGTCGATGAATGGGCACGGGTGCAATGGCCGGGTGGAAGGATAGAATGAGTGAGTCAACACGAGTAAACAACACTGCAGAGCAGTATTTCACTAAACAGACAGCACAGGACTCACGAGGCCACGTTTCCCGCCCTACAAAGTTCCAGCGCGTCGCTTCAACACGCGATCTCGTTCGCGCCTGCCTCAACTCTAGAAACTCAACGTCACCCAAACGAACAACCCGGCGCGCCCCGCGCGTGCTGAGAGCCATGTCTGACGCACCTAAAGAAACTTCCAGGTTAGTCGCATCTGGGGAATTTACGTACCCAATCACAGAGGTAACACAAATCAGCAGGGAAACGCAAGAGCCCAAGTCGCGGAAGGAGCGTTCGCGCACCCCGTCACCGCCACCACCGCTCTTCACGTACGACAAGAACACGTCTCGAACCACTTGGCATAAACAAACTGCGGATGAGCAGAACTACATCCAGCTCGTCGTCGAGCGAGAAGGTTTCCCTCATGGCGCCATCATCGCTGACCGCATCGATCCGCATCTGCTTTTCAAGGTAGCTCCAGCACTCCAGAAGCGTCTTGAGGGCCGCCGCATCTTTATTCCCCCGACAGCATGTCTAGACGAAGAGGTTATCGAGTCGATGGTATTTGGCCTCATCCGTTGCGCGAAGGAAGATATACCCATGCCCGAGCCGGTTGAGAAGAAGCCTGTTACCATGATCATGATACACTGTGTTCTGGTCTTCTTCGAGATGGAGAAGGAAGCTCAAAACATAGTTCAGAAGCTGTGGGACTTGTTTCAGCAGGTCAAGCTCACGCCCATGGATGTGCTCTGGATCTGGGACACGTTTAGTGGACGTGTCCAGTCCGAGCCATACACTGCGCCCTTCGCCCACGAGTACGTACAGATGATGGCGTGGCAGATATTGAACCTGGACGCGGTGAGTGTGTTGGATCAGGATATTCGACACCTGATTGAGCTGGAGAAGGAGCCGAAGTACTTCACTGAGACGATGGAGGCGCGTTTCAAGACACACGGACTGGGGAAGGACCCTATTGTTCCAGAAGCACTGAAAGAGGTTCCTTCGCCGCCTAAGGTGGCCGTTGCCGAAAAGACCAAACGTGAGATCAATGCTGATGATGATGGTTGGTCGACTGTTACGAAGCGATCGAAACTGAAACAAGGAAATCAGAGTATCACCGACGCCAAGTCCAAGTCAAACACCTCGACGACGACCGAGTCCCTTCCCGGTGTGAAGGCACCAGCGTTCAAATCGGCAGGCGTGACTGATGTGTTCAAGTCGCCCACGCCGCCTCCGACTCCATTTGGTACACCTACGGCATCAATCCCGAACGTAGGTCCAGCTGCTTCTAAGTTCAGTTTCGCGGGCGCGTCGAAGGCCATTGCGGCGGATCGTCAGGCCGCCTGGCGAGACACACCAAAGGGGAGTGCAAAGCGAGTGAGTTTCTTCGTTGGCAACACTAAAGATGAGGAGCAGAATAACACAGGCTTGAATACACGAAAGCCTACTATAGCTTCGACTGAGTTCAGCTTTGGGGGAGCGAATACTTCAATGCCTACGGTACCGAATACGATGACTATGCCATCTACTTCTTCAGGAATTGGTGGGACACCAGACCAACCTCCTTTCGGTGGATTTGGTCAACCTGCACCTGGCGCAACCACTCAAGCTCTGGCACAGTCAATCACTACTACCAACGCAGTAGGCTTCGCATGGGGAAGTTCTGGTGCGACTCAATCCACCAGCAGCGCATTTCCTCAGTCTTCCAATTTCCGCGGAGATCCCTTTGGCGCCCGCACGGCACAGCAGCCCCCGCAGCAATCTGTTGGTCATTTTGGCAGTGGATCTGTATTAACTGGAGGTACGCAAGGTCCAACCCCCACGGCAGGTTTCAATCTGTTCGGTGGAGCTTCTACGCAAAATTCCGGAACTCAGCACACCTCGCCTGGGGCTCCATATAGTAACGCCGATTTCAACTCATTTAGTGCTCCAGCGTCAAATGCGCCGTTGGCGGGAGCGTTTGGCGCACCGCCAGCTGCCTCATCGAATAATGTCGGCGGATTTGGAGCCCCGTCGAACAATTTCACCCCGTCGAATGGGACTGCCCAGGTATCTAATAATACAGGTTTCGGCATGAACAGCAGTCTTGATGGCCAGTCTCCGTATCAACAGCCGAATGGCAGCCCCTTCGGTAGCCCATTTGGCAACACCGCAAACACCGCGGGTGCTGGAGGCAACGTGTTCGACTTTCAGGGTGCATCTTCTGGCGACGGCGGTGGCGCTCGAAGCGGAGCAATGGGTGGTGGTATGGTGCGGAAGATCGCGAAGCCGACCGGGGCGAGGCGCTCTAGGCGATAGGGGAATGAAGCGGATGTTCGTCGAGAGGGCAAACGTGACGTGGGTTCAAAATGACATGAAACGTATCGATTGAAAGGAAAGGTGATTTGAGTATGGGAGCGAAGATGAATCCTTAACGTCGAGTTGCGGCAAAGTCCTCGTTTAGGGAAGTATGCACGTTGCAATAAGCAGTTTCGGATTGATCGAACATATGAATGAGTGACTGGTTTATTGGTTTTATCTCTTACTCTCATCAACCTCTGATGTAAGGCAGGACAACTCATCTAAGCTTCCTTCATCGCAGCAGCACCCACAACCGTCTTCGCCGCACTCTCAAGGCGTTTGAAACCGCCGTTCTCCTTGACGCCCTGCTGCAGCATAACCATCCTCTTCTGGTCGCCCGTGGGATCAGTGCTGTCATTCTCAAGACCCCACTGCAAATACTCATTGGTATAGTTCGGCTTGAAGCTGTCGTCGAGTACGGCCAGACGCTTTCCGTAACGCGTTACCTTCTCCCAGTCGCGCTGCACGTTCTGCAGATCAGGCGAGAAGTACGCGAAGCTGCGCTCGAAGATCTTGCGGTTCGTAGGCGTGTCCATGGCGCTCTTGAAGTCGCAGAATTCCTTCCATGCCACGTCGGGAGATGCGAGCACGAAATCCGTTGCGCGCTTGCAGGCGCGTAGGAACGCGCGGACTTTCCCCGGGTTGGCCTGGATGAAGGAATCGTTCCCGATGTATAGGATGCTACAGAAGCAGCAGCACCCCAGTTGCGCCAGCTCGTCGATGCGCAGCATTTGCACCTCCGAGGGGTCACGGTTCTGCGACTTGAGCCACTCCTCCAGCTCCACCATCTGCACGTTCTCGAGCCCGATACCAGCGTCGATATCACCATTAATGATGCTCTTTGTGACGTTCATGCCGACGCGAACAGCCGAGTAGTCCGAGGGCTGCATGCCGTAGTGCGCGGTAAGCTCGTCGAGCTGGATTTTACCGAATTCGCCTACGTAGCCGATCTTCTTGCCCTTGAGGGTGGTGAAGTCAGGCGTGATGCCGCTGCTGGTCAGGTACACAACGCCAGTGAAGGGCTCGTTGAGTAGGGAGCCGACGGAGGTCACGGGGAAACCGCGTGCGGAGGCGGCGAGGGTGTGGATCATGGCTTTGAAGCCGAGATCGACTTTGCCGGAGCCGATGATCTCGGTGACATCCTATTCAAGTCAACAATGTTGAAGACAGCGGAGTAGAGGCAGATTTACGCTGGGGTCGTTGGGCTCAAGGAGCGCAACTTTGATACCTTCATCCTTGAAGTAGCCCTTGCTCTGGGCGAGGTAGAGAGGGGCGTGGTACGGGGTGGCGTGCCTGTTCGGCATCAGTCCTGCTCATGTAAACAATAGCATCGTGTGTGACAGACCAGTTGGTCAAGAAAGTGATCTTGTCAGTAGACATCTTGGCTCAATTCACGCGAAGCTAGGGAAATTAGCACGCCAGAGGCGGAAGGGGGATCAAGAAGCAGCTAGTCCTTTCGCTGGAATTATCCAGATCAAGTTTGAACGGTATAATCTCAGAACAAACCCGTCCCCGGCCCATCGTATCTGTGACGAGAGTGTCGAAGTTTCTCGGGCAGATATGAGGGGCAGAGGACAAGCTTGAACACCCGCCATGCATGCTTCAGATTACATTGAGAAAATACCTGTCGATGACATGTCGACGTGACTTGACCGTGATAACGCCGGTGAGCGAAGAGGAGGGGCTTTGCGCCCCGGTTGCTTCTTTCACGGCATCGTACCGGTTGATTGTAGTGGGTGTTGGAAGATCGAACAATAAACTCTGTCGAATTGATGATGGAGTGTGAGATATCGTGTGCCAATGCCGAAGATCTCGCTTTATAACCCTCTTTTCTTGGTATTGCCGAGCTTCGGTGCAGTCCAACAAATCACTCATCCGCATGTGTAATTGTATTGGTGATGGTGGGGCAATGAGGGGTAAAAAGGTACCTGAACGTCAAGCTGCATGATCATCCCACTTGGTGTCTTCTGACGTTCCTCTTGTGAACCTTATGAAGGAATGGAGGCCATGTGCGATGTCTTTTGATTTGTTCTTTTGACGTTTTAAGTGGGACCTTCATGAACATTGACCGCCGTTAATCGGGACACTAGTGATCGAACTAAATGCTTCGTCAGAACCTGCAATGGAACATAACAAAAGCAGTCATCAAACAATGAAGAATGGCAGAAAATAGAGGAGGTTTGTTCCATGTGTGAGTGACACTAAACTTCTATTTGGTTCCTCTCCCGCAACACGACCGCAGCAAAGAAAGTAGCTGTACACATGACATAAGGTCGAGAGAGACGCTGAGGCAAAGTATTGTATGACTATCAAAAATGCCTGAATAAGTCTGGAAAGTAGGATTGCAGGCTATCTGTAGGTAGTCTTGCTGTGTTGGAACGATGAGAATAGAAAGAGAAGCCTCCTCGCCCAAACGGGCAGTTTGACCCGCGTCAGCCGCGCCAGGCAAGCGCAAACGTGGGGCTTGGCACCCATCACTTTCTCGAACACAACTCCACCAACTGCGGCCAATCTTCAGCATCACCCCAGAATCACCCACTGACCATGGCAGAAAATAGACGCGGCGGAGGCGACCGGACGCGCGATCGTCACAGAGACGACTTCAGAGACTCCCGAAACGGTGGACGCGACCGCGCAAATGCACCAGACGGCCGCAACCGCTCGCGAAGCCCACGACGAGATCGCGGGGGAGGACGAGGCGGCTATCGCAACCGCTCACCTCCCGGCCGTGGCGGCGATAGAGACAGAGATCGTAGGGACAGGGGCGACAGGGACGGCGACCGCGCCGGAGACAGACGGCATGATCGCGACAGGGACTCACGCGACTCTCACTCCAACCGTGAGCCACCCAAGGGACCTCGCGGCGCACCTTCAGGTCCTAGGCGAGATCTCAACTCTGGTGGGGCCCCCCAAGCCTCCGACAGGCCCGCGTGGAGCTGCCAGCCCTGGAGAGGACGAGGACGTCAAGATGGAAGAGCAACCACAGCGGGAGCGACCCGAGGGCATGGACGATGACACGTGGGAGATGGCGCGGGTCATGGGCTTTGCGCGCTTCAAGAGTACGAAGAACACGAAGGTGCCTGGCAACGACTTGAATTACGGGGTGAGAAGGGAGAAGAAGATGGAGGCACGACAGTACATGAACCGCCAAGGTGGATTCAACAGGCCGCTTTCGCCGTCGCATGGTTGAAGGATCAGCATCATTCAGATGGTTATTGTCGTTGCAAATCACAATACCAGGATCAAGCATGCAGGACTCTCGCAGGATTGGCTCTCCAAGGCGAACTTGGGCTATGTGGCTTTAGCTTCCAAGACAGTCCAGGCTGAAGCATGAGCAATCGGTCACACCATAAGATACCCATTTCACATATTCGACAAACGGAGCAACCAAGCTACGGTACGATGTCCTATCGTTCATAGTGTCACTTCTCGAATCCTAAAGTCTGACATGTCAACATCAGAGGCAGAAAGATTGGGGAATCACGCGTTGATGGAGTGACCTCGGCAAGCTAGGTCTCCAAATTGTTAGGATTTCGTACAGGTCTGGACTTCGCAGAACCTTATTTAAAGCGCTTCGTGCTACACCAAGCCAGAAACTGATAAGCTGATTCAATCGCATCGTTGATTTACTGCTATAGTGAGCGGAACAAGACCCCCCAAATGCTTTGACGTGCTCGACTCTCGCCAGCTCAATGCCTGTTCACTAGTCTCCATTATGGTGCTGTCGTAGCTATAAACAGAATAAGCAAGGATGTAATAAACAACTCGCCGCTTGTTCTTGCAAAACTGTAGCTCCCAACGTACAGATGCGGGTCGCACAGCCACAAGTGTGGCACTTCCGCGCGGCCTGATGCGGGCAGGTGCAACCGAGACATCAATGTGTCCAAAACCCCACAGTAGCTTCGTAACCACCACAACACGCGCCTGAACATACCAACATGGCGCGCAAGTCTAGATGGGCAAGCAGCCCCGTGCGGGCTTTGACATTTGCGCTCATAGCCCAATTGTCTGTTGTCGATGCGCAGGTCGCTGAAATTGAGAAGGCGAGCAACGATAGCTTGCTTTGGGGTCCTTATAGGCCGAATCTATACTTTGGTGTACGGCCTAGAATACCGAAGAGCTTGATGGGCGGCCTGTTGTGGTCGAAGGTCGAGGATCATACGGTGCAGCACAGTAAGTACAGCTTCGTTGCCCGGCTACCTTCCTACGACTGCAGCTTGTGACTGCAGAACCACTCTAACAGCCATTGCACTATTTACATAGAATTACTGACCAACAAATACAGCTTTCCGACATACCTGTGAGCAGCACGAGCTTGACGGCTACGGTTGGGACGAATATGATGTACGAACTGGCGGCCGTCAAACCATCCACGACCCCGCGAACCACATCGATATCACGACCGAGTTCATAAAGTTCCCTGGTGGGCAGCACGGTGGCAGCTGGGGAGCCAGAATTAAAGGCACTCCTCGTGCGGACGCGCCTCCGGATTTGAAGACAACAGTCGTCTGGTACAACACACTGGAGGGTTTGGGATCTCTCCAAGCAGAGGGAGACGCAGAAGAGACAGGCGCTGAGGGTGATGTGGTGCTCAAGGGCATGACACCCGAGCTTGGCGATTTCGAGTTGAAGGTCACAGAAGGCAAGGGAGATCACCCACAGTCAAACCATCCTAGCTTCCAGGAAAAACCGTTGGATCGGACACTCGTTGCGAGCTCGCAGATACCACCTGAGGCGCTGTGGCAGTCCAAGCAGGTGCTTTTTGCACAATTGAAAGCCGAGATAGATCAGCTTGTGCCCAAGTACGGAGAGGAAAACCCCCCTCCACCAGCCCAGGTGTACACCATTGGACATGCACCCGGGCAGGGAAACATCCATCTAGTACAGAAGGTTTTCGAACGTGCATTTGAATTCGACATCCTGTTCTCGTCCGCATCAGCTCCCACGCCTATCACTTCCGAGGACCTGACCGTGCAAATCGACTCTGTCACTTCTGGTTTCTCTACTCGCTTTACCGAGATCTTCAAGCCGCAGACGCCGTTCGTCAAAGAGCGCTACGAGGAGTTCTCCAAGTCACTGTTCTCCAACCTGATTGGTGGCATCGGGTACTTCTACGGCGATTCTCGCGTTGACCGGTCTGATGATCCCGCATATGAAGAGGACAATGAGGGTTTCTGGGAGGATGCAGCCGAAGCTCGTGCTCGCAATGTCGCGCAGCTCGAAGGCCCTTCCGAGCTATTCACTAGCATCCCCTCACGACCTTTCTTCCCACGTGGCTTCCTCTGGGACGAAGGTTTCCATCTTCTTCCCGTGGTCGATTGGGATGTTGACCTAACGCTTGACATTATCAAGAGCTGGTTCAATCTCATAGATGATGAAGGTTGGATTGCGCGTGAGCAGATCCTAGGACCCGAAGCACGCAGCAAGGTGCCTGAGGAATTCCAGGTTCAGTACCCTCACTACGCAAACCCGCCCACGCTGTTCATGGTCATTACCTCCTTCCTTGATAAGCTGGATGCTGTGAAGGCCGATACTAGTAACGAGAGGGTGCTCGCTGAGAAGTCATACTTCATGCAGCTTGCAAATCGCGAAGCTGCGCTAGAATACCTGCGTAAGCTCTATCCGCTCTTGAAGCGCCAATACTTCTGGTTCCGCAAAACGCAAGCGGGCGATATCAAGAGCTACGAGCGAGAGGCCTTCTCCACTAAAGAAGGCTACCGATGGCGCGGCCGCACTCCTCAGCACATCCTCACCTCGGGTCTTGATGACTACCCGCGTGCACAGCCGCCACACCCAGGAGAGCTCCACCTAGACCTCATCAGCTGGGTAGGCATCATGACGAAATCCATCCGCCGTATCGCCGTGTATCTCGACGAAACCGATGATGCCGCTCAATTCGCAAAGTCTGAAGAAGCCATCATCAAGAATTTAGACGATTTACACTGGTCCGCAAAGAATCAGGCATATTGCGACGCGACCATTGACGACTACGAGGAGAACAAACTCGTCTGCCACAAAGGCTACATCTCATTGATGCCGTTCTTGACCGGTCTTGTAGACAAGGACAGCCCAAAGCTGGGTGCCATCCTCGACCTCATCGGCGACGAGGATGAGCTCTGGAGCGAACACGGGCTGCGAAGCTTGAGCAAGAGCAGCGAATTCTACCACACTGAGGAAGACTATTGGCGCGGACCCATCTGGATGAACATGAACTACCTCGCTGTTCAGCAATTGCTGGTAAGCTTCACGCATGGGGAAACCGTTCATTGACAAACTGACCACTATACAGAACGTCGCTCAGCAAAAGGGCCCTCAGCAGGCCAAGGCGAAACAGCTATACACCGACCTCCGTAAGAACCTGGTTAGGACTGTGTACGAAAGTTGGAAAGAGACTGGCTTTGCGTGGGAGCAATACAACCCGGAGACGGGTAAGGGACAGCGCACACAGCACTTTACGGGATGGACAAGCTTGGTCGTAAAGATTATGAGCATGCCTGACCTTGAAGGTGGTAGAACTAGGGATGAGTTGTAAGGGTGATTCGGCCCGATATGAATTCAGCCTGCCCAAGAATGGGGCTGCGCTGGCATGGCGCCGACGATGCACGAAGTAACGAGCACGAAGAAGTGGTGCGGATGGCGATGTAGATAGGTTCGAGGATTCAAACGCTGACAAGGAGATAAAGCGTGTATGTATAGTCATCACAGTGTCCAAACACCGCTTGCGGACGAGGGCCTTTTCGTACGATTGTATTTGGTGGGCAAAGTGATCGAACTGAAGCACGACCGCCTCCTCGCCCTTCGTCTTTGGTCCTTCAGCTTCACGGGAGCTTTATCCAAGGAGTGAAGAGCATCGCCCTTCCGCCCTCACTCCTCGCGATATATATCCTTCTCCAAGACCTGGGCGTAAGCGCTATACCATACTGGGGTCGGGCAGTGCAAGCCTCGCGCTGGGGGCCGACGCGCAGTCCCGTGTTTTCGCGTTCTCCGGAGCCAAAAGTCAGCCGCGGCCCCGATGCGTAGTGGTCTACAAAAGCGGGGCTGTACCACTCTTTGTTGGAGTACAACAGCAAAGTAACATCAACTGCTTCCACTACGAAGAATCTCGTTGATTCAACATATCAAACAAAAGTTAATCTCATCCTACGAGTCTCAAAAGCATCATACTCAAGAGTTCATCGTTGAGGTTCAATACACCTAGCTCATTACCATCTACTCAAATCTCGAAAAGACTCAATATGCCCCTCTCTACTTCACCCATTCTTCGCATCCCCGCCACCTTCTTCGGCATCATTTTCCTTGGGTTCGGCTTCGCCTACACGCTCTACCCGCGTGTTGCCTACCCAACTATCGGACTGCCGTCACCCACAACATCTCGAGATGCGGAAATCGTGGACGCCATCATGATACTCTTTGGCGCAAAGGACCTCTTTGTCGGACTCTCAATTCTAGCGGCCACCTGGTTAGGAAATCGGAGGGTGGCTGGGGTGCTACTGATGGCAGGCAGTGTGTGTGCGGCGGTGGATGGGTGGGTTGTGAACCGTTTCACGGGGGAAGGGGAATGGAACCATTGGGGTTATGGAACGGTAATGGGAATTGTGGGATTGGTGATGACAGGAATACTTGGTTGAGGTAGAAATCGGGGATAGATACAGGCATGTGGGAATTTTGTTGTTTGCAGTTTCCTTTTTTATGTAAAGGTTGAACCGGACAGGAAGGTACAACTACGACGCACAACTTTACTCAATTGATCCACTGTCTACACCGCCATAATCCTCTTCAAAACTGACAGACATTTCCTACGCCTATTGACGAGCCGCATTTCCTTTATCTTCACATCCTACAGTTAGAGGCACTGTAATGAGAGCATTGCGCTCTATTATGCCCGTCTTGGGTCTCGCGAGCTTATCCTCAGAATATGGTTTTAAGCCGGAAGAACAGCGCATCGATGTGACCGGCGAGCATAATTTCATGCCTCCAGACCTCTCGAAGGACTATCGCGGGCCATGTCCGGCATTGAACGCGCTATCGAATCATGGATACATCCCGCGAAATGGAATTGTATCAATCGACCAGATCGTAGCGGGTCAGTAGACTCTCTTGCCTGAACTCTCGGTTGGTGCTGAGTCTACCCTAGCTGGCACAAGAGTTTTCGGATTCGACGAGACCTTTGCCAAAATCGCTGCGATCTACAGCACAGCATTCGCCGTCTCTCCTAACCTGAACAATATTTCGATCGGCGCGCCGCTGCAGTCGAGCGATGTACCGCCAGATAAGGATGTGAAACTCAAGATTGCTCCGCAGGGCCTTGACTTGACTCACATTGGCCTCGAGCACGATGCGTCCCCTACGCGCTTAGACAAATACGAGATGGGTTCGAATGGGAACAACTACGATCTATCGCTGCCGTTGTTCCAGCAACTTCTCGATCGGCAGGAAGGGATAGCTGACCACAAAGTCAACTTCAACATCAGGGTTCTAGCACACCACCGCTACCAGCGCATCCAAGACAGTATACGCAACAATCCCAAGTTCTTCTTCCAACCCTTCAACGGTTGTTTCTTCCAAGGTAACAACCATGCGGTCATCTACCGCGCATTCGCGAACTACAGCGTAGATCACCCTCTGGGGCGTCTCGATCGCCGTAGCCTAATGTCGTTCTATGGGGTTCGGAAAGATGGGTACAATCTCAAGTACGATAAAGGTGGAGAGTGCATTCCTGACATTTGGTATCGACGTCCGCTCGATGATCTTTACGACCTCAGGAAATCCAACGACGACCTTCTTGAGATGGCCCAGTATCATCCTGACTTCGTGGATCAGTACTGCGCGGGAGGTGCGTTTGCGGAGCAGAAGTACGCCGCCATCGACATTGACAAGCTCACAAATGGTACGTACAAGACAAGTACGCTGAGAGACGGGTACAATCTTTCATGTGCGGGATTCATTACAAGTATGCAAACAGCACCGTATTGGCTGTTGAGGTACTACGACGACTTTGGGAAGACGGTCGTGCCCCGGCTGTTGGCCAAGCTTCCGCCGCTGATTGCGGGTTTAGGGTGTCCGAAGTTGAATGGGACGCTGGATCGGAGGGCCTTCGAGGCATTCGCGGGATTCAATGAGAGCTTGACTGTACCGTAGGCACGACGGTGGGGTTGCGAGAGCCAGTCTCCGGGGCACTCGTCTTGGGTAAAACGATACCTAAGTTCCATTGCTAGACCAATCATTACTCTTCAGTATCATATTGCCGGCTCGAGTAGAAGAATTGGTGAATAAGGTATTACCGGGGTACGTGCAGACGTGGACGCGTAGGGCGACTATTTAGCGCGAACCGAAGCCGAAGCGCGTCATTTTGGACTCGACCTCGAGCTGCTCCACCTCCACTCGCAAACGCAATGGCCGACATCTGGAGCGGGGATATTCTGCTCCCTGACCAGACGGCGGTTAAAGGTAACATGCAAAACTTTCAACAACTTTATGGCTGCTTACAAGTGTAGACATCAGTCTTGAGTCGCACAATTCCGCGTCCGCGTCTCTTCCCGTTGCACCATTGCGATTCCTAGCGACCGTCGATACCGCGCGAATTCCGTTGTACCTTGCTGCTGGTCCCAGTCTGGATGTCTGGACAGCCAATGAAGACACTGAAGAGTGGTTCTCCTCCATCCTTCTCAGCAAGGCTGCTACTGTCGACGCGCCTGAAGCAGGGCAGACACGCGAGTGGTGGGCATGTGCACGCGCTCAATCGCCCGTTGGCATTCTTGCCCAGGTGGGAGGCGGTCAGCTAAATACAAATGGGCCTAGAATTACAGAGATACTATTCTATGGCACGATCGCTGCGCCTGCTCATGGTGCGCTGCCGACACCACCCCCCTCGTCACCCGATCATTCTCATGCCTTTCCAGACCTGGCACCTCTGCCCGAGCTCATAGTGCATGCGTTGCCATTATCGTCCGACCTTCTGCATCAATCAAACTTGCCGGTAAACCCGCCATTATCGCCTGCCTTGAGCGTATTAGAACCGCCTACGTATGTCGAGCCACAGTTCCTCCCGCCTACATATACCTCTGCGCATACACCTGCCTCACCGAAACGGAAGCGAGATATCTTCGAAGAAGCTACACAAGCGCGGAAGAAAGCTAGAAGCAAAGGTGGTGAAGGCATATCCGCTGCCGCAGCCAAAGGGCAAGACAGTCAGCCGGCATCGGGCCACCGAAAGTCCCTCTCGATAGAGACCAAGGTTCTACCATACCCCGACTCAAGACCAGGCTCCGCAAATGCTTTGACACGGCCGTCGTCGCGACCGCTGTCCAGGTCCCCTAGTATCTCCTCCGACATTCGACCCTTGAGTAGGAAAGGAGTTCCAGAAGGTCAAGCGAAGCGTTCGGCCTTATCGCAAGTTGCAACCATCTCTCTGCAGCCCGAAGAGCCAACAGTTGAATCGCGGAACAAGGAGGCCCTGTCAAGAGTCGTCATGGCGGCCATGCGCATGCACGGCCTGCAACAGCGTAAGAAGAACAAGTCTCGAAGAGGATCCGTAGCACCGGGCGTTCAGATAGAAGAGCAGCTGGGCGAAGAAGCTGCAGCAGAGGAAGCTGCGAAAGACGAAGAGTACAAACTGATCTACCACCAGACGTACAAGAGCGCAGTGCTTGCCTTTAGAAAGCACATCTCTCTGAAGCCGTTGCATTCACAACCGGATCGATTGCGCGATGTTGTAGAGCGGCTGCTTACCATCTTCTGTGCAGACCCTCTGGCACAGCCGTTGCCAGGCGATGACGCTGCTGGTCCTTCATTGGCTACGCCAGGTCGACAGCACCTCGGTGTTCCCGGCTCGACTCATAGTCGAGCAAGTCCCTTCGATATGCCCAGCGGAGCGAGACAGCATGTGAAGACATCTGATGTGGAGTCCAACGTACACACGGGGTCGCCACTCAGCAAAAGGAAGCAAGCAAATGTTGCACTGTCTGAATGAGCAGGTGTTGTCGCAAGTCGTAAGGTTTTGACACCACTCATCTACCTAGCGAAACACGGTCCATTTCCAACAAGAACACTTCGAGAACAAGCAGTAGAGTCGCGAACGGTGTCCAAGAATTTTTCCAAAGAAATCTTGTCAGTAAGTGGCTCGGGTCTCATAGTTGAGTGAGCGTCGCGTTCTGTCGTTACAAGCGCGCTGCAGTAGCCTTGCAGGGATCCTGCAGTGGCGGCATTGCTGCAGCAGGCAATGGTGACATCCCTTTTTCGATTTGGCCACCTCTAGGCAACGAACCCACCGAGAACAGACCACCAACAACGAACAACCGAAGAGAAGAGCACAACACATCTCACTGTGTCTATTCTGATGAGATGATCCCAGAAGACCGCCTCAATCTCGTCACGACTTTCGAGCCACGCCATGAATTCATCCGGAAAAAGGTGGCAGCGTACTTGGGAGATACTGATCATGACTTGGAAGGGGACGATTCGAGTAGTTCTTGTACGCCTCCTATAAACTGGACATTGCATCATACAGGGGAGGGCGCAGAACGTGTACCGTTCTATCAACATCTACTGTGTAAAGATGCGCACAACGCTGCAATAGCTCAAACCTCAGAGTCAACACTCGCTAAACTCCCCTCCGAGCTACGATTGCCACCTGAGCTCCAACTACGCATCTTGGACTTTGTCTCTGATCGCATGACTTTGTTCCAGTTGATGCACACCTCGTCTCTCCTACGAGCTGAGGCATCCAAGATCTTCTGGGCTGATCCGCACAGATACTATTCCGTCGACGCAACATGGCTCCTAAGCGGTGGACATCCTGGCCATGTAGGTTACAACATGTCCTTCCTAACTACGGTGCAGAATATCGAGATCGATTATACGGTTGATGCCGATGGTCTTATAGAACCTAGGGGAGACACCAGCTCCACACAATCTTCGGACGCCTTAGTGAAGAGCTTCTGGGAAGTCTTGGAAAAGATGTTCCCAAACGTGGGAAGCGTCGTGCTATATCAAACATCCGGTCGGAATCGCTCTTCCGATTCCAAGGGGCTGTCAGCGTGCCTGTTACGCCTTCTGAGAGCTTGTCCACCCAGCGTTGAAGCCACTGCCTTTACTGCCTGGTATGGAAGCAATCAAGTATTCCCTCCAAATTGGGAGCGTACGAGCATCGAGAGGTCATTGTATCGACTATCAGACAACGGGGAATTGGAAAAAGTCGCATCACGGCGCAAATACCAAACGGTTCTGACACCTATGCGGACTTTCAAGGGGCCGATTGGACAGTTTGAGAAGGCCAAATTCATAGACGAACGCATCCAACTCCAACGCCGCGGTTTGGCAGCAGCGATGATCGAAGCGCTAGACCGACACCACTTCAACGAGGGAGGGTCTGGTCCATTCGGCTGCCCGATGAGGTATTGTCACGAGCACTTTACCAAGCCTGGGCAATGGACGTTTCACGCGGTTCTAGGACATATCAACGACTTGATACCCGGCCGCCAATTCGAGGGCTGGCCGGAAGAGCTCAGGCAGAAGTTTCGACGTCGGCACATCGAGTTGTATCGATTGAAGGAGAAAAATGATATGAATGTGAAGCGACTACAACGGGAGTGGGACGATGCTGACGACGACAAAAGGAGGGAGATCAAGGAAGCGTGGATGGAGCAACTGAGGAACGATCCTGAGTGGGACACAGGTGTGCCGGCGGAAGACAGCTCACTTTGGAAGCGCTTCGAGAGCTGGATGCAGAAGTGGTGAAGGACACAGACAGCAGATGTTCTGGTCATGGTACTGGACTAATACCTGTCCTCGGTGCATTCGCTTGAGTTGGTATGGACAACGAGCGAAGACCGAGCGCAGTGCAACATCCCTCACGTCAATGATACATGTTAACTCGCGTACATCCAGAAGCGTAGAAGAAAATCTAATTGGTACATGATATCGAGCCGCGGGGACTGCAGTAACATCATAAGGCCGCTCTTTCACAGTTGCAAATTCGCACTCTGTTCGATCCTGTATCAGGACACATGCAAGGTGGCAGCTGCATGTGGTGGCGCTTGTCATTGGTTTGCGGCGTCGGGTTGTGATACGCGGGAACGCGGGGAGGCACGCCACAAACAAAGCGACGTTCACCGGTGCGGGCATATCTCAGCACCTACATGCTCGTGTCAACGGTGAGCAGCTTTGGATGATAGGAGAGCTTTGTGATGGGCGTTCAGCCCAGTCCAAAAAGCAATGAGCAAACGAAGCATGAAGCGCTGACATTGGATGATACAGGGTGGTTTCTGGTTTCGTCCGCTGGGACGGTATTTGCCCTTTTGCCTTGTGCTACCACACGCATGTGCACTGACGGGATACGGCCGCGGTGGCTGCGATGGAGAGGCGGTGAGGCCACATCGATGATATGGCGTAAGTTTTATAAGGATAACTTGCAGGGCGTTTCTGGATGGCCGGTTGTAAGGGTGGTTTGCCACAGCAGTTATCAGAGGCATCTTGCGCATCGCAGGGCAAGGCGAGTACGAGTTTCTAACATGAGTACCCAAAGGCTGTGAGTCGTTTGCAGACCACGGACCTCGAGATGTTGTTCAAACGCGCCTCGAGCAGTAACCCCGTGGAACAAACAGAAACAGAACGGAAAATCAATACGTTCGTGTAGAACAAGTGGCCGCGAGTAACAGGCAGCTAATGCGATACTTCGAGTCATGGCACCCTAGTCTCACTTCAACAAAGAAAGTCCCCAGAGTCGCCAGGCAGTTCTCGCTGCATCCCATAATCGCAAAGCTGAGGACTCACATCTATCCCATGGTCTGAACATGAGACGGGCCATTCCTCAACGCGACCTGACGTGTCAGCGCGTGTTACCAGCAGGGATCGGCACGCGTTCTTGCAAATGATTGGCGAGATGACACCGCCGCTTTGCCCCTACCCCACTCTCCCCATAGCCGTTCCCGTTTGCTAGCAGCCTTCATTGTCATTGCTCATCCGTTAAGCGTCCAGCCTTCTTGCATCAACCCTCTGTATATTGCTCTGTGATAATCTGCGATTTTGGCATCGGAATCTTGTCACTATTTACTGCTGCTCAGCTCAGCTTTGCTTTTTGCGTATCCGACCGAGGTGAGACCTACCAAAGTCTCTCTGAGCCATTCATTACTATGTCCACTGGACAACATCGAGGCGGAGGCCGTGGAGATCGCGGTGGTGGCCGAGGCGGAGGACGAGGTGGTGGGGGCGGTGATTTTCGAGGAGGAGGTAGAGGTGGAGGCGGAAATTATCGAGGTGGTGATAGAGGCGGTGGAGGTCGTGGAGGTCGTGGTGGATATGCTGCCGGCCCAGCGCCCATCCAGGTCTTTCCGTAAGCCTCAACCTTGCGTAGCTAATTCTTCGTGCTCAATACTGACTGCCTATCTCTAGCAACCAACAACAACAGGATCCAAAGGTTGCGAAGGTTGAGGATGCGCTACTTCCAGCGACAAAGAAGGCGCTAGACCTAAGCACCCTGAAGCTTGACGAGAAGTATCCCACACGTCCGGGCTTTGGTACGAGGGGTGCCAAGGTGCTTCTCACTGCCAATTATGTCGAACTGATTCCACCTTCCGACCTTGTTCTTCATCAGTACGCCATCCATACCAACCCGGACGCCGCCGGCAGGAAGCACAACCGGATTGTGCAGCTACTCTTGGAGTCGCCCGAGCTAGCGCCACACAAGGGGAACGTCGCTACTGACTTCAAGTCTACCCTTGTCTCCAAGACGAGGCTAGACGACAAGGACGATAATAAACAAATTAACCTTGAGATCGTCTATCGTTCGGAGGGGGAGGACGTGCCCGCCACTGGGGCGACTACGTACAAGGTTCGTCTCCTATGGACCAAGAGCTTGAGTATCGGACAGTTGACCGACTACTTGAACTCCACGAACCTTGGTAATGCAGTCGAAAACAAGCACGAGTTCACACAAGCTCTTAACATCTTTCTCAATCACTACGCCAAATCCGCCAACAACCTTGCTGCGATCGGCTCGACCAAGACTTTTTCATTGAGCCAGAACTCTGCTAGGGGTGATCTCGGCTCCGGCTTGGAAGTCATCCGGGGCTTCTTTTCGAGCGTCCGAACCGCAACCTGCCGCATCCTAGTCAATGTCAACGTCAGTCATGGTGCTTTCTTCCATAGTGGTCCTCTACCATCACTTATGGGCAGCTATGGCACCCGCAATACAGCTGGGCTTGAGAAGTTCCTGAAGTTTGTTCGTGTGCAGACAACCCACTTGCCGGAGAAGAAGAACAGGGCAGGCGAAGTCATCCCTCGCATCAAGACTATTTTTGGGCTTGCCAGGAAGGACGATGGACACGGTCTACCCAATAGACCGAAGGTGAAGTCTCACGGAGCAGGCGCCAAAGATGTAGAGTTTTGGCTTGAAGGCGACGGCGGTCCTTCTGCAACAAAAGCAAAGGCCAAGGGCGGCAAGAAAGAAGGACCAGCAACCGGTGGGAAGTATATCAGCGTGTACGACTTCTTCAGGACAAGTATGTAGTCCCTCAGTTGATGATCGATGAGATCTAACGTGCTGCAGCATACAAGCGAAACTTACAGCACCCTGAGCTTCCTGTCGTCAACTGCGGAAATCGCCAGCACCCCATGTATCTGCCGGCAGAAGTCTGCATTGTTATCCCAGGTCAGCCTTCGAAGGCGAAGCTTGACAGCAGGCAGACCCAGGAAATGATCCGACATGCTGTTCGCAAGCCTTGGGACAATGCAGCTTCGATCGTACAACAGGGTATCACGACTGTTGGCCTCGACGAGAATTCGAACATCCTAATTGTATGTCACTATTCATTGGTTCATACACCGCGTGCTAACTTTATCCAGCGTTCTTTTAATCTCAAGGTTACGCCTGGTCTCGTCAAGATCCCTGGTCGCGTTCTCAATGGCCCCAAGGTCACCTACAAGGGAAACAAGACCATTGAGACTCGCTTCGGAAGCTGGAACATGATAAACATCAAGTTCAACGCTGGCGCGACACTTCAGAAGTGGTCCTACATGATGATCTCACAACGAGGAGGACGCGACGCTTTCGGCCAAGACAGCCTTACCGCTGTCATGGAGGAGTTCCAACAAGGTTTGTCCAAAATAGGCATGACCGCACCTGCACCACTGCCGGGAAAGAAAGTCGAGATTCAATACCCAGATGACCCAGTACTCGATGCACAACTGAAGGGCGCCGCTGGAGCTGGGTTGCAGCTGCTCGTGCTCATCCTGCCTGAGGCCAGCATACCTCTGTACAAGCGCATCAAGACGCTAGCCGACAAGAAATATGGCCTTCACACAATTTGCTGCGTCGGCCAGAAGCTCGCGAAAGATCGCGGTCGTGATCAATACATCGCAAATGTCGCGTTGAAGATCAACCTCAAGCTCGGTGGTGTCAACCAGGTTGTGGAGCCTAAGAATCTTCACGTCATCGATCAAAACAAGACTATGGTGGTTGGCATAGATGTTACTCATCCCTCACCGGGTTCCGCATCCACCGCACCTTCGGTCGCCGCAATGGTAGCTTCAACTGACAAGTTTCTTGGTCAGTGGCCTGCTGTCTTGCGCATTCAGAAGGGGAGACAGGAGAACGTCGATGATCTCAGCGAGATGTTGAAGTCTCGGCTAAACCTTTGGAAGACGAAGGGCAAGCACACCGCTCTGCCTGAAAATATTCTCATCTATCGAGATGGCGTGTCTGAAGGCCAGTACGACATGGTACTTGGCCAGGAGTTGCCCCAGCTTCGTCGTGCTTGCGAGCAAGTCTACCCACCACCCGACACCAAGAAGGGCCTCCCACGCTTCAGCATCATCATCTGTGGGAAGCGCCACAAGACGCGCTTCTATCCTACCCAGGAGCAAGATTGCGATCGTTCCGGCAACACCAAGCCAGGCACTGTCGTCGACCGCGGCGTCACCGAAGCCCGCAACTGGGACTTCTTCCTTCAAGCCCATGCCGCTCTTCAAGGCACCGCCCGTCCTTGCCACTACTATATCGTGCACGATGAAATCTTCCGCCAGATATACGCCAAGCAGATTCCGCCTCCGTTCCAGAACATTGCGGATGTCGTCGAGGATCTGACGCACAATATGTGCTACCTGTTCGGACGCGCAACGAAAGCTGTGAGTCTGTGTCCACCTGCTTACTACGCCGACCTAGCATGTGAGCGTGCGCGGTGCTACTTGGCCAGCTTGTTCGATACTCCGAGCCCGAGTGCTGCGCCATCTGCGGCTGGATCGAGCGCTCCTGGAGGTGCGCAGGCTAGTGCGGATGATGTGCAGATCCATCAGAACCTGAAGGATACGATGTTCTATATCTAGGACCCTCAAGCTTGAACCTTTCAACTGATGGTTGGGCAAGCCCGACTTATCCTGCTCGAAGACCTACCACGAAATTGGTCATCCTTCCCAGTGACTTTGCGGTCTGCAACCTATATTGGTCCGCGATCAGGACACTCACCACTACGAGATCTTGTGCGATCTCATATCCTTATATTGATATATACTGCGATCTGATTTTGACTGTTGTTGGATAACTATATAGAATGTCTTCCTCTTGCGGCTGCGATACCTTTGAACGATCTCCGAGCATATCTGGAAATTCAATGCAATACGATCATTATCATAATCGTTGTGCCTCTAAACCTTCTTCGTTTTCTCTGCTTGTTGTCCTGACAGAAGCTACATCGCTCTCTTGCACTCATTCCCATATACCCACTAAACCGCCTTCGCGTCAACCGGCGGTTCGCCTCTTCCATCACGGGCATCGAGCAGTCACATCTTTCCCTTAGTACATAACCACTCATAGATGACGATCATGAAATCAAGTTCGGGATTGCACACTGACATAGTAGAATGGCAGATTTGGTATACGATTGTTTCTCATCCTATAACAAGATGAGGGTCCATCAACCGAGCTCTCTACACAAGCTCAAGGCACCCATTCTTGTTGCCTATCCTCTCGTCCAACACAATAGAGCTCCTGACCCAGTCCCCATTCCTCCTCAGCTCAGCCTCCAGCACCGATCCGCCCTCCACCAACCTCACATCGCGTGCCGAAGCCCCAAAGTTGGCTCCACCCCCAGAGCTGCCCCCACCACCAGGCACTTCCAGCCTCTGACCGGGGTAGATCATATCCTCGTTCTGGATGCCATTGTGCCGCGAAAGCTCGTGGAAATCGCAGTTGTGCCGCGCCGCAATGGCACGCAGCGTATCGCCCGACTGCACGGTAATCGACTGCGAGCCACCAGAAGAGTGACTCCCCGACGACCAACGGAAGCTACCGTTGTCGTTTTCCAAGATGCGGTTCAGAGAAAGCGTGCTACCCTGGTACGACCCATCCTCACGGCGGCACTGAGCATGCAGATTAAACTCGCCGTGCGCATCGAGACGCACGTCCCTGGAAGAGCGCGTGAACCCGCCAGCGAAGTGGCCCTCGCGAGGCCGATCGTTGCTGTCGCGGCGGTCGTGGTGCTTCTTCTCTTCCTTTTCCCACTTCTCCTTCTCCTTCTTTTCGTCGTGCTTGTCTTTCCAGTGGGACGCGCCGTCTTGCAGCACGTGTCCGGTCAGCGCTCCGCCGAGGGCACCGACAAGTCCTGAAGTCTTGCTGTGTCCTGTCGCAGGCCCGGCGAGTTTGTATGCGCCGTAGCCACCTGCCGCGGCGCCGGCGGCAGCACCTAGGAAACCACGCTCGCCTTCCTGGCCATCGTTGAAGTTGTTTTGGTTTCCATAACCTTGGTTGTCGTAGTTTTGATTTCCGCCATAACCTTGGTCTCGGTTATCGCCCTGGCCGTAGGATTCGTTCGGTGGGGGCGAGTTGTAGCCGCCATGGTGTTGCGGTTGCTGCCCGTACTGGGAGTTATGCTGCTGGTATTGTGGTGGGGGCTGGTTGTAGCCTTGTTGGTTTCCGCCACGCTGCTGCTGGTCCTGGGAGTAATATTCGTTTGCCAGACCCTGTCGACTATCCTGCTGATAGCCGCCCTGTTGCTGGGAGTATCCGTTATTGTTATTGTACATGGTGAGGATTACTGTGACCGGGGATGTGGATCGTGAGGTTTTCAGTGTTCAAGGTTACAATAGGATGACCTCAGCTCTCGCAGGCGCTTGTATGTATATATATACTCGGTGCAAACATGACCGTGGTCAAAACGCTGTGGCTTTGTTAGGGCGCAGCAAGCCCGTTGGCCAGTCACGATCTAGTTAGTGGCCCCACAGCTGATACACCGCCACGTCGAAAACACGAAACCCTTGTGGGGGTATGCTGGCCATAGAGCACCTGGAACGACCTCGATCCAATCACAACTTTGAGCATTTGGCGCTATGCCGCTCTCCTGGTCCTTTGCGATCAGTGCTACGGATAGAACGGCTCGGCGACGGATGTCTCGCTGGACATCGGGGGGTCAGTCACCGCCACGTAGACAAAACTTATCTAATGAAAGGGACGAATCCCACGGTCTCAAGGCGTCAATTAGAACGGTTAAAACTGGTAAGAAGCGCCAGGGACTGCAGCTTAGCTATCTAGATCGGCCGTGCGGACGGAAGGGCCCGGTTCTGTCGCCCATACCTAGTCAGGGTCATCTACATTATGACGAATTAGTGAATCTACCCCGGGCAAAAAAACGTGCGTTGATCGCATGGCAGGTATCTCACAAAGTTCATTTCTACGCATAGTCAGTACCGGGGTTACGGACATCTAGGAGTTGGGACCAAGAAGCAACTGACGTACCTTCGCTAGTCAGTGCCAGGGCCACAGAGGCCGGGATTACGAAAGGATAGATACATCCGAGCTTCAGAAGCCTTCGCTGCAAACACATAGTGACAGCATAAGACGTATTTTGATCTCCCTCTTCGCCTGGATGCAGGCTCGAATCTGATGCGAAGCCTGTATTCTCAATCAGAACGGCCACAATGAAACAGCTTCGACTAGACAATGGCCACCTCTCTGTATTACAAAGATTGGCTAGGAGCCTCGACTTCTGATGTCTCAGAACCGCGGGGTGCCGGGAGCTCCTTTTTGCAAAGAATGATGCAGCAACATGATGCTTTTTGACTTCCTCGCCGTCTGACACGGGCTCGGATTCGAGTTGAAGCCTGTATTTTCAAATCAGAATGGCCAGGACCCAAAGACTTCAACTAGCCGATGTGAACCTCCATGTAGTGCAGAGACTTGCTAGGATCGTTGTCTTTGATGTCCCAGCACTAATGAGGGCGGAGCAAATTCGTTCTGCATATCTAATTGTGGCAAGATCAGATGCATCTTGTTCACCTCGCAGGCTTTGTGCTGGCCTCATCTTACATAAAGCCTGTACTCCCGATCAGACTGGCCAGAGGAGGGCATGTTCCTTGAGTACGGTCTGGTATCTACGAGTTCCAATATTTCGGTCGGGCCGTTGTATCGACGTGTAAGAGACAGAACCTTACCTGTGTGCGCCAATACCGCGTCGAAAATATTGTTGCCCGGTCTGTCAAATAGTGTTCCTATCCACAGGTACGAGCTTAACAGCTCCCTCATATCGCCCCACGTTGATATGTTACATTGCTCTGTGAGTGCTCGCAACCCGCCTATCAGGCGTGTAAGAAAGTCCGGGTCGTGCGACATGGATAATGTTCCCGTCATTAACAGCCATATCCGGTCCCGTGGCGTGAGCGTAGATTCCGTCAGAATATTGACCAAGACTTGACGCCAGGCCACAGTGAAGTGGCCGTTAATCCAATAGACGGTTTTCCAATCCAGGAAAACGGGGGCCGCAAAGGCCAAGATGCCTAGCCGAATAGCCTCGTCGAGACTGTTTTCCTTAAAGCGCATATGGAGGAGACGGTATAGAATAGAACCCATGGTATGCAGAAATGTCTCTTCCGTTACTCGAGCAGCCGGGTTTCGTGCCGCGATGTTCATCAGAGTGCTGAAATGCGACATTGCGGTCCACAATAAGGATAAGCCTGGATCTAGCCTGCTTTCAATGCTCTCTGGGTATTTTTTCGAGACCGCATCATTGTGCGGCAAGATGAGAGGCCAAGGGATATCCTCGTAAGTGAACAATGTCGGGTTCTGTCCGTTTTCGTAGCATATACAAAAGTCCGTACGGATGATCTCGTTGACTAATTTTGTGTTCGTGTGCCGGAGGATTGCATGTGCGCCTCTCAGCTTGACAAGCTTGATCAAGGCAACATTGTGTTGGTGTGCAGCCTTGTGGTCGCCTCGAGTGTAGGAGTAACTACGATAGGCTATCAGCAATTGAAAGTAATGATCAGTATGCTACGAACCCGGACAACAACAGAACAGTCATGAGATTAGAGTCGGATAGCAATTCACGGCTGTCATGAGTCGCGATTCGTTTCGAGAGGATTTGGATCGACTTAGCAAAGGAAGTGTATTCGTTTCGCTGCGCTTCAGCACTTCGAGTTCTTTCAAAAAAGTTGTCAAAGAAAGCCTGCGTAGTTAAGGAAGCGACATGTAAGTAGGCTGGGTCGGAGAGCAGCGGCGTAAACCAATCCGGTAACATTCCGACTGCGTTAGGGATGATGCATTGGTCTAATAGAAACATCGCTTTAGAAGATATCGATAGCACTGAGTTGAGTTTGGATTAGCCACTCATGTCACAGAGAGTGCAAGTGGTCACTTGCATGTGAAACAGTCTTCGACAAGCGCAGGATCGATATCATCAGCGAAGCGAATGCCGGAAAACTTGGTGCACATCCATCGTGAGACGGTCTCTGCCCCATTCAGGTCGTTGCTCAACGATGATTGCGCTTCGGGTACGCTTTCTTCCGCAGGTTTGCGTTGTCGTTTTGGCGCCTTCACTCGATTTTTGCCCCGCATTACATGGCTTCGGATGAATTTCCGCTTCGTTGGGTCCACTTTTGGCTGGCCTACCGATACAATGAATGGGAGGTCCTCTGTGGTTCCGCTGTAAGCAAGCGAATCAACAGCATCACTTTTGAGAAGCTTACTGCCAGTAATACGATCTTCTGTAGCCATGGCCAAGGAGTGGGGCTTCTGATACTATGAGGGAAGCTGCCTCTGCGGTCATTGGCGGATATGGCCTGCGGTTGTGTGTCGGTTGGCGACGAAAGCAGTATATCGTGAGGTAGGCACGGCCTTTGCGTGTCCAATGTCGTTGAGCAGGCATCCGCCAAGATTTTGAATTGTATGCTGGATGAGGTTTAGTGACTTGCCGGCGAAGGAGCGACTTAATCAGCCTACAGGGCGTTGGGGCAGTAGTTTGCGAGCTGCGTCACGTGCCTGCATGCATTCCAAGGTTCCAAGGTACCAAGTAGGGATTGCCCTTGACGACATGTAAATTGACAAGGAATACTGTAAGTTTCAGCTGTTAACGTCAAGTGCACGGGCGTGGCCCAATATTACTACCTTACACAATCCTCGACGGCATTTCGACGGCTGGGCTGCGCCGCGTCGCACCGCATCCGCTGGGAAATCTAGAAGCAGCACCTACACGGCCTAAAGGTTTAGTATTGTTAGAGTGCGGACTCCCATCGCGTTTCTAAGATCAAGCCCTAGCTCAATAGACCTCCACGTGATGTAAGCATGAAGTCGAGTATAAGAGTGATTGATCGTTTTGGGGTGAGGATCGCCTATATAGGCTAGCGCTAGACATCTCCTACCAGCTGAGTGCGGAGCACCTTCCGCCATCACCTTGAACAGCACTGTCTAAGTCCAAGCAAGCTAGGAAACTGCCAGTGTAATTAATGAACAGTGTGTAAGAGAACTCTCAACAGCTAAGCAAGAGCCCCATCTTAGTAGTTACCGAAAGATTTCTCCTGCTCAGTTATTGAAGAAGAAATTGAAATGGCCTTCTAGAGAGTCTGCACATCTTACAGCAAATCAGGTCTATCTAAATCACACAATGGTGAACGTTCCAAGCACCCCGTTCTCAGCGCCTTACTTAAGCAAGGATGCGCGGATATCCTTCCTTTTATCTCTACTCATGAGATCGGAAGTGACGAATTCGTAAGTTTCTTCTTCATGTTTTGGAGAGGAACGCAGAAGAAGGAACTCGTCGCTACCACACGCGGCTATAAGGTTATCGCCTGGCTTTATCTCTCTGCGTGTATACCCGAAGGTTATTGTGTCCCCTCTCGGAAGTTTGGCCGGAAAGCCTGGGAACTGATTTGACCCTTTCAACTTTTTATGTATGCGGGTCCAGTCCAAGTGTACGAGCATGTCTGGTTTTTGCTTTTTCTTTGCCTTGACCGCCTCCACCTTACCGAGCAGGAAGCCATTTATCATCAATGCCTGCGGCCTGTTACTGTCGAAGGAGCTGTTCATGTCGTATGTCGTAACGTATTGCGGCTCGTAACGGATAAAGCTCAGGGTTCTCCAGTCGGGGACCCAGGAGGGTAGGTCTATATTGGATTGACTTCCATACTTACAATCCTGCTCGAGCACGCGGCCTAACGATCGCGCACGCACAATGATGTGTTTGGCTAAAAAAGTAAACACCTCAGCCGGGGTCTTATGGTAGTCGATTTCAATATTCGGATCATCGCACATCCCAATCAAAGCATAGATGCGATCCCTGATGTCCGTACTCTCGTAGTTTACTGATTCATACAGAAGCCATAAGATGTCTTCGCGTCCGTCACCTTCCATGGCTTTATAGCCAAGACCAGACACAGCACGATCTTCTGGGGACTGCTGGCCTACTAGTTTCTGAGTGAGGAAGCTGATGGCGGCTAGCTGAGCCTCAGCAATCATGAGCTTCTTGTGGAGCCACTCCAGGGTTTGCGGTGAGGAATAAATTCCAAGATCAGAAGCTTCAGATACATCGGAGCCACCCTCGTTCGGGCTGTCGCCGGCTTGTTGTGAGAAGACGACACCAGCCTTGAACACATCAAGAGGTAGGACCGAGGAGCCGCACTGAATTGAGATAGCCTTCGCTGCCCACACTTCTTGGCGGATCCACATACGAGTTGGCCAGGGTCGAGAGTATAGGTCTCGCAGTCCGTCAAGAGCACTGTCACTGATGCTCTTATCCTTCCCGTCGGTGTCTGCCATTAAGCGATAGAGGAATTGGACGGCTTCGTCTGTGTGCGTCGCCGCTTTTCCGAGCCAAACCTGAACGTGATGAGCCTTTTCATAGATATTCATCATGTTAGCAACTTGGCGTGACTTCTCGTCGGCATCGGCTTGGTTGATGACCACGGCATCGATCCAGAGGTACAATTCTTTCTCTAGCGATTGACCTGACCTAATTGATGCAGGAAGTCGGACAGGTTCTCTTTGATGCGCCAGGAGACCCCATTGATTGTAATATCATGGGAGAACGGACCAGTTCCCCACGTGTACGAGAGGGCAGTATATGTGACTTCTCGTTGCTCATCGAGAAGCAATACTCCCGTCGACTTGACGTTTATTACTACCAGATCTGCCAGCAAAGGTCCTGCTGCGGGAACACGGTGCAGTCGAAGAAGTCGAATTTGGCCTAGGCGCACAGGTATTGGCGCATAGAGCTTCGCCGCATTTAGATCGTAGTCCATGGCGCTTCAGCCTTGAACTTGTAGGTGACCTTGATAAGACTCCAGCCGCGACATAGAAGAAGGAGCTTCCCAGGTGCTGCCTAGAGTACGTGCAAACACGCCAGAAGGAACCCCACTACAAATGCGCGTAAGCGAGGTTCTGGTTTGGCCGAACAGGGTGCATCCATGTCCTAACAGATGCTTGCCATTTTTTGACGCAGGCTTACCACCATCTTCTTCATTCAGATAATAGATGCTCATAGCTAGAACACGTGATTATTAGATAGCTGAGAATGGGCACCCACTTTCGAGTAACAGTAGGCCTATCCCATTAGTTCAATTCACCCTGAGTAATCGGTGCCAAGCCGGAAGAAGACATTCTGGCTTGTCCTGGGTATACAGTAATTTACATACTTACGGTATATACACGTATGTATCGGTTTTGACGGTATCCGTACACCCCTAGGTCAAGGTTGCTCATCTGATATGGCCCCCACGCAACAAAATCATACATATTGGCGTCGAAATTACTAGTGATAACGGCGACAAAGACGCATTCGACTTTCAAGCTCTAGTTTTGTATATTGTGGGCATTGAGTACATTCCCTTGAGAGTAATTGGGGTGCCGTATGGCTGCAGCAATGACAGCATCTTCACGCCAATATCGGAGTCTTGAGCAATCGCTGCGAGTGTAAACTTGAGATGCATTCTAGCAGTCGCACTCCTTTACGCCGGAAGGTTATCTGCCTTGCTAAGTCGTCTGACGCCTTCAGCTTTCCTATCTTCTGCGAGTATAGAAGCGAACTTAGAAGCCTTCCTGATTTGAGGGCCCTTCCAGTAGAAGATGAAGATAGGAACAACGACGAGGCAGGACAAGCAAGCCAAGACCGTTGTCGCGTATTCCGATGGTCGCTTTTCACTCAGGTTGGTGTAAAGTGGCGTGGCATACATAGCTGCAATTCCGGCAAGGAAGTCCTAAAGACATAATTAGTACATACTCGATCGTGTATTAGGGACTAAAGCTCGCTCACCCTTGCAAAAGCGTTGCCACCAGTTGCGGAAGCAGAGTATGGCCCGTAGGCTGCGATCTGTTCATAATTAGCTACATTGCGCTGTTGTCCAAAGAGGGAATAAGACCGACCATATAATCTACGGAGGAGTAGTAGATGGCGAAGTTGGCTAACCCGACAAGGAAAGAGAATATCATCGGCGCAATCCAATGTGTTTGCGGCGGTCCCATACAAGTCCACGCAAACCCGAAAAGACCAATAGGCTCGAAGAGCGCAAGTAACAACAGCGGCTTCAGTCTACGCTCAGGCGACAGGGAGTCGGGGCCGTTTTTCTTCTTGAGGTGCTCGTCTCTCCAGAATATTGGCCAGTACAGGAAGTACGTAAAGAAGTAACTCGCGTTAATCGGAATGAATGCCCAAGCGACCGCCAGTGTACCGAAGCCAAAGTTGTCCGGAAAAGTGATGGCGAAGGCTTCAAGAAATGTGAAGATGAGGGCATCCGAGAAACCTGATAGGAGCGATAAGAATAGCACTATTGGTTCGCGAACGAACATCTCGAACGGTCGCAGCCAGATCTTGCCAGCTTCCTTAAGCGAGATCCGTGGTGACTTAAGTTCGTTGGGGCCATAGATGTTGGGGTCCTCGCCAGTTTTGCGGCGGCGCTTAGCTTCGCGGTCTATCAAGATGGTGGAGCGTGACTCCGGCATGAAGAAGTGAACAGCTTGTACTGCAACTCCAAATATGAGCTGAATCCAGAAATTCCACTTCCATGTGAGGACTATCTTTTGATTAGCTCAGAAATATTGTCAGAGAGGAAGAAGACTGACATCGCTCGATTGGGCCGCCAATAACGCCGCCAATACTGGTTCCGATGGTCGAGCTCAGCACGATGAAGCACAGTGGCCAATGTTGCTCTTCCGGCTCGTAAAGATCTGCAATAAGACCAAGCGTGACACTACCTCCGGCAGTAGAAAGACCACCCTGAACCCGTCAGCCAAGAACTTGATGCAAGTCACAGCTCGAACATACTAGAGCTCTGCAGACCACAATTGTGCCAAAATTAGGGGCAACCGAATTTGGGATCTGCCAAATGTTGATGAAGAACAGACTTAACTGCAATATAGGCCATCTGCCAAACTCCTCACTCCATGGAGCCCAGAGCTCGCACCCAAAACTATAGAAGACGAGATATATCATCTGTCCTACCCGGGCAGCTTGCTTACTGACACCAAAGTGTTCAGAGATCGGATTGACTGCGCTTGGAAAAACCGACGTGTTGAAGTTCATGGAGATTTGGATGCCCGCGATCGAAGCGAGATACATGCACTTCTTCCAAGTAGGCCAGGAATAAGCCAGCTTGTCCCAGCAATCTTTCTCATGAAGCTCGCGCTTACCGTCTGGACGTGGTACTCGAGACGGTCTGTGGTATGATGCATCGAACCAGGATTTGCTCCTTCCCTCTTTCTGAGGCTGCATGTCAACATGCTCACTTTCATCGCTTTCTTCACGTCCTGCATCCCTCAGTCGCATCAAGTTGCCCTGGGCTTCAGGGGATTGCGCTGGCTTCTCCTCCATGGCGTCAGTGATTGTGGGGATCAAAAAGTTGGGGGAGAATGTCTGGAACGTTGGGGTGAACACATCAGCGACTCTTAAGGTCATCAAAACTTAAGCAGGGTAAATGACGTTCCACGGAGCTCAGCGTGAGAGATCCACTGTCTATGGATTTTTGAACGCGCACCGTCCACTCTGCGGTGGACACTACTGTGACCTCCAGACGCACTTTGCAGCAGGTCCACCTTTGTGAATGAGCATCGTGTTGTTGTTCAATGGACGACTGTTGCGAGAAGACTTGGACCCAATTATATGACGATTAGCTCCCGTGGCGGCAACGAAAACTTCGTAAAACCCACTAAATATGCGCCGACTAATATCTTGTTCGCGATAAGAGTGGGATCGCGTCCCCAAAAGACTCGTAGGAATTGTTAAACATGTGGGTCGTGCTCTCGATATCATGCGGCTCTGCTGATGTCCCCACCCATCCAGGAAGCATGCCGAGACGCTAGATGAGAAAGACGGATACGTCGCGATCCTTAGTCGCACAGAATTGCGGACCCAAGAGATGAACATCGACGATGCGATGCATCGTATAAGTCCAGGCGTGGTGTTGCTGCGATGTCATAAGTAGTAGACAGAGCGCGTACAGTTCGACTTCGCCGCCCCTGCCTTTATCGTATCAACTGGCGGAAAACATCCCAAATCTTATATTATGTAGCCAGGACGTCGTTGAATTCGATGGTAATAGCTGGATTGTAAGACAATATGGTAATAAACATCGCCACTTTACCTGCCCCCCTCGGCATCGCGCATATGTATGTGCAGCGGTTGAGGCGGCTACATGCTTCCTCGTTGCCCCAAACAGGAGCAGAAGATGTTTCAGTCTGTACTTTCCGTTATTTGATCGACGCGAACTGATATGGTACTATGTTCGAGTATTGAACGATCGTGTTGCTGTAAATGTATGAGTGCTGTCAAGATACACACAAATGATGAGTCCTCGCTTCCAGGCGCGGTACCACGTACCCCGCGATCGTAACAACAACGTCATCGACTATAATCATTATTCTCATAGAAAAAGACCGCTGGCAGTCCTGTGCAAGGCCTTTTGACCATTCTTCCTCTACAATTTCAATACGACGAGCTCGTTTCTCCTTTAGCGCTTACCGGAAGGCGATCTACTACAAATCATACAAGATGAGCAACCAAGAAGCACCCATCACAGCCTACCCTGCGACCTCAATAAAACCCCAAAATCAAGAGGGCGGTCCTGGGCTAGACAAAAACACTGACCCATATGCCGACTGGTCGCGTCTTGAATTCTGGGACGACAATGGCAAGCCGTACTTGAAAGAGTATGAGGGTCGCGGTCTTTTGGAGGGCAAGGCTGCACTGATCACTGGCGGAGACTCAGGCATTGGAAGATCTGTTGCGATATTGTTTGCACGAGAGGGCGCCGATGTCAGTATCGTCTACCTACCAGAAGAGGAAGAGGACGCACAGTACGTGAAGAAGAAGATCGAGGAGGCGGGTAGGAAGGCGAACCTGATGCAGCTGAACCTGCGAGAAAGAGAAAACTGCGAGAAGGCAATTGAAGGACACATCAAGGCTTTCGGGAAGCTGAACGTCCTTGTCAACAATGGTACGCGTTCGACACTCTCCTATTGAGCATCTTTGAGGCTCCATAACTAACGTGACTTTCGCGGCAGCTGCGATGCAGGAGATGTCGAATGACCTTACCGACATCGATCTCGATGTCACAGAGAAGACGTTCCAGACCAACATCATTTCTATGTTCGCGATGACCAAATATGCCCTGAAGCACATGAAGCGTGGAGATTGTATCGTCAACAGCAGCTCCGTTGCCGCGTACATGAGCAACCCTCAATTACTCGATTACGCATCTACGAAGGGCGCGATCGCAACGTTTACTCGCGGTCTTGCGCAGCAGCAAGCAAAGAATGGCATCCGTGTCAACGCTGTCGCTCCTGGTATCATGTGAGTTCACTTACATTATCCTACTTTCTGTCCACTGTGCAATGTAATCTATGCTGCATGTCAATTTTTGGTACTGACTGTCATCTAGCTGGACTCCTTTGCAACCCGCAACCAAAGGCAACCCCGACGATGCCATGGAGGCGCTTGGTGTAGGAGCGTGCCCGCTCAACCGACCAGGTATGCCAATTGAGATGGCCACTTTATATGTCACTCTAGCTTCCCCACTTGGTTCATACTGCACCGGTGAAGTCCTTCACGGGTCTGGCGGTATTGAGATGCAAGGTTAGATAGCTATGGTGTAGATTCACGACGAACGATGACATGTAATATACGCATTCGAGAACCAGATATGAGCATGTAATTGAGAGTATATTAATGGCTTGGTTTTCATCTTACTGTCACTAGCTATGCTCGAATACCTCTGTTGTAGTCTGTCACTTGTCGCTAGCGCCAGATGTCCAATCCTCGCGGCACATCTAGAGGAATGTTCAAAATATCTGTCGCATACAGACGTTGTTCAATCCCAGGTACGTCTTGACTGCACAGAAGATCATATCTCAATCACTCACCCTGACCTCCGTCTTCCACCATTATCTCCGATAGGCATACCGAGAAGATAAACCCCGGACCCACAAAGCCAACTTTTTCAATCCGTTTTCTCGTGGCGTCGTCTGTAGCGCACGTTTGCAGGGAGGACAGTTCACGTCGAGACGTTCCGAGGAATATTCGACACAAGGGCGATGCTCGAGAGGGTGCCGACGCTCGAATGCCTGCATCTTGGATTTTGTGCGCACACCAATTTGGTACATGAATTTCTTGCAGTTGACATGTATGGAGTCGCCTGTGCAGTCGCATTTGTAGACCGGAACTTGATGGAATTTGCACATGGTGAGAACAGCCGCGGTGGGTTGGGCGTTTCCGAGTTGTGAGTATTCGCGGGACCGGGGTATATCGATGAGGTTGGTGTTTGTGCTGTGGAGAAAGTACAGGAAATTCTCCAGCCCTTATATAGAGTGGCCGGTGAACGAGGGCAAACCCAATCTGACTCGTACTTCGCAGCTTCTCAACATCTTGCTTTGAGTCACTGTCATACCACGCATAGTAGGTCGAGTCACGATATCTTGAAAATCAACAACGGAAACATAAACAATTTGACTCCGCGCTGTTCACTGTCAATCTGCTGTGCAAGCGTGACTTGACGGGTTGGGGAGCAGGTACAGGGAGTCCTATGTCGTCGTTTGTGGCTGACGAACGATCAGCCTATGATGTTGAAAGCCTATGGATGAGCGCAACAGCGTAAACCTGAGAACACAGGGCCGTTGCTCGATGAGATATATCTTAGTGATTTCTTCTTGGTTGCGTTTATACAATGTGCTTCAACGCAGTCCTCTGTTCAGGCGTTACTCCGGTGCTTAGTGGAGCCATTCCATTACAGACAGGATGGGTGGGCGCTAGACATAGTGTGGCACTCATATGAAACGACCCATATGATTTGAACCTGATGGTAAAGGTTTACTTTGTGTGTCATCATGTGCAATGTGTAGCTGCCATACCATATGAATTCCGTTTGGGTACCCCACTGATCATCTCACAGAAAGATTGGAACTGCCCAGATGGTCAACGGACAAATTAAATGCTCATACTGTCACCCTTAATGCGACCACGACAATTTCTGACGCTATGCAGCCGCAAGCGTACCTAGATTATGAATAATACTCACATATAGTAGTCGTTTTTGGACGGAATTGTGGTGATAGTCGTTCTTCGAGCGGAACAAGTATCACCTTTACAAACTTTCCCTGCGTCTCGGTCCATTCACGACCACCCCAGCGGGCGTAGAGTAACGATATCTGAGAAGCACACATGCCTGAAATTTGCCTAATAGCGTCATACCTCTCCAGGATGGAAATGTCAGGTCAGCAACGCCATGCTAGACAATCTGGAGCCTGATTCTGTACATTGTATGTAACAGCCCTTTACGCCGCCAGCACATCCCTAAAATAAACCATCATAGCACCCTCGTGCACACTTTTGACAAACTTCTTCAACTCCGCGTGCGTCTCGCACCCGTCATCGTAGTACTTCATATCCGCTTCATCCTTAAACCTGTATTCAGTCAGCCCCTTCCCTTCTTCCCTTAACTCGTCCCTCACCACCTCCTGGTCAATCTGTTTTCTGCTCGTGCTCGCTACGCTCTCAATCAAAACTTACTCCGTAACCGCAGCGACCGTGTAACCCTGCCTTCTCTGATCATCATACGTCGGCCCCGCTCTCGCAGATAAAATATACGGCTTTCCGTCTTTCGTCGCGGTGGCGGCGAGAGGACGGTAGTAGGAGAAAAGCTTCTCTTGATCTGTGGAGGAGGGTATCTTGAAGAGAACGACGCGGGTTATGGGTGTTGATGCTGACGACATGGCTGTTGGCAGATGTGTGGTTGCTTCGTAGCAGCTGGCTTGGCTTGGGATATATGGTGGGAGGGAAGGCGATAAAAGAGCGTTGGTTCAAGGTATTTGATGTCGGACTCTGTTGCGGAATGGTTCCGCGCTCAATACCTCACGCTACCACATAGCTGCATCTGTCGCCTTACTGCACCTTAACATCATCTTGTCAGTTATTTACGTTGACTGAGCAGCACCATGACACAAGACTTCATCTGGTTGACCTGACTCATGCATTCGAACAATCCTTCCCAGAATGTAGCAAAACCCGCAATTTGCGCGCCATAATGACTCGAGTCAGTTTTCTTATCGAGAAGCGGAGATGACTTGCAGTAGCGCTGGAGTTAAAGTGCGGGATGGATACTAAAGTACCATAGGTACACCGCGATCGCACCATCGGTTTTCGGAAGATCCCTTTTATGCCAGGACTGTTTTTCTATCGTATCGCTGGGAGCCGACTATATCTGCTTCCGGAATAATATAATTCCTCTCTCAGTAGGCATGTTGCGTCGAAAAGGTACGAGCGAAAGTGTAGACAGCAACTAAAGGGTTCCCCTGTCGCGCCCCGCACGCCACCCACGTCGTGTGGTGTCCGTCAACACGTTCCTGGCTAGAGCTACATGTCCATCACAGTTTTAAGCCGCGCCAACGGCCATCTCCGCGAACAGGAAGCCAACATGGTTGTGGAACTGGCTTGCCAAGATGAAAGTGCTCCGATGAGTGCCCGACAATAAGAAGTCTCACGATCCCAGAAATTGCGCTGCAGCTTTTCCAGTTCCCTCGCTCTTCACCAAGATGGCGCCTCCCTCCAGGAAGACCGCATTGACAGCCGCCCTCGCCCTCGCCCTCCTCATACCATCCACAAGCGCTAGCTACGCGTTCTACGTCGGCCGCGACCTCACAGCCCTCAATGCCACGCTCGTAGGCGGCACCGGCGAAGAAGTCTCCTCGCACTGGCTCCAGATCTTCCCCGCCGCGAACCACACATCCAATGCGACCATCACCGTCGGCGTGACCGAGGACGCCGTCCTGCCAGGAAAATTAATTCAGATACCGCAAGTCAATCACACCTTCCGGTATATGTCTATGGAATATTCGGATTTTGAAGGCTTCCCTGCGCCGTTGACAAATGGCGGTGTTAATGAGAAGGGCGTCGCGGTAAGAGATGTGTGGGCGAATAGTAGGCAGGAACTTTACGACATGACGCCGAATCCGCAGACTGGTCTGCAGTACTCCGATCTTGCACGCGTAGTCCTGGAACGCGCAAGCACGGCGCGGGAAGGCGTCGAGATCATTGGAGATTTGATTGCAAAATACGGGTATGCTGACTACGGAGGGAACTCGCACTTGATCGCCGATGCGAACGAAGGCTGGGTCGTGTGGGAGCATTCGGGTGGAGTAGGACTGTGGGCTGCGGAAAGGCTGGGAACGGATGTCGTAAGGGTGCTGTATCCTGGATACATTGAAGATTTTCCCCGTCGATTTCGAGAACAGCACGGATTATATGGGTTCCAGCAACATTGTCAGCTTTGCGGTCGAGCAAGGCTGGTGGAACCCAAACGGAAGCGAGCCATTTAACATTTTTAATGCGTACGGGTACCAGGTTGAGGGCGAGAATCTCACTGCCCGTGACGGCGGAAACAAGTACATGAGCCAGGCAGCCTTGGAAGAAGCGACGCTTGACATGGTGCCCGTCACCGAAGCCGACATGCGTGAGCGTGTGAGGGACTATCGCATCTCTGACGATGAGGCTGGGTATGGACAAGTTGTGAGCTTGTTCCAGAACATGGACCCGGACACTATCCGTATCTGGAACGCGCCCACGGGATCTGTGGCAGCGCCTTTCATTCCCTGGTGGTTGGGTGTAGAGTCAGTTCCGCCAGAGTTCGGTGAACACCGATACCTAACAACAGGCGCGTCGTCCTCGTTCCTTAACCCGGACTTCCAGCTGCAGGAAGCCTCACAGTTTGCCGGCCTCATGTTCAAGCGCGTTTTGTATTACATGTGCTCAAACCCCAATCAATTGTAAGTATCACCGAGAGCTGCAGTTTCCAATAGCAACTGACCATCCCAGCCATCCCCTCGTCACGCAAATGTACACTGCCTTCGAAAACCAATCCGTAAGCGACTTGGGATGGGTAGAGAAGAGCGCGCAGACTTTGATCAGCAATGGCGAGAGGGATGCTGCAAAGAGTCTGCTGCAGTTCTACTCCCACACCAGAGCAAATAAGGCTCTTGATCTTGGCAGAACACTCACGGACGCGCTCGATGGATACATCAAGTTAACCGGACAGTGGAGAGGTCCGGTGGGCTCTGAAATCAACGATGCAGGCGAGGGTGCAGAGACTGTAAATTGCCTCGTAGGGTTCGATCCGGATCAGCCTGCTTGGAAGCAGCCCCCAAACCCGACAAAAAGGCGGAGGCGTACAGTCGCTAGAGGTATTTCCCCTTGATGAAATAACAATGATCCCTAAATAGAGAAATAGACGCCAAAATCGCCCAAGAGATCTTCTTGAACCTGCTGGCCAAAAGCTACGATTGGTGACGACATGCGATCAGCCATTTCAATCATTGCTTCTTGGCCTACAGCCTCACCGCATTCCAGTACTACGTTTACGCATCGGCCTGTGAAAATTCGCGGTGGGTCCTCCAACGAGGCGCTGATATACTGCCGTTGCTATTGCTTCATTTGACCTTTGGTCAAGACGTAGTCTCTTCGTTCGAGCTTCCCGGATCACTTCCACCCCATACGGTCAATTCAAAATGATGATCAGGTGGAAAGACGGAAGCAGCAGTAGATGATGTCAATTTTTGTGTTGTCGACAACTGATGGAGGTACGCTTCAGCTCCTCCCAACCAGCACGGATTGAAGGAGGTGCTTCACTCGGAGGTTGCTCTCTATGTCGCATCATGACCTGACTCGGATTCTTATCTGCATGCATTCGGGTAGGCTTCCGTAGTTCCTCTGTCAAGGTGGACCGAAAGAGCCGCTCGTAAACTTTAGAAGAGAAAATTTGCCGATCGAATGAGAAGGTATTCGATATCTTGGACAAGTTATCTGTCCACTTGCTAATATAGGACGTCGTATCGCGATGCACAATCAAGGAAGCAGTATCCGGTTTCGCTCGCTGTAAGATCTTACGGTTTTTCGACTTTTGTAGTAAGTGCTTTTGTTCAGAGATAGGCTTGCTTCGGATTGTTAGCTAGAGCGCTAGCGGTGAGATGCCCATTCACCAATTGCACGCGATCATGAGGAGGCTCAAGGCGTTCGTTTGCCGCTCCAGGAGCTTGTGCAATTCGTCGACTCCGCCCGAACCCAACGTTATCCTGAACTTGGCAGCGAAATCCAACGGCTTGTAGGAGGTTGCTGAATTCGATCGAATGCCTCATCCATTCTATCGACAACCATCTTGCAGCACATGATCGAAACGTCAAGGTCCATAGTGAGCTGGTAATGAGCATCTTCAGCCTCAGCGTCCATCCACGCTCGTATCTTGCTGAGGGCGGCGCGGAGAGCGACGAGCTGTGAAGCCCGAGCTTCGTGTGGTTCTATGAGAGGCCCTGACTAGGTGAAATATACCCTAATATTGATTGGGGTGCTGCCGGACGTGCTGTAGCGTCTTGAGGAAGTAGTAAGATTTCGTGAAACGTAGACGCTAGATTGTTTGCAGGTCAAGAGCGGCGTGCGCAGCGTGTGCAGGACAGTCATTGTATGTTTACGTGTCGAAGAAAAGGGCTGAATGGCGCTGGCGTGCGAACCTTTGCTGCTCGAGTTCAGCAGGGGCCCAGCCAGACGTACCTGCGGCAACTCGCACCACCCAATCTCCACGCTCTCTACGCTCTAGTCGAATGTCACCGTGTACCTTGATTACTTGTGACTTATATTCAAACGAGTACGCTATCAACACTCCTCCAGTCGTCATACAACATCACTCTACTCTTACGCCCGAAGCGCTCTATGACCTCCACCTCTTCCAAAACCTCCACCCAATCTTTTCATCCTGCTCTCCCACCTTCCTAAACCTTGACCTCTCTTTCCCCCTTTTCCTCCCCACCCACGCAAACCAAATGACCAATCCCGCAACCATAAACGCCACCACAAGCAGCGTCTGCACGGGCTCCGCAAACACCGCCCTGCTCAACAAAAATAGGCTAACACAGCAGAAAATGATCGGCGTGGTGATCCACGTCTTGTACGGTCTTTCCAAGTCTGGTTCCTTCACTCTCAAAATGATAAGACCCAGGACGGTCAAGAAGTAGAAAGAGTACCCCGCAACGCCGTAAAACGTGACCAGCGTGTCGAAGCTGCCAATGAAGATATACACAGCCGTAAGCAAAGCGTTAAGCGTCATAGCCGCAATAGGCGTAAAAAAGAACCCCGCATCTGCATCCGCAAACCAGTCCACCATCTTCTTTGGTATCCTACTCTTACTGGTCCCGGCATTGATACTATGTAGTCGAATCGCGCGGTGCGATTTTCCGAGGCCAATGGTGCCGAAGATTTCGGGAAAGTAGCCTTCCTTGCCTGCGGCATAAACGAGGCGGCCAGAGGTGAAAGTTGTAGCGTTCAGCGCGCCGAAACAGCTGCCGCTGACGAGAAGAGCGAGGATTAGAGAGCCGATTGGGCCGAAGACTTGGTGGCCGAAGGCGACGGCGATGGTGTTGGAGGACTCGATGAGGGAGGTAGGGAGAACGAGGAAGTAGGCAATGTTGGCGAGGACGTAGCAGAGGATTACGAGTGGGAGAGAAGTGTGGATTACGCGGGGAAGGTCGCGGGTGGGATTTTTGAACTCGGCGGTCACGTAGTTGACCTGCATGCTGTTAGTGATGTACGTGTGTAAGGATAAAAGAGGTTTACGTTGTCCCAGCCGTCGAATGCCCACAACCCGGCGTAGAGGGCTACGGCCCAGTTGCTAACATCCGTGCTGGTTCCTTCGAACCATCCCTGCTTCTTCCAGTCGTCGTTTGCAGGACCATTGTAGGAGAAGCCTGTCGCCGCAACGACAATGCCTATAACCGTGACGCCAATCAAGGCGAAGAACTTCAAGAACATGAACACATCCGCGCTCCTCGTGCCCAGCTTTGTCGAAACACAATTCAACAGGGTGACCAAAACCAATCCTGCGAGCGCAATGCCCTTGTCGATCCACGTGCTAGCTTCAGCTGCCTCGGCTCCTACGATTGCTCTTACGATGTATTCACCGAAGATGATAGCAATGATGGCCGCCGAACCAGGCTTCAGCACAACCACAGCACACCACGTGAATAAAAAGCCTGCCCACTCGCCAAATATATGGGAAAGATAGACCTGCGCCCCGCCGTTCAAGGGTATCGCGCCTCCAAGCTCCGCATAGCTCGCCGCACCTGTCCACGCCAGAACTCCTGCTACCACCCACACGAGCAGCGACGCGCCCGGGCTCCCCGCATTCCTGTTAACTTGGGACGGCGAAGAGAAGATGCCGCTCCCTATTATAAGCCCGATAACGAGCGATAGACCGTTGAGATACGTCAAGCTCTTGTTCTTCTCCAATGAGCCGCCGTTAAGCGCATTGGACGGATCGAGCGCTGGGTTGGAGGGCGCACCAAGGGCCGTGTAGCCTTGCGCTGTGCTAGAGAGCGGGAAGAGGTTGGGCGCGAAATCGAAGGCGGAGGAGACGCTATAGGAACGGTTATGGCGCGGACGGTTGTCGCCGGCCGGATTGAGTTCGGAGAGGGGGTCTTCATCGTCGAAGGACAACCGCTGCGAAGAACGTGCACCGGAACTGGACGACTCGACAGAGGTGCGCTGAGAGGCGTGCGACGACGAGGCCAGAGAGGCCAGTTCGAGCGAGTCGCGCATCGGGAGGGGGAGGTCGGAGTAGCGGTCGGCTGTATTGTGGTATTAGGGTTATCGTACGCGCGAGCTTCGAAGCGCCATGAGCGGCTTTAGAAATTTATACAAGGAGACAGGTATGTAGGCTAGGATATGCCTCGCGGTATGATCTGCCTGCGGGTATGTGTATGTGGATGGTTCGTCGAGTGTTTCAATTCCATGCGGGAGGTTCTCGGAGATGCCGAGAGGGGTTAAGCGCAGTTTTTCGTCAGAGCTTCGGACGACTTCGTGAAGCTTGACGCGACCTCGAAAAAGTTATGCGCCGATCTACTATGTTCTTTGCGCGATATGCCCACCGTTCGAGGTGATGCGAGCTCTCAGTCTGCATCGGATAGGCTGCCAGCGCGCCTGGAGCCTCCCGCGATGCGCGTACCTTTCCACCACGCTGCGACGGCGAGGTGGTGGTGAACTCACTGTCCAGCAGCAGGATGGACTGGACACTCTGACACCGAAATGGGAGCCTTTTTGGAATACGAAGGATTCGGGACTCCCGCAATTGAAGGAGAATGCTGCCGCGAAGGCCTATATTCTGCCCATGTTCCCTTACCCCTCCGGCACGCTGCATTTAGGCCATCTGCGCGTCTACACCATATCAGATGTCCTGGCACGCTTCCAGCAGATGCAAGGTCATGATGTACTGCATCCAATCGGCTGGGACGCTTTTGGTCTGCCTGCTGAGAATGCGGCCATCGAGCGCGGAGTCCACCCTGGAAAATGGACGTTGCAAAACATTGATGCGATGAAGGAACAGATGAAGCTCATGGGCGGCCATTGGTCGTGGGATAGGGTACGCTTATATTGATATATCAACGAATGATTTATACTCACGAATGGTCGCCAGGAGCTCCGCACTTGCGATCCCGCCTTCTACAAACACACCCAGCGCCTCTTCCTCATGCTTTTCGAGCGCGGACTCGCCTACCAAGCCGAATCACTCGTCAACTGGGATCCCGTCGACGAGACCGTACTGGCGAACGAACAAGTGGATGCCAATGGCTATTCGTGGCGGTCTGGTGCCAAGGTGGAGAAGAAGATGCTCAAGCAATGGTTCCTCAAGATCAAGGAGTTCCAGGAACCGCTATTGAAAGACTTGGATTCACTCGCAAAGGATGGAATGTGGCCGGAACGAGTGCTGGCCATGCAGAAGAACTGGATTGGTCGGTCTGAAGGCACTAAGCTGAGCTTCGATATCGAGACGGATAGCGAGAGCCCAATGAAGCTGGAGCCGGTTGAGGTTTACACTACGCGCGCCGATACACTTTTTGGGGTGGAGTACATTGCTCTGTCTCTCAACCACCCAATTGTGCAAATTCTTGCCAAAGAACACGAGGCTCTGCAAAAGTTCCTAGTCCTTGCTAAAGACTTCGCACCGGACTCAAAGGAAGGCTTTCAACTCCCTGGTATCCGTGCTAAGAACCCCATTGCGGACTTGGTCAACGACAACAACATCAGCAAAACTTTGCCCGTCTTTGTGGCTCCTTACGTGCTGGATGACTATGGTTCAGGAGCCGTCATGGGTGTCCCTGGTCACGATGCGCGAGATTTTGCATTCTGGAAGCAGCCCAAGCAGTCTATTTCTGGCCCTGTTGAGTTCGATTCTCCCATAAAGCTCGTCATCCATCCCGAACAACGTTCTTCAACTTCCTCCGAGACCATGGCGGAATCTGCAGGAGATCAGCCTCTACTTAGCAAGGGCTTCCTGGTATCTAGCGATGACGGTTTCAACGGTCTGACCTCTGATCAGGCCATCCAGGTAATCACAGAGCAGCTTCAACAGGGTGGTAAGCTTGCCGAACGGACAGAGAATTGGCGTCTACGCGACTGGTTGATCAGTCGCCAGCGGTACTGGGGTTGTCCAATTCCCATTGTTCATTGTGATAACTGCGGACCGGTTCCTGTACCACCAAGCGATCTACCAGTAGAACTACCTGATCTCCCCGCATCTTTCTTCCAGGGTCAAAAAGGCAACCCGCTTGCTGAGGACAGGAACTTCAAGGAATGCAAGTGTCCAAAGTGCGACAGGCCTGCTCAGCGTGAAACTGATACCATGGATACCTTCATGGACTCCTCGTGGTACATGTTCAGATTCTTGGACTCGGAGAACAAGACATCACTCGTGGCTCCTGAGAAAGCGAATGCGGGCATGCCTGTCGATGTCTACATTGGAGGTGTAGAGCATGCTATTCTGCATCTTCTTTACGCTCGTTTTATATCGAAATTCCTAGCGACCACGGACGTTTGGCCCGAAGGCCACAGAGCTCTAGGAGAGCCTTTCAAGCGTCTCATCACTCAAGGTATGGTGCATGGAAAGACGTATTCCGACCCAGCCACTGGGCGATTCCTACGCTCCGATGAGCTCGACTTTACCAAACGTTCCGAACCCACCATCAAAGGGACTGAAGTGGTGCCAAAGGTCAGCTACGAGAAGATGTCGAAGAGCAAATACAATGGTGTTGATCCAGGCGCCACGATTGCCAAGTACGGTGCGGATGTCACACGAGCGCACATGCTCTTCCAAGCACCCGTCAGTGACGTCCTCGAGTGGGATGAACAGAAGATCACCGGCGTGCAGCGCTGGCTCTCGAGGGTTCTTAAACTGTCTCACGCCAAATGGTATCCCACGACGGAGATCGGCGATTTCAAACCGCCACACGCGCTAGATGTGTCTGTGATGGAGCTTCTAACTCACATGGCAGACTTGGCGATTCTTAAGCCTGTGTCGGGACAAAATATCGCCTCGAAGGAAGAATGCCTTCTTATGGCCCTCGATCCCGCCGAAAAGGCTTTGCTATCTTCCACACAACAGATCATCGCCACTGTTTCGAAAGCCTACTCAGAAACGTACTCTCTAAACACCATCGTCAGCGATCTTATGACACTCACAAACACGATCTGGGACACACCGCACAAATCCATCAACACGCCGTGGTTCAAGTGGTATGCCACAATACACCTCCTTCGCATGTTGGCTCCTATCGCTCCAGGTGTCGCAGAAGAATGCTGGCAACTCCTTATCCCAAAAATGAACCGTAAAGTACGCGGCGACCAGCCTCACCCTCTCCGCGCTTCTACAGAGACCGAACCCGGCCCTTCCATCTTCACATTCGGTTTTCCGAAGGCGGACATGGGGGCGATTCCCAAGCTGAACACGACGACTACGTGCGTTGTACAACTTAACGGCAAGAGAAAATTTCAGATCGAGATGACAAAGATACCTGTCTCAATCAAGGACAAGGACCAGGAAAGCCTTAGGAAATTTGCACTCGAAGAGTTGCTGAAGACGGAGGAAGGAAGCAAGTTCTTTGACAAGCAGAATGGTCCTATTTGGAAAGAGAGCGACACTCAGGAAGCGGATGGGATATACAAGGAGATTCCCCAGGGCTGGAACATGATCGTCGTCAAAAGGTGCCAACTGATAAACTTTGTGCGCCCGAAGGGATACAAGCCTAAGAAAGAAGAGAATGACGCGTCAAACGGAGATGCATCAGGACCAATCCATACATCCCCACAGCAGAACCCAAAAGCGACGGCAGCCGATAAAACAGAGCCTTCGGCTGCCGGAGAAACAAAGGCCTCGAACAAAGAAGACGTCGACGAAAAGCAAACGTACGTATCAACATCAGCCCTCCCCACTAGCGACGAGATCCTGGACGTATTCCCACTCACCTTACCCTCCCCGTCCTCCCACGCGCGACGTAAAGCCACCTCAACCCCTCCTCCTACCAAAAAGCAATCTCATTCACCCGATCCCAACTCCAATTCCCCTATCAAGTCAACCCTCCCCGCCTTGAACGAGTTCGGCTGGCTCATTGCCCAGCGATCCGAGCGCTCAAAGCTGGAGCAAGAACGATTCGCCGCAGACTTCATAAAGTTGTACATGTCTGTGAAACCGGACCAGCGGGGGATAATAAGGCGCTCCTGCAAGAAGAACGGGAGAATATGGATCGACAAAGAGGTGAAAAAGTTCAGGAGGGGTTATTGAGGGGGGATAGGAAGAGCGGGTTGAGCTCTGACAGACTGAGAGGAGAATAGTGAGCAGGGTGTGGGAGGTTGAAAAGCGTAAAGGTGTGGATGTAGGTAGCTGAGCTAGGAGGAGAGTGGAAGAAGGGGTTGCTGTACGATATATGTAAATTGTGTTGAGTACAGGCAGGCACGCGGAGTTTACGATGAAGAGTTCTCTTGAGTTGTATATTATGTATATGTAGGTAGTGTTGTACAAGGATGGGGTGTCTATTTACATTTATATAACTAAGCGGTGTACAGATGCCTCTTCGTGACGCTTGCGCTACACGCCTCTCGCAATGCTGATCTCTTTTCATACTCACACTTCTGTATCATACAAGCTCCACCTCTACCCTCTATATTATACATCCCTCCATCTCCCTCTACCCCACATCATGCGCTCGCCCTCCCCCTCGGCTTCAACTTCAGTCCCCCATCCTCTTTCGGCGGCTCCAACATCCTAGCAATATCCCTCCCATCCTGTGTAATCCCACCGCGCAGCAAATCGAAAATAACCTGCCCATTGACGACCGTTGCGTCCACCACTTCCTCAACATTCCCCGGCCCAACACGGCCATACCATATCCCACTTCCCGCCCACGCATTCCCCTGCATCCCGGGGGGCAAATAAACAATCACGTTCCCAGCGTACTTATGGCCTCCGATGTGGCTGATCAACCCCACTTCGGCGTCAATCCCTCTCTTCACGAACGCCTCGCGGAAGCGCGATTGCAGCATCGGTCCAAGGATCCCGCAGCGCTGGTCGCGGCCGCCGTGGCCACAGATAAGGACGGTGGGTTTAGTTATAGATTCTGGGGTGGGAAGGAGGGAAGCCTGGCTCTCGTCGCGAGTGAGCGCAGCTTTTTGCTCGGGTGTGAGGCCTGCGTGTGCGGGGTGCAGGGTCCGTGCTTTGAGGTACGCGGTTGCGAAAGCGGCGTATGATTCTTTGGTGTTTGGTATCGCGTTTATCCTCTTAAAGCTAGGAAAGAGTAACGCAGTCGTAGTAGTCGGCGTTGGACTAGAGGGCAAAGAGCACAGCGTTGTCAAAACATTCGTAAAAGGCTGACTACCTTGTGAGCATGGCGCATTCGGGGGGAAGGGAAGGGGAACAAACAAACATCAAAGCCCTTTCCTCCTCTTCCTATTTCGCCTTTTAGGGCGCGGACGAAGTCCCCAGACGTGGACTCTTCGTCTTCTATTCGGCTAGTCCAGTCGTCTTTCCCGGTGCAGATAAGGACTTGCTCAGTGTAGGGTGCCATTGTGTGGAGGAGGGGTGTTTTGCGGTCGATGTCAAGCTCCGGAGGTGTGCCTGCGCAAGCGCATGTTGGAGAACAGGTGGTTAGGGCTGTTTGGCGACGTCTTGGGGTTGTAGAGAAGGTCCGTAAGCGGGAGACGCGAGGGAGCAGCTGGTGAGAGCGGCTGAGTGACATCGTGGACGGCAGCGATGGATAATGCGCGTCGTGGGCGGTTTGGGAGTGTGTTGTGAGATGTATTTTGGCTCGGAATGGTTCCGGCTGATGACGCACACGGAGTTGTTCATAGGGCGGTCGGAGATGGCGGCCTTCTCCGAACCATGACATGAACCTTCGAGCAATTACATTTCAGCTCTACAACATCCTGTCCATGAGTACCAGCGTCTACAAGATACACTGACATCATGTCAAACATGAGACAGCCCAGCTATGACAAGAGCCAATCATCTCCTGGCCAAAGAGCGTAAAGTGATGCCCTTTTCCCATCTACCATTGAAGTCCACGTCTACCTCCCCATCACCACGACAATTCAGACAAAAGTCAAACCTACTTCAGCATCCACAAGGCCAATAAGGGTAGAGCACTTCCTTGCTTGTGTCAAAGAGCAATATTGCACCATTGTGTATCTACGATAAGGCAGGGTCAATACTACAGGCTTCAATGTTGATTGCCTTACGCCTGTCGCCCCAGTGCCCTAGCTCCCGCTCATCAAACCTACATTAGTCACTGCATCGCAAACGCAAACTGTCTGTATCAGGGATGCGGGAAGGTTCCTTAAGGAACAACTATCATGCAATGCGATACCAATGGAGCTGTTTCATGCGATCGGAGGTATTGAGCACCTCACGTCCAGCACTTCGAAACACTGAGAACCTTTTGCTTAGTATACGTTTACGCTAAGCCCGTTGTGTAACGACCCTCCTCTAGGCAGTGGATACCACAGATCTCCACCCCGCATCTTGTATCCAGTCCCGTAAGCAGACGGATCAACACTTCCCGGTCCCGATACCTCTGACAAATGCTCGGCATTGAGAACGGCCTTTCACTGGACACACATATCAAAGCTTTGTCACGGCTTGCAGATGAGGCATCTATGCAGGCTTACGTCTATCTCACGCTTTGTGGGCGGCCAATTTGTGCGAGATAGAACGCTCCAGCTGCGACCATTGCCTAAGCGACGAATGAGATGGGGCCAAGATGGACGGGCTGCTGCGAGGCTGAACGTAGGAAGCTCCAGAAACGGCTAGACACGGGCGTATGCTTTGGTGCCACCGTTCTAGATGATGACGGATGGGTAGAGACGTCGTTTTTGCGAGTATTGACTGGCCGCCTTGATGTGGGATGAGGTTTTTGAGACCGGACCCTTGGGTCGTGAACAAGGGAGCTGACCATAGCGACGACTGGACTGTACACTGTGCTCCAATGGAGCCATTGCGCGACTACTTGATGGCCGGATGGCTTGACGCTGTCCATGTAAGCACTCAAAGCTGTTGGATGCTTAAAGGGACCTCGACCGCGCAGCCTCGATAGCTCTTACTATATTCTTCACCAGCTGGCCTTCACTTTTCAATCCCTCTCAACGAGTACCCCATCCTAGCATACCCATTCCACTACATACTTCAATATGAGCAAGACCATTGCTGTTGTCGGTGCCACTGGCGCACAAGGTGGTAGTGTAGCTCGCGCGTTCCTTAAGCTCGATGGCTGGAAAGTTCGCGCCATCACACGCAACACAGGCAGCGATAATGCAAAGAAGCTCGCGTCTGAAGGCGCCGAAGTAGTTTCTGCCAACGCCGATGATGAAGCTTCTCTACTCAAGGCTTTCGAGGTACCATGTCTCTTCCTTCATCGCTCCTTATCTATCTAACCCTTCAAAGGGCATAAACGTCGTCTTTGCGGTCACAAATTTTTGGGAGCATTTGTTCACGGGTAAAAAACCTCTATGAATAAACCTAATTATAGTAGTCTACTACTTACCTACCTTAGGCTCCTCTCCAGACGAATCCGGTGTGAAGGAGGCCGAGCAAGCCAAGAAGCTCGCTCGCGCCGCCTCTCAGACATCCTCCCTTGAGCACTACGTCTGGTCGACGCTTCCCAGCGCAAAGGCCCTAACCAATGGCAAATTCCCTGTACCGCATCTTGACTACAAGGCTGAGGTCGACGACTGGATCCGAAGCGATCTACCGGACCTTCACGCGAAGACCACATACCTCATACTCGGTTTCTACCCTAACAACTTTGCCAACTTCCCCAACGTGAAGCCCTTTGAGATTGTAAGTGCCTTGTCATACCCTTCGCATGATGTTATGACTACGACGCTGATAAGCTTTACAGCCCGGCTCCTGGGGTAAATGGGTCCAAATCCTACCCACGTCCGCCTCAGCCGTCATCCCTGTGTCAGGCGATATCAATATCACACCTGGTCTCTATACTCGCCAGATCGTTGCTAAACCCGAACTCACCAAGGGCAAATACGTCGACATCTCCCCCGAGATCCTCACTTTCGGCGAGATGCTCAAGCAATACGGCGAAGTCACTGGCCGCCAGACGGCCTACATCCAGGTCAGCGCCGAGGACTTTACCAGCGTGTGGGGCGTTGGTGGAAAGGAGATGGCCGACCAGTTTGCGTTTGGTGAACAGTTCAAGGATGGGTGGGGCTCTGCGAGCTCGATTACCAAGGAGGACTTGGGCATCAAAGATGACGAGTGGCCGAGTTTCAAGCAGACTTTGGAGAGTATGAAGGATCAATTGTGAGAGGATCCAAGCTGTGCTCACTGTAATGATTATATGGCATACTCCGATATTACAAATGTGTCATCTCTTCAGCTCTATTGACGTTGGACCGGAAGAGTGCAAAGTAGTCAAGGTTACAGTGCAAGATATTGTTTGCTTGACGACCAAGGTCTGAACATGATTCAGGAGTTCATAGTATCGGGGGAATGGGTGAGATGACTTTCTGATTATTGGTTGTTATGTTAATGGGCCTTGATTGCGTTTCTCTTCTGGCGAACGCTTGTCATGGACAGAAGCCCGCCTTTCACTTTCAAATAATTCAACCCCTTCATGGGCATCTTTCTGCGCTTCAGCAATGAGTATTCTTCACCTGCGGTTCAACCCGGTCTTGTTCGAATCGCAGCACGTGCCTTTATCGTAAGGCGCAAGTCCACTGTGCACGCATACTGTCGTATATAAGACACACTCTCTCAGGTACCACCAGGTCCACGCAACCCCGCCACGCCCGCTCCCAACCCTCAACACCCGCGGCTTTTCGAAACCGAGCTTGACGGAATCCTTCTCACAGACATTCCGAAAGCCCTACGACAATGCTGTCCCTATTCGAAGCCTTCGTCTATGGCACTTTCGTCGTTCTCATATCCGCCACTATCGTCGTGCTCCACATGGGGGTGACCAACGTCGAAGATTCCCTCGATTCCGAGGAGCAGCGCGCATTCTTGCGTATTGACCAACTATTGAAGGAACTCAACGAAGAAGCAAAAAAATACGCCGATACCAAGTTGACCGCCGCCAAGCGCGATGAGATGGAGCGCAAACTCGATGCTTCCATTGAGACCTACAAGGAGGTCGTTCTTGAGATCATGGCCGAGGTGGATAAGACTAGGAAGGAAAAGGACCGAGTGCGCCGGGGTTTGGACTAAGTGGGATGCATGTGCATCGGTTGGGTCCGTAACAGGTAGGCTACCTGGACTTCCTCGGCTTGTTCTCAGATAGACTCGAGCTAACTGTACTATAGGAACCAGTCTTCTTTCTATGGATGGACTTTAGGTTTCCTTCTATGTGGATGGCCAAGAGCAGTGCCTGATGGGCCAAGGGCAGTGCCTGATCATGGACGTCATCAGGGGAATATCTGAGTTTATGTGGGATTATGGACACCACGAGCGATAAAACGGCATGGGCTTTTCGATGATGGGGAAGAAAGGTGGCCACGAATTGTAAGATTCTGCCACATGTCTCAACCCAGCTAGAACAGTATACACGAAAATCTCAACTTTATTATGGGGGATGCTCACGGCCCTTGCGTGACCTTGAACAAATCCGCAATAACGTCCTTCACGCCCGGATTTCTCCAATCCGAAAAGTCACTCTTCAGCACACCCCAACTCTCATCCTTATCCACCACTCCATCCCTGACATAGTAACTCCCCTGGATAGCCCACAACGCCCAATCCCCGTCATTCCCCTTGACGTAATCCACCAAACACGTTAAGTAATCGTAGTCTTCTTGAGTTTCGATACCATGACGCTCAGGCGGGCCTCCAGCTTGGGAGAAGCCGAATTCACTCAGCCAAAGCGGACCGGTGTAGTCTTTACCTTGTTGTAGCAAGAAACCAGAGGTGCCCCCAACGGTGGCGCTCTTCCAGATGCTGCAGGTCTTGAACGATGCGATCCAATTCGGGGAGAACGTGTAGTGGTGCCACTCGTAGACGACTTTATCGCCGAAGGGCGACCGGTCGAGCGGCTTGTTGCGCAGGAAGCTGATGTCTGTGCTAGACAACGTGCCACCCATCACCACCAGTAAATCAGGATTTGTGTCGTGCACGGCGTGTGCGCCTCTTACGATGTATTCATACCAGGCGTCGCGGCCCTGTATGACGGGGACCTCGCGGATCTCATTGCGCAAGCCTATGCCTGCGACGGCGGGGTGGTTTGCGGAGAACTGGGCCATGGCGCGCAGGCCGGATACCCAGTTGGTGGTGTTGAAGAAGCGCGAGTTAGAGTCGACATACACTTGCGCCTCATCCCACCAGCCATTTCCGTCGTCAAGGTTGCAGCACCAGCTTGCTTTGCTGACGTGGTTGTCTAAGATGACTCTCAATCCTGCTTCTCCCAAAGCGTCAACAACGTGCCCGAAGGCTTCGCCCACAGAGATGTTTTCGATCCAGGAGTTCTTCGATTTCACGCGGGACCATAAATCTGCTACTGCGTCGGCAGGGGCACCCGTACGCTCTGCTAGCGTGGAGCACGAGTCGGAGACTTTGAGGCCTTGGTCTAGTGCCATGTCGATGCTGAAGGTAAGGCGCACGCAGTTGAAACCTTGGTCTGCGACCCATTTTGCGAGTGTGTCAACGGATTGATGTTGCAGGCCTTCGGGAAGGTGGGCTTCCATGTGGCCGGCCCAGTTGAGGCAGCGTAATTTGAAGCGCTTGTTATTCGCGTCAAGGATCCATCTTGAAGAGGTGTGAAGAGGTTCGAGTTGTGCGGCTGTGGTCATGGCAAGGAGCAGAGCGCTCCAGAGTATGTTCGGTAGCATCTTGGACACGAATCACAAAGGGACGTCGAAGTGGAACTTGAAAGGGTCTCGTAACGATTGTCGATCATCACGTAGGTATTGAGATTATAAAATGAGCTTGCTTGGCTGGGGCTATTCTCGTGTTCGGACATGGATTAGTGCTTCGGAGTACTACCTACCCTTTGCGGCAAGAGGACCCCTACGGACTTGGCCAATGGTAATAACTTGCGAGCGCAGCATTACGTGCCAGGTACCTGAACGGCGGGGGTTCAATCATGAATAGGCTGTTAAGACTACCTCTACACCCATCATATTCCTAATTCAAGATATGTTGGAAATCAGGTGCCGTCGCGCCAGGTAAGGTGGACGTTAAAAGGTGCTATTGATGCAGCAAGCAAGTTTGAGATGATTTCCGCTCGGCATTCGAGAACTGTAAATACAAGCAATCGAAATGGGGTCTGCATAGCTGCGAAAGATGCGGAGTATGCCTCTCTGTAGGGCAGAGGCCGTATGGACCTGCGGCGGTAATGAGGCCTCTGTACTATGTGGTCATGCTTGGCGGGAACGGAAGGAGCGCCGAGTCAAAGAGACGACAATGCCAAGGCTCGGCGAGATGCGAATGCTCCGGGAAGGTGTGGCGCAGTATGATTCCAAACATAGGTTCCGGGCAGAGTTGTGACCCCAATTGCGCATGTGGGAAGCTGTGCTGCTGACCAGATTGAATGTTTACGTTTATATTCGAGCGTTACTTATCTGTCTATTCGCTGTTCTTCTGTTAGCGGCACCTTCTGCGCCTGAAAAATTGACCAGCGGTGCAAGTAGTTGTACACGGTTGAACGGGTACATTCCAACTCTCGTGCAATGGCTGTTATCTTTCTTCCCGCTCGATAGTACTGTAAAAGGCGTTCCTGCTGCTCTTTGTTGAGAGGTTTGGACCGCGATAGTCTCTTGTTTGTCTCCTGTGCAGACATGCTGTGATCCGCATGAGTTTCCTCGCGACGCTGAGAATCTGTAAGTTGGTTGCCTGACTCAACCAGCGCTTTGGAAATCCTCTTCTGAGCATGATTTGCTAGTTTGGTCTTCGAAGATCCTCCTTCATGGGTGTTTTGAGACCCTGCTGTTGTTCCCGGACCTGTCTTTCCAGCTTCGCCAGCTGATTCGTCCCCGGCACTTTCTCTTACATTTTGATGCTGGAGATTCTCAACGTCTCGCCATACGTTGTGCTTCTCGGCTCTTTGCTGTTCGGTCAACTGCTTGACCCAGTGTGGGCGCAACTGATCCCCTTGCGGAAGTCCCATGGGGTCTAATCGGAAACGAGCATCAAGTGACACATCAGGAGCAGCAACATCCTTATACGTACTTGCTCGTTCGCTCTTCCCAAGCCACGCAGCACCTGTGCCGCGCCAGCAAATGACAGATCGCGCATTGCCTTCACCAAGCACAGGAAATTCCGCAGTCTCCGAAGACGGGTCGTGAGGCTCGTCTGGCTGCTCACGCCAGATCTCAACGCCATCAAAGATACGTAAACCTTTAGCAGCACGTGCGACACGTAACGCTTGGTCGAGGTCCGCAACCTCCAGCAAAACAATCTTGGCCTCTACCTCACTCGCTATATTGAGAATAGGTTGGTAGAATGCATCGCCTTGTTGAGCATCATCGTTGCTAGCTTTGGGCGGAGGCACCAAGGCGAGTTTTGGCTCGAAACCACGCACGGAACGAGTTGTAGTCTTCCAATATCCGGAAGGCGAGATATATGGCGGATTTGAAATGAGGATATCCCATAGATGAGGGAGTTTAGCATAGCGTAGAGCGGTGGATACCGGCAGCCGGCTACGGACCACGTCTGCGAACGGGTTGGCAAGAACGTCTGCACGTATGTAGGCTATGGATCCCTTTTCAGCCCAGCCTCTGTTCCTGCGAACGCGCTTATGGTTGTGGACAGCCAGTTGCAGCGCTTTCTTGGAGATATCGATGCCGAGGGCGCGTAGGTCGATATCGTCGCGTGTGGCGCAGAATTCGTGGTGGAAGAGCAGAGGTATGCAGCCGGTCCCCGTACATAGATCCAGCACGCGCAGCTCACTCGGAAGATTCTGCGCGTCGCGAACCGAACGCACAAGGCACTGAACAGATATCGCCGTATCCTGCCTGTTTGCGCATCAGTCCCACGTTGTCTTCAATACGCATCCAAGCCGAGACTCACCTAGGGATAAGCACACCAGGCCGGCAGCTGATCTCCAGGTCGCCAAAGTACTCTGTACCCAACAGATACTGCAGCGGTCTACCACGAGCTCTCTGCTGCACTAGGTCGCGTAGAAACGCGCTCTTTGAGAAGGGGCCGCCTTTCGCGCTTCGGGCTTGAGCCACATCGTCAACGTGCTCACGAAGCCAACGCAGCTCGTTCTGCGCGGCGCGCAAGTCGCGGCACGGCGGGAGGAGGCGTGGAAGAAGAGGATCTATCGCGTACGCTTTGCGAAGTAAAGATGTAGGAATGCGCGGCATGTCAATCGCGAATACATAACGTGCGGCGCTGGATGGATCGCATGAGCTTCAAGGCAACGCTTGCTGTGAGGTGTTAGGAGCAAGCTTCCACGTTGAGGCGCGACTTACCTAGATCTTGTACCACGTCATGAACCGCTATTCGTTCATGTGCTTTGCAACATTGACAGTGTTATGTTGTTAGCACCTAGGTGCAACGGAAGCTTCGCGTTCCCGCCAGCCCTAACCTGATTTAGAATCCTCGAGTACACTAGTGTATGCATGAAAGACCTCGCCACTCTTGCCATGATATAATCTTCTAGGTTTCTGGTATGTGGGAACGTTGTCTCTATCCAGTGATTGACAAGTTCACGTCTGGATATCAGAGAGATAGTATATCGAAAGCTTCCAATTTCATTGAAATGTTCTGACCTAATGTACATGAGGGAGAACAATGACTACTCCAGTATCAATCTGCCAGAAGCCTCATATCGACTTTGAATGATCAACATCCACGAATGCCACAGTAGGCTGCGCGGAGCTATACTTATTCTAACCCCTGGACAGTGTCCATGACCATCAAAAAACCAACCGGATGAGCTCTGTGTGCTAACGATGCTCATCCCAATCCAACACCCGAGGGTATACCCTAAAGCCAATAACGCCATGTCGATGCCACAAACTCAGTTGTCACCGGCCTTCTTCTCGGCGATAGGCTTGGAGGATCGTGAAGCATACTTCTCGGCCCATACACCCGGCTCCATATCCTTCATGGCCTCGGCCTTCGCTTCGTTTTCGCGGCGGGTCTTGAGGTCGTCCTGACGGATGAAGTTCTCCATATCGCCCCAGCCGTCGAGGACAGGGCGCTCCGACCTAGCGACGGGCACAGGAGGCTGGATGGATTGAACCCGGATGGTGCCACGAGCCTTGGATCGAGGAGTGCGGGACGACTGCTTCTGGCCAGCGGTTCCTTTCTTCTGTTGCCCAGGAGGCGCGAAGGCTGTGGCGGTAGCCTTCAGCTGTACGGATGCGGTAGCAGTGGACTCTGTAACCTTGGTCTCAGCGGCCGGAGCATCAGTGACGGCAGCGGCAGCGGCAGCGGCGGCGTCAGCGGCAATCTTCTTGCGCCTGTGAGGGGAAATGCACTTGGAGCGATCTTTGATCTCAGCGGCTGGAGCATCCGTGGCAGCAGCGGCAGCGGCAGCAGCGATCTTCTTGCGCACGTGTGGGGGAATGAAAGCGGGGCGATCCTTGGTCTCAGCGGCCGGAGCCTCAATGGCGGCAGCGGCAGCGGCTGCGGCTGCGGCTGCGTCAGTGGCGATCTTCTTGCGCCTGTGGGGAGAAATACACGCCGGACGATCCTTGGTCTCGGTCACTTGAGTGGGAGCGGTGGTAGGGATCATGAAGAAAGCCACAATGGCACATCCGACGAAGAAGACAATCATTGCCGTGAGCCCGAAGATACAGCTGGTCATGATGAATGACATGATGAAGCTGATCGCGATAAGGAGTTGATTTGTAGTATGAATGTAGTTGTGGCCAATGTAATCCTGGATGCAGCGAAGGCGGGCGGTGACAAAGGACTCAACAGTGGCGGTCGGTCCTTGGGGGATAAGACCCTTGATGAACGAATTCGCGACCTGGATATTGAAATCGTCCATGGCAATGACGTGTTGTTGTGGATCAAGGTTTGCGTGGATCGCATCGTAGTTGAGGATGTCGCCACCCGAGACGAGCTTGAGGTTGGCAAGCAGACCGAAGACCACAGGATCGAGGAGAGGAAACAGCTTCTCTGTGAAGAAAGACCTGATACGGTTGACTGCAGTTGCGCTGGGGGCCTTCGTGAGGAGGATGTAGCTAGCCAGGGGATGGTTGCGGTTGTCGGTGAACTCCTCAATGAATGGCAGAGTCAATCCGGTCGCGATGGCGTTGTACCCGGCGAGGAATTTGTTCCAATCGTCCTTGTCGTACGGCTTGCCAGCCTTCTTCGCTTCGACAGCTTCACGCCAGATCGGCAGGTCGTCGTTGCGCAGCGCCTCGGCATCGTCGTAGACAGTGTAGCCCTTCTCCTTCAGGAAAGCCACAGCCTCTGCTGACTGTCAACAATCTTCTTTTATGTGAGACGAAGTGTTGGAGATGCGACTTACCTGTAAGGTCGCAACTATGCTTGGCGAGCACGATGCCCTTTTTATACAACATGCCGCGGCTGATGCGCTTGTCGATAAGGCGGTGCGGCTTTGTCACATCGAATGCCTCGCGGAAGTTGAAGGTCGGTGACAGGGGTGACTGCATCTTGAAGATGGAGTTGGGTGGAGTGAATGTAGTAACGTAGAGTGTGTGAGCGGTTGTTAAGGAAGAATGACAATGGTGGTGTGCCAGAGCGGCAAAAGGCTTGATGAGAAGGAAGCTTGCACAATTGCAAGTTGGTGGGAAGTTGGTGTTTAGGAGAGGGTTTTAAGAGAGCGACGGCCGACTTTTATATCGCCTTGTGGGCGCTCAAGTGAACAGGCCGAGGGAAAGTGGACCTCTCGCCGCTGGTCAGTGCATTCACCTCCAGCCTTGCTATTGTGAAGATGTTACAAGTGTCCCAGCCACTCGATCGAGGCTCATAGAAGTATTTGATTGGTTTCCTCTGGCCCTGCAAAGCAGAATAGTGGGTCTTGGCTATGCCACCGAGTGAGTGAATGACGACCACAACGGTAGCACAATAGCAGGCAGCCACGCTCGCCTTGCTCGAACAACAGCTGGACAGTACTATTGTGCGGCCAATCTTAATAGCTGATCTGTGCTGAAAAGCTGAGGCGGTATGTGGCCGGGCGTTGCGACCTGGGAAACGTCGTGAAGGGCCGTTTGGCTGCGGCGTGTGTAGCCAGCTCGAGCGGTGTGACCACAGCTTGGAGGTCTATGTCGCCGTGATGCCTCACCTAGCAGCTGGTCTTGGCACGAATGTGTCTGTCGCGGGTAGTTGCAGAGAGTTGCGTGGGGAGTCAGCGTTTGTATTCTGCGGGCGTGACCGCGGGCTGTCCTCGACCGATGTGTTCCCTGCCGTAGCCGCCTTTTAAGACAGTCGCCGCGCGGAACAGTTACTGGACCGGTGATAACCCTGAATCCTTTGTGCAGATGAAAATTCTTTTCTAAGCAGCTGAACGATGCTGTGAAGTTCTTCGAAGTTGCTCCTTCCTCACCGCAGTCTTGGCAAAGGTCACTGTTGCCGCTCTCATCTTATGCCACTCCTTCAACGTCATCAACTCTCCGTTAACCAGTCTCTTGCATGTGATCCTCGATTTTATCTTCTTTTCTAGTAGCCTTTTCGAGCACTGGGGTTTTTGAAATGGCAGCTTCCGGTCTCCTCCTGCAGCGTCTTTCCCCCCTCGTACGCAAGGCTCCTTCATGATGCTGAAGATCACGGCTCGCTAATTTAAAGCCACGACAACTATTTGAATTGCGACCTGCTGTCGTTTAGCATGATCCTGTCTACCATCAGGATGCTCACGCGTGGAACGTTGTTGTCGTGACGCTTGACGTTGAACGCCGCGGAAGCTGAATCAGGCTAGTCTGACGCTCCGCGTTTCCGCCCCAATGATTCATGGTCAGAGTTCCAAGAGCTCCTAATGATTCTTTTACGTGTATCAACGACGCTGACGAGACTGTTGAACTGCCGGAAACGCCATTTCTTGTCAATGATATTGGTGTCGATAGCTTTCACGACAATGCCAGGCGACAACGAGCCACAAGTCTGTACGTTGCAGACATATTCGTTGGACGCTTAACAGAAGGTTTGATGGGCAGCGTCCTGCGACTGGGGGCAACACGACGTGCGCCGCACGGAACACCCTGCATGTAATCTACCATGCCCATCCGGGCAGACGGCGATGCAGTCAGTCTCGTTCACACAATCAACTCGAACGTATCACCCTTCTTATCTTCCCCACATCCAACCTGGATAGAGTGCCAAGTTGTCTCCGCCTCGACAACTCTTTAGCACATTCCCTTTGTGGGGTCCCCGCAACTGTGTTCCTTTTGGATTCACAGGCGACTTGGCATGGCGTCCGGCAGATGGCTAAATGGATTCTGTATCTTTGGCCTGGGCGCAGATAATCCTGGCTGATCGACGCCTTTAAGAGGACGACAGCGCACGCGCAGCAATGCATCTTCGAGTACCATCAACCCGGCTATCCTACTCTTCGTCAACATGGCAGACGCAAAGAAAGAGACATGGACAACGCATTGGCGACTGTTCCTCGCATGTGGCGTCATGATCTTGAGTCCATTCCAGTATGGGATTGATTTTGGCATGATCGGTGGGCTCCAGGCGATGGTGGGCTTCTTGCAGGTACTTGACTCTTCGCGCACACCGCAACGCGTGCTCATGCTATTCAGATCTACGGATACCGGACGCCTGCATCCCCAACGGGCTGGAACATCGCCACTGAGAGACAGCAATTGATATCGTCGCTCATGACGCTAGGCGCCTTCATCAGCGCTGGTACCGCAGGCCTTGCCGCAAACAAATTTGGTCGAAAAGATTGCCTTTGGGTGGCTTGTATTACGTGCTGCGTCGCCAATATCATCATGATGACTACCACGCACATCGCCGCACTCTACGTTGGTCGCCTCGTCATTGGGTTGGCGAACGGATATTTCATGACCTTTTCGCAACTCTACATCCAAGAGAGCAGCACTGCTAAGTTCCGTGGGCTGTTCTTGACTGGTTTCCAGTTCTTCACTTCTTTCGTATGCATCGCCCACTATGGCGCCATATGGTGGCTAACGTTAGCCAGGGTACATTAATAGGTACGATAGTCGATTGGGCAACTGCGAAACGTCCAGACAAGTCATCCTATCTTATCCCGCTCGGTCTCATCTACGTCGTTCCTTTCTTCCTCTCCATCGGAATGCTGGTAAGTCATCTATACAAGGATAGTATTCATGCATTAGCTGATCAAATGATTTCCTTCAAGTTTATTCCCGAGTCGCCTCGATGGTTAATCCTGCAGGGTAGGTATGAAGAAGGAAAAAAGTCGCTTGACTGGCTGAGGCCGGACGGATTCGATACAGCTGCCGAAGCCGCGGAGATCAGGGCGGCCATCGACAAGGAGAAAGAGATGAGCTCTGGTGTTGGCTGGGTTGATATGGTGAAGAATCCTGTCGATCGCAGGCGGACACTCCTCGCTATCGCTGCGGTCTCTCTGCAGGCTGCATCAGGTGCAATGTTCATCATTGGTGAGCGACACCTAACCAACAAGGAATTACAAGGTCGTTACTAACTCTCGACAGCCTATAAAGCTTACTTCCTTACCATGGCGAAGGTTTCAAACCCATTCGCCATGTCTAATGTACTTAGCTGCATCGGTATCCTAGCCATCATCGCGAACTCCCTCATCATTGTCAAGTTTGGCAACCGTCGCGTTCTCCTCATCACCGGTCTGCTCGTCTGCGGCATCCTTCAAATCATCATTGCAATCGTATACGATAAGAAACCTGGAACAAAGAGCACAGGCACAGTCATCATCGCCCTTTCTTGCCTATACATGTTCAGTTACAATGGCCTCATCGCAACGTACGCTTGGCTAGCAGGCGGCGAGATTCCCACGCAACGCCTCCGCTCGCACACCTTCGGCATGGCCGCAGCTGTTGGGTTCGCTGGTGCCTGGCTCACAACTTTTACTGCGCCCTACTTCATCAACCCTGCTGCGCTCAATTGGGGCCCGCGCTACGGGTACATTTGGTTCCCATCCTGCGTTCTGGCGGCTGCTTGGGTGTTCTTCTTCCTGCCTGAGGTGAAGAACCGTACACTTGAAGAGATCGACGAGATGTTCGAGGCACGCCTACCGGCAAGGAAGTTCAAGACGTACAAGTGTGTGGGTGTACTGAATACGCTGGATGCGGATGCTAGGAAGAGCATTGAGAAAGAACACCGCGTTCAGGTGCTCATGAGCGAGAAGGTGCAGACTGAAACGAGCGTATCGAAGGAATAGGTTCGTTGAGTACGAAGGTTCGCGTCATTATCGAGACATGTAGAAGTCGTTAATGCAATTGGGCCCCGATCTTCGTGCAGCAATTCGACAATTTGTTTCGTTATCTCGTTCATGCGTAGCCTCATAGGGAAGTCGACGGCGGTGCACATGTATGCATGAAGCTGATATATCGGCTCGGGAACAAATTTGTAGTGACATGACGCTCGTTTGGAGGTTTGAAGCTTTCGTAATTTGCATTTTCCTCGGCGCTAATCTCCCCTCCCTCAGCTTGACCTTCCACTTCATCTACCCTCCCGGCCATTTCCCTAAGCTCATTTTCGAGCCTCTCCATCGGTGCAGAAGCTGGTATCGTAGGCGCCACGCCAAAGATGTGTATAGGAAGACATACACGAAGAAGACGAAAGTTTATGATATTGCGTCTTCCAGAGAGTATGCTGAGGCAGAGGGAAGAAGTGCAGTGGCCACCGAACATGCGATGGTTGATGCGGGGAGCAAAGGGCCAACAGAGATTGAAAGGAGCACCATTAGTAAGTTCTACGGGGCCGTCAAGTATAGGAGGGATAGTGTGTAACCGTTAAAAGGTGTGGTTTGGCGAGATTTGACATATTTGAACGGATGGTAGGTCGTTGAAATGCCATTTAACGATGATAAGTGAGTGATAGACAGACCTTTACTCTCCGGGCATGGTGGCAGTACCTTCTAAGATTCAAGACGTACTCGTTGTGTAGTGTCATAGCGTGAGTCATTCAAAAATGGTTGACATGACGCTCGCAGAGAGATTCGGGCACGAATCACATATCACATGTGCAAAGCTCGAGCATACAATGGAGACCAACGCAGTGTGAACTATTGAAAAAAAAAAGAGCCAATATTGTGACGCGATCTTAGGTTAGTATTGATATTGGATATGCTTTGGCTGCCGGGAGCGGCCGCTGCAGGATCGTGGTCGTACATTCACATTCAATTTCACATTCACGTTGATGTTCACAATTGGGCACTAAGATTAGCTTCCAACGGCTCCCAGCTCATGAGTAGGGCTATGCCCGAGCAAAGCTATATACTTCATGGGCTTGACCACAATCTTCATCCTCTGTCTTCCCTCGATATCATATTCCAAAAACCATCGAAAGCGAAACTCGCGATAGCCTCAATTGGTAATAACATCAACGCAAACATCCACATTGCAAAGGATATCAATCGACTAAATACACACATCTTCACCCATAAATCAACATCCACCGCACGTTCGCATAATGTGCAAATACTTTGACGGACCCTGGATCATCTGCAAGAAAGAAGGCCGAACCGGCTGCTCCCCAGCGAAGTATTCCAACGCCAAGAAATGCGATGCCGGAACTTGTGTGAAGACTGAAGCCAACACGGATGACCCTGACATTGCAAAGCGATGTGAACTGCACGAGGCGGCGCATGTGAAATTGATCAAAGAAGCGGCAGCCAAGGCCATAAAGTTTCCGGATCCGGCATAGTGTGAACAGTGGCACGAGGAGTGTGTTTGTGAGGTCGGTAAGGCCTTTCGGTACGTTTCTCCATCCTGGCAATAAGTGTACCCATTGGCATTGGGCGCTGGAAAGATAGGGTCTGAGAATGAAGAGCGTTCCCAACACTATGTACTAAGTACGGCAACGCACGGGTACCGTAATCTCGCCGTTGGGGCACTGTTCATAGTGGAGTCTTTTACACTGGAACTGACCAATATGTGGACAGTGCTACTATTGCGAAATCACGGGCCCTATGCGTCACTGTACTTGATACCTACCGGTGGGAGCGCTGGGTCTGACTCGGTCCGTTTGAAGGTCATGTGTCAATTGCACGGAATTCAGTATCCTTCTTAGTGAATCAATCAAGCCTTAAGAACATGGCCTTACTCCTCCAACCGTTTGCTCATGTCACTCTGCGCTCATTGAACAGCCGCCGTTTACGAGACCCACAGAAAATCAATCTTCAAAGTTCCCATCGCACAGACATATGTGAATAGTCCCTCGAGCGTTCGTTGAGCCATATCTCTGTGATCTGTCATAACGATTACCGACCGCCAAATCTTCAACCAAGAACTCTTGCTCACCGCAAACGCCCCCAGCTATGTGACTCCAGATATGCATTCAATAAGTGACACACTTCCAATGTATATACACCCCCTAAACTTCGAGGAAGCTTCCTCCAACCGTTATACCTACACTTGTCTCGATAAAACAGCAGCGAAATCTACAACAACGGTTCCACCACCCATATACACGGCCACATCGGCTATCATACCATATACACGATCGAACTGCATACACGTCGGCACTAGCTATCACAAAATCCACACCATCAACCCGCATACACGTCGGCACTACCTATCACACTGTCAACATCACCACACTTCGTCGACAACAGACCACCACGAACCAAACCACCATCGATATCGAATTCCAAGACGCCCAAAATGTGCGAATATTGGACCTGCAAATTCAAGCAATGCGGGCATAACAGGCGTTTCGTGCGCTCTCCATGCCAGTCGTCTCGATCAGGAGTTAAGTGTCGCGATAATGGCGCGGTGCTTCCGGGGTTCGATATCTTGGACGGAAAATGCGACGTGTGTAGGGAAGCTGATAAAGCTAAGAAGTAACACGCTGGCACGTGGCTGGACTTGACTGAGTCTGTGCGATATATAAAATCAGCCAGTGAAGTAGCATGCAATACATTTCAAGGGTATATAATCCTTCTCTATCCTTCAACCTGTAACTCTCTCCACACTCCAAATCTTCGTCGCCACATCTCTGCGTTGTATGACCCTCTTCACACCCAAACCCCACCCCTGAGTTCCTTTCTCACCCTGCAGCGCCATCTCAACCTCGCACTCCCTCCTCTCAATACCCATTTCCTTGCCCATCTCCACGATCTTGCCCTTCGGCTTGCCTACCTGCAATAGCGGCGTGTTAAGCGCAATGTTGATGATTTGAGGGCGTGTGACAGGCGTTAGAGGATGCATGCGCGTTTTGGGAGATGTAACAGCGTCGATAGTTGAGGACGCTGCGCGCTGGAGATGCGAGTAGATGATGTAGGCTGGGAGTTTTGCGGGCGGAGTACGAGCGAGCAGGGATGATGGATGTATGTAGACATATTGGCGTGCTGGGTCGTCTTTGTTGGCTCTTTGAGTAGAGGAAGAGAAGAGCGTGAGGTATGGAACGTCTATCGCGGTTTTGGGCTTGCGTGGGAGTTCCGGCGGGATAGGGGCGAGGTCTGCACGCAGTGCAATCTGGTCTATGAAGCCGGCTGCACAGATCTGCGTCAGCAGGTTAATCTGCGAGCTAGAAGGTGCAGGAAGCTTTGCTTGATATGCGGAGATCGCTGTCGGGCGGTGTGCGCGGACGATGGATGTGAGCTGCTGCCTGAGCTGGCCTGCCTCCCGCATGCCCTTCGCATTGAGAAACATGTCTTCGCAGAACGCATCGCCATCAGCTTCATAGGCGTATGCGCATACAGCGTTATTGAGCTTGATACAATCGCTATGCCTAGCATTGAGCGCGAGTTTTGCTTGCGCTTTGTTGTAAGCTTTCCTAAAGCGAGACCGCTCTTCGGCCTCAATGTTGTCCTGCTCGGTGCGAATGTGTGATGGATCTGCAGGCGGGGGCTCGCGCAGACCTAGTTTATTCTCTGGAGTGATGAGTTCAGGAACGGAGAGGGCTGCTACAAGAGCAATAGTCTGTGCGGTTAGGTTCTGTGCAACACCCATGACCAATATCCTTGCAAAACGTGGATTGAGAGGGTACAAGGACAGCTCGTGGCCTAGCTTTGTCACCTTGCCATCGGAAGATACGGCGCCAAGGTATGAAAGAAGATTCTCTGCTTTCTGCAAGATGGTGCGATCCGGTGGGGTTGGAAAGGGGAAGCCGAGAACAGGAGCGCCCATGCTCTTGAGCTGGAGAACAACACCCTCGAGTGGTGTCCTCATGATCTCCGGTTCTGCGTACTCATCAAAGTCGCGCTCGAAGACAGCAGATGAGTAGAGGCGATAGCAGTGACCTGGTCCAGTACGACCGGCACGACCAGCTCTTTGGTTTGCACTTGCTTGGCTGATCCAGCCAATCTCAAAAGTTTGAACGCCAGTCACAATATCGTACTTCTTCTCCTTCGCTCTTCCGCAGTCAAAGACATATCGAATGCCAGGAATGGTCAAACTCGTCTCAGCAACATTGGTTGCTAATACTATAAGGCGAGATCCTTCGGGTGGAGGGTCGAACACTCGCATTTGCTGGTTCGTAGGCAGTTGAGAGTAGAGAGGTAGGACGTGGACCTTCATCTCTTCCTGCTCAACCTCTTCTCCGATATCAAACCCGCCCTTATCTTCAAATTCGTCTTTGTCGTCATCAAGGCCCGTAATAATGGAGTCCTCAGAATCCGACCCGTCGTGGTCTTGATAATCGTCCTTGTCGGCACCTAGCTCAATATCCTCGGTCTCGAGCGTTGTCTGCTCAGGCGAGATCTGTACCTTTCCAGTTGCGACTTCGTTTCCCTGGGTAGGCGTGAAGGTCTGCTTCAAAAGTTTCGCTAGATGTGTTATTTCATTCTGGCCGGTCAAAAACACCAGCATGCCTCCACGCGGGAGCTTGCGGTGTCCTCGGCAGACCTTGCGGTACATTTCTTCAACGTAGTCTCTTTGCGTTTTCCGAGCAAAATGATTTGTAACTTCGTATTGTCGCCCTTCTGCTTTCAATAATGGTGGCGGTCCTTGTCTGAAAAGTCGTGTATTCTCTGTGAAGTCCGATATCCTCAGCGTAGCAGACATGATGATCAGCTTTAGAGGCTTGTTCTTCTCCGGATCTTTCTTCGTCATATCCGCGCGCAGATCGACGATTCTGCTAAGCATACCAATGAGAATATCCGTATTCACGCTTCGCTCATGCGCTTCATCGATGACTATCGCAGAGTACTTGGTAAGGATGAAGTCTTGCGAAATCTCACGTAGCAGCACGCCATCCGTCATGAACTTGACTGCCGTCTTCGCGCTCGTCGAGGTGTCGAAGCGAATTTGGTATGCGACTTTCGCCTTTTCGCTACCCAGCTCATCTCCTACGCGTTTCGACATACTCACAGCAGCAACTCGTCTCGGCTGCGTGACACCGATCATGCCTGGCGTTGGGCCATCTGGCGCGCCATAACCAGCCTCGTACAAGAACTGTGGCACCTGCGTCGTCTTGCCGCTACCCGTGGCACCCCAAACCACGACCACGTCGTTGTTATGTATCGCTTCCATGATCTTCTGTTCCTCTGCCACAACTGGAAGTTGTAGTCGTGCTTCTTGAATTTCGGGTGTCCGCTCTACCGCGACGCTGTACGCTTTGCGCGTGACATCTGTCGCGGTCTTGGTCTCAAGTTCAGGCGGGAGGGGATCCGCCTCTGGTGCTCGAGGGGTGAAGTCTTTCGGTTTGGGCGGTATTGCGTGTGTGAGATTGTTGGTAGGGACGAATCCTATCGCTTCGTTTCGTTGCGCTGTCGCCCAGGCTTTGAATGCGTTCGTGCGCTCTTTTCGCGCCGACTTATCATCCTCGTCCGCGCTTGTGTCACTACTGCTCTCTTCTTCCGAATCGTCTTGAGAGTCTTCGCTTCCTGACGCCGACTCATCCTCCTCTTCGTCAGAGCCTTTGGATCCCACGGATGCTGACTCTTCAGAGCCAGACTCGGACTCCTCCGTGTTGTCACCCTCATCTGAGCTGAAACCTTCCCACGGAACCTCCTCTTCAATGACGACCGGTTTCCCCTTCGCTTTCCTCCTCTTCCTAACTTGTATGACAGGCTTCCCGCTCTCATCAACATCAAGCGGTCGTTTCAGTCCAGTCCCAAATAGGCCACCACTTCCCGCAGACTTCGCCGGAGCGCTCGACGCGGTTTCTGCTGCTGGGGTTTCCGCAGGCACTTCCGCAGGCGCCTCAGGCTTCCCCGCAACCTTTACAGGCCTCGGTCGTTCTTGAACCTCTCTATCCTCATCCTCGGATTCAGTGTCCGAATGAAACTCCTCCGGCCCCTCGTCCCTCCTCTCCCTCTTCTTCGCATGCTTCCCCCCAAGTGCTTTCGAACTTCTCAACCCACCCAAATCCACCCTCTGTTCCGCCAATTTCTTCAACAACACTAAATTCTCCTCCTTCTTCAACTTCGTCTCCACATATTTGTCCAGGCGCTTCTTTTTCTTCCCGGACATTTTACCCTTGCTCTCAGCGACCAGCTCATTTTTCAATGCGGCTTTCTTCTCATTGCGCAGGCGTTGCTCTTCGGGGACGATCTCCGTTGCGTTGGCGTCGGCGGAGGTATCGTTGGAAGTGGACGCATTTTGGCGCGCGAGCACTTTGTGTTTGCGCTCGCGAGGTATGAATTTCGGCATGGTGTAGGGTGTGGGAAGGGAGTTTGACCCTTATTGCAACCGTTGGTGCTGCGCGAAGCTCGAGTTCATAAATTTTGGTGGGGCCTCGAAACCTCCGCCCGCTCACCGCCCGGCAGAATGAGGACAGCTGCTGCGACGCCGACGCCGACTACGATCAGAGCTTCTGCTACCCAGTGGTCTTTGTCGCTGGACAACTGTAATACATGATGGCGACGAAAAGCACGGCAGACGCAGGCTACGAAGTCACGCCCGCACCCTTTCCAGCACCTTCAAAAACCCAAACAAGCACCATCAGCGGCCATCCCACCACAGCAACAACCCTCTACTTCGCCGACAAGATTCTTATAACAATCACCCAAAATGGAAGATTAGCACACTGGGTAAGTTTTCCTTCGCCTCGTTACTCGTATGATCTCTGAATATAGCTGCTCTCTTCCATACTCTAGCACCTACTAATGCCTTCCTGTCACAGGTCCATGTTCCCCTCGACGTCTCCGCCACGGACTCCTCCCTCACATCCCACGACCGCGACCCGGACGATCCCTCCAGCGAACTGCTACCCATGCACCAGCTCACCGCGACCACCATCCTCGGCGGCACCGTGCCCGAATTAGACGTTCTGGGCCAGACGCTTGCAACAAATATAGCGAGCGCGATCAAGACGCGAAACGAGCGCGAGCTGAGGACGGTCGTGCTGGGAACGGGGTTGGACAGAAGTATGAAAGGCAGGGCCGAGTTCAGTGAGCTGGTCGGGCTAGTGCTAGATGTGCTTTGAAGGCCCACAGGTATAGAGAGGTCAGCCATCGAGGAGAATGGAATTTGCGGCAATGTCTTTCCAAGGTTGCTGGGTTATCATGTGATGACGCATGACTTTTGGGGTTCTGAGGATGAGACTGTATTGTTATGATAGCAGGTCACACACTGGATGATTGGAACGCTTTAAGATACCCAACAATGGATGCGGCGAAAGACATGTAGAAAATCAACAAATTCTCGAGGATGTGAAATGTCCAGGTTTCTAAGCTACAATCTTAAGATCCTCGGTCATACCACCCGCGAGCTCAAGCTCATCCATAGCGGCTGTATCCATCCCGAAACACGATTCGCCATTTTATGAACCATCGTCGCCATCAATTCCTGGTTATAACAGAGCGCCAACATGATGCCTCCGCTACTAGGCTTGCCATTATGTCTGAGACCGTACGCAGGAGCACGCTTAGAAGCACTTGCGGTGAACGATCGAGGGACCGCTCTCGTCGTACTCCTGCTTTGAGATCCACATCTGCTGGAAGGTGGAAAGCGAGGCCAAGATGGATCCACCGATCCAGACGGAGTACTTGCGCTCCGGGGGAGCGATGATCTTGACCTTCATGGAAGAAGGTGCAAGGGCGGTGATTTCCTTCTGCATACGGTCGGAGATACCGGGGTACATGGTAGTACCACCAGACTGGGAATTATTAGCGCTGTGTCACCGCGAATACATGCGTCAGACATACCATGACAATGTTGCCGTACAGGTCTTTCCTGACGTCGACATCGCACTTCATGATGGAGTTGAAAGTGGTGACGTGGATACCGCCGCTCTCGAGACCAAGGACAGAAGGCTGGAAGAGAGCTTCAGGAGCACGGAAGCGCTCGTTGCCAATGGTGATGACCTGACCGTCGGGAAGCTCGTAGGACTTCTCCAAGCTGGAGGACTGGCTAGCAGTCTGGATCTCCTGCTCGAAGTCAAGAGCAACGTAGCAGAGCTTCTCCTTGATATCACGGACAATTTCGCGCTCGGCAGTGGTGGAGAAGGTGTAACCGCGCTCAGCAAGAATCTTCATGAGGTAATCGGTCAAGTCACGGCCAGCCATGTCGACACGGGAGATGGCGTGGGGAAGAGCGAAACCTTCGTAGATGGGGACAACGTGAGTGACACCGTCACCGGAGTCGAGCACGATACCAGTGGTACGACCGGAGGCGTACAGGGACAGGACGGCCTGGATAGAGACGTAGAAGGCAGGAGCGTTGAACGTCTCGAATACGATCTGGGTCATCTTCTCACGGTTGGACTTGGGGTTGATGGGAGCCTCGGTGAGCAGGACGGGGTGCTCCTCGGGGGCAACACGCAGCTCGTTGTAGAAGGTGTGGTGCCAAATCTTCTCCATGTCGTCCCAGTTCGTGACAACACCGTGCTCAATGGGGTATCGGAGCGTGAGGATACCACGCTTCGACTGTGCCTCATCACCGACGTATGAGTCCTTCTGGCCCATACCAATCATGATACTGCGCGGTCGTTAGCTGGCGAACCATCTCGCGGTGTGAGTGGATTTCGTACCCATGATGGCGCGGTCGGCCGACAATGGAGGCTGCGGATGCGTTAGCAAATGAGCTGATCAGAGGGTACAGGTGCTCATGGCCTTAATTTGCAGGCTTGAGACGCTGCTACTGAGCCGCGGGGCACTTACGGAAGACTGCTCGGGGCGCATCGTCACCGGCGAAACCGGCCTTGCACATACCCGAACTGGAAACAGTCAGCTCAAGTCGATCCCATCACGTTTGTCCCGCGCTCCCTGCTGTGGTGTTGCTGGCGGTGGTTGTGGGCGCGGGGCCGCCGTAGCTGATAACCCCACAACAGGGATGACGATGGATCAAATTCGGGGGAGCTCACCCATTGTCAATGACGAGAGCCGCGACTACGCAAATCGATGTTAGCAGATGTCATTGAGATGGACGGCGCACAGCTTGAGGTCTGGTCTGCGACAGGAGCTCGCGCTGGTTGGGCTTCCGCTTACCTTCCTCTTCCATGTTGACGGATTAGATAGGGTGTGTGATTTGAAGGTGAGAGAGATGCGATTCGGGGTCGCTGCGGCGATTGAGGGTCAGCGTGAGGTCGCGACAGTAACGACAGTCAAGAGTCGTAAGGGTGGAGGATGGCAGGATACGTACAGGTCGCGGGCAGAGGTGATGAGGTAGGTGTGTTCTGTGCAAAGAGAGGCAAGTGTCGGTGGGTGTGCTAAATAAGCGGGTCTTGCCCTTAGCGGGGGCGGCAGGAGCGACGAGGTTGGTGAAGAAGGGGGCACTGCCACGGCTTCGCGGATTGACAGATTCCAGCCTCAGATTTAGCTTGCAGAAGGACACTGGCATTCACTTTCAAGTGCTCAGCGCGCGGCGCCTTATACACGTGGCTAGGCTACAGCATTTCTATTTCCAGCGTGTTTGTGTATACGCAAGCTCTCCGCCGCAGACGAGGCCCGCCAAGCAGTTATGGCGCTGCCTACGGAGTCTCTGGCCGTGTCTCTCTGTTAGACATACGCCCGCTCCGCCAGTACGACGTGTTCGCCTCAGCGACGTGTCGCCAGCAGAAGATGCAGAGGGACTAGAATTATATGTGACAGCGGGCTGCACGGCGGTAGTGACCCCTGGGCATTCCCGCCAGCACGCCAGCCGCATGAATGCTCACCGCCTCGCCTGGGTCGCCTCGCATCGTCCCCGCCAAAATGTACAAGCTCCAAGGGTCACGTGTAATGCGGGGCACAGCAGCTGGGCACCGAAGCACAGAGCGCGTGGGGTGCCCAATCGAACATGCACAATTAAAAGCACAGCCGATGCTGCGAACGGTATTTCCTTCAGGAGCGTTGTCATTCTTGAATCTGCTGTCGGTCAGCCGTCATGGCTGTCAGACCCAGCTGCCGTCGCCGTGGGTGCACTGCCTGCGGTAGAGACCCGCTCGAATCAGGCAGCCCCGAAACCGCTGGAAAGTTCGCGCGCCAACCCGCGTCATCCACCATGGCGCCAAATCTTTGTGTCCATGCCTAAAGACTTTGTCGCATACACTGCTTCACACCATTCTACCTCGATCACGACTTCCACAAGACACCTATAGGCACAATGAACAATCCCAAGTTTAACGACCTCCTCAAATGGGGCATCGAAAATTCCGAAGCGTCCCGGAACGACCCCAATGCGCCCAAGGACCCAAACACGCAGCTCGACCCGCAGACGCTGCAGGAGATATTGAGCGGCATATCAGCACCTTCGGATGCCGAGATGATGAGACGCAAGATGGAGGTCATCACACAGCCGGACTACACGCTTGAGCAGAAAGTCGATGCTTTCGAGGATTTCGAGATGTTGGTGCAGGGCATCGACAATGCGAACAACCTAGAGAGCTTAAAACTTTGGACCCCACTCATAGAGCAGCTCGAGCATGAGGAGGCCGATCTCAGGAAATATGCGGCATGGTGTGCAGGCACAGCGGTGGAGAACAATGTCAAGGCCCAGGAGCGGGTAAGCCGCCTTGTTTCACAGTGGCGTATACCATACTGACAGTGAACAGTTACTCGTGCTTGGTGCTCTACCTACCCTCGTCAAGCTCGCGACAGAAGACGATAATGAGGCGGTGCGCAAGAAGGCTGTCCGGGCTCTCTCATGCGCAACTCGCAACTACCAGCCAGGCCTAGACGCTGTGGTTGACAGTGTACCCTCTACATTCAAGCCAGAGAAGAAGCTGGATGCAGCAGATATGGCTTCGGTCGACACTCTGATCGATCAGTTGAGGACGGATGCCACGCGCGCTCGTTAACGCGTTCGAGTCCTGCAACGATGTGTTGGCATTTGTACGGCGTTGGCGGGACTGGGAATGGGAAAAGTTTATCATGATACCACGAGGAAGACCTGCATTGGGAATGACATAGGAGCGGAAGCTGATGCTTTGATTTATTGAGGGTGGTGCTGAGTCACAAGAGCAACTAGAAGGTTACATAATGTGATTCTTTGACGAACCGTAAAGAAGGTCATCTTGTTGCCTATCATGGAAGTGAATTTGACTCGGATCAACTGTTGCACGCGAGATCGGGTCCAACAGCGTACCTAGGTAGATGCTGTCGCACGGGACGAGTGTCAGTGCTGATGCCTAGTGATTCTATGAAATCTATCCATGCACGCAGATACAAATGATCGAGAGAGACTTTTTTACGGATTGTTAGGACCGGATCACCAGTTCGCAAAGTATAATTATAGGTTCAATATCTTGATGCCTGAAACTACGCGATCTCGATGCCTGGAACGACAGCTTATGTTCACACGGCCCGTGCACCATTGCATTACACGAACGAGCAAGCGAAGGAATTGCCGGCATTTGTTGGATTGCGCAGATGCCCTTCGGCGATAACGGAAAAGCACAGGGTATCGAACGGTGACCCATGGCCAATTATGAAGTTCTTCCTTCCGTATCTGGGTAGTGGGCCCACTAGCGCGAACTGCGATCTAAAGACTTCGAGTCAAACAATGCGTGCTCCCTCAGTCCTACATAAAGTGCTTCAATGGACGCATGAGCGTTCTCTCTGCACGATCAATCAATTGCCCGTCTTTGTATCTTTATCATCCTCTGCCCAGATTCATGCTAGTGATTCTTTTCGATCACGCAATCTACGTTCAGTTGGTCTTCCCTCGGGTTCAGGTAAGACCACCTCCTACGACTTCGATAGGCCTCTAGACTTCTCCACTATCGAAGCATGTCTCCCTCCTCTTCAAGAAGTCAGCAGGGAGACGATCGCTCATTGAGCAGGGCCAATGACGAGTGGGCGCCCCTGCTCAAAGCTGCTACTTCTGCACCCCTTGCTGAGGCAGGAGAGGCCGAAGTTCTCGCCTACGGAACGCATCATGGAGCTCAATTAGAGGGCGGCGACGAGCTCAAGACCTTGGATTTTTCGCAGATATTCTTGCTGTGCTACACACGTTTGGTCGAACCTGTAGCATTCTTCTCCATCTTCCCATATATCAACTTGATGATTGAGAAGACTGGTGGTGTTGCCAAAGAAGATGTTGGATTCTACTCGGGACTCATTGAGAGCTTGTTTTCGGCAACGCAAATGTGTGTCATGATATTCTGGGGCAGGGTAAGTAATCGAAACAGGCTATGAGATGTGGGCACGAAGCTCACTACCACCGATAGGCCGCCGATCGTTTTGGAAGAAAGCCGGTTCTTGCCTTATCTCTGTACGGAGTCACTATATGCACTGCTCTGTTTGGCCTCAGTCAATCCATATGGCAGATGATACTTTTCCGTTGCTTAGCTGGCGTTTTCGCGGGAACAGTAGTCACTGTCCGTGCCATGCTCACAGAGAATAGCACCAAGGATACACAAGCTCGTGTGTTCAGCTATTTTGCATTTGCGGGTAACCTGGGTATCTTCGTCGGGCCCCTGTTGGGTACAACTTCCCCCAATGCTCCTTGTACATCATTCTCTAACCTTACTCCCTGTAGGTGGTGCGTTGGAGCGACCGGCTGTGAATTTCCCCTCGGTGTTTGGACATGTGCGTTTCTTCAACGATTATCCCTATGCACTACCAGGATTTGCCTGCTCCTTGGTCGGTCTCAGTGCTGCTTTACTTGTCACGTTTTACGTGAAAGAGGTTCGTGTCGCACTGCATCACATCTTCGGGCTTTCGTTAACAATGATTGCAGACATTGCATGTCCATCAAAGCGCAAAGACATCAGCCGAGCCTACTATGACGACATGGGAACTGATCAAGTACCCTGGCGTTGCTAAAGTTATGCTCATCTACAACTACTGCATGCTTCTAGCCTTTGCATTCACTGCCGCTTTCCCCGTCTTCATGTACACTCCCATTAATCTCGGGGGGCTGGGGCTGTCGCCCAAATGGATATCAGTCTTCATGGCAATCGGAGGACTAGCCCAGGCGTTCTGGTTGCTTGTGGTATTCCCACCCCTTCACAAGCGCATCGGCACCGGCGGTCTCCTCAAATTCAATGCCTTCATCTGGCCCATCTTCTTCGCAATAGACCCGATCTGCAATATCCTCCTTCGACACGGACTTAAGGTTCCCTTCTGGATACTATTCCCTTTCAGCAATATTTTCGGCAGCTCCGTTGCGATGGCCTTCAGTAAGTTCTCCTGGTCTCGGTTCGTAATATCTTCTAATGCTTTGATAGCTGGGGTGCAACTCGCTCTCAACGATATCTCTCCTTCGCATGAAAGCTTTGGCACGCTAAACGCACTTGTGCTGGCTCTGCAGTCTGGGATCCGAGCAATCTTTCCTGCCGCATCTACGTCCCTATACGCCATAGGGGTGAAGTATCAGATACTTCTTGGGCAGCTGTTCTGGGTTGTACTTGTCCTGGTGGCCATCGGTTTCAATTTTGTCACGAGGCTCTTGCCGGAGAAGGCTCAAGGTAGGCCGAAGCCGAAGCCGAAGCCGTCGCAACAGGGAGACGACGAAGCTTGATCTTCGTCACGTCCCTGTGAAGCATTCACAGATAGAGCATGCAGCAGAATATACTCATTCATCAATCACAAGCGAAACGGCGACGCTGTTGCGCAGACACCAGGTCCCATTCAGCTAGTCTAAAAGTCGAGATTTATTTATTTAACTTGACCCGACTCGACTCTATCATCGGTATCTACTACCTCCCGACCCCTCACCCATGGCTGAGTCAATTGAGGAGCTCATTGACGAGTTCTTCGACAAGCTCGTCGATGAAGATGAGCTCAAAGTGCCCCAGACTTGCGTCGAGCTGCTCCCAGGCACGGACAGATCCCTTATCCGTGCAATCCTCGGTGGCTATTGGGAGCCTGCACAGAAGCAGCTGATGCAACGTGACTCCACGGAAAAGCTAAAGGTAAATGCAGACGGCCTGAGGAAGTTAATTGAAGCAGGAGACAGCCCGTTCAAGGAGTTCCCCGCCGGCAAGAGAATAACCGCAAAGGCATATCGCATCGATCCCGAAGAAGTTGAAGGTTTGTGTCCTGTTGTCCTCGAGTTTGTTATTGACTCTATCCCTGGTTTCCTCGATAGTCAGGCTGCACTCAAGCCCACAGCCTCACTACCGGCACTGAATACCACAAACCCACTACCGGCACTGGAAGTACCGGCGATCAGCGCTAAGCGATACTCCTACTCGGAGGCCTTGATAAAGGCGCGTAGGAAGCTGTCTCCCATCAGCATAAAATTTGCTCGAGACAGTTCCAGATAGGGAGAACGCTCTGTCACGTTCTCACTCGCAGAGCTGGACGCTCTCCTTCGGAACGACCAGTTTACAGATAGCCGAGGACAGAGAATGCGTAATTTCTTGGAAGACTTTCTCCCGGCGAACGATGGTACGGACGAGAGAGCGGGTACAGCGACATCACCAAAGGTTCACGACAACACGGTTCTTCGCTCGGCGCCCCTAGCACCGTTCGTCTACAAAGATTATTGCGAGAAGGTGCGTTCAATATTAATTGCCCCGGCAGAAAGGCATTCTTACCAAGTTCAAGTTGTCTAACATACTCTCCAGAAGTGGTCAATAGCAATTGAGAGCATCGTCGTCCGCGCGACCATTGACAGGAATTCCAACTCGGGAATGCTTGATGGCTCCGTCCTGGGCAGTGAGGTAAGCTTTGAACGATTTGGATGGAATACCAATGAGAGGCTGGATGTTCAATCAATACTAGCAGCAGTTCGAGCGCAATTGAGCTGACATGATTTTCAGATTGAAGTCCAGGGCGCAGTACCCGTCGAACACCACGACTCCTCTTTGGATGTACCTCCTATGGAAGAGTCGCATGGTCCCAATAAGAGATACCTCCACAGTGATCTCTCGAGCTTGAGAACCATGAACGAGCAAATCACCGTCCACCTACGTATGGCTCTCAATCAGCCAGGAGCTGGAGACCATTGCAACACCGAAGACAGCAAGCGAACGAAGACAGACACGACAGTCATTAGGCCCGCTAAGAACGTATGGGGACTTTGGTCTTGGGTACTGCGTGAACGCTTGAATGAGAAGTATCCTTCCATGGTCAAGGGCGACATCAATGAATGGCTGGGTGCCATCTGGAAGCACGTGACGAGGAGGAAGAGTCTCCCAATCCTGGCTACTGAAGACAAAATGAGGTATATGTCAGAGGAGGCTACTGTATTCCATGACGGGACCATCAAACAAGCCCTCAGCAATAAGTTTGACGTGCTCCTTCTCGAGATTGCCCGACGTTGTTCACTCGGCCAGGTGGCTCGGGACGCCATAAATCACGGAAAATATAAACCAGCAGATCTTGACAAAGCAGACACTGAGATGGAAGCTGAGCAGATCGAGGACGCAAGGCAGGACCGGATAGAAGAGGCTCCACCACGAAGTGCCGATCAGCCCTCCGGCTCCGGCTCTCACGCGCGAGTGTTTCCCGGGCCGCAGCCGTCTCAGCGACACGCACAATTTGCTCGGCAAGGTGACTTGGGATCGCATGCCCTTTCGCCCCGCAAGCGGCATCTCAGCGAGACCTCACAATCACAGAATGGACCTACGCCCAAGGTGCCTCGTCGCTCTATACACTACGGCCCGTCACCAGCGTCTCATGGTGCATGGAGTTCCACTGCTCCAGCGGCAACCGATGCCCCGAGCGCAGCTCAGACTCTCCCCTCCTCTTCACTCCGCACATCTTCCTCTGGCTGGAGGCATGGCCAGCCGTTCGAATTAATCCCTAGCGATGATGATGAGGACAGCGAGTGCGACGATAAGGGCAGTGCCACCTCCACTGGCGCCTAGACTTGCAACGATTGCTCTAGACTAATCCCTTAGATTGTGAGCAATCCCTTTTGCCAACATTCATGCACAAGGCTAACAGTGACAGTGAATAATGGGCACGGTTTTCTCGGCGTTTTGATAGCTAGACTTTGATCTCGTGATGGTAATGATTGCGGATTTTTGACAAACGAACATGCATAGATAGCACCCGAATTGCGATAGAGAATTGAGCTGTCAATATTTTCACGCTCGACGGACATGATGACACAGACAATGTCCATCGACTTCAACGCAGCACCTTACCACCTGTGCTGAAGTTTTCGAGGGCATTTGAGACTTACGCATCACTTTGCAGATGTCGAAGCATATCTGCGCGTACAAGGTAAGTTGAACATGTGATAAATCGTTCTGGTCGTCTAGTTTGATTTGTTTATGCCTTAGCCGACTCTTTGTCGAAGCGCTTACACCAGGTGATTGTTCCGCACACATAAGGGTAGACGCAGCACAAACTGGCACCACCTTGAATATCCCCTGGTTATAAAGCCTGTGATGGCCTCTAATTAGCGGTCCTGTTCTATTCAGGTTGTGTAACTGTCGAATGATCATGGAGTTGCCGCGCAAACGTCTCGACGAGTTCTTCGATAAGTTTTGTGTGTCGCAGAACTTGGTGGGAAATGTTGCCAGAGAAGAGGGTGTGAGTGAAGGGCTTGTTGACTCCGTATTTACACACGTTCGGGACAACGCTCGCGCGCAGTGGTACCATCGGGAGGCGTCGGACTATCTTCCAGTAGACGGTGCCACAGGTTTGAGAGAGCTAGTTGAATGGGCAAGCGAGGCCGTGGGTGATCCCGAGGTAATGTCTTGGGCAGGAAAACATGAGGTGTCAGAAGATACTGTCACACGTGTGCATGAGGCAATCATCAGATTTCTGTACAACGCTATGGCCCCGTTCATGAAAAGTCTCAACGCATCAGGAAACGGTACCACTCAGCGGCAGTATATGGCCCCTGGGCTTCGGTTGTCACAAGCACCTGCTCCAACTCAGCCAACCGGTCAGCCTGATCTGTTGACAAATGCTTCAAATGAAGCTCGGGGTCAGACACAAGTTGAGAGGACGAATGATGCTGTCAACGGGGCGTCGGCCACGCCGCTAGCAACAGGTACAAGCACAACTACCATCAACCGCGGCTCATCGATCCCCCCTACACAAATGGATTCGGGCGCTGTCCTTAGACGCCAAGATGATCTTGCCCCCCCGAGCATCTCCCACCAACATGTCAGATACAAAGTCATCGTATGTCACATGACCGACACCGGAGAGATTGACGACGTGGTATTCAACATACCAGCGGGAATGTACACTCTCCATCTTCCCACACAAAGAGTAAGTCTAAGAACCAAGACATGAGCATGAGCGCCATCTTGACTGCCTCGCCAGACAGTCACTTGCCGCTTATCTTTGATGATACTACAGCACTAACTTGCTTGTTAGTCCCTTCCACCCAACATCTTCCCCAACAACGCGCGCTCCGTGCACTTTAGTCTCGCATCGGCCACCAAAGCGCTAGCGACTGAACCTCAAATTTCTCGAAGTTCACGAGCGTTCCAACATCAGGAAACGGTAGCTAACGAGCGAGCAAGCAATCGTGTCGATGCATACACGGATGATAGTGCTCGTTCAGCCAATACCGGAATGAATCGGGATGGCAAAGCGAAAGGGCCTTCCGATGTGAGGAGCGGCTTTGCTTTATTCTCTTCTGCAATTGGTGAACTCTTCAAAGAAGTCCTTGGTAAAACAGGCATGGAACCACATGCAGACGCAAGGAAGAAGTGGACACCGTTGAGCGATGCTGAGAAGCAGCCATACGAGCAAATCGCGAAGAAATATAAAGAGAGAGTGCGGGAGCTCAAACAGAACGGTGATACGTTTCGAGCAAAGGATTCCACCAGTTTGTACAAGGAACTCGTAGAAGAGGCAAGGCGCTTGAAGCCACCTGCGCCCATATTAGCTGCACTACCAGATGAGTATGTGTGGAGCTCGCCAGATGGTACAGGGACAATAGAAGACGGAGACAATGCCTCGGTGCCAAGGACGGCGGCAACAGCAAATGCCCATGAACAAAACACTGATACAACCACTGCAGATGCGGAGGAAGCGACACCACAAGCCTCGCATGCAACCGCCGAGAATGGACTGGACAACCTCTACTCCCTTGAAGAGGCGAGTAACCCCCCGACACAGGCATCTCGATCTTATCAGCCTGATGGTGCTCAGTCCAGCAAACGCCAGGGATCAGCTTCTTCGGCTTCCGATGTGAGCCAAGTGGACAGGAACATATCACAGCCTGCTTCCAACGACCAACAGAGCCTCTTACCACGATCACAGACAAGTAGTCTCGATACCAACGCTTTACCTTATCACGCTACTTCCCATGGCACTTCCAGTCAAGGCCAACAAGTTACGGCAGCTGCACGTTCCGCTACCAACACCAGCGTGGGCCAAGGGGTGGGTCAGAGACAATCTCCGCGGAAATCGCACAGGAAGAAGAAGAAGCATTAGGTATCTAGATCATGCAGAGAAGGGTCAGAGAAACTCGTGATTGCTTATAATAATCACTCATCTAAGAAGTGAAAAGGAGGCGGAATAAGTTGTGGGCGGAACTTTCGAGGAAGCGTTGAATAATTCTTGCAGTCTTTGTTTATTTGTTGTCAAGTACGTTACAGACTACGAGGTAGCCTTCAGTATTCGTCAAATTTGTCTTGTTATAGTCTCATTAGAGCCATTTCGTTAGACTAGTTTGGAGGGATTCAGAATCAAGCCAGCGTATTAAAGACGGTATTCGTGAAGGCAGCCGCACATAACCTTCGAACAGCTCAGCGGAGAAAGGTTGGCCGTGTCATAAATAGCTGAAATTTGATCCATCATCTTCCTCCACGTTCCTCTTGTATCGTAGTACCATCAAACCTGCTCGAAATGCAAGCTCTCTAAGGTTCACGTCTACAATATCCGTTTTTGTTGGTACACCACACCCTCACAATGCGAACCTTTCGCGGTCTTAATCTTTTGCCATCGAAACGTTTCGAAATCCAATATTATCATCACCCAATTCATTTAAGAATCAATTTCTTCAGTATTTCGCATGCCCACGTATATGCTAGCGGATCAGCATCGTAAATATATGTTATGGAGCTGTCAATGAAGGCAGGACTTACGTACTGATGTTAACAGCTCCATAAATTCAGGGAATGATGGTTCGGTTTCCTACGGATATAGGAGCACAAGCCGAAAAATGACAGTGAAAGCCCCCGTATACAGCAATTAGGCTTCCCCGATAGTCCGAAAAGCGAGTAAGTTTCGAAGCTTTACTCGTTCAAAGAACGTATGTTCTTGTTGGGGGTAGCAACCAACGCACAATCCTCGCCATGGTGAACGGGATCCAGAAGGGGCTATATGGAAGGACTTTGCAAGAGTGGAACGCATGAACCATCAGACAGAAATGCAAGCACCGGAAAACTCCTTCATTGCCAGCGAGGAGCTTGAGATTCTTGCCAGGCTGTCAGCCAATGGAACGGTTGAGCCTGGCCTCAACCAAATTGTTACAGTCATGGAGAGGAAGTGTTTAGGGGAGCACAATACGCAAGCTACTATGGTATGATGTCGCTAACGGTGCACTATATTGTTTAGCAAAATACAACAGAGGCGCTTCGCAACGAGATCGGCCATGGATGGATGTGCTGCAAGTAGCGGTGCCAGGATAGCGAGGGGAGTATTAGAAATTGTCAACGGCCTTCTTTGACGCATGTTCATTAGCACCACACCCATAGCACATGAATACGAAGGGATATATGCTGTGCATCTAGGCAGCGACAAGCTCAAGCGAGAGTACGACATACCAATATTGCGTAATACCATCTTCGCACAGACGAAAGCTTTCCGAGGTCGAAAACACCTTGAGCATGCACATAGCCTTCAAAGGGTTGTATGGCATGTCCCGGGCAGTGCAGAGGCAGCCTCGGCGCAATGCAACGTTGGTAGGCATCAGAAACACACCTACCTATGGTATGGTAGTTGCATGATGATAGTTTGTCCCACGATGAGCATACACCGATTGGTCTACCGGCCGTGCAAAAATCTTCAAATCAATAGTCGAGACAAACTTTACCTACGGTACGAAGTGGACGAAGTGGAAGGTCTAGCTACCCTCGTAGCGCCACCACTACGCCCCGAACATAGCAACCTTGGAGACTCCTTCCACAATCGACAACCTCCTACTTCAACATCCCATCCACTCAGACACCACTTACCAACTAACCAACCACTTCGCGTTTCCTGAACAAGTAACCTCAGCTCCCTCCTCCTATCTACCACCACCATCGTATGTATCGCATACACGAATTACCCTCCCCCTTCCCATCCACCCGCAGCTCTCACACAGCAAAACACATCTTGGCACGCCGGACACCCCGCAGTCCAATGCCTCACCCACGTTCCTCGAGCCTCACTCCCATTCGTCCAAGTTCCGCCAAGCGGAGCGGAATCAAGCTTTCCTTGGCGGCGCACGGGCGGGATTCAAGGAAGGTGGCACTAGTGCGAACTGCAGGCACGCAGGCGGCGCAGAACACGGCGCTGGGTGCACTATCGAAGCAGGTTGGTGGGGGCAGCGGGCGCCGCCGGGGTGGTGGCATTGCATGGACGTACCCGCTTTGTGTGCCTGGATGCAGGAGGTGTCGCGTGAGTGATTTGGTGGGCGTACCGTACCAAGTACGGGACTCAGAGGCTAGGAATATTCTGCTTCGGAAGAGAGATTTTCATTGCCCGTCGGCCCTTTTCCCCTTTGAATGCTTTGCGACATCGAATTTCCTTCCGTGGATGGTGTGCAATGCTGGTGGGTGGGGAGATTCGCGCGGAAGTAGATCGATAAGATGCTTGCGTAGCCTTGTCCGCATGGGGCTATGCTTCCTCCTGCGCGCGACGCATACGAAGCAATGCGAAGCAACGTGTAAGCGATATCGATACGACGTTGCTGCTGCGTGCCGAGCGGGTGCCTAGAGCCGAGCAAGCTTGTGATATCTTAGTCACGCTTGAGTAGACGCTGACTTGTCACGGCTCTTACGATCGAACCGTCATTATGCTATTGATGGATATGCTTGCCATTACCCTTTGCCGTTATGCATTGGTCAGAAAGATGGATATTAGAAAGACATTATTGAAACAATTCTATGCTGCTAGTACATGTGGAAACCATAACATGCCCGAAGCACACCAAGAACACCAACCATACCGGGTATCTCAACTTTTCTCTCGTCGTCATCATCTCGCCTGATTGCGTACTCCATCATCCATCTATGACTTGAAGTGAGGAGCATTGAGCACGATGCCCATGAGCACGCCACCAATGGTGCCAGCAACGGGGATGGTCATGATCCAGGAGAACACGAGCAAGCCCACACGCTGGAAGTTGACAGCCTTGAGAGTGCCGTTGCAGAGACCGACACCAACTGTGGCACCAGTGATACACATAGAAGTCGAGACGGGCAGGGAGTATTGCGAGAAGAGGAGGACAGTGATGGCAGCGCCCATCTCCATGGAAGAACCTCGAGAAGGAGAATGGTAAGTAATCTGCACCGAGTTAGTAACATGTTCTGTTTGGTAGCAGCAAAGAGAACTTACCTTGTTGCCCATGACCTTCATGATGTTGTAGCCATAAGTAATAAGACCGACGGAAATGGTGGCTGAGAGAACGGCGAGCTGCCAGATAGGGACGGGGGCGTTCTTGGTAGAGGCCTCACCATACATCCAGGCATGGTAGATAACAGCCCAAGGGCCGACAGAGTTACCGATGTCGTTGGCACCATGAGCGAACGAGGCGGTGCAGGCAGTGAGAATCTGGACGAAAGAGTAGACGTGCTCGACCTCGTTGGGGTACTTTTCGGCGTTTGCATAGACACGCTCCATACGAGCACCTTCGGGGGTACCGTGGATACCAGACTGAGCGGCGTGGATGTCGTAGTGGAGACCGTAGAGAAGACCAGCGGTGATCATGGCAGGAAGGCGGATGAAGAAAGTCTTCACATTCTTGCGCTCGTATATCTCACCAGCACCCATGGGGTTGTCGTGCAATGTGCGCATCGCCCAGCCCATCGGTCCACGCTTCTGCCTGAGCTTCGCATGGAACCTGGCCTCGCCCTCGGCAACCATTTCCTGGTATGTGAGCTGCTTGGACTCAGCATGAGCAGCGACCTTTTCTGAGTCGATAGGAGTAATGGTGTCCTCAGCTGCGCCCTTCTTCAAGTCCTCATCGCTAAGAGAAGACGAACGGGTGATGGTTGCGGGAAGGTCATCCTCTTGAACGACGGCGTAGTTGGGGACAACAGCCTGTTGATCTTCGGGGGCAGCCGGTCGCTTAAACAGGAGGGGCCCCATGATAGCGTGATACCACCTGACGTTGGGGTCCTTCTTGATGACCTTGGTGTAGACGTAGGGAACGAAGAAGATAGCCGCGAGAAGCGCAACACCGAAACCGGTGCCCATGGTGACGGAGGCGACATACCAAGAAGGTTTCTTGTTAAGACCAAGCTTGGGAGACCCCTTGTAGACGACGGAGAGCGTGCAAATGGTGCCAGCAACGAGGAAGAAGAAAGGAGCAGTGTAAACACCCCACTTGACGGGATCCCGACGCATGTGGACAACTACCTTGATGAGCATGAAAATGCAAGCACCAAAACCAGCAGCGATGGCGGGAGCCATTCCGAGACCAGCGAAAATCGCACCGAGACCCTTGCCCTTGTTCCATCCCCACTGGACGTTGGCAGCTCCAACAGTGGCAACACCGACACCAGCAATGGACGAGATCAGCGAATAGGTCGAAGAAACGTGAGCGGAGTGCCTGGTGCACCACATAACCCAAGTCGAGGCACCAGCGAGCGCACAGGTGAAGGCAAGCATCTGGACAGCGGCGTCGCCCTTGAAAGCAGCTCCAGGAATGATGCCGTTCTTGATAGTCTCGGCAGTACGGGCGCCGACGGTGATGGCTCCTAACATCTCGAAAATGGTTCCAAAAACCATGGCTTGCCGATAGGAGATAGAGCGCGAGGAAACACTGGTGGCCCAGGAGTTGGCGACATCGTTGGCACCGTTGTTGAAGGCATCAAGCAAGGCAAAGAAAGTGCCTATGGCCATGATATAGTTGTAATCGCTGAGGACGGCCATCTTGACGGTTGGCTCTCTGGCTTGTCGATTGGAGAGAGACGAGCGACTGTTGTCTATAGAGTTGCAGGAGCAAGACGAGCAGGGCTCAGTAAGGTGTTTATAGTCGAGGCCTCGTGTGGTGCAACTCCCATATTTGGTACTGACGGCCAATCAGAAACCGAGCATTCAACATGTGCCACATGCAGCAAAACCAGGCCCGTAGCGGGCAATATCTTTTCACGCCTACCAGAGGCATATTCTGGATTCATTGCAGGGCCTCGCGCTCAGTGTAGAGGAAGCTCCGCAAGCCAGCCAAGTTGCCAAGCGCTCCGCCGAGGCGAAGGTGCTTGGCGTGGGAGCGACCCAAGTCACCAATCGCAGTGCTTCCTCGCACAACGTGGTACCCCCAAAAAGGGTGTTTCACCGGAGTCTTCGAATGCAGGCGGCGTTCGCGTCTACGAGGGAACACAGACCACGGAGAAGGCGAACGCGCAGTCTGCAAGCTACGTCTCATTGGATCCGTAGTGCAAATGGAACCTCGACGACCCCGAAAGGAAGGCCGCCAGCGAGCAGCCTTGCAGATTTGAGCCAGGAAGATGGCGCATGGCGATGCTGGATGCGTCCGTTGTCGTTCATCTGTGGAGTCGCCGACGCCGTGCCCTGATATCCAGGTGCCTGGATCGTCCCCCTGGTCCTTACCTAAGCACTTTGCCGCATGCTTGTCCTCGCCCAGGTCTCACCCAAGACTGCTTCGCTTTCTTGATGGGCGGGGCGATTTGTTTGAGGTGCGTCGCTGGGCACGCTTGCATGGCTGGTAGATCCCCGTGGTGCGAGTGTCACCCTCTCGTCGCAACTGCGCCGCAACCATCAGGAATGGCAGTCAGTAGGCGCCAGCACGGATGGCGCACCGCTGCGCCATTTCGAACGTCCACGCCACATTGAGTGTCTCGCAGCTGACAGCACCATCCTCCCACGTGCACGGCCAGTGCCCGGGAACAGCACCCTTCACCATGCGCTGGTGCCGTGCAAGCGAGTGGCAATGTCCGAACGGCCCTTGGGTGGGCGATGCTTTGGAAATTGGAGACATTTCGTACGTGTGGAGGCATGTAGTTGAGTTACGCTTCACGACAAGAACGACAAGAAGCTTGGGTTGGGAGTCCATCGAAGTCCCAAGGATGCACAAGAAGCTGAGCCGGACGCTGTCGCCTTGTCAACTTGGCTGCATCCAGCGTCGTCAGATTAAGCTCGTGAAGCCTGTTCGCACCTGTTCGGCGTACATCTGGCCTCAGATCTGGGTCGAAGTTGAGAAAACGCTCCCCGCATTTGCAACGGTCTCTGATTGCGTATAAGTAGGGCTGAGGCTTCCCGCAATGCTGCTTAGATCTTGACGTCTCCTCCATATTTCTCTGCAAACTTCGTGCTCGTCGTTTGCCTGCCTCCCCTGGGTATTGAAGTGTCAGTCCCACACAGCCCTTGGCTGGTTTCGTATGGGGTGCTGAGCGCACGGCCACTACACATTCACATTAGCAATCGAAGTTTGTAAAACGCGAGCCGCCCTTCGCGAGTCAGGTCATCATTTTTGTTTATTTGAAATTTGACCATGATAGTAAGAAAGTCCAAAGGGTATCAGTCGACGCCGTCCAACGCCATCAATGTTGCAGGCTTTTCTGGATCACTCAGAGTCGTCTCGATAGCGGCGCGCCTCCTTGGCCTTCTGCAGCTGCTCCTCGTCTTCGCGTTCGCGTTGCGCCAGTGACTCTCGAAGGCGTTCTTCTTGTTTCCTCCAGTGGCTTCCCTCTTCATAATCCGCGGAGATACCCAATGCTTTTCTCAGCCTTTCGCTCTCCTCTATCTTGGCCTAAGGACTTGATGAGTACGTGAGTCTCGAATTGCGCCTCCATGGGGCACTCACCTTGGCCAGGTCGTGCACCTGATGCACTTTCAGGTTGCGCGCATCCGGACCCGCGTCCTTGCCTGCCTTGCGCTCTTCCTCGAGCTTCTTGCGCAGCCCGTCACAGCGATCATCTATCTCATCTTCATCGACACTGCATGTGATTAGCACCGAATCATGTGATTTGTAGAAATCACCGGTATGCTCTGCGTACCCTTCGTCTTCGAGCTTGTCCCGTAGCTCCAGCACTTTGACTTCGATCTCGCGCTTGCGGTCATGCTCTAGAATCTCGGGGTCGGGCTGTCGTTGGCGGTGCTTCGCCGAATCCCAATCCTTGGTGTAGGGTGCGGCCTTGTCGCGCGGCCTCACCAGCGACCTGTTCTTCTGCACATATCCCGACGTCCCGCTACCGCGTGGTGTGGACAATCCGACGTTGGAAGACATGTTGATCCAGTTGAGGCAGGCCAAATTTGTGAATTGCAGGTGGCGGATGCGACGATTGGGTTGATGTTCGTTGCGGAGTTGCTCTCGGAGGTGCGGCTTGGCAACCGCGCCTGCCCCGCGAAATCTTTTGGTACCACACCAACGAAGACTCATCGGTCACTGCACACCATGGAGTCATACTCCCAACACACGCTTCATCTGCCTGGTAGTACCTATAGTCTACCACTATCATCGCTGCATCCATTATGAGCACCGAGCAAGCGGATTCTGCGGCATCTGCCGTGGCTGCCCCGCCAAACCAGCCCAGACAGCTACCTTTTCCGCCTGTTACAAAACAGCATATCTTGAATTGCTCATATCACAACTGGCATCCAAAGTGAGCACACATCTACCATGGCGCTGCAAGAGACTAATATTCTAAGATATCGAGTTATCACACCGAAAGCGCGTCTTATACCTCTGCCCAGCGCGTTCCTAGAGTATCTACGAGCGGATGGTATTGTACTTCCACCCGAAGACAACGACAATCCCGAATGGTCCGATGCCGACAGCGGCATATTCTCAGGCGCCGATAATGACGGCGACGACGACGGCCCGAACCAAGACCCATCGACACATTGGAGGGAGACTCATGAGGCCGTAGAAGCTGTGATCGAGGAGCTGGGCGGCAAGGTGGCTCCGAAGCTGAATTGGTCTGCACCCAAAGATGCGACCTGGATTGCAGCAACCAATAACATGGAGTGCCGGACACCAAACGATATCTACCTGCTGCTCAAATCGAGCGACTTTGTCACACACGACCTCGAGCACGCTTTCGACGACACTGCAGATGGCGACGTGGCTATGGAAGGCGATGCGACCATTCCCTACCACTTGGTCCTGCGGAAATGGATCGTCCTCAATCCATCCGTTGAGTTTCGGTGTTTCGTGCGCAACCGGAAGTTGATCGCCATATGCCAGCGAGATTTGAACCACTTCGACTTTCTATTCAAGATGCAGGACAAACTACGACAGACTATCCAAGAGTTCTTCGATGTGAGACTACGCGACACTTTCCCGGATCCCAACTTCACATTCGATGTTTACATACCGCCGCCACACGACCGCGTGTGGCTGGTGGACTTCAACCCGTGGGCTCTGCGGACAGATCCGCTCCTTTTCAGCTGGATGGAGCTGCTGAATTTGGCAGAGCCGCTGCCTTCTGATGCCCAAGACACTTCCCAGAACGATCCGGAAGATGGCGAAGATGGCGAAGAAGACGACGTGATCGACTTGTGGCAGCCTGAGTTCCGCCTGATTCGCAGAGATGACCCTGAAGCATATGGCTTCTCGACCCCGCAGTACAGCGCTCATAAACTGCCCAGAGACGTGGTGGACGCAAGTCGAGGAGGAGAGGGCATGATGCGGGAGTTTGCAGATCAGTGGAAGGAGGCTCAGAGGCTTGCAGAACAGCAGGCAAATGAGGACAGCGAGGATGACTAGCGCTTGCATCTACTCGAATCAACAATAAACTCAATAATCTTCCAAACACGTTGCAGATGGTTGAAGCTTGCACATGTGGAATTCGAAGTGAAGGTGACTAAGCTCGGCTATTAGTTCCGCCGAGCCATCGTGAACCTCCGCGTGTCGACATGGCCCCTCCAAGCTGAATCGCATTCGATTGCGCTTGCAGATATGGCGGCCGAAGCGCCGGATCCACGGACGTTTAAGAGCTGGGAAGATGCTTTCCAGTACCCCATCCCCGTGGTCCGGAAATTGGAGCAGCAGTTGCGCTCCAATGCCGACGAGAATCGCGAGAAGCTCCGCTCGCTCGTAGGGTAAGGCATGCATGGAGAGCTTGTACGACTTTTAGAGAATAGTCGCTAATTCCGGATATAGCACGAGCTACCGTAGCCTCCTCGATACGGCCGAAACGATAATCGACATGGAGGTCCGCATGGAGCAGGTCGAGGGCAAGCTCTCAAGAGTTGGACACAGCTGCAATTCGAGAACGCTGGATCGTATCACGAATAGTGCGGTCGGACTGGACTCATATATTCGACGACGCGGTTAGACTCCCTCGTGGCAGAATGGTGGACGAGGGTTGCTGACAGAGACAGACCAGGAGCGTTACACATTCGCCTCGCAGCTTGCCGTCCTTCGGAGCTCTCCCGTTGTCATGGCACGTCTAATGAAAAACGAAGGATCGTACCTTCTCATTGCCAAGGTCCTTGTCATATCGCGACTTTTACACAAAGCATTGTCACAGTCAGCCAACAAGCCATCCATTGTGGATCAGCTTTGGGAACGCCTGCTGTCAGCACGTCGCAAGTTATTAAAGCGGATAGAGAAGCGTATGGGCAGTGCAGAGGGCGAAAATACAGATCTGGTTGAGAGCATGTGCGCCTATGCTCTGATTACGAGCTCGACGCCTACAGATGTTTTGCATCACTTCCACAAGATTCGATTGGAGAACAGTGTGAAGTTACTCCATCACGGTGATGATGAGCTTGCCAACCATGGCACTAGTGCGTTGAGGTTATGCATACAGACTTGTCTGGATACGCAAACAATATTCCCTCGGCGGCTGGCAGATTCACTTGCAAAGCTGAAGACGCAACCGTTGATCCAAGACCCCGACGTCTGTGCTCTGCTTGAGCTCAATTTGGATATCCATGACCGTTGGATAGGCGAAGAAGCGCGGAATTACACCCCTTGGCCCCGCCATGACGAGCTTCAGCGGGCTGACGCTGAGCGAATACTACACCAATGGTCGCGACAGGCCATGTCCGCCTTTCTTAAGGGAACGAAGGATGCACTGGAGAACGAGACTCGACTTAAAGAAGTTGCAACACTACGGCAGGAACTCATCGAAACATGGATCCTGTCCGGATCGCGCATGGCAGGCGTCAAATCTGCAAATGTGTTGGACGATTTGCGAGACACGATGAACAGTCACTTGGAAAGCATCGTTCGGCTTCGCTCACAGACTCTTCGAAATGTTGTAGTTGAATTGTCGACCGTGCTCGGCTCACCCTCTCTTATGCAGTCGTCTAGCCTGTCTTTATGGGGCGAATACCCTAAATCGGCGGACGTATCGAACGGTGCACAAGCATTCAAATCTACACTTGTCAACATCCATCAAGGTCGCGACAACTCCGTAGTGAGGATTGTCTCCGCATTCGATGCATGGGCGGAGTCCATTCTCGAAGTGAAGAGCATCGTGAAGTCGATGAAGGAAGCACGTTGGGACGACACGTTTGCCGACGACGTCGACGACTCAGATGACGACGACCTAGGCGATTCGAAACAGACGTTGTTGAGCGATGATGATCCGCGACTGCTAGAAGAGGTCACGCAGGAAGCGCTTACCCACACGCTACAGAACCTAGGCAAGAGCTTCGGCCAAATCATCACACAAGTGACAGAAGATGATGGTGAAATCGATGTGCTGAAGATATGCTTCCTACTCAGGGTCATAAGGGAGATCGGGGAGCGTATTCCCAATCTTAAATTGCACGAGAAGGCGTCGCTGCTGGCAACACCGTTCACGCCTGCGTTACTAAAGCCTTTACACCAGGCGCTGGCTTCGTTTGTTGCTCAGCCGACCGCAGATGCATATGCGAAGGCACTCGCTGGCGGGCTGAAATCTAGAACGAAGAGCCATATTCTCTGGGAAGGTAACCCTGCGTTACCGGCTCAACCCTCGCCCAGTGCAGTGAGGTTTTTGCAGAGCTTGACGAAAGCCATGGCAGCATATGGGAACGATTTATGGGCGCCGCTCGCCGTGAAGGAGATTAAGATTAGTGCTCTCGAACATGCTACACCACTTTTCAAAACCAATCTCGAGTTGCTTCGGCAACTAGGCGTAGCTCCTGCCAACAAAGAGAAAAGTGAAAAGATGAATGGAGAGAATCCAAATTCGGTTGAGCATAAAGAGGATACTGAGACGAAGAACGAGGTAAACGACGAGACTGAGATCGATATAGCCGCTGCCAGGGAGCTTCGGGATCGCAAGCTCAAGCAAGCGCTCTTCGATATGCTATACATCCAGCGCTTTATTGGAAGCCCGCACCGCTCTACCGACGCCATCGATGATATAGTCAGCACCATTGCGAGTACTTCTATAGACGAGAACAGCAAAGCCAGACTAAGGAAAAGTGCGGCTGATTATGCAAAGAAGACGTATCTGCTCTTTGCGCTGTTGGCATAGCATATTATATCATAGCATGGCATACTACATCATAGCACAGCATAGATACCCAAACTGCAACAGAAGAATGTCTATCATAACACAGCGTCACTTATTTCAGGATGTATCAGCATTTAGGGATGCGGTAGGCTTAGATAGTTCTGCGGGAACTTATCTGGACCAGGGACTCCACATCGACCAAAGGCTGACCGTCCTCTCTCTGCCAATCTCCCTACTACCGAAAGAAATCTCGCTTACGCTATCACCTACTTCGCTCGTAAGTTCCGTGATGTCGACCTTGGTTTGTGAGGCTCGTAGTTGCGTGTTGCGGAACCGCTTGCGGTATCTTCCCTCACGGGCCAGAAACGACCGCGCAACAATGTGATCAATATCCTCCGAGGTGAGTGTAGGATCGAGAAAGATCTTTCCATCGCTTTCCTTGTATATGTGTCCTAGGAACTCGAGCTCTTCGATTTCCACGAGGTCTTTACTGATGATGAGGGATTCTTTCTCTGTGTCTGGTCGAGCGTGCGAGACGCGATATGCGCCGACTTGTGGCTTATACATGTCTGCACTGAATATCAGTTGGAGTTTTACTATCTGAGGATGTAACGTACCGCTGAAGAACTGGGCGTGCACAGGCTGTGCGCCGAAGAACCAAGTTTGACCGGAGACTAGAGATGTTAGATTTCCTGCGCAGGATAAATCTGCTTTGGGACTTACCCGTAGTCCTTACATATGTAGGCCTCCACCCGGAGCTGCGAAGCGACTTGTAAAGATCCGCTTCCGCCGTCGACGCCGGGGGTTGCCAGAACAGAGTACCCCGCAAGACATTCCCGCCAGTTCCTATCTTCTCACGGCGCCCCGTAGGATCTTGGGCCGAAGGCTCTCGTTCCTCAAACATGGGCGTGAAACCACTCATCGACAAATAGTTGCCAAGCTGATTGTGGCCCATATCATTCCAACCTGCACGTGGTGGGAATATGATAACATTCGAAGCTTCCTCGACAGAGGACGTAGCTTCAGAGAATGCTGTGTATCTTTTGGCGCGAGGCTGTGGCATTGTATGCATATACGGATCTCGGTCGCGCCATTTGTTCTCAAGGAGTTCGCTCTCATTAGTGACCTCAGCGCTCTCGGTGTCCTCCTCTCGAGATGATCCCAACGACGAGTTTCGTTCTGGTCTTTCTAGGTAGTCGAAGACATTCAAGGGGTCTTGAGATGCCTTGGTGGTGTCAGGTATTGTCGTGGAAGGTCTTTTCGGTTGACGTCTGGCGAACTCATCGTTGTACTTCTGGACGTATACCTCGGCACGCATGGTTGCTTCTAGGACCTTTTTCTCTTCGTCTTGCACCTTTTTCTTTTCGGTTTCGATAAGTTCTTGGTAGTATTGCCGACTTTCTTCCCAGGCTTCCTCCAGTGCTTCCTGCTGTTGTTCTTCGCACTCCTCGATCCTGCGATTGAGCTCTGTGTTGGCATATTTTTCAATACGTTCTTTCTCCATGGCCTAATGATGTCGGATAGCCACAAGTCAGTGCACGTCTTACGATACTTCAGACAACCCACTCCCCCGAATAGATAGACAATTACAGCCAGTAGAAGAGTTTGAGTACCGCTGTTGACATAACAGAGGTAATTTTAGATTTTGACCGAATGTCATGACAGGGAGGGGAAACGTCCAACTGCGGACAGAAAACGGAGCTGGAAAATGATGTCACTCACCCACTCTATGTTCTTTTCCCGGTTGAACCTTTCTATAATGCCGTAAAGCCGGTCTACTTCTTCTTTGTACTGAGACGTCCGTGTTTCCGCAGGTTCAGTGGGCAGTTGGGTCTGCTCATTCGATTGTGCTTGCGCGTTAGATCCCTTCTCGAACGCTCGTTTCTCGTCCTCCCATTTCTCTGCGTTGTATCGAGCGCTTTCTTGCATCTCACGTATGATCTTCATAAGCTCTTGTTCCCTCGCCTTGTGTGCCATGGACTCTTTCTCATCCCGCTGCGCCTTCATCAAGCCATCTTCCTTTCTTGCTTCCTCTGCCATTCTCCTTGCTTTCTCATTCTCTATGAACTCGTTCAACTGTTTCCGAATTTCAACCATATCAGGATTGTCTGAAAGATTACCCGGTTCGTAGAAGCTGTTTGGATAGTGGTTAGTATATGGGCCCATGTAAGGTCTAATCGAACCAGTCGTTGTAGGATACGATATATGAGGCAAAAGGCCGCCCGGCAAGAGTTTGCTCGTGCTGTACGAGTTCATCACTATTCCCGTCTGAGGGATCGGGACCTCCGCGACGAGATTGCTGTGCCGATATCGCGCACTTTGGGTGCTATGTCGCGTGGAGACACGTGAATGCATTTCGTCGTCTTTTCTGTTCTTACTAGACTCGCGTGTTGGGGCGCGCTCATCTCGAGACCGGCGATCTGAAGTACGCTCCGGTTCCGGATCGACAAACTCAACTCTGGATGATGTCTGATTTCTACCGCTTTGTGGACGGCGACCATTACTGTCGCTGCCGGAAAGCTTTGACAGTGTCGACTTCTTTGGTGCTGGCTGGTCCGTAGCTTTTCTCATGGTTATTCTAACCTCCTGTCCTCCGAATGTCTGAAGTTCATCCATGCCAGGCCGAAGTATGAATGGTTTGTTCGAGGAAGAATCCGATGCTTTCGGTAAAACAATATCAGGAGATGGGGCTCGACCTGCCAATGGCGCAGCGGCTTTTCCTTTCGTGGTATTATTTAGATCAAGTTCGGAGATTTCTTCCACTGCGATTACCGCATCTTTGGCACTCTGACCCGCTTCCAGTTTGGAGTCGATCCATGGATTGGGTTCATCGTCGCCAAATTGACCCAGTATACTGCTGGTTGCGCCGGGGCTTCGATGCGAGCTGTCCTCAAACTTGGCAGCAGATTCGGTATTGTCTTGTTCTTTTGGGGCCTTTACTGATGGCACCCGAGACTCGCCAAAGACGAAGGCTTTTGAGTTGTCATCGCCGGTTGGACTCAATTCAACCGCAGCTTTGCCTTTCTTCTTCTTCTTTGTCTTGCTGCTAAAATCTCCCCATGCGGCGCCCCACTCGTCTTCAGCGGACCTGCTGTGCTTCTCAGTCTTTTTCCAGGCTGAGCCAGAACCCCAACTCCAGGGATTTTCAGCGGGCTTGCTATTTTCTCCAGTCTTTTTGCTGCTTGGGCCAAGATCGAAGTCCCAGGCATCTGCAGGCTTTTTGTTGGTTCCAATTTTCGAGCTGCTTGAAGGACCAAAGCTCAAATCTATCTGAGGGACTGCCTGGTCGTTATCAGCGGCCTTTCCAGGTTCCCGAGTTTCTTTAAGGCCTTGCGCAGGAACTGTAGACCGGTTTTTTGGCGTCTTTGGCGAGGCAGGAGGCGTTGGTGCCCGCACCGTTGGTTGGGGTTCATCGTCCACTTTCATTGTGTTCGAACTTCCAGATGGCTGCTTAGTCGAGCTGGAGCTCCCTCGATCGTAAGTTCTCCCTCTGCTGTGTGCTGGTGGAGAGCCTCCATCATCAGAAGAGGCCTTCTCGTTCTTCAGATACCATTTGATGACGCGTCGGGCAGTGTCTTGGAGACGCGACCTTCCTCTGTCGCTTGATTCAGCAAGTTGCCGGACCTCCTCAAAGCTCAAGCCTGTCCATCGCTCAAGAAGCTCGTTGATCACCCGGCTTCTCACAGGGCTTAGGTCGAGCTCCCTCTCCAGATCAGGTGGGATAGCCCCAATATCATCCTCTTGTTCACTGTCAGATGCCACCCCGTTGGCGCCGGCCGTGTCTACTGTTTTGACGCGCCCGCCTCTGGCGGTTCGACGGCGCTCATCCGGCTGTGCGCTCAAGACTTTGTTGAAGATCAGTTCGTATATCCACGTTGCAGTGGCTCCAGGGGACTCTGTCCAGTAATGCAGTTGAAGTGCTTCTCTGGGGAAACCTTTCTGTAAACGACGTTCGGCGTTCATGAGTACTTTGATAACTTGTCTATTCGTTTCCACCCAGCTTTCCGCACACTCGCATTCCATTGCCATCGACAAGGCGATTTCGTCTCTCCTTTTCTTCTTTTTGTTCGATCTGATCAATCAGCATATGGTGCATTAGAATTTTCTGAATATCATACGTTTTCTTACTCGCTGCACGAACATCTGCGATTCTGAGTACGGATAGAAACAAGCGTAAAGGCTCCTTGATAGAATGACATTTAGTGATCAGATAGACACTTTCGTTCTGGAAGAGTCTCTTGAGCCATCGAGGGACTTTGTTGGGTACAAAATCGTTTAGCGCATCCTCAAACTCTCGGATGAGTGTATCGAGTCGCCCCAGGATGATGCCAGCGTCGGTCTTCTTCCCTCCTTTGTCTCGCTCCAGTAAGGCGCACGCCTCCAAACATAGCTGGGCGATGTCCGCGAACTCACGCGCGATGTTGCAAATTGCCTGCGGGATGGAAGAATCAGAAGCGGTATCCACGACGAGGCCAGAAGCAATGTCAAAAAGCGTATGCGATAATTGACTGGTTCGTTTGGTAATCTCGGCAACGCCATCGACGGCGGCCTCCGGATCGAGGCGTGTTTTCATACGTGTCTCGCGATCAAGGTGACAGAATGTGACATTCCATGGTGAGAGGAGTGAGTTGGCCACGAGGACACTTCAAAACTATCTTTCAGCTCATGTTCGTGATGATGGACAGAATTCACAGCCTTGTGGGTGGCGGAGCAGGCGAGGCTCTCCCTCTTGCCTTGTCTCACAGATTCCGTCCCGTCAGACGCTACCCTGGGGCCTGCACCATGCAGGTTCGCGCATCCCTGTAGGCGATGCTTGGAGAGATGGTCAAACCCCGCACGGCAGTCAAATCATATCATCGCGCCTGCCACAATCACGTCCGTTTCCCGTTTCCGCCCCACTTCAGCTGAGGCAGCCTTTTATCGCCGAACCGGTGCCCTGTGCTGTTGAAAGCATGGCTAGAAGACACAGCGACACAATGTGTTCGCATTCATCCATACCCAAAGTCCTCGTGCAAGACTGGATCTTGGAAACGAATTTGGCGCAACGTTGCTAGGATAAACAGTGTGACTAAAAAGGGTCACAAGACACCAGGCCAAAGGCTAGGCGGTGCTGTGCCTTGCTTTTATAATTTGCACACTTGTCACAACAGTTCTAGCATCGCAACAGTTCTGATCGACCGAAGATGCGCGTTGCGTGATTTGAACACGAGAGAGCCCGCAATCTCAGAATCCAGTTGTGGTCTGCTTTTCTGTCCAAGCCCTAATGGCAGCCTCAGAAGCTGATGTGCCATGTCCAATCGAGTTAAACTGTAGTACACTTTAGAATTGTAATGGGACGTCCCATCCAGCCAACTCACTGTATGCGAGACGCTTAGGTTATTCGCGTTCTTTACCGTCGCGACAACATGGCCAGTGACAATACCATAGTTGAGTACGTTGTCCCCTTGCTTAACATTCCCCAGGCTGATCGATATATTTCCATGCTGGATTGTCGCTGCTCAGCATGAAAGAACCAAAAAGTAGGACTGATTAAGGTTTCTTTACCTTTTCGCTAGCATGCTTCTGTCCCCAATTCTCGAGCATCAACTTCATCGTGTCCGTTGCATCGATGTATCCAGTAGTTTGGGCATCCGTAAATCTGCACACTGATCAAATAGATACAGTCAGCGAAGACACATTCCCATCAGGCCCACGCTCACGTACTGGCACGATGATCTGCGTTGATGGGCATGGGCTGATATCCGGCAATGGCTGCAGACTGCTTCGTCACGATGAGGCCTAAGTCTTTCTTCTTCTTCCACATGGTCGATTTGGTCTCGAAAAAGCACGCGACTTGAATCGGACTGAGCGCCTTCGACTCGTGTCGCTGTTGCAACAAGAGATGAAAATCAGAGCTAATCTGTTGCAATTTGGTAGATTTCGTGTCGAGGTCTTTGATGATTTGGTCATTGCTGTCGCCGAGCAGGCTTAACACCTTCTCGGCAAGACCAGCCCATTGAGCTTTGTCGGACCCTTGAAACGGCGTGCCCAGAAAGATGGTCCCGCATGTGCTGGTTATGACCTCCTGACGTTGCTCGTTCGAGCCACTTTGACTTGACAGACCGTTTGCGACAACTAGGCCACCGAGTGAGTGGGCCACAAATATGATGGGTCGATTTGTCTGTATCGTATATATGTCAGTACTGGATGAATACCACATTGAAAGACGCTTACAGTGGCTGTATCTTGTCGACGGTTGCCGAGCTTGACCATCAATGCAGTAGAGTTGTCATCTATATTAGTATGTGTGACTGCATCCGCCTTGATCACAGGGTAGAACGTAGCGAATTCGGTAGGGTAACCAAAGGAGAATATTCTGCTGAGAGGTATGGTCGCTGGCAGAAGTTCTTTTGGCCAGTAAACTCGATCTCCATCAGCATCACACGCTTCCCATGTTGTTTGAGGATTGCCTCGCAGCCCGTGGACAAAAACGATACTGTAGGATCAGCATGTTACCCCGCGAACAAGGTCGATGTTCCTCACTCGACCTTTGCCTTCGGCCCAGCATCATACAGCTGATTCAAGCCATCCGGAATTACTTTGTCGAATTGATCGCTTGTGGCCTCAAAGCGCATCATTGTCGATGAAGTGGTCAAATGGGACTGGAACTTAAAGCAATCGGAATGGGTTCTCGGTGCGCAGAAGGCTGAGAATCTCAGCTCTCGGAAACTATCGGCAGTGTGAACTGCGCCGGTCGTGCCCATCCTGAATGGAAGCCGGCCCTGCATGCATATTACGAGTGCATTGTGATGGCGGAGTTTTATCCCCGTCAACTCGCGAATGCCACCTATTGGGTATAGCTGGAGAACGCCCCGTGGACGGCAGTCAACCGCTATTCGCCAATGAAAAGCTCAGTGCTGGACTCGGCGGCCTATCGATGTAACGGCAACTGCATAGCGGCGTTCTTATCTTTGCATCGTTGGGGGCTGACTGTCACAAGTGTGACATAGGATGGTTAGACTGGAGGACAAGGCTGAGAGGGCGACCGATCCTTCGCCAGATGTCGTTATCGATAAAGAATCACGTGTCAGGACTTAATCTTGGACGTATCCTCACAAGGCTGACAATGACGGCAATTCTATCTGAATATTGCCATGATGATTTCAACCCGGATTGTGTCCGATAGACCATCATGATCCCGTCGGTTGGAAAGGCTTCTCCTGCGTACGGTTTTGGCGAAACGGGAGGACCGGGCGGGCACCTGAGACTAGGAGACGTTGACAACACAGGCGATACGGTCGCCAGTCCGAACTATGGATCTCGTGTAGATGGTCATGTACTCAATCTCGGTAATGGTGATATCAGTGAGCGTTTTGATCGGCTTGTATATCAGGCGCTTACCTTTGAGCAGACATAGAGACGAGCAACAGCCACAGTTACTCAATCGAAGCGGGCGCAGTTTTGAATGTGAACACCGGACCAAATGACGAACAACTTAGGGTATTTATCTATAATATCCACTTGGAATTGTTCAGTAGTGACTCACAGACTGATCATCATACACTTTACCGTAGGTCGTGTCATGGCTCAATGACTTAGCCAAGTTAGACTTTGCTTCTGCCCACCGAATTAATTTGGTACAAAGATGTGACGGAGTCGGGGCCTGGGTAGTCGAGGACAAGCGGTTCCAACAATGGTCCAATGGGACCAGTCGGACTCTTTGGATTCACGGTATTCGTAAGTCGGGATGCATCGTCTGCGTAGTCCGCTTATGTTGAGGCAGTCGGATCCGGTAAAACAATCCTATCGTAAGCGTTTTCTTAAACACTCCATCATAAATCATTGTGTTCAAAGTTCCCTAGATCGAATATCATCGAACATCTCGAAAATAAGAAAGACGGATCCGCGTGTCTCTTCATATTCTTCGATCATTCGCAAAAGAACATTCAAACACCTTACAACGTCACTGCCAATCTGCTGAAGCAACTGGTCCAGCAGCGATCTGGCCTCTCAGAGCAAGTACGGAGAATGTATAGCGACTTCAGGCATCTCAACACACCGCCCAGTACCCCTGAACTCCTGAAAAATATCAACCAGGAGATCAAGCGTTTCGCAAGAGTGCGACTTGTTGTTGATGGACTGGATGAGTGCCCTGCTCACGTGTCCAATAACTCTAGGGCAGCTTTCCTCAACATGATCCGCAGCTTAACACCTGACACCAGTCTTTTGTTCACTGCGAGAGCTTCTAACTACGAGGAACATAATTTGGGGGACGTCATCGAATTGAGATATGCACCAACGGACCAAGACCTGCACCGGTATTTGCGGGTCCAATTACAAAATCATTGCGCCTTCAATGAGATTCTTGCAAGAGCGGATCATGATCAACTGGTCGAGGCCACTGCCTCACATGCCAAGGGCATGATACTACTTGCGCGCCTACATGTGAACTCTATTGCAGCACAACACACCCAGGCAGATCTCCAATTAGCTCTCACGACTTTGCCGGGTGATACCAAGCACACGTACGAGAAAGCGATGCAGAGGATATCAACGGGCGACAAACCACTTGCGGAGCTGGTGTTGATGTGGATTACCTTCGCTATGTGTCCACTGACCATGGAGGAGCTACGATCAGCATTAGCGGTCAACGAGAACGTCACAAGTATTGAGACAGCCGCGGACTACATGTATAGCGAGAAGCGTCTCTTAGACGTATGCGAGGGTTTAGTTGTTGCGGACCTTCGGATCAAACCGATCAATGTGCGTTTAATCCACCCGACAGCGCGAGCCTTCTTTGAGGTCTACTTCGACAACGAGCAAGCTCACAAATCTCTGGCAATGACCTGTCTTCGATATCTACAATTTGAAGACTTGAGGACTAAAATTTGTGACAGAACAGGAATGCTTGCACGTCTTCGAGACCTACCATTACTTCGATATGCTGCTTTGAATTGGGGTCATCACGCTCATCGAACACAGGACAAGGAAGTGGTCGATATGTCCGTCGCATTGTTGAACAATAAAGCAAGCTTAGTGTCGGTGGCGCAAGTCATGGATCTGTCGAGTGACGACTCGGTATCGGGTTTATACATTGCTGCTCACTTCGGCTTACGGAGCGCTGCTGATCAACTGCTCTTGAAAGATCCTAAGGCCGTCGAAGAGGAGATGCACGGAGAGACACCTTTGCACGCGGCTTCACGTGAGGGCCATATCACTATCTTGGGAACATTGCTCAGTGGGCGATTGGATCCAGATGAACGTAGTGATGACGGCCGCACGCCAGTGTCTCTAGCAGCAGAGAACGGGCATTTCGAAGCTGTTCGATTCTTCATCGGCTCCTATGGGGTAGATCCGAATTCCAAAAGCAGGACTCCTTTTTACAAAGGACGGACACCACTGTCCTGGGCGTCCGGTAACGGTCATTATGCCGTGGTTGAGTATTTGCTGGCTCAAGACAACACGCAGGTGGATACTTCGATCTCAGATGGACCTTTCATGGGCCGCACAGCGCTCATGATGGCAGCACGCGATGGTCATGAGAAGGTGGTGGAACTTCTCCTCGGGAAGGGACAAGCAACAGCGGGCATAGTTGACGGCGATGGTATGACTGCGCTCGCACTCGCCGCTCAGCAGGGTCATGGTAAAATGGTTGAGCTTCTTCTGGATGCCGACCATGCTGCCGCTCACAAGAGGGATATCGTCTACAATCGGAGACCGGTTGATTGGGCATCAAGCAGCAACCACGAGGCAGCTGTCAGATTGCTGCTCATGTATCCTAGTCTCGACTCGAAAGACGACGAGGAACGTACGATGATGTCATGGGAATCGCAATACGGTAACCTTGATCTCGTCCAACGACTTCTCAAGTTAGGCGCAGATCTAAACTCAAGAGACGAAGAGGAATGGACGCCTTTGACGTACGCTTCGAAGTTTGGGCATACGCAAATTGTTGAACTTCTGCTTCAATCAAACGCGCACGTAGATGCTCAATCCGTTGACCGACGTTCTGGACTATCATTTGCATCGGAGATGAATCATCACGACACTGTTAGATCACTATTGACGGGCGGGGCGAAGCCGGACGAGCCGGACAAATTTGGTCGTACACCTCTTTCGTATGCTGCCGGCAGCGGCAGCATCGCTATCGTGGAAACACTTCTTCGATACGGGGTGGACGTCAATCTTAAGCCAAGTATGACTTCCTGGTCAGCACAGCCGCCGATAATGTGGGCAAATGCCAATGGGCACAAAGAAGTAATTAAGAAGCTACTCGAGACAGGAAAGGTCGTGTTGATGCCAGAAGACAAGCTATTCGGGACATCGGCCATCTCTTGGGCAAAATCACACGGTTTCACAGCTAAGCTCCAACCCTCATAATGCTTCAGCATCTATTGAGGCCATGACCGATGGATCGTATGGTCGACCAATATCCACCGCATTGCTCACTTCGATGAAGTCCTCTAATTCTTCACTCGTAGTCTTTAACTTCTCTTTGACCGCTGTCACGCCCTCCAGACCGACTATGTGTCTTGCAGGTGGATTATCATGGCCACCAATAGCCGTCAGCGCATGTACAGTCTCTGCTATCAGCGATGACTTCACCACGGATGGCAGAGGCGCGTACAGCGATGTGACGGTGTCCGAGCTGAGTAGATCGCCCATGGTTGGCTCATGGACAGTGGCGTCTGGGCTTGTTGTCGAAATACTGTCAGTAGGCGACTTTTCCTCCTGTGGATATGGAGACGGGTTATTGACGCGGTCAAGCTTGTCGAGAAGGCTGGAAAAGATGTCGCGAGCGATTGGCGCGGGATTTTCGGCCTGAAGGTACTCGCGCATTGGCGGGACGGAGGTCATTTTGTTGGTGAGAACATTTACTTCCATATTGGCTTGAACAATAGACATTTTGATGTTAAAAGGAGCGATCTCATACGCCAGACTCTAGGTCCATATTAGGCATGCGTAATTACGTTAAGGTGGACACGTACATCGCAATACCCTTCAATAGCCCATTGTGATGAACAATACATGGCCAGACCTGGCGTCCCTAGATGACCGGCTACAGCTTGTTAGACCTCAAATCAGTGTCTGCTAGTCGAGCAACTTACTGACGCCCGTCAACATAATGATGTGGCCGTTTTTCCGTTCGCGCATCGTTGGAAGGACAGCTTTGATGATATTCACATTTGAGAAGAAATTGGTTTCAAATGTGTCCTGTACAAGAGTAATGGTCTGAATACTTTGGGACAGCTCTTCTACGGCACCTATAACAGCTTTGCAAAACATTCAGCGTAAACCTCTGGAGGATAAGGGGAGTGAAATACCTTCGCTGGTGTTGCCGAGTAGGACATCGACACGTCCGAACGCTTCAACAGCCTCTGCGATCGCGGCCTGACACTGGCCGATTACTCGCCCATCCAGCCCAACAACTCTTAGTCTTTCCCGCCATCGTTCTGTGTGCTTCACTTCCTCAAGAAATGCTCTGAAGTCCTCACACTGACCCTCTCTCTTTTCAAAATCTTGTGGTACGACGCCAGATACTACATAGTCACCGTGATCAAGTACTTGCCGCGCCAAAGCGATTGCGATGGGTGATGAACCTATTGTCAGAAACCATACGCGGGGTGCGTTATGTGGAGGGAAATGTGGGGATCGTGGCCGTGGCGGGCGCGACGACTGCGTGCCCTGCTGCGTCATGATGGTAGCAACACGTTTGCATGCAGCATCTCGCGCAATTGGAGATGAAGGCCTTCGTAGAATATGATGCGTTCAATTGACGTTGCGGACCGGCAATGCGATTGCCTAAGTCCGATCGGCGCTATTCCGGTTTCGGCACCATTAGCGCCCACCAAAAATGATTCACCCCGGACGTTTGCCCTCACCACAACCACCACATCCGTGAGAAGTTGGTCCAACCTTCGCCAAAAGCCGACTTAAGCCATCGAAACGAGTTAGAATGCGTATGAGAAACACAGACGACGTATTTGTATTACTTTGGACGGGATAGAAACCATTGTTACGAGGTTCCGCTACTATCAAGGCCCTCATTCACTTCGACTCCAGTAAAGGTAGGCTCAACTTTCACATTCATCTTCTCTTTACCAGCTTCCTGGCGGCCCCAGCCACCATGTTTGCCCCCAGCCCCCCAATATCCATTACACATAAAAGCAGCAGGCTGCCGCAAATTTTGCACCTTTTCACCTTTACCCTTACACCATCTTCCTTGAGTCTACTGTCTCATACAGCTTTTCTATTCAGCTCCCTCACTCCAAAATTCATCTCAATACATGATCAACCCTCACATCACAATGTCCACCGACTTCATGGACTTCTCGACTGGCGCCGGCAACGACCCATTGTTCACCGACTTCGGAAGTCACCTCGCTAACATGAGCTTCTCGACAGCGCTTGCGCATCCAACCTTCCTTCAGGACTTCGAGGCTTCTACCGGCGCAACACCGCTACCCAAGTGGATCTGTGCGCTCTACGCCTACCGCACCAAAGCCAAGAAGCCTGAGAGCCGCATCCGCAAGACACCCAAGCCCAAGGACCGTGCGGCGGACTGCAAGAACTGGATCAAGCGCACCAACAACTTCCCGCTTTCAGGAGGCATCCGCAAGCGTAAGACTGAGATCGCAAGCCCGCGCGAGCGCAATTCCAAGTACGCAATGCCGCGTCCACTCAACGCGCTGCAGTACCAGCGCCATGCCATTCAGCTTATGTCAAGCGTGCTCAACACTCGCACCAATGCTTCACCATTCACCTTGGTCCTGGACGACCTCAATCAGCGCGCCATTCCCTTCCTCCAGGAGCTTGTCGCCCGCGCTCTCTCCCGCAACGTCACTGTCATCATCGTCTCCTTCGAAGGCACACGTGTCCACCCTGATGTGCGTAATGTTGCCGCCTATGGTAACCGCACTGCCGCCGACACCCTAGGCAATATCGAGCAAGCCATGAGTGACCGCAAAGAGTGCCTCGTCATCATCGACGACATGTACGACGCCGTTGCCACCAAGAACATCGACATTCAGGCGCTCTTCAACCTCGTCGTCATGAAGTACACCTCCACCCTCGTTGGAGTCTACCACACCGATGTGCTCCCGGAGCCCTCGACCTCAGGCGTGGACGCCTATGCCCCACCGCCGCTCGAGCTGCTGAAGTTCATGGCCACCTCCGTCATCACGTGCCGCTCCTTGTCGCATGTTCTCGCCTCCAAAGCCGCCCGCGAGCGCTCCCTTCCAGAGCCGACATTTGGAATGCAGACCGGCGCCGAGGGCATTGTGCAGTGCCTCAATGCCAACGATGGTTGCGGTATCGTCCTCGAAGCCGAGTTCCGCCGCAAGTCTGGCCGCCCTGAGTCCGAGACGTACTACCTCCGCCCACGCCGTGGCTCTGATTACCACCAGCCGCTGCCGACACAGCTCTACGGTACGCTGAAGCAAGAATACGTCATTCTACTTGACCAGCACCCTGCGTATGCGAACAGTGAGCTTGTCGGCATGGTAGCCGCTGCGAATGACGAGATGGAGACGTCGTTCAACCTGGCCTTGACGGACAAGCAAAAGGCAGCACGCGAGGGTGTTGTCCTTCCTTATTTCGATGCACAGAAGGGTGAGGGCGGCGAGGGCGGTCGCATCCTCTACGACATGGGTGAGGAGGACGACTTTGACGAGGAAGAGGATGAGATCTGAGAGCTTCGATTGGACTTCTGCTCGCGCGGTTGGAATTGAGATTGCCGCCTGCTCTGGCGTATATGGCGTTTGGAGGGTCGACTGGATTACTGATATACCCTCACAGACAATGGCGTATGATTTGAAACTTGCTTTTCCATCGCCGTGGTAAGTTTGGACGGACTAGCATTCCTCGTTTCTACGTACAAGTCTGTCGTCTCATAGGAGAAATGAAAGAGAAAGAAAACAAATCCTCGTAGCCTGTGCCATGTTGAATTGGTGTGATTACTTGAGCCTGAACCTTGTGATACTGGCAAGGCACGTCACATACTCGCGTCAACTTCTGTCGCCTGGTGCATGCCGCGCCCCGTCGCCGTAATTGTATAGCCACTGCGTTTGCTTTATACTAGCGCCGCCCGAGACGAAGCACGCATCATACTTGAAAGGAGTCATCGTTGTAAAGCTTCTACAGAAAGACATCTGTCCGTGGAAGGGCAGAACAAGGCCACCCCAACACCCTGTCACAAACATGCCTTCAAGCAGCTAACGGAAGTAGCAACCCGCTAGACACCTCTTACTACTTTGCCCCATTTACATCCAAACCTAGGCCCTTTTAAGGCCCCTCCCCTCCTTTTCTTGGGAAATACCCCATCTTACACATCACAAACACGCCCTCGCCTCCCCCTTGCTTCAAATCCACTTCCAACAGCTCCCCAACCTGCACAAACCCATACCTCTCATAAATCGGCCTCCCCATAACCCCCGCCTCCAGATATGCCGGCACTCTATCCTTCTCTGCCTGCTCAATCCCCCACTTGATCAAAATGCCCGCCGCACCCTTCCCACGGTGCGCAGGATGCGTCACCATATGCATCAGCACCCAGCACGGCTCGTGAACCTTCATCCATCCGCTCCGCGCTGCGTCGCGAGTGCGGAGGATGTGATTGTGCAGTGCGACATTGAAGTCTTTGGGGATAGTGGAGGGTTCCGGGCTGTTGTGCGTTTCCCAGTGGATGTCGCGGGTGAAGGAGTAGCCTGCGGCGTAGAAGTGCCAGCGCGCAATGCTAATGATGTTTTCGCCGTCTTCGCTGGTAGAGTCGCGCTCAACGACTTTCATGTACCGCACTGTTGGGTCGCCCAGAAAGCGGGCGCGCTGTTTGGCGAAGTGGAAGGTAAGGCGGGCGGAAGCTTCTTCTTGCGTGGTGACGGGGCAGCATATTGGTGTTGGAGGACCGACAAGGTCTTCGCCTGGGATGCCGGAAAGAGCATGGGAGATTAGGGTGTCGAAGTCTGAGAGCTGGAGAGGTTGGAGGTGGAGGGAGGGCATAGTAGAATGATGGGCAAGGTAACAAATAGAGCAGGAACAATACCACACAAGATACATTACGACGATCTGTCGTTCACTAGTGACTCGAGTCATCAATCAACATCATTAAGTCTGACTCATTGGACGTCGGAGCGTAGGATTTACCCCGGATACACACGGTAATCAACGGATTCTCTCATGATACTCATCACTGCTTCGTGATTGTCAGTGAGCGTTTATAGATCATGGCTCATAAATGCAGGTAAGCGATCGGGAACATGAAACATGATGGCCTTTCGTCCTTGGACGCACGCGACAGATTAGCAGTTGCTTACCAAGCGTTCATGAGTGGTTAAAAAAAAGACCAATTGTTCTGCTGTTGTATCGCTATGTGGGGTATCGTGCGTGTGCACACTGTGGTGTATCCTCTATCTCGCAAAATGTCAATGACATCGCCTTCCATGCCAATGCCTTGCTACTCTCGCCCTCTGGCAATTCCGTCCGTGGCTCGCACCACTCCCGACAACAAACCCGCCTGGAAGTCTTGCAATGTCCTGAGCAGCAACGGTGCCGATGGTAAACCACCATCTTCTCCATCCTCAGGTTCCTCGACCTCCATGAGTCTGCTCCATATACCTCGTAAGTCGGTCTCTTTCTCCACCTCTTCGATCTCGCCAGCTTCCTCAAAGGCAGCCGCCGTGCTTGAAAATTTGGTCAGCATCTCATCGTACTCACTTTGCGGATTGCTAAGTGTGGTGATAGCACCGCCGGCGCCGATACTCCAGACATCTTCGACGGCGGATGCCAAATTTGGGGGGGTCAATCTTTATAGCGGTGCGAATGACGACGCTGAAGTCACCACCACCGCCGATGTCCAGATATCCCAAGACGCCAGAGTATATGCCACGACGTTCGCCGTTTTCGAGGCCTTGCAGAAGTTCGCAGGAGCGCTTCTTGGGCGCGCCGGTCATGCTGCCTGCAGGCAAGGATTGTGCAAACGCGTCGAAGCCAAGCATTCCCTCCCTGTCTTGATCATGTGAGGTACGTGCGGCTGCTCGGTCTTTGTTGTCCACCCAGGCGTCTTCTGGTGTCTGCAGTCGCGGGCTAGTGCTGGAGGATGGATTGCCTTCGACAACAGACACAAGTTGCCAGACCGTTTCATACTCCTCAACTTGCATGAGTTGACTCACGTGCACATTACCTGCGCCATACACGCCGTGGAGTTGATGCCGGACGAGGTCAACAATCATCAAATTTTCAGCACGCTCCTTGGGAGTGGACAGAATGGCGTGTGCTTCTGCAGCTGTGGCACCTGAGCTCTTGGACACGGTGCCTTTGATCGGACGACACTGCGCCGTCTGCTGACGGTTCCAGCTAATATACCGTTCCGGCGACGAGCTCAGGACGTGCACGTTGTGCAGGCGCATATACGCACTGAAAGGTGCGGTGTTGTGTGCAGTAAGGCGCTTGTAGAGTTTCCATGACAGTTCGTTGTCTTCTGTTCTCGAGAGGCGGCATATGCGGGGCCTACGGGCACGAATCTTGTTCGTTGTGGTGAGGCAGAGTTCGTAGCTTTGGCCTGCGTATCAATGCAAGTTGAGCGTGCGTACTATGTGAGGGTTTAGCGGGTCAACTCACCATCTGCGATGTGCTTTTGACATGATCCAACAGAAAGGCAGTAGTCGTCGCGATCGATAACAGATCGCGTGCATGAAGATAAGTAGGTGCTGAGAGTCGTATCGTGCTGCTCGAATGGATTAGGTTTGGGGAGCGGAGTTGGGTTTGGTGTAGATTCTAAACTCTTTCTGCCCACAGCATCATAGAGCAGGTCGAGGGACTCGTTGACCCAAGACCGGTCATCTGTGCTGCGTATGCTCTGGATATAAATCTTCTTCAGCTGGTGATCCACCACGATGCTTCGTGTGATGTAAGCGAAGCAAATGTCTGGACATTCTGCCTCTTCCTTTGACCTAACGCCTATCGTCTCCAAACCTGCTTCATATGATGCGTAGCCCATGAAGCCACCCCAAAATGGTGACCAGGTTGAGGTCTGGGGCTTTTGCCCAAGCATACCTCTGAGGTGTGACATGACACGCCTAATGCATTGCAATGGATCTAGTGTGTACCATTTCTGCAGGGCTTTGTCATTGCCATCTCTAAGCTCCATGATGTGGGTACCGGTGTAGTAATGTAGGCGCATCGTCTCTCCAGGAACAACCAAACCAATGATACTGTGACGGCCCGTATCGGTCGCCATGGGACGAAGGTCCCGATGAAGGCCTGATTCAAGCACTATCGCTTCGCCACGAGGGCTGTCAAATAGCTCTACGAGGTCTGATACGGTCAATCGCCCGCTTCCCGTCGTAGCGCATTGCACGTCGAGGACAGTAGCATGGGACGAAGGTATCACGTCTCCGTGCACAAGACGCATAGTTAGCGCCTCCATTGAGAAATCCTTCGGCTGGGAGGCTTCATCCTCTGCGATATTTTGTGTAACCTCGGAACTGGATGGTGTTGTGAGATTACGTGGACGACTATGCAGACTGGCTTCGGCCCACCAATTCTGAACGATTCGCATGCCCTCATCATTCGTACAGATTGATTCAGGATGAAACTGCACGCCCCAGAAAGGTTTGGTGATATGTTTTGCAGCCATTAAGACAGCCCCATTCTGCTTATTGTCAAAATCCCAAGCCAACGGCTGGAGGTCCGGGCATGTTTCGGTAGGTTCCCACAGCTCCGCAGGATAACGAACGGCCTTCTTTGTCTGGATTCGGTGGTGAAGCATAACCTGTAATGAGTGGTACTGCGTAGCGTGGAGCTGCTTTGTGCCGTTGAAGATAGATGTACCATTGTTCAAGATCACCGAAACGAGTCCGTGCCGTGGTTCTGTAAGCTTTTGAATAGTCGCTCCAAAAAGCCAAGCACATGGACTGAAAGCCCAAGCATATACTGAGGACGGGTATCATGTCTTCATCTTGAAGCTTCCACAGCACCTTCATCCAGCCCACATCCTCGTCGCATGCTGCTGAGCCAGGTCCTGGTCCCGCGATGACAGCGTCGAAAGTTTTGGCGTATTCAGTGAATGCTGCAGGGGTAGCAGCGCGTGCCTTGGCTGCTTCTGGGACGACCCAAGCGTCAGGATCGCTGTTAATGTAGCATTTGACGATTTCAGCATCGATACACTGCTCGACTTGAGCGATAATGTTGTTCGAGAAGGAGTCGTATGCGTCCAGGTACAGAATTCTGGGGCGCCTCGTCAGGAGGGCCGGGGCCATGTTTGATACACCAATCGGAGATGGTCGGCAATGTCGAATTCGGAAGAGAGCGATTTTGGTTTCCAGTAAACCGGTAGCAGAATCAAAAGAGGGTGGACGTTGCAAGACGTTGCAAGACGAACTGGGCTGGACGTGATATTGGGTTGAGCTTTTGTAAAGTGTCGGGGACCAAGTGTAGGGCTGAGACCCTGAAACGCGGCTCAGCCCGCTTCTAGAAGGCCGTGAGAGAAGGAGTGCAAGGCTGAAAGCAAGCCAAAGGAGGGTGCTCAGGTACTGAAGCCACGCGCAAAGCCAGAAGCACAGAGAAGACGCACAGGAGCTAGGTCGTGAATAGAGAGGAAAGATGACTCTTCGCGGGTGCGCGAGTCGAGCCTTATCGTACATTCGTCCCGACCCGACAGCCCCGAAGATTGCCCTTCAGGGTCCAGGTCAGCTAGCCTCTTTCGGTAAGAACGGGAAGGCGACACCTTAGCACTTTTCCATTATTCCAAAGAGCGCACCCCGATCTTCCCTCGGTCGCACCAAGCCTGCCTATTTCGGTCGTCCCCTCACATCCGGTTGGACCCTGACGGCCCAAAGGGGCTCTTCGCCACCGCTCCGTCTTCGGGCTCAGCAGTGATGCTCGTCGCCGACCTGACGCCAGTCTCCGATTCGTCTTCTGGAATATCTGGATCTGTTTCAGGGGCTCGGCTACCGTCCCCAGTCTGCGGCTCCTCAGCATCTGCGTCTGAACCTCTCGCCAGACCCGTTTCGGATGGCTGATGCACTCTGCCAGCAAAGAAGACAAGCATCAGGAGATCGTAAGTGGCTTTGAGTGAGCCTGCAGCCACAAAGGCGACCCAGAAATGGCCGTGACCTGCCAGCAGGCCAGTAGCCGACGGTCCAGCTGATTGTGAGAGCGTCTTGAGGATGTTCACCACACCCATCACTGCCGTGCGCTCCTGTGGGAGTACCACGATTGATAGGAGAGCTGATCGGGGCGCTTGATCCATGCTGTTCAGCACTGCCCGTGCGACCAGAAGACAGACTGTGAATGATAATTGCGGTGGCGCTGGAAGCAGAGCAAGGAAGATTGAGCTGGGCAGATGCGTGGCGACCATGGCTTGAATGAGACCTAGTCTTCTCGCGAGTGATGCTGCAAAGACGTTTCCTATGGTGCTTACGAACCTTGGTGAATGTTAGAAGCACATACGAGTACATCATATCTATACTCACCAAGTAGCGGACATGATCCCGCCCAGCTTGCCCTTCTCTAGTTCAAATTTCCGTTCCATGTAGAAGTTGATGAGAGAGAACGGCACCATGCCACTCCCTAATGAGTCCAGGAAGAAAACGCTGCATAGCTTGAGTAGGGTCCAGCGCGTGGGTTTCGATATCTGACTGAACGCGTCCCACCATTTCGGCTTCTTGCTAACGGGAGACAGCGGAGGACTGCTATCATCGGCCCCTCCGTGTCCATCCAACAGTGGCTCCCTCTCACCACGCTCCCTCCGGACTTTGTCTGCACCATGTTCACATCTGCCACTCAGAAACAACGTCATGAGCGCCTTAACACAGCCGAGAGCCGTATATATCCAGAACATGGCTCTGTATGCATCCAGTTGCGTCCATCCTGGCAAAGCCTGCATCTTGTCTACTGCCACGCCTCCTATAATTAGGCCACTGGACGTTCCCAGTACAGCCAAGCTGACGTACCAAGTGAAGACATCACTGCGTTTCTCTTCAGGCACAAGATGCGCAAGTGTCGATTCTTCAATCGCGCGAAAAGGTCCAATCTCGTTGCCTGTCGGGCTGATGACACCAATTATAGCCGCAATCAAAAGCGAGATGTAGTTACTGGTAAGAGCAAACACCGCACCCGAAACAGCCATAGATACCGCACCGAGGAAGAGCGTTCTCCGCCGGCCCAGAGCATCAGCAATCAGTGTGAGGAGGAGGCTGACAAAAACGTCTCCAAGGAGAGTGAGGGTCATGAACAACCCGATCTGCGCGTCCGAGAAACCCAGCTCTTCAAAGTACAACGCGAGGATGAGCGCAACGGCGCCGTAGGCTATGAGGCGTAGGTATCGGGCCAGTATAATAATGTATACGTCTTTCCCGGCGGATCTCATAGTCTGAAGGCCGAGCTCCTCGGCCAGCCATCGCAGCGCGCTGGAGATGCGGTTTCCGACAGACATTCTGCGTTGAAGGATGGAGATTAGGAACGGATAACGTGAGTTGAACCTGTTGGAAAAGCTTTCCGCATCTCTGTGATACGTGGAGCGCAAAAAAAAAAACGAACGACGCGTGTTGTACCAAACTCCAGTTCGTGTATTCTGGCACCGGGAAGTGGTGTTACAGAAACGAAACGTTACCTCTTACTTGGGACCAGATGAGTGTCGGGGGAAACGAGCGCTGCAAAAAAAGGAAAACGGTGAAAGCGTGAATCGGTTTGCGCAGCCATGCTGCTGCTTCAACAAATATCGCTCGCTGCCTAAGAGGATGGAAGGCGCTATGTACGTCAGCTATAGCCGCTTACCTAATCTGGAAGGTGAGAACAGATGCACACCTCTCAAAAGCCATTTGTGACCGGCAGAGAGTCGCACAGGTTTAGAAACATGTGGTTCCTATGTCCACTTCAACAAGGAAACTACAATCAATCACTTTACGCTTGGGATGGTGCATGAGGACAGTAACCTGCACGTAGGCCATTAGGGAATATATGATTTGCAGACCTAAGAAACAACCCAAGAAGCACAGAAGAAAGACCCCCGTGATCAACACAAAATGGCCATGATAGCAGTCTCTTCTACCGTCCAGCCTCTGCACAAGTCGGCCACCAAGCCCTAGGATGCAGCAAAATCGCTACCGAGATCCAGAGTATTCCAATCAACGGGATATAAACGTGACCTATCCACTGACTCCATCTAAGCCATGCAAGGAAGACCGAGGGATGATGGAGATGACAGCCGCTTGCTGGGGAAGAAGATCATGACCACGAGTATTGGAACCGAGCCGATATAACACCCACGCCGATCTGTGTACGTATCGCCGCACGCCCCCGCTCTAGCAGCAGCCTCCGCCGGATCCGCTCTGAACACCTTGGCCCTGCCCAATGGGTACTGTGGGCTTGGTGTTGGCCGTTGTTGTGCCCATACGCTCCTTGATCTGGCGGGCCATGGTCAAGAAGGCCTGCTCGACGTTGGTTGCGCTCTTTGCCGACGTCTCGAGGAATGGAATGCCGAGGCTGTCTGCGAATTCCTACACAGGCATGTCAGCAAGCAGTTTCATGCGGTTCGGTACCAGACATACCTTTGCCACGGTGTACTCAACCACCTTCTTATCAGCCATATCGGACTTGTTGCCCACTAGCAGCTTATTCACGCCCTCCGTAGCATATCGGTCGATCTCCTGAAGCCACTGCTTCACGTTGTTGAACGAGTCCATGTCGGTAACATCGTAGACAACACAAATGCCGTGGGCACCTCGGTAGTACGAGGAAGTGATTGTGCGGAAACGCTCCTGACCAGCTGTGTCCCACTATTGGTCGTCAGTATCTCGCGTGGATATCGTGTGTATGTACTCGTACAATTTGAAGTTTGACCGTTTTGCCATCGAGTTCGATGGTCCGGATTTTCTACGCTCAGGTCAGCCGTGTCGATGTCGAGGCGCCGCGCATCGAGTACATACGAAGTCAACACCGATGGTGGAGATGTAGCTCTCGGTGTATGTGTCGTCTGCGAACCGGAGCAGCAAGCAGGACTTTCCGACACCGGAGTCACCGATGAGGAGGAGCTTGAACAGGTAGTCGTATCTGGGAGGCGGGCATCAGCACGGCTGCGGAAGAGGGAATAGTATGGTCGACAGCGGCGCTGGGTAGACCAATAGAGGCACTCTGGGAATCTTAGTTAGTCACATATTGCTGCGAGTATAGCGAAGTTCAGGCCTCATCGAGAGTGGTGCTGGAAGCGAGGCGGAGCTACGTACTACTCAGGATTCATGTTGGCGACCGAGGGAGCGAAAACAGGCTGTTGGTATCTGGTACAAGTGTGTGGAAACGTGTGTCAGGGAGGAGTGTGAGAGGCGGCGACGGTCGGGGTTAAGATTGCTGGAGGTAGCAAGGCGGTGATGTTTAAAGGTGCAGGAGGCTTGGGTCGCGCGGCCGTGCGCAATCAGCGCCAAGCCAGTTCAGCAGGTCACTCGGGGTCTTTCACTGAGACGTCACGATGGCAACGCGCTTTGTTGCCTTCTCCTTGATACGCGTGAGCTACTTCCTGTGGTGCAGTGTATCATTTACACGACTACTACCCCTCATCTTGGTCTTCGATCGTTGAGAACGTGCCATCACGGTTTCAAGCACGCTACTTTTTGTGGCGCAGACGATCACGTGACTCTTCGACTACCTACCCACTTGTCTAGGCTCTTTGTCAATATGAAAGTCGGCCATAAGGTTGCCAGATATTTATGGAAGCGTCTGTAACTTGCTTTGAAATGATTCCTATGTTGACTCGCTCTACGTCGAGTCTCGAAGTCGTGGCCTCGTAGTATATCGCCGATGTTCACATGGCGCCACGCAATGATGATGACTGAGACATCCTTCGGGATGTGATGCTGCGAGCTATGGAGGAATCATGTGCTACGTCAGAACATTTGACACGGTGATATTAGTGTACACGACATCTGGATGGAGAAGAGTGTATTAAGGTGTAAAGTCTGGCGAAGAGCTTTGATAATTAAGCCAAACATGTTGCCCGTGACGCTTCATTGGCGCCTGAATGCCCTCTGCATAACCCAAAACCGGGAGCCCTATTATTATACAGCGGAGAAAGCATATTGCGTCTACTTTTACATCATCTTGTTGAAAGCGGGTATCAATGTTTGGGCCAGCCAGAACGAGAAGACGAGTTTGGGGCCGGTCATCAAAAGCTTCGGTGTCAGGCCCTTGAAAAAGGACGGGAAACCCTCGTTCTTCATCATGTTGGAAATAATCCTGAAACCGCTCTCGGGGTTTTCAAAGTTTCTGTTCTGTATCCTGGTCTTGATAACGTCTAGAGGAGCCGACACAATAAGGGATGCGCTGGCACCGGCAATTGAAGCGACGAAGTTTTGTCCCCAGCTGGCCGTGTTGTAGTCGCTGAGCTTGTAGAGGTATTCCTTTGCAGCGGCCGAACCACCAAACAGCTGTGAAAAAGTTAGCGAAAGGTTTCCTTCTTCGAAATCTTATCTGACGTACTGCGAACGAGCCCGGAGCATTACGTGCCGCCGTCCATCCCCAACCACGGTACAGACCAAAACCTTCGTCCGCAATGATCCTGAACAACCCTCGGCCTCTGAAAGCTTCAGGGTTTGTCTGACGTTTGATCTTCAGGACGTCCAACGGCAAGAGGACAATTTCGCCAATACCGACAAGACTGCCTGCGGTGGCATGCATTATCGCCTTCCCATTGCCCTTGCCAAATGTGCGGTCGAAGCTGTCACCGTGGTGCTTTGCGAGATAATCCCGAGCGAAGGGTTGACCGCCATATTTGTAGACACGTTGGAGGACCTGTTGTGTTTAGCTAGACACTTAGACCAATGCATCGTGTTCATGTACCTTGTATGCTGCGGCGTATCCCAGTCCAGGGAACAGGGAGAAGAAGCGACCGCTGACTGAGGCATGTGCCTTGTCCTTGAAAACGACCTGGTTCAATTGGGAGGCCGATGCGATCTTGCCCTGGTTGCTCATCAATCGCTTCGCGGTGGTGTCGACGGGGTGGAAAATCATCAATTCGGCGATACCGGCCGTTCCTACGCACGTTAGATTTAATACAATGCTACACAGCAGTCCCAGCTGAGCATACCTGCGCCGAGGACACGTGCTGCTGTCGACTCCTTCTTGAATTCTTTCGCCGACGACTGAGTACCAGCAGCGACATTAGCGACCTTCGCCGCAGCCTCAGATGCGGACGGCACAGTCATCACGGCGATTCGGTGGGGCTGATGGGTCAGATCAAGTGAGGGAACGGGGTGCAACAAGCGACAGCAAATGCAGCAGACGGGTATCGCGCGTTGGTGACTGAGATGGAATTCTAACGGTTCAATGAAGACAAAAAAGTTGCGACATGACCAGGGGACGAAGGGCCAAGGCGCTAGCACAACGCCGATAATCGCTATCTGTACATCGTCTCTCACGTAAACGTGATCATTAAACGTGATCATTGGCCATACCTCGTACAGTATCAAGTCAAGACTCTCATTATCGTTTGGGTCGATTCAGGATAATCTATTCGAGATCCCACGTGCAGGCTACACCATCAATCCAGCTTTTAGGCGTTTTCCTTATAACCCGCCAGACCGTATCTACATCTTAGCTGATTTCGATGATCCCTTACTCTGGATTGTAATACTTTCTCCAGTTGTGATTCTCCTTGAATCCAAGCACCTCGCGAATCTTCCGATTACTCAACGGGGCCTCCCACTGTCCCATGTCACGCGTAATGGGCGTGTTCGGAGCAAACTGCTCCAGAAACTGTCGCGTGGGGAACGTCGCCGTGATGGTGTCGTTCGTCGCGTTGAAAACCTGAAAGCCTAGACCGTCTTTCTTGATGCACAGATCACAGATTTGACCCAGGTCTCTGGCGTCGATGTAAGACCACGCGTTCCGCTTCCGCACTTTGGGATCACTGATGTATCTGGGGAAATCCCGCGCATATTCGTGCGGCTCCACAACATTGCCAATGCGCAGTGCGTAGATGTCCGCATCGAATCTGCGAGCAAATCCTCGAGCTACGCGCTCACCGACGAGCTTGGAGATGGCGTAGGTATCCATTGGATTGACATCCTTGACGCATGCATAGTCAGCGCTCGGTCGGCTTGGATCTCATTCTGAGGTATGACTTACAGCTTCTTCGTCCAGAGGGAAAGATGTATAATCGAGATCGCCCTGACCAAAGCACACTTCGTAAGTGGTCTCGCTGGAGGCAATGATAATCTTCTTCACTCCTAGTTTACAAGCGGCTTCGATCACGTTGTAGGTCGATGTGGCGTTCCCCTTGAAGCACTCATTGTCTGGGACGAGCATGTTCCTGGCTACAAAAACGATATATTAGTATAGTCTATCGCTCCACTGCGCAGGGGCTATACGTACCATACGCGGCAAAATGTATGACTGCATCAGGCGGCCCAGGAATGCGAGGACCCTCGTATCCAGAGAAGTTGAAATGGGTCGTCAATGCATTGAAACACTGTCCACCTTTATGAAGGATTTTGCTTAGTCGAAAGGTCAACCTGTATTGTAGTCTGAGTACACTCACTATCTGTAAGATCCGTCTTGAGAGTGAAGACATTGGCCTCCTTGTCCGGAAAATCGGTAAGATCAATGTTCAGCACCTCATAGCCACGTTTAATGAGCTCAGGTATCGCATGTCGACCCGCTTTGCCAGAGCCGCCGGTGAACACAATGCGTGGTGCCATCTTTTGGGAGAAGGATCTCGTTAATCTTAGCGACGTTTTTAAAATAGAGTTGTTCATATAATGTTTGTCTGAACACAGCAAGGGATATATTTATACGGTCTCTCAAGCATATATAGCACTAACGATATTCAACTGCCGTCTTTGCCCATAGGTTGAAAACGCGGGGGATGTACGTCGATACTCCGCGGCTGGTAGAGGCTTGCCTCTTCTGCTAGTCCTAACGTCATCCTCGCTTATCGATTCTGTACTACCTCTGTCCGACCACCAATGATCCCAAGCATCAGCGGTCATCACCAGGAACTTTCGACGATTCGGCACCCTAGATCTTATCGCTCTCCTATGGTTGTATCTTCCTACCGATGACCACCGGTCGAATGCGACGGCTGTTCTCCTCATCTACGCGCGCAAACCTCCAAATCCCGTCCGCCTCCACCACCTGTTTGACCACACCGCGGCTGCTTGGCCTTAAGCAGTACCAAAGAACCATCACCGAGGTACGCGCCCGCCAGGCTTCCGTGTCGCGAACATGGTTCACGGCTTCCGCGACGTCTCTCCACGCGGAGAGTGGAGGTAATCGTCCACCGAACGAGCGCAATCTCAAACTTGGCAATAGTAAGTACATGTCATCCAATGTGTTTTTCAGAGCTTAGAGGCTGACGTTTGCAGCTATACGGATACTCCATGAACGACTTCCTACCCTATTAGTATCGCCGCTTCCTCAAGATATCCTTGCGCCGAATGTCAGCCTTCATCTATTTCCTTCGTCACATCCACATCTCCCTACAGTGAGCGGCAAGATTGCCTACACAGCCGCATTATGGACTGCGCCGATGGCATGGGGTCGTGTACCCGTAGTCGGCAATGTCAAGCTGAAGATATTATCAGAGCGCATGGTCAAGAATGGTTGCGCAGCAGACACACAGAACGAAAGGCTGATAGTCAAGTGGGAAACGTGTAAATCTGAGAAAGAGCATGGGCCAGTCAGTGAAGCAGTCGAGAAGATCACGAGCATCATCAGTCGCCCGCACAAGAAAGACGAGAAGTTTTCTGGTCTTTTCTTCTTCGAGTTCGATGAGGAGGGCAGACTTTCGAAGCACACAATCGAGCATGTGGAGGAGAACGGTCAATGGGACAAGACTGCGAAGGTCATCTCCGTCACCGACTGGTTACTAGGGCGTGCGTGGGGAAGACGCGAAGAACATGCGCCAAGCTTAGCATACGTGAAGAGCGCGAAGCCGAAGCAGGCGCATCCAGATCACGACTACCGGTGACAGTGTCGTCGAAAGTCTTCCCAGGTCTGGGCACCCTATGCGGTTGCATGATACATGTCCGAGGTTGACGTGGGGCTGTATACACGTGCTTTACGCCCTGGACCGGTTCTCCTCTCAGGACACGAACAATAACGGCCGCTGTACTCTTTTTTTCTTGTCCCATGGACATATGCCGTTTATTTCAGAGAAACACTCCACACATTTATCGCGCACGGTTCAATACCGCACGCTGCCGTGGTTTGGGCGTCACGATTACGTGTTCCGAGCATACATTGTCGGAAGCTTCTATGGCGCCCGTTGTACAAAATGTGTAACCATCGGGCCGTAGTTCACGGCCTTCTGTAGGATAGCATAGCAGCAATGAATCCCCATTCTCCCGGCGCAATCCGGATGCAGGTGCCACTCAAAGCAGTCTCGTGCATGCAGCAACGACGTGTGAATGGATGCTAGCAAGCCTAACGACTGCGCAAGCAAAGCTAGACGAGGAGTGAAGGGGCTTTGCGTTGCCAGGTGGTGCATGTGCGGACTGCACGTTTGATAGGTCAGTCTGGGTGGCTCGTGCTCCACCTTGACAGACAGCTAGATCCTGGGATGGACATCCATTGCTTTGCGCAGGTCGTGCATCTCCACAGTATCCATATCTAGACGAGCATCTGCGCGCGTGCGAGGGCTCTGTCATCTTCAGTCGTTGTAGACGAAACAAGTCTTACGAGCCGCCCCAGACCCTCAAGCAGGCGCACGTCTAGCTTCCCCACCCGCCATTGCACGGCGCCAAAGCTCCAGCCTCCTCCTCGTTGAATGCTCGCCATCACCAGAGCTCCACAGTCACCATGGCGGATCTCGCGGCCAACGGTGCCCTTGGTATGTTCATTGCATGATACCCTGTTCCAGCGCAAGCTAACGGCGGATACAGAGAGCAGTCTGAACCTCACGCCCGAGGAGAAGCGCGCTTTCCAGTACCTCTTCCAGCAGGCCGATACAGAAAAGCTCGGCGTCATAACCGGCGAGGTCGCCGTCAAGTTCTTCGAGCGCACGAAATTGCAGCCGGCAGTATTGGGCGAGATATGGCAGATCGCAGACACAGAGAACCGCGGTCTGTTGACGTCGGCGGGCTTCTGCCAGGTGTTGCGCTTGATCGGCCACTACCAGGCTGGCCGTGACCCCTCGCCAGAGCTTGCCTTTCAGCGTAATATGCCCTATCAATATGTACGCAAGCCAAGACACCACAAGCTAACCAACCTCCGCAGCCGCCCCTACGTTGCCCAAGTTCGAGGGCCTCTCCATCCCATCCGCTCCCGCTCCCGCAGCTCCCGTACCAGGCCCCTTCGCGCAACCACCTGCCAGCAACATCACGCCGCAGGTTAGCGGAGGAGGCCCGATCCGCGTGCCTCCGCTGTCGCCTGCCAAAGCGGCTGAGTATGCGGGGCTGTTTGAGAAGTCGGGTGCTTCCAATGGCCTTTTGTCCGGTAAGGGTCGTTACTTGTAAAATAGATTAGGACAAGCTGACCCAGCACTGCAGGCGAGAATGCGAAACAGATCTTCGAGAAGGCCAGGCTACCGAATGAGACGCTGGGGCGCATATGGAATCTAGCGGATACTGAACAGCGCGGCGCCCTAGGCGTGACAGAGTTCATCATTGCGATGCACCTCCTCGCCTCGTTCCGCACGGGTGCCATGAAGCAGGTTCCTACCACGTTGCCCGCTGGGCTGTACGAGGCTGCGGCACGCCGAGGGCCCGTTCCGCCCCCGTTGGGTCGTCAAGATCCCATTGCGCCTATTCCCCGGCAGTTCAGCGGACAAGGACCGCAACGTACTCACAGCCCTCTGCGCAATCAGTACAACACCCCGCCGCAGTCTGTGCAAGCGACGGGAAGCGACTGGGCCATCAGTCCGCAAGAGAAGACGTCGTACGATAACCTCTTTAACAAGGTCGATACTACAGGCCGTGGCTTCATAACTGGAGAGCAGGCGGTACATTTCTTTAGTGATTCTGGTCTTCCTGAAGATGTACTTGCTGGTATATGGGATCTTGCAGATATAAATTCCGAGGGCCAGCTCTCCAAGGACGAGTTTGCGGTTGCTATGTATCTCATCAGACAGCAGCGGAAACAAGACCGTACCCCGCTACCCACTACGTTACCTCCTCACCTAATCCCTCCGAGCATGCGGAATCAGGTCAGACAAGCACCGCTCGCGGTGCCGGAACCACCATCTGCAGCTCCGCAGCCTAAGTCCGCCGCAGACGACCTCTTTGGGCTCGATGCATTTTCTGCTCCTTCAGCACCTGCCCCTCTGCAGCTACAACAGACAACTGGTGGATCAGCGCCTTTCTCAAAACCTTTCGACAACGATCCGTTTGCAAGCAAGACCGCCTCTCCCACCTCACCCCAGCCATTCCAGCCCTCACCGCGCAATCCTGCTTCAACATTCAAGCCCTTTCTACCCACCTCTTCGTTTGGTCAGACACTCACTAGCCAATCTACTGGGGCCTCCGCGGGCTCCGGTCCGCCTAGGGGTCCACCCTCAGCCATGGACGATCTTCTAGGCGAGAGCGACCCCGAGATTAACAAGAAGCTGACTCAGGACTCCACCGAATTGGCCAACATGTCGAACCAGATGACCACCTTGAGGAATCAAATGCAAGAGGTGCAGAATAAGAGTCGCGCTACAGAAAGCGACCTCAACAGCGTGAGCAATCAAAAGCGCGAACTGGAGCTACGACTTTCCCAATTCAAGGCTGCGTACGAGAAGGAGGTGAAGGATGTGAAAGCCTTGGAAGACCGATTGGCATCCTCGAGAACCGAGACGCGGAAGCTCCAACAGGACCTCGCTATACTTGAAGGCACCCTCAAAGACCTCCAGAACCAACACCAGCAAGTTGGGACGGCTCTAGAAACAGACCAGCGCGAGAACAATAACCTAAAGGAGCGTATCAGGCAAGCCAACGCTGAGATCGGAAACTTGCGGCCCCAGCTTGATAAATTGAGAAACGATGCTAGGCAACAGAAGGGTATGGTAGCGATCAATAAGAAACAGCTTGCTACCAATGAAGGCGAGCGCGACAAGATCAAAAACGAGATGAACGATCTTAATAAGGCTGCGGAGGAGTACCGTGGTGCCCCTACAGGACCGACTTCGAACGTAGCAAGTCCTGCAGCATCCACCGCGAGCCACAACACTAACCCATTCTTCCGCAAGTCACCTCAGCCAACCGAGAATACCATGTCACCCTCTGGTTTCGCCCAAGCTGGTCCCCACAAAGACTTCGACAACGTCTTCGGTTCGTTCGGCTCCCCCCAGACCTCAGCTCCTCCAACTTCCTTCCGAGCGGACAGCCAAACTCAAGTGCCGACGTTCTCAGCTCCTTCTGGTCAGTCTGTCCGCTCCTCTGAGGGACCAGATGTGCCGACTCCGTCCACCTCCCCGCCGTTGTCGTCTTATCAAGAATCCCCTCGCGCCGGAGAGCTACCTGCACCCCCTGAATCACGTCAATTCGGATCCTCATTTCTCCCGCTGAGAAATGAAGTGCCCCGCTCAGACTCTTTCAGCTCGTCAGTCAAGGTGTCGGCCCCTGCGAGCCGGTATGGCGGACCTAGTGGAACAGGCAATGAAACGCCTACGATTTCAGCGGCCTCGCCTGCCGCAACGCCCGTACAAGACAAGCCTCCTACAGTAGAACGCACGCTTTCTTCTGAAACCCAGAAGACCGAGACTGACAACTTCAATCCCTCGCTTTTTGACCGTATCTCTACAGCTTCACCAGTGGCAAGCATCACGAGCGAGACGAAGTCTACTACCAGGGGTGAGGATCGGAAGGACACCTTCTCCGGCTTTGGTGGCCCTCTGCCTAGCAAAGATCTTCCCGGAGCGTTCCCCAGGGACACCAGCTCTCCGCTTCAGCAAATGCCTACTGGTGGTAGCAGCTTCAGCGAGCAGAGTAAGACCTATGGTCGTAGTGACCCGTTCTCGCCCCCAGCTAACGACCAGCCACGTCCTGGTCAGAAGGTTGATTTTGATGCTGCATTCGCTGGATTCGGTACGAGCCGCCAGAACACTGAGCCTACTGGAACGAATGGAGAATCGAACGGAGCAGCAAGAAAGTTCAATAAGGAGTTCCCTCCCATCGAGGATATAGGCCGCGACGATGACAGCGACAGCGCAAGCGAACAAGGCTTTGCTGACAACTTCACATCAGCCTCCCCTCAACAGCATCGTTCAAGTGTTGGACAAAACCAGGCTCCGCAGCCCAACACTGCTCCGGCCGGTGGTGACGTTTCTCACGACGACCTCTATGCGGCTCCGCCACCAACGACTCGCCTTGATTCGAGCGTAGGTGGACTGCCTTCCCCAACTGCGCAGAAGTCACCTCCTAGCTATGAATCTACCGTGAGCCCGCACCGAAGCGGTTCAAACCAGTTCCCGCCAGAGTTTGGAGGCCTTCTTCCTGCTAGAACTGATCCCACCTCACCAACCACGTCTCAATCTCCCGAGAAATCGTTTGCAACACCCGCGGGAGGGCATGGTGCTGCTCTCTTTGGCGGCTCTTCGGCTGCAAAGTCTACCACAACATCGCCACCTCCTGCGGATACCCCATCATCGACGGTGCCTTCAGACGCTTATCACTCAGCTGTCTCTCAGCCACCCAGTAGTGACATGACAGCTCAGGCCCAGCCCAAATCCGCTTTCAACGATGACTTTGACGCTGGGTTTGACGACCTGACCGATGCCAAAGAGGCAGATGATAAAACAGACGATGACCTATTCGCCTCACAACACCGCGAAGGATTCGATGAGTTCAACCCTGTCTTTGACTCACCAGCTGCATCCAAGGCCAATACTATGCAATCGCAGCAGACGCCCACAGGCAAAGCTCACAGCGGCGAAGACAGCTTCAGCGACTTTGAGCATCTTTCCAGGAGCTTTGGGCAACCGGCAGCACCCCAGCCAGCCTCTTCGTCTCAGGACTGGGACGCGATTTTCTCCAACATGGAGTCATCCCAGGATAAGGGTTCGTTGCAAGCGCCGAGCGATTTTAGCAAGTCGGTGTTCGACTCCCTTGATCGCGACGAAAGCGCTGGTTCCTCGAAGTCCCCCACGATGCCTCAACTGGGCCGCGCCATCAGCACTGGCACGGAACATGACGACCCCATTCTGAAGAAGTTGACGGGGATGGGATACTCCCGTGATGCTGCTTTAGGCGCTCTGGAGAAGTTTGACTACGACATAAACAAGGTATGTGAAGATGTGTTTTGACTACTAAGGCTCTTCTAACGCTCATAGGCTGCTGATTACTTGACAGCCTCGCACTAGCGATGTGTCGGTTCCGGAATGCGTACCTGGGCAGCGTCCAGCACGGGAGGAACATTGGATTGATTTGCGCTGTACGAATAATTGTCCACTGCATGGCTTGCGTCTACTACACAAACTGTTGGTCTCGACTAGTTCTTAGCGTTTGGTTTTGATTCTCTGGATGAGCATACTCAGCGCGCGCACATACACACAAGACGGCTGGTAGCACGCCATGGTGTCCAGCCGCCACTTCATCTATTGCTTGCTTGTCGCTTGGCATTCTTTTGGACATACTTGCGCGAGGCCTGGAGAGGACACTGATGACTTTCGCTCTGCACATACTTGGTAATAATCTATGGTAATTTTGTCTACGGGTGATCGGTCTACAAGGCCGTAATTCGTCCACTATGATGCACAAGGCTGGGGTAATGCCGAACCCGCGAGGGAGCACGTTGTGGCTGTGCGACGCACTCGCCACGATGACGCATGTGACGACGAAAGCACCTGCACCTGGGCATGCTATTGCAGCTACGCTAACCCCCGCTGTGCCCCTCCGGTTGACGTACGTCAGCTATATGATCGTTACAGGATTCTTATAACGGTGTCCTGTTGGTTCTCTGAATATAAGCTTTCATCCTCGCATCTCGGATTTAGCGACTGCATCTTGAGCGCCGGAACGATCCGTAACACCGTTGCGAGAGGAGTCTTGAAAGGAAACCAGTCGCAAGCCAAAGAATATGGCCGACTTTGCGCCTCCCTCGGTATGAGAGACCCATATTTCCGATAAGATGGGATCTGACTGACCATGTTAGGGACCACCGCCGCCCAAAGTTCCAGAAGGTTGGAAAGCCGTCTGGAACGAGCAGTACAGCGAGTACTTCTACGTCAACATTTACACCAAGAAGTCGCAATGGGACAGGCCCACCGAGCCCGTCTATCCACCCGGCGAAGCACCTCCCCACGGCGCGCCGCCCTCTTACTCCTCAGGACCCGGCGCAGCGCCCCGCACGTCCATGGAGAAGAGCCAGCTGGCCAGCAACAATCCCTACGGCCAGCAGCCAGATATCAGCGAAGACGAGCGTCTAGCGCGTAAGTTGCAAGAAGAAGAGCAGGCGCGCGCGAGGACGTCTGGCGAACACGGTGGCGCGGGCGCGGCGAGTGGTTATTATAGTTCCGCACCGGCCGGAGGCGCATATCCTAACCCAGGAGGCTCGTCATCTGCGGGTCTGAGGCCTGGTTATGGTGATTCGAGTACGCAGGATAAAGGCAAGAGTAGGAGTTTCTTGGGCAAGTTGATGGGCAAGGCGAGCGGTGGATCTAGCCACGCATACCCACAGCAAGGCGGGTATGGGGGCTATCCCCAACAGCAAGGCTATCCGCAGCAGGGGTATGGCGGTTACGGCGGTGGGTATGGACAACCTGGCTACGGCCAGCCTATGGGTGGTGGCTATGGAGGTTATGGAGGTGGAATGGGAGGAGGAATGTACGGTAGACCGCAGAAGTCCGGAGGTATGGGTGCAGGTGGTGCGGCCGCGTTAGGACTTGGTGGTGGACTTCTGGCTGGTGGTTTGATTGGAGAAGCCATGGGTGACGCTGGAGATGGGGGTGATGGGGGTGATGGTGGCGACATGGGCGGAGACATGGGAGGTGACATGGGTGGGGACATGGGCGGTGATATGGGCGGCGGCGACTTTTAAGCATCAATCGGGATGGGTTCGGAGTTTGCTTTGCTATTGTATGAGTTTATGTACATTTGCTTACTGTACCTCTTCGTCTACGTGGCGCTTGTAATAGAGGCGCCCAACGTGGATGTCAATATTCAGCTTGTACAATATGCTCTCTTCTACCCCTGGCTACAGATATCAAAGGCTGTTCAGACGTCGTTAGCGTTCTGTACAGCTGCTTCTGTAGTCTTCTCTCTACATTCGTTATACTTGTGTCAATATTCGTCTCGTTGTTTATGTGTGGCAATGCAATCGTTGCGATAACTCACGTTACGTCATCCCTGCATCTGCAACTAAAAACACCGACCCTCAAGGTACCGTCGCTTTGCGAACGCCACATAACAGTCTCATGCTCAGACCTTCATCACGCCTTTTGAATACCATGGCTACAGAGCAACGGAAGCGAAACATTGTGATCATCGGTGCGTTGCCCTCTACTCGCCCCCACGCCTAGACCTGACCATCGCAGCGCTAACGAAATATCAGGTGGTGGAATCATAGGGTCAACAACAGCCTATTTCCTTTCGCATCATCCAAATTTCAACAGAGAAAGAGATAGCATAACTTTACTGGAAGCTACAAAAATTGCTGGTGGCGCGTCCGGAAAAGCAGGCGGTCTTCTCGCTCTCTGGGCATACCCATCTTGCATCGTTCCGCTTTCCTACAAACTGCACCAAGAGCTAGCAGAAAAACATGGAGGTGTAGATCGATGGGGCTACCGCGCTGTGCACTGCGGGCAAATAGACATGTACGGCATCCTGCACAAGAACAAGGCTCCTTCTTCCATGGACAAAGACAGATTGGATTATGTATCTTTGCAAAAACGGAGCGAAAAGGCGCTTGGTCTGCTGAGGGCGGCGGGCGTACCGAAAGAGCTGGATTGGGTGGCGGCAGATGGCCTCAGAGCGTATGATGAGATGGGCACGCCATCTACAACAGCTCAGGTGCATCCGTACCAGTTCACGACTAGTATGGCCTCTCTAGCCGAAGAGCAGGGCGTAAACATCATCTACGGCAGCGCTACAAACATCGACCAGGACGCAGGAGCCGTCAAGTCAGTGACCTACAGGCCGAAAGACGGGTCCGAAGAAAAGACGCTGGACGCAGACACCATAATCCTGACTGCAGGTCCGTGGACAAAAACTATCTGGCCTGATGCTCCTATCTCAGCTCTCCGCGCGCACTCCGTAACGATAAGACCGAGTCGCCCCGTCTCCGCGTACTGCCTCTTCACATCCATCGACCTTCCGCGTGGAAACACGCGCAAATCCAAGACAGTAACACCCGAGATCTACGCCCGTCCCAACAACGAAGTCTACGCCTGCGGTGAAGGCGACACACTGATCCCCTTGCCTACCTCGTCAGACCTGGTCGAAGTCGACGAGTCGAGATGTCAGGACATCGTAGATGAAGTCACGTCTATATCCGAGGAGCTGAGAGACGGTGAAGTTACGGCAAAACAGGCGTGCTATTTGCCTAATGTTAGCCGAGGAGGCGGTCCGATGATCGGAGAGACGAAGGTTAGGGGCTTGTTGATGGGTGCGGGGCATACGTGCTGGGGCATTCAGAATGCACCTGGCACAGCGAAGTGTCTTAGTGAGCTTGTGTGGGAGGGAAAGGTGAAGATTGCGAATTTGAGTAGCTTGGATCCGAAGAAGTACATGTAAAGAGGAAATGCAGGGTAAATAGTATCGTCATGTAATTAGGCCTCAGGTAGTCCCAGGGCTTATTTGATAGAGTACAATGACACAATGCACGGTATTGTACCACAACCGAACCGTAGAGTGATTTTGTCATCTAGAAAAGCACACCCTTGACTTGTTCGATGTTCTTAACGTTGATGTTCCGGATCATGAACACCCACACCAACGACAAGCTCATGATCGCCGTACCAGCGATCAGCATCTTCTGCTGAGAGTATCCGTACGCCTGCTGAATCCCAATTCTAGCGGGCGAACCCCATGCATAGCTGAGCTGTACATCAAGACTGCCGTAGATATCCTCAAGACTAGCCTGCGCATCCTCGGGCAGATAGCGAGTCAGAGCCTGGCTGAATGTGTTCGTCCAGATAGCGCCTGAGATGGTGTTACCCACAGCTCCACCGATGGTCCCGATGACGTTCAGGAGCGCAAGGACGGCGGCAACGTGCTGGTGATCTGCGGCTGCGAGGACGGCGAGTTGTTGACAGATGATCATGACGCTGCCGCCGACTGAGATGAATATCTGGCACATGACCAGATATCCAATATAGGAATTAGGGCGTCGGAAGTAGATCATCAAGCCTTGCGCGAAGATGTAGAGCGGGACACCGATCCAAAGAAGGTACTTGAAGTAGCCGAACCTGCGGATGAGGAATCCGACCCCGAGCAGCAGTACGCCGGACACCACGTCGAAAGTGGACGTCACGTAACCTGCTTCACTGATGGAAAGGTCATTGACAACCTGCAGGAAGGAGCTGAAGTAGGAAGCCCAGCAGTAGTACGCAATCTGGTAGTTGAAGGAAAGGAGGCATGCGCCTGCGACAGTTCGATTCATCAGGAGATTGGCGGTCAAGAACGGGTAAGGTGCGAGGAACGCCTCCCAGCAGCCAAACATGATCAGGATGATGAATCCGACAACAATCATAGCAATGATGTAGCCGCTGGACCAGCCGTTGGGCGCTGAGTCGGCAAGAGAAAAGGGTAGCAAAAAGACGACGAGGCCAGCGACGAATAGGAAGCAGCCAAGTGCTAGACGCATGATTAGCAGAGACTACTATTAGCAGCGAAGAAAAGCCTTACCGTCGAGCTCCTTAGTGTAGTGCCAGATGCTCTGCAGCATTGTCCTCTGTGTCTCGCGCTTGATGACTCGACCCTCCCTCTTCGCTTTGCGCAGGTTCAACTTGAGTACGATGAACATAGGCAGCGCAACGCAGGGCAAGATGATCGAGAAAGCTCCGAAGCCCCAGCGCCACCCGATGTTTTCGTAGAAGCCTTCGCTTGCCTTTGGTCCAGCGAATGCGATGATGATATAAGGAGAGCTCGTAAAAGCGAAAGCCAGACCTCGATTGCGGAGATGCGAGGCGTCACTGGTGATGACATCGATGGAGTAGATGACACCGGCGAAACCAATGGAGTAGAAAACTTGCGCCGCACAGAAGATAGCAAGAGTGCTTGCACAAGCCATCAAGACGAGGCCGAGCGTTGCGAAACCGATCATCAGCGCAAAGCCCTCTGCACGGCCCCAGATATCCAAGATCTTAGCCATGGGGATATACGTTGCTGCACTCATACATGATGAAATGATGGAGATGACGGTCAGAAGGGAGTGTTCTTCCCACTCGCTCGTGACGTACGGGGTGAGGTTGCTGAGAATCGATGACTGGAAACCATTGACGAAGTACAAGAGCCACATACTGTTCTCTGGTCAGACAAACGTTACTCTTCATAGATAAACTTGCAAACGCACTTGATGAAGATCCAGATGAGGGATCCCTTCGACCAGGTAAGGGTGATGCCCTCGACCATGCGAACACCACGCTGGGCATCTTCGTTTGGCTGCTGAGCCTTCCATTCAGCGATGTCGTCCGGTTCGACCTGGGCTTCGACTTCGTCATGCTTGGGCTGCTCTGTAACTTCAATAGACTCTGGGGCAACAGTTACATCCTCGGTGGCCGTCCGACGGAAGGTTGGTCGAAGTTTGGATAGCGAAGGCATGGTGAACACCTCCCAATAAGCTCAAATGAAATAGACCAGGGTCTGCAGATTGAAGTGGACGCGTTCCCATCTATATATTGCGTAAGGCCACCCCATGTTGCAAGGATTTTATACTTGTGTCCCCGTAGACGGCAGCTAGCCGTTCTGGAGCCATCATCACCCGAGTTTCGGGACGCCAGAAAAACCATCGTCGTGGTTGCGAGCCACGATTATTGGGATGGAGGCTTCGCGAGCAACGCTTGGGCGAGTCAAGCGGTCTCTCACAAAGCTTGTCGTTGTGTGTTAACCAAGATGGGAACGGGTTTAGGTAAAAAGTCGGGTGCTCGATCAGATAAGGACTTAGCGCGGGATTAGTCGTATGATCAGATTAGATTCTGGCTTGTGATGGGGCAAAGATCCGGATGTTCCATCTGATTAGATGGCGGCTGTCGTGTTTGCTCCACTTCTAGCCCCAGCATGCATCCGAGTTTTCGGACCTGAGCCCAGAGTCGACCAGCCTTGCGCTCGAGTCATGAAATCGGCACGTATGGCCCGTGGTTGTACGAATTTTGTACATACGGGCGTCTCTAATTGGTGTGTGCCATGCACTATCCGTAGCCTCGCCTGACGAGCGTGGTAACGACTGCGTCCACGACCCAAGTTGCCGGGCGCATACCTAAAGGTACAGATGGATTCTGGCGCTTGGAACTCATCGCGCCTAGTGCAGCACGAACTTGCGCAGCTCCCGTTCTCCGCTTTGCCAGTGCTTGACTGCTCTACCATCCATGTATCCGTGTATGTAGACGTCACCGACGTATCTATACTCGCCTCGCGGTCCTTCTGGGCGAAGCAGTACTGGAGTCGGACAGCCCAGTGGAACCACCACGGTGTCGCCAGCGGCCATAAAGCCTGACCCCATCCCTATCGATCCATCTTCGGTGATGCAAAAGCATCGACCCATCATTCGCGAGCCGAAATGTTCTTGAAGGAAGCGCCTCCGATCTTCCGCCTTGACGCCAGCATTCACGTCAACATAGCGCCAAAGCTCTTCATCAAGCGGGAGTCGTGGTATCCGTTCGTGAGCCAAAGAAGCAAAAACGTGGTAGCACGCAGCTCTCCAAGACCCGTCCTTCCACCCTGGGGGTAGCTGATCAAGAGACAGTGTTCTGCAGAAGTCCTCCTGACGTGCTTCGCTTTCGTCATCTTTTGTATTGCTGAGCAATTGCGCTCGCCAGTGGATAAACGCCATGACATAATCAGCCAGGGTGCACAGAGTACCCACGGCAATGCCATGGCTACGAATGGTGTCAAGATATATGGCAGATATTTCCAACTTCCTTCGATCATCCAGGACTCTAGCCACGGCCTTGACAGACCCTGCTGCTGAAGAATTACACAAACGGCCCAGAGATGTCGTTTCGGGATTGTGAGACCAGTCAGGTACCCAGCTAGGCAGGTTGGAGCTAGTGTGTAGTGGAAAGTGTACAGTTTCGCATAACACATCCAACCGCTCTGTGGTACAAAGAAGGTAGTCAAATACCCTGACATACACTTCCTTTACCGACAGGCTGTAGTCCACTGGGAATTCGTTGCGGATGTCCTCGGGCAATAGACCCAATATGCCATAGAGCTTGTCCCTGGGATCTGCGCTCAATTTTCGTCGACAAACGCGCATTACTTCCAGTAGGGATTCCTCTCCGAGGCCATAAAAGGAGCTGACGTCGGGGATACTGCTAGGCCCATGGTAGACCAACACTTGCGAGTACGTGAACTGCGTCGATGATGCTCGCTGCCCACCATGACTCAGGCTCCCGGGAAAGTAATGATCGATCAAGCTCTTGTGGCGCCAGAATACATTGGTTGCTAGTCGATACACGGACCAGGGAAGACTCGTAGCGCCGCAATATACGGTAATCTCCTGAGCATTGAAAACTTCTTGCACAACCCAGAGACGTGACCAATATTCTCTTTCGAAAAGTGTGACCACAGAGGAGAGTTGTGCCTTCCCATGTTCGGACGACATGAGCGATTCTATGCGCTCGCTGTCGGTAGACTGTGCCGTTGCTTCACTCAAGGTTTCCATTGCCATGGTACTGTCATCCGCTTCTGGACCAAGCCATATTGCAACAGAGATCGCACGAGAGTAGATGTACGTCATTAGTTGGACCTGCTGAGTTCTTTCGGCGACATTCTGCTGATCGATTGACAACGCATCTACCCATACCAAGACGCTTTCCTTCTTGGCTCGTAGCGCAAACAGCGCACCATGAAGGCTTGCTGAGACCGGGACATCTACTCCTTCAAGTTGAACCCTCTTCTTATCGTCAGTATCACCCCATGCGTAAGAGATTGCGATGTAGCCTGGTGGATCCTCGAGCGAGTAAGCCGCGAGCTCACATTTGATCAGTGACATCGTTTTAGGTAGGATCCTGACCAGCCTGAACTGGAAAGCGCTCAGCTGCTTGTACTGATACACTTTCTCGCCAAGAACGCCAGAGACAGATAGGGAGACAGATTGCCGGAGTGTGGATCCCGAAGCTAGGGAACGTGCATCACCAGACGATAACCTCTTCGTTGTTGGAGAAGTCTCGGATCTGGAGTCTTCGGGCTGGATAGAATCGGGCGGAGAAGGAAAGCTACCGGGGACAGCCAATGGTATCTGTAAACTCGGTATCCGGTCGCCGTGGGCTTTGTTGTGTAGACGGACGGGTGTTCGAGATCCAGAAGCGCGCTCATACGCTGCCTCTGGAGTGTTCTGAGAATTTTCCAGACGTGTTGAAGGTACCTACGTGTATTTTCAGTCAGTAAGAGTTGCCAATAACCGCTCAAAGATAGATCTAATAAAATGACCTAGCCTTCGACACGTACATCCATATCCGAATGTCTGCGCCGACTGACGGCGGGAGGCGAAGGCTTTCGGTGCCTCACAAAGCGAGTATCTATTGGTGGGGACACTTTCCTTTCCCGTCGCCCTATGTCGGACGGGCGAGCTTGTTCCCCACGGCGCGACTTGGAAATGGACTTCTTTATTTGGGGATGTGGTTCGGAAATGTTCCGGTGAATGGTGGGCGGCATGGGCGGTGATGGTCGACGTTGTATAGATTGTATAGAGTTCATATCAGGTTGAGGGGGTTCAATGCTGAACTCGCTAAGGAGAGGAGGGTACAAGTGGCGTCGAGGGTCTTTTTTTGGGCGCATGACTGGAGGTGACGGGATGCGCTTTCTATAAGGAACAGAGTGCCTCATATCACTACGACCCACCGAGCCCCAGCCATCATTGGTGCTACTAAGATGTATATCCAGACCAGCTAAACCAGGATTCGGCACCTCTAGATTCTCTTCGTATTGGATATTGGCCTCGGCGTCAATGTTTGACCTTGCTGGAGATGAACCATGCTTCCTGGCAGAATGCTTCTTGTTGCTTTGTGAGTCTAGCCTTGCTGGTGGCGACGGCATCGCCTTTCTGTTGATTCGCGGGGGCGACGGAACTTGCTTGCTTGAGTGGTGCCTAGGACGTCGACTTTCTGATCGTGAAGGCGATTGATCGTCATTCCGCCATTCCTCTGTAGTTTGGTGACCGTATGTTTCATTATCGGAATGAAAATTGCGTTGCAGGCGAGGCCTCTCTTCTTCCTGTTCGTCTCTCGAATAACGGCGCCTGCGATTCAATGGACGGGAGGGCGGTTCCGGACTAAGGAAATCCTGACCGTATCCCCACGAGCGATACCTTTCTTCATCGTCATAGTATCGAGACATGTTGGCACAATAACAAGGCTGTTCGTGTGTGTCGCCTGCCTAAACGCGGGGCTATCGGCAGCTCCAAAGCAATGCGGCTGATGCAGGCCCGCCGCCCCTGGTCGTGTGAGACCCGCTCACTGGTTCGCTAGATGTCAAAGGAGGTCTTCCTCCATGAGAAGCTCGCGCAAGGCCAACGTCAAACGCGAGCATGGCCATGTGTAGATAGAGGCAGCCTGGGTGCGAGGCGTGTGGACCTGTTGTGTCAGCCGGACGCGGTAGAGTGAATAAGCCCTTGACGCGGAGATGCGAAAGCATCGACGTCGCATCTTCCATGGAATCAAGCAGATGCTACAGAGCTGGACCATACTCCTGTGCAGGGCTTTAAGCGCTTGCATTGTATCAAAAGTCAATGTAAGCATTTACCTCTGAAGATACCTAGTGTAGGTACCGACTTGCACGATTCCGAGGTTCCGAGGTTCCGGGGTTTCAAACGGCGCACGTGATCAAAGCAAGCCCGAGGGCTCTTACCTTGGCTCTTTTGGTACTGGATTTTGTCCTCTTCTCTCCCACATAGTCTTGTGCTATCGCGTCTCGATCAATACGACCACGGTGCAATGCGCTGACAGCTTATGTGCCCGATTGCCACTGCTACATTGCCGCCAAAGTCGCCACGCAATTCATTTCGTCAGGCTTATACTGGTGTCCTTTCATCCCACCATCGTCCAGAAGGTGCGCATGGCCTTTCGTGATAGCAATCCTAGATCTGTGCCTTATATCTTGGCCTTTTTCTCTGCCATACGTTCAACTCCTTGAATAGGAAGGTCACGATGCAGCGCGATTGCGGGACCCTTGGCAAAATCTGGGCGCCATCTCACCGACAGCGTGGGAATGCTGCGAGGGATGCGCTACAGCCTCACATGCCCATGCCGTCCGCCTGGAACCAACCCCTGGGGTCGTGGCCTGCGTATCCAGCATTCATCAAGTCCGCGCAACAGACGAACCGCAAGATTGACTCTGCGGCTTGAATACTCCATTACAGACTCTCACACATGTACAAAAATGGACAAAGCTTTAGCCTTATCTCTTGCATACTGCCGCGCCCTTGGCACCGCTGCTTCGAACGTTCTATCAGACTGCCATAACGGCACGGTTGCACAGCGAAGCGCCTGAATGCCCTCCCCTCCTCCCTGTTCAGACCCTTCTCCGGGATCCTGATCTTGGCCCAAGGCCTTGGACACCTTTTGTGGTGCGCTTACCAGCGGTTACAAGAGCTATCAAACCACGAAAACGATCCTTCGAATTGGCCAGCCAAACACCAGCCTCTTGGAACACTCGAAACGGTAATAGACCAGCGATAGCAGATGAATAATGCAGGCCCATGCACTCTCGTTAGCTATGAAGCGGGGGTGCACTGACTGAGGGGCGTGGTAACCCTGCGTGCATCAGGTTGATGCTGTGCTCTGGACCCAGTTATTGTTATCTATATGAAGACTCACTCGAGTCTCCTAACATACGGCGTGCGTTTGTTCATTTTCTACCTTCAATACTTGGCTCTTACCAAGCCTTGCTGCTTGTGTGACCAGCGCGCCAAGTATTCCTTCAATTATTGTCTCACTCCCAATCACTTCTGTGGGCTTAAACTCTATCACAATGGCTATTGACACGCGCGCGAGCCTTGAGGTCACCAAGGGCGCGACCGCGATTGACCCCATCCCCTTGGACACCACCAGCACTCCGAGCTCCATCATCGAAGACGATGACCACCTTTTAGGGCCTTTTCCAACAGAAGAAGAATGGGCGACGCTTCCTCGTGTCGCGGGCTCCAGTACGCAATGTCGGGGTACAAAGTGGGTGTCCATGCTGGGCGATCGTCTAAGACTCAGGACCTACACCTTCAAGTCTGGAATCTTCAGATATCAGTAGCTGGCTAGGACACCTACTTCACCCACTTCCTCGATCTGTGAACTTGATCTGACTTTGTAACCCCCCTTTAGTTCCTTGGACCGCGTGGACTGTTGCTTCTGTTGAATTTGTGGAACGCTTCAGCTACTACGGTACCAGCGCAGTGTGTACGCCATTGCCCATCTACAACGACTATCCGAAATTTACTGACACGCTATACAGTCGTCAACTTCATTCAGAAGTCACTACCTCCGGGCTCCAAAACTGGAGCTGGCTTTTTGAAAAAACCTGGTTCCGGTGCTCTAGGCATGGGACAGCGTGCATCGACTGGTCTAACTCAATTCAACCAGTTCTGGTCTTACTTCACGCCCCTTTTTGGCGCTTGGCTTGCCGATGAGTACTGGGGTCGCTACAAGACGATCCAGTATGCCAACGTCATCGCGGTCATCGGTCACATACTGCTCATCTTTTCCGCGATTCCCCAGGTCATCTCGAAGCCGAACACCGCCATTGGCATCTTCTCCGTTGGACTTGTCATCATGGGTATTGGTACCGGTGGTTTCAAGTCGAATATCTCACCTTTAATTGCTGAGCAGTATAAAAACCGGAAAGCGTACGTTCGGACGAAGAAGAATGGTAGTAAGGAGATTGTCGACCCTGCTACCACAGCTGCGCGAATCTACATCTACTTCTACTTCCTGATCAACTGCGGGTCTCTCACCGGTTCCCTTGCCATGGTATACTCGGAGCATTTCGTGGGTTTCTGGCTCTCGTTTACTCTGCCAACAATCTGTTACTGTCTGTGCCCGCTTATCCTGGTGTTTTTCAAGAAGCACTACGTACTGACGCCACCCACTGGCTCCGTCTTCGGAAAAGCGTTCAAGCTCATTCGACTGGCCATAAAAAATGCTTCCCGAAAGAACATTTGGAAAGACGAGCTCTTCTGGGAGCGCGTCAAGCCAAGCTCGCTGCGCGCTAGCGGCAAAGATGTTCCCTCGTGGATGAACTTCGATGACGCTTGGGTCGATGAAGTCAGACGCGGTGTCGTCGCTTGCAAGGTCTTTGTGTGGTGTAAGCACGCGCCCGCCCCCAGCCCACATCCAACCCTCAGCTGACTTGATAACTATGTAGACCCGCTTTACTTCCTGTCGTACAACCAGATGCTGAACAACCTCGTATCTCAAGCCAATACGATGAACCTTGGCTCCACACCTAACGATATTGTTGCCAAGCTCAACCCAATCTTCATCATCATTGTTATCCCTATTATGGACTTCATCGTCTATCCCGGTCTTCGCAAGGCAGGCATTGTGTTCTCTCCCATTAAGAAGATCACCGCCGGTTTCACACTCGCCTCTTTCGCTATGGTCACGGCCTGCGTCATCCAGTACTACATTTACAAGATGTCGCCTTGCGGGAAACAGATCAACGCATTGAGCGAGACCCGCACAGACTGCAACGCAGATATCTCTGTTTGGGTGCAAGTCTTTCCCTATGGTCTTATCGGCATGTCTGAAGTTCTCGCTTCCATTACTAAGCTTGAGTACGCATCTCCTCAGTCCACTCCCACACTTTAGCTAACATTCAACGTAGATACGCTTACACCAAAGCTCCCACGAACATGAAATCCACCGTTCAGGCCATTGCTCTCTTCACGTCCGCTGTGTCCTCTGCGCTTGGCCAGGCCCTCGTCTCCCTCTCCGAAGACCCTCTACTTGAATGGAACTATGGCGCCGTAGCCGTTATCGCTATGTTTGGTGCCATTGGGTTCTATCTCACCTTCCGCAAGGCTGACAGGGAGGAGGATGCTCTGAACGCTCTGAAGACATCCGCTTATATGGGAAAGAAAACAGGAGACGTTGAGAGTGAAGCTAAAGGCCAGGAGCTTGCGAAAAATGAGAAAGCTAGTTTGAACTAGAAGAATATCGGACAATAACCATATGAGGCTACGAGATAGTAGCGGGAAGGTAAACGTGAGTCAATGTAATTGGAATGGACGATATGAATTGATGGCCTAATCCAGACAGTAAGATTGAATACAAACAACCTTACTTCTACCTGTATGTTCTGTTACAAAGCCGTAACGCCCCCGTTAATTGCCATTATGATCCAGATTTCTCTGCACCAAGTATACATACAGCTTAACATAGCGTGACCGTGACGTACTATTCGGTTCGGTCACTGCAGATCTGCATTAAGTCCGAGCAGAGTAGGTGGAGTGAACTCGGAGGGTATTCTCACTGTGCAGGAGGAGCCTTTGGAAACTGCAGAAACCGACTAAAAGAGCTGATAGGGCAGCGCTATAGGTCTTTTGTGGATTGGGTATCGCAACTTTCTCTATAGCTACTACACATCTTATGTTCAGCGTTTTGGCTTATCGACAGTCAAATCGTCTTTTAAAAGCTAGCGATGAAGTGCAGGAAGTTAGAAGGTATAGACTTTCGCATCGCGCTTCAGGCTTGCCTGATCGGCGTTCTGCTTCTGCGAGGTAGGAAGTGAGTATTGCTGACAGCTCCGCTCCAACCTGTCATACGGCGTGCTGCAGTCAACCCTTTTGATGGAGCAATACCCTTTTAACCTCCATAGGGGCTCTGTTGTTCTCTCGGCTTTCTTTTAGCATTGTGAAGGGAGAAAAGTAGTGTGTACGTGGCTTCCTTAAGTATCTGTTGACTCTTCGTGCGTTATGCTTCACAGAGCACAATTGTACCGACGTCGGTCAGCTTGTTCCATGTCGTCAGTGTCGCAATGACAGAGATTTTTCTGAATTCTGCGCTTGATTCGAGACAGGCTTAATGAGGAACAAGCGGAACAAGCTGTCTGTCACGCTAATAATGCTGGGCGCTTATGTACGTCTTCAATCGCGCTTCGAGGCTACATCAATCCTAGAGCTTCCTTTCGACTCCTGCTCTTCAAGTCCAAGTACGGAGCCTCTCCTACACTGCACACACGGTCTCCCGCTCTCGGATCATGATAGTCGTATGTAGCGCAGTGCCACATACTTCGGTTATCCCAGATAGCTAAGTCGTTCGCTCGCCATTTGAACCTTACCTGTGCATCGTGATTTTGGGTTACGATGTTGAATAGATAGCCGAGAAGCAAGTCCGACTCGTCCTTGGTGACGCCATTGATTCGTTTCGTGAAGCCTTTGTTTACGTAGACAGACTTCCATCCAGTAACAGCTGCGGCATGGTAAGCGTGGTAACAACTTGAAATAGTCAATCATCGCTTACGGTTTGTTCGCACAACTGGATGGACTGCCGTTAACGCTTCGCCAAAATTGAGCGGGTTTCCTCTGATGCCCTTCCTAATCGGATTTCCCAATCTCTCCGCCTCCTCCAAGAAAAACTTCGCATCGTGCGTTGCTGTCAAACCTTCCAGGAATTGCTGCATGGCAGGGGATACACGGTCGTATATTTCGTAGCCTGATGCCCATAAAGTGTCCCCACCTGTCGCAGGTAGAGTGTGAATCTTCAGCATAGCATAATCGGACGGCACGGGCTCAAACGTTATATCGGAGTGCCATCCGGCGGAGGCGAAGCGACTCACGTCGGACAATTGGTGTGTGAGACCGCCGCCCTTCTTTTGCTTCTCGCTGCTTATAACTGATATTTGATCCCCTAGCTCAGAACCTTCCTCTGTCAGGGGGTGGACATGCAAGCCAGACGACTCAGGCTACGGATCAATTAGTGATTGTTGACGACACAGTCGGACATAATACATACACACCCAGACAATTCGGTTATGCGCAGCATAAGTTCTTTCATTTGAAATGGGGTCACCTGTTGATCCCGGAGAAAGACAACTCCACGCCGTGAAACTACGAAATCTTTAGACAAGAACAGAACCAATTGAAAGAGAGGACAAACCGGTGACTGCGAGGTCTCTAATCATGTCGTCGCCCCATTTCAATAGGTCTGTCACCTGGAGACCTTCATATTCCCTCCCAATTACCGGAGTAAGATCCTGATTTCTGAAATTGTCGAGCGAACCGGTATACGTTAATGGCTTCAGAAGCCTGCTGCGGGCAAGTGGGCTTCCACCCACGAAACGGCCTTCGACGGCATCTTGGTCGTCAAGGTGTACGCGTTTGACCGAAGGCATCGCGTTGGACTGCTGCACAGATTTCTTCGATGTTACACTACAAGACTAGACAGTGAATGCTATTGGCGGCCAAATTGGCGAACGCGTGCCCCTTTGGCTAGTATCTGGAACTCTACCCCTCTTTATGGCTTGAGGGTCTCCTGGGTTCACCTGACGCTACCCCACATGCAACCCGAGCACGTCATCGGTAATCCCTCCGCTTTGGGATGTGTCCTTGGTTAGTCGCTCAATTTCCTCGAAACAGCTAGGTCGAGGCTACAAGGAGTGAGATGCACCGAAAAGAAACATGTCCTCGGCCCGGTGTCCACACGACTATCGCAGCACTAAGGCGGCTTCACTTCCCCAGTCGTTTAAGTGTCGATCACGTATGCATCGAACGCAATTGCGACATTCATTTGCTGATGTTTATTAAATTCGTAAGTGGAGCATAGTAAAGACCCACGCGCATATCCCAGCTCTCGAGTAGCGACAAGGTATTGGAAAGATGGGAAACGATATCGAAATCGCCCCGAGAGTGAGCGAAGATGTTGGCTCACTCAAGGCATCAGCAAAGGTCGGACGTGGTGAGTTGGCCGATATTACACCACCTCACGAAACATATGAAGGGCGACATCGATTCGATCCGACAGCAGAATGGACAGACGCAGAAGAGAGGCGTGTTGTGATCAAAACGGACTTGTTCCTCCTCTCGTGGCTCTGCGTCATGATGTTTGGCCTGCAACTTGATCGAGGTAACCTGGGCAATGCGCTCACCGACAACTTGCTGAAAGACCTCAACCTGACGACCGACGATTACAACAATGGAACCACTATCCAGCTTGTGTGCTTCCTGGCCGCTGAGTTCCCTGTCCAGTTCCTCACCAAGCGATATGGATTCAAGTACATCTTACCTACCATGATGTTCGCCTGGAGCACGGTCTCCTGGGCTCAAGCGTGGATGCATGATCGTACTACGTTCTACATCACCCGCGCATTGATCGGTGCCTGTGAAGGCGGTTTCATACCAGGGGTTATCCTTTTTTCGACATACTTTTACAAGTCTAAAGAGCTGGCCATCCGTCTTGCGGCCTTCTGGTCTACGCTGAACGTTGCGCGCGTCATCTCCGCATTGTTGGCAGCTGGTCTCTTGGAAATGCGTGGTGCACAAGGGAAGCCTGGGTGGTTCTGGCTATTCTTGATCGAAGGATTGTTGACGATGGCTATCGCTCTAGTTTCCTTCATCTACCTACCTTCTTCACCCGTAGGAACCAAGGGAATTCTATTCCGGAAAGGATGGTACACCGAACGCGAGGAAGTCATTATGGTCAATGTAAGCCAAACTGTACTTCAGAAATTGAGCACAACTGATAAAAGCAGCGAATCCTCCGCGATGATCCAGCAAAAGGTCTTACAGCACTCCAAGAGCCTGCAACTTTCAAAGACATCAAAGCGGCGTGGAGCGACCCTGCCATGTGGGGACTTTATTTCCTCGGACTGGTTGCTTACATTCCTGCTACACCCGTTACTGGGTACCTGAGCTTGACCCTCAAGCGTCTTGGATTCTCAACATTCAACTCGAATATGCTTACCATTCCATCGGCCGTACTTCAGATCATAACCATGTTGACTCTTGCGTACAGCAGTGATTACTTCAACGAGCGTACCCTACATATCATCTTTGGCGAATTCTGGATCATGCCATTGCTGATCGCTCTTCTTACTCTCCCAGATGGCGGCCGCGAATGGTCTCGGTTTACACTGATTACTCTGATCTCGGGATATCCGTACTTCCATCCCCTGATTTCATCCTGGATATCGGAAAATACGTTTGATGTAAAGAAACGGGCCATCACAGCTGCCACTTACAACGTCGTTGTGCAGGTAGGCTCGTTGATCGGATCTCAGATCTATCGCAAGTACGACGCACCGTACTACAAGCAGGGCAACAAGGTGTGCGTCGCGATTTGTGCCTTGAGCCTTGTCACGATGGTGGTCCAACGTCAGGTATTGGTGTACTTGAACAAGAAGAAAGACGAGAAGTGGCGGGCCATGACATCGGAGGAGAAGGCATTGTACCAATCAAACCTCGAAGCGCGTGAGAGAGACGGCAACAAGAGATTAGACTTCAGGTTCGTGATATAGCATAGTGGCGATTGAGGCTTGTGGGACATATCCTTGTAGGGGCGGGTATTTCACGGCCGTATACCGGGATAATCAAACTCACTAGTTGTAGTGGGTCCGATGCATACCCCGCCATGTGTCCGCCTCATTGGTACACTTATTGTGATTCGGAAGGTCTTTACGCCGTTTAGCTTGCATGTAGCCCTTTCTCCAAATCAGCGCAGATGTTCTTGACTTTCCTCGATACAGCAATATCCCCGACTCAGGTGAAAATTTGTGAGAGCCGCATATATCGAAGGCACTTGGTATTGGCTTGCTAGTGAGTTGCTCGCTTCTCTTGAACTTTCGCACCACAAGACTTCCACGAGTATACTCAACAATATGGCTTGGGAGGAACCTCGAAAGACGGGTATGCAGTACCGCCGTCTGGGCAACTCCGGATTGCATGTCTCTGCCCTGGGTCTTGGTGGCTGGCTCACGTGAGTAATCTCATGCCGAAATGCTTGCATCTTACTAACAGGTTCACTAGCTTTGGTGGTCACGTTGAAAATGGTAAGTGGGCGCAAGTATAAGGCTTTTTGTGTAAATACTAAGAGTTATTAAAGAACTCACATTTTCCTGCATGAAGCAGGCGTACGACTGCGGGATTACCTTCTTTGACACCGCCGAAAATTATACGGCCGGGAAATCAGAGATAGTGATGGGCCAGGCAATCAAGCGATTCGGATGGAATCGTAGTGATATTGTCATCAGCACCAAATTGAACTGGGGTGCTGTCAACGGCGAAGTCCTCGTCAACAACCACGGTTTGTCAAGGAAGCACATCATCGAGGGGCTGCGTGCCTCGCTGAAGAGACTGGACCTTGAATACGTGGATATTGTGTACGCGCATCGACCAGACCGCTTGACACCAATGGAGGAAACAGTGCGAGCCTTCAACCACGTGATTGAGATCAAGGGATGGGCTTTGTACTGGGGAACGAGCGAGTGGTCAGCGGATGAGATTGCTGAGGCGTGCGGCATTGCGAAGCAGCTCGGTCTCATCCCACCAGTAGTTGAGCAACCGCAATACAACCTGCTTGCTAGGAGGAAAGTCGAAGGAGAGTTCCAGCGGCTGTATTCGCGTTTCGGCATTGGTTTGACGACCTTCTCGCCGCTCAAATTTGGTGTGTTGAGCGGAAAGTACAATGATAGTCCCGAGGGGCCTCCCGCTGGATCTCGGTTTGCCGAAGGCAAGGACCGATTTGTGAATAGCATGAGGGATTCGTACGGAAATGATAGCTGGGTGGAGATGATTGAGAGCTCTAGGAAACTCAAGGTGCGTGAGAACGCCTAGTCCAACTGTTCTATAACTGACGAGAGGAAGCCTGTTGCCGACAAATTGGGTGTCACCCAGTCCCAACTCGCGTTGGCTTGGTGCCTAAAGAATCCGAACGTTTCATCCGTCATCACTGGTGCTTCTAGGCCAGAGCAGGTGGTGGAGAACTGCAAGGCACTGGAAGTTCTGGACAAGCTCACGCCAGAGATATTAGCAGAGATCGACGGAATTGTGGGCAAGATAGACTTAGATCCGGCGAGACAGGATTAGACCTCACGCGTGTAGTGTGACACCTGCATGATAGAGGTCTCTGGGCAGACACGCTAAAGACGCACTCAGCCGCGTCACTGCCTGATGCAAAACGACTTGATTACCGATTTTTACGTTGCTTACTTTCTATCGCACCTTTGCCGGTACAAGACCATTTGTGACGTGATCACGGATCCATCCGAGCATCTTACAAGAGCTCTATACTCTGTACTGGCGCTGCCCACGCCTCTTTTGTCAAGGACAAGGGATGTCGACCTCGGATCGATGGTGCATCTCAAATTCAGTATGCAGCTTCTACATATACGTCAGGACTGTGCGTACTTCATGTGCCTTACACGGCTAGCTGAGCGACTTACTCCTCTGAGCATGGTAGGTATACTTATTTCTCAAATACAGCTTCGAAGAGCAAATTATCAGAAGAGGTGAGATGATGCTGAGAATTCTCACGTTGTCAGCAAGATGAAAATCTAGAAGCAATCACTTCTATTCTATCCATCATGGATTCTCGAGAAATATCCACTCGCCTACATTCTCAACCATGGCCGTGACAGGAACGCCTTTGAGATCTAGTATTGTGAAGTTACACTTGATTGACTTACAATGATGTAGCCCTAAGTTTGTAACTTTGTCTAAACTCCTGCGACACAAAAACAGATAACGCCCGAAAGATGTTCCAACAATCCACCTCAGCCAAACAGCTGCCCAATTCTGCGGTTGTTCCACTCCCAAGCTGTGACATCGTCATATCGGCAAGGCGTCGCATCGGTGATGAACTCCTTCAAAGGAAAAAGAGAAGCTTGACGGTTAGGTTTGACGAAATAGGCAATTGAGTAGCGCTCGGGGATCTCTGTGTTGTCACCAGCCTTGATGGCAGGTGGATAAGTCACTCTGTGGCACGCTGCCCGGAAAGTATCGTTGGTAAGGCGTTGAAGAGAGTCACCAATATTGAGGATGATGTCTGTGGACTTGGCCGACTCGACACTACGGAAGACACCGGGCTGCGTCTGGTCTTCCACCTGGAGTCCACCCACGGAATCTTGGAAGAGCATTGTGATGGTTCCAAAATCGGTGTGTTCAGCGATGCGGGTGGCGCTACCATCCGCAAGTTCCGAAGCAGGGATGGCTGGGTAGTGCAGTAGGCGGAATTCGTTTTCGGCGCGGTTATGGAGTGCCTTCAGGTGGTCCTCAGAAACGTTGAGCGCGATGGCGAGTGCAGAGAGCAGCTGCATCTCTGTTTTGAAGGCCTTCTCGTAGAAATATTCCATAAAACCTCGGAAGCCTGGGAGGCTATCTTCAGGAACCCAACGATTTTCGGCTAGGTCGTCTTGAGCACTGCCGAGATCCAGTGTTTCCTAGCAAATGTTAACTAAAGTTAGGATGTGCAAAGGAGGAATGCGAATAGACGAACCTTGATGTCACGGGCAGTTCCAGGACCAGCACCCTTCTCATATCCACTGATTTTGGCGACATTTTCTTGCCCCACGAAGGCGTAACCACGATTGGGATTGGCTTGGAGAGGGCGTTTAGCTTCCATCTTGGTCTCAAGCGGCAGAGAAAAAAATTTGCGGCTCTGCCATCATGTATAGGTAAGCCTTTAATGCCTTCCTCGAAGAGATTCAAGCATACCATTTCGAAGAGCTTATGTATATCCTCGTCCGGAATACTGTGATTTTGGATCTTGACGCCTCCCCGCAACTTCAGTAGACGAAGTAGCTCCGTGCAAAAGTACGTCTTCTCTTCAGGGGTGCCGAAGAATAAAGACATGTCGAGATTGACGCCTTTGTCTGTCATGGTTGCTGACGTGCAGAGTGTGGGTCTTTGTTTAATTGTGAGATGGGTCGTTTGGGTTGAAGATAGGTTGAAGAGGAGAAATTGACAGCCTGGTGGTTTGTGTGGGAGATATGGTGACTTGGTAGTCTCCCTCGGCGAGCTTCAGACCCTTAAATATCGTATCGAGCCTACTTCAATCTGCAATCTCGTGATCTGGCACCAGTCGGGGTAGGCGATTGCTCCTGTCAAGATCACTCAATTTGATTCAACGATTACTCCGGCATAGATCTGAATCCGTTGTTGGAGCCTGTCAGCCAAAGAAATCAGCTTGGGGTAGCTATCACTCCGCGGTACGATTCACTCCGTTGCGAAGTCCACTCCGAATGGTGGAGACAGGGGGAAACAGCGGGGTAAATGCTAAGAACTTAGCAGCATTTGGAACGTTTTGATTGTAGAAAGCGGGGACCAAGTTCTCAAGTGAATAGATAGGTCTAAGAGAGATCTTGTATGAGCAAACTCCCGCCTTTTGCTACAAGAGTGTTGATGCTAACTGTTCGAAGCTACTTTGAACCTGATGAATACATTTTAAAGGTGCCAATTCCAGACACCACTCCAACAGACTCAAATAAACGGACTACCGTTTCACGCAAAACTTTGAACTTAGGCAGCGCGGGCCAACATTAGCTCTGGAGAAGCCGATGGTAGCCGCTGGCATGGCACCACAGTGTGTCCTGATAGTCAGTCTCCTCCATGTATAGGCTGGAGACGTTGACCAGAATTTTCCAAATGTACGTTTATCGACGAAAAAGGTCGAGCAGAACCTAAGATGACGAGCATCCACTATGTTTAGGCTGCGGAGCTAATCCTATCCTAGCCGGAAACTCCCGCCACTTCGGAATCCCTTGCCCTCTCGGAATCTCCTGCCCTCCCGAGCACAAGACAAAGACTCGACATGCCCGGGCTGCTCAGTGTGTAAACGAAATGGGTACTGCTGCCAGAGACTGGAAGTGGACTCAAACCGACGTCATATGATTGTCATTCCATAGCGCCCGCCTGAGGGGAGTTGAGGCTATCGCATGACGGTCTCCTCATTGAATAACCTTACCACTAAAGTTCGATGCTCGTGGCATCTTTGTGTAAATTTCACAGGTGACGTGTACCGGAGATGAATGTCCAATGTTCTGAACATATTTGCGCTAGCGTATCACTCAACCACATTCTTTAGTCGTCAATCCATGTTTAAGAACGAAGTAGTGCGGCATTATAATCACATTGATCGAGATTTCTCTAGGTGGGTAGCATAATTCTCATAGTGTAGATTATAGATGTGTGCTTACTCATATGACTTCAATGTCGAGTTGAGGTGAAACAAAATGCTACACGTCGAGGGACACATCGCGCAATCAGGTGATAAGCGGTCGGTCGAGAATGGGTGGTGATACCAACTGTCGAGGATACATCGTACAGGCGACGAGACGTAAACGGCTGGAGATTCAGGATTCGCACTCCGTATGCGATTACGCTGTCAGTAGCTGTGCAACGGTCTGGGCGTCAAATGTGTGACCGTCACACTTGATAAGTTTGCTACCATACGAAGCACGTACACTAAATGACTCACGAGTATATGATGGAACTGGCGACTGATTGTTCAGACTGATTGATAAGTGAGGGAAGTGGGACAACAGCTACCTACGTTGGCGGTGATGATTGGCCTTTCTTTACTTTCGCGGTGCGGCACAGATCCCTTTGCGGTCATTATGTATTACCTGTAGTAAGACTACGTCCACACCGCGTTTTCTTCCCTTGCTCGCATATGTAACCTGATTTGGTGGTCGTTAAGAAAAGTTGAAGGCCCCCAAGTCTTCCCCGTCGCTCCTGTCGCCATTCTATCGGTGCTTTGCCCTTGCTGTTTCACAGCCGTCGGTCAATTTTCTGTTAGTTTTATTTGGTTTTCAATGATATATTCACTCTCTTATGAGCTTATTCTTTTTGACCTGGAGCCATAAAGAAGTGTAGGAAGAATTTCTGCAATCGACAATGCTGTGCAATAGATTCTGGGAAGACGCACATTAGCGCAAGCTCCGAGGATCACGCCGTGACTTTGTATCGTATGCAAAGCCTCGCCTGTATATGCAGGGTCTCGGTGATGTCCACTCCGGCTTTCAATTGGAGCAGAAAAATACATAATTCCAGCCTTAGGAGATTCTACGGAAAGCCCTCACTAAGTTTCCCATGCCCTTGTCGTCTTGCCCTCCTCGAGCATCCCAGCTTTCGGTAGCCACATAGTCCAAAAGACGATATTTGCAAATTCCTGTGCTGTCGCGTGCTATCTGTCATCTGGTGTTTTTGTCATCGGTACTAATGGATTTCGTTCTACCAACTAGAATCCGAACTTCTCATACAGTGGCTTTCCTACGGGTGTTGCATTGAGCCAAAAATCGACATCAAGCTCTTTAGCCGTATCAATACCTCATTGGACAAGCATAGCTCCAGTACCCTTGCGACGACAATTGGGGTGGGTGAAGAGGATATTCAGGACTTAAGTCTGTTAGCAAAGCTCCAACGTATCAAAATGATGGTGGGAGGATGTATAGACTTACGGACGAGCAGCCTCCCTCTCGCGAGATCGGTCTATTTGCCCTATCGCTTGCCCAACGAAGTCTCCCGAGCTATCGTCTGGATACCAGTCGACAAATTCTTCTTCTGGGTGTATGAAAGGGTTTTCTTTGTAGATCACATACCATGCACCGCTAACGATGCTCCCTGTAGAAGTATCTTCGACTTTCAACCAGCGTGCATGGGAGTTATGGGGTCACATTCCAGCATGCGGTCAGTAGATTTTTGCAGCGAGGCTTATCGGTCGCCACCGTTGACGGAGTAGAAGAGCCGGAAGAATGGTTGATTGAGCCCCTCGTGCGCTGCCCACAACATGACGGCCACGAGCTCGTCGAAAATCCGTTTCAAGGTCGATATCCGACAATTTGAACGACGTATCGGGCCAGAGGAAAAATCGAGAGACGCAAATAACCTTCAGACTGTCGACCACTAAGGGCGGGAAAGCAATGGAAAACAGTCCGTCCTGTGTGGTATGCCAAGGTTGACCCAGCCTTTGGCAAGCAAGAAAAGATTGATGACCAACTCTCGCGCACTATCTTCGCGCTTCGTAACTGGCCTCTGCTTCGGCGTATAACGCGGCGATGTACCACAATGGCGGACTGGAGCAAGCGCTTGGTGGCCTGCTTCTGACCAGTCTTGCCGCATGTCCTGTGACACCTGCCTTATTGGTCACTACTTGCACATTTTTAGCGTGATATTCGCGCCTTTTCTTCTTGTTTGATACAAAGCTGTTACGCGTGTAGAAAAGCATGTTCTGAATTCACTTTCCATTTCGGTCTTTGCTAAAAGCAAAACGACAACATTACATGGCCTTCCAGCGACCGAATCTATGTACATTCATGGTAGGGCTGCTGAAGCTAGGCGCGCTTAAAAGTCGCACCCTGTCGGCCAATGTATACGCAGATTCCGATGTGGTAGGATTCAATTTCAATCTTACGAAGCATGTGGCGCGGTTGGGCGTCTAGATCGGCTTACGCCCCGTCGTTCGTCCGCCTTCAGACCACTTTAGGCGACACCGACATGAAGTCGAACAGGGGTCCGGTACACAGTTGTATCGAACGGTCCTTTTGTTCGGGCCGTCCTACTTGCATGAGCCACCACCAGAGCAACGAGGCGTATGCGTTATCGCGCGGAATTTGCCATCCATGCTGCCTTTGCTCTCCAGAGTTGTCGTGCAACGTTTGCGTTCCCATGCAGCGGGTGTCCTAATCTGGTCTCTTGTAACTGGAAGTACTGGTCTTGGGTCTCGGCAACGATATCATCCTCCTTCATGATGTTAGACTCTCACTTCAACTTGTGGCGTTTTCTCAGTGATGTCAGTTGTCGAATTTTTTCAACATGGCGGATCAGCTCGTTATCTCTGAGTTCAATCGAACGCCAGTCGTGCAAATTGTCACCTGGTTTTGTCTTGTTGTGAGCGTTCTTGCGTTCTTCTCGCATGCTGGCGTCAAGGTCTATATTTCGCGGTCACTGACTGTGGAAACTGGCTTTGTCTTCCTGTCTTTGGTACGAATACCACTCTCGAGACTGTCCCAATATCTTACTGTACATCAGCTTTTTGCGAGCGCGCAATCGATCGCCGTATCTATACAAGCTTCAAACGGCTTTGGCAAACCGTCAAACACACTGGACAATGGAAAGTTACAGGCAGTTTTGAAAGTCAGCGTCGCGATCGACTCAGATGCGCGTTCAAAACTAATAGCAGTAGAGCGAATACGCTGCCACAATCCTCTTTTTCTTCTCCGTCGCCTTCTCCAAATTGGCAATCGTGGCTTTCGTTCATGGCTTGACGCCTAAGAAGCTGGACCGGCTTTTTAACTACGCCTTTGGAGCCTTCGCAATCATCTGGCTCATCGTATCCGTATTTGTTGCGGCTTTTCAATGCCGTGTGCCTCGTACATGGGACAAGGCTTCCGGGAAATGCATAGACGCTGTAGGTGTTTGACGTGAATGATATCCATCTTGGCTGATATTTGTATAGCTGGAATGGTGGGAGGCTATCACGATCCTGAATATAGTGTCCGAAGTGTCGCTTGTCGGTCTGGAGACGGGCATCTTAGTGCCCTTACAAATGGAGCGACAGAGGAAGGTGTCACTCATTAGTCTCTTCGCTTGTCGGCTACTGTAGATACTGTCTTTACAGCCAATAACCTTTACTAATATATCAATAGTGTCACGGCCGCGGCCGCAGTCCAGCTCTACTTTTTCCAGCAGGATGTCTCTGGACCTCTTAAAGATGACCACTCGCTCGGATATTGGCGGTCGACCATTTGCAATCAGATTGTGCAATGTCTTGCAATCGTAACAACATCGCTTCCATATACGAACATTTTCATGAAAAGCTTTGAGTCAGGTCTCATCACAGTTGAAAGGCCCGGAGGCAAAACCGAACGCTCTACAGAGGCTAGCGGCCCAAGCGGGAGAGGGTACGAGCTGCTTGATGTCTCTCGCAGCACCGGCACCCAGCCAAGCGAAGGTATCAGTAAGACGCAGACTTTCACAGTTGAGTCGGCAAAAGGAACTTGAGTGTAGATCATATATTTTGGTGTTTCGCGACAGAATTGACGCAATGTAAAATGCCTCGTACCAGTGAAGTGATGAGTTGAGCGCTGAAGCAAATAAAGCAAACAACGGGAAGATGGCCGTATCTGCAAGACCTCTAGATTGATAGCCCACGGCTGTAAGGAAGGGAGAGTGCAATCACGAGCGAAACACCCGAATCCTTGCTAGTACCATTGCCCGTTACTTGCTTTATCACGCCATGCGGCGCGGTCCGCAGCGTTTGACTTTGACGCCTCAGGGGTTCGGAGAGGTTCCCGCATGCCGATGCGGAGGACGCGGGTGTGACCCGAGGGTGTGGTTCACACCCCGAGAGCGGATCGAAAAGGGCAACATCACCGATACTCAAGAGAACGCGAGCCCGGGGGAGTGGTGTGCGTCTCATTTAGTGTGCGCAATGAGGTAAAAGCATCAGACATGCAGTGCGGGAACACATGCAAGGACAGGGACCAAGACGAGGACACTCCGCAACAAAGTCAGAACGTCGTACTACCGCGCATGCAGGCACAAGGGTTGAACGAGTCGAGGACGCATTCCGCTCCGATATGCAGCCAACACCCCGCGCGTGCATTACTATCGCCTTATGCGAGCACTGATCCAGATTGCGTCGCATCGAAACGTGCCATGTGCGGCCAATACTCGCGCCTTGAAATCCCCTTACCCGAGTACCGACCCAAGTAACCCTGGACGAAACGTGCCGTTGCGCGGCTGAGAAAAGCTCTCCATAGGTTTCTTTTTTTCTTCTTTTCTTCTTTGTCTCACAATACGCTCGTGACATATTCCTGCCTCAATTTCTGTCCCTTTCACTCTTTCTATGATGGAGGCCCAAAGCAAGGATGGGGGTTTTGAGCTGCAAGAGGTTCGCGATAGGCCTAGGTCATTAGAGAGCGACGATGCTGCACTCTCGAGGCTCGGGAAGAAACCTGTTCTCAAGGTAATCTTCTCCCTGTGAATTCGTACCTAAGAACTAAAGAGTAGCTTACAGAGGCGATTCGCGTTTCTGTCTATCCTCGGATTCAGTTGCACGGTTTTGGTCACCTGGGAAGGGTCGCTGATGTTTGTATTCCACACACGCCCAATCTCGTACTCTGCGTTAACCTTGTCATAGTCTCTTCCTCGTGGGTCTGCAAAAGTAAGTTCCGGAGAAACGACCACATTGACAATGTAATGTCTGACCAAGCTAAAGTGGCGGTCCTGCGGGTGTTATCTACGGATATCTGGTTGTCTGGATGGGCACAATATCGACTTTCATCGTGCTTTCGGAGCTGGTCTCCATGTGCGTATACTGACTCGCCTCTTTGGATAAGCGGGTATTTATTTTAGAACAGGGCACCAACTTCTGGCGGGCAATACCATTGGGTATGCTCCATTCATATCGGAGGTTTCCTTCGAGAAGGCAATCTAACAAACCCCAGGTTTCCATGCTAGCGCCTAGGAGCATTCGGAAAGGTCTTAGTTACATCGCAGGTATAGTGAACCTGAAGCTTCCAGTCGAACTCAGCTAACAAGTGTGACACAAATAGGATGGCTCACTTTAGCAGGCTGGCAAGCATCCGTTGGCTCCGGTGCCTATCTGACCGGAACACTAGTCCAAGGCCTCCTTGTCCTCACGCAGCCGAGCTACGTTCCCCAAAATTGGCATGGTACCTTGCTATATTGGGCTGTGATGATGTTCTGCATTACTATCAACATCGCCGCCGGATGGCTGCTGCCCAAGTTTGAAGGCGGTCTTCTCATCCTCCACATCGTTGGGTTCTTCGCGGTGTTGATTCCACTATTGACCCTGGGCCCGAGGGGGGACACCAAAGAAGTCTTCGAAACTTTTTACAATCTTGGTGGGTGGCAAACTCAAGGCTTGTCATTCTGCATCGGGATCATGGGCAGTGTCTTTGCTTTTGTCGGTACGTTCTGTTCTTGATGCAACAGTGGCGCATTTACTAACATTCTTTAACAGGCGGCGATGGTGCGATCCATGTAAGAGCTGAAACCCTGACTGGCCTGTCGAGTGTCTAACATATTGCAGATGAGCGAAGAAATCCAAAACGCCGCCTTGGTCGTACCTCGATCTATCATGACTGGAATAATGATCAACGGCTCTCTCGGGTTCGGCATGGTACTCACGGTCCTCTACCGAGCCGGAGACATCGACGCTGCGCTCGCAGAGAACCCAGCGTATCCATTTATGGCAATTTTCAAACATGCCACGAACTCAACAGCAGCAGCGGCTGTGATGGCATCATTGATATTCTGCTTGGCCACTTCTGCTACTGTTGGTCTATTAGCGTCTTCGTCTCGAGTCTTCTGGGCCTTTTCTCGCGACAAAGGTCTGCCAGGGTGGCGAATGCTAAGTAAAGTCAGTCATCTGCATATCCTAATGTCGAGTAGATTACTTACACATGTGACAGGTGAGCGAACGAACAGCTATTCCGGTATACTCCGTGGCTACAACAACCCTTATTGCATGCGTGCTCGCGCTTGTCAACATCGGCTCATCAACGGCATTCAACGGTATCATCTCTGTTTCCATTGCGGGTCTCTTCTCATCATACCTATTGGTCGCTTCGCTATTACTGTACCGTCGATGCACCGGGGATATCGTACCGGCCAGCAGCGTATCCGCGAGCAGCCCGACCGACTCCCAAAACACAAAGATTTTGTGGGGTCCATGGAGAATCCCTGGCCTCCTGGGCATCGCAAATAATGTCTTCGCTTGCGCATACCTCTCCTTCGTGCTATTCTTCAGCTTCTGGCCAAGCTTTGCTGAAGTAAGTCCGGCAAACATGAATTGGTCGATATTGGTAACGGGCTTCGTTGCCATCTTCAGCGCTCTATACTATGTTCTCTGGGCAAAGAATACATATCACGGTCCAGTCGTGGAGGTGGAGCCTAGATACGTGCAAGATGTACGTGCATAGGTGGGCAGATGAACAGCGGCAAGCGGTGAATGACCACGTTCGCGACTGGTCGCGTCGGCAAGTACGCGTGGCCCTCATTCATCTCAAGCTGCTTGAAAAGTTAGAATAATGCATTTTTATCTAAAGCCTAGTGAAGTCTCTTCGCACTTGAGTTCAAGCGAACACAACTGATCCAAGCAATGCCAGAGTACCCAACAATACTAACATCATGTTAGTGAACGCACTCCTACCCAACGCCTCCAGATCCGTCTCAACCCTTTTTGTGAATGCTCCTTTGTCATTCGCTCGGGGGAACAGTATTTCCGGTGTATTCTTCCCAAGAAACTCGCAAAGTGGCTTCCATCCGTCTTCGATGTTCCATTCCAGTAACTTTTCTTTCGGGACTAGTTGCCGTATCATCGCACTGTGCTGCTCATGTACGGTCTTGCCGAATGGCTCTACGCCGCTGCGCAATGAGCGATAATCTGGACAACGGAAGAGCGCTGGCCAGAGGATGCGCTGGTGGACGTGCCATTGCCACCATAGATCGGCATTGAACCAGCTACAAATTTTCTTCAGCACAAATGCGACTAATATTAAAATTGGACTTACTCACCAGAGAAGCCACTTGAACCAGTCTTCGTTCACGGCGACAATGTTCGACATCACAGACGCGTGCCACGCATCAATGTCCTGGCGTGTATTTAGAATCACCTTGGCATCTGGATACGCTGCGATGAGCTCAGCGGAGAAGCAATTTGCAGCAGCATCGGTGACTGCTACAGCATGGCCGAGCAATGCATCAAAGTCCGCAGAGGTGATCGGCTCAGCAGTCGGCTTGAAAAATTTCCTCCGGGCTAGTGCAACCCAGGAATTCATACGATGCGGTGACTCGTTTAGCATATCCCAGCCCTGGGCTGATTGTAAGACATCGGAAAACCACGCAACCGAAGCGAGGGCGTACATGATATGTGTAATCGTAGCCGAGCGTCAACAGGGCTTTCTGCAGTGACTCGGTACCGGAGCGAGGCAGTCCAACACATATGACTTGCATTGGCTTCGAAGGGTCCCGCATCCTCGGGGGTGGATCAGGTGCGAACAACCCGTAGAACGATTCGATAACGTGCCATATCGGGCTGTGGAGACTGGTCATGGTGGACCAGAAGGCCGGTTGTGCTTCGAGCATGCCTCCAAGTATGACGCTTGTGCAAGGTACGATGAGATACTCAGCCGTTATATACGGTTTCGATACTCGGGCTGTACGCTCCGAGTCTGCGCTTGCCTCAGAGAATTCAAGCCATCGTATGCTGCGCTAATATCGTATTGATTCAAACCCCACAAATGCAACGGATATCAATGAAGGTTTGACACCCACTCATAGTCTCGCGTTTGCGCCAAATTAGTTCCAAAGCAATGTCAAGACCGACAGTAAATTCATTCGAAACATCGGCGACACCTTATTAGTGTTACACAATCTCGGCTTCTTGGCGTCACGTATAAGAGCCGCGTGCAATACCCGGTCGACGCGTCACATCCATTTACATATACAAATACCCGGAAAGGCTCCACTGTCCATCTACTTCAGACGTATTATCGGCATGATTCTGATTCCCCAATCCTTACTGCCGGTGAGAATGTACGTGCCTAACAAATGAAAAAAACGGTGCCAGTTGAGTATCATATGTCCTGAGTAGGCGCGATGCTTCCGGGGTCGGCGAGCCCGGTGGTTTCCAAAAGGATATCGAAGTCGTCATGGGAGTTGATGAGGTTCTTACCAATACGAGAGTACTTCCGCATGATATCAACTGACTGGTAGCAAGCCAAAAAAGCAGTGATTTCGAAATGTTAGGAAAGTAAAAACTAACAGAAAGGACGACTACCCCTTCGGACAGCTGCTCTTTCAAGAGCGTGATGTTTGCGTTTACCTCATCCTCATGAGAAGACCTTTGCCAACGAAGTGATAAAACATAGATTGCATGAAAAGTGAGGCTAATCGTATGTTTTGGAATCATACATGAAGCTAAACGCCACGAAATACTATAGAAGTGGAATGTAATCATAATCGGAATCTACATACGTGTCCGCATATGCATACTTTCATGATTGTGGTCCTCGTGCACATCGGTACCAGTTTGGTTCGATAATCCATGTAGTGTAACCTGTGTGAACCGGCTCTGGACGTTGCTTACATCTCCATGTCTGGTTCAAGCTGGCACCGGAATGGAGCATCTCCGCCTTGGGCCAACCTAGTCGACGTTATAGTACTCCTGGCTCACCATCTTGTACCCTAGCTGCGCACTCACGAAGCCGTACTCAAGGTCGTTGCGGCATACGGGTAAGCTTGCTAGCTCAGCCCCAAGACCGTATGTGTCATCATCATCGTCCATCATCATAGGGTCACCATCTCCCACGATCTCATCCCTCTCCAAGGCATGTTCGAACAGGCTTGAACCCACTGCGTAGACAGTGCCGCCCCGTTGAAGATAGTTCTTACAATTCGGAGGCCACTCGTTCGCTTCCCTCACCAGATGATGCATGGCTGCTTCGGTTGGCAGAGAACGTTCGATGCGCAAAACCGTCGCAAAGTGCGTGAATAGCTTTGAGAATCCCTGACGCATTGACTTGTTTGTCCTAAGATTGTCGCGGACATAAGGTAGGACATATCGAAGCTCTTCTGAATGCTCTTCGACAAACATATCACCCCCAGTCATATCTTGATCGATAGAGAAATCGAGGATGTCGTGCATATACTCAGCCTGATTGCGAAGGGCGAAACGCATTCGAGGACTGAAGAATCCTCCAACGCATATGCCACATGTGCAGCCATACTTGAGGCGCATCTTTTCCATGCTGTCGATAGCAGTCAGGCCCTTCAGCATGGCAAGACATAGAACTGTGTCTTCGCTAAAGCCCATGAATTTGTCCGAGACACTCAATGTCAACATGGCATGTACACGTTTGGTTCTGTATTCCTCATTGGACATCTCCAGTGCGTCTAATGCTGTCTCGCCTTTGTCATTCCGAACATTTTGAAGATCTGGGTTCTTTTGAAGAAGCCACGACACCGTTTGAGGCTTGGCCGTAGTTGCTGCGCAATGAAGAAAGGAATTGCCCTCGTTGTCTACGGCATGCCAGGCTGGGTCGCCATGGGCCTTCCCTTGAAGCTTTTCCTGCAATCGCGTACGCCAAGCGCCATCGGCTGAGCGGATGCAATCTTTGTAGACTTCTAACGTTTCTGATGAGGTCTGGCGCGGCGCAGGAGTGGGCAGCTCGAAGTCTGCATCTGCGTCTAATTTATGACATGGATGCTCCGAGCTGCTTGCCAGTGCAAGCCAGGCTGAGGAGCCCACTCTCCGGAAGCCCAATGACCGATAAAATCGCTCTGCGGCTAGTTGGTGCCGAAGCTGAATCTCCCCGGTTTCCTCTTCAGTCTTTCCTCTCGCCTCCGTTTTGACTACGGCATTGAGCCAGCCCGGAGCGACAACAGCAAAAAAGCTCTTTGACTTGCCCCGAGTTTCGTCAAGGACGGCTGTGACGAGCCTATGTCCGAGTCCCTGGCGTCGGTACGGTTCTTGTATAGAAATATATTCGAGCAGCAAGAGATCGCCGTGATCAAATTCGTCACCCCAGATTCCGGATCCTTTCTTGATGATCTGTTCTTTGAACATCTTTTTCAAGCGGCCATATCGGTCGAAAAGCTCGAAAGCCAGATTGCTCGTTTCTTGAGATGGCTGCTCCAAATCGCTGTAGAAGGACTGCATGCGTCGGCGACGAATGAGTTTAGCATTGCAATAACCCACGTGCAAAGGCTTATTCGGATTTGCTGGGTCAGCCACCTCAACTGTCCCGTCCATTTGCTCCAACCAGCGGAACTCAGCGAACTCGTCGTCTTCTGAAGCTTGATCAGATGTTCCCTCGTCATCGGACGAAAAGTAAATCTCCTCTTGCGAAGAGCTTTCGTCTTCGCTTGCGGATATCAAGGGGGAACGCGTCCTCCTCTTGATGTTTTGACTAGCTTCGCTGTATAATTGTCAGTGTGGTTCCTCAAGTATCGGGCAGAGCACCCACGCTGTTCTCTTAGTCATGGGGTTGGCATCCACTGACTCTCCAGCTTTCTCTGCACGAAGAGACTTTGCTACGTCTTGGAAGCATGTTTTCCAGTATCCCGCAGGCTTGGGATCGTTTCGCTCCGCCTTTGAATTCGATCGAAGAGCCACTTGAACCGTGAATTTGTCCACTCCATCGGCGTCATTCACCACTTTACGACGCGTTGTATGCTCCTCGCCTAGGTCATCGCTGGCGCTCCTCTTCCGATTACTAGAAGCCATCGGGAGGATATGGTGGTCAACAATCGAACAGTAGCTATAGTGACAGCTCGCAGTGAAGGTAGAGAACAAAAGTATGAACCCGGGAACACGTAGACTGTGACGGAAGGCGCTCTTCGGAGCGAGATGCGTGCAACTGCCGTGCTATCGGCAGCATGAATGATAGAATCTCGATATCGCACTGTCCCTCGGGGGTTTGCGTCAATGTAGAACGGGGAAGGCATTCTGAAGTGCAGGCGGCGCGGGAGATTTGTTGTCACATGAGGGGAAACGGAGGGAAGGAAGGCGCGGTGGCGTGCTTTGACCAGGCGAGTACGCACCCGAAAGGTGCGATCCACCAGCTTGCACCTGCCTTGCGGAATTGATCGATCAGGACTTTGACCGCGCCTCTTGACTGCAGCATGCCCCCGTGCATTGCTTCACGTCGAGCGATACCTACACTTTCCGGGTGCAGCATTGTTTCTGATAAGATAGCCCTCGGACCGACAACATTGAAAGTAGACTGGTAGCGACGCCCTAGTAAAGCAGGAGCGTTCGTAAGTGTATGGAGTCATTTGAGGCGAGAAAGCGCGGCTAATGTAATAACGCCTGGAGTCCTAACGCTTCTGCAGGTCATTGTGACAAGTGAAATGGCCACAACGACCATGAGGTGGTGCGAAAGGCTTGTGATGGGATACGGATACGTCAGGCAACCCATCGTACAATCGGAGAATTATCGTAAGCAAGTCGTCTGCAAAAGAATATACATGGACGGTGAATGTATCTCGATAGTCCAGAAGCCGCAGGATGCGTGCTGCATACCCCGCAGAATCTCCCCCACAGTCTTCCCCACATTCCGGAACCTCACTCTGGCGCCCTGGGAAAAGCCGGCTCTAGAGAAGCGAACACCTGCAGACTGTTATGCCTCAATGCCTGAATGCCGCCGCGTCTTTGATTCTTCTTCTTACTTGGAACTAAACCCGTATGAACAATGATAAACATGTGCACACAGCCAAAGACATAATAACACTACTGACATAGTGCATGCCGTTGCACAAGGGTATCTACAGTCCGGCTTTTCCGAAGGCGCTAGGGCCCTTGCCCGTTTCGCTTGTACCGTCGAGCTTTACTACGAGAGGAAGAGGAGATGCGATAAGTTGATTTAGATCTCCACCTTCCGACGGTTTTCCCGGAATTGCGTCCTCGACCCTTCGACATATCGTTAGCATTGGAGCATTTCTACGCACGTCGGCGTCTGCTCCCCTGTCAGAACACGAATCTTGAAAGGCCGATCAAAATAACGACCGAGGTCATAAACTTAAGTAGCCAGTCATATGGCTACTGATCCTCTGTGCCAGCATCTGTCGTCGTACTCACCGGCGCTAAACTTCCTGAGAACCTGAGCTATCTAGTCTATCATCATGTTGGGCCAGATTCATGTCAACATGGCGATAGCCTGTGCTGTCACCGTTGGCGCAGCAGGCGAAATCGTCCAGCTTCACGTCCCAAACCGGCCGCCCGTAGGGACGAACACCCTCACCGGTTCGTTCCAAGGTTATTCAATGGAATTTGCATCGTTCCCAAGTATAGCCGGCAATTACTCGTGGGTAATGCCATCATGGAGCCCTACAGCTTCGCTAATCCACCCCACGCTAGCTCACCCAACAGGTTATCCTACCGGATGCTCCAAAACTTGAAGGATATCACGAGGTCAGCCGTCCCCGTTCGCGTAGGTGGTACTACGGCCAACCACGGCATCTGGGTACCTGACCAAGAACAAGCCATCATTCAGAACTTCGCTGTTGTAGGTGCGGATCAGCCAGCAAATTCTACCTGGGGTCCGGCATACCTCGAGTCCTTCAAGATTTTGCCCAAAGGTACCCAATACACGGTTGGCGTGACGTTTGACAGCGGGAGTGTTGGGGCGAAGAAGACGGTCGATGAGGCAAAGGTCTTCTACAATGGCCTTGGGAAAGACATTTTCGCTTTTGAGGTGGGGAACGAGTTTGACGGTACGAACCCAACAACGCACTCCCAGACATGTGCCAGCTGATGATCATGTTTCTAGCGTTTCCTGTGGACCGCAACACGAGTACTTGGTCGATTGGTGAATACGTCCCAGAATGGTTGGAGCGCACTGGCTTCGTGGCAAAGGCAGTGTTCAGAAATGCTCTGGCGAAGCGGTTTCAAGCCGGAGTATTCGTTGTCCCGGGCACAGTTACCAATGATACCTCTTGGACGACCAAAGCAGCTATCGACCTGGGAATAGCTTCAACTGGTGTGGCGAGGACCTTCTGCACGCATTATTACGCCGGCGCTGCATGTGGACCACTCAAGCCCACTCTCGCAGGGGCCTTGATGAATCGCACGAACCTAGTGCAATCCATGGGGTACCAAGCTACGTCTTCCTCATATTCGGTTTCCAAGGGTTTAACTTATATCATCGGCGAAACGAATTCCATTGCCTGTCAAGGCCTCGCTGGCGTCTCTGATGTATTCGGTGCGGCGCTTTGGAGTGTTGACTACGCATTGTACGCAGCTTCACTCAATGTATCCAACGTTTACTGGCACATGGGCACTGGTTATCGTTATGCAGCCTGGCAGGCTACGCAGAATGGCACTACAACACCTGGACCGCGGCCCCTGTACTACGGGAACCTGTTCGTCGCCACAGCTCTCGGAGAAGGCAATACCCAGGTGGTACCTATCGTCAATTCGACGTCTCTCGCTGGTTACGCCGTTTACTCGAACACTCCCCGGGACTCGTCACTTCGAAGCATTGTTCTGGTCAACATGAACGTCTTCAACTCTACCAGCACTCCAGCAGCCTCGCGACCGAGCGCAGGATTTGCGCTACCCTCGCACCTTCGCAATAAACACTCAAAGGTTTCAGTGCAACGTTTGACTGCATCAGGCGCAGAAGTTCGTGAGGGAATATCGTTTGCCGGTCAGACAGTTGCACTCGATGGTAACATCACCGGAAATCGCAAGAAAGAGATGCTGATAGGCAACACTGTTAAGGTTCACGCAAGCGAAGCTGTGTTGCTCCAAATAGAATAGGATCTAGCCTACAATAAAAGGTCAAGTACCGAAGCTGGCGGTCTGCTATGCGAGTCTCGCCACAGGTCCCTTCGGCCATATCCGCACAATCAACTTACGAATTCCATCCATGACCAATGCAAGCGGAAGAGGCATCAGTCAGAATTCGATCGGAACAAACACCGTTCCAAATAAGCTTTGCGCAACACGATCCCCTGTGACAAAGATCGCAATCGCGAGCGATATCAGAATCAATTCAATGAGCCGTATGTAGCTATTATACAAAAGCACTCGGTGGGCTATCGCTCAAGTCAAGATCGGCAACCCGAACTACCACAACTGACATGTTGGCTTCTTCTCCTTGCACTTGAAGCTCTCCCTAAACTCGCGGCTGTTTGCCATAGTCCCTAGAATGCGCGCCCATTTGGGTGCATGAGGATCGGTGTATATGCGCTGAATCGCAGTCTCCATGCGTGTCTTGCCGCACCACCAGTTCGAGTATGTGACGAAGAAGAGCTGATCCTGCGTAAAATGGTCTAAGCCCGGAAGGTCCTGGTTGGGCTTCTTATGGGCGCGTCGCTTCCATGCTTGGAAAGACGCCGACAAGCCGCCTGCATCGGCAATGTTTTCACCAAGTGTGAGACGTCCATTGACGTGGAGGGGTTTGTCATCTGGTCCTGGAACGGTGTAGTTAGCGTACTGGTCGACAAAGCACTCAGCACGCTTTTCAAATGCCTTGACTGTATCGTTTGACCACCAATCCGTATAGTTACCAATTTGGTCATAGTGTCGGCCTGTCGAGTCGAAGGCGTGACTCAGCTCATGGCCAGCCACAGACCCGAACGCGCCATATGACATGTAGGCAGGGACATCGACGTCGAAGACGGGGAATTGCATGATTCCGGCAGGAAAGACGATTTCATTGCCTGGTGGGTTGTAGTAGGCATTGACTGTCGGAACGGTCATGCCCCACTGGTCGCGGTCTACAGGCTTGCCAAGGGCAGACCATCCGTCACCTACGGCAAACTGTCGCACCGAGAGAGCGTTGGCAAAGAAAGTGTCCGTAGAGATGTTGACCGAGCTGTAATATTCCTTCAAGTCGGAAGGATCCATGATGTCTGGGCTTTTCGTAGGATATCCGATCTTCTGAACAATGTTGTGTACTTTATCAATCGCCTTCTTGCTCGTCGCCTTGTCTACCCATGTGGCAGCTTTGAGCTTCTTGGCAAATTCGGCCTTGATGTCGTTGATGATGGTATCACCGAATTCTTTAGCCTCGGCCGAGAAAGCCTTCTCGACAAAGAAACGACTCAGGAACCAACCCAGGCCGTCGTCAATATGGCCGACACATCTGCGCCATCGTTCGGGGGTGGAATCAGGGTCCTGTATTGATCAGCTCGGAAATAATAGAAATTATCTCAAACGCACCTTGCCAACGAGCTCATTGGTGAACCTTTTGTAAGGCTTGATAGCGTCCGCTTCGATGTACCCGGAGAATGACTGAACAGCTTTCCAGATGAAGTAGCTCTGAAGTACCTTGGCTTCTGTTTCGGATATGATCGATGACAACTCTTTCTGGTAGTCTGGCGTCATAACGATGACTCTTCCAACGTCAACGTTGCCAGGCGTGAGACCCTGGATCAAGGACTTGAGATTGACTTGAGTGGTTAGATTCGCCGCTTCGTCGATAGGCATTGGATTGTAGTATTTGGTAACGTCTTCCCGGTCCTCAGTAGGAGGCGAAGCGGCTGCAAGCTTCTTCTCCAGGTCAATGACCTTGGAATATGCGTCCTTGTACTCTTCGGGATAAATGCTATCGAGTACTTCAACGACAACGGCGCGATATTTTTCAACAAGCTTCTCGTCCTCATAGCGCTCCTTGGATGGCAAACCAAAGCTCCAAGGTGCTGAAACAGAAACGACGACTGTGTCTGGATCACGATCATCTGCGCCCGTCCCTGCAGTGACCAAAGCAGATACTCCATACTTTGCAAGAAGAAGGATGGCATCCTCGAGGTTTGCAGAATCATCGACCGGATAGGTTTTCTTGATTTCGTCAAGTACTTGGAGTAGCGGACCGGTGCCAAGATTCCTGACTTTGTCTTCATCAAGGCAGGCATCGTAGGCTGCTTTCATCTTGTCAAAGTTTTCCTCGTCTGCAGACTTTTTCGTGGCCAGCAGATTCATTGGTGAGAAGTAGGAATGCTATAAGCCATCGTTAGCTCGCATAACATTTTCAGTGCGCGTTACGCATACCTGCGAGTCTCTGGGGTATGGAGCATCGAGGATATGACGAAGTAGAAGCTCTGAATTCTCATTCATGATTGTTCCCGTGAACGCATCCCCTTGGTCAGGACGAAGATCATGTCGGTCTCTCCACCCACCACAGACAAGTTCCTCAAAGTCATCACAGGGATCGAGTTCTTTGTAGTTGGGCGAAAGGTTGTAGAGAATCTCTGATGCTGCGTGGACGCAGGCTGGGGTCAAGCACAGCTTTGATGATGCCGACTCATCTTGGTTGTTTGCTGCGTTTGTTAATTGAGCACTCGCTATAATCTAGAACTTCAACCTTACTATCTGCAATACTATAATAAATCAATCCTAAAGCAGCAGCGGCGCCAAACACTCTCAAAGCATAAAAGACGGACAAGCCGCGTCGGGGTGATGCCTTGGCCCTAGCATTGGGTTGGGGAAGGAGAGGCGTCTTCTCCGACATCTTGAGACGCCCAAGCTCAGAGCACTTTGCTTTGCTAGAATACTTGAGAAAATGTGACGGTTGGTGCTATTCGAATTGATAACGAGATGAAAAGAGATGAACTTGTTCAGCAGGTGGTTGGTACGGTGGTCACGATGCGATGATGCGGACATCTGGGGTAGCGCTTAGCGACCCAGCCACCCAACCAATGTGTCAGGTTCCAGGCACGACCCTGCAATGGGTTAGCGCTGGTCGAGTATAGTGCCAGATTCAATTGCATGTCTCTTCGGGCAATCGACACAGCTTCCGTGGTTCTTCTTCCGGAAACTACCTACCTATGGTATATTACACGTATATAGCCGATTTCCAAAGAGTTCGAAGGACAGTCTGCACGTGGGTATATACCAAGCTCAGCCCACCGAGCGAGAATCAAACGATGCCACGTCAGCTTTATCAGGGAACACAGGCCCATATGTGTGCGCAGAGGCTTGGTGTGTAATTTTACTGGAAGCGGCAGTATTCCCGGGACTTCTAAAACAGTACGTGGAGATGTAGCGAGATAGTGGTATTCGGCGGAACTATATCCACAGGCATGGCTTGCGGTCCATGGGCTGCCATCAATCCATGGACTGGAAGGTCAGGAGCCGTAAATGCTACCAGCGCCATAGACAATGGCAACTCAAGATAGCAGTACTAATCTAGGGGAGGACCTGCCAATCGATGACAACTGACACGATACATGGGTGTTGATTGTTCGGATCTATACGATAGCCGAGTACGGGTATACGCTCTATACGAGCGTCAAGCGGGAGCACGACCAATGACCTTCATGCCAATTCCGCAACCCACCAGATCCACCCAATCTTCCAAGGACTATCCCAGCATTTGCCTTCCTTTCTCGTCCATGCGTGCGACGTAGTTGCATACGTTTGACAGTGCGATCTGCATATGATGGGTCGGATTGTGCACCATCCCTCCCTGCGGAACCTCACTTTAAACCCTCTTACTCTGCAACTTACGAACATCGCGTTTGTGAGATTCAAACAAACCGATTCTCTCAAAACATTATGGCGGGCGCCCTTCAAGGCATTATCTCCAAAGCCCATGCGGCCGACTGGCTATCCTTCCAAGGCATCTTGACTTTACTGGCCTTCGTCTTCGCTGTCCAAATCATCCAAGCCATAGCGAGAGCCATCTATAACGTCTACTTCCACCCACTTAGCAGATATCCTGGTCCCAAATTATGGGCGGCCTTCGAAGTCTCAAGAACTATCGAACGCGTCCGAGGTCGCCTTGATTTTGCGATTGTGGACGAACACCGGAAACATGGCGAAGTCGTGCGCGTCGGCGTGGACGAGTTATCCTTCATCCACCCCAGCGCATGGAAAGACATTTACGGTCACGGGCACGCCGAGTTGCCGAAATATTTTCCGCCCAAAACCATCAATCCGAATCAGATCATTGCTGCGAAGAGCGGAGATCACTTTCGCATGCGTCGGGCTTTTCTTCCAGCCTTTTCGGAGAAGGCGTTGGCGCAGCAAGAGAAGCTTATGCGCGTTTACATTGACCTGCTTATCCAGCGGCTCTCCGAGTGCGCTCAGTCCGGCGTACCAGCGAATATGACGGAATGGTACAATTTGACGACGTTTGATCTTATCGCTGATTTGACATTTGGAAAATCGCTTGGTGGGCTTGAATCTGGCGAATCTAATCAGTGGACCAAGAAGATCGAAACCATGTTAAAGCTTATGCCTACGCTTATGCTTCTAACGAGTTTCCCGCTTTTGGCAACCATTCTGAACTTTCTATTCGGTCGAAAGATGGAAGAGGCACGACAGAAGCATTTCGAGTATGCCGCATCACTAGCTATGGGGCGTCTCCAAGGAAAGGAGCAGGCCGATCGAGGAGATTTCATGGACTACATTTTACGCTCCCGTGGTGAAGCACATCAAGTCACAGACGAGGAGCTTGTGCACAATTCCGACCTGTTCATGCTTGCGGGCTCAGAGACCACAGCAACTCTGCTTCTGGGTGTTACATACTACCTGCTGAAGAATCCAGAAGTGTACAGAAAGGCCACTGACGAAGTGCGTTTGGTGTTTAAGAAGCCAGAGGACATCACATTCAAGGAAGCCACGCAGCGGTTGCCTTACATGATGGCTTGTCTGAGCGAGGCATTGCGCGTATTTCCGTCTATTCCACTCGCCCTGTTCCGCATCACTCAAGCTGGGACTCCAATTGCTGGCCATATAATACCGCCTGGTGTACGTATCACTGTGCCATTCATCCTGTCAAATAGTAGCTAACAGTACCAGACTCGCGTCGGCGTCCATCAGCTCTCAGCATACCACTCGCCCCTCAACTTCCATGACCCTGACTCATTTCATCCAGAACGATGGCTACCGGAAGTCTACAATGATCCCTCATCGCCATTCCACAATGATCGACGCGAGGTACATAAGCCGTTCTCTTTCGGCCCGCGTGACTGCATTGGGCGAAATCTTGCGTACCATGAAATGCGACTTATTCTTGCTATGGTCCTTTGGAACTTTGACTTGGAGCTGGATGCAGGTATGGAACAGTGGCACTTGCAAAAGATCTTTGGTATCTGGTCGAAGCCTCCACTTCGTGTACGTCTCAGTAAGAGGAAGGTGGAGTAGGCGCTAGGAAGCGCTTTCGTATTCATGAGCGTTCAGCTTGCATTACCTCAGTTTGAGCCCACTATTGGACTTGTAGTGCTCTTCTCCAATACTTATCAATGTACTCCTCCGCTTCACTCTTTATTCTAGCTGGCTAAATATGTGACGACATCCTTCCAAGCCGCCCACCTTCGTTCTTCGCGGTACCTAATTCATCAAGTCCACAATCGCTACTAAACGAATGATGTGCAACTGGTGGGCATTTAGTGTAACTGCATGCTTCCATGGTAGTTTTGGGCCACGTCGTCAATTAGCACTATTTGAATGCCTCAATATCAGTGAAGGTCTGCGAACGTTACACAAGATAGTTCAAGCTGATGACGATCATCCAGATCAGGTAGAAGCCAACAGTGTAGAAGGTCCAGCAAAGCCATACAAGCGAGACAACTGTTCAGGAAACGAAGAATTATCGAATTGTTAGCCAGCTAACAATGACTTCAATAGCTACTTCTTCTCAACGGCAGTTTCGCTAGAATCGGCCTTGTTCTGCGTCTCATGTGGCCACCAAGCTCTCCAGGGCTGCGTCGATTACGAGCTTCTCTTTTTTTAGGTTATCCCAGTCGTGCTCATCTGGCCAAATGAGTGAGAGATAATGACAATGTAAAGTAACCGTGTCGCAACGCTACTTGTGCTGAGGATTTCACGCTATTCTACATTCGGCAGTAAATCTCTCATTGGCTGCTTTCAATTTGCGGCAGGACATCTACCAATTCGTCCGACCGCACGGAACCCCTTCTGATGGTCATGGATGACAGTCGACGATCAAAATATCTCGGAATTGGTCGGAATCCAAGTTCCCCCGTTATGTCTGCTAACAGCCTCGCCTTCACTTCATGCCACAACCGTTAACCGCATCTGGCATCAAATCTCTCATTGGTCGACATGATTTACATCAAGTATATATGCTCTCATACTCGCAATAAATCCCAGCAAATATAGCAGACCATCTCCGGCTCTTTGACACCACTGCTTCTCGGCTTGCCACTTCTCTGCGTTCCATCACTAGGAAAATCTGCTACTCTCAACTGAATGGTCAAAATGGACTACAAGCGCTCCGTAATTATCACGGGCGGCACAATCAGCATGGGCTACCACGCCGCCCTCTCAATCGCCCGCCTCCACCCAGACTACCTCATTGTCCTCTCCTCGCGCTCGGATCCAAACCACGCCGCGGACACAATCAACAAAACCCTAAGACAGAACAATGTCATATATCTTCCTCTTGATCTCTCTTCCTCCTCCAACATCCGGGCCTTCGCCAAAGAATGGAGTCAGAAGGCGTTTCCACCTGTCCAAGCCCTCCTACTAAACGCCGCTTTGCAGTTCCCCGGAGCACTGACGCTCACGGACGAAGGCATTGAAAAGACCTTCGCAATCACACACGTCGGACACGCTTTACTTTTCCACCTTATCTGCCCTTCCCTCGCTCCCAAAGCACGCATTCTGATAACAGCGTCCGGCGTCCACGATTCCGCGCTCAAAACCGGCATGCCAAAACCAATTTACACTTCCGCTGAACAGCTAGCGCATCCGCCAAGTGAAATTGCAAAGGGCGATGGAAGGACACATTATGTTAATGCGAAGCTAGCAAATATTCTCTGGACGTATGCGCTGCAGAAGCGGCTTGACGAGAGCGGAAATGAGAGGGATATTTGTGTGAATGCGATGGATCCAGGTCTTATGCCTGGCTCAGGCTTAGCAAGAGAATATCCCCCGTTCTTTCGGTGGCTGTGGAACAATGTCTTACCAAGAATTATGCCGGTGTTGAGGTTGGCGTTTGGGACGAGAAACATTCATTCGGTTGAGGAAAGCGGCGAGGCCTTGGCACGGTTGGGCGTTGCTGAAGATGTGGAGGGTGTGAAGGGGAAGTATTATGAGGGGAAGAAAGAGAGGAAGAGTAGTGTTGAGAGTTATGATGTGAAGAAGCAGGATGATTTGTGGGAGTGGACGGTGGAGTGGGCGGCGAGAGATGGGGAGGAGTTGGGAAAATTCAAGAGCTTTGCTTAGGTAGCCCGGGTATATCGAACATTGTTTCATTCTGTTCAAAGTCAGTTGGTTTGATCAAGGTTTGAATAGCGAGAACATACAGCATGGGAGTGTTGTTTCGCAGTGAGTAGCATGGGACCAGACAAAAAGGCTCTGATCTTTCCCTACTGAGGATGAATCAGATTAAAGTGAACATCAAAATTGGTTGGATATCATTGTGGGTCTTCTCATATCATACATGGCCTCAAGCAGCCTACTCGGCTTTCTCCATAATTCATCCCACGTCTGTTTTGATTGATTGCCAACTGCGCGAGCCTTTCTTGTTCGTTGTTCAATCTCGTACCTATTCCCCCTTTCGTACATACGCGTCTTCACTCCTTCTTGTCCGCATCACCCTCCCTCTTCTCTAACACCTGATCTACAATACCAAACTCCAGCGCCTCTCCCGCGTCCATGAAATAGTCCCTCTCCATATATTTCTCAATCTCTTCGAGTGTTCTGCTCTTAGTCAAATGCTTCTGATATATCCTATTCAGCTGATCCCTCACCCTCAATATCTCTTTCGCATGGTCCGCAATATCGCTCGCCTTGCCGCTGTATCCACCGCTCGGCTGGTGAATCATGACCCTGCTGTGCGGGAGAATGTACCGCTGTCCGGGACTCCCACCCGCCAAGAGTAGAGAGCCCATGGAGGCGGCCTGCCCCATGCAGATGGTGGTGACTGGACACCGGATGTAGTGCATAGTGTCGTAGATGGCCATGCCGGCGGTAACGGAGCCGCCGGGGGAGTTTATGTATAGAGAGATGGGCTTAGAGGGGTTGTCGGCTTCGAGGAAAAGGAGCTGCGCGGTGACGGTGGCGGACATGGGGTCGTCGACTTGGCCGTTGAGGCAGATGATGCGTTCGGAGAGGAGGCGAGAGAAGATGTCAGAGGTTTTCCAGCCGCCGGCCTGGTTTTCTAATTATTTGGTGTTCGAATGGAAGGGTAGGAGGGAAACATACCACTGTCTCGGTCACGTAGGGCACTGGCATCCACGATGTCGGTTGTGAAGACTGCGCTTGCGTTTGGATCTGTGACGGCGGGGGAATGGATATTGACGAGAACGCGCGCGCAGTGCGCTGTCTAGAAGCTTCAGATATCGTCCGCCTTGCAACGCTTCGTAATATAGAAGCCATGATGTGTGAGTATGTGTGACAATTGATGCGCTCCCATCGTGCAACTGAAGCTCTACAAACGCCAAGACGCTTCCTCCAAGCTCGGAATATCCGTCGGAACGCTCCAGTCTTACCTTTCACCTCCTCTGCACAGCTTCCCACTGATGCCAGGACGACTAGTTCCTCGCGTCAGATGCTGCCTCCGATCAAACAATAACAAACAATGGCGCGCCTACGCCACCAAAGTCTTGCGCGGTGACGATCTCGGCTCTACCACGCCAGATGAACACCAGACCTTCCGCGTCCTTGATGACGGCTCCAAGCTACCCCTACCACCTACTCTTGATCCCATAGTCGTCGCGCAAAAGTCGCGTTCGAAGAAAGAAAAGGAGCAGCCCGATGTTTCGAAATTCACGCCCTTCCAGAAAAAGCTGCGGGAAAATCCGTACGGTACGTCCTCGCCTGTCCACACCCGAATGCGATTTCTATGTTCTTTTCCACCAATGTTTCCTCTTTGGAACAAGATAGAGAGATGCTAAGTGACCACAGCCCACGCCCTCGCCTCGCCCGTCCGCATCGACCGCTCCCTCTCCACTATCCTCCCCTCCGACCTCCTCATAACTCTCCATCTAAAACCGCACGCGACCACCGGTGAACCCTGGCTCCTCCCCCTCGGTATTTCCTCCTCTAAAGTCCTCAAGCATCATGGTCCGCCCTTCCGCTTCCTTGCACACAGACAAAACGTCCAATATTTCACGACCAAGAAAGATGTGTGGAGGAAAGCACTTACCGCGCGGCATGTGTCACATTTGGGGACGAAGGGGTTGAGACAGTTGGTATGGAGGAAAGATATGCCTGCATTATTGCTGGAGTTGTTGCAGAAAAGGGTGGTGGACAAGTTGGCATGGTGGTATAAATGGCGGGGACGCCTTGTCCCTATTCCCTCTCCTTCTCCCTCAGACCTGGACGAAGTAGAGGAGGTCTCGTGCGTACTGTTCTACGGCAGCTTGAAGACACGCGCAGACGAGATACAGGCGGAGGTCAGTGCCATCGTGGCCGAAGCGGATAAGTGGAGTGTGTATTTCCGCTCTGGGTACGGCTCGTACTTCGATCCGCATGTGAAACCCAAGGATGGGATGGCGAAAGCAACGCACAACCCACCGACGTGGTACGAGCCGCTAGTCCCTCGCCTCGCGGCGCGGGCGCAGTTCCCGCCGCTGGAGTTTGAGACGACGAAATGGAGGGGGAGGAAAGTTGCGCTGTATAGCTTGACGGATATGTTGGGTGAAGAAAGGGCAAGGCACTTGGTGGCGGGGACGGAATATGAGGGGGATAGATGCTGGGTGATGAAGCGGGCTCGGCACAATGTGCCTGCGGAGTTGCTGCTTATGCAATTACAAAGCTATCTCGCGGAGCCGGGGCCGTTGTGGGAGCCGCAGAAGAAGATACTTGTGGAGTCCGTAAGCAGTCCTCTAGGTTCGCAACAGAACGAAAAGACACCCGAAAAGGCGCCCACCAAGCGTTCATCGAAGCTGGATCAATTCTTTGAAGTGGTTACTGAGAGGTATTCAAAGTTGTAGTTCAAGACGTACACATAGGAGCATGGATTAGGAGATGCCATTTGCAATCACAAACCTCCTCGATGGAGCTTGCTTATATCTCTGAAGAATCTATTGATTGCAAGGCAGCGGTGCACGTTAATCCTTCGAGGGACACTTTGTCGAATGCTCTCTTCCAGTCCCCATCATGACAACAATACAATTTCCATCCTCATCACCGCTTTTAGACTCCTTTATCACCACCCAACTCTACCAAAGTTCTTCAAATCACAACGCAATAAGGACGCGTGGTCTAGCGGTAGAGCCCTCCCCGTCTGGTCTGGCTATCGAGTGTCCAGCGAAGCTTGACGGACAACGGGCGTAGTACTAGAAACCTCCACGCTCGTGGTATAGACCTAGTTTCGATTGCTGGCGCGTCCTCGTTTTGTCTACATATGTTTTCTGTTATAAAATGGCTTCGTACCAAGGTTGCTACGCGCGGGATGTATAGCTATGCGGGATAGAGTTTTAAGATACCTATAAAACATGGATTCGCACACTGAACGCTTGACCAGTATTTTAGAAGTCTCATTGAGAGGCATCGAAGTGTACAATGGTCCAGAAGAATAGACGTATATGCAAGTCCGGCCCAGTGCCGCCAAGTAGCCAAACAATGACCCGTCGTACGAACATCATTCGTCCTCTTTATCTCTTCTCCCCTCAACATATTTCCCCCATACATTGCAGGACCATGCAAGACCATGCAGCTTTCCACCCGTCCTCACCGCGGTTCCTAGAATACCAGCGGCAGCCCTCTGGCAACCCGCTAAGCCGCCTTCTGATACCTCTCCCTCAGCTCATCAATCTCTTTCTGGAACCTCTCCATATCGTCCAGGATTTTACTCGCATTGCTCCCATCCTTCCTCTTCGCGTCCCCTTCTTCTTTGCCTACCGACAACCTTCCCTCCCCAAACGGCTGTTCTGACTGCTCCTCTGGCTCCTCCCTCGGCGAATACAATGCCTGTTCATCCTTATCCGCAGGCGCATACTCCCTACTCAGCGAACTCACGCTCGCAATACTACCCTGCCTCTTTCCATCGATAGAGCTACGGCTGTTTCGCTTGTACTCTGAGCTCGGGTGCCGCGAACCTACCGGCGATGATGACGGTAGACTAGGCCTTTGTATGTCGAGGCTTGAGCGGCCTGATTGTCGGCGGCGTGGGGGCGGGGGTGGAGGCGGAAGATTGGAGGTGCTCTCGCCGGAGACGGCGCGCGAGGTGTCGCGCGCGGACTGTATCGAGGAGGTGCGCGCTAGGCCTGAGACCGGGGACGAGGGCTCCGAGGTAAGCGTTGTGCGGCGAGAAGATGGAGGGATGGGCGAGGATGTTGTGGGGCGGGCGGAGGTGGAAAGCTCGTTGGACGAGCAGTTTGCACTGGGTGTGTTTATGGTAGAAAGGGCGTTGCCGTGGCGCCTAGAGGGTGGAGGTGGTGGTGGGGCTTTTGACGTGGTGGGGAGATGTGAAGTAGGTTCCTGGCCGTAGTTTATTGGTGGGAGGTCAGTCGAGTGTTGCGAGGACATAGTGAGGGAGGAGTTGCTGCGTGATCTGTTTCCTGTGGTAGAGCTACGCAGTTGGCTCTGCCGTCTTGCCAGTGGGACTGGCGGTGGCACTTTCTTTTGTGTTGGTGTCGGCGCTGTTTCTGATATGCTTGCCGTTTCATTGTCTCTGCCCTCTGATATTGATGTGGAGACTTGAGTGGAGGTGTCTTGTGTAATGATGTGTGCTGGTGCTGAGATGGTAGTGGGAGGTGTGGGAGGAAGCGGCTTATTCAGATCCGAGTTCGTCCTCTTCGAAGGTTCAAGCTCAGGCGTCGTCTCTGCAGCCGAAAATCCCTCGAATGAAACCGTCTGCGGCGTCCTCTCCTTTACCAGCTTTCCGTGGCGATGTCTCGGCGCAGGCGGTGGTTTCTTCTTCTCTTTCTTGGGTGCCACCCCTCCCATAAGACCAGCATGCTCATCATCTGAGGCTGTCATATCGTAAGATGTTCGCGGTGATTCGGGATGCGGTTCTTGCGTAGTATCAAATATTGACTGTCGTGATATTGAGGAGGTGTCGGTACTGCTGCTGCTTTCGAAGACGGCAGGGCTGAGCGAGTTCGAGGAAGGGGCAGGAGCGTTCAGTGGAGGTGCGGAACTACGTGGACTGGCAATGCCTTGCATCAACAGGTTTTTGAAGCCTTCGACGTTCAACGATTGTCGCTTGGGGCCGTGCGAGACCTTGTCGGTAGGAGTCCGCTCTGTAGATAGACATGTCAGCATAGAGAGTTGCGGTTCGACGCCGAACGAGAATACGGCATATGCGGCCTCTTGACTTGATCCGCAAGGTCCCATATCATGGACAGAGAAGATATGCATTTACGTACCTTTTGACGGCCCCGTTGTGTTCCCACCTTTCTCCTGAGACTCGATGGTAGCCAGCGTTCGCGAGAATGGATTCGCAGGAGCTCCGCTGGGCGAGGTGGCAGATTGAGGAGTTCCCGTACTTTTCCACTCATTGCCTAGCATTCCGCGTTCATCCACCTGTTGCCTAGCGGGATCTTGAGGATATCGATCTGCGAGTTCGTCCGTGTATGCCGGGGATGACTCGAGCGGCGGCGAACCGGCATAACGGCCGGTATTTGTGCCGTAGAAAGTTTCGTTTTCTACATGACCAAAGTCCGGATATGGAGGGATGGTCTCGGTGGGCGACTCTATGCGAACGGTTTTCTTTGTCTTCGTAGGCGCAGATGAAGCACCAAGCACTGTGTAATCATTATTCCCTGTTCTTTGACTAGAAGACGCGTAGAAAGCATCATGGAGACTATACCGGAGTCATCGTCGCGCTCGGCGTACCCTTCATCTCTTCTGTCGCTGCTATCAGCAGGGGGGACACTCGTCGGGGGAGCGGCGGCGGGGTGGTTCTGGAGCACGAGCGAGGCGCGGAAGGGATTCCCGGACATATTTGAGGACTAGAAACAATGCATTGTTCTATATATACACGTAAAAATGGTCTTTTAGAGGCCGGTATGCCCCGGTACACGGTGCAGCTGCTTGGGAGAGGTGCTGATGTTGAGCCGTAAAGATTACCCTTGCCAGCGAAGCGTCAACCCCCACATTCGGCCGCCCGCCTCGCAAGCTCCGTCCTCCGAGCTCAACGAACGCCTTCAGGTACGAGAATCATCATAGCAACACTGGCATGCCTTGACTACTCGAACCAACGACCCCGCTTCTCACAAGACTCGCGACACGATGAAGGCGGTCACCACTTAGGCCGTCTTGTATCACCCGCCGCTACTGGACGACCGTACGCGACGTAGTGCGCGAGCGAAAGTTGCGAACGAGTACTCTGGTAGTAACCATATCAATCAATGTACACCGGCCAGCCTGCTTCCCGATCATACCACTTCCTAGCCAATCGTCCTCCGCTCTCTGTAGGCTGGCTGAAGGCCACCTCCTCCTTGCCAATGGTCATTCCATACAAGAAGTTAGATCTCGCCGCATTCAGCAGCGTCGTCGCGACCCCGTGCTTCCGATGCGATTTTGACGTCCATATCCTGGAAACGCCCAGGATGGCAGATTTTGGCGCCTCGCTGACACAAATGGACGAGCTATTGGCATCAGCCGGGAGCTGACCGGTCGTCTCCGCCGCCGCGTCACCCTCGCATGGCTGCTCCAGCACAAGAAACGCCTCCTGGATCCTCTCCACCAAGCAAGCTCCCACGCACTTTGAACCCTGGACGTACAGGTACACCTTGTATCGATCGCTAGCAAAATGCTTTGAATATTCTTTCTTGGGTTGCTGCGCCGCTCTCTCGGTCGCCGAGTTGTTCGAGAGTATTGAATTGCGTGTTTGGCTCCACAGCGCCTCATCCGAAATGGGAACGGCTCCTAGCTCGGTATTGACGATCTTCAATACTTCTCTAGCTTTGTTGCGCAAGGGAATTGCATCTCTTCGGCTGATTACTGCAATGAAACTCCTGTCTTCCCCAGACCAGACCTGCTTCTGTCGGAGCCGCTCGGATATCGCCTTGCTAATGTCGACGCCTCCAATGTTCATAGCGTGGAATTTTTGGTGCACCGCAGCGTCTTCAGCAAGTGACGGGACATACTCCATGCCGCAGGCCTTGCAAGTTTTGTTCGGTTCCGCAACCAGATCAAGCTGCATCTGCACCAGCTTCTTCTTCTTCGAGACATTCTGAGTCGGATTTGATATGTTGTGACTTCTTTCCGACAATGGCTCCTTTGCAAGTACTTCAGGCTTCGATTGTCGCTTCACGAATGAGAACATAGGTCTCCTCTTGCGCATTGGAGGTGTCGAGCTATGCGCTATGGGAGAGGATGGTGGACTGGATCGGGGCGCATCGTCCGAGAACACAGCTACCGCGTCTTTGGGACTGGATGGCAGCGCGGAACTATCGCGCACCCACGAGCTGCTCGTTGACTGTAATTCCAACTGTGTATCCTCCGGGTCTTCGTTACTCTCCACTTCGTCGAGTCCTGGCGATGCGACGCGTCTGCGCTTCGTGGGGGGTTCTTGTGGTTCTTCATCGTATAACGAGGGTTTTCGCTGGCGGGAGTAGGTCCTGATTGTTTTTCTGATTACTTTTTAGCTGAAGCAGATCGTCTGAGCTTGGATACACACTTTGCGCGCACAGAAGACATGTTAGTGCGTAGTAATGAGGAAAATACAGCAAGGCGAAGTTCGAGATCGCGCGACGCGTCTCGCGTATCGCCGGGCCTTATCGATTAGGTCTCCGCTTGGACCGCGGCTTCGCACGACCTCACTTCGGCACTTTTGTATATCCCGAGTCAACGTCGGTATGAGTACGTTCCGAGTTACATAGAATAGCTGTAATGTATGTAACATTCTCCGAACATCTCTCGCGCGAATGATGTACAAGCAAAGACATCATCTGCAAAGCCTGAAGCCCGCATCACCATCACGGCTCAAGTGCGCTCAAACTAGACTCTTAGTATACTCAGAGGGCTAAATCGTCGGAGACTGGATAAGTTCCAAGTTCTGAAATGCATATCATCTAACAAGAACTGACTTGTGAGGCCGCTCAAAAGGTAACTTTCGTCCAGATTTGGAAGGTGCTTTACATCTTATGTACGGCCGCCGTAGTCCTCGCACCACTCTTGAGTCAGCTTTGACATGACTCACTATAAAGGCAAGCAACAGGTCAAGTCTCTCTCCTAGCGAGCAACACTGCCTCGAGACTCTCAAACTCTCCCTTGTTGCTTACTGCGGCATAAAGCCTCTTCAATATGGTAGCGCAACCCACACCCGCACACCCAGCGACAATGCTCGCAGAAGTCCAGTCTTCCGACCGACCTGCAAATTCGCCGCTTCCAGAGCCTCTGTTCAAAACGAAAAGACTCCTCGCGAGGCCAATGCACCCACAGGATGCCGAATCTTCACAGCGCGCCTGCGCCCCAGCCTCCATCACAAAATATATGTACGAGACCCTAAATATATCTGCTAACCGTGTAGAGTACATAGAGTTGATGGATGCAACAGGTCACTTGCCTTCGCACACCCCTACACCCTTGATCACGCACACACTTGGATAGCTATGAACAAAGACGCGCCTCACAGTACGTTGGTTCTCCTATCCCATTCAAATTGATAGTCAGCAGGATGATAGCTATCATCGAATTCCCGGGCATTTCTCTTCACCTTCTTCACCTGACTAATGAGGAATCACAGACAACCTCTTCCTCACCACACTCTCCGACCCTTATACCGTTATTGGCGGCATCGGCCTCAAGCCCGGCTCCGACATCCAAGCGCACACCGGCGAAGTAGGCTACTGGATCTCCGAACCGTACCAAGGTAAAGGAATGATGAAGGAAGCGCTTGAGGGATTCGTAGAGTGGACGTTCCTTCACCGTCAGGGCGACGGCTCGACTCCTGCTGACGGTAATTCGAGTTCCTTCTCCGGCCGTTGAGCATTTAGATTGATAATAGTGGGTGTAGGCAAGACCCCCGAGACACGCAAAACGCGGCTCTTCGCCGGCGTGATCGCAAAGAACGCGGCGTCAATGCGGATTCTAGAGCGGTGCGGATTTGTGAAGGAGGGAGTGCAGAGGGGGCACATTGTCACACGGTATGGGGAGGTTACGGATTTGCATTTGTTTGGATTAACGGTTCAGGACTGGGAAGTGTGGCGTAAGGGGAGGGAGGAGTAGGAGACGTGGTTGAGGAAGGGGAGACGAGAACGAGGTTATGGAACATGGATCTTGCAGCACACAGGCGGTCATTTGTTATAATTGTGATATGTGCTTTCTCTTTGGGTATCAACATCAGCTCGGCAGCGAGCCACCATATGTATGAGAATCAACATCCACTTTACAGCGCGCCGTGTTCCTGGGTATCAACATCGTCCTCTTGTTCGTGCCGAACTCTTGTATTCCAAGACAGCAACTCCAGTCTCTCCATCGTGCTGATATGCGCGCTTTCGTACGCCCCAAGACCTATCAAGCCCCGCTTTGCTCTCAGGATGAGATCCCCACGCCACGCCCAAAAGTACTGCTCTACCTGCCTCGCGACCTCCTCGCCTTCCACCTGCGCTACCAACCGACACACCCAGACCGCCTTCTTCTGTGCCACAAACCGATTCTCAGCAAGCGGTCGCGTGATACACACGCTGACGATGGCGCGCGTGAACGTTGGTTGTATAGGAAGCTCGTGTATTTTGAGGTAGAGGTACAGGTAGCGGATGGAGCGCCAGGTTTGTTGGCAACTTCGCGTGCGATCCATAGCATATTGGTGAGCAAATTGATGTATAAGGTCGGCCTGCACTTCCTTAGGTATGTCCGTGGTGATATTGCGGTAGGCGAGGGGGACGATGTGTGCGTCGTTCGCGCGGGTCAGGATGTGGTTGAAAAAGCGGCGAGATTGTAGCTCTTCCACTCGTACTCCGACTTGTGTGGTTGTAATACCCAGAGCACGCCGCGCGTTGAGGAGTCTTTTCAAGGCATTGAGGTTGTAGCCGAGACGCGTAGAGTCGTTCTCCTTGCTCACCTCTTCTACAATTCGATCCATGTAGCTGTCAAGGAATGCAGTATTTGAGATCCTCGTCCCGCTCTTTGAAATTCTTTCCAGTAGGTTCGAGACCGAATGAAAACTCTTGTATTCGTCGATGTAAGGAATGATTAGTTCGAGGACGCCATGATTGGGTAGTGATTTGTTCGCGAGATCAGAGATCAGCTTCGCAAGCATCCCGTTGACGGAGGCTCCCTTTTGCTCCTGTTGCGCTAGGAACAATGTATATGACTCGATCCAATCGAAAAGGTCGATTGATGACTTTCCAGTAAAGGAGTCATGCCCGAGCAAACCATATAGCAATGCAATAATCAGAGTGGAAGGCGGATAGCGGTGCTCGAAATGCGCACGGACGAATGCGCTGAACGCAAACTGACACAGCGACGCCTGATCGTCCGAACCGGCATTTCTTCGCATGTCTAAACGGTAGAAGAGCTTGAACCAAATATGCATATATGGACGCCTCTTCTGGCCGGGTTGCGGGATGGTCTGAACTTGCTTAAGTGTGACTGACGACTCAGCAATCCAAGCGCGAAGCAGAGATTGTGGTACTAAATCCAGGTAGTCCAGAGCAGGGGGTATCATCGAATTGTTCCGAACGCAAGCCGCGATCAAATTACTGAGCCGGAGTGGTGCTTGCTGGTAATCCGTGCTCAACAACGACCATGTCTTCCGCAATCGTTGGGCAAGATGATGGTCGGACAACCCATAGGACGCCCGGCGCAAGAGCATTCCAGAACTGTAGGGAGCCACTTCTCCTTGGTTGTTTTTCAACTTTATGCGCTTGTTCTGGTGATACGGGGAGTTTTTACCATGCTTCATTGACCAGTGAGCAGAATCCCAGAGACCGCGGATCAACAGGCGCAAGCTTGCGTCGCGATCAAAAAGAGAACCACACGTGTACATCTTTGCGCGAACCTTATACGACGATGGAGACGACACTGGTTGGCTTTGGATTTGTGTGGCAAGTTTCTTGTAGATCAAATGTATTGCGGTAGTGCGCGGCATGGATGGAGCCAGGCACGTCTGTTCGAGGATTTCCAGGAAGCGAAGACCATCAGAGTCGAAAATGCTAGGTAAGCGCACAGCTGGCTGGCCGAGAAGCCCTAGGGTGTATTTTCCGGCCCAGGTAGAATTCGAGAGATACTGGAATACAAGCAAGCAGAAGCTGCCGGCGTCGGAGCCTGACGGACAGCAGGTCAGGTATGCGTTGACAAGGAACGTGTCCGGTCGCGAGCGATTCTTGTCCATGAGCTCTCTCCATGTCTTCCGGGTTGCAATGCCCGTGAGTTCCTTCTGCTCGAACATATCGGGGGATGTGCCGTCAGTCATCTGCCGGAACTTCTCAAAACACACAACGAAGTCGGAAGAAAGGTCTTCTGTGGTCTCCAAGACAACTTCTTCGGTTGAGAGGGCCTCGAAAAGCTGAGCATGGCCTTCTGCATCGTCTCGGGCCCATGTTTCCAATGAGTTGTCTACTTGGTCGCTGTGGCCTTGTTCTGCATCCGATACGGCATCCAGCTCCTCATTCTGTAGATACACGTTCTTCAAACTCATTGTGTTATCTTCTGTCACAGCGTTGCGTTTCGATACGAAGTCGAACACACTGTCATTAGATGCTGAAAACTCCTCCTCCTCCTTTCTGGTATTGTCCACGAGGCCGATGCGAATCTGTTCTATACTCGAGTCTGTCACTGGCTCCTTGTTCGCAGGATATGTGGCGCGTGCTTCTTTTGTTGTAACAGTATAGACCAACTCATCGGTTGCCGCGGTACCTGAGTCGGTTTTACTAAAATTCCTGTCCCATGTTTCGAGATGCTGTTGCATCAAACTCGACTTAACATCCGTTGTGTTTTCCGTAGAAAGTTGGGATAGCGAATGCGACGTCTCTATGGGATAGGAGGCAGGTCCTATCGCTGCGGAAGGGAACCTCGCTGGCGGGGTTGAGGATTGAAAGTCAAAGGCTGAAGACGCCAATTAGTCTCAGGGATTCACGCTGCTGTGCGTTGCACATACAAACATTCAAGGGCTCTTCTCTCTTCAGCGACGGCGGTTCGTATTTCCAGTTCGGCTCTCTGGGCTGGCGCGAACCGAACAACGCGCCAAAACTGAACAATGGCGGCGGCACGCCACCTGAGAGGTCCATGTTTGACTGTAGAGTCATCCTCCTCTTGGTAGCGCGCCTCCTGGCCTCCAAAGGCCCCGGGATATTGCTGCCATGTCTTTTCTGGTGCGAGCAGGTGGTGCGCAAAAATCGAGCGACGGCTTGCGAGAGGAGGTCCTCGGAGATCCAGATGTGATCGAGCGCGGTGCTACACGACGACGGCACTGCTCGACAGCAGGCAACAGGCGGACGTCGCATCAAGCGTGGTGGGCATCGGATGTGGTTTCATGCGGCCGTCCTCCACGTCCTCGAGCTGTCTCGATTCGGAAGGATTGAGGCTTGGCGCTCTGTAGTCACGTGCATGCTTTGTCGCCCGGGCGGAACAACCTCGGACCGCTCAGATACTTGAGAAGACGGCACCGGCGACCATGAGTCGCGGGACGACAGAGACAGGCGGCGGCAGCCCTTTCTGGCGTCCGTCGACGGATCCGTTCGGTACCGGCACCGTCTCGCAGTATTTGGACAGTGCACACGACTGCGAGCTGAATAACATGCATGCATCCATGCATCCGTGGCTCCATGGATGGCTACCGCTCACGTGCAACAACCGACACTCTGTCCCTGGAATCTCCACCCGCTCCTGCTGGCTGGCTGGATCCCGCGTCCATCGCCCTGAGTTTATACACGTATGGACACGCACAGTGTTCAGAGAAGACCACGCGAGGCCATGCTCGATGGATCGCACTATAGAGTTGTCCAGACGCTCGGCATCCGCGTGGTGACGTGGAAAGACGGCGTGGAGGCCTCGGATGGGACAGGCGGCTTGAAACGACACTTGTGGACGATACGCAACGCCCGCTCGACTGGGATTAGCCTGTTGCCAAGCCCTGCCGCGAGCAAAGCCAACGCCAGGCACCGCCTGCTGATTCGCTCGACGCACTCAGCTGTGTCCAGTCTGTCTTGCGTGTGCGAGCCCTCCACGAAGCTGTTCATGCGGACGACGACACGCGGTGTAAGGCCTCATCAGTGTTTGCAGTCCCGCACGGCGGGCACGGCGGACTTTTGCGTCTCCATCAGCGCTACTTGCAAGTCTTGGGCCAATTTAGATTAGATAGCCGTCCTTGCTCGGACTTGGAAGCCCCATGCTCTTGGGCTTCTCCCCGAGGTCCGTGCGCCACGCTCATTTCCCAGGAGCCTTCACTGCCTCGCCCTGGCCCTGACCGACCCACCCACTGCCCGAGCACGCTGCCGTCTCCCATCACCATCACGCTCCTTGTCTCTACGACTTCACACTCGTTGCCCGCCGCTGCCACACGCCTGCCGACACTCGTTCAGCCAGCAGCGTTGCAGCCACATTCCTTGCGTCTCGCGTCGAGAAAAGGGGTCGATCCGGCATTCCAGGGCACACCGAAAAACCCGCACGCGCAGCGTTTCAAACTCCAGATCGAGGGCATCGCTGAGCGAGTCTTCTTCTGAGCCTGCGAGAAACTTTCCTGCGGCGGCCCTGTCTTCCATTGACGCCTCCACACACCACCCGCCATCCCCATCGCGACAAAGGCAAACACGCCCAAGCCGCCCACCCGCCCTCGCCCGCTTACACACCACACCACGCCAGCAGCGGCCCGCCAGCATCAGAGTGTCGCCCGGAGAGCGGTTGATGCGTCTGCGTGCCATCGTCTAGACCAAGGGTACGAACGCCCTCACCGTTGCTCGAGTGAATGCGCAGCGACAACGCTAACCGCGGACAGTCCCTCGGTCTCGACACCACCTCACCACCACTATATACCACATCTCTTTACATCCACACACCATGTTCTCCATCAGATTAGTGTCCGCACTCGCAGCGGCTGCGCTGTGCTCGATGGCTTCGGCAGATGACTCGTCTTCGTCCAAGATCGTATCAATCCCCACACCGACTGCGACACTCCCTGCGAACGCCATGGAGACCCTCGGCTGCTTTTCGACAGGCGTCCCCCTCGAGGATCACGGCAAAGGCCTATTCGTCACTGCCGGATCTTGTCAGCAAATCTGTCTGGGTCTCGACAAAGACGTACTGGGTCTTTCGGATGGTGACCACTGCTGGTGTGGAGACAAATACCCACCCAAGGACACCAAGGTCAGCGATAAGCAGTGCAGCACATCATGTTCCGGTGACGACAGGACGAATTGTAAGTTGCATCTTCACTCTGGCCCAGCGCATGCGCTAATTGACGTACAGGCGGTGGAAACGGAAAACTGTGGGTAATGTCGACCGGAAACTCTCGCAACGAGATCGAATACGAGGACCCAATTTCATCCTCATCCTCATCATCCTCCTCTTCATCGTCTGCAGCTGCTTCCAAGACAGCCACGCCAACAAACTCAGCACCTGTCGACTCCGCCGTCGCTAGCAGTGCAACATCTGAGCCAGAGAAGAAGGGCCCCAACACGGCGGGCATCGCAGCGGGTGTAGTGGTTGGTGTCGTAGTACTTGCCGCTATCATCGGTGGTGTTTTCTTTTACCTTCGACGACAGAAGAGGCTTGCGGTCGAGGAGGAGTACCGTCGCCAGGCGGCAGTCAACTCGTTCGTGTCGGGAGGCAAGTTGCACACCAGCAACTCATCCATGACCGATTCGCGCCTAGACCCAGAATTCATGGCCAGGAGGCAAAGCAACGGCAGTATTGCAGACAATGAGGATTACTCGAGGCGGATATTGAAGGTGAGTTGGGGCGCTCAAGACTGGCTTCACGACGCACAAGCTAACAGCCGCTAGGTTACGAACGCATAAGCACCCTGACGATGGCTACCACGACCGACCGACCGACCGACACCCATGCCACTCTCTCACGCTGGCCTTCGACGAGATACCCAATCTACTATATCAACCTCGCCTAATCCTCCTCCCACTCTTGTTACGTCCTGCGCACCGCGCGCACTCACATGCCTGACGAGAGTAAGACCTGCATTTTGCATCCATCTGCGTACTCAGCCGGCGTTGCGAGCACGCTTCTATCTTCCGGACTGAAGTGTCTGTTGATTATGGATGGGCACATGTCCGAGTAGCCTAGCAAGAGCTATTCGGAATGCCCATCTCCAAGCCTTTCTCCTGTGTTATATATTCTGAATAAATCTCTGTACTGGCGTTGAAGCATAGGAATTAAACGGGTAACTATTGATCATATCTCCATGGCGCAACTGTGGGGCATCGTGGTATTCACTCCTTTCTTTACCAGATTCTACAATTTCTTGGGCGGACAGCTTGGTGATGCTGCTTCCTTCGCCCGCGCCGCTCCTTGTACGCCGGTTCTTCGGCCCACCATCTCTCCCTCCTACTCTACCTGTCCTAATTCTCCAACCTACTTCGACACGGGCGGCTTTGGTCGTGCAAAAGCGGCTTTTCTTTTCTTACTAGTCCACCCGCTCATGTCACATAGCCTCTACCTAGCGATATCATGAATATGATCGGTACTCTACATACACTGCTCGTCACCAAGTCCATGTTTTCTAAATACGTCTGTTAGAGAATATCCCCCTCACGTGCACACAATTAGACCGCAGAACAGCCTTGCGACGTCCCGCATATCCACGTTCATGGCCGGGAGCAATTCACGCAGCCTTGCCATGCACTTAAACTCCGAGCCTGTCAGATGTGCTTCCCGGCCCCCAATCGGCGCGCCGAACGGGGCGGCTATCAAACACGTTGTCCTAGGGTGGGTGCCTGTGTTTCATGCGGGGTGTTCGGCGCAGTGTAGCGGGACTTTGACCGCTCTACATGAAAAACTTGGAACGAGTGTCGCGGTCGTGTATGTGAAGGACGCCGTGTTATAGTAGGCCATGTACAGATTTGATGCAAGCAAGCCCGAGACCTCGCCGTCTTACGGGCTGGCTACGCGGTGCGCTGTCCTGGTCATGCACGCAAGTCCTCCTTCGCGCGCTTACTCTCTCGCTTTCCATGCACAGAAATCTCCCCACAAGTGCGTGATGATTCTCGGACTTCCCTCCACGTGTTGGATGCGGGCACCTTCTTCGGGCTGTGCAGACGCTCCCTCTTTGGGCGATACACGGGGCGACGCGTCTTCTTTCGGCCTTCCTTCGTCTCGGGCATTGCTGGTTTGGGGTGTCTCACACACGAGACGCCTCTTACACGAGGATATTCTGGGCATTGTTCGGTTGTATCTACACATGGGCTTGGGCTTGGGGTTCATGTTTGGGTCTGAACGTTCAGGTGTCCTGGTGTCGGGTGTTTGCTGCGGGGCAGTGCTGCCAGGCATTGCGCGCCGAGCGATTACAGTATCAGATGCGTAAATCTTCATCTCGCTTTCGGCGTGGGCCTCGGTGGCCCAGCGTCGCGCTCGCCACCTTAGAGGCTTAGGCCGTAGTAAAGCCGCTTCGGTCGAGTCTTCAAGCACATGGCGCTTCCAAACAAGCATGCGAACACATAGCTAGCGGTTATGTTTAGCTTGAGGCATGAGGATAACGATTCAGACAGGCTCTAGCTGCGATTCGGAAGTGAGACGAGAAGATCGAGTGACGGCTGTTTGGTGGGGTTTCGGTAGCGGTTGTGGGGTCGTGATTTGCGTCATCTTCAGGGCGGGCGCTTGGGCTGGGAAGGTGACGTCGTGGGCGGGAGTGACTGCTTTTTGAGGGTGCTCGCGTGTGCATGTTCTTTCGACCTTCGGACGTGTTGCTTGGGTTGGACATGCGCAGCTATTGGCAATTGATGTTGTGGGGCACCCTTCATAGGGAATGTTCCGGTGGGCCCGTGTGCTTTCACTGCGAGCGTTCCAGCTTCTAAATGAGCTTTCTGGTCGGGAAGGCTTGTTGCGGCTACATCTTGTATGACTAAACTGCACTGCAATCTCTAGCACAGCCGCAGAGGTCGGTCTGAGGCAGGTGTGTGCGCTGGGAAAAGAGCCACATTTGATGTTTTGGAACCTCGCGATCATTGTACTATGGTATGTGCACACGGTGTACCTTGACTGCTCCAGAATACTGCAACGGGGTCGTTAGGCAGATACCAGATAATACGGTTTCCTGTAAGCTCGAGAGCCTGCATGATCATGAGGTGAACGATTCGCTGCACATGATCTACATGAGAAGATAATATCTGCAGGACGTGTTGGAGTTGATGATTGGTACCCTCAATGTCAAGCCCTAGCGTGACCCTATGTGCGAAGTTCGAAAGAGCTACATCCTCACTCCACCATAGTTCAGGCAAGCAGTCGTGAGTCACCGAACGTGGAATTGAATAGGTAGCTGCGACCTCGCTGCTTCTTCGCGTGCCAGACAAATGTGACGACACATAAAGCATCATTCACAACCATGGCCGACAGCGTCGACGGCCTTTGGGACGAGGTAAGGAGTTTCCTTGTGTCTGTTTATTACTGCGCCCGCAGGGAGTAGTGACTCTGCGTGGCCGTGTTACATCATGCGCTAACACACGGGAATCCCAACGACTTGCGTCGTCCGCTTACCATCTTCAGGCCGAGCGCATGGCGCAAGCAGCGGGCGCCGCCGATGCCCAGATCGCAGACGAATACCCTTCACCCGAGACGATTGAGCGCTGGAAACGCCTCTTCGGATACTCAAGCGTGGAGGCTGCGAACTTGATCACGGCGCAGCGTCAGGACGGTACGTACCAATATCTTTGCTATACCAAATGTTTTCTCTGATATCTTAGCAGTCACCCGCGAGCGCATCACCGACGAGCATTGGGCTCTCATCGAGGGCGCCGAGGAAGCTGCTGGCTACGATCGTGAAGCGTATGAGCATCGCCAGCAGCTGCCGGAACTTTTCAAGAGCAATGGTACGACGATTCCGGTTAAGGGACAGGAGGAAAGCCTAATGTTTGGATTCCGAATGGGTGGTCTCTTGAACAGTGCGGAGAAGGTCAAGGAAGTAGGCAAGATGGAGGGGCTGCCAAACGTCGAGGATGGGTGGAGCGAGACGGGTCCCGTCAAGTTCTGTATGGTGGATTTGAAGACGAAACGGAACTTGGAGGAATGGCTGGCGCAGTGGGCAGTGTTGAAGCAATGAGAGATTCGACAGATTACAAGATGGTAGGCTACCATGGATGTCGCTTCTGCGGACGCTGTTCTGTCTATGATCAGTCCGATTAGTCTTATCAAAGCAAGTCGCGCTGCAGAAAACACTTACTTCTATACCTAGTATGGCTAGCATCTAACACGAGATTGTCAAACCGCCGACGAACTCACCACATTGGTAGCGTGAACGATATTTTTACACCTGCGTACGTACAGCTCGGACCAGCAAAGTAGGCCGAGATGCAGCATAGGAAGAGCGTTGAATATGAAAGCACGTCCATCAGGTCCTGCATGGTAGACATGAAGACGAAGGGCATATCGGAAGGTAGTTGTCGCAGGAAGCTGTGTTCAAGTAGTAATGGCAATGTTGATACAAATTGTCTATCAAACTCGTACATTCACGTAAATAGCTCTGCTGCCAGAATGTCTATGAATTGTTTGTGATTACCTAAACTGTGGATGGACCACTCACATAGACAGCTTTTCAAGCAGCTGCGCAACAGCTGAAAACTGCTACTTGCTGTGACATGTCGTTGAAATTTGTTGGCATCCGTTCCTTGTCGAACTTGAAGCACAAATTCAGTTCTAAGATTCTCCCGGACCCGTGATCTAAAGTATCGCGCCCTGTGCCTCACCCAAATTCCAGCCATCCGGCTCACTGTCTGCAGAAAAGAGGTCCGGTTTGTCACTGCTCCTTTCCTTCAAACTCGACCTATAGATTGGTCCTTCGCATTTACCGCATTAACAACAAGCACCATGCGTACACTCCCCGTCGTTACTCTTACCTTTGGTCTTCTTGCTGTTCCTGCCCTTCTTTCCCTCGGTTTCCTCGTTCTCTTCGACTTAAGCAGCGTCTTCTTTCACCTCCATAACCTCAGGGTACTTCCCGAGGTAATCAAAGAAGGCGAAGGTGCAGTTGCACAGTGGCTTCCTATCCACAACATTGTATTTCTTGGAGACTGTGGCCAGGGCCAAGTCCTCCCAGAAACTCACGTGGGACACTGGCCATGGCGGACGAGAAGTCTTTCTTGTCACACTGTGGGATATAATAGTGATATATGGTGGCGTCGACGAAGAGATGGCGCATGCCGCACGGTCCTGGAGTCTGTTCATATATAACCTGCACCGCTTCAACAGTTGTTATGCAAGTGTCCCAGAACTTTTCGCGGATTTCAAAGAACTTGCTGATGACGATGTTCTTGATGACTACGTCCATGGGTTTATCGGCGAGGTTGTAGACAGAAGCCCATAAACACAATGTCTGGACGAAGCAAAGCCTGGTGCAATTAGACCGTCGATCAAGTCGTTGACGCCGATGTTGGGTGCTTGTAAAGGGGCGACAAGGCTACCTAGGTAGTGGAGTGACCGAACGCAATAGCTGGACCTTGAAATTGCCGTTAAATTGAGAAGGTTGTTGGTGGTGGAGAATCTGGGGATCAATGAACTGGAGAAACAGATTTAATTGCAATATGCAGGACGTCGCGATGTTAGACCTTTATCGTTCTATGAAGGCAGTTGGTCTGTCAGCAAGGTTCTCGCAGGTCTAAGATCCTGAAAGTTTCAACAGCATCAGTGATGTCTGAATCCTCTGAACTCTATTTTGACAAAACTCAAGTCTCCATTTTCTCATTTGTGTGCAATGCTCAAGCTAGACCTTATTGCTCGTCTGTCAACCTTTCCGAAGCGATGTTTTCCTGTCCACAATCACTTAAATTGCACCTAGGGATCTGCTTCCATGGAATCTCTCAACTTGAGATGGATTGGTCCTCTGTGAGAAACGTAATTGGAAGCGTTCTTGAGTAAGCCAGCTGCCATCGTGCTCAAGAATTCCGGCGGTGTCTTGGCGAGACTGGCAGTAGCTTTCTCGAGCTGTGCTTCGCACTCCTTTGGTTATGGGATACCGGAAAATCGAAAATAAGTGCACGAGAAGCCTGCGCACAGGGGCATCCTGGGAGGTGATAGTCCACATAGTCGTGATCATGTCGGTCAGACCATCGCAGATGCTGGACTCCCTAGGCACAACGGATTCCTTCACCCAGTGGTAGATAACTTCCACCACTATGTTCTTCGCACGAACATCCATCATCTTGTCTACCAGTACGTAGGGTTGGCCAAGAGTACGAAACCTAGCCTCGATCGACTCGTCTGATTTGTCTTGGCGAATGCTGCCGGCCTGTGTACATCCAGTTAACTTAGCTCGTCGTCGACAAAGACTTCTTATACTTAGGTAGAGTGACTGGATGTAGACGCGGAATACATCTGGATCATCTGCGGGCAGCTCAACTTTCCCCGTGCGCAACTCTGAAAAATAACTGGTGATAGACGAAACATACGGCAGTTTATGCTCCGCGTCAGTCATTCCGTTGCGATTGTAGCCTGTGTGATAGGAGACCTCAATGGGACGGAGACAACGAGCGACGTAGGGTATCTCGGATTAATAGCGAGACGAATTCAAAAGGCGCGGAAGGCACTTACATTAGCCTGGTTGTTTTCCAGGATTCTGCACCGGTGAGGATGAAGGTGAAGTGAAGGACATATGCCTCTCCGCATGCGAATGTCACCATCGAACATGTAGGTTCATACTACTCAAACCTGTTCGGGGAGTCACTGGCTAGAGAATCCACAATGAACTCGCGGAGCGGGCTGCTCTCTGGTGTACAATCAATGAGTAGCTGAAAACTTTGTATACTAGGATGTACCATTATGTCCTTCGATCTTTGGTTACGAGCCTTCGTTAGTCGCGTATCCCGAGGTACGTCTTGTCTTGACGCGAAGAGGTGGCTAAGCTAGCACAACCTAACATCGCGTTCGTCGCCATTCGTTTTCGTAGGTACAATCGCCCCTCCGCATGACGATGATCTACCCACATTCAAATGGTGTACACAAACCGCGGGCTATCATCACCAAGCTCATTAATCTCGTCATCCGACATGCCTTGAATCTTATGATCTTCTTCTCCCCTCGCCCTCTGCGCATTCACGCGCGAGAAGTAGAACCACATGAATGCATACACGATGCTTGCAAACGCGACCATTGAAAGCGTGACAGCGTGGCCGCGAATGAAGCGGGGACCTTCCTTAGCTGGGTACAACTTTTCACATATCAGCATCTCTGCGCGTAGGTTCAGTATGTCAGACTTACGAAGGAAGACATGATACCCGCGCAATTACCTATGCTCAATTGCAGACCCGTGGCCAACGTCCTCTTCCCGTAGCGTGGGTTGTTCGTTGGCAGCCACGCCAATGGCAGACCGACGTTGACGTAGAGGCCCATCGCAACTAAAAAGCATCCTGCGTAATGTACCGCCGCGCTCGAATCAGACATCAGCATCGCGTACCCAACAATGGCTACTACACCCAGAGCGACAGCGTATACACCGCGCCGTTGCTGGTAGTCCGACAGCTTCGCAACGGCCAGATACGTGATGGCGCCCAAAGCGTAACACGGGATGGTGTACACTTGCACAAGCGCCGTTGAAGCGTGTGGCTGAATTCCCTTGATTATAGTAGGCAAGAAAGTTGAAAAGCCGTAGAGCATGGTGTCGCAGCCGAACTGGGCGAAGGAGAAGGCCCATATCTTCCAGTCTTTGACGCCGTTCCTCACGTCCTGCCAGTGGAACTCTTGTGCGCTGGCAGTATATCCGGTTTGGCGCTTGAGACGCGCAATAGCAAGCCTCTTCTCTTGATCATTGAGGAAGTACGTGGAAGAGGGATCATCCGGAAGGATCCACCAGGTCGCGATTCCGAGCACGAATGTTGGCAAGCCTTCAATGATCAGTATCCAGCGCCATCCACTCTCTCCAGCGACACCATCCATATGACCAATGGCAAATGCAAGGAGACCACCGCATGCACCGGCCAATGCAGCCGATACGAAGAGATAACCGATCCGTAGCGCCAATTCACGCTTCGTGTAAAAGAAGGTGAGGTAGATGGCCAGACCTGGAAATAAGCCTCCTTCTACGGCACCGAGGAAGAGTCGACAGACTATGAGACCTGCATAGCTCTGCACGACTCCAGTCAGGGTAGCGATGATACCCCACGAGACAGTGATGAAAGCGATCCAGCGAGAAGGGCGCAATTTCTTTAGCACCAAATTCGATGGAACTTCGGACAGGATGTAGGTCACGAAGAGGATAGAAATTGCTGTCTGCCATTTGGTCGAATCCAGATCTAGATCTTCTTCGAGCCCGTAGAGCCGGGCATTGCCAATATTAACTCTATAGAATGTTAGATACCGATCTAAGATGAAACAATCATTCGCAAGCGGGTCGTACAATGCAGAAAAGAACATCAAATCTCGCGAAAGAGGTCGATTACTTACCGATCCAAGAAGGAAAAGAGATACAGAAGCATAACAACTGGAATGATGTAGAGGTCCAGCTTTCTCACCAACTTGGCTTCTGCAATGGGGTCCACTTCTTCCAACAGACCCTCAATCGAGCCGTCCTCAGCCTGCTTCCCACGTTCAAAATCTTTTCCGGTTCCAGCAAGCACGCCTGCTTCGGTTGTTGTATGCGGCATGGCCATATTTTGAGTATTGTCCGAGTCAGGTCCAGCGATGTCGCGGTGTAATTGGGCTCGCGCGCTAGCTCTTCAGCAAGGTTTGCGATCCCTGGACTTTCGTTCTCAACGACGGTGTTCAGCAGGCGCGCATTTTGAAGCCATGTCGCTGAAAATCGTTTGAATTGTGTTGCTACGATGTCGGAGGCGAAAGCACCTTCGTTTTAAAAGTCAAGCAGGACCCACCCCACGTTGCGCACGAGTGACCTATGGCGGGGCCATCTGAGCAAAGCGAACTACTCCTCCTTTCGGCATGACGTTGGTTGGTAGCTAGACCGTATTGGTCCGGCCGATGCAAATCAAGGGTGCACTGCAGATAACAGAGCTGATGCCGAGACTTTGTAACGCGATGCCAATGGTGGGGAGATCAGATAATGATGGGAGAATGGGGTTGCAATGGGGTACATGGTAGCGCTCGTGTTTGGCGCGCCATTCTCGTATAACTGACTACAACTCATGCACAGCATCCGGAGAATTCGAGCCTGGCCCTTGATCGACGGCCCGGACGCAATGGTACGTAGTCACAATGACGGTTCGCAGTCGCAGATCATGACGCGAACCCATGTTCCCGAGCGTGCGGGCTTACCCAACAGCATTCCGTGACCGATATTGATTACGAAGCATGTCCTGACAGACGTCCTCATTGTGTCGGGGTTTTGGCGTTATTATGTTGGAGTTGCCATTGCCCTTGCAGAGAGCGAATGTCCATCTCCAAATCTATGTCTCTATATATAATGTTGTACAGGTTCGCGGAACAGGCTGGCATGGAAGACAAGGCAACAATTTTCATAAACTCGAAGTCGACGAAGAAGCGTAGCCCATCATTTGCGCGTCAAAATCCAGAGGAATGGACATGCCAGCGTAGATGTCAATCTGAGCTGAAGGATCGATTGGCCAGATCAACTCATCACGAGGTATTTCAGACTCTGCAGTGGGGTCCGGCTGGCTTGCGATGGTATTCGGCAATCTGGTGAGCGCGCTGCGAGCCACGAAGCGAACCTCTTTCGCCATAGTCGCGGATGTTGGCCAGAACGTGCCCATGGCGTTCAGATAGCCGATGCTCAGTCGCACGCGATCACGAGCTATGGAAAGAGCACGGTCCTCTAGAAGCCGGCATGCTGCAACTTGTGCTGTAGCAATTGAGGCAACGATGCATCCAATCATGATGTTGTGCCTTTCGACAGCACCAGGTATCGCGAGCAGCTTCGTTTGCATATCGCATGCCTTCAAAGTTCGAGCTGTGTGGACCGGTCGGCTCTGCTTTGGCGCATCCATGAATGGGATCGAAGGTGAGAAGCTGATTGTGGTGAGCTCCTCGAAACTGTACTCGAGGGAAGAGAAAGGCCGATGTGATGCCATCGTCAGTCTGTATGTGTCAGAATTTGAAGGTAGAGAGTATGCACCGGAGCCTACATTGAAGCCATCAGATGTGCCAGAAACATTACTTCATCGATAGTACCATTCTGTCGCATAGGATCTCGTTTTACGGCAGGAAGAAGAGAGTGCCAAACAGCAAGTTTAGTGTCAATAGAAGCTACGAAAGCCGCGTTGAATACTCGTTCTTCCAAGAATTTTTTCATGACTGAGTCCATAGTCAGACATCGTGGTATAAGGCAATCCGATGTTTCCGGACTTACCATAGCGTGTGATTCTGGAGACATCGACCGTGTAAGCTATCGATGAGTACACAACCTCAATTTCGTCGAATTCTCTCATATCATATTGTTCCCATGTTCTTGGAGGAGGGATGTTCTAATACTATGAGTCCCACATGCCTCAAAGCGTATCTGTGGAATACTCACACCGGACTCGTAACAATCGTCCTCGCATGGGAGATCAGCCAGATTCGGAACGTCCATTAAGGCATACATCGGGTTGTTGACAATGACGGCAAAGTGCTGGTCGGTCAGACCCAAGAAATAATAGGTCCTCCTCCAAGACTCTTCCAAAACCGGATTTCCCTCGCCGTAAGCTACTGCAAACTCTTTCGTGTTCATGCATAGCTCCAATGCAATAGACGTGGCTGTATCAAGAGACCGGCGAGATTCGCGAGATCGATTGGTATGGAGTTGGGCTGTAGCAAATATCATCAATGCCTGCACAGTCCAGGGCGTACGAGGCAGTGTTGACAACTCCAGCACTTTTCGAGCAGCCTCGTAATGAGGGTCTGGCTGAGTCCATGGGGCGAATATGGATCCTACATATTGTAAAACAAGCAGGAGATTCTCCATCCCATGGTCGTTAATCAGCCTGCGCTGATTTAGATGGTGCATAGGTAAAGGCACTGGGTAGGCCGCCCAATAGTTTTCATAGTAAACTTCGAGCAGTCGTTCTGTATTAATGTGGAAAGCCACATGAGAGTGTGCTAGGTTTGCATCCATCCTCTGAATATCACTGAATGCCGGGTTCGTCGAACTGGTTGCGCCGGAGTGATTGCCTTCCACTCCACCACTGCTGGAGGATTCTGGAGAGTGGCTTTGAGCTTGCTGGCCGCTCGTTTGCGCAGTTTCCGCTGCCTGCTGTTGCAGCTTTTCGCGTCGTCTGGCCAGAGCGGCCTTGTCTAGTCCACCTCTCCTGGACTTCTGATAGGTGCATTCTTTGCCTTCTCTTTGGCAGCGATTACAAACAGGCTGATTCGCATCGCATTTGACGTGTCGGCTTCTGCATTGTATACAAGCCAGGACAACGCGATTGGTGGGTTTGTGTGTCGTGTCGTCCATGCGTCAAGAAGTGAGTGCGATTGTCGTGCTAGCTGGTGTAGTGAATACTGACGTGACGGAATCGGAAGCGGGTTACAAAGAAGTGTTGTAGTATCTTGAGATGCCAGTTGTAGAGAGCGACATGGTGAATGCCGGGGTTCACAGCCTTTGAGGTTGAGTCAACGCTGTTTAGGCATAGCGCACAATGTCGGGAAGGTTCGGAGAACCGACGCCGATGGCTAGCGCCACTTCACTGCGTTACCGTTACAGTTCACCAATGACCTACTCAAACATGGTCTCTCTAATAATGATCTGATCTGTTTTGAATCTTAGTCCCTCAAAGAGCTTGGTCCACCTCTAGTGGCCATTTTGCATACAGCCTCCCCTCTATAACCGCTTGCTGCGGACAATGTACAGAAGACACTAGCCCAAGGCCTGTTCAGACCTCTGGGCTCTCTCCGCTGGTTTTCTTCGTATCCTTGCTTTTTGGCACAATTTTCAACGAGAAGTCGACATGCTTGACGCCTTGATGAATACTGCTAGTGCTCACAATGTCCACGTCTCCGCATACGTATGGCGCCACATTCTCCTCCGTCAGTCCGCCGCTGACCTCGACCAGGAAGGTCTTTCGATCGCCCGTACCTCTTCCCCATTTTTCTTTCAGTTGAGCAGCTGCAATCTTGACACCTTCAGGCGTGAAGTTGTCCAACATGACAATATCAGCGCCAGCCGCGATGGCTTCATCGGCTTCCTCGAAGCTTTGGCACTCCACTTCCACCTTGATGGCAAAACCACCCGCAGACTTAGCAGCTCGGACGGCGTTTGTTATACTTCCTGCAGCGACAATGTGGTTGTCTTTGAGCATAGTCATGGCGGAGAGATCAACGCGGTGGGCATCCACTCCGCCAACAAGCATTCCGTATTTCTCCACGAGTCTGAACCCTGGCGTTGTCTTACGAGTGCCGGCGAGAATGTTGGGGTATCCAGCTTCCCGTAGCAATCGAAGAAGGCGATTTGACTTTGTCGCTATGCCTGAGCATCTTGCAAGTGTGTTGAGTGCTACTCGCTCACCCAGGAGCAACTTCCGTACGGGACCACGCACAGTAGCGCAGTGTTTGATGGGCTCAAAAGGCTCGCCTTCCCTGACATGCCAATCGACACTTAAGATCGTCAATAATGTATGTAGACGCCACGAAAATGCCACTCACGTGCAGTCAAGTTGCCGGAAAACCTCGTCGAAGAATGGCACTCCTGCCACTATGCCCTATGATGTTGTCAGAGCGTCCTGGTAGCATTGGCGAATAACTTACCTCGCTCTTTCCTAACAGCTTGGCTTCTGATATCTCTTCACCGACGACGAAGCCGCCGTAGTCAAAGCTTGGAGTATCCTCTTCGAGCCACTCTGCGACCTGGCGCTTGTACGTCTGCGGGAGCAGGTGCGCCACCGATCCATGTGCTGGTGCGCCTTCGGCCATTTCGGGATGATAGTCGCCTCACAGCCGTACCTGGACTTTCTATAATCAACGGAGAGTTGAGTAACGGTGGTCGTGGAACAGTGGCGCTGATGATGCAGCCATTCGAGCTTTCCGAAAGCGGTTTCGCCCGTCGCTAAGCGGGTGCGGCCGCGGACGTGCAAGAACCCGCACGATCCTCAACACGGTGCATTACCCGCGCAGTCCTACACTCTGTAGTCTGGCTGTGTCCTCAGATGTTTTGCACCTCTCTGGGATCTTAAACACCCTTGGGCGACAATGAGTCGATTACTGACCTCATAGCCACGCGCCTCCGAAATGCGATACAATGGAGATACTCAAATTGCTGGACGGCACTCTCCCACCAGCAACCTATCCAACTCCTCTAGACCAACCGAATAGAAATGGCGACCGGCGCTCCCAACCACAGGCACTGTCCGCTCGACACCTCCGATCGTCGAACTCGGCTGCTGAGGCTCCATTATGGACATGAATTCTCTGACATCCCCTGCACTATCGACACATCGTGTCTGTTCAAGTCACACTTTACGCGCTTATGAATACTCCAGGGTTTCATATCCGCACCTCAGATCCGTGTTCTGTGTCGAAACCTTTGGGTACCGGAAGAAGCCATGGAACAGCTCGCCGAAACGTTACCAGGAAAGACAAGACTATTTGGTGCACTTGCTTTACTCACCGAAGGCCTAGACAACATTGATGAAACCATGCGTAGCACATTCGAGGTGTGCATCGAGCGATACAGTGTTAATGCCTACGAAGACAAACAAAATGTAGTATACTGGTTGCTGAGCCTGGTAAACATAGATGAGTTACTGTGGACTACACGAAAAGTGTCTACGAGGTCTTGTTCGATGTCATCGTCAAAGTCCAGAAGGATCGGTGGGCATCCGATCAACTATCCATCGACGAGTTCGAGGACTCTTGACCACAAAGAATTCTGCACTTTTCGCTGAGCAGCTTGCTTTTACGTTGAGCTTGGATGCTGATGTTTCGCTACGATGTCCAATCGTAGCAAAATGGTCTCGAGAGGTTGGACATGCACCAATGCACGCTCTTACGAAGAGACCATGAAAGACCCGACGTACCAACTGCACGCAAAGTGCTCCGCGGAATGGTAAATGTCTGCAGGGAGATAGCCTTCGGGATTAAGCAAGCGAACTGCACGAGGTGCAGGCTCGGCCGAGGCTAAAGATCCCTCCGACGAGCTCACCGACTCGCAACCTCTTCCAGCCTGTCGTCCTCCGCTCCGCGGTTGCAGCAGCGAGTGCCCTCTATGCGAGAAGGCAGAGTTGTGGAGCACTGGAGGCCAGACATGCTGTTGTGCGACGCCGGCACACACGAGATTTCTGGGACATCAAGCCGTGGCGTCATGAGGTAGACGCCTATGGGAAGCGGGGCAAAGTCCCCTCTCGAAGCCTTTGGGCAACTGCTTCGTGTATACAGCTCGACGGTGTATCCGGAATTTTGGATGGTTCCTCTTGGTGCTGGTATTGTTTACCGACGTTTCGAGCGGCACACTATCCTCATGTAACCACCATGTAGTTGCTTTTGTTTACCGTCCACCATTTGAAGATTCGACCATGACCTTCACCAAAGAGGCGCTCGAACATGGTCATCAGCGCCGCTAAAAAAGCCCACCGTTTATCTCCGCACCCGCCCTGGGGTTTTTGGGGAAGCTCCATTTCCGTCTTCGTACGGCAAAGCGGCACCGCCTAACCCATGACCCGTGGATCTTTCCCCTGTGCTTTTACCCTTTTCACTATTATAATGATCGTACTCCCTACAAGCGGTCACTGATGTTACGCCTGTTCACAGCCTGACACCTTCAATCCTTCGCGCACTCCACTCGGATTCCGTGCCTGAGTCATGGCCCACAACGCGGACTAACAATTTGACGTTGCTACCATCACGGCCGACTACGTCCGACTAAAATCAGGCATGCGCTGAGAAGACCGCGCTGAGAAAACCGGAGTACCATCGTTAATTGCATAACATTTTCACACAGTCAACACGGGCAACATTGGCATTGATTATCGCAATCTGGTCAAATAGCATTCGAAGTTCCGGTGGTGAGACGGCAGTAATCTTCCCAGCGTCATTTCAACATCATGCCTGAGTCAGAAATGTATCGACAACCAACGCGCAGCGAAATAATCGAGCTCGCCGTGGCAGAAGGCCACGATGCAGACATACCGGGTAATGCAGGCTCGATCCATCAAGTACCCAGCCACACATCAACACCCCGATCAAAGCACCAGAATCACGACCCAAAGAAACCTTCAGCAGAAGCAATGGACAAGGATATCGAAAAGGGCAGTACAGCCGAATCGATTCTAAGTGAAGAGGCGGTTGTGGACAGCAATGAAGACGATCCGAATGTTGTGTCTTGGGACGGCCCAGATGATCCTGAGAACCCAATGAACTGGTCGTATACAAAGAAATGGGGGACAGTGTGTTTGATATCTGCAATCACATTTTTGACGCCGCTTGCTTCGAGTATGTTCGCGCCGGGAGTACCAGAGGTTATGTCTACGTTTGATTCGACGAACGACATGCTGGAACAGTTCATGGTATCGGTATATGTCTTGGGATTCGCATTTGGACCAATGAGTATGTTCTAACTGGTTATCTTTTGTCGTAAGAAACTAACAAATGCAGTCATCGCCCCACTTTCCGAGATGTATGGACGACTTCCATTGTACCACAGCTGTAATGCCTTGTTCGTGATATTTAGCATCGCTGCAGCGGTGGCCTCGAGCATGGGCCAGTTCGTCGTTTTCCGGTTCTTCATGGGCTGTTTTGGTGGAGCGCCTATGGTACTTGGGGGAGGTACGATTGCAGACTTGATCAATAGGGAGCAACGTGGTACCGCTATGGTGGTCTGGATGATGGGACCAAGTGAGTAAGACAAGATCATATCGGATATGACAATACTGACAAGAATTAAGCAATCGGCCCTTGCGTAGGTCCGATTATTGGTGGCTTCCTAACCGTTGCTAAAGGCTGGAGGTGGAACTTCTGGTTCGTCGCCATTGTCGTACGTCTTGCTTTAAATGCTTAACCAATCTCAATTGACATGAAGCAGGCGGGCGCCTTGATGTTAATGTCTATCATCCTCATGAAGGAGACTTCAGCTCCTGTGATTCTCGAACGCAAAGCAAACCGACTCCGCGCTGAGACCAACAACCCCAAGCTTCGCTCTAAGCTTGCCTCCGACCTGTCCCCTGCGGATTTATTCAAATTCTCGATCATCAGGCCCGCCAAGATGCTCACGCGCTCCCCCATATGTCTGGCCATGTCGGTGTATATTGCCATTACTTATGCTTATCTTTACGTTCTCTTCACGACCTTCACCGCAGTCTTCAAGACACAATACCATTGGAAAGGTGGAATCGTCGGACTTTCTTTCCTGGGAATCGGAATCGGTTCCTTGATCGGTCAGTTCGGATTCACATACTTCGGCAACAAGACTGTTAAAAAACACATCGCGCGAAACGACTTCAGGCCCGAGCATCGCCTCTACACCATGTGTGTTGGTGGATTTTGCTTACCGGTGGGCCTATTCTGGTACGGCTGGAGCACGCAAGAAATGACGCATTGGATTGTACCTATTCTTGGCACAGGCTTCATCGGCTTCGGACTGCTCATGACGTTCATGCCGGCTACGACCTACCTAGTCGACGTATTCACAGTCCACGCGGCAAGTGCGATGGCGGCCAGCACGGTGCTGCGTAGTCTATGTGCAGCGCTGATTCCGCTGAGTAGCTCGAAGATGTACAAGGCGATGGGGTACGGCTGGGGGAATTCGTTGCTGGGATTCGTGAGTCTGGCGCTTATACCAATTCCTTTCCTGTTCATTCGGTATGGGGAGAAAATAAGGGCGAGAAACTCTGTCAAGCTTTGAAAGGATGTTTGACAGAGACAGACAAGATTGGGGAATCTAGCCACGAGAGTGACAAAAATAGGCACTAGTTGCTCGTCCTACGTGTCTCTCGCAGGCTGTGGCAGTCAATATCGCGCGAGAGGTATCATGCGTTTTGATTTAACGTCGCGGCCATCAAGTTTTGTACTTTACAAAGAGTCAGAACGTCAGAAACCACAATCAAACGCAAATACATTATGACTAGTTCAGTCAGGTCCTTGGATGGGGGCGAGATTGCCGTGAGCTTCACGACCCAGTGGAGACTAAACCAAAAAGCGCTAGCCTCATGCATCAACAACACGTTTCGGTACGGTGACACGAGCCTCAGAGCGTCTGCTTTATAAAGGCACACAGATGTTTGGTACACAGCAGCAGCCAGATCAATCAAACCCTGAATCTCCCCGAATTGCGCGTTCCGGGCCATAATGGCTTTACCGCCTTCGAATACATCTCTAACATACGCCTCGCCATCCGCTACGCCATATCTCTCACACACACCTCTTAAGCCTCCTGCGTCGAACCAACTCATCATCAAGGTTCTGGCTACCGCAGTAAACCCCTGCGATATCCAGCTATGGCACAGCCCGCTCGTCGGCTGGGGACGATTCGGACGCGAAGGAACCATGGGATGGGATTACTCGGGGACCATCGCAGCGGTAGGAGACCAACTGAAGAGGAAATGGGAAGTCGGCGATGAGATTTTTGGAATGTGTGAAGGGCCAGTGAGTAACTGCTTTAGCCGTAGAGATCAAATGAAGAAGAGATAGGGCTTGTTGCGCTGACTGGAGTAGGCTGCCCGAGGTACATTCACGAAGTATCTTACCATCTCTGACAAAGCGCCCATTGCACGAAAACCCAATTGCTGGACTTTTGAAGAGGCAGCTTCTGTTCCGCTTGTGACACTCACGGCGTTCGCATGCTTGGATCGGCTGCCGCCTCTCAAGCCGACTGTTGCGCGGCGAAGGGTTATTGTGGCAGGTGCGAGTGGAGGTACTGGGATGTGGTGCGTGCAATGTAAGAATACGCTTTTTGTCCTTTTCCATGCATGTTATGCTTCAAGGCTGCAGGAGGAGAGACCACTGACGTGTAACAGTGGCAAAGAAGGTATATAACTGCCACGTCCTAGCCATATGTTCAGGCCGCAACGCCGACTTCGTCAGAGAACTAGGTGCAGACGATATCATCGACTATACTACGTCAAACGTACCTCAAGCACTCCCGAATCATATGCCGGGTGGCCTGAAGTTCGATTTGTACATTGACTGCGTCGGTGGCACGGAGATGTTCGGAAATTGGGTAGGCAATCTTGCCAACTCTTGCACTTCGCTCAAGTACTGACTCGGTTACTTTGTTAAGAAAGAAATACTCCACAAAGAAGGCGCATACATCACCATCGTCGGCGACAAAACAAGCCGCACCGTGCCTGGTCCACCACTAACCTACTTCACGTACCCCGCGCAGATCTTCCGGCATATGTGGGGATGGATGTCTGGGCCGCGTTATGCGGCTATCATCTTGTACAACGAGTCTAAGTACCTGGAGAAGGTGGCTAAATTGGCTGAGAAAGGAGAAGCCAGAGTTGTGGTGCAGGAAGTCATCGAAGGAATCCTCGAAGAGGGTAAAGAGAAGGCAGCTTGGGAACGAGCGAGTGCATTGCTAGAGGAGGGTCGGATCCGAGGGAAGGTCGTGTTGAAGATACAGGATTGATTGCATAAGCTTCGGGGCTCGACGATTGATTGCGTGACCTGTATTACTTCAGGGTAGGTTTGCAGAGACTGGAGTGCCTATTTCTCATTCCTTAGTAGAATCCTAACTTCCTTCGTGGTGCAGTCGAAGCTGAATTGGGAAACGCAACGTGGCCTGGGTTATCCCAGGGTGCACGATACAGTTTCCAAAGTTTCTGGCGATCGTAGGGTTGTTGTACCACCTAATCTGATCCTGGAATAGGGTCACCAACAAGTTATGCAGATTATACCGGCTTCGAGCGTATGGTGAGGTTCAAAGATGACGACGCGCAGCTAGTGAGCAGTATGCAAACAAGTTGCTCGCCGCGATCTTCCCGAGCGTTTAATTTCCGTCTTACAAAAGAATGGGCCATATCCGATAGTATAAAAGAGTAACGGGTTGCTAATCTAAAGCTTCAACCCAGCGGACGTCATGTCAGCCCCTCAACGTGGCTTACCCTTTACAACCTATAAACTCTTCCCTCATCACCTCTAACCTCATCTTTACAGAAGGCTTCCCAGCCTTTCTCCCACCCCCATTCCCTCGCCCCAAACCAATTTAGTGCCCTTGATCGCACCTTGCTTGATAAATCCTTCCCACGCCTTATCAAAATCTGTGAAGTACTTCTCCCCACCAACCTCAATGCCCTTCTCTCTCAATGTGTTGGCGTTGACTTGCACACCCTCGCCCCTCGCTCCGCGCGCTTTCATGAGATCGCTCGCTTTCGCAGGCCTGTTGTCGCCGCCAACGAAGAACCGATAGAGAGGAACGCCGATGGACGATAAAGTCTCAGTGTACGACGCCATGGTCCCAGGCCGGGCGCCAAAATCCAGCAAGGCTACCTTCCTCGGCTTCTGCTTTGCTACCAGCAATTTAACTCTTTCGGCATCGCCGTTCAGAAGCAACTCATCGTAAAATCCGCAATTCTCGAGAAGAGGTCTCGACTTGTCCGATCCCACGCCTACGATAGTGCGAGGCTGGTGCGCCTTCGGTCTAGCATGCCGTAATGCATATGCGAAAGACATGCCCGTTTTCCCACTCGCATTCAATACCACCACGAGCGCATCGTCCAGACTCGCGTCTTCAGCGCTCCACTCTCCTTCGCCCATGGGATGGATGCGCAAACTGTCGTCCCACGCAAAGCCGAAGGTGCTGAGATTATATCCCGTGCCGAAGAGCGTCATCATCAGCGCGTCCCAGCCCAGAACATCTTGTCCGTTTTCGTTCTCCAGTTTCTCCAGGGATGGATGCACGGAAAGCCGATTATATATTTTCCAGAGATGCTGGCGGTGCGGACTCGTCACGAGGATTTGATCTTTGCACCCAGTCTCCTCGATGCTAACATCCCACGTCCCGGTTCCGATGTGCACGTATCCGTAAACGCTACCTCCGGTGGGAGTGCCTGGAACGGTGCTTTCCACGACGTCGGCGTATCCCCAGCCTGCGATAGTGGCATATTTGGACCGGTCGTTGTACGGAGCTGGTGTATTTTTGGGAAGAGGGTAAATGTCCCACCAGCCCATTGCAAATCCTAGGTTGGCATACGTGAGATTGTTCGTCGTTTGGCCTAGGATGCGGGTTCTAAGACGGAGAGATGATGGAGGGAGGGGTTGAGGATCCGTTGGCGGGAGGGTAACGAGGCGGTGTTTGGAATAGTCTCCTTGATCGAAGACATGAATAATTGGGGATTTGGCCATGTTGAATAGGTCTTCTTAGTAATAGTGGGTAGGTTGGAAATTTCGTTGCAGTCCAGCTCTTGCACTTGGCAGATATGTGGAAGGGAAGACAGGAAAGTATGACTGGCACGCTCAATCCAATATTCAGGATACTGTCTTTTCTTGTATAGCCCAGGCGCACTCACGACCGGTTGCGCACAGCACCAAACGAAGCCGAAGTGGAGTACATAACGTTGTGCTTACAGGGCGGCACAGAGGATCTTTAGCCACTTTGGGACGTGGCTCAGTGGAGTTCCGCCATACACTAGTGTAGCCATGGCGGAACTTTGGCGGGGAGCTGCTGGGATTGGCACTCATCGGGATCGCAAGTTCGTGTCTCTCCCGAGGAGAGCACATTTCAAGGCCAAGCATGTAGTTAATTACATTGCGTCCGAAAATACGTGAGTACATAGTTTTTCACTGACGAAGGATAGGGTTGATGCACGTCCAATAGTCAATAAGACTAGCTAGGCCATTGATGTGGGTATAGCGTGATGATAACCCGGCCAATGCAGACAAATGATACCGTTGCGGTGGACCACCGAACACAAAACGAAAGAACAACTAAAAGCCCATGCCGTATCAAAACATTAGAAGCACAACCCCTCCCTCTCCCTTACAAGCGCGTGCCATCAGCCACATAGAAACGATTTATCATGTCCACGAGGCCAGGGACGGAGGGGTAACGGCGCATGCTGGCCAACATGCTTTGATTAGGCCTCGTACGGCTCGTGAACCGCTAGCGCACGACTTAATCGCTATCATACTCGGACGGCTCTGGTCCATACTCCATCTCGTACTCACTAGGATTACGCTCGTTCCCATAGAAGATGGCGTTAGGGCCTGAGATCCAGTGGAGCGGGTACGACTGCTTCTTGTACTCTTCGATGTTGATGTTCGGATCCGCCACCTTCAAGATAGCTTTGTTGATCATCTGGGGCTCGTGGTCGGCAGGGTAGTAGGCATCGGTGTGGACATCGTGGAAATAGCCCCAGAAATTGATCTGGACACACTGCGGCATCTTGCGTCCGTGCAATTGTGTCATGGCTCGCAAGACTGCGGTCACACGCTTCAACATCGCTGCTTCTGACTCTCCAGGACCTTTGAACAACAAAGGGGCCCACGTGTGGTAATTATACAGCGTGTTAGGATCGAAGCCCTCATAGCCCATCTTCAGGAAGAGCCGACGAAGGCTCGGAAAGTGTTTGCGTACGATCTCGACATCTTTGAGCCAATGTGACCACATGTGGTCCATCCGCCAGGAACAAGGTGAGCTCTCCATGGGGTAGAACAGGTGCAGAAATTGGATACGCTCGTGCGGCATTCCGGGATGCTTGGTAATTGTGAAGTCTCGATGCGTGCCCCGCCAGACCTGGAAGTAGTTCTCCTTGTATGCCAAGGAGGAGGCCTCATGATAGAGACGGCGACAAACACCAAGAATTGCCCATGCGTTGTCACGACCCCATTGGTGCTTCTCGTTATGGTCCATGATCGTGGGGTTGAGCTTCATACGAATCGCCTCATCACTGAGAACCACCTGCACGTAAATTTTGTTCCGGAGCTCGGCGGGGAGATCAAGGAAACTACGTCCAGCATTCTCCTTGTTGGGCTCGGTGTTGCGAATCGTAGTTGGTTCCTGAAATTTGTTTAGTGAGGCAACCGAAACGAGCAAGAATAGAAGACTTACGTAGTACTCCACATACGGGAGTGATTCCAAGTTTCGACCTGGCTCCTTGGCGCAGCAACCCTCGAAGTAACAACACTTGTTGTTGCAGCGGCAGCTCAAAGCTTCGTCGCCATATCGATGGGTAAAGGTGTTCGCCGTGAATTGTTGTATGTTGACATCCATCGTGACGTTCAGGAGGATTCGGTGTGTTTGAATACTAAAAGTGGACCACAATGACTTCAGGTGACGAGGAAGCTTGGGGTAATTCTCGCGACCCTTGAGTGCAAACGGTAGGCACGTTGAAGCTTGCGTTGTCTGGTCGTGGGTGGCGCGGACTAGACAGAGTCGTAGGCGTGAGCGCGGGTGCTTTTATCTGAAGGGCAAGTCATTTGTGGACTAACTGCATGCTTGGCAATGCAACGGGGTCAAAGCTGCGATGTTATTCTGTCTCGAGCCGATTGCCTCCTGTGTGAATTAGCACGGTTGATTTGGCGGTTCAAGTGGCCCTAGGTGCAGACACGCATGCGCGTAGGCCCCTTTGAGAAGCCCTCCCTCCCAGATCAGATTGTTGATAGCTTCAGCAAACCACCTCTTCGATTGTTGCTAATCTCGTTCAACCGCTTCCCTGAGTATACGCTTCTCCTGAGGCCAAGGTTACAAGCTTGATTGGGATTGGGCTTTTCATTTTGGTCTCATCTCCTTCGTACAGCATGCTCTCAATCTTGTCTGCTGCAAATTTCCCGATTCGAGTCTGTTTGACCGACAGACCGCGGTTGTGCTTGTCCGCATCGTGCGCGCTGATCCAGGTTTGAGCATACAGGCTACGTGCAATCTGCAGACCGCCAGGAGAGCCGGCAGAGATATTTCCTCCCAAGTACCATGGGTTTTCGACGCGGTCAAAAGAGTGTATGAGGGCAGTCAAGGGCAGTGCGGCCTCATTGACCAGATGAGAAGACGCGTATGGCTGGACGTCTTCGTAAGGCACACCGTGTGGCGAATACAGAACTGACAATGTCTTCTCACGGTCATTATAGGGCGCTGGTACGATTGTACGCGGTGATGATGCTATGGTGCGAAACGACCGCGGCGACGCTGGCGGACTGAGAGGAAGCTCGGGAAGGTCCAAGTACCGTCCGGGAGTAGCTGACAGTACACTGCAAGGGGGCCGATATGTAATTCCAATGGCATGATGAACACTGGATATATCTCTTTTAGCGGGTATCCACGTTACTGTAAGCTCTCCACAGGAGCCTCGCGGTGACATTGGTGGTATGACCAAGCGATACATCGATTGCTTGCTGCTCTCATCATATTTCGGTATAGCTTGAACTAGCTCTTCTCTGAAATGTTTCCATGAACGGATCTTCCTTGCGGCTGCTGGAATCGCCAGAATCGTTGATTGGCAGTCCTGTGGAAGCTGCCTTAAGGTCTCCTCGTGGCAGTGGTCAGGCTTGTCTTGCGAAATGAGGATTATATCCGGCTCTTGCTCTAGCTCTTTTAAAGAGGATATGCACGGTTTCGTCCTCTGCTCTGATATGGAGAAAAAGCTGCCAAGAATGGTGGCTGGCCCGGTCAACCACGGATCGACCAGAATAGTGAAGGAGCCTGGGAAGAGCCCTGGAGACGTCAGTGGTGCGACTGGAGGGCTAAAGGTAAGTAGAAAAGCGGTGTCCCCGTTCAGCGACTTCACGGTGAGGGACATGGTTGCCGCAGGCAGACTGCGGATGGGAGACGTACACTCAGGCAGCTGTCATTGATGATGTGGAATCCGGGCATGGACGATTAGCGGGCGCCACCCGCAATGGCAGGTAGTTTTACGCGGACGCTCAGACGCGGCCCTCGTCTGGGGTGAATGGAAGCGACGATGCACTTTAGAATCTTTGCAGCTGGCAACACCCACAAACACCGTCCATCTTCTACATCATCGTCATTCCAAAGTCATTGTTCGTACTAACGAAGATCCAACTAGCCAGAGCGACCGCTACAGCTGTTTCCCCTGCGCTGCACTGGGTGCCGTTTTGATGGGCGTCCTTGTGGGAGGGCTGCAGCAGGAGGAACTGCCAATCCTGGCCTACAACAGCCTTGACAAATCACGAGACGTTCGGCGATCGGAACATGCTCGGACGACTTTGATCGTCCAGCGCCCAGGATGCGCGTCGCTTTTCTGACTGGGGATGCTGGCGGAGGGCGGTAGGCCGAGGCGCAACGTGCCTGTGGGCGGTGAAACACACTCAAGCAGCACCGGCAGCAGCAACCTCACTGCCCAGCGACTGGCGACTGACGACTGACGACTGACGACGGCAAAGCAAAACCCAGCGACGGGCATGGCAAGCTAGGTGCGGAGCGATGCAATCTGCAGCAGAATGCCGGCCGCGGATTGGGCAGGTTGGCGGGCGCTCTGGCGGGCGCTGGCATGCAATAGAGCTCCCCAGTCAGGACTCAGTTCAGCTCAGCCTGTCAGGACTCACCCATTGTTGCCAGCTTGTCAGGGACGCGATGGCCTGCGCAGCGCAAAGCTAGGGGCACCGTCAGTCAGTACTTGGGAGCGTACAGCTGGTTGCCCGTCACCTACTGGACAGGCAATTGATGCGCGCCGCTCGAGGTTCCCTCGTTCTTGCGGCTCCTCGCCCAGAATGGGATTCGGGCGGACTCGAGCTGGGCTCCTCCCCCACTTCACCTTTGAACCCCTCATCGCAAACTGCCAGAGCTTGCTTCGTGCCCACCAACAGCCCACCTTTACCACCTGCCACAGCGATAACGGAGCGAGGGGTGACTTGAAAGACGTTGCCAGAGCTCTCTGAAGCTGCCGCGAGCTTCCCTTCCCGCCATTGACGGCACCCAATCGCCCCGCCGCTGCTCTCCCACGGCGCTCGGCTCTGCCCGAGGGTAGATGCTGGCTGCGATGCCACCACGAGCCTCGCTCACGGGGTCCTTCTCCGTGTCGGACGAGAACAATGTCGTCGTCTGCCCGCTGCGTAACCACGATGGCTCAGCTTGTCGCAAGCGCTGCACCGGCGTGAGTGCTCTCTGCTCCTTCTCCTCTTCCTCCAGCTCCCCGCCGCTCCCACGTCATGCCCCACGCCTTCACCGCGCCCGCAAAAACCGTGGCTAACGCAGCATGGTGTACAGGAAAAGCGATACCGCTCTATGCAAGAGCACATCCGCCGCGCCCACCCCGAGCATTACATCTCGAAGCTCCCTGCTACCGAGGAGAGCTTCACGCTGATGGTCAGCACGCCGCCACAACCGATACCACAGCCCCAGCTGCCTCCCACTACAACAGGCCCAGGTTGGTGCCCAGGTCTCTCCAGCTCAGCGGGGACTGACACAATGGCAAGGCTACGATGTTGGCGAGCACAATGCCTTCTTTCATGAGCAGTACGGCTCCATAACGCCCCGGACCTCTGACGAGCTGCGTCGGCCGTCCCTACTACCCGCTGCCACGGCGGCTGCCGCGCTGGCTTCGCTTCACAACCACCGTCCAGACTACGACTGGGACTCGGATCAGGTGAGGCACTGCCATTCAGCTTGGCCGTGTCGTCTCAGTACTAACGCAATGATCATAGGATGCAATGTCAGACCCCGATTCGAAGAACTACCGACCCCGCGCTCGATTTGCGCCCACTACCCTGGAACATCCGTACACTGCTACCGAGGAGCCGTACTACACCGCGACCTCGTTGCAGCGTGAATTGCTGCCTTCCTCACTCGCTCGCTCCCCGCCCGGCCGCTCTTCCACCTTACCGCCGGCACCACGCTCCATAAAACCCAACAGACCTCGCAAGACTTCAGTCGGTCAAAATGCCCGCAAGCCTAAGCATGAGCGACAGAGGTCCAAGGACCATGCGCGGAGGATGAGTTATGATCGCAAGGCTTTCTCGGCAGAACCACAAGCGGCAGCTGCCATACTGGGCAAGCGATGGGAGGACCTCATTGATGCAGCTGCTTCTGCGACTGAAGAGGACAGCAGAGACCTCACTCCGGTAAACATCATATTGACTGTATGTGAGATCTGCGCTAAGGCACGCTTCAGGTACCCGGCTCTCCCCACCAATCCCCACATATGCTTGGGCGAACGTCACTGCCGCCTTTTGTTGCTGCTCAGTTCAACTCGTATGCGGCTTCGCCGCTACAGCAAGCATTGACGCCGCCGCCACCAGAGATGTCAGAGCTGCAGCCATTCCCTTCCGTAGAATCGTCTATCGAATCAGCAGCATCGGCCGCTAACTTCCATATCCCTTCGCAAGGCCTTTCGGACTCCTCACCGACGTACTTACATCCTGTACAGATCTACTGTGCAGCATGTCGGAAACTTTCAATACTAAAGGAGAGTTACGCGTGTTCAGAGTGCATATGCGGCCTCTGCCAAGACTGTGTCGATGTGCTCGTCAGCGAGCACTCACGAGGCCGAACGGCACGGTGTCCCCGATGCGGCGCCGTCGGTGGCAAGTTCAAGCCATTTCAACTCGACATAAGATGAACCAACATTCACGCGTGTACTGGACGCCCTTTTTGCTTTACGAATACTAACGACATTCCCTAACATTTTCTGTGTCTTGTCGTCACCGTTGGGTAGAGGTCTTGACTGCAGGACAGCGGCGTTTACCAATGATTTACTGCATAGATCACATCATGATTTTGGACTGGCGTTTACTGAGCTTCAAAACTATGCATAGGATCACAGCGGCCAGAGGCTGGCAGGCTGGCATGTGTAGCACACAGCCACGAGATTCAGTATGGCACTATTACATAGCCTACGGTGAATGCATCAACCACGCGAGACAGCTCCGGCTTCTCTCAGCGCGTTTCTCCATCGTTTGTTTACATGTTGGAGCCGACTCCGTGCTTCATGACTCCTTTCAGGGCCTCAGTGCGGCTCTAGTCTACGCCATGGCGTTGCGCATCCTACCACGGTTCAGGGTCCACGCTTAAGCTTCCGAGACGGGACGACCAAGGGAGAAGGGAAGGTCCAGCGCCTGGGCTTTCGTAGACGGCGTAACGGTAATGTTGACGGTGGGTTTTCTATTTCGGTAACGGTGCGGGTGCCTGATTCCGCAGGAGTTGATTGCGTCTGCGGTGGTGAATGGCCAATGCAAAATCGATAAAATGTAGGATTGTAGTGCAAAACTCAACGAAAGAGTCTGGACGGCTGGAGTGCGCCGAGCGAGACCGCGACCAGCACTTTATTGACTTACACGCGTCGTCATTGAGAGTCAGTGGACATTTGGGATCTGCAGCACTTCTTCCAACGATCAAAGCGTCGGTAAGACGACACATCAAGTGACCCTGCCCACGCGCACGCCCCTGAAAAGGCGGTATGACAACCGCACCCAGCGTTAAACACACCGCGCCCTTTACGATCCCCTTGATTCGCTCGATTCCCAGCCCTCCCCGAACGCCTCCTAGACCGATTTTCCCCCGCCAGTTACCCATGTGGGTCGAACGCTCGGTTCGTGCGGCTTGGCGCATGCGTCTGGCCGATGTCACGCAGCAAAGCGCACGTCAGGGGCTATCAGGCTCGTGTTGCTTTGCCATTTATCGCTTTTTATGTGGGGAGACTCCTCTGAGCGAGAAGAGGGGTCTGGAACGTTTGACGTGCAGTGCGTTTTATGATTTGTGGGGAGGCCTTCCAGCGGCTTTGTTGTGTTTGGTGCACCTTTTGGTCGCGTGGCTTTCTTTCGGCGTTCGGGCCTACGGGTGTCAGTGGTAAGTGGCTTCGGGGCTTAAAAGACGTTTCTTTGGTTGACCGCTGGCGGTGGGTGACGGGAGGGGAAGGGGGTAAGGTATTTGAGCCTGCGTGCCCTTTGTCCTCGTGCGCTCCTCTCCCTTCTTTGATTTTGTAAAAGTGCAGCCATAGTCGTAACATCGCATACAAGTATACAGAAGGTCACATCATACTTCCATAATTTGATCAAGACATCGACACCACCAATTGATGAGCCATACCACATCACGTCAAGATTTACAACAAAACAGAATGCCACTCCTCCGCAGCCTCACAACAAAACTCAAAACCAAGCTCACCGTCTCACCGCCTTCTTCACCCACCACATCCCCCTCTTCGTCAACAAGCAGCTTCGAAAACATGGGTGGTAAGAGAAAGAGCATGATGCCGCAGAGCCAGCGAGAGGATATGGCGAACAGCGTGGAAAGCTTTGGTCAAAAGAGGCCTCAGAGCCAGAGGGCGAACACGGGGAGTAGCGAGTTGAGCTTTGGCTGTGTGGGGATTGATGCGAGGGTCGTGATGGAGGAGATCGAGAAGGTTCGGCTAGGGCGGGAGGAGAGAAGGAGGAGTAAGTTCAGGGAGGAGTTCTGAAGAGGTGGATTCGATGATTGAATCGTGGCTCTAAGGCTACGCTACGGATTGGACGATCGGGAGACGATAGCCTGAGACTCTTGTCTTGATCAGTCTTCTGGATCGAAGACACCTGACTACGGCTCTGCCGGCGTGGGCTCCTCATTCTGCACCGGCGTCGCGCTCTTGGGCGGACCTCGCGGCGGCCCTCCAACCTTCGGCGGCGGAGGCACACTGCCCTCCCTCTTGGGCGCAAAGTCCTCCGCAGCACTCTTCTGCTCGCCTTCCTTGAAATAGTCGTCTAAACCGCCGCCCCCGCTCGGACTGATATGCGCATGGTGCGCTCTCTGCTTGCCTTTTTTCGGCGGCGCACCAGCCTGTGGAGGCGATGATTTTAACGGCAACGCCATGTTCGCTGGTACAAAAAGCTCTGACGGAGCACCGACTTGAGCAGGAGGGAGGTTACTCGCGGATGATGACAGGGGACGCTTCTCATCGAAAGAGGCGCTGCCGGTGGAAAACAGCGTTTCACCTGGTGCCTGCGGCGGTTCCTCCAACTCGGCGGGAACGCGATGAAGAGCGCCGAAGCCAAGCACGCATCCCAGCGCACCTTCGCCGCCCCAACCGCGCGACGGAGTAATAGTAACGGGACGAGTGACGTTGTACTCTTGGTTGTACACAAATAGGCGGAGCGGCCGGTTGATGTAGTCTTCGATGAGTTCGCCTAAACCAGACTCACCGCGGACCAGGCCTTCAGGACTGCCGATCACGTAGTCGCCGTACGGAAGCAGGCCTGCTACGTCGGCGGGAGAGTTGGGCGCGACGTCGAGGATGTGCCAGACGTCTTCCGTCACGGAAAGGGGTGTCCATTGGAGGGAGATGCCCAGGGTGGGTTTTTCGGCAGGGATGGGAATGTAGATCTCTCGGATCTTTTGACCCTATGTCGGTGTTAGTGAAATGAAGACAACATACTATGTGTACATGAGGTCTTCCTAGAAGAACATGATAGTGACGATGAAAGGAACGAAAAATCATTGCCACTAGATCCTCGCTGTGTTATCCGAGGATGTGGAATACATAGGGTGATTGAAGTCTGAACGTCCTCTGAGTAACAATCATATTTCATGAAAGAGCGCTTGTATTGCGCATCCTGGGACAACAGAGAGGTAACAGATGTCCAAAAGTGTTCGTCAAGCGCCATGGATCATTCGTAGAGGGGTGTCTGAGACGAACTATAACTTGATTGGAATGAGAATTGATGCCCCGGAAAAAAAGCGGGAAAGAAAGACTGAGGTCGTTGCAAAGAAGAACAGGACATGAAAAGAGTAGCCTAAGTAGCGTACCTTTGCGCTGAAGACACCCAAGCTTAGAGGGGAGCCAGCGCAGTTGCGCACCTCAGTCGCGAATAAATTGGGATCCGGATTGTCCTACATTGATTGTCAGCACTTTGATTTCACCACTTCTTATGTCTTCAGTCGCTAGTCACGTACAATCGTGCGCCCGTTGATGCCAATGACAAAGTCGAACCATGGGTCCAGGGGTATCTCCGGATTGTTGTTCCTAAGCACCTGGAAGCCATACGCGCCTTGTGTCGCAGAGTTTTGGTCCTCTGGCGCGGCATCAAGCCGTGAGATGAAGCGGTTCAAGGCGCCAAACATAGTCGACATGATGTGCGGTCGTCCGGTAATGTGATGTGTATCGAGGTCTGGAGCCAGGTGTTGCGGTTCGTTTGGGGTTTGGGCCAAAGCCGCCGCCATGGTCCAAGCTCCTGCTGATCGGCACTGCGGTCTCGTCGTACTCGATTGTGCTTCAGCTGAAAAATGATAACGAAGTGTGAATCAAGTGAGGCGATCTAAGCGTCTGAATTGCCTTATGTTTTGATGTTCGAGGGGCGACACAGGCACGTCTGAGCATTCCGTATTGTGTACAGTTCTCAAGGCAGGCACGACTAGCGCGCTATCCACGGTCGGACTAGCGGGTCTTCCTGCAGAACCAGAGACAATGTAACCGTGCTCTACGTCGCCTTGTACTTCTTCACGCACAAGCTTAATTTGAGATGAGATAATACAACACACATACTAGATTTCAACCGCACAAGCCGTAATGGGTGAGAAACCTGATGAACAGGGTATCCACCAGTGGCTCGATGCAGAACAATTTCCGGAGCATCTAAAGAAGTAATTCTTTCTGATAATGTTCATAAGTAGTATTCAAGCTGATCTGTAGCCAGATATTGGTTCCAACGCTTCAAGATATGGCAAAGATATCATGAAGGCATCTGGATGACTGAGGATTCTTGGTTTGGTGTAACTCCTGAACCCATTGCGAAGTAGGTATCTGATCGTGTAACGCTCACGCTTAAAACGTGATTAACCTCGTTCAGTAAGATCGCTACACATATCGCGGAATCTGCCCCAAAAGACAAGACTGTCATCATCGATGCTTTCGCAGGTGTGGGCGGGAATGCCATTGCGTTTGCGCGTTCGGGGCGATGGGAACAGGTCTTCGCCGTAGAGAAGGATCCGAAGACGATGAAATGCGCGAAGCATAACGCAGAGATATATGGCGTCGACAAGAAGATAGTGTTCCACACAGGGGATTGCTTCGATATTATCAAGAGATTTATGGGCAAGAACAACATTGTCATCTTCGGTAGCCCGCCATGGGGAGGTAAAACAATGCTCAGGCCATCTCTTGACAAGTCTACTGCTGACACGAAGCCAGGCACGGAATATAACGCAGACAATGTTTTCGACCTTTCCACGATGCAGCCGTACAGTCTTGACACACTCTGCAAGAAGTTTTCCAAGCTCAGCAAGCATATTGTGCTGTACCTTCCACGCAACTCGGATCTAAATCAGATTGCGCGGTACGCTTCGGAAGGCAAGAAAGTGGAAGTCGCACACTACTGCATCTTGGGGGCCAGCAAAGTAAGTGAACAGTGTAAATGGAATCATGACACTGATACATAACCCCAGGCATTGTGTGTTTATCTTGGTGACTTCAACTTTGAAGGTGAGGCAGAAGAGGAGGGCGTTGTATCCGCTCCGTTGGAAGGCCAGTCAGCTTGAAATATCGGTCCCCATTGGAAGTTCCCCTTTCTAAGCATTGACCGTGCTGTGCATTGTAGAACCCTTTTCTGGTTCTGAAAGTGAACCACACGGCGGAAGATGTATGTGGGCTGCTCTGTCGATTCTCAGTCTGTAGGGCATAGCGGCATATCATGAGAAACTGAGGTCACAGAATTTTACCTATCGTTGCCATCACCATCTAGATGCTACCTGGCATACCTATTGCTACCTGAGCACCCCTCCACACGTGAATAGGCGATGTACAGTCACGTGGTCAGCCACTTCGCCGGCCAAGATAGGAATAGCTAAGCACGGGCCACCCGCGCGCCATGTCTCGGCGGCGAGCTCCATCACATCAACACCACACGCCGCCCTCCGGGCAACTCAACCACCACGACCGACAACGAAACGAAACGGCATCGAGACAAACGTCTGGACAATACCTGCCACGCGGAGAGCTAGTCAACATAATATTGACTGCGCGCAGAGTGCGCGGTCGCACGACGACTGAAGGGCGGATCGCGCTCGCTGAATAGGCCTTCTCAACCAGCGCAACACCTTCAGCCGGCTTCGAAGACGACTAGCGGCCTGCAAGAGCGAGCATAACGTGCCGCATCTCGGTTGTTGTGGGCGGAACTTTTGCATTCGAAGTTCCGAGAGATCAACCCCGCTGCCTTCCATTATGGACCTCGAGGACCTCGCGGCCGAAGCCGCTGGCGATCCCACGGCCGACGATGTAGATGCCGACATGAAACAGGTGTTTGCTGACGCAAATACCAACCCTGAATTTTGGGCGAACCTCGCGACCATGGAGATCGGAGGCGGAGAGAAAGCGGAGGATGCGATGGACTACGGAGACATTTCGGACGACGACCTGGCGAGCGATCATGACGACGATGGGGACGAGAACGAGCAGGGAAACTCACATCAGCTTAGCGGCACCACTGTTCAAGATGAGGAGGACCTGCAGGCAGATGAAGATATCGATGCTTTGTTCAATGAGGATGCGGCCAGTCCCGTGCCAGAGCATTCCCAGGACATTGAAGCGCAGAAGCCTGGCTCCGCTGCATCAGTCCCAATAGTTTCGACAGGCGGCGCTGGACAGACCGTCAACGCTACAAGTAATGTTGCTGGAGACGATGAGGATCCTGAGTGGGTTGAGCAGAGGCGACTGTTCGCTGAGGCTAGCCGTCCAAAAGGCGAGCGTATACCACTGGCACCAACCTCTGACAAGGAACTCTTCCGTCAGCTCTACCCTGACTTTGAGAAGGGAAAGCCGCTCCGTTTCTCCAGCTTAATTCCTCGCAAGCGCGCATACTTCAAGCCTCAAGAACCAGCAAAAGCGCCCAAGCCGCTGGCATTCGGTACGAAAATCAACCTGGACATCGCGACCGACCAGGAGAAGAGCTTCCGACTGCCATCAACCACCGTCCCCGTCAAGCATAGCCGAGTAGACGAAGAGGAAGAGGGCGGTATCATCCACATTCAGCAGCGCGTGGAGAAGGAAGGCGAGAGTAGTGACGAAATGGATTTGGACGTATGGGAAGCTACCAATGATCACGAAGTCATTGGTAATGTCACCTGGGGTGATCTAGAGGTCGCCTGCGAAGATTGGAACATCGACTCCGACAGCATCGTTACATTATCCGACTCAGAGGGGGCTAAGACGCCTGAACTTGTCAGCATCAACAGCGCTCCTAAGCGACGCCGATTGGGTGACCGCGACAGTCCCGTGACGTTCTCAGTGTACGACCATATGAGCCTCCCCTCATGGGACGATCCTGAGTTTGTTACCGCGAAGCTAGCGAAGAAGATCATCCTGGACATGAATGATCCTCAACTACTTCTCGACGTACAGCAGCCCACTGTAGAGGAGCAGAAACCCCGTACAATTGGTGTTGGTCTCAAGCGCGACCCTCGTGGCGGCATCGCCAATCCCATGCTCAAGCGCTTCAATATCTCGAATGATGAGCATTATGACGCTCTTAAGGAGAGCAGCCAGCAGAAGGTCCGTGGTACCATTGGTAACTCCACTATCGACCACAGCCTCCCGGCTCTGAAATTGCAGTATCCATTCTACAAAGTCCACCTCTCCGATCGAGAACTACGATCCTTCCACCGCCCCACCGTTGCGTTCAAGCCTGGCGAGCGTGCTATCATATCCGCGCTCAAGAGTGTCAAGAGGAAGAACAAGCGTCATTTGAAGCCATCCGAGGCATTTGCCGTTGCCGAAGATCTCAATATCGGAGATAATGCGGACCTTCTCCTTGCAGAGTATTCCGAAGAGTATCCCACCACACTTTCGAACTTCGGCATGGGCGTCAAGGTTTTCAACTACTACCGTCGTAGGACCGCTGAGGACAATAACAGGCCCAAGCCTGCGATTGGAGAGACGCAAATCCTGTTGCCACACGACAAGAGTCCATTCGCCATGTTCGGCCCCATTGAGCCTGGCGAGGAGTGGTTGACGCTTCAGAATGCGATGTACCGCGCCCCGATCTTTCAGCACAACCCGGAGAAGACCGATTTTCTTGTCAGCAGGAGCCAAACTGGTGTCCATGGTTCAAAGTACTACATGCGAAACATCGACAATCTTGTCGTCGTCGGCCAAGAGTTCCCTTACACTGAAGTACCTGGCACCCACGCGCGTAAGGTCACTGAAGCTTCCAAGAAGCGGTTGAAGATGCTAGCCTTCCGATTGTATCGACGAGGACAGCAGAATAGTCACAGGCAGCCTTGGGTGAGCAATGAGATGATCAAGCATCATCTTCCTGGTACAGAAATCGCGCAGAACCGTTCGAGGATGAGGGAAATCATGAAGTACGACAAGAATGTGGGCACTTGGCAGCCTGTAGATGGTGAGACTATCCCGGATGAGCCGACTCTGCGCACGTGGATCAAGCCGGAGGACATTTGCCTGATTGATTCCATGCATGCTGGTGACAAGCAGCTCCAAGATGCCGGTATTAAGACCGACGACATTAAAGATGATGAGGATGGCGATGGCAACGAAACTCTCGAATTGAAGCTAGCGCCGTGGCATACTACTAAGAACTTCCTGAATGCTTGCACAGGAAAGGCGATGCTGACGTTGCATGGAGAGGGTGACCCTACTGGACGCAACGAAGGTTTCAGCTTCATTAAGACTTCTATGAAAGGCGGTTTCAAGGACATTGGCGAGAGCACTGCAGACAAGATCGATGCCCGAAACAAGAAGGATAATGGCGGTCACAGTTACAACGTCCAGAAGCAACAGCAGCAGTATGAGGACGCCATCAAGCGTATCTGGAACAAACAGAAGGACAGCCTTCGCTCTGCCGCGATACCTTCTGATGAAGACTTAGATGTCGATGCCATGTCGCAACCTAACCCGGCTCGTGGACGCTCGGAGGCCCCGACTCCGTACTCAGGTTTGCGAGGCGAAGATGAGACTATGAGTCAGTTCAGTCGTAACAGTGCAGGTGCCGAACGTGGCAAGAAGCTTCGCATTGTCCGCAAGTTCAGGAATCGCCACGACGAAATCGAAGAGAAGGTACAGATCATTACAGACCCCGAAGTCATCAAACTATACATGAAGCGTAAGAAGCAGCAGCGATTATTGAGCATGAACATCGATGATATCAAGCCAACCGGTAATGCCGAGTTCGATCACCAACAGATGCTGAAGCTCAAGGCAGAAATGGCGCGTCTTCAACGCAACATCGAGCGTCGCGAAGGTCGCGAAAAGGCTAAGGGCATTGCTCCATCGAATGGGAAGAGTAGCTCTACTCCGCGAAAGTGTGCGAACTGCGGCGAAGTGGGACACATCAAGACGAACAAAAAGTGCGCGAAGACCGTTTCTTTTGTCTCTCCCCTCTAAACATGTATATCTCCTATGTTTTTTCTTCCCCCAATAGCTGGGCACTTGCTTACAGAGATTCAACAGGCTTTGCCCTCTGCTCAACGGTTCGAAGAAGCAGAGCGACACTTTCAGGGATGCTGGAGCTGCCAGTCCTGTTACGGTGGCAGGAACGCCTATCGCTTCGACACCAGGCCCGCTCCTTCCCGGTGCTGGCTCACCCTTCTAATCATACGATACCTCCTCTTACCCTACCATTCTCTCGGTCTCACCTTCTCGCGATACTTTACAGAATTGGTTTCTCACTTAGCCATGCGTGATTCGAATTGTTCAAAACATGCATAGCGATGGCGTTCTCGGACCGGTTTTCTCAGGCTAACGGTGCATGATTTGATACATGGTGGACAGACTACTCATCGGGTGGCGTTGCATTGTCCTTCGACAACAAATTGTTCTCAGAGTGTACGGGTTGCTGTGCAATCTGAACGGGAATTGCCTGGATTTCCTAATTGCCAGTGGTCCTGGTGCGGCGCTTGCCCTCAACACCAAATCGAATTCGGATAATTGTACAATGCTTATTGATAATTTTAAACGCTATCCAACGGGCGAACCCTTTCTTCTCCATGTCGATGATGAGCGCTTGACTCCGTACTACGTGAATGTAATATCTCTTACAGTGGCCTTACGTCGAACCTGGGAGAGGGGCGGGCGGTCGGTAGCCGGCGGACGAGAGCGGACTATGCTAAGCCGCGTAGGAGAAGTATGGGTCGGCAGACGTGAGAACGAATAGCAGTCGATGACCTATGACGTGGCATAATGAAAGATTATGAATTAGAAAGTAGACGTGGGGAACAGCGACAGACAGACAGAGCGCGTGACACGTATCGTCGCTCAGCTGACGAGTAGAAGACTTGCGCGAATTCGAAGCCTTGTGTAATGAGAGACAACGAGAGACTATTGAAGGAAAGGAGAAGATCTAGGCAGATGTGTGTTTCTAGAATAACAACAATGCACGCGTCGAAGCAGCGCTGAGGCGCAATCGAAACACCATCGAGGGTGGGCAAAAATGACGCGTTGGCATCGCATACGCGACGACCAAAAGACAAGGTTCAAGAAGAACATCAGTAGGCAACAACAAGAGATATGAGTCAAAGCGGCGCGCAAGGACATCAGTATCAGAAGATGTAGGAGAGTCGCCATCAGGCAACTGGTGAGCAAGATTGCGCTTCCAATAGCCGCATGCGGAGAACCAGCAGGTTCAGGTGACGAAGTGGGAGCCCTGGAGTGGGAGACAACGAGGGAAGAGGAGCGCGCTCAACGAACAGCGAGCTTCCCAGACCCCAACGCAACACCTGTTACAAGCGCGCCGCAAATCTGGCCAGCGGAACTCACACCTAGTCTTCGCATCAATTGATCTCTGGATCGCATCTGGCACTGAAACGAGTTTAATCCTGCCTAATGCGGAATGGGGTGTTGATCTGGAAGAGCACCTGCTGTTAAGCGACGTATATAAGGGCCGCGACTCCCCGCTCCGCGTTGCCTGCGCCGCTATCCCATACCTTCCGAGCTTCCCACTTCATCGCCACAAGACCAAATAATCCTTTCCCCCCCTCGTTCTAATCGTCCAGAAATCGTCTATCAGGACGTACTATTATCATCAACAATGCCTCCCAAGAAGTCTACCACCGCTTCTACCAAGAAGGCCGCTGCCGCCGCCCCGGCACATGGCTCCTACATCGGTATGTGACGCGCCGTTGCGCAGCACCACGCTGTCGCTCGCCCTGCGCAATGCTTCTGACGTGTTCGCGAGCGTTTACTGACTTGTTATCGCAGATATGGTCAAGGATGCTATCATCAGCGTAAGTCTGCATTCCCCGGCGCATTGCGTTCCCCGCACCTGGCGGTGACGCTTCGACGCGCCATCCGGTCGCCCTCCACAACAAAGGCCTACCACACTTTCAAACGTCGAGAATACATTCACTGACGCGTTATCTGCACGCTACAGCTCAAGGAGCGCAATGGTTCAAGGTATGTCGCTGCCCTGGAGCCCACTACGCCGCCGGCGCTGAGTGTCGCTTCCAGCTCAAGTACCGATAGAGCAACACGCTGACTTTGTTTTCCGCAGCCGTCAAGCCATCCAGAAGTACATTAAGGCCAACAACAACTTGGGCAACCCCACCGATGCCATGTTCAAGAGCCGCGTCAATGGCGCCATCCGCAAAGGTCTCGAGAGTGGCGACTTCAGCTTCCCCAAGGGTACGTTTACACTTGAATGGACTCCCTGTCAACATACGCTTCGAAGTGTGACATGAACGCGTCCACTCATCGGTCTCCGTGAATTAATCTTACTGATATCGTCTCCAGGCCAAAAGTCCGGCAGCATAAAGCTCGCGAAGAAGGATGCGAAGGAGGCCAAGCCTGCCGCTGCAAAGAAGGAGAAGGCCGAGCCCAAGATTGAGAAGAAGGCCGCCGCTCCCAAGGCCAAGAGGGCCGCCACCACTACCGTGAGTTAGACGTTTCATAGCAGGACAGAAAAGCTTGAGATTCGGCCTGTGTATTAACCAGCGCCCCCAACTCGGTCCTGCCACCAGATGAACATTCCACTAATAGTTGCATCAGAAGGCTAAGGCACCCGCCTCTAAGGCTGCAGCTACCAAGAAGCCCACCAAGGCAGCGCCCAAGAAAGAGACTAAGACCACCACCAAGAAGGCCGCTGCAGCTAAGCCTAAGGCCAACGCCAGCAAGCCTCGCAAGGCTGCTGCCGACACCAAGGCTGCTCCCGCTGTTCCCAAGGAGGACTTCGCGGTTCTCAGTAAGACCAAGTCTGGCCGTGTCACTAAGACCAAGGCCGCAGCTCCCATCAAGAAAACACCCACCAAGAAGGCCCCGGCGGCTAAGAAGGCAGCAACAACCAAGAAGAGCACACCCAAGCGTGCAACGCCCAAGAAGGCAGAGGCATAAGTCCATCCAGGACTATCTTTCCTTGTTGAGTGATTTCTTCTGACAGGCTTTGTGTTTATAAATTCCGCGGAAAAGGAATAGGTTCACGAGCCTGAGATACTGAACACGTTCGTGATATCCCCATTATGGTATAGGGTGGGCTGGTAGGACTCGGGGTCTGTTTCGTGTGGATATGGCGCTTAAGGCGTTTCGGGATGTTGCTCCTACTGTGTGTTTTTACTGGTAAAGGTCGTGTATGGGTGTTATACACTGGGTTACGAGCAATGAATACCAAACTTTAATTTATACTGAGTGCTGCTGTGGTTTATGTGTAGTGTGCATAGAGTTCTACCAGACTCTACTGGAACAACATAATCGGAGCTGGGTCCAAGTTGCTTTTACGGTACGTCGACCATTCTATGGGACGCGTTGTTTTGATAGTGCACGTCGTCTGTCGCGTCGAGTGGGTCGGCACGTGATCATAGCGAAGCGAGGCGCGCCACCATCGGAGTCCGGATAACGTGAGCGACGGAGGGAGATCTTATTATCGGTTGTCTACCCCCAGGCCCCGAGGACGTAAGTGCAAACGATTGGTACTGTTATTCAAGTTCAGTCTGGCATGGGCTATCTGAAGAAGTACTTAAAGAGTAAAACCTTGATGCATCGTCACGTTCACAACTCATCCTAGGTAGGCTCACACCTGACTACCACTTCCACTGCGCCCTAGCTCAAGTCTACTACCCAACCATCTTTCCAATGCCGAATTCATTTCGGCAGGCTTCTCTAGCATGACCCAATGACTCGCCTCGACCACCTCAACAGTCAAGTCTTTCACAGATGCCCGCTGGCCGTCCGCCATTCTTGGTGTCGTACTCGGCGAACAGACCGCATCATGCTTCGCATCCACATACAGCACCGGAAATTCCAACTTCCCGTCACCAGCCTCGCTCTTCGCATACTCAGCGTTCGCTTCATGATTAAGATAATACGCCGTAGGTGGAAAGAACCCGTGTTTCCTATGGCTTTCCAGCAGCGCTTCGTACAGCGGCTGGTCGAGAGACGTAGCTTCCATGGGCAAATCGGGTATGAGGTCAGGACGCCCGGCGAACCAGCCATCCCTCAGCACGCGGGACGTATGTGCTGGTCTCCCATAGCGTGATGGATCGTGCCTCACGTACAGCAACTTGGTCCATTTCTCTAATTCCAAAGAGGAGTAGGCGGTCATGGCGGTAGAAGGAGAGGAAGAGTAGGCGGCCATGTATTCCCATTGTCCGTAGGGGTACTCTTCTTTAGGGTATAGAGAACGGTTTATCAGGGAGAGGGTGTGCAATAACCCGAGTTCTAGCGTGCGGTAGGGCACGCAGAGGAGGGTCATGCCGAGGAAGAGAGAGGGGTGGTGGGCAGCAAGGGAGGATACGATGGCGGCGCCCCAGTCGTGGCCGATCCAGACTGCTTTGTCGATGTTTAATTGGTGCGCGAAGTCGACGAGTTCGCTGACGAGTGTCTTCAATGAATAGGCACTTTTGTGATGTGGTCCGCTGGAGTTAGCGTAGCCGCGCATGTCGAGGGCGTACACGCAGTATCTCTTGTCAAACGGGGGCGAGGTGAAATAGCGCAGTTGGTGGTGCCAGGATTGCGCGAGGTCGGGCCAACCGTGGATGAATATTAGGGGGGTGCCGGCGGGAGAGCCGCCGGTGTAGTATGTGGTTGTTTCGCCGGAGGGGTGAATTAGGGTGGCGGAGGTGAGGAAGTCCATGATAAGCGGTTGTGGTACTCAGGGTGAGCTGGCTGAAGAATAAGTGATTTGTATAGGAACCAGGCTGTATGATTGATCTGTGTAGGGATAGATGGCTCGGAGAGCTTATTTTATCTGTCTGTTACCTAGCATGCCACGAATAGTATTAGAAAGACTTGCCGTACCTTAGCACAAGAGGCCTTGAAAGCGTTAGGAGTGTACTTTGGTAGTCTGTCATACTTGCCCATTCATGCTGCCAGAGGATTACAAATGTCCCCGTGAGACCTCGGTAGGTGGGATGCCTGACCAACCAACTCTGCCATGGCGCATAGTCTCGAAGATCATGTAGTATAAGAGGAGACAACATGTTTGCAGGGCCGCGAGGTGTGAACGTGGGAATCTATGGTGGTGGATGCCCACTGTCGGTAGCGCCATAGCGTGTCACGATCGCTTGTCAGGTGTGCGAGTGCGAGTGCGAGAGCGAGTGCAGGTGTGATAGGTGCAACCTACATCCTGGCGCAACTTGCCGCAATTTTCGACATGCAATCCATAGGCATCTAAAAGTTAATGGCCAGAGTGGGATTTCGGTCGAGAGAGTTTCTATCAAGGTGAGGCTCAGCGTAGAGCGCACCACGGATACGGGCCCATAGGGATTCCAAATTGCGCTAGGAAATTCCAAGTGGCTGAGCGGTCCACAGATACATCCACGGATGCATATGATACGCGTGTGCGTACCTTTGTGCGTTTACGTGTTGTTGTCAGCTGTCGCCGGCTCGGAAATTCCCATGCCGACAAGGGGCTTTGCGGTGAATGACAGCAGATCAGATCGACGGGCTGAGGTGATGGTAGCGGACAGACGACGAAATAGCACACTCAGCTGTTTCAGGGGAGCACCACATGCAGAAACAAGTGAATTCATACGGATACAAGTGTGTGTTGCTATTCTTGTGCAAATCAGAAAGCGTCCGCCCCGTCAGATACGAGCGTTCGAGGGCACCCGGCCGGAGACAACGGCGAGCGGGACTTCAGAACAGCATGCGGCGCGTGCGTGACTGCGGCCCGCTAACATGGCTTGGGACGCAGGGAAAGGCGGCTCTCGGCACGGAGGGGAGATTGGTTCGAAAGGGGGCTTGAGGACGCTGCACTTTGTGAAGTGGAGAGTTGGCGGTGTGGCTGTGAGGCTGAACCTGCGAGCCGGGAAAACGTTTGTTCGTCGTGTCTAACCACATGTGGCTGTGGCCTCAGCCCAATTTCACCACTCCCCTGAGCGCACGAAGACAGGACGAGCCGTCCAGAAGCCATCCTCAGCAACATTCTGCGACCGGCACGAGTACTGCGTGCCATCATCGTCGTCTGGAGAACGCTCCGCAGCGTTGCGCGGCAGTGCCAGGTTCCTTGGTTCGCCGTGTGAGTGGCCTATCGTGGACTCCATCTCGTCCGTTTGCCGGGCCGTCTGCTTGGCGGGCAGACCACGGACCCTTGCGAAGCTGACCAGTGCCTTGCTTCTGTGCTTTGTCTCCTCTGACATCTTCACCAGCGCCCCGGCGACGATTGCTTCCCCTCCACACTTGCACGCCCATTCTTGCGACCATATCCAGCGACGGCCGCCCTGCCCTGCCTGCTGCCGCCCACCTAGCACCCTCCGCCCCCCCGACCACCAATTCGCACGCGGAGCAACGCCATAGCAACCGCCCGTCACGACACTGCACCCGCTCCCGCACGGCACGACACGACACGCCCCGACACCATAGGAGAGCTGGCTGCCCACCCGCATTCCTCTGCAGTGGAGCGCCCGCACATGATTGCGACCGTTGTCGCTCCTCGGACGATGCCCTCGTTGACGGCCGACCAGAGCGACTCTACCACCCACGGCCACACCATCCAGACTTATACGCTTCCCACGCGCACCCTGTCCGACAAGTCTCTGTTCGGCGGCGACTATGCCGAGAAGGTGCACCGTGGCGCAGCCCCCACAATGAACGGCAAGCCCGTCGGCGGCTCCATCATGCAGTCGATACCCAACGGCCGACCTGTGCAACCATCAAGCGCTGAGAAGCGAACATCGCAGCAGGCGGACGGCAGCGTGGGCAGGCAGCGAGGCTCGAGTATTGGCAAACAAAGTCCCTTCAGCACGTCGGAACCGCTGCGGCTCAACTCCGGCGAGCTATCTGGCAGGGATGATGGCTACTTCGCGTCAGTCCACGGTAGTGAGCAGCACGATGGCTGCAAAACTACTCACGTTACCCTCAACGCGACGAGCCCGTCTGCTGCACACAAAGAAGCCAGCAAAGACCTCGCCCCGCCCTACAAGACCAGCACCGAGTCGCAGCCGCCTAATCCGCAGAGCAACCTGCAGGTTCCAGGCTCGACCTACCGCGTCTCCTCCCCTCCCGCCTTCAACCACACCACACCAAGCCCTGCCGAAGCGCCCTACCGTCTGCAGCATCGGCACACACTCGAGGTGCCCAGCGTCTCCGCAGCCCGCGCCCAGGGCCTTCGAAACAACAACAACAACAACAACACCGATGATGTCGTGACTGCGAGCGGTAGGTTCTCTCCAGCCAACACTCCCACCCGCCGCCGAGGGTCAATGTCTTTGGCACGCCGGACAACCCGCTCCATACACTCCGACATGCATCTCGACGAGGTGCCCCAGGATGAGGACGCCGCGCGGTGGGCCGAACACATCAGGCAAAAGCGGGCCAGCAAGAGGAAGCGGAGGGACGACGAAGACGACGACCGCGTTGTCGTCGGCACAAAGGTCGACCAGAACCACGTCAATTGGGTGACGGCCTACAACATGCTCACGGGCATCCGGTTCACCGTCTCGCGGACTAACGCAAAGATGGACCGCGACCTCACGGATGCCGACTTTGACGCCAAGCACAAGTTTTCTTTCGATATGTACGTGCCGGAAGACTTCTCATTGTCAAATCTCCTGTTATTATTCGGTCTTTCGTGTGATTCTCCTTACAGATTGGTCCACCCTAAACGCCATGCTAACAAGCCCACAGTGCCGGAAATGAACTTACGCCATCCGCAAAATACGACTTCAAGTTCAAGGACTACGCGCCCTGGGTCTTCCGCCACCTTCGCAGCATCTTCGGTCTCGACCCCGCCGACTACCTTGTGTCGCTGACGAGCAAATACATCCTTTCCGAACTAGGCTCGCCCGGCAAGAGCGGGAGCTTCTTCTATTTCTCCCGGGACTACAAATACATCATCAAAACTATACATCATGGCGAACACAAGTTCCTCCGAAAGATTCTTAAGAACTACTACGACCATGTCCAGGAGAACCCGAATACATTACTCTCTCAGTTTTATGGCCTACATCGCGTAAAGATACCCTACGGACGTAAGATTCATTTCGTTGTCATGAACAATCTATTTCCTCCGCATCGAGATATCCACCGCACGTTTGATTTGAAGGGGTCGACAATCGGACGAGACTTCAAAGAGGAGGGGCTCGAGGAGAATCCGCGTGCTACCCTGAAGGATCTCAACTGGTTACGACGGGACCAACATCTGGAGTTTGGACCGGCAAAGAAGAAGGCGTTTGTCGAGCAGATGCAAAGGGATGTCAAGCTTTTGCAAAAGTTGCATATCATGGACTACTCAATGCTCATTGGAATACACGATTTGGGGAAGGGGAACGAGGAGAACCTACGAGACAAGACGTTGCAGGTGTTCCAACCGGGCGGAGAGGCGGGAGACGCTCAACCTAACATGCTCACGCGGACACCGTCAAAGCTTGAAAGCGCACGGAAGGCTAAGGAGTTGAGGCAGATGATCAAGACGCAGAAACCTGTGCCCATGGACCAGACTGCGACTAAGATGCCTGATGAGCTAGAAGGGCAGCAGAAGAATAACTACTTCTATGTCGACGACGGTGGTTTCAGAGCCACGCATGAGGACGATACACCGGGCGAGGAGATATACTACCTCGGAATCATCGACTGCCTGACACACGTGAGTGAGATTGATCTTCTTAATCAGATTTGAGTACTAATAAGTATAGTACAACCTCATCAAACGCATAGAGCACAGGTGGAAGGGCTTGACGAACGAAGAATCGCAGATCTCCGCTATTCCACCCGAAAGATACGGCGACCGATTCCTAAAGTTCATTAGCAGCGTCACCAAGACACGCGAAGCCGCCGAGCGAGAAAAAGCCGAAGAGTCCGCACACACACCCAGCGACCCCGTCCTCGCAGGAATCAACGACACTCGCAGCGAACGCGAATCGACCGAGAAAGTCTTCCACAAAGCTCACAATCAAGCAGAGCACACGAAGCGCCACGGCGCAAGCGAGGAAGATATCCCTAAGCGTGAAATGCGCATCGTACGCAGCCCATCAGCAGAGCGAGGCGAACTAGGCACCACGCTTCCCGTCGTCGAAGAAGCACAAGAGACTTCGAGCACGGGCGGTCGAAGTGCACGAAGTACAGACACCAACTTCGCCGCGCCGCCTCTCCGTCAGGAACACCGAGGTCTGCAAAACGGATCACGAGAAAGAGATCAGAGCCATCCACGGCCGCCGCCCACCCCACCTAAGGATTCGGGCACAGGCACCAGCGAGCGACCGCCTACACCGCCAAAGGACCCGGGGTATAACCAGCGACATTCGGGGCCGCCGACGCCGCCGAAAGAGGAGCGTGAACGCGGTAGGGGAAAGGACAAGGAGTTGCCGCATTTGCCGCCTATGGAAACGGTCGTGAGAGTTAATTAGGATATGACGAGCTGTGGATGGAGCCTCTGACTTGTCTAGTTTGGTTGCGTTTGCACATACCCCAGCATTCTTTAGCACTTTTTCGTTCTTCTTCCACCTTTTCTTATCTTGATCGATTGAGCGATCGACGAAGCAGAATCTCAGCTGTTGCATACCACCCCCTTTTTCTTTGTTAGTCATTGCGTTCTGTTTTCGCGGCTACGTGTGTTCGGTGTGTTTCTGCCGCTACGATAGCGCGTAAGATACGATGATTGTATTGTGCGTGCGTGTGCATGATACCAATGGCTGCATCCATTTTCCTTATCTCGTCACTTTCATATGTTCTCTCCGTTTAGCGTAGAGGGCGACGTGGAGAACGGCGCGTTTTTGACTTGACCTGTGTAAGTGTGCTGGCGGTAATGCTGAGTGGGAAGAAGAGAAAGAGAGCAGGGTTCCATTTCTTGTAGGATAGACTTTTGGGACAGCTTTAAGCGAGGGTAGGGGTGTGAAGGCGCAGGCGGGTATTAGGTAGTAGCTAGATAGACGGAATGGAACGATCACCAGAATTACTTACGTCATTCCGTCATTATACACAACATCAAATTCGTAGGAATTCAATCTACAGAAATATCCCCAGTCCATCACGCCGAGCGCATGGTGAGACTACATAGATGATTGCTAGCACGAAAGCAGTTAGAATCTTATATTTCAGGCATCCATGGTGCACCTTCCCCAACAACATGTATAAATAAATAAGTAAACATACAATCTTAAAGAATCCTACACCAATACACACGATGGATCTTACCGCACCCGCAGTCGCCGAAACAGAGCATTTTGACTCCTCTGCCAGAGTCGAAGAAGTCGCCTCCCAACTCGCTTCCCTAATCCGCCAAGCAGAGCACTTCATTGTGTACAGCGGCGCCGGAGTCTCCACGTCCGCAGGTATTCCTGATTTCAGGGGGCCGGAGGGTGCGTGGACGAAAAGGGCGCAGGGGAAAGAGCTGGAATTCGATGGGAACAAAACGCTGACGGCGGTGCCCACTGCGACGCACATGGCGCTTGTGGCGCTACAGGAGAGAGGGATGCTGAAGTACGTGGTCAGTCAGAACTGTGATGGGCTGCATCGAAGGAGTGGCATTTTACCTGTTAGTTTGTGTTTCATTCATCTGAAGAGGGTGGACGGAAGCGGCAAGTAGAGTGTGCTAAATGACATGGCATCTAGGATCGGATATCAGAGCTACATGGAAACAGTAACAGAGAACACTGTAAGGACTGCGGGAAAGAGTATATACGAGGTGCGTCTTCGCGGCGAGGTCCTGTCTCGACTCACCCTTGAGATACGGCAAAGTTACTAACAAGCAGATGCATCCTACCAGACTTCCGCGCCGTCTCCACATACGAAAAGTCCTACTCCGATCACCGCACTGGTCGCAAATGCGCCGTCCCAGGCTGCAACGGCGCCCTGCACGATACCATCATCAACTTCGGCGAGCAGCTCCCCAAAGCAGCCATGGCCCGCGCGACAACGCACGCCAAAAAGGCCGATCTATGCCTCGTTCTTGGAAGCTCGTGTCGCGTCACCCCCGCAAACTCGATCCCAGAGTACGTGGGAAGTAGTAAAAAAGCTCGATTAGCAATTTGCAACTTGCAAGACACACCGCTGGAGGATGTCGCTGATAAGAAGCTAAGAATCCATACGAAGACCGATGACCTGATGTCGCTTGTCATGGATAAGTTAGGTATATTGATTCCGCCATTCATACTCCGCCGCCGGGTCATCATCAGCATGACCTCCCAGCAAAGCGACCGGCATCAGCTCATTGTGACCGGAGTCGACGTAGACGACACGCCGGCCTCCTTTCTCCGCTCAGTTAAAGTAGAAGGTAGTAGGAGAGGGGTGCGGACAGAACCGTTTGTGCTGGGTATTCGTGAGGAGCTCGATGTTGGGGCGGCGGTGAAGATAGAGCTGGAGTTCATGGGGCATTATGGGGAGCCGAATGTTATTGTTGCGCATGAGTATCCTGGGCAGGGTGGGGGCTCGAGTGCGTACGGGTTAGGGTATGATGTTTGGACGAAAGGGTGGGAGGTTAGCCAGCTGTGAGCTCTCATCCCCGTCGAGGAGAAGGTTGTTAGGGAATTTTCGCACGTAGACTTTTCGAAGAGGTGGGATGGCCTTGTACAGAATTGTACTTTTGATTGGGTACGTACAGCCAGTTCGGACTTTTGTCCAGCTTCTATGATTTACTAGACGAGGCAACTGTCCATCTACCTATCGCAAGTTCAAATAATCCGCATACCCATCCATCTACACCTATCCTCCCTATCAAACACTCCAACCCCCCACCCTATCATGTACATGATTGACCGTAAATTTCCCCCGTAACTGTTATGCACATTGGATTGCTCCTCACGATTATTAAACGTGATATCATTAGTTCTAAACAGTTCCTCTACCCTGACCGCTCGTATCACGTTTTCGAGTGACATCAGAATCTGACGCGCATGCTGGATTTCTGGCGCATTGTCGAAAACATTGGTATTGGTGATGTGGTTATTGGGGTCCTCACGGCGCAGCGCAGCAATCTCGTCGATGTAGTGTAGGATGTGTGTTCGAAGGGGTGAGGCTAGGGTCTCGCACGTCTGTAGGAAGGCCGCGTGGGAGGTCCCATCGCATGTGGTGATGGAGCTCTGTGTTGGGGGAGTGCTTTGGGACATAGTGGTGATGGAGCGGTTGGAATCGGGGATCAAGCTGGAAATGGTGGGTGTTTTGGTTACAGACAGATGAAGTATTTGTATGACCTGGGAAGAGTGTTTGGTAGGCGATTGCGCTGAGGAGATCTTATGACGGGAACATTTGTGATGATAGTAGCATGTGCTTTTGTGTGATGGGACAGACGCTGGGAAGCCATGGCTAGAGTTTGGACTGTCGACATTCTAATCTCTGCTCCTAAAGTAGATAGAGCAAAGGAGGAACATTAGGAATATACACCGGCCTCGTCGTAATTCTCATATTTTCGGCTTCGTGGGGTTGTTCCAGTCTTAGATCGGGTTTTTGGTGCAGGGGGGCATATAGACAATCCGATTGCGTGCAAGGGAAGCATTGCGGCTTGCTCGACTTTGAACAACTCCAACGCAATCACACCCGATCCGCCTCACATGGCCATACTCACAAATACGCTTGGAAGAAAGAAGCGGTCCTATATCACCTTATTAATACCCGGTCATCTCCCCAACACCACTTCTGAACGCACTTCCAAATGCCACCACCCAAAGCCAACCGCCATCCCTCTATTTTACTTCCTTCTCTCGAACTGCAGATTAGTACATAGATTCACTACTCCAAATACAGCGGGAAAGCACCAAAAGAATTTGCCAAGGACGTAAAAGCTTACATGCTTGCGGAAGAAAGACTCGAGATTTCTGTATCGGTAGAGAGTGTTGTTAATACGAAGAAGTGCATGGATTTGACGGAAACGCTGCTGAGCATGGTTCAGAAACAAGTGGAGACGCTGGAGAGTTTCGAGGAGGTGAAAGAGCAGCATAAAGTAATTATTGAAGAGATGGGGAAAGCGGAAGAGCTGTGGAGTGCGCTTGGGTTGGATGATGGTGAGGGAGAGTGTGGAGGAGGGAAGGGACAGTGAAGAAGGTCTGAGCGAGGAGGAGGGAGGAGAAGTGCAGCATCCAGGGGCACCTTTCAATACTTGTACTTTTAAAGATTGTACCTTTAGCATCGGAAGTGCTCGCTTCGGGTAGTGGACCAAAAATAGCAAAGCGAATTATGTTTCTGTTAATGGGGAATGATGAAGCTGACATTGTGACAATAGTAGTCTAAGTCATAAAGAATGTCGGTCACCACCCATGCTAATACATAATCATCTCGGGCTGTATTAGAATATTTCATACCACAAATATGCTTTGACACTTCCATCCAATTGTGGAGCCACGCAACCTCTGCACGAGTTACACCATACATGAACCCTTGAGAGGCACGCTATACTCGCACCGATCGCTCTATGTTGAGAATGGTCCACTCAAAGCGCTGATTGTGTGGCTCGGATTCCCGATCGCGAAAAGAATAGATATCAAAGTTACTCTCGAAGATGTTCAGCGATCCTCTGGAGTGACCGAATGTAAGTCTTCCTTGCTTCATTCAATAACCGCCACCGCTTTGCCGGGCAAACAATGTATGTTCTGAGTCTGTGGCTCAGACACGAAGTAGGACCACTGTGGCCGAAGGTATAATTCTGACATCTGGCGGTAGCACCTTCTGCGAGTGCACCGACGATACATTATGAATTAGAACTTTAGACACTCAGTGCAGAGTGAGTTACCCTACGGTATATTATCTTATAAGGAAATTACTGGCCTTTCTGGGTGACTAGCTGATCCTTACATCTGAAAGACAGAGTCCAACTTTTTCCCTCGGCCTCTATGAACGGCGAAATAGAGAGAACCGTACTTGATCAACAAGAAAGATCTACAATTCCATTGCAGTCCCACCTGATACATCTTGGTAAGGATAGTAGGCACACAAACAAATGACCGTTTCACATGATCGAACGTGCGTTCTGTTTGTGTGATATAGTAACTTGACTTGAAAGTTTGCCCCTCCACCTCACCAGCCCAACGCAGAAAGCCACGTAGGTAGGAGGTCGTCTATAAGTAAACACTCTACACACCTATCTGAATGCGCATCTTCGGTTCGTCCTAAATTCCACTATGTCCTACGACGACCTCAAAATCAACTTCGAAGCATTCAAAATGATAATCTCCGAAACCCTCCCCAGGACTACGGCATACCACTTGGGCTCAGACGAGTATAGCACTCAGTTCATCAAACAGCGCCTGGTTAATTATGTAATTACTGCCACGCAGCTCAAGGAAGCTATCCATGCTTTCCGCACGCGAGATAGGAGTAAAATTGGGCTTTTAACAGCGATCGCAGAAAAGGAGATCACGGATAATGTTTCGAACGCGATAGAGAGTTTCGTGAACGCGGTGAAGATGCAACTAGAAGCGCTAGATGCGGTGGAGCGTATGGTGAGAGCAGATAGGCTGGTGAATGAGGCATTGTCAGAGTTTTTGGAGAAGGTGCCAATCAACTAGTGCGGCGATTAGTGATATAGGAGAGGAGAGGGTTGCAATATGAGATGTTTCGATCAAGAAAGGGTATCATTTCGCATCTGCCTGTATGTGGTCGTGAAGTTTTGTTACGCCGCAGCCTCCTGCGATTGCTGTGCCGCTGATTGTATCTGGATGATCTGCCATGTTGTTAGACCTTCCGAGATCTCAATAATATCAAGTAGTCGTAGCCTTACATCCACCTTGACCTTCTCGCTCTTGTCCTGGATATCCTTGATCTGCTTTTCTATTCGTGAACTGCCATGTACTCGTCAGCGCTTAAAGCACCCAACTTATCGTCACATATTTACGCACATTTCCTTGTGGATAAAGTCCAGGCGCCCGTTGACCGACATGACAGCTTCGGTCTTGTCCTGCTTCAAGAGCACTGGACCGATCTGTTTGTAGATGTTCGCATCGTCGTCGAGGAGGTCGAATTCCTAGGCCCCCGTCAACAATACCCCCTTTATCTTCATCTTAAGCTTCAAGCTTACCTTTTTGACGGTGGTATTCTCCTGCTGCTGCGACTCGAGCTTCTGGCGCGCCTCTACTGCGTTGGAAAGCTCTGAAGTGAATTAGCCACGATCTTCCAGCGGTGACGGGAGGTACTAACCGCCTTGCAGCTTCTGGTAATCGTCGGACAGCGCCTGCAGCTTCTTCTGCACGTCGCTCATGACTGGCAATGCTGTCTGGAGACTTGGATGGGTTTTTGGACCTACGTCGCGTGGGGTTGAAATGTTACCGACCGCTTCGGAATTAGCGTGGATGCGGGGGGATCTTGATCTTGCCCTAGCAACAACGCTCGTTGGTACTACCGAACATCCTTCGCCCGCCAGTCAATACACATCGCACGCGAATAAACCGTACCTTTCACCTGTGATCTAGACCGTACTGGTAGAGCTCTATACCGCCAAGGAGCTTCGCTGCGACTGCCCGTGCCATCACACCCCGCCTCGACTGTTATACTCTGCCCCGCCGCCTGTTGACGAACCCACCCTCAACATACGATTGACATATAGCGCAACCGGCACTCTCTCGGGCTTGCACAAGACATTAGGGAGGGCCAGCACGCACGATGAGCAACGCGGACTTCTTGGGCCGCGCCATCGACACGGTGAAGAAGGCGATTGAGACGGACACGGCAGGCGAATATGAGAAGGCATATCAGCTATACTACAGTGCTCGTGAGCTCAACCCACAATCTACTTGTCTTGGAATACAAACTGATCTGCTACAGTTGAGTTGTTCATGCTCGCCCTGAAATGTACGTTCGCTCCATAGATGACCGCCTCGAACACATGCGCTGCTTCACCACCATGATACTGACGATTCGAAGGGGAGAAGAACCAAAAGTCAAAGGAGATGATACGAGGCAAGGTCGCAGAATACATGGAGCGCGCCGAAAAGCTTAAGACACACTTGAATCAGAACGATGATGCGAACCGCAAGAAACCCTCCGCCATGGGCGCAAACGGCAAAGCAGCCGGAGGCAGTGGCAAGGGCGGCAAGTACGTGGTCAATCCAACATACATCCCCGTTTATTCTATACTTATATCGCAACAGAGATGACGAAGAAGAAGAACAAGACGCCGATTCGAAGAAGCTCCGCGGCGCACTCGCGGGCGCCATCCTTACCGAGAAGCCCAACATTCGATGGGAAGACGTCGCAGGTTTGGAGGGCGCAAAAGAATCGCTGAAAGAAGCCGTCATATTACCCATCAAATTCCCACATCTCTTCACCGGCAAGCGACAACCCTGGAAAGGCATATTACTCTATGGGCCGCCCGGTACGGGTAAGAGTTATTTGGCCAAAGCGGTCGCTACGGAGGCGAATAGCACCTTCTTCAGCGTGTCGAGTTCGGATCTGGTCAGCAAGTGGATGGGAGAGTCAGAACGGTAAAACAAGTCTCGCCCCAGCTTGGTCCACCTGCGGCGACTGACGTGTGACAGATTGGTAAAACAGCTCTTCAATATGGCCCGCGAAAACAAGCCTTCCATCATCTTCATCGACGAAATCGACGCCTTGTGCGGCCCCCGCGGCGAAGGCGAATCCGAAGCTTCTCGGCGCATCAAAACCGAACTTTTGGTTCAAATGGACGGTGTGGGCAAAGACTCGCGTGGCGTCCTCATCCTCGGCGCAACAAACATTCCCTGGCAGCTCGACGCCGCCATCCGCCGCCGCTTCCAGCGCAGAGTCCACATCAGTCTGCCCGATCTGCCCGCACGCATGAAGATGTTTGAGTTGGCGGTGGGTGCCACGCCTTGCGAGCTGACGCAAGCGGATTTGAGGAAACTGGGAGAGCTGAGTGAGGGATACTCCGGAAGTGACATTAGTATTGCGGTGCAGGATGCGCTGATGCAGCCTGTGCGGTTGATCCAGACCGCGACGCATTATAAGCCTGTACGTCCGCATAGCCCAACATAATTGAGAACAGATGCTAATAAGATACAGGCTGGCGTTGTCGACGGCCAACAGCAATGGACGCCTTGCTCGCCGGGCGACCCTGAGGCAAAGGAAATGTCCTGGACCGACCTCGATGGCGCGCAGCTTGCCGAGCCGCCGCTCCGCGTAAAGGACTTCGTCAAGGCGATCAAGGCATCGAGGCCGACGGTCAGTAAAGAAGATCTAAATCGCAATTCCGAGTGGACGAAGGAGTTTGGAAGTGAAGGTGCATAGTCTTATAGGGGAAGGAAGGCGAAGGGGAGAGTCTAAGGCGTACATAAGGTCCTTTCCATGTGCATAAGCGTTTTTGTTCTGTTGGGAAGGGGACTACCCGGCGTTTCATGAGTCGATCACAAATATATGGAGGAGGATAAGGATAACGTGAATTACAAGCAAGCTTGAGACACTATACGTGTGCATTGCGTTGACAGTCCGCAAATGGAGTCCATGGGATATGTGTAGATGGGGCCTATGTGACATTCGCAATACGCGGCCCACGCAGAGGCGCATGCTCCGATTCTCGTCACAACCAGAAGGGCAACTGATTTGAAGTGTCCATTTCAGTCTATCTATCCACGTAACATCAAAAGCTAGTCGGTGTGACACGGGGCCGATGAGGGGAAGAACCAGGGGGAATCTGTGATGAAGTAACAAACGAAAATCCGATAAAAAACCAACAAACCCATCACACGTCTTTCACGCTTGGTAGCCAATGAGAGGTACCTAACCAAAGTACACCTGCACCGTGCGCTGCTGCTCCGGTGTCAGCGAGCCCGCAACCTGGGCGAGATTCGTATTCGTAGCCTGGACGAGAGCCTTCACGGCGTTGACGACAGCGGAGCCGACCTTGCCTTGGAGCGTTTCGGCTTCAAGGGCTTGCACAACGGCAACAAAGACCTTAGCCGGGTTGGTAGTGACGGCGGAGTTTTGTCTGCATAATCATTAGTATATGCATCAAGGTGTGGTGGTGGAATGGAGAGCTTGAGGTAGAGGCGGACTTACTGCTCAATAAGCTGAGCTAGGAAAGCATACGCGTGAGGTGCGGCCTCCTCGTCGTTGGTCACAGGCAGCGTGTCAACCCACGCGGTGGCCACGTCCTGCCAGTTCTGCACCTTGCCGGCATTGTAGTGCAGGACCTTGGCGATACTGGCGCATGCGTTTTCCGTGGCAAAGACATCGTCGTCGGCGCGGGCGTTTGGACGCTGTGTGATTTGGAAAAGCGTGGGCAGGCTTGCTGCTGCGAAGTCTGACCATGCCTCGCCACCGCGATGGGCAGCTACACCGACACCGTAAGCGGCTGCTTGGCGGTTAGCAGGTACATCGTCTTGCATGCCTGCGACGAGCGGCTGCATGATCTGCTCGTGGTAGGTCCAGGACTGTGGGCCGCAGAACTCGAGAACGTCGTCGAATATGCAAATTGCCCATTGCCGTTGTGTAGGGTCTTGGTTATTCGCTGAGATCTTGTAGAACTCCATAAGTTGTTCCCAGTGTGGTAGGAATGCAGTGCCCAAATTCTTGAAGATAGTGTGGAAGGCCTTATTCATATCGGAAAGGAGCGTCTGGTCGTCCTCGATCGCGAACAAAGTGTCTTCGCTAACTTCTTCACCGTCCTCGTTCTCGGCTTGCTCGCTAAGACGCTCCTTTACACGCTCCTGGTAATCCTCCAACACGCTACGCGCCGATTTGAGGAAAGTTTCCATGTGGGTGCTGGTCAATGAGTTCTTGCCGATGCATTCCAAGCATTCGTAGAAGCACTGGTACATCTCCGCAAGTGTGTCGATGGCCGGTTCAGTGCTGAGGACCTCAAGCACGCGCTCCACTGTTCGCTCCCATAGTTGACCAAGCTGAGTCGACTCGGGTCCATGTGCCTTCTTGTAGGCGGTGAGCAAAGCTGGCACGCACTTTGCGCATGCGACTCGCACGGGGTCGTGGAAGAAGAAGGCCAGCCCAGGTAAAGCAATCTTGTCCATGATGTCATTGACGTACGGCTCGAAGGCCTCCTCCAGCACCTGAGCATAAATGACAATAAGCTCGGTGGCCATGTGCTTGTCGTCTAATGTGCTGGTCTTGATGCCAAGAATCTTGCCCTTGACAGGGACGAGCTCCCAACCTTCTTCCTCTTGCACCTGTGCGACCTGGTCCTCATCATCCAAAAGCTGGATGTCAGCCTTCGCAGCGGCGAGCTCGGTCAAGGGTGGAATGACGCCAGCTAGGAAGGGAACGAACTCCTTTCCTAGTACGCGGCACATGCGGCCCCAGCAATGCAGCAAGTACGAAGCTTGCGGGTCATCCGGTTCGGAAACACTGTTCTGGATGCGACCAAGGAGCTGCACCAATGACAAGGCATCGTTGCCCATGCGGTCTTTGCCAACGGCGAGCGCAATGAGAGTGGCGCACTCCATGGCCTTAGCACGGAGTAGGCGGTATTCCTTCGACTGCTCCTCGTTAAGGACATTGAAGAGTAGAGGCATGAGGGTATCGTAGTATTTAGAGAATGCCGCTTCGGCGGAATCGGCGACAGTGGCAATGGTGGAGAGAGCTTGTTCCTGAACGAATCGCTTCGGGCTTTGAAGCAGCATGAGCAGGTGGCTCAGTAATTGATCCAGATATGGCTCCAAAATGTCCTTCTCAGCCTCCTCGCAGAAGTTGACAAGGGCAGCCGCGGCGTGCGCCTGGACGCGGGGTTCCGACGATTCGAGGACGGGAATAATGTTGGGCAAGACCACTTGGTGGTACTTCTCCTGCATCGTGCCAGCAAAGTCGGTGCTCATCTGACCGACAGCATTGCATCCAGCCCATCGCACTCGGGGATGTGGGTCTCGCAGTGCCGGTAGGACAAGATCGAGGACCTTATCGAGCTCTCCAATCATCAGCTCACGGCAGCCCTCAGAAATAGCGGAAATAGCCATGAGCGCGGCATGTCGATCGCGCCATGCAGAGGAGGTCATCATGCGTGGCAGCCAGTTGAAAGTAGGAGGGAGTATGGCTGAGCCACCAAGCTTGTTCGCGAGACGGTCCATACATTGCTCACCAGCGACGTGATTCGAGTCACTCTCGTCCTGGTCAAGCTTTGCAAGGTTAGCTTTGCCGTGGATTCTACCAAAGATTTACTCACATCCTCGGACTCATTCCACTCTGCAGCATCGTCGTCATCGATGCCCACGTCGGTCATGAGAGACAAGCACTGGGTCACCATATCATTGGTGAAGTTGGGGTCTTTGCGGCACATCTGGGGTGAGCAATCGGCAAATGTTGCCATGAGCTCCAGCGCGTTCTGACGCGGAGTGTCTTCAAGCTCCTTGTCCTGAATGACTGAGACACTGAACTGAACGAGGCTGTTGAACAAGGGCTTAAACATCTTGGGCGCGACCTCGGCCAGGTCAATCAAAGAGACCAAAGCTTTGGTGAGCATTTCTCCATCCCCAGACTCCTTGATCGGCGGCAGAATGTTCAGTATTTCGGGAATAAGGGCGTAGTACTTCGACTGGGCGCTCTTCTTGATAGATCGGAAGAACGATGCGAATGCTTCCATGGCAGAGATCCGAACCTGAAACTCATGAGCATGTGGTAAGCTAATGGGATTTACACCATACCGAAGTGCTGCTGTCCGCGAAGCCGCCCTTGAACGCAGTTATGACAACATCCTCATGCTGCTTTTCTATTATGCCAGGCGTAGTAGAGAATATTCTGAAAGCAGTCTCGCGCTGCCCGGCATCGCTCGATTGGCTGCCCTGGAACAACGCGCCTAGCAGCTCCGGCCATGCGACATCTGCACCCGTCAGTATATGCTCCTTGCTGTGCAATCGCTGGGCCAAAATTCGAACTTCGCACCACAGACCCCAGAGCGACATAAAATACCCAAATCGTGGTCATCGGCTGCGTGAGGCTGGATCGTACCTTCGTCTGTGTGTTGTCGCGCCAATTCGGCTACGGCGTCTCCAATCTTGCTCCGCACCGATGTGTCTTGCTCCTTTCCTAGACATTGTAGCATACGTGCACGTATGGCCTCGCGCTCGGGTTGGTTGAGGGTCAAGAAGGCGTCGGCGGTCTGGCCGTTGGCGGTCTTTCGCGGCTTGGAGGACTGTCGCCTGAAGATCACGGCGGCAAATGTGCGCGTCTGCCACTTGATTAGCTCGACTTGGACCATATTCGAGGGCAGATTCTTACTGTCGAGTCTGGGGCAAAGTCTATCTGCTCAGACAGGCCCATCAAGAGAACGTCGGGCCGCTGGGAGAACCATTCGTCGTTCAACTGCTGCTCCGCAGCCGTTCGCTCAACATTATCCGACGACTGCAGGCCCCGCAGCAGGTTCGCGAGGGCAGCGTGTACGTTCTCCGGGAGCGTTGCCATGCTGTCGCCTTGTGTATATTAGGTGTCGTGGAGTTACTCGGCGTACGTGCAGGTCCGGCGGTAAGGGACTAGCAACTCGTAGCGCTGGCTCTCTGTGGCGGGGCAGCCAACGCGTGCAACCCGTAGTGGAGCGTGGGTGAGATAAGGAACGAAAGAAAAGGGTATATTATGTTCGAGCTCCAGGAAGCTGTTCGGAGCGTGTTGTTCGGTAGGTGCGCGGCGTTGGAAAATTGGACAGTGAATTGTTTTGGGCGAGTGGTGGGGGTTGTTAGCGTCGCGAGCGCGCGACTGGAAAATATGTGGAGACCAGGGCCATAGCACAGCCTCGAGGCTCGACAGCATAGACTTAGTCACATCTAACATACTACGTTGTTTATTCGTAAATTACCGGGGTCGAATTGTTTCCCTAGCTTCTGTTGTGCGACCGCCAAGTTTGGGGATCCTTTGCGTAGCAGGAGGGGAAGCTCCACTAGCACCCATGACTTTGACGTGGATAGCCGTGTCACAAACTTTGTTTCAACGTGCAGTTTTGCTGAGCCATCTTAACATTGGAACTACGTCCTTAACATCGGCATTGATGCCTCGTAATTTGAGCTTTTGAATTGACTTGTTCCGTGTCACCAACTCGGCGTCCTCTTGCTTATTGAGCGCCGAACGACTTCATTACCCACACCCGAACGTCAAGCTCGATTCCAAACTGCACATAAACCAGCACAACAATCCTTGTATCGCACTATTGTGTGAATTCTGTTAACGTGCGTGCCTGGTGTCCCGCTTTGAGACGGAACAGCTTGAACGCTATACCAGTACGTCAACCAGCCATACTCCGTTCTCAACATCACGAACACTCTGACAACCCCATTGATACGGATTGGGGTATCTCGAAAAAAACCAACTTCAAGATTGAACTCGAAAGACCTAGGAATAACATGGCGAACATGCGCGCCTGGCAATACACAACCCGCAACGACCCCTTCGAATCCAACCTCTCTCTCAACACCGTACCTAAACTCCAAGCACCTTCCAAATGCTCCTCTGAAAAGACTCCATGTATCCTAGTCCGCGTCTATGCCGCATCCATCAACCCAGCAGACCACAAAGTCCCTGTCACCCCTATAATCGGTTACTTTCTCAACTCGAAACCCGCAACCCCCGGGCTCGATTACGCCGGCATCATCGAATCCATCCCCATAGGCTGCCCTACTACCCTCATAGCCGGCGACAAAGTCCTCGGTCGCCTCGATTGGCCGTATCAACATGGTGCCCTAGCAGAGTACATCCTCGGACAGCCCAACGGGCTGGTGAAGCTTCCAGATGGTTTGTCCTTCGCACAAGGAGCCGCTATAGGCACCGCCGCGCTGTCGGCGCTGCAGCCGCTAGAGCTTGCTAAGATCAAGCCTGAAGATTATGTATTCATCAATGGTGGAAGCGGTGGCGTGGGGAGTTTCACGCTGCAGATTGCGAAGTTGCTGGGTGCGGCGCACGTCACTGTGACTTGTGGGCCTGCGAACGTCGACCGCATGAAAGCTCTGGGCGCGGACGAGGTTATCAACTACCGCGAATCAGACGTTGCAGATGTGCTGAATACCAGCGCGAAAGACACTGGCCGATTGTACGACATTGTGATTGAAAATGTTGGCGCTATCGACACACTCTACGAGAACTGCCATCATTTCGTCAAGCCGGGAGGCCACTTCGTACAGGTGGCCGGTACGAACGCGCTCTTCACTTTCAAACGAATGATAACACCTGGGCTTCTGGGTGGAGGCAAGAGGAAGTACAGTCCGTACCTGGCGTATAATGTCCGTGATCAATTGGAGAAAATTGCGAGGTGGGCGGGTGAAGGCAAGCTGAAGGTGGAAATCGACGAGGAATTCGCATTTGAAGACGCAAAGGAGGCATTCGAGAAGTTGAGGAGTGATAGGGCGAAAGGGAAGCTTGTTGTGAGGGTGTCTAGTGAGGGGCAGTCATGAATGTCGTCTGGCCGAGTACTGCTTAGAAGGGACGTGTGATCTATGTGTCTCAAAGCTACCATTACGTGTTGAAATTACAACCGGTATAAGTCTATAGCTTCAAACGACGTATCAGTCACGTATCGTACTATTTTTCATTGCGAATCATAAGAAGCCCACATCCTTCCTAGCCCCTACCTTGCCCTTTAATAACTTCGCTAACTCTTTTGAAAGTTCTCGGGCGTCCGACCTAATCGAGATTTAGACTACACTCTTACTAAGCCTACAATGATATCGCGAGAAGGGTTTCTAGGGATCACTACGACCCGCGGGGTACATTCGACGTTCAATGTCTAGCTATTTCGTTCGTTAATTTCTCAATGCCGAGGCTTACATCCTTTGGTAAAAGCACGCGAGTTACCACAGGCAATGTCCTCACGGATTGGGCGAACGTCCTCGCAACTTCACGACACAACTTCACGATGAATACACTGATACCAAGCTTCAGGTAGGTGACAGTGCGCCAATGCTGGCAATATCTGCAAGCTAATAAGCTTGCTCTTGAATGCATTCGCTCTATCTAGAAAATGCTATTGTCCGCGCACGTGAATGGTCCATTCAACGTACTATTTGGATCATTGAAAACATCAATCAACGCCTTCAAACTCGTATATAACCCACCCACATTTAAAAACAACGTCAGTCCCAGAATTCCGTAGTTCACGCATGCCAGTGCACTCTTCTTTCGGGTAGAAAATTGCACTTTCCAGTTCAGATGCAACCAAAATAAGCTCGTGAGCCCAAACGTAAACCACGAAATGAAGATGGCGGAGCTGATATTGAGGATGGAGCTGAAGATGGGGATGGCGTTCGACACGACGAAGGTGACAGCCCAGAAAAGCGTGCCGATGCCGACCCAGAGGGACCAGGTGAACGTATTGTGGACGTTTACTTGGTCGGGCTTAAAGCGCCGCATGAAGGCGATGTACATGTATTTTATGGCGGTGATGCCAATGATGAGACCGGTTCCGAGGACGGATGGGATGAGGATTCCGTAGGCGACCTTCGCGGGGATAGTGGGTGCGGAGCCCAATGCTGGGGAAGTCACGGCTTCGCCTGCGAGTCCGTAGATGACGCACGCTACGACCACATATACGACGACTTCGAAAGACTTCTGCATGAAGAGCGCGGGCGGAAACTCTTTCTCTGGGTGGCGCATTTCTGCCATGACGCTCATAAATGACTGGTTCCCAGCGAAGGCGAAGGCGATGTTGAGAAGAGCGTTGACGGTTTCGACGAAGGTGGGTTTGCCAACTAGCGTGATGTGTACATTAAAACCGGGAGGTGCCTTAGGACCTGCCACACCGAGAGCAATCATGACAATGAGAACGGCGGCGACGATAGAGATCGTACAGATCCACGACATGGCCGCGGCGAATGTTAGCTTTCTAGGGATACAGAGCAGCCAGCAGGCTGTTCACAGTCAATAATCATTCAGATGTTAAAAGCGCGTGTTGCACCAAGATGCAACTCACCGATATGCGGAAACGCCATAAACGCCACGGTGCAAAGTGCATGTCCAGACAAGGTGTTCAAAGCAACCGACATCGTAATATTCGCGGAGGCGCAGATGAGGACCAGGTTGAGGATGAACCCAACACCGAGGAAGTACTCGAACGGCGTTCCTCCAATATACAGCGCGCAATCGACCAGGTTCGTAACCATAGGATACCTGTTAGACAGATGAGAAATGATTCCTACCTACTGAAGCGGTAAGGATAGTACCTTCGGTAAAATTGAACCATGATGTATCCGCAATACGTCGTCAATCCTCCGAACCCGAATATGGCTATAATGCCGGGAATGAGACCGAGAGTTTCGAGAGCAGATGGAAGACTGAGAACACCAATACCGACCTCAATTGTGATCAAGATCACACAAGCTCTCCATCTCCCAAGCGTTCGGTAGTTCTCCGCCGATGGATATTCATTGACTCCGGCGTGAGGGTCTCCTGTCCATCCCGTCTGGATCGCTTGCTGATGGCCGTACTCTTCGTCTTTTTCGCCGCTCAAAGGGTCCGCCGATGGCTCGTAGGCGGGCGCCGCCGTTGGTGACTCCCGTCCATCTTTCTTACGGAGGGCTTTGAGCACGCCCATGGTGGTCAACCTGGGATGGATTGCGGGTTATGAAAAGTCGAGAAGGGGACCAAAAACATGCGATCCGGTAGCAGGGAAGGCTATATAGAATGCATTACATGACTCCCTCCTATATCGGCCTCCAGCTCTTCAGGGTTTGCCTCAGCCGTGCACAGTCCGCTAGTTTCGCGATCATCCTGGGAGATTTCGCCTCTCCCGACGAGAGGATCGGTCCACCTCTTGGATCCGAGCATCCCAGTCTCCTTCTCCTCTTGACATAAAGTGTAGGGAGTTGCCAGTGCGGAGTGCATGACGCGGAGGTCTGGCACGAAGCCAGAACGACATCCGCCTATTCATGTACCGACAATAGCCAGGTGATTTCCCTTCCAACGTTCCTGAAAGGGCAATGTGGAAGTGGTGAAATGAGGTGAGTGGGTCATCGTGAGTAATAGTTCGGTGGTGAGAGGTAACCGTGACACTCCGCGATCCACAATTCACGTAAAAGTCTTCCAGAAAGGTTTATCAGTCGGCCTCGGCGGGGCCGTCACAGCGGCTTGCGGCGTACAGGACATCCATACAGGTAGTTTGGATGGTCACGGCGTTTAGAGAGCAGGCAAACGATCGCTTGGAGGGAGCATGCCGCGGTGGTGGTGTGAGGAAGCCGGTTGGTGGTCCGCCGCTCTCGCGGTCCTTGGCACAAGGACCCACCCGCCATAGGTATGAAAACCATGCGGTGTAGCTGTACCAAATTCGTTGGCACCGTCCCTACCTTGGTGATAAGTGAGTGGCCGTAGAACTCTAGGAGCCTACATGTAGGAGGTTGCACACTGACATGCAAGTAATGTTAAGCACACTGACCTAGAAATCTCCGTGCTCACTTCCTGTGTCCGCATCGTCGCCGTCCATGTCCTCGCCCTCAACGACAAGATCGTCTTCATCCTCTTCATCACAATCGTTTTCGGGAGGGACAATTCACAGTGGCCGTCACTAAAGACTAAACTTCCAGATGCCAGACCCCTTTAGCTCGCACACAAGTACATAGTAGCAACGCAGTGTAGCTTGAGTTGCCCCGAGATAGACTATGCAAGATTTCACTTGTAAACGCGTAATTCTTCAAGTTGACACAAGAGCCTACTAAGACCAGTTCAGTTTACAGTGTCCGTCACTGTGCTGGTGATCAAGGGCTTACATCATCACGCTCATTTACGGGCCTGCGGTCGAACTTACATATGACGTGCAGGTTGATAAGAGACACAATTCCGTCGTCTCTGAATATTACTTACTCGCCCTTCGACGAGTACAAAACCCGGCTTGTGCAATGGGCCTGCGTTTGGTGTTATCGAGGTTGTCCTTGTGACCCAGCGCGACGGCGCTTTGCCGAACCGAGCGTGGTTTGTTTACGAAGCATTGGCCGCTAGGGCCTCGCCTTCTTCTTGTCCCTGCGAACGCCCCCAAGATACACTCTTACTGGCCCGACGATTTTCGAACAACTGTTCATAGACTGACCGACAGCGAGGCCCGCTCAGTCTCCATCAACTCGCAACCATGTCTCACACCGGCACCATGAGGGGCACCCCTAAAAACCGTCCGAAGAGCCACCAGCAGGCTCAATTCTCCGACAGTCCCTCTGGCATCCCTCGTCCCGCCCTCGAACATCATATTTCTCAGACTGACGGTGCCTCAACGCTCAGCGCCAGTCGCGCGAAGCAAACGAAGCGAGATGAGGTACGTGTCGTGGCCACCGCCTTGACAGGAGTAAGCCGTGTTCTAACAGTACTAGGCAATTCGCCGCAAGATTGAGGGGGACCTGAACAAGAAGAAGAACCTTGGAGGCCGTGTCCGCCAGTCAAAGAAAGCACCACCGGGTACTGTCCTCGCTCTCAAGCCGAGCCCGGCGCTACAGATCAAGCCCAACACGACCGTCGCCGAAGCCGCCCAGCTGATGGCAGCCAAGAGGGAGGATTGCGTCTTGGTCACAGATGATGATGACCGCATTGCCGGTATCTTTACTGCAAAAGATCTGGCCTTCCGCGTGGTTGGTCAGGGTATCAAAGCTCAGAGTATCACTATCGAGGAGATCATGACCAAGAACCCGCTTTGCGCGAAGACGGATACAAGTGCTACGGATGCTTTGGATCTCATGGTTCGGAAAGGCTTCCGCCATTTGCCAGTCATGGACGAGAACCATGATATTTCTGGCATCCTGGATATCACCAAGTGCTTCTACGATGCTATGGAGAAGCTCGAGCGGGCCTATAGCTCATCACGGAAATTGTACGATGCTTTGGAGGGTGTACAGGCAGAGATGGGCTCAAGCCAGCCACAACAGATCATTCAGTACGTTGAGGCCATCCGACAAAAGATGTCTGGTCCTACGCTCGAGTCGGTCCTGAACGGACTGCCACCGACCACTGTCTCGGTGCGAACATCAGTCAAGGAGGCTGCTACTCTGATGAAGGAGAACCATACGACTGCTGTTCTGGTGCAAGACCAAGGTCAAATTACCGGGATTTTCACCAGCAAAGATGTTGTGCTTCGTGTCATCGCGGCCGGGCTTGACCCTGCAACTTGCAGTGTTGTGCGTGTCATGACTCCACACCCCGACTTTGCGCCCATGGACATGAGTATTCAGGCAGCGCTCCGAAAAATGCATGATGGCCACTACTTGAACTTGCCTGTTATGAGCGAGGCTGGAGAGATTGTTGGCATGGTCGACGTCTTGAAGTTGACCTATGCTACCCTAGATCAGGTAAGTTCGACGTCCGGTTTGACAAAGATAATCTAACATGGTCAGATCAACAACATCAGCACGCAGGACGGTGAAGGTCCTGCCTGGAATAAGTTTTGGTTGTCGCTGGACAATGAGACTGAATCAATGATGTCCGGCGAGGGACGAAGCAATGTTGCGCCTGGCACTCCCGACCATCGCTCGATGATGTCCCATGACATGGTCCGACCCCATCTTATGGATCGTGGAGATAGCGTCCTACCGAACGACTCGGCCTCTCACGTTGGAAATTCGCCGGATGCTTCTGCCTTAGGTGGCGCACCAGCCACACCTCTGGAGGATAGCCCTTTTGCATTCAAATTCAAGGCCCCTAGCGGCCGTGTGCACCGTCTGCAAGTTGTCGCATCCGCCGGAATTGAGGAACTCATCGCCAGCGTCGCCGCAAAACTTGGATCGGAGGACGTCGAAGCCCTGGGTGGTATTCCTACTTTTGAGGACGGAAGGATATCCAAGTCTGGATTCGCCCTCAGCTACCTTGACAACGAGGGCGACACCGTATCAATCACCACCAACGAGGACCTTGTCGAGGCGATCAGCCTGTCTCGTCTGGCACACCGCGAGAAAGTTGACCTCTTCGTACACGATCCGAAGGACCCGCCTCTGCCCGCTACTGTTGAGCCTCAACCCGCTCTGTCCAAGCCAGTCACTCCTCCTGATTCGGTCCTGCGGGAACGCAAACAGTTCTTCGAAGATGACGAGGAAGAACAACCTCGACAAGTCCGACGTCAACCCACATCCGCCAAGCAAGAAGTCCCCGAGCTCATCGCTGGCGTGCCTAACGAGTTCCTACTTCCAGGTGCTATTGCTGGCCTGGCTGTGGTGATCGTGGCTGTTTTCGCAATTGGTAGGGCCTCGAGTCGATAGAGGCGACCAGGGAGATGTTTGCTGTTTAGATGCGTATGAGCGCGTTGATCGTTGCATTGGTGTTTGTGCTTGATATCCCTAGATGCATGGTTCTGTAGAGTAGCTCTGTACTCTGGGCAAGGGTAATATGTAGAGGTTTATTGGAATTTAATTATTTTGGATTCTGCGGACGGTACCTCAGTGTACTATACCACATAGTATAATGACCAAAGCAGACATCTACCCCACAGTCGTGGTCATAGTTAGTGACGCTTCGGCACTGTACATGTCCTGCGCTGATTAGTGCACGAAGGTATGTATCGATCAGGAAAGATACTGCAGAGGAAGCAAGCTACGAGTAACACAACATGGAATCCCATTCGTTCAGACTTCTCCGAACATCTGTGCTGGTGATTACAGGCATGCCGCCGTACGCTAGCGGTGTTTGGCCACCCAAGCTTGCCAAGGCGACCTCACCTAAGCGAGGTCGCCCACATTCATTCAATTGACACTTGCAACAACGTCGCCCAACGACACCACCTCGACAACTCACCCCCGCTGACTTCTAGATCACATATCTCTGGTGCGCAACTTTCCCTACGACGTCGATATCACCTTTGACTAACAATCGCAGAATCAGCCCATCATGGTCAAGAAGCGAGCATCCAAGTACGCAAAACTCGAAAAGTCTACACTACCGCGGCCATGAAGGACTAACAATTCCCAGCGGTCGCAACAAGAAGGGCCGCGGCCACGTTAAGCCCATCCGCTGCTCTAACTGCTCCCGATGCACTCCCAAGGACAAGGCAATCAAGAGATTCACTATCCGCAATATGGTTGAGTCTGCTGCCATCCGTACGTCACCGCCACCGCCTTCCACACCACGATTGAAAATGGGATTGGAAGGAACACTGGGCTGACCTGATCATGCAGGTGATATCTCCGATGCCTCCGTCTTCCCCGAGTACACTGTCCCCAAGATGTACTTGAAGCTCCAGTACTGCGTCTCCTGCGCCATCCACGGCAAGATCGTCCGGTATGTCACGATTGAGAAGGGAATATCGGGGAACTCGGACAGGCTTCTAACCCAAACGCAGTGTCCGTTCAAGGGAGGGTCGCCGCAACCGTGCTCCCCCGCCGCGTGTGCGATACAACAAGGACGGAAAGAAGGTGAACCCTAACCAGGCTGCCCCGAAGCAGGGTGTTGCCGCGTAAACGATCGAAAGCACGATCGCAGGGTGTGATGATGAACGCATGGCGCATGGTACGGTTCAATTGGTGTCATACTGGAAATCATGCATGATTCAATGGAGGTTAGGCAGGCCAATATGATGGTTAAGGCGAGAGCTTGCTGCAACAGGTCGCGAGAGCGCCGAGGGCTAGCTACGAGCTTGTAAAACGAATATCCGACTCGAGCTGCGTCAACCTTCATTCCGGTTCAAGTGTGATGTTGTGCATGGCCTTTCCCGTGAGCGCTCGATGATTGCGCTCTATGAGTTGATCTAAAAAGTCTTCGTGCGCCGTTGCAAGCCGCCGTACGACGTCAATCTGGTACAAGAATTTATTGGATGTTAGAGAACGATAAGCGCTCTAAAAGTGTTCCTCAGCTTTGTTTGACTCTGCCTACGAAAGCTTGTGTCATGTTGTTCTCAGAAGTCTCATAATGGTATCGTGGAGACTGATTGCTTCAGTAATTATAGCATAGGGTTCGTATAGACAGCCGCATGCAGTATCAACATCGCCCAATGATTTAATCCGCCCGCTTCTTGCTATCGCCCAGGTCACCTCCCTCAGCCTGTCCGTTCAAAGCCTCTCCGGGCTCGGTAGTCTCCCAGTCCTCCGCATTCTCATCCCAGTTGTCTAACTCCCGATCCACATCCGGCCTGACAATACCAGACTCCTGCCTATCCTCCTCAACGCGGGATTCGCCAAGTTCAATATCCAAATCATGGTCGTCGCCCGCAACCGCACCATAACCCCGCGCAACCCGCTTCCGCTCAAGCATACGCTTATGGTACCAATTGCACATAGTCAGCGAGGTCAGCGAGCCGAGAACGTTCGCAACGATATCGAAGTAATCAAATTGGCGATCGATCTAATATTGTCAGTCATAGCCCATCAATGCAGGTCATCTCCATCTCCAGCCTGCCGATACCGGTATGCTTACAGGCAACAGGCCCTGCACAACCTCACTCGCCACCCCAAGCCCAAGCGTAACAACGACAAGTGTGTATTGTACGACTTTCCGCCGGGACGTCTCGAGGATCCAGTAGAACGTCAGCGTCAGCAGGGAGAAGGCGATGAAGTGCAGAGCTTTGTCGGATTGCTTGTAGGAGGGTGTGACGTTGTATTCTTGCGGAGCGAAGCCGCCGGCGGCGGAGATGAAGATGAGGGCTGCGAAGGCGCCTAGTAAGGTGTTAGCTGTGCGTGCTGCATGAGGTTGAGGTGCGGAGAATGGCTGAGCTATCGGTGCACTGGAGGCTGTAGATCGCCTTGGGCAAGGCAATTCGGTCTGAAGCTCGCAATGTGTAGAAGCTCTGGTACTGCTTGTAGGCGGAGTGGTTCACGAGCTGCAGCTTTTTCAGGCGGACGGCGCAGCTCGGCCAGCCATGACGGCGTGCACATACCTGCAAACGGCTTCCGAATGCGCATCATGTTTGGGTGTCAATTTTTGCTACCGAAATGACAGGAGCATAATATAACGGCGCGTGTAGGAGGTGTATCGGCTGCGATCGGCCAGCGTATGTCGTGGTAGACGTGGAGCTCTGGCTGGCTTGAATACGAAGTTGGACGCTAAACCTGTTTCGGTGACGTATGCAGCCCCGGCAGCACAGCGTGGGGCGAACATTGGGGCGTCGATCACGGAGTAAACTGGAACTTCACCTAGTGGTGTCTTAATGCCCTTAAACGTTCAGGGTGTACTAGTCGGTGTTTCTACGATAATTGCACACCTATCAAGGCTCCTGTGAAGCAGACAGACCGAAATAACCTACCTTAGGAAGAGATGCTATATATGGTATATTACCCACGGACATCTTCGTCTGACTTTTCCTAGTGAGCTTGATACTAGAACATTGTCACTATTCCATGTATTTCGTGCATGCCAAAACCTTGTTTCTACAAATTTTCGCTAGGACTTCAGTATTGAAATGTCCAAAAAATCAAGAGGTGCCCCACAAAGTTGATGGAGTTGATACTTTCCTCATCTCGATTGCTGAGACGACGTTAGATCGCCTCCAATCCTAGTATGTTTATGGCGATTGTCTTGTGACTCTCTTGCAGTGCAGTGGAGCGCTCTTTCGTGCCACGCAAATACGGTGTGTGGGGAAGAATGTAGTCTTGATATACTCAGAAAATAAAAGCGTTCACGTTCTTGAGTGCATGATCTAGAGAACTACAATCAGACGATATTTGACTATCCACATATGATACTGTTGTTAGATACTATATTTGGCTATCACTCAACTCGTCTGCCAGCTTCTGATACTAAGACATTGCACACAGACATACTTGCAATACCGAGTACCTTTCAAGAAACGACCCCTGAAGAATCACTGCATGTGCTGACGAAGATATTACCATCAAGCTGTGTCAATGACCGAGCCTCCGATATAATGCTTGCGTCGGGTGACCTTCGCCGCATCGGAAAAGCCCGCTGTGTGAGAGCCAACAAGCTGGTGAGAACGTCGTAGATCAGCCCGTAGATTTTAGACAGCATACATGGATATTTTGGAAAGATCGGTGTATCAAGTCAAGAAGGTAGTAAAGGAAGTTAATATTAGGTCGTGAGAGCGACCACAGTGGGCGACACAAAAACTGAACTTGATAATGCCAAATTCTCAGCTTCCTATGTCGAGAGGTTGGACAATCAGCTGTGAGCTTAGTATCTAATAGTATAGCCTAGGGTGATTCGCTCTATAATACATATTCAAAGTTATAACCTGATAATATATGCCCGTATCTCGTGTTGGCGTAAGAGCCGGTTCACCTTTTTGTGTCAGCCACTGTAGACGCTAAGCTTGAGGCGCGCAGCCCCATTTGGAGTAGCGTTAACCTAACTGAACGAGACGAGGCAGGAGCGACCCGCGACTTGCTCCGCAACAACGACCGAGCAGACACCGCGGCCCTTCAGGCCAACGCCCAACATCATTTTTCATCTCAGAGTCATCGGCCTCCATCTCGCATACTATCGAGCTTCTTCCATGCTTGCTTTCACCTCGCCGCGACATCTGTACGAGGTCGCAGAGCGGAGGTCGCGGCCATCCTGAGAGACCGGGTCGCTCTTGCCAAGACCTCCCCACAGCGTGAACTCCATGTCTCTACATCCATCATCGCGCGACCGCCTGAACCATGCACGCCCCGTCTCCAACGCGCTCCGTTTGCGTACACCCAATGCTTCAATGAGCGATGAGGCCATGTCCAACGGTTCAAACAATAACAATCCGGCGGAGGGGCTGGAGACTGCGGCCGAGGATGACCCCCGGGTCGCGCGCTGGCGGGAGAACTATCTGCGCACCGAAGCGCGCATCACCGCTCTATTAGGAGGTGATCAGATATATGATGGGGTTGATGGAGAGGCCGCCCGACTAGCTGATCAGCCCGCCGTAGATGCGCCCGCAGCACATGACGCGCGCCCGACCGCGACACCCAAGAAAGCCGCCCGGACAATTGACGAAGATGATTACGGGGACGATGACGACGAAGAAGAAGAAGAAGAAGACGATACCCGCACCTCCCCACTCCTTGCGAAGAGCGCCCCGAACGGCATCCCCTGTGCTGCCATTGATGCGCCAAGCCTTCGGATATCCTCGCTGTCCAGCAAACTGGGCATCGACTTCATTGGCACTCCGAGCGCCGAACAACCCAAGTCAGCTGACGATGTGCGCAAGAAGCTACAGCAAGACAAGGAGGCTGCCGAAGCAGCGGCCAAGCGCAGCTTCTACACAACGTTCTACACCCTCGAAAGCGACCGAGATGCCATGCTGGAACAACAAAGGCTCGACGAGCTTGACCGGCAAGTTGAGACGGAAATGTCAGGCCAGTCTGCAGCCACGCCTGCACCCGGCGCAAGTGCCGCTCCTCAACAAGGGACGCTGAGCACGACCAATCTGGGAGCGTCCAGTCTCACCTTGAAACATCTCATTGCGCGTATAGATGCAGAAAGAGACAAAGTCAAAGCTAGCGACACCCAGCTACGGAGCTTGATTAGCGAAGTTAGGAAGAATCGCAGCAAGTGGGCCAATGAAGACCGTGTTGGACAGGAGGAGCTGTACGAAAGTATGGAAAAGGTCATTATGGAGCTCAAGGCAGGCGAACACGCGAACCCTTTCCTTCAGCGTGTGAACAAGAGGGAAGCTCCTGACTACTACAATGTGATCAAACAGCCCATGGACATCGGGACCATGATGAAGAAGCTCAAGCAGCTGGCTTATAAGTCGAAGAAGGAGTTTGTAGATGACCTCATGCTCATCTGGGCGAACTGTTTGAAGTACAACTCCGCTTCAGATCATCCCCTCCGCAAGAAAGCTCTCTACATGCGGAAAGAGACCGAAAAGCTTGTGCCACTTATTCCCGACATCACAGTTCGCGATCGCGCAGAGGTCGAGGCTGAGGAGCGCAGAATGCGCAATGGTGACGCCGATGCAGATGGCGCTGATGACAGTGAGGACGAGGAGCCGATCATGGCGTCTCGCGGACGCAAAGCACCAAGTAAAGGTGGAAAAGGCAGCAGCGCAGCGCGAAAAGCACCTCCAGCAGGTCTGGAAAGTACGCCAGATCAAGAAAATAAACCAACAGTGCCGACATTAAACCACACCGTCTCAAATCTGAAGAACGAGTTTCTGCGCGCAGACTCGGAGATGGAGGGAAGTGTGAATGGTTTTGCCACCCCACCGCCTGGTACCCTGACGCCCATTGGCCCTAACGGATTGCTTCGCGGCGGTGCTCATGGCAGTCAGGCAGACGTATCTGAGGCCGATGGCACTGGTGCTTCAGTCAGCGGCTTCCCGGAAGAGGATGCTGACTTGGATGATCTCGAGTACAAAACTTGGAAACAGGTCACCAAAAAGGATCGAGCTACGATTGCAGCTGAACGTCACCGGTTGTTCCGGGAGGACCAGCTTCAGCCAGACGAGCCCGCTATATTACGTAGCAGAGCGGGCATGAGAAGATGGGCCCGACATCGTAAACAGGCTATTGAAGAGGGGGCTTCAGGTGCTTCGACTTCTTTAGCGGAGGTCAAAGATGGCGTGCAAGCTACTACCAGCCAAAGCCTAGCTGAGGGCATCGCGGGAGAAGAGGAACGGCAGGTGCCAGATTACTACGATCCCGTTTGTACAATTCCAGACCTGGACGAACGCTTGCACTGGGTCGAAGACTCTCAGGGACACGTCATTCAACAACATGAAGAGTACATGCGGCTCTTACCAAGTGGACAGTTCACTGCACCGGACAGTGCTTTGGCAAAGAAAATGGAATCTAACATACGCCAAATGCAGGAGACAAGAAAAATCTGTGCTAAGATTGGGATTGTCAAGCAAATGCAGTTGCAGTCGCAGGTACGACATTCTTACATGCTTCCTAACTCTACCTACTAATTATCATAGATGTACCAAAATCAATTCCAGAAGTACGATCCCCAGCCGTTTGTCGAGGCTGACATCGAACCCGTGGTCGTGTCTGACGATGGGCCAGTCATGGCACCCTATGTCTGTCGCGCAGCCTTGCAACGGAGCGTTGGCAAAATTTTCTACCACGCCGGCTTTGAAGAATTCCAGCCCTCAGCTTTGGACGCAATCACCGACATAGCAGGAGATTTCTTCCAGAAACTTGTTGCAAGCTTCGGACTCTATCGAGAAACTCCAAAGATGAAGTCAGATGTAGCAGTACCTGATGCGAATGGTACGCCTACACACTGGGTTCCCCGATTCACCCAGGAAGAAGCGATTCTACACTCGCTGCAAGTGAACGGTGTTGATCTGGAGACTGTGGAGACATACGTGAAAGATGATGTTGAGCGGCTTGGGACCAAGCTTGCTGGCATGCATGATCGGATGCGCTCTTATTACGCCGAGCTTCTTCGTCCCGCTCTCGATAACGCTGGAGCCGATGGTTCTGGCGCCTTCAACGATGGTAGCGAACAGTTTGTTGGTGGCGATTTCGCAGAAGACATTGGTGAAGATTTCTTCGGCTTCAAAGAACTTGGCTTGGATAAGGAGTTTGGTGTGGCGTTCAGCGTCCCATTGCACTTGTTGCAAAACAGGATGCACAACGCATACCAATCTCAAAACACAAAGTATGCCTCAACACCCAAATGTATCAGTCCGATAGCTAACATCACTTTAGCAACGTTACCACCACTGGTGCTCTTATGGAGGAGCCGGCGAAGTTCGAACCGGTCACCGTACAGAATGTCACCAAACAGATCGGGCTCATGCGTACCTGGTTTCTTACAAAGCTGCACGACAACAGTAATCAGTCACTTGTCGAGGATGATGACCTGCCGCCTAAACAGCGTTTCCCTAAGCCACGTCTTCCTCCGACTGGAAAAATATCTAGCCCACGTAAACGCCCACTGAGAGAGCAACAACAAATGGCACGAAAGAAGCGAAAACTAGACGAAGAAAAAGATGAAAATGGCGGCAACGATCAAGGTTCTTCTGCAAACGGTAACCTCATGAAAGGTCTCGGCAAACCTGTGGGAAAGCTTAAGCTTGAAATGCCTCAAAAAGAGAACCAGAATGTCGCCGAGCCGGAGAAGGATGACGGCAGTGCTGTGGGGATGATTAGCCCCGAGAGCATTCTTGCGGCATGAGCATGATACACCATGTCTTGTGTCATCGCCATCACGCAATGCAACATCGATTTTTGATTCAAGTATAGAGCACTAGACGAGTGCATAGGGCGTCGCATTTACTTTTCGATTATGTCACTTTCACGCTTGCCGCAAGAGCAACCGCCCGCAGGCTTTCAATTCTATCGCTCTCTGAATTGTCTGATTTTAATATCATTACAACCTCTTCTTATTTTGTCTGATACCCGATGGACCAATGGATTTGTCTGACGAACGGGCGCGACAAGTATCCTGTATTTTGGCGTTAATTAGTCTCGCTTTGGAGACTTCGGTCGGATTCTTTGAAGCTGGATCTGAATCCTCTGAGGTTGTATACCCTTTCATCTTTGGGAGCTTTTGCGGTATGATCGCTTGAGGAGAGGCACAGGGCAGTTCGCATGCAAGACTGGTTTTCATGATTCTGTATATAAACTGGCAAGGTACAGCGGTGGTCTCACCGGAGCAGGCATAGTTTTGTCAATATTACCGCGACCATCATACAATTTGGTGCAAGCATGCTGTACTGTCTGTGCCCGATACGTACAATCAGGATACTGACAGTGACAAACTCCAATTCCCACATTGAGAGTACGTATCTTCCGTCCCGAGATTTTTTTCGGTTTCATTTAGTCATTCATTCTAGGCTATCTGACATTCACGTAGCGGCAGATTGGCTTTGCTGGCCATTCGAAAGGTGCAGGCACGCAAGAATGACAGCAGAAAGCGACACGTACTGTACCAATGACGTCGTTGAGAGCAGACGTCAATCACTTCAGATATAATTTATCTGCTATGGCAGAATTCCAAGAGTCTTGATCGAGCCTGATTAATGCTGCGCGGCCACATTGTGATATGCCCTGACTCTGATAGCCGAGCTGAAATTATCAATGATGTCTCTAGCGCGCGGACTCTTTGCGCCCGATCTTCCATTCCTCTTACACCTCCAATCAATTAATAGCATTTGCTGTTTCCATCTCGCGCCATCGTGTGTGCTAGCTATCTGTCGCGTGTCGGTGAGTTGTGGTGTTCCTACTATTGTTCCTGTCGGCATTTTTGGGTCTTAGCTAACGGTGCGACGAGACCACGGTTCATCTCTTCTCGACTTGGACCTTCTGTCACTTCACCTCACATCTGTTCACTTCCACAATCGACTGTGCGCACCACTTTATACGAAGCGCAGCGGTCATCTCATAGCATTTGAGCGTTGCCTTGTCTCTGAGTATATCTAACTCTTGTTTATCGGCCGCGATTTTCCCGTTATTGCATTTGATCAATCCATGTTCTATTCTCTTTGCATCACGACCTAAAACGCAACACAATGGCACCGGCAGCACCGGCGGCTGTCAAACGCGCCACTTACGACGGCTCACGTCCTCGTTTTGAGTCTCTTGAAGCATGGCTGAATGTCTACGGCAATGCTGAGTACGCTATCTACAAGCGTGATGCAGCACCCAAGGCGTTGAGCTACGAGGACTGGTCAAAATCGGAGCACGTACTTGGCCCGTTCTTATGGTATACGACCTTAGATGTTTGGGAAGAAGACTCTTCGAGCGTATGTCATGCCTTTGCAAATTTCTCTCATCAAAGATTTCTGATGATAGTAGGACGAAGAGTCTGACGTGGAAGCACCCGCATTCACTGCACATGTTCCACCGAAGCAACAGCCGAAGAGAGCGGCGATGATGAACGGACACGGAAAGCGTGGCGCCGCCAAATCATCACCCTCTGTCGCGCAGTCGAAATCAGAGGATGCGGCAGCTGCGGCGAAGCGCAAGAGGAAACCCAAAAAGCCTTATCTTGTGAAGAATCCCGCTTACAATGATTTACGCTGAGCTAACTTGCGATAGTCTGAAGACATTGTCGTGTCAGACGTCAGTGACGAAGTCGAAGAGTCAAGTCCAGCTGTCGAGGTTCCGCCTATTGTAACGACAATCCCAACCAGTCCTACTAATGGGCGACGGAAGTCGGGTGGGCGTAGGAAGAAGCACTATCTTGTAGGTCGCAGCGGCACGAAGCTGCGACTGCAGCACTAACACGTGGCGCCAGTCCGCAGAAATCATTTCACCTGAAGATGAGGATGATGATCCTATGGCAATGAACCATATTGTCGCCAGTGCATCGACTGCCAACGAGCCTAGTGCGTTTGGTATGTTGCACTTTCAGATTGCTTGTGCCCCACCCCACTTCATCACTGTTCTCAATAGCACGCGACCACCTTTCCTTATCCATTGATCCATGATAAATTATCATCATCATTTGCGCAGTCGAAGCAAGCTAAAGAGTCTTCCAGAACACTCTACCCCAATCGCAGCAGCGACATCCGAGACACCTAAAGGGAAACCTGGCAAAAACACAAATAAGAAATCACTTGTACGCGAGGTCTCAACCAATTCGTTTCACTACTCTAACGTTGTCTCAGTCGCAAGCAGTCGTATCAAAAGATGATGATGAACTAGTTGACGCGCCTACTGATGCCACTACCACGCCAAAGAACGCTGCCGCTTCACCCGACGGTCCGGGCTCCTCCTCGAGGCGAGGACTGCGCACCCGCACGCCCGCCCAACAGCGACCGTATTTTCACAACGCGCAGGTTTTCGATGATCTAGTCTCTGATGAACCCGAAGCAGACACTAATTCACAACCATCTCCTCCCAAACCCAAACAGAAACTCAAGCTGACCGGCCTGGCGCAAGTTTCATTTCCTGAAGTTGAAGAAGAACGACAAGAACCAGAAGGACCCATAATTGAACACAATGATGATGATGAACTCATGCTTGAGCCCGAAGAGCCTCAGCCTGCGAGGAAGGCTCACTACAAAGGCAAAGGTCGAGCGTGGAAGAAGACTTCAGATGATGAGGATCAAGACTACAAATCCCCAGTCAAGGTCAAGTTGGATCAGCCGACGCGAAAGCTTGGGCGAAGAAAGTCAACTCAAACAATAGAAACGCTAGCCGATGCACTGGGGAGCGAAGAATCTCCACAGCAACTGCGACAGGACGAAGAAGAGGAGAAGCAGGTCGACCCGGTCCCACAAAGCCCCGCGGCAAAACCCGGCAAGAAGCCGCGTAAGCCACGAAAGATATCTCATTTGTCTGAAGAGTTCGTAAGAGACGATTCAGACACTGCGCCTGATGAGCACAAAGGACCAGCGAGGAAGGTTGAGCCCGAGAAGACACAATCGATTGGACTTGTAAACCTCGCGCAGAAGACGCCCAAAAAGAGAGGCCGCCCCAGGAAGTCGGATCAACCTACGCCCAATTCTAAAAACGCATACACGACAACGAACGATGATCTCATTGTAGCTGCGAAGGAATCGCGAGTCAGAGCGCCTGCAAAACCAGCACCATCACCCAAAGAGAACGCAACGACATCAATCACAAAAGCAGCGGATGAAGAAAGCATCAAGCCAGAAGCCAACGGAAGAGGGCAACCCAGAAAGTCCGCAACACCAGGAAAGATGGCAAAGGCCGATTATCTTGATTCAACGCTTGCAACGCCATCCAAGAAGACATCTGAGAGATCGGCAGAGGTCATTTCGCTATCAGGATCCGATGGTGAGGATGACAGCGAGCCGGAAGTCATCTCGGGAAAGAACCCGAGCCGTCGCATGGAACGTACACTTACTTCAGATCTTCAAGCGCTCGACGAGAGCGGGAAAGCAGTGACTCTTCCCGGCCCCCCCGTTACAGAAGCTTCGAAACCAGCTAATCCGCCGCTCGATTCTTCTTAAGTCACTGTGCAATGGAGATAGCTAGACGGAGGTATGTTTCTCTTTATGTTACATTCGGTGGCATCGAGTCGCTACGGCGCATCTGGCGAGGAGGCATCATATTGTACGGCAACATAGCCAGGCGCATGTAGGGTTTTGTCTGGCTTTTGGTAAGCGGTAGGCTTCTAAGGGACGATGTCCGTAAGCTACATTAATGCATGTTTGTCCAATGTTCGACATGCTTTGCAGTGAGGATCATGGGATGATATGACGTAACGTGAACGAGGAAGGATCGAAGGTCGACCATGGGAAGGAACGACTTCTGTGCAGATATATAGCCCTAAATTCTTTTAAGTCTCTCCTTCGATTCTCGACTCGGTCATCAACAAGCTTATCACGAACCCGTCGCTGAGGCCTTGCATCCCCGTCACCAACCCAGGTGGCGAGCGTACAATCTTGTCAAGTTCATCAACGAAAAAAATGAGGCACGCATTCGAGTGGCTGCCACACTCCTTGCGAAGACCGCTACCATAGAGGTAGACTAATATCCTTCTCTTCCAATTTGTTCAGCGATCTGGATGGGTTCTGACTAGGTCCTGAGCTGCCCCTGGGTGAGTTTTATCTTTCTTTGGATCTTGATGAACGATAGCTGATAGTCCTGGACGAACGTCTTCTTCGGCGCCGTCAAATATACAGCCGTGCCCACCGTCTTCAACTACCTCTATACTTCACTGTCATGTGCCTCAAAGCTCGTGCCGAACAGGTTCCAGCATGTAGTAATTGGCAGCATGCCACGAGCGGTTCGAAGATACATAGTTTGAGATCAGCGTCTCCAGACGATGCGCGCGATTCTAAACAGCAGTCGGCTGCTAGGGTCGCGCGCATCACATACACAAGCGCTTGACCGGTGACGGAGGGTTATGTGGGGCTAGAGACACAACACACCAAGTGTTAATCACAGCCTCGCTTTTGGGTTGGAAAGTATGCCACTGCTGGCCGCAAGGCTTAGCCTTTCCGTAGCTCCAATCATGACAAAGTAGCCGAATTATTTTCAGCTTGCCCTTTGCTCGTCAGACACGATGAAGAATGTTATCATTGGTTTCTTCTGTGTAGGAGCAAGAACTTGTGGAGAGGAACGAACTATATTGCGCCTTCCCGAGGCAATACTCCTGATCAGGCTGATGAAAAAATTCCATGGTCGCCTCATGATCCAGAGCGGCCACGATAAAAGTCTGACAATGCGCAGGGTCAGGCAGATACGGTAGATACCGCACTCATCAGTTTGTACCACTCGAGTCTCTTGCCAGAAGACAAACAAGACGCAACAGCGATCGACGCTTACGAAAAGCCAAGAAAATGCTTGGGGACATCAGTGACCGCATGCATAGATCATGCCTGGTTCACAAAGATTCCAGCTTCTGCACTTAGTGTTGCATGCATTGCGGCGATTATCGGAGTGCTTATTGTCGAGAATGGACGACCACTCGATCAATGGAATCTCATCATTTCACATAACGCCATCGTGTCCTTCATTGCTACTTTGTACGTTTGAAAGACCTATATCAAATTTTGCTGGGCATAGCTAGCGTTGCCTATCATCCCCATCATGCTGAACATCTTTTTATAGACTATTACGGTCTGGTCCGCTGGCAGAAGCAATCTGTCATTGTGGAAGAGCTCAGCGCTTGCAGGTCTCGATGGTCGTCTCGATGGATGTCAAGATTACAGTTCCGCCGTGCGTGATCGTCAAGAGTTCGAGCATATATCAAAGACTTTATATGCAAGGCACACGAGGACCATAGGTTGGTGATGAGTCATGACGTCTGAATATACGAAGTATCCCGCAAGTCTACCTCGACCCACCGGCAACGCTGGATGTAGGTGTTGTGTTAGAAGTTACCGTGCGGTCCAGAAAGGAAAATGGACGACTTCTGCTATAGGACTCATGTCAATGCATCGTAATGGCTTGAAAGTCGGTATTGATACCGATGTAGACGAATATTTCCCCGAGGAATGTAGTGCGAAGTGTTCGACCTTGAGCGATCGATGAAGTCACATCATGGGTGCATTCCTATTGAGGAAACCGCTCGACTTAAAGTCCTTTTCAAACACAACACTTGCACTTCTGTCTCAGTCATTGGTCACTATCAGCGAAAGGCATACCGTCATCGCGTATCTTAGATGACCAAAAATGCTCATATGATGCTACATTGCCGATGCGGTCATGTCTTAGGTACAATGATCGAGCTATTGCAGTGCACAACTCTTGAGCCTCTGCCACCATATCGTATCGGTCGGACGATTCGAGACTAGACCGCGTCAGAAGGAGGCCAATCAACACATAGAACTTCTCAGTTCTGAATTGGCAAAACATCTGCCTGTGAACCTTGGTCTGACCACATCTCTGCTTCAAGTCATTGATCAATGTCCTCCGATCAAATGCTCAGCTCAATAGCAATAGTCCTACGTTGACTCGCAGTTGCCCCGGCACTCGGACGTTGAGAAGTGTGCTGTACGACCATAAAACCCAGAAATTCTTGAATGAGCGCTGCTTCCTCGATCAAGTACGATGTACAAATGACATGACTAGTTTGTTCACTCAGCTGACTACAGGAGGGGTTCTGCTCCCTATATAACCTCCCAAACTAGCCCTTGGTGTCATCCAAGTGTACAGCAGCACTCTCACTAAGCGCTCTTCCACTCTAAATCCTCAGTCCCCTCACCCTAGCAAAGTAGTACACAACCCCAAACGCCAACCCACCCAAATGACCCGCATGCCCCACTCTACTATTCCTATCATTTAGATAATACCCATCGAAAATCGCATAACCAGCAATCAACGCCCACAACGGCACCGGAACAATCCCATAAATCGCAAACGTAGTCTTGGGATACAAGAACGCCGCCACAGTCCCCACACCCATCACACTCCCCGAGAACCCCAGCGCCGTCGACTGATAATTCCGATTCTTCATCGCGACGTACAGCCATCCCATGCTACCCGCGAAGCCCGACCCCACAATCAGCGTCGCCAGCTTGAGTGGCGTAAACCCCGGCGTTGCGGCGAGCATCGAGCCCATGTAGAAGAAGCTCAGCATGTTACCCGCGATGTGTAAAATTTCGACGTGGGAGAAGACGCTGGTGATGGTGGTCCAATAACGATGTTCTTTCAGGACGCCAACAGGCGAGAGAGACATGTTTTGTAGGAATTTGACGAGAGGTAATTGGTGGCCTTGGCGGGCTTGCTCTTTGAGGTACATGGCGTATACGAATATGCCGGTGTTGAGGCCCATGATGCCGTAGATGAGACGCGTGTTGGAGGTGGCATTGTCGCCGTAGCCTTGGTAATAGGTGCGGCGGCCTAGGCCTAGGCCTGGGAAGGGTGTTGTAAGCTATCATGTCGCAGAAGTTGGGAAGGAACCAAATCGGATGCTCTGAATGGATGTGATATTCAAGATGAGTCGAATTCTTTGCTAACCCGCAGCGTGCATAGAATTGCACGCGTCTACTATCTCCAAGATGATAGCACCTGGTGTTTGCGAGATGATACCATAGACGCGTCCTATCCTTTCGCCCGCACATTTGATTGAATACGTACCTGCATGTTTACCACCAAAGAGTTTGGGGTCCATCTTTGGCAAGTGAGGAGATCTGGCTGCGCGCAAAGTAGACATGGCACTGAAGGAGGACGGCCGAAGCGTCCTCGTCAGACGCTGAAAGAGAGACATGGTGTATAACGTCAGGTCTTTGAAGAGCTAATCGCTTGCAATATATGGCAAGAGCAGTTTCTTGACCGGAGCTGTGCTACCAAGGGCGACAATTGTGCCACGTGAGCACGTGCCTAAGGTTGAGATGCTACGCGGTTGTCAGTGCCTGTTTACGGATGTTGACTGGGCGTCTCGTCCAGATGTGACTGCTTACAAGCGAGTGAGTGCAGTTCCGTCCAATCAAAGCACGATGCTCTGTCAATTCAATTCGATATCGCACGGCACAGACGAGGTGAAGGAGGGTAGAACGTCGGTTGTCAGGGTGGCCAATCAGCTCCCGAGTCCGCACGGATCGTCGGGCGGGCCCTTGAATTCTTGAGCCTTCTGATCTCCACCAACACCACACGCACGCCGTGCAGCTCCCTCTTACTACTCCCACACATACATTTTGCGGCCGCCTGGAACTTTCTCGCTGACACACTCTACTCTTCAGGCCATAGTCTACCGCGCGCTGTTCTCCCGGGGAACTGAACCTTCACCGACGCTCACCTCGACTGTGTGACGTCCAGCTTGACGGCAAGCGTTTGAGCCCCACCACAAGGCCCGGTACAGCGAGTCGCCGCCATTCTTGGGCGCTCTCCGACATACACACCGCACCACCCTCACTTCTATCTTCGGCGTTGCTGCCTGCCTACCGCCCAAAGAACGAGCCGGATCCCGCCTGGGCACCCCACATAGCCTGCTGTACCAGCACAAACAACCCTCGCTGCCGTCGCAAAGTCGACCGCATATAGCTGCCCACCACTCTCATCACATCGACTGTGTGTCGAATAGCACCGCAGCCGGCGGACCTTCTCCCAATGGCTGACCAAATCACCAACCAACTCGCGGCTACGTCGCTTAGGTTCGTTAATGCCTTGTCGCGCCAGCCGCGAACACTAACAATACTTCCAGCGAACAATCGCCCTTAGCAGGCGCAAACTGGAAGGATAGTCTCAAAATACCCAATAAAGATACACGAGTACAAACAGAGGTATGCGCGGCGCTTGGTTTGCGACCGGTCGGCAAGCTTGGACTTACGCGCTTCATTAGGATGTCACCGCAACAAAAGGCCTCGAGTTTGAGGATTTCTTCATCAAGCGCGAGCTTATGATGGGTATATTCGAAGCAGGGTTTGAGAAGCCCTCACCCATCCAAGAAGAGACCATTCCGGTTGCCCTCACCGGCCGAGATATCCTTGCGCGAGCGAAGAACGGTACCGGAAAGACTGCGGCTTTCGTCATACCCACCCTCGAACGCGTCAACCCGAAGAGCCCGAAGACGCAAGCACTCATCCTTGTACCCACCCGAGAATTGGCCCTACAGACTTCGCAGGTATGCAAGACGCTAGGTAAGCATCTTGGCATCAATGTCATGGTTTCGACTGGTGGCACGGGCCTAAAGGACGATATTATCCGTTTGTCTGAGCCTGTTCACATCATTGTCGGCACACCGGGTAGGATTTTGGATCTGGCAGGAAAGGGCGTAGCCGATCTGTCCACCTGCCAGACTTTTGTCATGGACGAGGCTGACAAGCTTCTGTCACCTGAGTTCACTCCAGTCATAGAGCAGCTGCTTGGGTTCCACCCCAAGGACCGGCAGGTTATGCTCTTCAGTGCCACCTTCCCCATCGTAGTGAAGAGCTTCAAGGTATGAACCTGTATGAAATACGTACAAGCGCCCTTTACTCAGTCCTTCTAGGATAAACACATGAACTCTCCGTACGAGATTAATCTTATGGACGAGCTCACTCTGCGCGGAATTACGCAATACTACGCTTTTGTCGAAGAGAAGCAGAAGGTCCACTGCCTGAACACGCTGTTCAACAAACTTCAAATCAACCAGTCGATCATCTTCTGCAACTCTACCAATCGTGTTGAGCTGCTCGCGAAGAAGATCACTGAGCTTGGATACTCTTGCTTCTATTCGCATGCCCGCATGCTTCAGCACAACCGTAACCGCGTCTTCCACGACTTCCGCAACGGTGTCTGCCGAAACCTTGTCTGTTCTGATTTGCTTACCCGAGGTATTGACATCCAGGCTGTCAACGTTGTGATCAACTTTGACTTCCCGAAGAACGCCGAGACGTACTTGCACCGCATCGGTCGCTCCGGACGATTTGGACACCTGGGTCTCGCTATCAACCTGATTAATTGGGAGGATCGCTTCAACTTGTATCGCATTGAGCAAGAGTTGGGCACTGAGATTCAGCCGATCCCGCAGGTCATCGAGAAGAAGCTGTATGTCTACGAGACCCCCGAGAACATTCCTCGCCCCATCTCGAACTCCCAGCGCAATGCGCAAGGCCAGGAGCAAGATGGGGCTGTTGCCCGCAACAACCAGAACGGCCGCGGCAACTATCGCGGTAACCGTGGTGGCGGACAGTTCCAGGGTCAGCCTCGTGGTGGCGCCGGTCGCGGACCTCCGAACCAGCAGAACCGCCAGAATAACCAGAACGGCCACAACCCGCAGCGTAACGCTCGTCCCCAGCCCGCCGGTCCCGCATAATAGGTCGGTGCACGGCGATGAGGGGGGTTGTAGGCTGTCTGAGCAGTTCTCGTTGATGTCCAGCCATCTCACATGTCACGATTTCTCTTTGCTCAGTGGCCGATTTGCGTTATGTGTGCATATGTTTCCTGCGTTTTTTTTCTTTTCTTACGACTATATGAGCGGCTGTCGACGAATCGATGTGGGAGACCTGGATTCACCCTCGGATATCGGATCGAGTTCATCGGCGCGTACTGGAGTCTGCGATTTCGGGCCGTCCATTTGTATTATATACCTTGGGTCTGTTCCTCGATCTTGGGTCATTTCCCTTCTACGGCTGTTGAGCCAGTCCTCTTTGGTGTTCATTTGCGGTCTTGGCGGAGAGTCCAGGCTCCGCAATGTTTTTCTCACTCTCTACAGCATGCTCGCTGGTGGGTAATTGTCAAAAGTCCCTTCACGATAGAGGCACCGACGATTCTCCTTGTGTTTTAATGGCCGTCCGGCATCGGAACACCCTGCTAGACACGTCTAGCTACGTCGGACTCCTACGACTCTCTCTCCGCACCATCATCTGTCTCATCGCGTCCGCCAACCCTGAAGATATCCTTTGGCTCTCATCAGCTTTTTGTCATCACACTACCTCTTCACCGGATGCTGGCGCAAGCTAGCAACCATCGGATTTCCTGCAGTTCTTCTCCCTCCTCCCAGGACTGCGACATGTGGCGCTACTTTCCGGCTCACGTCACCGTTGATCATCTCTTTTGCCCACGTGGTTTTGGGACTAGATCAGTCCGGGCGCTTATCTGTAGTCACCTCACTATCGCTTCTCAACTGTTGGCCTGGGCAAAAATTCCGGCAGAAGCTCGACGGGGTGGCTACAATCAGCAGCCTGGTTGAATGAAAATTAAAAAAACCATACTCATATGTAGAAAACATTCAAAAGAATTTTTAGGGCCCGGTTGAGCCTACGGGCATTCAGAGGCGCGGCTCAGATGCTGGCCTCGTGGCAGCTTTCGATGTCTCTTGTCCAAAGATACTCAATGCAAATTTCCATCCTAATCGTTGCTCTCCCCACCTGTGAATTGTACGTTTCAATGAGCCTACGTCATACAACATATAATCGTGCGTGCGTAGGGCGACCAGAGTGAGAGAATGCGAAGGCTAACGTGCCAGGGCACATTATCAGCTTCGCCACACGTGATTAGTGAGAGCCAGACAATGCGACAGAGGAGATGGCCAGTGCATGACAGAGTAAGAGAACACCTGGCCCTGGGCTGGCAAGTCCGTGGCTCCTACTCTAGATACATTAATAATGCTTGTCGGGGACACATGTGGAGGTCTGAGATGTGCAGGGATCAGTGGGTGGCTATCCGTGTTAGGCAATACCCACGGCGAGCTTCGAACAGGCGCCATGTACAGTTGAACGGAAGATTTGGCGGCGGCGGCGGCCACGCGGGCTTGCAGAACCCGTCTGCACGGTGGAATCGAGATGCGGGAGCTCTACGTGTCCCGATCCGGGGTACAGAAGAATTACCACGGCGGGTCAAGGCCCGCAGCCATTGTAGCAGGTCTTGGCAGGGCCCGCGGACTGCACCCGAGCTCAGCCCAGTAGAAGTAGACACTGTGGTCTTTCGCGCCACGAACGATAGAGCATAAAAACCCTCCGCCGCTCTGCCTGAAATTCTCCCCCACCCACCTGCCGAGTTCTAGCTCAATTCGACCCTTCTTTTTCTTTATACTTCTGTTTTTGTCAGAGTAGGAACCATGCGTTACAGCATCGTCCTCACGGCCGTCCTGGCCTCGCTTGGTCTGGCTTCCGATGTCCACGAGCTCAAGGACGACACCCTCCAGGGCTTCGTTGAGGAGCACGACCTTTCTTTGATTGAGTGTAAGTTTCCCAGCTTGCGATTGCCTTTTACCACGTTTCCCAATCGCATACTGACTAATCCGCAGTCTTCGCACCCTGGTGCGGCCACTGCAAGGCGCTCGCCCCCGAGTACGAGTCGGCGGCGACGACTTTGAAGGAGAAGAACATTCCGCTTGCCAAGGTCGACTGCACAGAGGAGCAGGAGCTGTGCAAAAAGTACGGCGTCGAGGGCTACCCCACCCTCAAGGTCTTCCGCGGCGATGACAACATCACACCCTATACCGGCCAGCGCAAGGCCGACGCCATAGTCTCGTACATGACCAAGCAGTCTCTGCCTGCCGTGTCCGATGTCACCAAGGATTCCATTGACGAGTTCAAGACCGCCGATAAGGTCGTCCTCGTCGCCTACTTCGCTGCCGACGACAAGGCCTCCAACGAGACCTTCACCTCCGTTGCCAACGGTCTCCGCGACAACTACCTCTTCGGTGCCACCAATGACGCCGAGCTCGCCAAGGCTGAGGGCGTCAAGCAGCCAGCCCTTGTGCTCTACAAGTCTTTCGACGAGGGTAAGGACACCCACACTGAGGCTTTCGAGAAGGAGGCTATCGAGTCTTTCATCAAGGTTGCATCGACCCCTCTGGTTGGCGAGGTCGGTCCCGAGACCTACAGTGGCTACATGGCCGCCGGCATTCCTCTCGCATACATCTTTGCCGAGGAGCAGGATGAGCGCGACACTCTAGCCAAGGAGCTGAAGCCCCTTGCTGAGAAGTACAAGGGTAAGATTAACTTCGCCACCATCGACGCTAAGTCTTTCGGCCAACACGCTGGTAACTTGAACCTCGAGGTCGGCAAGTGGCCCGCCTTCGCTATTCAGAAGACGGACAAGAACCAGAAGTACCCTTACGGGCAGGACAAGAAGATTACCGAGAAGGACATTGGCTCTTTCGTCGAGGACTTCGTCAACGACAAGATCCAGCCTTCCGTCAAGTCTGAGCCTATCCCTGAGTCTAACGATGGCCCTGTCACCGTTGTTGTTGCCCACGAGTACGAGAAGCTTGTCATCGACAACGACAAGGACGTCCTCCTTGAGTTCTACGCTCCTTGGTGCGGTCACTGCAAGGCTCTTGCTCCCAAGTACGAGGAGCTCGGTGCTCTCTATGCTTCTCCTGAGTTTTCCAAGCTCGTCACCGTCGCTAAGGTCGACGCCACCGCCAACGACGTCCCCGATGAGATCCAGGGTTTCCCCACCATCAAGCTGTTCCCCGCTGGCAAGAAGGACTCCCCCATCGACTACTCTGGCGGCCGTACTGTTGAGGACCTCGTTGCATTCATCGAGGAGAACGGCACCCACAAGGTCAAGGCCGCCATCGAGGCCGTGAAGGAAGCTGCTGAGGACGTCGCTGAAGAGATTCCCGAGCAGGCCGCCGCCGCTTCCGAGAAGGCCAAGGATGCTGCTGAGTCAGCCACAGACAAGGCTAAGGATGCCGCCGAGACTGTTGCCGATAAGGCGGAGGATGTGACCGAGAGCGTCAAGAGCGCCGCCTCGGAAGCGACCGAGAGCGCCAAGTCTGCGGCGTCTGAGGTTCACGACGAGTTGTAAATTAGGATACCCCGTCTCCCTCTTTCTGTGTTCTGCCTTCCTGTGCCAGTGGGATGGCTTGGATGGATGATGTGCATGGATACTGAATGAAAAGCATGATATAAAAGCGATATGATACATGCTTCGGTGGGGGTTTTTTCATGATTGATGGCATTTCTTTCCATGGGCTTGGACGCGCTTTTGGATCATCACTGGGCGGCGATAGCTAATGGAGTTCCGGGTTGATAAGTTCATTACGTGTGTTCTGCGATGTATGATATGGTGACCGACCTTCTGTGTGTTTTTGTGTTCGTGTGTGGGAGTAGAATGTACATGGTGGAGCAACTCCTGGTGGAAGCTTTCTTGTCATACGTTCAGCACCGCCCAAACACCCGACAACCTCGTCAAACTATTTCTTTAAATAGGGAGTTAGGACACAGACTGGTAAGACGAGAAGATGAGTTGTAGCTGGGCGTTTGATTGCGTTCGTTGAATTTGGGGCGTGGCGAATATCAAAGTCAATGTATGGGGTCGCGCAAGGAATAGCAGAAAAGGTTGAATACTTTCTGCTAACAGATACTAAAATATAGTCGAACATGAAACATAATATATAGAAGTAATAAGGACAGCCAGTGTATCACTGTATGTACTCAGTAATGAGCTGACGCCGAGAATTTGGATGGCCTCAACAAGCTAGCCCTACATGGACTAGCACCACCTTTAAGTCCAGATACAGACTCGTACTGTCCCCTTAACAACATTCTTAGGACACCGCCACAACGCTTCGTTCAGCACAGGAACGTATGGCGTGTTGTCCAGACGGAACAGCCCTCTTTTGGCACCACGAATAGGTATATGAGCACACCTGGTGTGGCGCAGCCGTTTCACGGAATCGGGCGTGCTGTTCCCGGGGCCAAATGTTCCTTCTGGGCGTTGGCCTAATCTTAGGCATACATAGATATACATACTTTAAGAATACCTTCGCACAATATTCTGTTAGAATTTGATTCATCGACCCGCGTGTACCACCAATCAGCAAACGTGGTCGCACTTACCATTCGCAACCACAACCGGACACCGCTCCATCGCAGCTCCACCACAAGCACGTCTCTTCGTTCTCGCACACCCACCACTCAAGCCTCCACCCTCAACAATGGCAGTCGTGACGATCAGAGATTACAGCGCCCCCGCGCCACGCCCGTTTTCGCGCCAGTGCCCCAACTTCCGCCTCCCCTGGTTTGGCATGTCCACCTCCTACAACCTTTCCGTGCAATCTCGCAGCGAGAAACAGCGTCGCGTCGCTTTCCTTATGATTCAGGCCCTGCGACTCGCATACCTCATCACCACTACGAGTCTGCCCATTTCTCCGTTCGACATTCCCTGGCTACTCACCAGCGTCCTGTTTTTCTTTTTCGTAGCGTGGAATCTGCACCTGATCGTCAGCATGGAGGGCGAGAGGGTGGTTTTTGGAAAGACTTTTGGGAGGAAATGGTTTGATAGGTTTTTGTGGGGATGTGCGGGCGCATATGCGGGTGTTTTGGCGTTCAGGGTTGTTGCGGGGTGGCCATTGGGGACGTGGACGGCGTGGGCGGTGTTGGATTTAGCAATCTTTGGGGTGGCGTGGGTGAGTACATGGCGGGAAGGCGCTGTGATCTTGGGGTAGCGAAAATTGGTTGGAGGAGGAGACGAGGATGGTGTGTACGTAAAGAGGGCAGTCGAGATGCAGTGCTTGGTTGGAAATGTGGGAGGGAGTTGTATAATCCGCAGTGATACAAGACACGATACAGTGATACAACGTGGCTTCAACCGAAGAATCACAAAACACATTTATCCAGTAGCTCTCGTGGGTCGTTGAATTAACTGGTCTTCAGGAGTGAAGAGATCAAGCACTCCGGTGGACATGTCTCGCTACTATCCCAACTCAACCCTTAACATTGATCATCACCCTTTCCCCTTTCCCGGGTCACCGCCCCACAATCGTTCAAACCCTCCTTCAACCCCCTCACGTAACCCTATCACTCCTTATCCTTCTTTTCCTTATCCTTTTTCTCGTCATACAATTCCCCAATATGTTTCCTCGCCACAACCAGTTCCTCTTCGAATCCCGTTTGTGGGCCTGGCGTCGGGAGAATGAAGGGGCCAATGTCGTCGTAGAAGGGGTTGATGTCCGGGTATGGGACAAGCTCTCGTTCTTGTAAGGAGCGCCTGTGCTTGCAGCCGATGCTGCCCTCGTTACACGCACCTACGTGATCCTCCTCAGGGGTGTTGGGTTGGTAGAGTTCCCAGGATTCGCACTGCTCTAGGACTGGAGAGAGTTCTGGGTGCTCTGCGATCCAGGCGCGGTCTTCGTCTGTGAAGGCGGAGCAGTCCCTGTTGACGAGCGACAGGCGATCTGCTACCTCACGACCGCTTGGTGGGAGCGGCCTTTTGTGTGCACCCTGAGGCGCGTAATGCGCTGCGCCATATTCCACTAGCATGGTTGCAGTAGGCTTGCTGGAAGTGGTAATGAGCGTTGTAGGCTTGTTGGTGACGATGGTAGGTATAGAGCGGATTAGAGGAGCGGCGAGCACAGGGCTGCTGATGAGGAAGGCGAGGGTTGCGGAGTTAGTCTTCATGATTGTTCGTATGTTACTGGTGCCAATGTGGTATTGCGTCGTTAGTGTACTGAAGCTTCGAAAGCGTGGCTGATGGTTAAGCGTGTTGTAAGAGTATCTGAACTTGATCGGTGTTTCCTGGTTTTGACTTGAAGTGCGTTGAAGCTGTGATGGAATTGCATGCAGAAATTTTGAGGGATGTTGATCTATATCCGCGACCCTAAAAAGCGATTTTCGACAATCTGCCTCAACGAAAAGGCATCTTGTGGACTCAAGAGGGACTGTCCCAACACTCCTTGGGGTGGCCCAGGGTACATTCTCAGTCAGCCGAACTAACGAAAATTGTATGACTGTAAGATGCTTCCATTTGATGTCATCTGCACTCGGATATTGTGACCAGATAGGATTCGAGGGTAAAATTGTACCAACCGCGGGCGTTCCCACCGTGGTTGCCAATTTCTACCTAGCGCAACCCACGTTAGCATCGTAATGTACATATTCTCCACTTCGTACTTGGTACCCTTCGTCCAGATCCTCGCTCTGTATATCCACGGTTCGCGTCACCACAACACTCAACGCGCCTTCACTCATCCCCTTTTTGTGCCCCGCACCCTTCTTAAACCATACGACTTCTTCGCAGTGTTTGTCGTCTACATCCTTACTATTCTCACCCGTGCCGTCGCTCAGCTTAGTGAAGCCGCCGCTACTAGCCGATTTGAACGTCTCCATATGAATGTCCTTCTGTTGTGTTCGGTTTGTCTTGTTGTGCGATGTTTTGTTGAGCGCCGATTTGGTGTGTGTGATTATGGAACCGAGGTGCAAAGCCTTGGCTACCATGCGGAAGAGCGGTTTGAATGAGAGAGCACATGCGGCAAGAAGGTAAAGTCCTGGTTCGATGATAGTCCAATTGATTAGAGGTACGTTGGTGACTAGTTTGTTAGCAAAGGACCAAGTCTACGGTATATCGATGCTCACATGTGATATCGTCCAATATATCCGTCTTAGCGAAGACCACAGTCCGGATAACAGAGGCTATGATGCCACTGTGAAGAGTCAGTGCCGTAGAAATCTTATAGGCCGGGTATATTACATGCTACCAGTCAAGAAGATCAGCATCAAGCCGATCTTCCTTCCGGTCGAGACCTTAAGCTCCAGTACTGTCCGTATCGGTAGGCAAACCACGACCAGATCAGTGACGATGTTTGGTACACTGCTGCTATAAGCGAAAGCCACGGTGTCGAAGCAGTGTCCTCCTGGTATCGTTTTATCCCAGCTGTAAGGGAATGGGGTACATTGGAAGCATGTCGCCGCGAAGAATGAGATGAATGCTGCGAGGATCACCACGAAAAGCCCCCAGGCGATGCCACGCTCAAATTTTTTCGTGAAGACTCGAAGATAGAGAACGACCACGACGAGTTTTGGGAAAGCAACGGCGGCTGGGTGGAGGAGTTCGTTGATTATGACGCCTTTGAAGTGCTTGGATAGGCTTGAGGGATCTCTTTGAAGATTGAATGCAGCATGTCGGCCCGTTCCAGCTCTCTTCACCATGACTGTTTTGATATCAGCGAATATGATATTTAGCGATGTCTTCCGACCTACGAATGCCGACAACACATAGCCCCAACTCCGCCAGCCATGCGAACGGTATGATAATATCCTCTACACCGAACTGAGTCGAGGTGAGGTAACGCGCATAGTACCGAAGGCCAACAAAGACTGTACAGAAAATTATCATTAGCGACGCAGTCGCGATGATCGCAAGGCCATTATCTTCAGCCAGATACTCTGGCGAGTACTGAGCGACCGGCGCGTTCATTGTGCATAAAGAGGCTGCTAGAGCCCGTGGGTGCGAATGGCTTCCAGAGTCTGGCTGTCAGAGCCTGACGAAAATCACAACATGAGTGGATGTGTGATAGGAACGGCGAACCATCCCCGAAATATGGGCTCGTGCCAGGCACACCGACCCAGGAGGAGAGGCCCAAGGAATATCCTGCTTGTGATAGCATTGCGTAGGCGTGAGGTGGTTTCCCGATAGGGTAGAGAAAGTGATGCTCGCAGGGATCGTATTGCGGTAATGCGGAGGGCCAGGGCCATTGAATGTGAAACGGGCAGTGCGTAGCGAAGGCAACTCTGAAGCGAAATGGGATGTGGCAGGCACTGTAACCACCTCAGTATCACATCAATTCCTCGAGGGCGCAATATGAAGACAACTCCTAGTAATACTTTCGCTTGCGCATTCCTTTGTACGCTTGTCTACCATTCCATCCCACTGCTCTGTTACCGCATAGCAATCGAAGTTCAATCTCAGCATACAACGTCATAGTATAGGCTATCATCACAGGATAACTAGCAAAGCGACGAGAGAGTTGTCTCGGAAAGAATGAACCTCGTCTTTCTTCGCTAGCAAGAGCAACTATTGGTGAATTTGCGCTGCCAATTGACCGCGAAACATGCGTAATGTCTGGCGACTCGTATGGTTCGCTCACACGCTTTCTTTCTGTTTTCTCGATTCATGTTCAACTCGCAAGGTGTCGCATCGAAGCAAGACCACGGAATCATAAGCCTTCTAGAAGCGATGTATCCCTTGTATCCAGAGGTTTCTCTCTGGGGTATACCAAGAACCTGTGTGAGGCTTTCACTCGAAACCCTAGGTCTGGGTCGGTACTCAGGTAGCCTGCATGAACGTATAGGGTAGGGCATCCCATCTGAGCTCATTCACTGGTCGAATCGATGCGCGTACGTGAGCGCGTATGCAGTCGACAAGACTTCTAACGTGACATAGCTTCCAGATACCGACCTAGGCAGTTAGTGGTGGGAATTGCGCGTTGGCTGTCACTGATCCAGATTTTGTGCTGTTGTGACAACATGAGGCTGGGTCGGCTGAGGAGATGACCATATCTTGACAAGGGGCTACTGCGACTTTCCTTTGTCCGAGCTAATATCACTGAAGATGCGCCTCGCATCATGTGAAGACACTTCCCTTTCGACTTGTGCGTACGTGTCCATGTACGCGCAACAAGTCTTAGGAGACAAACGCCGAACAACGAGAACAGCTATGGGCGTCGCTTCCGTGGAGGCCTGTAAGGCTAGATGGTAGCGTGGGGACGAAATACGTTGGTGTTTGAGACAGATCGTGTTGGAGAGCGCGTCTGAAGTGAGATGAGGTATAGTGCACGGGCCATGGCGAAAAGAGGAAAGCGGGATCCTTTTGGAAACGAATTACGCACAACACAGACATTTGATTATAGCTCTGTTTCCTTCAAGTATGCCTGGACCACGACTTTACCAAGGAACGTTAAGTATGCATTCCTACTATGACATCATTACTCTCTTGACATCTCTTCAGGTTGCATTAAACCCCCGTAAGACACTAAACTCGCACCAAAAAGATATGATCTCCAATAATCTAATCCAATGCCGGTATGGGGCACCATATGAGCCCCGTTGCCGTTGAGTCGAAAACGATCTGAACTCCGACATCATTAAAAAGGTAGCGATGAGAGCCAGATACACCGTTGAGAGCAGACTAAACTTAGAGACCGAGGTTAAGCCTACTTCCCTCCAAGAGATGGCCATCAAGCTACAAGCCGAGAGGAAAGCTGCTATATACCTCACACGGAACAGTAGATCCACGCATCCGCACAACGTACGATATGCATAGCTGCTTTGACCCGAGAGCCCTCTTATAGCACTCAGGCGTGGCTATGGCTTTCTCTAAGAGCATTTTTGGCTCGCAGATACCGAATAACTTGAAACATGTGGACTTGCTCGTTGGCCAGCGGCGCTTAAAGTAGGTCTCAAACGTTCACTGACTGCGAGATAGTCCCACCCCAATTCAAGTCAGCGTAATATTGACGGGTGCTTTACCTCCGGGTCATCTCATAATAGGCACGCGCTCCATGATATTATCGTTTGCAAAAAGAATGTGCCACCCCCCACGGCGCTGGAACAAGGAATCAAGGATATTTAGCCAATATATTTACTATAGGGAGTAAAGTATTGGTCTATCTACTTTAGTACACTTATTTTAGCTCTAGTACACTTAGTTTAATAGCTTAGTAGCCTATTTTAGGCTCTACTAGGTCTAAAAAGATAATTTAACAAGATCTAGCTAATAATTCCCTCCCTATAGTAAATATGTCTGTTGGGAATTCTTAAATTTCTGATTCCAGCACCGTGGAAGGTGGCACATTCTTTACGCAAAGCACCGATAATTGGAAGTGGACAATGCAGGAATAAACAATGATGCCACTATCACCTCACTCCGTCTCCTTTTACAAAACGTCTGCCCCGTTGAGATACCCTAACCCGACACCTACAACACAGGTCGACCTTCGACTTCCATTCCCTCCATATCTTTTTCTTTAGAACATCTCCACAAACCTCTTCGTTCCCTCCACATCTCCCACCCATCCCCTCCGATCCTTACAGTACAACTCCACCTTCGGCCTCCACCTCCTTCCCACCTCCCTCTCCAAACTCCCACTCGTCACGGCCACAAAGTCCGGAAACGCCGAATTTGATGTGAATAACGGACTCCCACAGTTGGAGCAAAATCGCCGCTGAAGTGTTGCCCCGCTATCCGTGTTGAAGTCGGTGTAGGTTTGGAGAGTTGGGGTGGAGGAGGGAAGGTGCAGTTGTGAGGCGTTGTAGAAGCTGTTGGCCATGAAGCCTACGCCGGAAGCGTGCGCGCAGTTCTCGCAGTGGCAGAGGACTGTGTTTCTCGGCGGGCCGTTGAGGGTGAATGTTATGGCGCGGCAGAGGCAGGAACCGTGCATTTGTATGTTGTTGTCGTTGGGGTCAGCGTCGTCGTTTTTGGTGTTTGGGTCTATGTTGGAGGCCATGATTCAGTGAGTCACAGAGGATTGATGACGCGTGTGAGGGCGAGAGTAACAGAGCGTTCAGAAAAGTGGCTTAAATATGTACTTTGCTGTTCTACACATAACGTTACCAGCGCCGATCTCACAGCTCCGTTTGAGACTAGCGTACGCTTACATGCCGATAATCGTCGGTAGCGCCCGCCGTCCCCAAACACTCACGGTACGCCCTTGCCCGCCCTCGTAGCCTTCGCCAATTCGCTCTGCGCCCGATCCTCCGCATACCGCTTATAGATAGGAAGGTAATGTTCTCTGTCAGACATTGTCTCAATCACGCTCTTCCGCTTGTGAATCGCCTCGCTCCACGTCCTCCACCGCTCCCATGTGTCCTCATCATCTCCACCCTTTCCTTTCGCCGGAATTCCCAATCCGCCCTTGAAGTGGTCGAAGACCCACAGGCGGACAGCCCAAGGCGCAAGGATCACATCAATAAGCCCGAACTCCTTGCCATTGAAAAATGGACCTTTAGAATCCATCTCCTTCGTAAACTCCTTCAAATGGCCTAGAAACTCCTGCTGCTTCTCCTCCAATCCCTCCTCCCCCTGATGCTGCAAAAACCGATGATACCCAGGAATAATCCTACTCGTCACGAAATCCGTCCAGATCCTCGTCCTCGCGCGCTCATAGGGATCTTTCGGTTGCAAGTGCGGCGTATGATCTGGGAACGCCTCCTCGAGAAACTCGACGAGCACGGTGCTCTCGTACAGCGGCTTGTCCTTGTACTGCAGCGTGGGGACGAGACCGCGCGGGTTGAGGTCGAGCAGGGACTTGGGCTTGTGGTACGGGTTCACTTCGATGTATTGGTATTGGATGGACTTTTCTTCGAGGGCGATCCAGACGCGTTGGACGAAGGGACAAAACCAGCCGGAATAGAGCTTGAGGGAGTGGTCGGCCTCGTGGGCCTGTGATTGTTAGCAATTGATCTCGATGCACATTCTCCAAAGTCGATTTGAGTGCAAACTTGCCTTCACAGTGCGTGAGGCTGGACCAGTGGCCTCAGGGTGAAGGTCCGCATCTGGATGGTCTTTACCCATGATTGTTTGAAACCGACTTTGTTTAAGAAGAAGGGAAGATGTGAAGGGAAAGCCTAAGGAGGTTTATAAACCAAGAGCTTCTCACATCACACAGGAAGTGAGCACGCGAGAGTGGGGTAGTGTATTATGCTCGACGTCGACATTCCGTAGCGTTGCCGTAGTGTTCGTGACGTATGCGGGGAAGGGATCCACCCCACGCGCCACAACTCCACTCCCTCTTTTCTCTGACAGCCAGGCAGTAGTAGCATAGTAGCATTGTATAGCATCGCGAATCGAGCGCAGAGTGTCTAGTACATCGTCGAGCCCAAAGATACTGAGGTGGCAGAGGTGACAGACTTGTTGAAACATAAGAGGCGTCAAGCGGTCGTGGACAGTGTCTATGAGCTTGAGCAGTTCCAGGAAGCTTTCAAGAACCCAGATGAAGGGCATGCGAAGGGCAAGACAGTTCTGAAAGTGCGCTTAAAGTTTGTCTACCTGCCAGGAAGAATAGTATGAAGGGTTGAGACTTCTGAACTATCTGCGTGGTAGTAGCTTCAGTCGCCGAGCAAGTGACTCATCAGAATACTTGCAGGAACTTTACTTATTAATTAGTATGATGGGTGTGGTCGATCTAATCTATTCGATTGTTAGGGTGCAATTCTTCGTCTGCATACACAGTATGTGCATGGACAAGGCATGCCGATCCACACTGTCTTAGCTCCTCGGCCGAAGACGTGCTTGTCGTTTACCAAGTTCACTGGTGGGGGTGGACGAACACCTTGGTATCCGTGCCGCCCGATCAGTGTTGCTAGGAACATTAGTCCATGCAAGGTTTAAAACAAATTAATCGTACTGTGGTTGCAGCCAAAAGTCATCCCAATTCACCACCTTGCGAATCTACCGGGTAGGGGATAATTTTTCGTTCGTGATAACTCGATCTGTGTTGGCTGCAGGATTACTCTGGGCACATTGAACACGATGGTTCGTAGGCGTAATCGCCGAGACGGGCCGGATCTCTTAGAGGGCGAGAGTGAGATGAACGGAGGTTCGGGAATAACACCGTACTGTTCCTTTAACAACATGCGGGTTAGTGACATAGCGGTGTGCTTCGTTTATTTTGTTGTCCACATAGAGTTGACTGAGCGTCGCCTGATCAAGCAAGGGTTGACGTCTGCGGGGAAGCCACTGGTTTGTGAGCTAGACAGGAATCGCGATGTCGGACACCGGTCTTAAAGATCCTGGTCATCTCGTGGCAGGGGAACATGCAGGTGGGTCGGATATTTCATGAATCCGAAGCTCCATTGGGGTGTGCGCCTGCACAATTCGACGTGCATCGTACAATGCGAATCAACACGAGATAGCCGCGTAGGGCAACTATCATCAGCGACATGTACACAGTATATTCCGAGTCGGAATAAACAGGTGACTTGTCAACACACACACTAATCTTGTTCTGGCGCAGCAACGTCAATCATGTCGTGGCTTGTCGAACAAGAAAACATAAAAGGTGGCGCTAGATCAAGGCTGCATTCGCGTCTCTCAAGTCGGTGACTCAGAAGTGAGCCCTAAACAATCTGTGTAACTCATGAGGCGCAGGTTTGGTTGGTCTGACATGTTGTTCGCGCCGAGTAGTTTCCAAACGTCAACCACTCGAACAAGACCGGAACATGCGTCAGTTGCTGTCTTGATCTCTTGTTGGCCAGACTGTTCGTCTACGAGCGTGGCTAGCACCCGTTTTTTTGTGGTGTTCGACGGTGCCGCCATGATATACCATCCGGAAGTCGGCGGATAGCAACGAGGCCGGCAGCCGACAAAGTCGGCAAGTGTAGGCTTGCCAGCATGAAGCCTTGATCAGCAGATGCACCGGCTGTTGGGACTCGCAAGGAGCGCACATGTTGCCAAGACGCTACAAAGCTTAACATGCCCGACATTCGACAGCAATGTGACGTCCTCGTGATGAGTCGAGATGGTGGCAGTTGGATGCAGGGCGGGCTCGGGCGACGAAGGACATTTCGCGGACACAACAGTGCAAGGTCTGTGCAAAGCCTGCCTTTTCGCCAGGGAACCGGTGGCGATGGTGCTTGTCGTCTACCGAATTTGCCGAATTTACAGATGATGAAGGCTGGCAAGGAACCGAGAATCTTCGACAAGGGCTCGCCGAGATGTCCATCTCAGCACTAGCGCCGGATGCTGTGTGGTGTCGAGCTCAAGTAAGGGAGTGAGTTGGCAAAGCCGATGGCGATGCTTCCCATGGCATGAGCTGTCGTCGAAGAAACAGCATGCGCCCCGCGCGCGCGGAGGATGCACGAGGCTTTGTTCTGCAGGGCGCGGTGCTGGAGGCGGGCTCTGCGGCCTGTCCCGTAGAACGTGTCCCTCCTGTGTATGGCAGCGGAGGAGTGCGCCGGAGGACTCAGGGACCAGGGTGTGAACGCCAAGCGCGCTTTTCCAGGCCGGCAAGCGCGACCCACGCTGACAGGTCGCAATCGTCACAGGAACCCTTGAGGAAGTCGCGGCGCGAGGCCACCATGCTGCAGAGATGACAAACTTCTCTCGTGATGCTGCCGGTCCGCCATCTGTCTCCGATACATCCGGCAGGCAGGCACATCTTAAAATGCTTTGCCCACCCAACATGGCGCATGCCATATCTCTTTGTACCGCCGTCTCGCTGCCTTCTTGAACCGCTGGCCCTGTCTTCCATCGTTTGTTCGACATCTAGCTAGCTCGGAAGCTTGATTAACGCGTCGCAATTCCAACAGACTTCGCATACGTCTGGACTGTCACTAGTCCTCTTCCCGCGCATCATTTCGAGTCCACAACTTCCCCGCGTTCAACCCTATCCTACATGACGAGGGTGCGACTTCTCACCTTTGCAACCGCGGTGCTTCTATCAGAGGTCTTCCCTCTGGTAGCTGCTCACGGCGACGAGCATAATGGCGGGTCCACGGACATGGATATGCATGATGCCCCACCACCTCCAGCGGTAGACAACGGAGCTCCCCAGAGCTACTGGGGCTTGTCTGAGCACGCCTCGTTGATGTACTGGCATATTGCACTTGAGGTGCTTGCGTGGGTCGTTGTCTTACCAGTTGGTATGTTCGCCCCAACTCCAGAGGGTCCCACTAACTCTTGGAAGGTGTGATGCTCAGCATCGCCCACTCGCGCTTGGCTATCTCCGCACAATTCGTCTTCCTCATCGTTAATGCCTTTGCGCTGCTTCTTGGCCTTGTTTATAACCACCAGACACCTGAGCTGTATGAGAACAATGCGCACAGCAAGGTCGGTTGGATCATCACGTGGATCGCCTCAGCCTGGGTCTTCATGGCTTTGGTCCAGGTCTACACGGCGCGGGCGAAGCCCTACTCGCTGGAAGACCATTCCGGTGAACCTCTGAACGCCGCGAACATGGCCCGCTATCACTGCGTACACTTTGGCGACAACCAAGACGTCTCGCCTGGAAGGTGGTCCAACGATTCCGGCCAAGGTACCGAGCGCAATTCCGCCTCTTTGTACGGCAACTCCAATTCCACGTCTCCGAGCGTAGAATCAGAGGAGCGACGGTTCAACATGCCGCCGCGTAGAACTACACATGAAGAACTCGACGATGTCGATCTTGATGCTGAGAAGCGCGGCTTCCTTGAGAATAATGTCGTGGACAGGTTCTTCTCGCGCCATGTTGCACGCTTTGCAGTCGGCAAGCCATTGAAGATTCTCAGGTTTCTGTACATCATCATCGATCGTACTATCCTCGTTCAAGGTTTTGTCGCCATCATGTCCGGTACTGTCGTGTATGGTGGTATTGGAGTGAGTTAACTTCGGCGACGTATGGGCGAGGACGCGCGCTAACTATATTGGCAGCACGGTGGCGCCGTTTTCAATGTCCTCGCGCACTACATCAAGGGCGGAATCTTTTTCGGATACGGTCTGCTCACCTTGGGCCGCTGGATGGGAGCGTTCGCCGACTTTGGATGGGCATGGAATGTTAAGCCACCGAAGGAGGTCGTGGGTCGGCGTGCGGCTATACCTTCCGCCGAATTCACGGAATCATTCGTCATTTGGCTGTACGGCTGCATCAACGTCTTTCTGGAGCACTTAGCCGCATGGGGAGGTGCATGGACTGCGCAAGATTTGGAACATGTTTCGATCTCAGTCATGTTCTTTGGTGGTGGTTTGGTGAGTTCACTGCTCTATCCCCTTCTAGCGCCAGTCGTCTGACCACCTTCCTAGTTGGGCATGATCGTTGAGTCGTCGAGGATGCGAGAGCTTTTGAACAGTGCTGTGCTCTCAGTGCAGCCGCCATCGCAGTTCCACGATGAGGTTTGGCAGCAACCACGTCAGTACCGGTTCTCGATGAACCCTATGCCCTGCCTCATCATCCTTCTGCTTGGCAAAATGATGAGCTCGCACCATCAAGACTCGATGCTATCCACTATGGTTCACTCGCAGTGGGGCTCCATGTTTATGGCCTTTGCGCTCTGCCGTGCACTCACCTATATTACTCTCTACATTAGGCCACCGGTCTCTTACCTACCCTCGCGTCCGCCAACCGAGGTCATCACCGCTTTCTGCCTCATCGCGGGAGGCATTACCTTCATGGTCAGCAACAAGGACACCGTTGCCGCATTAGAGTCCTACCATCTCGACGCCATGTTCACCTTCACTGTCACGATGGGTCTCGTTGCGCTCCTGATGGCCTGGACAGTTGTGGTCGTTGCCATCAAGGGCTGGGCTACACGCAACGAGAGCGCGAGCCGCTTTGCCAAAGAAAACGCCGGCGTACTCGCCTGATTGATTGACGCAACCCTACCCCTCTTTCTTTTACTTCGGTCTTGCATAGCGCCGGAGTCACATCCGCTTTATACCCTTCCGACTCTTCTACCCTAATGCCTTAATTCGATCTCCCTTTTTGTAGATCTATGGTTTTATGACTTTCCTGTGATACCCTCTCCTCATTTGGGAGCGATCAGCCTGGATTTCTGCAGCAGCGTTCGCATGGTTTGTTGCGGACAGTAATGTTAATGATGGATGTAGATGATGAGATGTGGTACGGGAGGAGGCGAGTTGGAGTGTGCGGATGCTGGATAACCTGTGGTGTGGGATACTTGGAACATTGTAAGGGATGGGAGCCAGGCAGTAATGTTATAGTAAAACGACAGACTCATTCATGATTGTTTTTTGCCATTTTCTGGGAACGCGATGTGCGGTGTTGACGTATAGTCAGTCGTAGCTACCTTATTTGGTATGTGCTCAAGCGCCTATCTAGTAAGTATGTACACGAATGTAAGTATCGCCACCTCAGGCGCCACCTCTGGTGCGTCCCCCTCTTCCTCTCGCGATCCCACTTCCACTTGTCCCTCTGCTCGCGCCTCCTCTCGTCGGAATGCCACCGCCCCTCGCGCCCGCGCGTGGTATCCCGCCTCTTCCCCTCGTAGCCGCCTTTTTCGGTGCCGGCGTAACAGGGTTTTGAAATTTACTCGCGACCTTGGAGCTCGGCGGATTATCGACAAAGGAGGTGTCGGTAGTGAGGAATGTGGCTTCTACATCTGGCACTTCTCCAGCGCCTTGTGAAGTGCGGAACTGGGCGTCAGGATTGTGTAGCGGGCGCCTGAAAGATTCGGAAATCGGGGCCTGTTCGCCTCACATCAGCATTGCCATCCAAACACAGCGTCGAGAGGGGGAAAGGGAGAATTCACCTCTGGGAAATCTACACAAAAAGCATTCATATTTAGCCCATACAAAAAACTCGCAAAGCTCTCGCTGAACCGTGCTAGACTCTCGTGCATGAGTTGCAGCTGCGCAAAATTCTGCTCCAAGTCTGCCATTGCATCGCTGAGCTCGGCGAAACCATCTTGCAGGTCTTCGAGGGGGTTTGTGGTAGAAGAGTAGGGCGCGCGGCCGCGGGAAACGGAAGAGCGAAAGGAGGAGCGCGAGGAGGGACGAAGGGGGGTCGTGGGGCGCGAAATGCGATTTCCGGGAGACTTTGAACGCGTGCGCTGGATGCGGGATGTTGAGGGGGGTTCGGCGAGAGGCGTCGTGGAGGCCATGGCTGCGACCGTCTCTAGATATTTGTTGTGGGGTTGAGTGTAGAGAGAAGCGTAACGCGTTGTCGGAAGAGATGTTATTGAGTCGGGTGGAGTCAGCAATTCACAGCTGGATATGTGTGGGACCAACCCATAGTTCGTAAAATGTCAATTGAATCAGATCGTGTGGAATTGTTCCAAGGACAAGATAGTCCGTCGCGTGTTTACACTTTTTGGAGGGGTCCAATGCCAAGCATTACCCCCATGACGAAGTTGGACCCGGCGCCCGCGGTGCTGTGCTCGTCCCCTCCTGCGGAACGTTGCAAGTGCTGGTACTGACGGGCTTCGGCGCATACAACCCCATCAACTTTGCGTTGCACCACGACGCCTCCCTTTCCGCCATAATTTCTCGCTGTCCGACCAAGCACGCGAGCCCCTGCGCCCCTCCGCCCACTGCCGGCTTTCCAGTTAGCCGTGCCCGCCGTCACTGGCGCCGTGCCTCCCTGAGTATTTGTGTTTTTCGGCGCCTTTAGCCGTGTGAGCTTGTTCCCTCTTGCTACATGTCCTGTCGTGTTCGCGCTGTAGCAAGAGCAGCATCTAAATTCACATCCCCGCGGCATTCACCGGCTCGACTCCTCCCTAAGCGACAGTGTTGGATTCGTGACACGCCTTACACATACTATTCCCCCACTGAAGCTCGCGCATACCATTGCACAACGTACGGAGCGCCTCCATCTCCCAAGCAGAGCGGTTCGACATCCTTCACCGCGGTCGTTGTTTTGGGCATTGCGGTCAGCGGCGCATTACTCTACCCACTGCTCACAGACCATCCTGCGAAGGATATCGAAGAGCATAAACCTGCGTCGACCGTCGAATACGCAGACCGAACAGGTTCATACCTCGTAATGGCGCCCAATACACCCGCGGGGCGACCCGGAACGCTTACGCCCGAGCAAGAGGGGAAGTTGCGCGAGCTGTGGGCAGCGACTATGAAGGTGTTTGGGGCTCTCGATGAGGAGGCCAACGGCGTGGAAGTGGCATCACTGGCCACGACCAGCGAGACAATAGAGAAAGACGGCAAGAAAGAGAAGAAAAAGAGTAGGCTTCATGTCTTCAGGCGGAACAAGGGCGACAAGGGAGATTCGGAGACTGCGTCTGGTGCATCGACGACTTCGACTTCAACTCCGGATATCAGTAGAATTTCGCTAGAGGACGATAAGCACGGACAGAACAAGGAGTTCAGGGACGCGATCGCGAATACTGCACCGGAGGATCTACGCAAGGCATTTTGGAGCATGGTGAAGCTGGACCATCCAGATGCGCTCTTGCTTCGGTTCTTGCGGGCGAGGAAGTGGGATGTTGAGAAGGCGCTCGTGATGATGATCTCGACGATGCACTGGCGGCTGGAACAAATGCATGTCGACGACGATATCATGAAGAACGGCGAGGAAGCAGCACTGAAAGAAAGCAAGAGTGGAGACCCTAAGGTCAAGAAGGAAGGAGAAGATTTCCTCGCACAGCTTCGGATGGGCAAGAGTTATCTCCACGGCTTAGACACCGAGGGCAGACCCATGTGTATAGTGCGCGCGCGGTTACACCGCGCAGGTGAACAATCGGAAGCCAGCCTCGAGCGGTACACTGTCTACACCATCGAGACGGCGCGTCTGCTCCTTCGCCCACCGATTGACACGGCGGTAGGTTAACCCCCTCTCGTGAAGCCGGCCGATCATCGCTAACACGTCCAAACCACAGACCATTGTCTTCGACATGACCGACTTCTCAATGGCCAACATGGACTATGCCCCGGTCAAATTCATGATCAAGTGCTTCGAGGCGAACTACCCCGAGTCCCTCGGCACCGTGCTCGTCTACAAAGCCCCCTGGATCTTCAACGCCATCTGGAACGTCATCAAGGGCTGGCTCGACCCCGTTGTCGCTGGAAAAGTACACTTCGCCAAGAACGTAAATGAGCTCGAGAAATTCGTCCCCAAGAGTCAGATCCCGAAGGAGCTCGATGGGGAAGATCCGTACATATACTCCTACGTTGAGCCAGTGGAGGGCGAGAACGCCAGGGACCAGGCGCCCAGATCTGCGCTTGAGACAGAAAGACAGGAGCTGGTGACTAAATACGAAGAAAGTATTCTTGAATGGATGGCAGAGGCCGAAGCAGTCAAGACGCTTGAAGAAAGGAGAAAGGAGAGGGATGCCGTTGCGGAGCGTTTGCGCGCGAATTACTGGAAGCTGGATCCGTACGTTAGGGCGAAGTCGCTGTATGATCGGATAGGCCTGGTGGGGGAGGGCGGAAAGCTAAGTTTCTATCCGGAGAGGGAGAGGGGGAGTGTCAAGCCGGCTGTGGAGACGAGTGCGGATGACCTTGACTAAGCAGGAGGCGCGAGGGCTTGTATAGGGAGCACGGTGATGGACTTGGTCTCAACAGTGACAAGCATCACTCTTAGCATGAGTGAGAGCTGTGGCATGATTGGAATCTATAATCTCGCACTGAGATTGGTTCCTCCATGTCGCCTTCTCGATCCAACTAGGCATATTTGCATACACCGGTAGCCAACAACAACATCCTCGAACGCAATTGTAGTCATGTATGTCTGCTCTTTTTGATTACTAGTTCGAGATAACTCGACTCCAATAGCATACTTGCCATGGCTACCAGAGGTGGAGAATTGGCTGTTGCACTGAGTGGACCCACACATGCGAGCCCTGCGTCGGAGACGTACGCAGCTAACGCCAACCCAAGTTTCTTTTCCATTGGCACGGACACAGGCCATCGAAGCAGCATAAAGTAACTCGGACAAATGGTGCAGAATGGGATGCGATGAAGACCAAGGTTTTCTTTCTTGTGGTGCGATCAATAGACGTACAAAAACCAACGCCGCTAGCCATGCTCTTACATGCAGATGTGCGGGTGCCTATGTTACATACAATTACAACCAACACTGTGTGCTCGTCGCCTCAACAGATCTACTTATTTCGGGTTACTATACACAGATGAACCATACAAGGGCGGGCACGACTTAGTCGATCTTCTTGATGCCCCGTGCCTCGTGGTCGCCGATCTCATGATTCCTCGCCTGGTCAAGCTTGTCTTCGAGCTCATCTGCGTCCTCCAGGCTCTTATCCAGGTTGAGCTCCGAGTCTTCTTCAACGGCGGCTACAGCCTTCTCCTTGTCTTGTAGGGCCTCAGGGAGCTGCAGGTTCTCTGCAGGGCGGTACGTCACCTGTCCGTTTTCGGCGAGGGTGAGACGTTCTTTCTGCCCTGCTTCGCCTGCGCGGCCGAGGACACCGGCAATTACCTGAATGCAGCGGAGACTATACAGTATTAGCGAACGTCTATGTTTAGTTGCGGAAGATGCGTTGGTACCTGTCGTCGTTGGCGGGAATAGGGTAAGTGACCCATGTAGGATCCGCATTGGTGTCGATGACACCAATTGTTGGGATATTGTTCAGCGCGCACTCATGCAGCAGGACGTAGTTCTCCAGCGGGTTCAAGCAGACGACCAAGTCAGGCCGCAGCACCGGCCTATCGTACAGCTGCTCTTCGAACCCAGGGATCTCTTCGTCCTTCTCGTTGACCACCTTGGTGAGGCACTTGCCCAAGATCTGCTGCCCGTTGGTGATGCTACCCGGGATCCAGCGCTCAAACAGATGGTACCCCTTTGCCAGCTCGGAGGCTCTCGCAACAGCACGGTCCTGTCCCTCGCGGGTCCCGACGAACAGGACGAGGCCACCTCTTTTAGCCACCTCCTTGACGACCTTTGCGGCACGGCGCAGGTGGGCGGCCGTAGCTTCGAGCGAGATAATGTGCACACCTTGTCTGATACCGTGGATGTAACGTGCATTTGCGGGGTTCCAGAGTGAGGTGGCATGGCCCTGGTGAGCTTCAGATGCAAGGAGAAGCTCGAGCGTAACGTCAGCGGGTGCAGGGGGATTGTTGAGCAGCGTGTGCGGCTGGTAGTGCGGCGAGATGTCTGAGCCGATTTTGCCTATGTGCGCCTCTGTTCTGTGTCAGGGTGGAACGGAATGTAGAAGGGGAAGCTGCGACGCACGCTGCTGCTTGAACCGGTGGTACTGCTCCGCGACAGACTCGGTGACTTGCGCAGAGAGAGGGTTTGACGTGGCCGTCTCGGGATCAAAGGAGGGTACTGCATCTTGAATTGGAGCAGTGGCATTGAACTGGCCTTCAAGCGAGTGCAGCTGCTTGAAGCTGTTCTCAGCGGAGGTTTCGAAAGAGTCGGTTTGCGTGGACAGAAATCTTCTCCAGAGTTGCGACGGGTTCTGGGCGAGAGCGCGGCGGCCTGTTCACTGTCAATTGGGACACTCGTAGCCTTGAGAAGGCTGAAGCATACCCGCGCGGGCTGCATGTCTTATTATCATGCTGTGATGGTTGATCTGTTGACACGCTCGGTCGCGCTGCCAAAAAGTCGGACGGCAGCCGCGACGGATGCTTGGCGCGGGTCGGATGGGGAAAGGGCCGCCAAGCAGACCCGGATGCCTTCCACAGCACAAAATGCTTGGCGTCACCAGTGTGTCCCTGGGCACGCCGCACACCACGTGCAGCGAGGCTCCTCTGAGCCGTCTGGACAGTTACTTTGGCATGCAGCGGAATCCCCTGTGCACTGCGAAGCTGATCCCCACCCGCTGCGACCCTCCTGGCGAGGCCAGTCCTCACCAACAAGTGTGGGCTTCATGATGTCATCGGCCAGACGCCCTGTCGTCGGCGCACGCTCGGGCTGTCGGTCGCAGCGCCAGCCAGACGAAACAGGACAACTTGAATTACGGTGTCGACGACCCGTATGAGGCTCCGCAAGGAGCAGAAGCACCCTTGGATTGCCCTGCATGAAGTGCGCTCGTCTGTCGCATGCGGGAATGCCATATGAAAATGCCATGCGCCCCCACTCCGCCACTGCGTCTAACCCCAGTGTGCTGTTCACCCGCCGCTGACCTTGGACGGGACGAGTGCGTGTCCAGCGGCCTCGCATGGCTTTTGTCGCTACGTTAGTGCCCTTTGCCGTGTGCCCATCCTCGCTGCCCTCCCGCCCCGGTGCAGAGGCTTGATGCCCTTATAGTCCCTCTCGCTGTCGAGCAAAAGCGCCTAGCTGGAATCGGCCGGGCCATCTTATTCCTTCGCCTTCCATCCACCCCAGAAGCACTCGCCGCTCCCCACACCACATCGCACCTGCCGCCGCCCGCGCGCACTCTCGAACCGATGCCCTCCCCGCTGCCCTCGACCTTCGAGCCTGACTGTGTGCGAGCATGAACGGGTACCCATACCCGCCGCCGCGGGGGCCCTTCGCGCAACAACAAAGCAATGCGAACCCCATCATAGACCTGTCGGGCGACGACCTGGATGCCGCCTTCGCCATGGGACAGGGCCAGTCGCTCGACGACATCGTCTCGTCCAACGACGACAAGGTGAACCGTCGCCGCAGCATGCCCGTCTACGGCAACCAGGTGAACATGGACAGCCCCGACTCGCGCCGCTTCTCGTCGATGAACTTTGGCGCGCCGGCGAACGCGACCATGGACGACTTCCAGTTCGACATGTCCGCCGCCGGCATGGATGCCATGCTGCCCACCGCGACCTTTCCGCGCACCACGGGCGAGCTGCAGAATGACCGCGTGCCTGCCACCGACCTCGCCATCAACACGCAGTTCTCCCAAGCCCATGCGAACTCGCCCTTCTCCAACGTCGCAAATGGCGGCTCCGCCTATGCCTCTCCGCTGCAGCACAACGGATCGCTGGATATGGACATGAGCCCGTACCCAAATGGTCTGCCCATGTCACTCGACATGAACGACCCCATGGCCATGCTGCCAAACGACATAAACATGTTCCCCAATACTGCCTTCGGTCCCGCCATGATGAACTCCCCAGTCGCTCAAGACTTCGGTGGCCCTCAAACTTCAGCTCCGCAAGACAACAATATGGCTACGACTCCTAGGGAAAATTTCAGAAGCGAATCATCCAGCACCACGCCCAACGTACACTCAAACATGCCCACACGAACAAGCAGTCAAAATCAGAAGGGGATGCCCTCGGATTCTCGGCCACGGAGCGACAGTAGATCCAATTCGCGCCACCCATCACAAAACGCAACCCAAATGAGCAAGCAATCCCTGCACAACCAAGAACCAATTCAGCTGCGTCCGGAGCATCAAATACCACAACAGAGGTACGACGAGGCTTCGTATGCCAAGAACAACTTCCCGTGGGCCACGCCTCGGGGCGGATTCCCGTCAACCAAAGACAGTAATCCCCACATGAAGACGCAATTCAAGAATGCCTACTCTTCCACCGGTTTCGATATGCTAGGCGTTCTAATGAGGGTGGCAACTAGACCTAATCCTCAAATTGACATAGGCTCCGTTGACCTTTCTTGCGCTTTCGTTGTTTGCGATGCGGAAATGGATGATATCCCAATTGTGTACTGCTCCGAAAATTTCGAACGTCTTACCGGGTATAGCAAGCATATGATATTGGGCAGAAATTGCCGCTTCCTTCAGTCACCGGATGGAAAGGTCGAGCCTGGAATTAAGCGGACGTACGTGGATGACGATTCGATTCTGTATCTCAAGAATACTATAAACGACCGCGCCGAAGCCCAGATTAGCTTGATCAACTACCGGCGGGGTGGACAACCGTTCATGAATCTGCTAACCATGATCCCAATCGCGTGGGAACCAGGAGGTAATACAAAATTCTTCGTAGGCTTCCAGGTCGATCTTGTCGAGCAGCCGCAATCAATGACCAACAAGAATCCCGACGGATCATACCGGGTCAACTACCAACGTGGCATGTCTATGCCCAGCTACGTTTTCACTGATCATAAAGCACTACCCGAGCAGCATGGCACAACTATTTCCAAAGATGAGGTCTCCAACGTCTTAGCCGCTTACGGCTCCACAGGTGATTCCGAGATTACACGACGACTATGGGATAAGATATTACTGGAGAACACCGACGATGTCGTTCATGTCCTATCACTCAAGGGGCTGTTCCTCTACCTGTCTCCATCCAGTAACCAGGTTCTCGAATACGATCCGAGCGAGCTTGTCGGCACGGCCCTGTCTTCTGTGTGTCATCCTTCCGATATTGTTCCGGTCACTCGGGAGCTCAAGGAAACAAGCAACGGTGCGTCGGTCAACGTCGTCTTCAGAATCAGGCGGAAGAAGAGCGGCTACATGTGGTTCGAAGGACACGGCTCGCTGCACACCGAGCAAGGCAAAGGACGCAAGTGCATCATACTGGTCGGGCGAGAACGGCCAGTCTACACGCTCAGCAAGACAGTGTTACGTGCATCTGGAGGTATCGGTGACAACGAGTTGTGGACCAAGCTATCCACATCTGGGATGTTTTTGTTCGTCTCAGCCAACGTCCGCTCCCTGATCGATAGGCAGCCCGAAGAACTCGTAGGCACCAGTATCCAAGCGTTGATGCGTCAAGAGTCTAAGCAACAGTTTGGTAAGATTCTGGAGCTGGCACGGACGGGACGAAAAGGCGAAGTCAAGCACGAGGTGATCAACAAGCGAGGCCAAGTCCTGCAGGCTTTTACGACCGTTTACCCCGGCGACGCCACCGCAGGTCACAAACCTACCTTCCTGGTTGGTCAGACGCGCCTACTTAAATATTCGAGGAACGCGGCCGCGCAGCGACCTGCGCTATACCAGAACAAGGCTCGCGGATCGGATGAGTCAGGCATGTCACTCGTCTCCATGAATACAGCTACTTCCCACCAACAACAATCTCCTTCAGGGAGCGCTACGCCGCAAACTATGTCAACTGACCCGCGTTATGCGAACACAGAGGAACAAGCTGCAACTTTCGCAGGCTCCAATGGTCTCACCCTTGGCCACCAGGATCAGTCGTTGGCGTCGGAAGACAACGTCTTCGATGAGCTCAAGACTACCAGAAGCACGAGTTGGCAGTATGAGTTACGCCAGATGGAGAAACGGAACAGGTATCTCGCAGAAGAAGTTCAGAGTCTTCTGGCTGCCAAGAAGAAGCGAAAGCGAAGAAAGGGTGCCGGACAGCTACAGAAGGATTGTGCAAATTGCCACACAAGGACCACTCCGGAGTGGAGACGCGGACCGTCGGGTAACAGGGATTTGTGTAACTCTTGTGGTCTGCGTTGGGCTAAACAGGTAAGTGGCCCTAAGGTCCAGCTGTTTAGTTCAATACTAACTTTTTCCCTCACAGCAAGGTCGTGTCTCTCCAAGAACATCCTCTGCACATTCTGTTGTCAGCGATAAAAGCAAGAAGAGCGCGTCACCGAGGCACACACTGTCTAATGTACAGAACGTCATTCCCGAGAGTGGTCACCAGTCCTCAACCCAAGACAAGAACGGACAATTCGACAACAGTTCTAACCCACATGCAGCGAAAGTCGCACGCATGGAAGTCGCTGCATCGCAGGGCTACAACGTCAACCCCGCCATGGACATACCACCCAAAATCGAAGAAGGCATCGAACCGGATTGATGATCTAAAGCTGAAATTACCCTGTTTCCTTTGCGGTCTGCGGAGATGTTTTGCTCTCCGATATACAACGATACCCTCTGTTGCGCGGTGTTCGCCGTATTCTTTTCTAATACTTCTTATCTATTTCACATTATTTGAATAGGGTCATTTACGTTTAACGACATAGATCGGATCTTGCTGTCTGATCTTCGAGGATCCAACGTTTGGATGGGTGAATCTGGGTTTTGGTGGACAGAGCCTAAACGGTGTACATGGCTCGCGGGAGGAAGAGCTCTGTTCAGGCGTTATGTTTGGTGGGTTCGGTCTTGTTGCCGTCTATCTTTCTTGTACATACCCGACGTCTGTTAGTTTGGGGTTCGGGGTTGAAGACAATGAAGCAAGCAAGCGAGTGAAGCGCTATTGGAGCGCGAGTTAGCATCGTAACGTACAAATCCTTTGAACTATGTATCCTGCCTTACATATCTACTTTGACTATCTCCTGCATTAGGAGCAGTAGAACACGCTAGAACCAGGTCGACATTATGGAGGTTTTGATATCTTGGTAGGAGGGAATAATTCGAGAAGTAGCATTCACTGTTGCACTACAGTACCACTACCATGTAGCTACCATGAATTTTTCGGCCTCACTAAAAGTTCCATCGCAGCATATCCGTCTAGCAGGTAAGTTTCGCCGGCCCCGGAATCTTATACGGCTGTCCACCACCGTTGGGTTGGCCAGCCTTGTCGTAGATGTTGACCAAAATACCAGGGTCGTTCGCCGAGTACGCACCCGGGAAACTGACCGTCTGGCCCCCAGTGTTGCTCCCGGAGCCGCTGACATTGATCTGCGCGCAGCCCTAACATACTATGAGCACTCACCCCTACGTGAGAGGAATCTTACTTGCCATATAGAACTGTGCCTGGCCTTGCTTGCTCGCAGAGTGCAACGCGATGAGCTCCGTGCGGAGGAGGTACTGGCCTGGCGCTACGCAAGACGGGACTTCGAAGTCAACCCAGCCGCCATTGGAGATCATACGGTCCACACCCCACTTGCCGGAGCCGTCGAGCCCGTCTTCGCCGATCTTGAACCATTTGAGGCCTGTACCCGAAGCGGAGGCGGCATTGTCGACTTTGGCACTGGCGATTGGTTGGTGTTAGCTCGATAAGTGGTAGGGGGAGGTGGCTGGAAGTTTGAGAACGAGGTTTTTGAACGTACAGGTAGAAGATTGCGGGACCTATGGGAAATATTAGCACGAGTCATGGCAATGGGTAGGAGAAAAAAAACGGACCCTTGTGAGAAGCTGCGATGGGGTTGTCCTTGTCGCCAGAGAACTGCGCACCGCCGATGACATGACCCCACTGAGTTCCTATTTTGTCGCCAGCCTTTACATTGATGACATTAGATGAAACAGGCGTGTGGAAGCCGCTGTTGCACGCGAAGTTGCCGTCGTTAACATTCTGAATAGGGTTGTTCGAGTTGGGCGTGCGGATGCCGACAAGTTGGCCTTGATCCTGGTGAGCAGTGTCAGTATCTGTATGATGCTGGTGGCGTTGAGATATTACTAACCGCACCGTTCACACGAACGCGCTGGGCGACGCAGTGGGCGGAGGTGAGCACCGGTAGGAGAGCCAGCACGGCCGCGGCGAAGTACTTCATGGTGAGAAGGCGGCTCACAACGGCTTGCTGGAAATGTAACGATGGACTGTTCGACGAAGTAGTCGATGCTTTGCCATCGTAACGCTCTCCTCTTCTTATTTATAACATGCTCGACACCGGTCGCCAGGCCTCCTGACCGTTCTTAGCATAGATACGATGACGATCGACCACTCTATCCGCTGCCTGGTATTCGCGTAGGGAGGTCATCTCAATAAACGCGAGCAATCATCTGGCTCTGGGCGCCTCTGGGCATGCCCTCCGCATTTTACTCCATGCAGTGCCGCCATCTACCAGGACGCGGAGATCGCTTCAGCCGCCATACAACCCCTGTAGAGCCTATTCCGAGGTGTAAGTGCCAAGGGTATGTGTATGAGCGGCAATATCGAGTGGGCAACAGTTTCGAACGGTAGCAGATGCGGTGATGCTGATATTGGCGTTTCATCTAATTTGCCGGGCCGGATGCCGTATCGTAGTCGCCAGAAGCGAGGTAGAAGTCGATACATCCGTCCCCCCTGTGAAACACATAATCTGGGTTAGTGTAGTATCGTTATGCGCGTGAGCATTGACGTGTATATAGATACTGAGCAGCGGTGGAAATGGCATGGTGCAGTCGAGGCATGGAGAATTGGTGTTAGATCGTTGAGCTTTCGCTATCCAGAAGAAGGATTATCCAGTCTCACGTCGTCTCATGGAAATATTCTCCTTTGCCATGGTCATACTCGATTTCGGATGCCGACAATGCACCCATTGTAGTTTGTGTAACGCGGTTGCGCTCTGCTGAGCCATGTTCTCCTCGTTGATACAGCACTTATATTGCGCCAGGGTTTTTCCTTTTGGATCGATCAACACCGAGCAATCGATTCGTACCGATTTGTAGACTTTTTGAAGCCTATGCGTAGCCCAATGCATTCCTGGGTAATATATATAGTCTATCATATGCTGGAACAGGAGAATCTACATGTAATCAAGAAGTCCGATACAACAAGGTACAACAAGAAAACAGATACGCGGTGACGATGTTCATATGGAATCGCTAATTCGTAGACGATTGGGAGAGCATCACGGAGTGTAACACACCAGAGAATCCCTTTCTTTACCTTCTACCGCTTGTGCTTCATCATCATATTACTCAGCACCATTCCCAACTCGTCCAGAGAAGAATGTATAGCTTGGAACAAGTTTGAATCCTCCTGGAACCAATCTTAACAAACTATTCCAAGACCTATCTTCGATGAACCGTGCGGCCTGCTGGAGCACATTTGTATCTGCAGCTTCCGCTTTGGGCCTCACATATCCGATCATGGTGAACCAAACTGCAAAGTCCAGAAAAGTTTCGAGGGCAAGCGCTGAAACACTGAAACTGTCGTAGTCCGGAAATCAGTCACACTTCTTCAATGTTGCTCGTCCGACTTCATCCAGATAAGCGGTTGGTGTTTGCCCATGATTTTTCTGGTAGACTAAAGCACACTCTACGCAAGGCACAAGCATGCTCCATTCCTCTTCGTGTTTTTCCAAACGAACGAGTTATGACACCGGACGAAGTAGGAAGCGCACCTAAGGCCCACGCTAGCTTATCAAGCGGAGAGATCTCCCTCAATGTGTTCACTGCTCAGACCCTAATCAATACCTAGGTACCATAAATCCTCTACGTCCCATCAAATGTTCAAGAAGAGGAATTTGAGGGAAAATAACACGCCCTTTGGAAAGCCAGATTAGCCTTTCGTTGTGAAAGCGTCGCAGATGGGACACCTTAGCCACCTGTTATGCTTACACGTACCTCTCTTGTTTACATCGTCCTTTAATGAGCTCAGAATTCACGTCAACCTTTCATCAGTACATGTTGATGACAAAATCTAATTATGAGTGACTGTTCTCATATATCGAGGAAACAATATTCATTCGACCCTGAGAACCGGCAATAGCCACTCATTTATTCTCAAAGCAGTGACTTCTAGACTGCTTCAAGTTCAGTGCATTCCTATCCATTGATCTCTCATCGATGTGGCCCCAGAGTGTCCCTCAGCAACTATCACCACTGATGGTCATTAGCTGGACACGCGAATGTCGGCTGAGGGAACAGCGCGCTGAGAGAATGATAAAGTATAGAATTTTGGGGATATCACAAACAAGGCCTGCTGTGCCATACCAAAACCCAAGAGAACCCTCTCTTTCATGACTTATGCCACTCGCCGGTGGATCCATTTTCATTACGCCACTCAAGCACCATGCCAATGTCCGCTACGTTAAGAGATGCTTTTCGTCTGTCGTTGTTCCAATCAAGAAATTAATCACGCGCCAATGTACCAAAGCTCCACGCCCAACACCTCGAACTTCTTCCCCTCATCGCTGAGCGGCTCGTTACCAAACGTGGGGCAAGTACTCGAAACGCCATGCTCAAGATTATCGTCGAGCCAAAGGCCGTAGTGACCATCACTGTTACTTGTCAGCATCTGCTTGTCTCAGGTTGACAAGGCTATCTTACCCTCCCCCAACGCTCAAATAACTCTGCTCGCAAAAAATCATATAATCGTTCACCCCACTATACGGAAACGCCTTGAATCGTATACGTTCCGGGGTACTCGTTCCACTCCGACTCCCACGCCCACTGGCCGGCGGACTCAGCGTCCCGCTGCTCGCCTTCGTCGGACTCGCTACGGTCGTCATGCGCACCGCATGCGTTGTATCCGCGCTCGGCGGCGGCGGAAGATTTGCTAGATCCGGCAGAGAAGGAAGAACATGCGCCCTCCACAAGAAGCACTCCCCGTTCCCAAAGAAGTGGCTCTGTGGGTGCGGCGCATCACTCAGATATGCGCCGAACACGCCTCCACTCGCATCCCTCACTACGAGGACAAACCCACCTCTCCGCCCCCGGTATTCTTCTGCTTGTTTGTAGAGGGTCGCGAGGCTGACGCCGTTTTGTTCGAGACTGTAGACGACGTGCCAGTCGTCCACGAGTTGCAGGCGCGGCGGCACAAGGAGCCGGATTTCTTCTGCGAGACCGCGAGATAGGAGTTTGCCTGCTTCCCGCGTGGAGCTCTTGTAGCCTTGAAGGGTGAGCGGCGTAAGCGGCGGTGGTTGGAATGGGGATGCCGTCCGGTGGGGGGGCTGGAACACGCTGTGCATATCCTTATCTTCCTTGGTTCCTCCCCCAGACGTTGAATATGCACGCGCGTTAGGCGAGTGTGTGGTAGGTTTCGCAGGCTCGGAGTTGAGGCGGCGGAGAAGGCCGCTGACGGCGTACGTGACGGGGTAGGTGAAGTAAGAGGAGGGCGGGGGGTTGTCCTTGTCCTGGGTGTTGCTCGGCATGGGCGGCGCGAGTTTTGCCGGGCTGATTGCAAAGGAGGAGCTTCGTCGGACTGGTGGAGACGCCGTGTTGGTGGGTTATGTGTGGCGTGGGCGCTGGTTGGCCTGGACAAGTTACTGTGAGTGGGTGTGTTGACTGGGGTGTGTAGGGCGGTTTGGCGAGCGGTGACGTTGCGGCCGTCTGGGATTAAACGGTCGCTGACCGAACAACACTATGGAACGTTCCAAGAGGAAAATGTTCTTGTGTAACGAACTCGAATAACGTTTTGTGGAAATGAATAGATGATTCTACTGAAGTTATGTTCTCGTAAGAATCACCCCACTATTACTCTACGTAAACATCCAAGAGAACGTTGTGCCCTCTCGTAAAAGTCTTAGCGCCGGCCCAGGAAGCTTGTTTGCCGCTAGCCGATCATAGGGCTGCTGAGCTTCCAGCACGCACGCGACAGAACAAAAGCAATATACCTGGCTGTGCATGGACATGAACATGTGTATACCAACTATAATAGGCCATGCGTCACTCAATCTACCAGCTGCTGTCGACTCACTGCCTTCTCCCCAGATCATCCAGAAACAGTGTAAGCAAGCTGACATCGAAACGGTTTCGAGATATATCGCATAAACCCCAAACGCCTACAGTATACATGCGAGAGATCCAGGTTACTGCATTCCATGCCCCACATGACCCTGATCCCCAACTCATTGAAACTCATTCGGCTCAAACGTCGGAAACGTGAACGGTGGAATAACTACGTTCCCCCGGTCCCACCTGCGCGCTCCCAAACAACTTGTCCCACTCATTCTACGTGCAAAACGTCAGCTCTATTCCATGAGACAACCAAGGGCCCCCATCAAGAGCCCGTTTGAAGGACGTTGTAGAAAAGACCGCACTCACCCAGTCGATGTCATTGATCAGCGCATCTGTAGGACTTAGACTCGTTCCAGCTGTGCCTTCTGGAGGGGCTGATGCCGGAGGCGTCGAGGTACCATGCATTTGCTGTTCATGACTAGTCGTTGTGTATATCGGCGGCATGGGTGAGGGGGTTTTTGACATCGAAGCAAACCCGCCGAAACTGTAGGGCTCGGCATTAGTCACGGGTGGGAGTTGCGTGAGGGCTCGCGCGCTCATATCTACGGTGCCCCAATCTACTTGAGGTATTGCGCCGAGTGGTCCCTTCGCAGTGAGCCCAGAAGGGGTAGTGTATTGGCCTTGCGGCCGCTCGGTGTGTGAGGGGTGGTATCTAGGCTGGGTGTAGGGGTTATCGCTGTTGCTTGCGGCGTAGCCACTGCTGCCTGGTGACTCGGGGCTTTGATCTTGTGGGGATTTTTTTATCATTGCGACGTTCGTTTTGAAATACTTGTGGTAAGTATGGATGTCGCGAGCCTTCTGGCCATGGCGAGGTCCCGTCTTTGAGCCGAGGGCCTGCGTGAGGCATATCGCTAGGGGCGCGGACTCCTCGGAGCGAGGCATAGGAGCCTGTTCTCTCAACCAATTCGCTCAACAGGAATCGAATCTTCTCGTTCTCGCCTAGGCTTGAAGGGAGCTCGAAGGTATAGTCGATGCAGCGCCATATACCTAGACACGCAGGTGCGAAGTCAGTCAAGTCAGAAAAGTGGGGATAGTACGAATTGTCTATGTCTAAGACATATCGACTTCGTACCCGGGCAATACTTACGCGCGGAGAGCTCAGGGTCGACGCGCGTAACGTACATTTCGGAGAGCAGAAGCATAGCTGAATGGTACTGGTGCAGAGCTCCCACGTACCACGACCATTGCGATAAAGCGGGCTGCTCTTCGATATTCATGCTATGTTCGACAATCATGATGCACGAGGATATCATGATCTGTCGCAGTCGCTCTGGCATCTTGCCTTTGTCGCTCGACGCGAAAGGGTGCAGTGTTGCAAGATAAAGCCGCGAGCTGAGAATGCCATACATTTCCATGGCGACTGCATGCAGAGGGTTGTCCCTGCTCATCAAAGGGAGATACGCCTTCTCCATAGCTGCTCTAAATGACTGTATGCGGCCCAATAGACCAGTGAGCGTTGTTTTTTTCTCGCCCGGTTCGACTTTCCTTTGCAACTTCGGTCGCTCCGTCCAGATCATGCGATATAGTTCAAAACACTCTGCTCGCATGCGGGTTATCGTCATCGGCGTGAAGGACTTGCTGTCCTGTGTGACGTTATCGCCGCGCTGGGCGGCGCGCTCGAGATCATCATCTTCAACATTGAGCGGAAACCGGGTATCGTACTCATCGCGCCTGATCTGTGGGCGTGGTCCGGTTGCTTCACAAGTTCGTAGGTCGAGGAAGCAGATCTGGTACCAGATCAGGCGGCGAACCTGGACCTCGACTGGGTTAGTGGAGTAAGTCGAGGGATCGCGGTGAAGACCCATGCACTCCGCGAGACGAATGACGGCTCCCATGAGGGCAGAGTGAGCTCGCGAAACTTCTGCTCGACACAGTGCCAGCTGTAAACAATGTTAGATCTGTATTGGGTACACGTCCAACCTCATTGAGCTCTAAGAGTAATGGAAGTAGAATTGAGGGTAAGGAAAATCACCCACCAAGTATATAACAGTAGCCTGGAGAGTCTCAAGCTTGGTCGTACGCAGGAAGTTTGCCCTGGACAACGCAGATTCTGAGCCTAGCCTGAAGTTGTCGACCAAACCTTGCTTCTCTGCTCCAAACTCGGCTAGACTCTTATCTGCAGACATCGATACAATGGATTGTAGGAGCACACCGAAAACGACTGCTTGGAAAGACCCCGGTGGCTCGATGCCTGAGGCAATGTTCCGCCAGAAAGTGTCGTATTTGCGTTCAAATGATGGACGATGGAGAGTTCTGACAATAGGATGCACAACTTCCCAATAGTGTGCGAGCAGCTTGTCGACGAGGACTTTATTCGGGAGGTAAGTCATCATGGTGGTCTTCTCGACACTAGGGGCGAAGTAGAAGCTTGACGAGGGTGCTAGAAAGTCAGCAGAGGGAGACATCCAAGAGCTGGGCGATTGGTCGGCGTAGGGGTTCAGCGATTGGTCTACGTCGGGAACCAGCTTGAGAGCTTCGTTAAGTTCTTCGGATAATCTTGGTCGTACAAGACCGCCCACTCTTTCCGTGATGCGCATCTTTCCCATTGCGATGCCAATGTCAACAACATCGTCGTTGGCCTCGTCTTCATAGTATGTTGCGTGCTCGGTCGCAATGTCAATGAACTCCAGATCTTTCGCATCTTCGTCGTCTTCTTCATCGCTATGGGCTGGATCCTGACCCGGCAGTCTAGGAGCCTCAAACAATGGCTTTGGAGTGCTTCGGCGTGCGACATCGTCTTCAAGCGTCTTCTCTAGCATGCCCATCTTCTCCTTGACCTCAGCAAGCTTGGCCTGGGCCTCCGGGTCCAATGATGGCGCAATGAAAATGCATGGTCGCGAAAATCGGGTGCAGTTCGTACATGGCTGCTGTTTGTCGCACTTTAATTTGCGGCGGCGACATTCCAGACATGAGGTGATTATCCGGTTGCGGCGCCGGATACGGGCATGTTCCTTGGGTTTCCTCTCGTGAGCTGGGAGTGGTGATGCGGCGCTGGAGACCTCTTGGGAAGGTGAACCGGTGGCGTTTGGCCCGGACATGTGGATAACGCCCGTCTCGCGGGTTCCTTGCGTGCGATGCGTGCAGGGTGATAGTTTCTAAGGATGAATCGAAATACGTGCGCGCGAGAGCAATGGATTATTGAGGCTGCAGTTTGGGTGTACCCGGGAGCTTGAACAACATACAAGGGGAGCGTTTCGTCCTGGTAGTTCTGAGGAGGCAACCTCTGTGTCCGGATGTAGGACTTACGTAGGTCGGACAAGGGCAGCCCCCACAACGTACCCAGGAAAGTCGACGTCGCGGAATCTCTTTCGTCTATGGTGCCGGTTCCTCGCCAGGTTTTTGCAGTGCCGCCTTTTCTCAGGTTGGGTCCTTGGGTCCGCGCCTGGGAGATTACAGACTGGTCTCAACCGTAACCCCTTTCAGCAGCCCTTGGGTCCTACTCAGCGTAATAGTGCCCAGCCTCTAGACGGAAGCAGGGAGCCGTTGTTGGTGTGAAGTGAAGGGCCGTGCTCGATCGGATGTACTCATACAGCAGTGGCTGTTGTTGCGAGATGGACTTGGTACGTAAGATGACTTGGTACTTTTACTGACCGTTGTAGAAATCGATCCGTAGGCGCTCGCTCACACGCATGTGCAGCTTATAGCGGTTGGAGTACACAACCACGCAAACCGATGCATACCGGTGCATGGTGTAACGGCTCCTTCGACAAGGGTGGCGCCTGGAATAGCTAAAGGCTAAGAGCGCGACCCCAAGACTCGGGATCTGGGGATCTACCAGTCATAGACCCTTGCCGAATGTAGCTAAAATTAGCGACAAGAATCCTCCCTACGTCAGGTGCCTAGATACATCCCGAGGTCGCGCCTAGGGTACGCTTCTTAAGACTATTCGTCTGTAGGATGCACATCTTGCCTGAAAGGTAGCCTGCTGGGTTCAGGTTCTGCTTCTGGGTGAGCTAGCTAGCTCGCGCATGGAGCTATTCCGAGCTGTTTGCACCACTCCTCACAGTCGCTTCCTGGCAGCATACACAGTGATGCGTGCCTTTCCGGACCCGCGTAAGACAGTCGCCAAAGGACGCCTTCTACGGAAAACGCACTCTACGTCAAGTTACGCTCCAATGCAATCAAAATCCGGCCCCAACGTGCTACAACGGTCAAGTTATTGCGAAGGGCACAAAGCTCGCCAAGAAGTATTTGGCAACTCTAGAAGCTATCTCGATCGCAAGTTTGTCTATGCTGGGACATGCAGCCCTACGTGAGATCCCTAATTTACAAGCTCAATCTTACCCAAAAACCCTGCAAAAATGACATTCTTCAGCTTTTGGCCAGATTGCTATCCAGATTCTACAGGTACCCAGGGCGGTCATGGCACACTGGTTCAGTCCATAGCTATGTAAGTGCTGTAACGCTTCGTGGTTATTCGTACATTGATTAATGTAAGCCTCCATTGACAGTGAAAATACCCGGCGGGCGAAAGTCGTAGATAAATAGTTGGAGGGGTTTGTGTTTCGAGGTTTTGCCCTCTCTGATGTACGGTCTCTATGGGGCTCATCGGAGACTTTCGCTTGGTGTATAATGTAGGGTCTACGGGTGCGGAAATCTTAGGCAAACTGCTGGTTTGAGAAGGCGGCTTTCAACGGCCGTGGGATGCCTATCATATGTAACGCCCGTGCGGGTCGACTCGGTCCATGAACTCCATTGATTTTTCGTACCTACGTCTGGGTTAGCATGGGAACCAGTGGTGAAATTGTGGCGTCTCTTACATGGTGAACACGATGCCTCCGCTCAGGATTAGTCGGCCTAAACGAGGGACAGCTCCAGACCAGAATGTAAGTATACCTTCCTCTTTGAAGATCTGCGCTGCGCAGTGGAAGCTATTATTGTACATGCTTCGGGATTCAATCGATTGCATGCTACCATCGATGGATTAGTATGTGTAAGGCCAAGTTGGACAACAAATACGAACCGTGTCTTAACTGTGTCAATGGGCATTGTCGTGTACACGGTAATGACACCTGCCAGGCCTCCCAATCCGAAGGTGCTCGCAGCTCCCAACTTCTCGCCAGGCGGAGCGTATGATTGTGCCATCTGTTTGAGGGCCGTGTAGCTAGAGAAGCGCACAGCTGAGTTGGCAGCTTGTCGCGCCGTTGTGGGAACGAAGCCCTTGAAGAAACCTCGAATACCCTGCTCTTGTGCAATTATTTTCGAACCGTGGAGGAAGCCGCGCATACGAGGATTCGCCGACTTGCGATCATCAATGAGCTGAGTCTTGATACTCTCGAAGGGGGTCACAGCAAGAAGTGACTCGGTGGCTCCAGCACCAAATCCTGCAATTACGGTCGCAGGACCCGAGACCTTGCCTTCGGCGTCTGCGAGCATTGACTTGTACATATCGAAAGCGACAAAGCCTGCAACTGTCAGCCGGAGGACCTCGTCTGCGCTCGTGCTCTTTACATACGGATTCCAGCCTTCAGTGAATTGCCAATTATCAGTGTCGTGCACCCTGCATACCACTGCTTGCCAAACGGAGGCCATGGTAGCTTCTTTCCGTCTGGTAACCGTCGGTTAAGCTGCGATCGTGTCTTGGCGACTATATAGGTTTGTCAGGATATGTTCATCTCGTTCGTGTGAGGGCAATGGTCGCGTACATTCGGCGGGGTAGGTTATTGCTATGAGGTGTCAGTGAGGACCATATATTTTCAGTCGCGAAAATCACGTACAAATTTCTACAGCACCTGCTGTTGCGCCTGCAATAATCGATCGAAGAGCGCTCGGCTACCAAAATTTAATATGGGTGCATAATGACGTAGTCGTAACAATGAATTACCTTCTTCTTCTCCGAAGGCGCTGCGGCCATAGCAAATGTGCTCTGATAGTTCGAATGAAATCTTCAAGGACAAAGGTACGAAGCACAGAAAGGTATTCCTCAATGAGTCGCGATCGCGTGCGTTTTTTGGTAAGTCGCGTCGTAGCTACGAACCAGAGCAAGTTGGCCGCGACTCTTTCGGAAGCAGCGGTGACAACTGAGGTATAACAAGGACTACGCAGAGAGGAGCTTCAACGAAAGCTCAACCTCGGGTGTCAATTGCACAATGTGCAAGCCGATAGCGGCAGAGGTGACTCGCAGCTCCACGCCAAGAGGTGGTCTGTGCATAGAAAAGTTACGCTACGCTTGGGAAACATCATCGTCGAAGCTCCGCATCCATCATCCTCCAATCCCACTTGTTTCTTTACGCATTCCTCTAGACACCACCTTTTGCATCATAATGCTAGGTCTTAGGAATATTGCCCGTTCGGCTCCGCGGTCTGCGGCCCGTCTTTCCTCAAGAGCGATCCGCCCGCAGTCGTCCCTTTTCCGGCCAGTCGCTGCTCTCCCAGCATGGACACAATCGGCACCGCGTCTCACAGCTTCCTTCCACCTCTCATCGATCCGGAGACAAGATTCAGATGGTATGATACGCTATGTTACTAGACTAGGACCCGGTTGACACGATACAGTCAAAGAGGAGCTTGTCGCAAAGCTGCAGAATGAGATTACCATGGAGGAGGACCTAAAGGAGGATGAGGACCTGTCCACCAACATCAAGGAGTATCTTGAAAACAGCGAGTTTGAGGTACACCACCATCTACAACTGGATATATTCCCAGACTAACTTTCACAGCTCGAGGATAAACCTGGCCACCAGGAGGTTACCCTCACCCGCACCTTCGGCGACGAGAAGATTCGTATCACCTTCTCCACTGCTGATCTGAACAACAACGTGCCCAACGAGGACCTCAACGACTCTGCCATGTACGACGGCGAGGTGGACGACATCATCGACGGTCAGTCCGGCGGTGCTAATACCAAAGGCGCCATCAACCAGGGCAACACCCGCGACGGAAACGTTCGCGTCGCACCCGAAGACCGCATTGCACCGGCCGACCGTGAAGAACTCGACGACGAGTACGACGAGGATGCGCAGCAGCAGGGCTTCCCCGCCCATGCGAACATCCGCATCGAGCGACCTGGCAAGGGTGCTCTTGCCATTGATGCTACCGCTCAGGACGGTGACTTCTTGATCGAGGACCTGTGGTACTTCCCTTCGGCTGACCTTGCCGACCCTGCGACCGCCGAGAAGGACTGGGCAAGGCGGACGCTGTACACTGGCCCGCCCTTCAACAACCTGGATGAGGACCTTCAGGTCCTGCTTGAGAAGTACCTTGAAGAGCGCGGCATCAACACCCGGATGGCACTGTTCATCCCCGACTACATCGACCACAAGGAGCAGAAGGAGTACATCCGGTGGTTGGAGAACGTGAAGAAGTTCGTTGAATAAGCGTGGACTCACAGCTTGTAATATGTCGACGACGCTTCCCCTTTTGTATTATCTCCCGCCTTCTAGCTCTAGGGATTCGGCGTCTGGGCTATGTAAAATAATAGTGTAGAGGAGCATCTCCGTTTGTACGTTTTGGTGCGGAAGTATGAAGAAAGATACCTGAAATAAATAAGCCGCGCAAGGGCGTGATTATACTCAGTCATGGTTCTCTGAAAGAATCGCCATTGGCTATCTGGACGCAGAAGTGTGGGAAGACATGGACTATACAGGTGCATGTGGTTCCGCAAGCCAAGCCACTGGACCATCACCCGACGCCACCACTGCTCTGATCACCGACTGGGAATTTGAGCTGGGTTATCTGTGAGAAAAAGTTTCGATGACTCCGGGGTGCACTTTACACAAAGTCATCAGAAATAGTCTATGGTACGTTACCTCATGGACATCGAGATCGTTCTGCAGCTCTCTCAACCGAAACAACATGACACGAAGCCGCCCACGGTTGCATCTGGGCCTTCCGATTTTGCCTGGAGTTGCCCAAGATATGGTGCCTATTCATCGCCTGTCTCATCGGCCGTCAACAACGCTACCGCCTTGACTGTACTAGCATGGCTGTATAGGTGCCCTTGTCGCCTCACTTCAGGCAATACAGAAGCCATCAGTACTCGGTGGCAGGCTCAAACGGTAGTTCGTCGCCATCAACGTACACATCAGAGGACTATCCAATGACGGTGTCGTGCCAGGGCGCGTTTCGGATGAACTGACGCCTATCGGCGAATCAATAGCTTCGAACACGACGGATGTCAAAGAACGATACCCTACCGCAATCGGTCTCGGCACTCAAGATGGTAGCAGCTCTGCTGGCACTCATCATACTGCGACGGGTTCCCTGAAGGCAGGTTGGTTACACTGGTACGAGCCCGGCACTTCGACCACCGAGAAAAAGCCCATCTTCAAGCTGGGTAAAGGCGGCATGCCAGCGTGGAGATGGCTCTTCATCTTTGATCTTCTCCTCGCAATACCTGTCGCACTCTACGGATACTTCTTCTTTCCTGACACGCCATATAGATCGCAAGCGTTCTACCTAAATCAATAAGAGTCAAATCGCGCTTGCGAGCGCATCGAAGAATAAGGTCGAGCACCGAAAGGGAAGCTAGACAGAACCATTTATTAAGCGCATTGCTGGCTCCTGGCAGGTTTATGTCTTCTCTCTGGCCTATTCGTCTTGGACCTTGACCTGTGGATCTTACATCATCCAATACTTCGGCATCTGGCTCAAGAGTCGGAAAATCTACTGCGTCCCAGAGATCAACAATATTCCGACTAGCGTTGGGGCTGTTAACTTCTTTATGATCGCAACCGGTTACGTATCGAACAGACTAGGTCGCCGTGGCCCTGTCTGCTTCGCCGTTGGTCTGCTTCTCACGTTCTGCTACTCCATTTTCACTGCGTGGAATGTCCCGAACGATCTAAAGATGGCCCGTGTTCATTCTGATTTGATGCTATGGATGTTATACTCCTCTGTCAGCTGGATGGGTAAACTCTACATGCGGTCATGATCAGCAGCTACGTGCGTTTGTCGTGGGAATCATGGTTAGTGATGGACAGGCCGGCGTCATCCCGTTCCAGCGATACCAGCTTCCGAGTGGACAAGCCCTGCAATTCAAGCAGATGAATGGATGGGGTAGCACACTAGCTTTCGTTGTTGCGTTGACCCCTTGGACAGGCTTTGGGGTTGATTATGCAAAAAAGATTTTTGAGAAGACGCATTCGCGTAAAAGGGATAGCCAAGTCACAGACAGGAAGGGTGAAGCGGTTGACGCATAGAGGCCTTACACCGCTGATCAAGGATTGTGTCGCACTTCCTGTTTTGTTTAGCGAAATCTAATATTGTGAGAAGGCCATCTATCTTGTTACGCGGGAAATTTGATGTTGCAAGATACTATGGAGCGATGCACTGTCTTGGCTAATACGCTGCCCAGTGGCTTATGAGAGAAAGCATAATCTTCGTCCGTCAAAGCTGGATCTTCTGGGTCGGTATGCCTTGGCCGCAACTTCCGCTTCGAATCACTGCATCACGCTCACTCTGACCTTTCACTTTACTATAGAAAGAGCAAACGGTCCTTACTTTCCCTATTAAGTGCTCACACTATCCTCATGTCACCGTTCACTTTCACTTCCTCGAATATGGGAGGTCTACAAGAGGATCCCACGCTGTTGTCGCTCCATCTTTCTTCCAGCAAGTACCTTTTCCAGCCGAACTCAAGGTAAGCCACGGTCTCCAATCTCGATGCTATCCGAGCTGATAAAGTTGAACAGAGGCCTTTCCCAACAGGGCTGCGTTGCCTCTACGACGGCAGACGCACCACTCCAAGATGCCCGCAATCCGCAAGCGCAGTACGGGGAAGAATGCAAGGTGAGTATACTGGATAGAGCTCAGTCAAACCTCACTCTGATGTCACAAAGTTTCGGCTATAAGATAGCTCGTCTCAAGATCGGTACTTCGAAGCGGATGTTCAAAATACATGAGGATCTGTTATGCGAGCGCTCTCCGTACTTCGGAGGCTACCTGCAACCCCAGCGCAAGGAAATCCAGGGTGACTGCCCTATATGCATCGACGAGCTCAAAACTGGCGTTAAAGAGCTTACATATTGCACTAGATGTGGTGGGAACTTTCACTCTGAATGTATCGAGAATCTGCGCAAGCACAGTCTTCTTCCCCTTCGATGCCCTCTATGTCGCCGTAGCTGCAGCAATCACTTCCGCAACTCCGGCGACTCCAGCAAGAGCTTCCCCGAGCTCCAAGCGGCAGACTTCGCGAAATATCACGAATGGCTATACAGCGGGACCATTGGCTGCGACGACTCAGTGTATGAAGAAGACTTCAAGCCCTTGGTCTCTGCTTATCTGTTCTCACTCGAGGTGGAGGATCGAAGGTTTGGCACAGCAATACTTCAAGCCATGTTGGAGGTCTACAAGGATGAGGGCCTATACCCTGAGCAGGATGCCATCGCGCTTGCTTACGATGTGGACGCATCACATGAGCAGAGTGCGGGACTTCGTCGGCTGCGGACGTTCCTTATTGACACCTACCTCGCCGCCGCTAAGTCAACTTGGTTTGAAGACGAGGACTGGCACAAATATCCTCAGGAGTTTCTGAGGGATTTTTCTGTCGCCATGCTGATGCAACACCCACGCAAGAACAAATGGAACATCGATACATGGAAGGCGAAGTTGGAGGTAGAAGAGGAGGACGAGGACGAGAATGACACTTCGGACGCAGAACAGTTTGATACAGACACGGACGAGTGAAGAGCAGCCGAAAACATTACGCCGAAGCCTTTTGGGTTTGTTCTGAGTTTGGTATCATTGTTTCAACGTCGCCTTATTGAGCTCCCGTATACTTGCTGAAACCGATCAAAGGGAGGAACATGGCCATGCCATCATATCTGGAGTGATGCCGTTCATGGTTCTTGTCAATGCAGAATTGACGTTGGTTATACCATCGACGTAATCACTGCAGCATCCTCTACATCAGCATATATATTCAGAAGACCTGCGAAGAGCTTTGACACTGCCTCTTTGGCATATATAGCCGTAAAGGCGCCAAAGCCAAGTCTCTGAGATATATGAATGGTTCAACTCCTCACACACAAACTCATCGTGCTTCATCATTCATACACCCCACACTAAGATGTGAATTATCTCAAGATACTGTCGCCGGACTTGATGCGAATCCAGAACACACTATACACAGGCAGCTTCAGCTCCGTCGCTTCAGCCCTAACAGCCCCCGCGACCCAGTTTTAATGCCGCCCCACCCCAGTCAGAAGCTTATTCTTTTGCTTCCCACTTCCCTGGAAAGTTTACAAACTTTAGAAACGCCGATGCGTTGTCGTTAAAGCTGACATCGGTTGAAGGTGGTGAGTTAGCACAAGTAGTAATGCTCGTGGGGCAGAGCCTTATGGGAAACAGTGCTAAGATCGACGATGAAACGATGAACGAACTTGCTGGTTGAACAATACATTGAGTTTGCAATCGATAGAAGCAGGCTTTCTTGTCAGCAAGACGAGTGAAAGCGGAGTAGTTAAGGGGCAGGGCGCCTGACGAAGTCGACCTACCTCTCCAACGACCTAAAAGAAATGCTTAGAGGCTGACAAAAACCTGTCGCCTCAGCGATGCGATATGGCGAAGCAACTACGTTGTAGGTAATGCCGATGGTCAAGCTACGCGTCGCCAACGCATTGGGGCTCTACTGCGCCTGCGCGCCACATTGAAGCATATACCTAATCGGGCCAATAGTCCGGCTTTCGTACAGCTGAGTCAGGGGGCCTACCAAAGCCATGGAGTTGGCTATGCGGATGATTATCTAGGGCTGACTCTGCCTGAAAAGGAGTGTACACTGCAATTTTGCAGTGTGGAACGGAAAGATGGGCGGCCTGTGGCTGGCGGTGTAATGTCCGGTTGGTCTTGCCGATAGGTTCAGTGGGACAAAGATGCAAAGGGACATTGTTTTTGCGGACGAAAGATCAAGGTAGAAGAATATTGATCGCTCTATGGAGATCTCCAAAACGGTTAATCTGGCGATAATCCGACCGCTGCGCACTATTTGAACATATTGATGTTATAGTGGCCTTCTGGTGAGTGAAGAGACAGAAATCTTGTGTTGAAGATTGACCATTTTGTGAGAGATATATATCGCTGTGTCCGCGAGTTTGGGTCGAGCAAACCGAGATACCGCTAGAGTGTCGTACGGAGACACCAACCTTACAATATATCAATACACTATGATAGTTAAAGTACACGAGCCTGGCGCGGTTGTTCTATATTTGTTCTGTCGAGAATGTTGGCTGCGCAGCGAGCTTTAATCGGTGAATTCTTACGTTGTGCAACGTGTTGTACTTTCAATGAGCCACGCCAACGCGAACGTGAAAGAAGTGAGTCGGCTGCATGATAGAGGCGTAGGCTTACTCGGTACTAAATAGAAGAGAAGATCGACACGAAATCACGTATGGCATGTAGAGCGGCGGCGTGTTGTTGTGCCTGTATCGCATATGCGGCTTACTCTAGGGTCCTTGCGACTGATTGGACAGTTCGAGATGAAGTGAATCTCTTTCGACCGGTATCGAGGCAACGAGAAGGTAACGAGGATTTCCAGATCTACAATCTCTGCTGGAAACCAAATCGCTGATGCCATCGGACTCGGTGTATTGCAAAGCCCATGCGGTCGGGATTAGTCGGTGATAAGGGCAGCGGAAGAAATTCGCGATCTCACCATCATTTACCTCAAACCTTTTGCTCACGCTTGACTCATACGCTGTAGGGCGTTTTCGTGCTAGTATGCATTGTCGTTCTTCCCAAAAGGACCAATCGTCACTCAGCCTGTCGGGAGCGGAGCTGAAGGGCGGAGGTCCCGCGGGCGAAACCCAACCGCCGAGACGTACAACCACCAACGCTCGTCCTAGGGACCCGTGTAGGCTGACGAGTTCGCCGGGTGGCATTCCAACAAATCCAAGCGAGTGTGCTGTGGGCGTTCCAGAACTATGGTATTCTAAGCAGGGTAGATAGATCAATGCATTTGAAATCGAGGCAGTTGGTAATGCGGGCGACATTCCGCGCTTTGCGCTGATTAGTATGCTTTCTTGCACTTTTGCACCTCTTCTGTCAGAACAATGTCAGAGGTTGATTGCGCTATCGCGACATGGTGCCTTTGGCAAGTTTGGAGATGTTGTAATCTGTGCGGGGGATGGATTATGCGAGCAAATATGGCCTAGAAAGATCGAGAGCCAAGAACATGCCGCCTTCTAGAAGGCATGTCGGTGTGCTCGCAGCCCGAGTCGGTCAGCAGACCAGGGTGAGTCGAGCGCGACAGGGTGTAAATTACCCCAATATCGCATAACTGAACGAGGGCAACGCAATGTGGCTCAGCCATGTGAATATGCAGGTGCCCGAGAGTAGTAAGCAAAGAACACGCGGGAACCGTATTGCTGGGATCTCCAATGTTGGGTGTCTTGGGCGTTTGCAGGCGTTTGAAAACAAGATTGTTGGACTCTCCTCGTCAATATTGCCCTGCAGGGTTCCAAGAGCCAGATGCCCTTTTTTCCCCTTGAAGAGCGTGTTTCCCTTTGCAGTTACTCACTATTAGGCGAAGGAGCAGGGGCCGAGTTGCCAATACGGCTGGTACGGTGTACGGCGACAGGGCGGTCTTGTGTACAGTGTAATGCTCCACCACGGCCTCGTTCTGCTGATGCCCACAACAAGTGCGATGTGTCGTTTTTTGTCGCGCTACCCCTTAGTCGCTGATTGCGATGGTCGTTGGTAGTCTCCTGACCGTCGCCATGGGTGTTTGACTCGTACACAGGGAGGTACAAATCGTACAATAGTCGTCGGCAGGCGCAACGATCGGACACCCGAAGACGCCAGAAGGCTAGCCGTTGGGCTGGGCGGAGGCGGGAACACGGGAAGCCGCAGACGCGGATCCCGAGCGAATTCGTCCTCCAAGGCTGGTCGCCAAGGGCAGAGAGAGGGTCGACTCCTGGGCCGGCCCTACATTTCGATGCCACGCCCAAAACGTGCGCATGGCAGATGGACGCGTGACGCGAGGTTCAGGTCCTTCTTGGTCGATGTCTCGGACGGGGCTGGGGTGCATGCGCGTGCAATGGCAGCCCGAAGCGGTGAAACAAGGTTACCGTGGCGAGAGGATCTGCCAACGAAGCCTTTCGATAACGCCGATCAAGATAGGGACGATCTGAAAATGGGATCGGATTGCGTGGACTTGTGCAATGCAATCATCTTGGCTGCTCATAAAGTTGAGGCTGAGGGGAGGGCCAGAGGGGTGGAATCTGCCAAGTTGCAGAAAAGTTCGCAAGCTTGCGAGCGGCTTCCCAGATGGGCGAGTTCATCGTAGAGGAGTCCCACTGGTTGGCTGGCCAAGTGACTGGGCAGGCGCATTCGAGGCTCGAGTGTACATTTTAGAGTGGATGGGAAAAATACACAGAAGCACCGTCATGGAAAGTCTTGGGAGCTCAAGGTTCGCATTGCTCGCTCGTGGGCACGGCGCAGGTAGAGCTGGGCTCCAAGGCTGAAGTGGGTACTTGGAGGCGTGGCGCAAGTGGCTGATGCCGTTCCACGTATTTGTTACCATACAGGGACTGCCCTCATCGTTGGAGTGCTCCACGAAGAGCGCATTGCTGTTTACTGTTGTTCATTGACGTCAGTGACAGCTGTCCCAGGAGTTAATCACGTTTCTCATGGCAAGCCCGAGTGTCAACACTAGGATGCGCGGTGCTTCTGGAGCCGCTACGGCGACACACGTGCGCTAGCATCAACCTTTGGAAGCGGAGTGAGGCGTGTATATCAGGGGGCTGCCATGGCAGATTTGACAATGCTAGAAGACGTCTGTTTCAGAATGGAATGGTGCACGATTTTAGCGACATGGTGCCTCTGGCATTCAAGTTGGGCACCGCCATGCGTGCATTTATGCTGCCAAGGAAGAACGTGACAGAGACTCTTTGCGGGGTCAAGATGTAACTTTGCGAGCATCATCCTGTCCACGCCCGCATCCGGACTCAGATCATGGTGTTGGCTCGTCTCCGCATTTGTTTTGTCGTCCATGTCCAATCAATAAGCTCGGATACGTTCCGGCGGGAATGGGCATTTGCCATAGTACTCAACGTCGCAAGCGTCGAGACAGGCCAGGCCAAGAATGTTGGAATTGCGGGGCCCGACAAAGAAATCTCCTGATCTTTTTCGGCCGTCTCGTGTGGGCTTCAGCGTTAGCTTGGTATCGCGGTACCTACTCATGTCGCCGACGGGGCATCTCATGGCCGACTTGACTGTGCAAGTGTATGCTAGGGGTTGGTGATGGAGTTTTCGAGGTGGAGTGACATTGCTTTCCAATCTGGTGCTCGATTTTTGAGGATCGTGGGGAGGAAAGCCCGCGCACTGGTCTCTTTGCAAGCCATGGGCATGCAAGGCAAATCATGTGCGGCGGAAGCCACAGTCCAACGGCGTGGTGGCTGTCGAGCCTCGCATAGGCACGTAGCGAGAAGCTCTTCATTCGTCGGGAGATGCTGACTAGCGGTTTGGCGTTGCTGACGTGACACGCGAGATATAAGCTTTCCAGCCAGCACTCTTCGTACTCGTTTAGTGGCTTGCCTGTTGCGAGCAATACGGCGATCCGTTCCAATAGAACGTGCTGCTCGTTTCGCAAGCATGTATGAACTAGGACGCCTGAGCCACGCTGCCTTACGACGACAGACTCCGTCTACTTCTCGAATAGGTCGGATACTGCGAGCGCAGTAAATGAGCTGCATCTCCATGGGCGGCTGAGACGCATTCGCGTGCGTACGCGGCGGAATGAATACTAGGGGATTGCAGCAATCCAAGACTGCTGACTCTTGGGAAACCGAAGCGAGGCAAAGTTGCGTCCAGACAGAGCTAAAGGGAAGTTGATCTACCGTAGCGGAGAGATTTGTATTCCTCCTGCAGGGCATTGATAAGCAGCGCAGACGAGGATTACCTACAGGTCGCCAATTTGACGCCCGCCACTTGTTTGTGAAGCTTCGGAATGGAGTCACTCAGCGGTGCTTGATCGAACACGGTAGAACGAACAAAGTGTCCGGGAACAGGCGAGTAGACGCGGTCCCTGGACACGGCGGGTTGCCTGCTGTTCGCAGCCGTCGTACAATACCGGTGATGCTGTGGCTGGAGTACTCGGAAACTCACTTCACCGGCTGTTGTTACGACCCATTCGGCGACTCGGCGACCAGTATCTAAGCCCCGAAACGCACAGCAGGCAGGAGCGCCGTTGAGCCATTTTCGCGCGTCTTGTGAGATGGAACTGCAGGGCTGTTTGACATGTGGACAGCGGGCGCCTTTCGCAGACTTTTTTGCTCGGCCGAAGCCCCACGAGCGCGGTTTGGCGAAGGTCGCGGGACTAACGTTATTAGTGATGAGTGAATATGACGATGCTGATACAGGAAAAGGGTCTAGGATGCCTCTCGTTCGTGCGATGAGTCGAGCAGCTTCGTCCGAGTTGAGGGCGCACCACCGGCGTTGGTGTGGCTCCGAAATCCGAGCCTCTCTGCGTGGTGATCTCCCGCCCGTTTTTTCCACGCCCCTTCTCATGGAAACATGTTGGGGCTGTTGGATGCTGCTGCGCTGTCGGATACTGCAGTGCCAATGTGCTGTGGCTGCTGCCCTCTGGACAGGCAGCTCCCCACGGTCCGTCCACGGTCCGCCTGCGCGCTTTGTCACTGCGGGTTCCTCTCTCGTCAACTGAGCCCAGTGTCTTCGTAAGGTTGGCGCAGCGGTCGCCGATCCGGACCCCTGTGCGGTCGAAAGTAATCCAACGCGCTCCGACGGACGCTGGGTGGCCCGCCGAGGCAGCGAGCGCTGGCAGGGGTGGTTTAGCAGCCCCGGCAAGGTGGAGCGCCATTATTACATTTTCATTACCACGCCTCTGCCCGTCCCAGCGACCACCTTAAGGCCGAGCGTCCGTTTGAACCTGCCCTCTGACGTGAATAGATATAATGCCATGGTGCCCACACAGGCCACTCCGTATTTAGGTTTCCAACTCCCGCCTACGTCTTCTCTGTCTCACCCACTTGATGTCTCTAGCCCCCCACTGAGCTACACATCACCATACCTCACTACACTTGTAAGACTAGTGCATGATCTGCCCGACACTTGACCTTGCTGCCACCGACACATGTCTTCGCAGCGATCCAACTCTATGGAGGCTTCCCAAGACAACATCCGCAAGCGGGTGTGCAAGGCGTGCGATCGATGCCGTCTGAAAAAGTCAAAGGTATGTACTCGTTGTCGCTCGTCTTCAGCCCTTCTGATAGCGTGGTAGTGTGATGGCGCTAGCCCTTGCAGTCGATGCAAAGCAGACAATGCCATCTGCGTTTTCGGAGAGCGGAAGAAGTCGCAAGACAAGGTCTATCCCAAGGGGTAAGCTGAAGTCGTCACTTGCTTTTCGGCGCACCTTCTGACAATTGCAGCTATGTCGAGATGCTTGAGCAGCAGCAGTCGCAGCTTGTCGCAGGTCTACGGGAGCTTTATACCAGGTTACAGCAAGGCCAGGGTTGGCCAGGTGCACCATTGCGCGAAGCCCAAGGCGGCCATCCGCTCACCCACGACATCCTCGAGAGGCTTGATTTGCTCCACACTTCCAACGACGGCGGTAGCAATTACGAAGGTTTCGAGGAGGATTGTAATCGTATGCAGCAAAAGCTGCTGGAACGAGGTGCACCATTCACTCGTCGGAGAGGCTCGACGAGCTCCGACTCAGAGCACGACCACACCTCGTCCGGTTCATCATTCAGCGGCACACCTACAACCAAGACGATGCCTTTCGTCGACCCCTTCGCACGGCATAATGCTCCACCAACGCCGCCAATGAACAGCCCATTCCCGCGTCAGTCCCAGATCGTGTCACCAATTAAGCAAGAAGCACCAATGGTCGCGAACGGTTTCATGAGCCCCGGTGGTCTGGATCCCACGACTCTCTCTCGATCGAATTGGCAAACCGACACCATGATCATGGAAGAAACACTCGACTTCGGGAAGCCCATGTATGGATTTGACACCTATGGAAACTTCGACCAAACTGCGATGATGCTCGATCCAATCGTTGTGAACGACCCCGCAATGCCCGACTGGAACGCACCGAACGATCTGGATTTCAGCAGCTTCATAAATCATCAAGTGGGCGCGTGATGGATTCCGGCGCACTCTCCTACGTTCCGTCTCCTACGTTCCAATGGTTTCTTCTGTCCAGCGTTCAAGCGTTTTAGGGAAAGATCCACGAGGTTTTCCGGATTTGGATTTTATGGGTCTTCGGCGTTAACGGACGGTGAGGCGGAGGTGTGTATTAATCATACGGCAAAATCTCAGGTGAAAGGACTGCCATGGCATTATTGTAAGGTTCACCATGACGTGGACGATCTTCGCCGGCCTGGCCTTTGAGAGGATCGCGATCCGCAGACACGTGCGCACTCTGGCTGGTTTGGACCATGGGGCGCCGCGCGCCGTGCGCGGCTTTGATCCGAGAATGGTGGTGTAAATGGTTGATAATGACCACGCAGGATAGTGAAGACTGTAACATACTGTACGAAATGATCACCGTGTCGAGAACCTCAATGTGCCTTTTCGTGGACGCAAATCCATCGTGGCGTCAAGCTGCTTATCAAATTGTGTCTAGCGAACATTTTCACGTGACGGGCTTGTGGCCCGAACTGATCTCCTTCAGCCTTATCCTTACCCAGGCACTGTTCACATCGTAAGTCAAGGATCACTAAAGCCGCTCAATTCAATGTTTCAATGTCTACCTCACGCTCAACGGCAGCCCACGTGCGGACACGAAGCCCACATGTAATTAACCTAGCATCGCCTGATTAGGCTAATCAAACGGTCCCGCACTCGTGATACTGTGTACTTGAGCCCGACTACCCCACGATGGCTCGTCCCTCCTTGCACCGTGAAAACACCACAGAAGACGATATCGAGAACGCCTCTTGACACGTAGGGTACGTTGCAGTTACAATAAGAACACAGGGTACCTAGGTATGTACTCTCATCGTTAGCGAAATCCCCCAACGTGAAAACCTTGCGCGACACCGCGACCAACAACGAAAGCGGCAAGACGAGGCTGGACGTGTAAACAGTGTGGGAGGATGACGCATGAACCATGGCCGTGTTGTGAAGCTAATAAAGGCGCATGCAGATTCCCAGAGCAGCGATCTCCGGAAGAAAATCGCGGTCCAATCAAATCACACTTGTTCTAGCATCATGTCCGCGGACAAGGCTTTCACATTCCTCCCGCTAGGAGCTATTATCCAGGAATTCAAGGTCGGCGGGAAAAACATCGTGCAAGGATTTCCTACTGCGGAGCTGTACAAGGCCCACAATGCCCCGTACTTCGGCGAGACGATTGGGAGGATCGCTAACCGGATCGCGAAAGGGAAATTCGAATTGAATGGCCAGACGTACCAATTACCTGTCAACAACGGTCCAAACTCTCTGCACGGGGGCAATCTTGGTTGGGGCAAACGCGGCTTTGAAGGACCCCTGGACGTCGACCGCAATGGGAAACAAGCTACCCTTTTCAAGTACCTTAGCGAAGATGGAGAAGAGGGTTATCCTGGCACAGTCGAAGTTCGCGTCTGGTATGTGCAGGAGAAAGTAAACGAAAACGGGGTCCAGAAAGAGGTGTTGCATATTGAGTACGAAGCAGAGCTGCTGAGTGACGATGTTCCTGCAACCGCAGTCAACATCACCAACCATAGGTAAGGACGATCAGGCGCGTGTACTTCCAGAGGAATTATGTTGACGACGTGTTCAGCTACTTCAACCTTACCGGGTCTTCTACTATCGCGGGTACAGAGGCCACTCTGATCACGAACAATTACCAAGTCGTTGACGATGGTGGAATTCCCACAGGACCTATCGAGGAGTATCCTGGTGTTAAACCCAACACTTCGTTCACTCTGGGCGAGAGAGAACCTGACATCGACGACTGTTTCGTTGTCAATACCAACCCCTCCAGCGTGCCCATCGATACTCGAAACCTCGCTCTGCAAACAGTGGCTTCCTTCTTCCACCCTGAGTCCAAGATCCATCTTGAGGTAGCGACCACTGAGCCTGCTTTCCAATTCTACACTGGAAAGTACATCGATGTTCCAGCCGTAGAGAATCTACCAGCACGCGGTGCCCGCTCTGCCTTCTGCGTTGAGCCTAGTCGCTACGTGAACGCTATCAACGTCCCTGAACACAGAAGCATGACCATCCTAAAGAAGGGTGAGAAGTACGGAAGTAAGATTGTATATCGCGGATGGCAAGCATAGATGGTTCTGCGTCTTTCTGTTTGTATATCTACACTATCGCGAGCATATGAAAGCATCAACGAGCCTACCTCTTCAGCATGCTCGACGAAGCATCTCGATTCAACAAATCCTACAACTCGATCTTTGTACCCAAACATTCGCATACTCTTGATATTGACGGTCATGTGCACTCGCAGAGTCAACCACGCATAACGTAGCACGGTACGGTATACTAGTCCTTGTCACCAGTACCACGATACTTCGCTGTCGCAAGGGGACTTCCGCAACCGTCGCGCCTCCGTTTTCGTGTACACTGGCGCCCGACATTTTACCGTTCGTTTCTACTTTCTTTTTCTCCTTCTACCACATTTCTCGAAGCTCTGTACCACCTTCTGGTCTCCACTGAGTTGGCACAGATGTATGAGATGGCTCGCCTCTAACACGTCACCGCTAACTCCGCTTCCGTGTACCAAACATCAGCCGTGGCCCGCGCCTCGTCCCGCGCGCCGGGGCCGCGCAAGTTGCACGACGTCAGTGCCAGACCGACCTTCAATGTTCACGATGCGCTTTAGTAAAATTGAATACTGTTATGCATGTTCGATCTCACAGCCAACGCGGCTATTCGGCATCTTTTCGCCTGCGACTACCACTACATTTCAAACGCCACTCGATCTGTGATGCCGCCCTAGTAATAGCCAAGAGAAGTCGTTGTCGAGTTGACGTGGAGGTGCAAATGAAAGTCCGAAGCAATTCGGGGCTCGTCTCCATGCTCAAGGTCCACATCTGATGCTGATGGACCGTCGCACCTGAGCACGGCTTCCCGAATGAAACTACCCCGCAGCTGCACAGGTCCAGGCCTCTCGACTGTTCGTTCCCCGTGCTTTAGGGCTGCCCTACCTCATCAGGCGATCGTCACTGTGCAACAATTGAAGGCTTCTGCTTGTGATGATGCTCGTTGTAGGTCGCGTCAGTTCAATTACTCACACAAGACCGAATACCCTCGGCATGAACTAGGAAAGATTGGTATTTGACAAATATCCTCGCGCGACGCAAGACGACCATTACCAAGGGGTTCCAAGGTTAGCTAGCGTTGCCGTGGTCCGCAACATCGACGCCCACAGGGTGACGCTACTGGACAAGAGGTCTCAAGAGAGAGCCGCGCGCAATTCCCTTCCATGGCTGACGGGTCAGACAATCAATTGCATACAGATCGTGATGGCCAGCTTGCGATGAGACAGGAAACGTTCGCGTTGAGATCATGTCATGGCGAAATTGTGCATGAAATGTCGTCGTTGAGCTCGTACGAGCTCTAGCCCCATGCCAGCGACCAGAGAATATTACATTTCGGCGAAGGCACGCGTTGCTCGCCGGTCCCACTTAGCATGCTAAAACCTTGCTGCCTGATCCGGATAGACGTTGGATGCGCTCGGCCCGCTTCCGATGCTACTGTCGGATTCGACGTGCATACATGAGCGTTGGTCCAAAAAACTCTCCGCAGAGCCTATGTCGCCGGCCAAGGCTTCCGAACAGTAGCTCTCTTCTGCGCTCTGTAGCAAATCTCGACGCCACTGCACAAGTATATGCTCGCAAATCGCAAATATCGGAACGCACGACGTGCATGTTTGAGACGGCAATGCGCCTTTGCAATCACGGCCTTGATAAGAGTCATACGTCATGCTGTCGCTGTGTAAGGCTTGGTGTGGTGCATGTGTAAGTGCACTGTAAGTGCACTGTCACGCTTCCTAACCCATGGGCATCTCACTAATCCTCTCGCTGCAGCCACAAGCTCCCAACGTCCCACTCCAATCACCCCTTAGCCGTAATCTTCGCGCACCACCTTGATGTTCTGCTTTGGATAGTCTGTCCAACTCCATGCACCGCATCGCCAGGTGCCGACGCGCGCGCGATCGAGCCCGTCTGTCTCATCGCTGGCGGGCAGGTCAAATGGCATGACTGTGGAGACTCGCATTGATTCCCTCAATCCCAGTCACTGGTGGCGTGAGCCTGACCGAGATAAAGGTGATTCGTCAGACACCAATCAGCTAGTGCGCTTAACCAACACACCAGCGCAAAGTTTCCCTCCCAGATCAGATTACTGCCCGAATGCGCGAGATTCTTCGGAACAGCATGTGCATTCAAGGTGTTGTCGATCATCGATCGACACAGGGATAGTCTAATTCCGTGCAGTCAGTCTGCGCTAGTACGCTCTAGGCCTCCATATCCCACGTATCGTTCATCATCCTAACATCGTTTACAATGCAAACATAGCTTTCCAATCAAGGTAAAATCCTTAGTTTCAGAGTCCATGCGAGTATTGCAAATAGAGTGGAGCGTACTTAACTACACAGTAGAGTCCATCTTTCGCCCTGGTGAGCTTCTTCGTACTCAGTCTTGAAACATTTCCATCGCTTCGCTCGCGTGAATCGCTAGATTCTTCTTCTCCGCGTCACGGAACTCTTTGTCCGCTTTGTCAATCCTAGGAACATCACATGAGAAAATCGACTGGACGACATTATCGTTGGATGCATGTTCGGTGGAAGGAAGAACCTTCTTCGCAAATCGTATCTCTTGGATAGTCTGGTCAGGAAAGCCAGCTTTAGTGGAGGCTCTGATAAACTAAGGGAGCATGAGATTCGTCAATGCTTCGAATACGTAGAGATGGCCAAGCTCCTCCGAAGCTGGGTGTGAGTAGGAGACGCGGTGGAACCGCAAAGCCAAGGTTAGGCTAAGTAGCCGGCGGAATTAGGCAAGTCGTGTTGCAATATCCATAGTCTGATACTAGCACTCACCATCCTCGAACTCCGTGTCGATGCCCATGAGACAGTTGGTGGTGTCATGACAAGAGATATGTAGCTTGACGAGATGCGGCTTGTACTGAACGAGCATGTCGAGCCAGTGCATGTTGACATCGTGCGGCCCGACCTCATAGTGCACTGAGGTAATATTGCTGTAGTTCGACAGCATGTCCGTGGGTAGAAGCCACTTGACGCATGTGGATATTGATATAGCGAGCAATTCATCCCAGTCGCCAAGGAAATGGTTGATGTTGTGTGGGTGAGATGGGGTGTACTGTTCTGTTTGCGTTCGGTTCTCCATAATTATTTCTTGGATGCCTATGCGGCTTGATGATATAAGAATGTGGTAGAAGAGTACCTTCAAATCCGTGCATTCATGCAAGTATAATCGCTTCACCCTAAACCAGTCTGTCGATCGGAAGAGCGCCGGCCTGAGACGGGAGAAATCGAGGTTCTTGAATTGGATCACAGAGATGTTCTTTGCTGGTTGAGCTGGGGATCCTGGTCCAGCATCTTGAAGCGCATTTCCAAACGTTAAGTCCGGATGGGGTGCTAGTGGATGGTCTTCCATGATTATTGGTCCTTTCCAGAATGACGATTGCGCATGTGGCTGGAGAAAACATTTCCCAGAATACTTTGGTGCACCATTGGCGATCTTGCCATCGTGGGCCAGATACCCTTCACATGTCATGTGGATCGAATGCTCCGTATTTTCCATCGATCTGAACATTACGTCCAGGTTCAGATCCATCAACAGACATGGTGCCGACTGGTCCAGGCTTCAAGCTGACCGCGTCGACGCCAGTCAACTCAGGGAAATGGATCTCTCGAATAGATTTCTGTAGCTTGGAAGCCGGCTCCAGCTTCTGAAGAAGCTTTGCCTGGTTCTTCGGGGACAACTGTGAACCTGGGCGGGACCGTAACTGCCTCAAAACCATGCTCTTGAGTTAGCTCACAATTAAAGAGAATGCTTTAGGAGTGCTTAAGACCTTAATCTCGAGGAATCGCGTCCACTGTATCATCTTTCGGAACAAACCCTTACGTTTCTGCATAGTGTCATCGTCGTCTCGTGGATTGAAGTCGTGCATATCAAGGTCCAAGTAAACAGTCTCGAACAGGTGCCTTGCGCCGCACAGGTACAGAGATCACAAGCTTGCATGGCGCGACTCGCTGCCTTTCTGTCTGTCTTAAGTTACGTTAGGATAACCTGGTCTGATATGGATAGCTCTTTTTGTAGACTTGAATGTGCCAGAAACTCCATGATGCGATCAACCACCTCGTATGGGTGCCACCTAAAATAGTCCGTTGTGAACGGCAGCCTGTTAGACTGGCGATGCAGACACGCGGGCTTGTCAGCATCATCGAGGTCCGCTTTCTCATGCGTGCTCCAGTGTTGCTATTACCGCGTGTGAGTCTCTTTCTTTGCCCAGAGAGAGTGTACTTACAAGCAGGACTACATTATGCTCCTGGTAGAAAAGCTTCATTGGAATAAGATATCGCACGCGGCTTCGGGCAGCGAGTACATCCGTGATCTTGGCCCTTTGCCGTTGGAGAGACGCTGTATCGTGCCTTGGGGTCGCACGCTTAGCGAGCGGACGGCTTTGTGCCATGCTTTGTGCCACGACTAACCTCTCCCTTCCTCGGCCCGAGAAACGACAGTCAGGTCGATACAATCAATGACATGCGCGCGAGCATTCCCACACCGACACCAACCGCCGTTCACTAATCACTCTTCACACCCTCGCAGTCCGACGCAATACCCATTGATGCGTACCCTACACAATTGAACTTTCCCGACCACATAAATCGCGAACGAATAATTCCATCTTCAGCTCGACTGCTTTACTTAGGATGCGCCGCCTTCTAAGACTTATGATGGGGTAGGGTGCTTGAATTTACGCCAAGTCAGATAGTTACTAGGCGAGAGAGTAGGATTGAGGAACTGCAGTCCACATTGGAATATCTACGAGCATACAGTAGAAGACGGGTAGTTGACGGACACCAAAGTGTAGAAATGGGAATGCAGTCTATGCGAAATGAACAGGGATATGCAACGCTTTGATCAAAATGCACAAAAAATGCAAGCAAGCGGTTCCAGGAATAAGAGCGTAGCATGTGAAACGCCGTGAAAGAGATGGCGCTCACGTCTGCCCCTCATTACTCCATCTCTGAATTCGAAAAAAGCTCAGCCTCAAGCTGCGCTCTCTCATCCTCATCTTCCCCACGTGGTGTGGTCCCACTAGGGCCCGATTTCTGCCTCTTCAGCTGTGGTTCTTCAGGTGAGCCACTTGGTCTGCGCCGTGTGACACCCAAACGCTCCGCCTCCTCCGAATGCTGACTAATCCATCTATCGCGCCACTGCTCGCGGACGACATCGTAGATGAATGCGAGCTGCGGCTCGCTTTGCACCATCATCATGCGCTGCTCTCTCAGCCTGCTTACCACCCCGAAGATCGGGTCTTCGTTGTCTTGCACTTCATCGAGGCTGCCGTCGTCGAGCTCTTGCAGTAGCCAATCGAGCGCGATAAATGTCCCGCTGCGGCCGACACCCGCACTGCAATGCACTATGCGCGGATTTGTCGCATTGTCTGCGTTCTTCTCTCTGCTCATAGAGATGAGGCGGAGGAGGGCTTCGCGGTCGGCGCCTTCAGGGACGAGGAAATCGGGCCAGCCGGCGAAGAGGAGATGCCATACTTTTTTTGATTCGCTGCCCTCTTCGGGTACCATGTCCAATTCTCTGATTGTGGCCCGCGCTTCTTGGTCCTCTTCCAAGTTGGCAAGCTGCAGTTCATGGATGAAGGCGTCTTCGTACTCGTCCTGGGCATTCAAGCGCAGGCTGGGAGCCTCTGGTGATTGCGGGTAGTATGGATAGCATTTCTCTCGGGAGGCTTCGTGGGTCTGCGTGAGCATCACAATAACGGCCGGTGTGGTGGTCTCATGCCATATCATGCGCCAGAAGTGCGAGTATGTGTCGAACTTTGGGCCCTGTACCTCCATTAGCTATGCTTGTAACTACTCTGCGAAGACCTACCTGTGTCGCAATGTATTTCAGAATATTATCCGACCTACTCGATCTCAGCTCTATCGGCGAGGCATTGATGTAGTCGCTGGTCCCGTCTGGGACCTTTAAGCGAACGCGGTTGCCCTGATAGGGATCGACATTCAGGTATCTGTTTCGGTCTTTGACGTCGTCGCCGGTGCACCGTGCCCACTGCGAGGGCTGCTGCTCCGAGTCGCCATTCTGATGTTGTATGCCTTGCAGCACGCGTTGCCGCTGTTCCCACTCGAGATCAATGAACTTCTGGTGTACGTCTGCGCCCAGTCAGCCACCAGCCTTGCATACATGTCTGGAGGCACAGTCTACCTGCCTGTTCTGCTCAATTTTAGGAACGCGGGGTATGGAGTGGGGTCCTGCTCGAGGGGTTGTAGGTTCTGCGGCGGTTCGGCTGGGTTGGGTATGACAAGGCTCGGGGCGCTGGCCGAGGGCGTGAAGTAGGGTGTGTCGAGGGAAGATGTGGCTGCAGATCGGGTGCTGTCTTTACTACGAGACCGCTTCGAGGATGAGGGCGAGGGCGGGACCTGCAGCGACTGGGAGCTTGACATGTTCGCGTCTGTCTTGACGCCGCCAACGAGTCTGGCCTTGCGCCGGAGGGCGCGAAGTTTATGCAGCTTGAAGAGCTTGCGATCGGCGCCGCACGAGGCTGCCGCTTCTGGCAACGGGGGCACGACAAAGTCGGAGGGCGGAATCGTGACGGTTTTGGGCAGATTGTGGCGTGCGGCCGGAGAGATGACAGGCTGCCTGCAGAGAGATGCGGGTGTGTGCTGTACAGTACATGCGCCAGCCGCCCACGCAGTCGTAGTATAGCTGTCGGATCTCCCAGAGGAAGCTGTCACAGATGTGTCGCCGGTGCGGAGGCAATGCCGTACGATTGGACGGCAGTTTCTTGCGCGCGCTCTCCACGAGATCTGGACGCCTTTTCCAGATTGCGCAGTGACAAGCTTTGGAGACCCAATTGTCTAGCCAACAGGGCCAAGGTTGTCCAAGGTGCCGGGTCCGCGGCGTGTCGGCTGCACGCAATCTGGTGGTGGGGACGAGAGGGATCGCCGGAGGGTCGAGGCTCGGATGCGAAGATGGTTGGCCTGGCGGGCAAGAGGTCAGTCAGAGATGCAAAAAAGTACAAGAAGCAAGAGGGCATGCGACAGTGGGTAGAAGTGCTATGCAGGGGATTTTTGGCGTGCTTATTAGGGCGATGACGGTGGTTCGCAGCGGTCGGCCGCGTTGGTTCTCATGCGTGGCATGGATTGGGGCGTCGCCTATCAGTGGCCAATCTGCCGGCGTGTCGCCATCGCTCCTTCACGACACTCGCCTTCCCCCAATCCGGCGCCTCTGCGTCGTATTTCGCCATCACGAGCTACGTTTTGACAGCGTGTATGCGTTGATGTGACAGCAATCATGGGGCCGTGGCTTGCCTTGATCGAAGTCAGTGTTCCCCAGCCTGTCTGCAGCCGAGGTCAAATTAACGCGATTGAATGTAGGCTTGGGCTGTTGCCAAAGTACGTCACCCGATATTCAGATACCGTTACTACGCCCGTTCATGATGCTGATGACACCCGACAGCTGATACGCAGCCCTATCTTCAACCGCACTGTTCAGAAAGCGTACCGCAAGATCAACAGAATCCCCGATATGGAGCCCAAGAATGGAGCAGGACGTACGTCTGCATCCTGAATCTACGTTCTCCCCGTCGCTCATAGTCAAGAAGGCACCGGTCCCTCCACTTTCGATCATTTCCGAGATGAGCTGAGGCAGCAGTTCCGCGAGCTCACATGGCAAAAACGCCCGCCGAAACAATGAAGCCGAATCGAATTCACTAGTTGATACGCCCCGCCCGCGACTCCCGATGCGGGGATGACAGCACGTGGTTCATCGAGATTATCGACTTTACAACGTTTCTAATGCTGTCAAATCATGACGGGCAGGGAAGAGCTTGGATGTAAACATCATGCTGTTGCATGTACGAGGGACGTTTGGAAGGTTCGCGTTGACAGGTTTCATAGCTGAAACAGAAGGTGTGCGAAAAGCGTACGTCTTAGCGGGGGATTTTGTTCCGCCAGTGGCTGTCCAATCGCAAATCAAGCTACGGAGAGCTTCGCTCAATACGCGTGACCAGTCATATCACTGGGACTGGACTTTCAAGGTCGTCAAAATAGCGCGACCTTAGTGTGTACACGCAATACAGGGGGAATTGCCCAGCTATTACAACCGAATTGTTGTCTGTCGTAGGCAAGCTTGCTCTAGCTTGCAACATCCTCAATCTTGGAATAAGAAATCAAAATAAATCCACTCCATCAAGCAACAATGCTATGGTCCATTCAATGTATTTTCGGCAGGTGCACGTGATTGCGGTTGCATCACTCTACGTCAGAGGGACGTACTAAACTATCCACAATTATACAAACACTAGCAGCATCTTCACTTACAGACTATGTTCACATCCCCAGTTTCTACGTGCAATCGAATTCACTCTCCTACGTCCCCATTCTGTTACCGATTCCGACCTCCCTCTCTTGGCTAGTCCACCCTCAATCCCTCATGCCTTCAGCCATCGTCACAGGTGCCACAGGTATATGCTTCGCATTACCCACACATCCCCTTCTGTTATTCACAAGTTCCAGGCATCCTTGGTCGCGAGATCGTCTTCGAGCTCAGCCAGAACAAAAAGCAATGGCAAAAAGTGTACGCTCTCTCAAGGAGCAAGAAAGAAGACTACCCTCCGAATGTGACGCACAACTACATCGACCTAATGTCCAGCGTGGACGATATGGCCGAGGACCTTCAAAATGTACGCGCAGAATACATTTTCTTCGCCGCGTACCTCCAAAAGGACTCGGAGCAAGACAACTGGGACGCGAACGGCGCCATGTTCTCCAACTTCTTGCAGGCTCTCACGAAGACGGATGCTATCAAAGGTGTGAAGAGAATTATCCTAGTCACGGGAGCAAAGCAGTATGGCGTCCATCTCGGTGCCCCCAAGAACCCCATGACAGAATCCGACCCCTGGCTCACAGGAGAGCAATGGCCCCCAAACTTTTACTATAACCAACAAACCATCCTACACAAGTTCTGCAAGGATCATGGCAAAGAGTGGGTGGTGACTTACCCCAATGACGTGATAGGCTTCGCTTTTGGCAATTTCATGAACATGGCTACCGCAACAGCGCTCTACGCCCTCGTCAGCAAAGAGTTGAAACAAGATCTCGTGTTTCCTGGCTCCCCTGAATTTTACACCCGCTTTGACAGCTTCACGTCCAGCAAATTGCATGCGGAGTTTTGCGCGTGGGCGGCGCTGGAACCGCGCGCTGTGAATCAGGCGTTCAACGTCGTGAATGGGGATGTAGAGAGCTGGCAGAATCTCTGGCCAAAAGTCGCTGCGTATTTCGGTCTAAAGGTAAAGCCGGACCAATTTCGAGAGCGGCAGGTGGACGAAAAAGCGGATATAACCGACATGGCGGGCAAATTGGGGTTGGTGCAATCGGACGTTCAAACCTCACAATCTTCATCCAGTCCACTGGCGGAGCAGCCGCCTATTTCCTCCCGCGCCGAAGAGCTAGGACTCGAGGGTCACCGCGTTACACAGCAGAGCAATGTCGACCAGCAGATCGACCTCGTTAAGTGGTCGAAGAGGGATGATGTGAAGAATGCATGGACGAAAGTTGCAGAGAGAGAGGGCCTGGATAAGACCGCGTTCGAAAAGGCGACATGGGGCTTCCTGGGTTTCGTTTTGGGCCGGAATTACGATCTCGTCATCAGCATGAGCAAAGCGAGGAAGCTTGGGTGGAGCGGGTATCGGGACACGTGGGAAATATTGGAGGAGGTATTTAACGAACTAGAGAGGGCAAAGGTCTTGCCAAAGAGCAAGTAAGGCGGAATTTCTACCAAAGAGAGAATTGAAGAAGATGGACTGGTGGTAATACAGAATGTATGATGGCTGAGTCCTCTTGATATCGTCTCCGAGTCACCTCAATGACCTGATACGCAGGCAAGAATACTCTGTAGAACCAATATGACCTCTGTTGGCAAACCAGTCTACGACGATATACATTATTGGTTTTCAGAATTCATGCCCATAACGAATGACCATTTTTCGCCTGTTGTGCATGGTCCCGCAGCATGAATCAATCTGATTGGTCCGTAGGCGGAGCAAACTGGCCCGTGCTGCTATGAGGTCTATGGATGCACGCACGTCACGATGTTGGCCAACGCTTCGGCAACTGCACCATGTCGCAATCAACGACACAGATAGCTCGCTGTTCACCTCGTAGAAGATACACCCGAAGACCGCAGATGCCGCTGCCATGACGGACACACCTTCCGCCGAGCCATCTGCGGCGTCCGGCAGCGCTGAATCCAACGCTCCAAGCTTGCCGGCGCCGGCACCCAAGACGAAAGACAATGTCGAACAGCATGACTTCGCCAATCCCACGATTAACATAATAAACAGCTTGTCCAGAAAGACCTCGACGTCAGGTTTATCGCTCGCATCTGGCGTATCAAGAGAAGGAACGCCCCCGCCGCTGCCTCCCCGCCCAAACCTGAATCTGCTCGATTCTGCTTCGCGCCCTTCCACTTCACATTCTGTGACGCCGACCAGACCGCGCCTTGTATCCAAAGCAACAACACAACTCTCTTTTGCAGACTCAGCGAACCACAAGAACGAGTCCCGCGAACCCAGCTCGTTGCAGGCATCGAAACGCCGGTCGTATTTTGGCCTGAACCTGGGCTCATCACGGAACACTAGCGATGGAGAAGACAGCGCAAGCATAGCGAGCTTCGTGCCCGCTGTGGATGCTGGACTAGACACGGAAAGCATGCTGGGCGAAGGTATGGGCGACCACGAAAAGACGCTTCTCGCTTCTCTGGGGCATGACGCTCGGGACGCGGAGAGCATGTTCGCGCCGGATCCCGCCTTTGAACAAGCGTTCACGAAAGAATTCGATGAGATCGAGGAAATGACACAGGATGGGTCAAACGAAGGTCAGCCGCACATAGCTATGTCCAAGTATGCGGCGTTTGTGAGTAGGGCTCGTGCTGATAGTTACATAGAATCAATTATAAAAGCCTGGCGCGCGAAGATGAAACATTTTCTCATTCTATCGTCTGCGGGGAAACCCATATACAGTCGACATGGCGATGATCAGCTCATCACGAACTACATCGGCGTCGTGCAAACTATTATCTCCTTCTACCAATCCACCGACGATACTCTGCGAGGCTTTACGGCTGGCGATGTGCGCTTCGTAGTCATGTCGAAAGGACCACTCAACCTGGTCGCCATAACGCGCCTTCCAGAAAGCGATACTCAGCTGCGGGCACAGCTCGATGCGCTGTACATGCAAATACTCTCGACCCTCACACTGCCATCCATGCAGCGCATGTTCGCTGTGCGCGCAAACTACGACCTACGGCGGCCTCTCCAAGGTACCGAATCATTACTCTCCGCTCTTGCAGATGGCTTCACTCGCGGTTCACCGTCAACGCTTCTTGGAGCCCTCGAATGCCTCAAGCTACGAAAATCCCATCGACAGACCATCAACAGTACCCTTCTCAAAACACGCTCACCCAATCTCCTCTATGGCCTGATCGTCGCATCAGGGAAACTCGTCTCCGTCGTACGGCCAAAGAAACACTCCCTTCATCCGGGCGATCTACATCTTATCTTCAACATGCTGTTTGAAGCAGGCAGCGTGAAAGCTGGCGGTGGAGAAAATTGGATACCTTTATGTTTACCCGGCTTCAATAACACAGGTTACTTGTACATGTACGTCAGCTTTTTGAATCTGGAGCATCCGAGTGAGCAGATACATGAACGGCCGAAGAGCAGCGAGGGCGATCCGGATGAAGTGGCGGTGCTGCTTATTAGCGCGGAGAAGGAGGGATTCTTTGAGATGAGGGGGATGAGGGATGATTTGGTTGAGGTGAGTATACTTTTCCGCTTTCGCTCTCGTTCTCGCTCTCGTTCTCGCTCCTATTACTGCCGAGCAAGGACCGAGACAGTACCGCGCGATTTTACGTACTTTTTGCGAACGTCCTGGGATCCGCATCAAGGTTTTAGCATCAGTCAAGCACATCGTCGGCCGAACCGAAGGTTCAGGTCGGCATGTAAAGAAACAATAGGGAGGAAGTCGGAGCCGGCAACTCTCTAAGCCGTCTCTCCGATCATCCGCTCCCGCTTCCATGGAGCATCCACGGACATAACCGGCATCCATCACGCGACTCTCTTCCCCTCAACTCGGCTATCGCCCAATTCCTTCTTTCCACATGGAAGTAATCCGCTGACTTGCTAATGCACAGCAATTACAACGAAACCACTCCATAGACAACATCCGCACCGCTGTCCGCCTCGGCCGCCCTCTAGCCACCGACATTGTCCCCGGCACCGTCCTCCGCCACTTCCTCTTCAAATCGCGCGGCAATGTGCAGTTCTTCTCTCCCTCCCTCTCTCCACACTTCAGCACACCTGTCGACCGCCGGCGCCTGCTCAACCTGTACTCCTCACTACATAGTCATCTACACGCCAAGCCGACGAGTCTAAAGATCCATTATGAGATGAGTGTGAATGTGATTAGTTTGGCGTGGAGTACGCCGCTGTTTGAGCTGTATTGTGTGGCGGATGGAAGGACGAGCAGGCAGGCGTTGGCGGCGGCGGCGATGAAGGTTGTGGAATGGGTGAGGAGGGAAGAGGAGAGGATATTTATTATTGGGGGTGCGGTGTTTTAGAGGACTAGGGGGGACGGAGAAAGGGAATATACCCAGAGGAAAGTACATACAGTTGGTGCTAAGAGTGTTGACATGTGAGAGACATTACAAAGGAGAGATTGTTGTCGCTGCCCCTGATCCTGGCCACTCGTACGTCTCGTCTTTGGATCGATGGACGTGATGATCGTACGGGAAGAGCTGAATGGACGTACATTCCATCCTGCTCCTCGGCTATGGTTGATCTAATAGCATGCTCGCCACTTTGAAGTTTTCATAACTTCGAGGCAAATGCAGGAGTCACGAACCGTACCTTCCCTCCTTCCCCCAACGGCTTGTCATAGCTTGCCCCCCCATACGCAACCACCTTTACTTCTTCACCACCACACCGAGCCCAGTGCAGCAAGTGGATGGTCGGTATCTCGGCATTTCTTATTCCCCGCATTGCTTGCCTTGTCCGCTTTTCTCATGTATCTCCGTTGATTGCTGTGAGATCCCTAACTATAGCGGCACTGGGCGTTGCAGAGTGGGGCCGGAACGTCAACGCCATTACGGGAGACATGGGCTAATGCGTGGCTATATAGCTTCGGCTTGGTATGTGCCATCTCACGTCCTTCCCTATCCCCAGGATAAGCTCAGGGGACTAGACACCAGTCTCTAGGTATCAACCTTCTCGTCTTTTAGGTTGCTTCATAAATTGAGGCGCTTTTTCTAGCTCAAGCCGTCGCCAGACTTCAAGTACACGCCTAGTTATTGCGCTTTAACATGTACGATTCTAGTTGTCGCGCTACACTACAAGGATCCCTCAGTGGGAACAATCGGGATCGCCTTTATAAAATCGAGTACGGTGATGCCATTGAAAGATGCGCAGGACATCCTTACCAGCGATGGGTTCCCTAATAAAACGTTTGGGCCGCAGCACAACGTGGGATTTGCCCACGTGGTGTGGAAAATTCCGGTCCAGATCTAACCTGCTTCCCTCGCCTAGAACTGGCAGAATATATTACTGAACCTTAAACGCCAACAAATGTCTCTAGCACTGAGGCTTCGAAGGTAGCATGGAGGAGAGCCACTCTACTAGCGCGACGATGTGCACTTCGGTAGAACGTGACATCTTCCCCCGCACTGAAGATGAACATATCATCGATATCTTCATCTTCGCGGGAAGGCGATGCCATATTCTTTCATGCGCTGCTATCCCTAAAGGACTTGTGATACATCCGCTTCCCGCTCATCATCAACCCTCCATCTCGGATGCGGTTCTACCTTTCCGACAGCATCCACAGGGGAGGATGTTCTCAGAATTGCAGATGGACTGTATGTTCCATCATTACTTCCCGGCGTTAAGCCATACCTGCTTGAGAAACATTGTCTTATCCCCGGCTACTGTGCGGCAGTAGGTGACATTCGCAGACTCGACCGCCTTCTTCGCTGCGTCCCGGAGAAAGGACGAAGGCCGGAAGATGGACCATGTCAGAGGCTCGACATTTCTCAAACCTCGTCTGGAACACGAGATGGTGACGGAGTAGGGCGGTGGGGGAGAGGTAAAGGCGGGGTTCGTGATGGTTTTGCGGATGATTAGAGAAGTATTGTCGAAGGAGAAAGGATTGCGTCGTTCTCATGTTGGTGGTGGCTTCGGTTCCGGCTCGCTCTTGCTCTGCTCGCGCGATAATTTTGACGCGGTAACGACGTGAATGTAGGGACGAGTATCTGCCATAGCGACAGCGTCAATGATTCCACCCTCTATACGTGCGTGCCAGTAATTGATCATCGCTGAGTACCGGAGTTAACTCTGGAAACTCCTACATCGAAGTTTGAGCCGTCCGTTTTTAGATGCGACTGTTTAAGGAGCTAAAGGAGCGAGTGACACTGCACAAGAAGAACTGATGATAAGATACAGCTCCAGAACAAGGACAGAATGAGGTACTAAAAACGATACTATATACACTCTGCTACGTCAGGCACATTTTCCGACGTCATCCACGGCGCTCACCTCACCATAACCTCACAAACCATGACAAAACAAAGACAGCCCGTGCTGCGACATCCATACTTGACATCAACATTCTAGACCCGAACTTCGCCGATCGACCCCGGATAGCTCCGAGCGGAGAGCTAGAATGCGGGCCGTTGGACTTAGTCCAGCTGGGGTTGGTGCATTCGGAGGAGTGTGAGATTTCGAGCTTATGACTGGTCCGAGGTTTCCGAGAATCAAGTGCGCGAACCACGAGAGACACGGCTCCCGGTGCACTGTGTTGATATGTGCCAGACCGTCGTCTTAGCATTGCTGGAACTATGGGGGTAGCATCGCAAAGGAACATTCGCACGGTGATTGAAGCGAGACCTGACATTGGTTCACCATACCGTGGGCAGCAGCACGCTGTGAGCTTGTGGCACATTGCGTGTATACAAACCTGAGGGCATGTAAGAGCACAAAACACCTGCAGCGAAGCTACTGCTCCTGCCAATCATAAGATTGTCGTCACCGACACATCACCAATATGCGCAAAGGTACCCAAATCATGCAGATATAATCCTTGTAAAGTGCTGCTGATATAGGCAGACACCTGGACTACATAAGCCCCTAGTTGATTCCTGCCATATCCATCGTCATTGACGATACATGCAAAGAAAAGCAAAGAAAACCATGTCGTGCCGCCAATTCGTTGTTCCCAAAAGCCTGCCAAAAGCACCGCAAGTTATGCAATCCAAGACCAGTCCGTCGCAAAAAGCAGTTGATGCTAATAGGGTAAACCGTTCGGGGGTACTCCCATGTAACAGAGCCCATATCCATCAAATGCAATCGTTGAAGCCATAGTAGAGGAAAGGTGCGAGCAAGGGATATGAAAATTCATCTGTGTTATTCGCATCGACTTTGCCGTCGGTAATCGAGGAGATCCAAATCCAGCTTCCAGTTCCGAAGAACAGAAGAAGGTGAACAAGCCGACCGACCAAAGGAATGGCAGTACGACGACCAATCGATAAGTTGAAAAAGTCGTAAAAGTATAAGAACAAAATACTACCGGTTTAAGGTAGCCAGCTGTCGACCAAAAGAGTCTGTGGTCGAATCACCCGGCCATTGTTGTTCCTAAAAGGCCATGCCTACAACTTTGAAGCTCAAGCTGTAAACAAGTGTCCTTTGCAGAATTCCAGACCAAAAGGAGAGCTGTTGTAGAGAAGATGAACAAGTCCAGTTCAAATGAGAGAGCCAGAACCTAGCGTTGGTAGACGCAGGTGTGCCGATTACCTTGTTAGTGTGAGCTCAAGCATGAAACGTTTGATGAACCCATGTATGCAATCGCAATAGTAGTGCATGGTAAATAAAGAAACGTTTCAAAGCGGTGTCCAGAAGAGGAGCTCGGCTTTGTCGATTCAATCAAAACCACGTTGCAACGGCAGAGCTAGACGTTCGCGTTACCTGTTGCTGACGCGAAACTTCCAAAGGACCCGTGCTGATATGAGTATTGCTGCTTATTTCCGAAAAAAGGGCTATCGAAAGACATAGTGTAGAAGTGGGTAAACCTGGAGAAACGGTTGTCTAGAGGCATGCTGTGAAACGTATGTTCGAAGGCTGGGGGGAAGGAATCGACTCCGGGTATCGCGTATGTTCCATAAGTCGTGAGTCGTAAGTCATTCGTGCTAGACAAAAGACGGTCGCCCAATGGGAATCTAGTCGAACATAAAAGCAAGGAAAGAGGAAGGTGTGCATCTTTAACGAAAGAAGCGCCACAAGCGCTGTAGCCACGAACGTTGCTCTTGAGCCGAATTACCCGCAGCTGCCCCTTCGGCTTGCGCTTGAAGAGATCTGATGCGATGAGCAGCGGTAATCATTTCTTGGGTGAATATAAGCTCGCGAGCAGTGGGCGGAGGCGGAGGCGGTGGGTTCTTGGGGTCGGGAGCGGTGCGCCTGAGATATTCTTCAAGCGATGAAATGACATTGGAAGGTTTCTTGTTGCGATTATTCTCGACGAGGCCCGCAACTTGCTCGCGGGTAACATTGCCTTTGACAGAATTCAGGAAAGACTTTTGGTATTGATCATCCATCCAATGATTTAGAGGGCCAAGTTCGTGGAGGCGGACATATGTTCCTTGACATGCTCTCAAGCGCTCAGGCGCCTCGCTTGAGTGAATGGCCTCGACGCCCTTGGCGACCTCGTTCTCATAGCGGAAGAACAGGAGATACGGCATGGTGTCTACTGGGAAATAGACGAACCGTCCGCTCCCGGAGCGAAGGTTCCGTATCGTTGGGGACGGATGTTCGATTGGAAAGTAGAAGCCCTTTCGATGACGTCCTCAGTAGCGAGGTGGAGCGAGGCAGCGGACCCAGGGATCGAGATAAGGTAGGCTTCTGTGTAGCGATGACCGGGGCCGTCTCGAACAGCTGGAATTACCCCCGTAGACTCACGGTTGGGAGCGATAGTGTCGTCGCTGTCACTGGACTCGCTCACACGGGAGTTGGCGGGCACAGGGACGTCCGCAGAATCGGACTCACTCAGGGTCTCTGGCCGGCGGAAGCAGGAAGTCACGCAGTTGCAAAACTTGAAGACGCCCTTCTTGACAGCGAGAGTGCACTGTTCGAAGCGGAAGCTCAACGTCGACATCCCTTGGGCGTTTGTAAATGTCTGGCGGCGTGAGCGATCGGGTAGTTCGTCCGGCTCGAGCTGCGAGCTGCGGTCTGTTGCTCGCGAGTGCTGCAATTCCCGTACGCGACGTTGGCTCACGTCGCGACGGGTGGCAGACGCTCGAATGTTGCGACGCGGCCGGCGACTGAACAAAGTCTTGCGAGGCGAGGTAGTCTCGGCCTCCTCGTCAGATGTCTCAAGTGAGAAGTGGCTTGCTTGGCCTGGGTATATGTGTAAGTTCGAAGGAAGTGGAAGAGCAGACGTAGGATAGCGTTCACCCGCGCCGTGGGACTGGTCGTCGTCACGAACGCGCACATGTCCAATAGGGTAGCCGCCCGCGTCGAAGCCAATGGCTGACGGCTCGAGAGACTGCCTGCTGTCGACGGCGAAATTGTAGCAGTGCCCTGTTGGACCGCGTCGCGCCAGGGGAGAAGCTAACGTACCGTATAGACTAGACGTACCTGCTGAGTCTGATGAGGCGTTGGACAGACGGTTGCGAAGGTGTGAGGGCCCGGGCCGCGGGGACAGCTTAGACGCGGAGGGTGGAGGCAGAGAGATGTCAACAGATGGGTCCGTCGCCCAAGGATAATTCTTGTCAAGATTCCAAGGACGAGTATCCGTGATTGTTCCTGTAGGAGTGCTTCCACGAGAACGAAGAGACCGCGTCGAGGGCTGAGAAGAAGGGGACGGAAAGTTGCGGAGAGAGAAAGAAGTTGTGTTGTGTTGGCGAAAGTGAGCGGGGGAAGGTGCCTCGACCTCCGTTGTGTTTGTCACTGTGTCGTCACGTGCACGCTCATGGGCGACGACACCGGTCTCCACCAATGCGGCAGCTTCAACCTGGGCCCGCCCACCTCCTTGAGCAGCTTTGTCTACACCCAGGCCTGCTTGGCCTCGGTTGAGACCGCGTACGGGACGTGTACCATTGTTCTCCTTTCCGGTGATCTCCTTGAATACTTCATCGTCGACAACGAACATGCTCGGAGAACCTGGGACAGGACGCAAGCGCGCCGAAGAACGCTTCTGCACCATTAGGCCTACCTCGTTGAGCCTCTCCATCGCCTTCTCCATGATACATTCCTCGTCTGGGAACTCGTCCGCCTGCGTAAGCCCCAAGGCCTCCTTGAGCTTTGGCAATATCTCCGACAATCGAGTCGTGAGGCCATTCACAGACGGTATGGTCAGCGAATCTACCTCCTTGACGAAAAGGTTCGGCGACTTGCGCGCCCGAAGGTCATCACCAGCGTGCCGACGCGTTGCAGATGTCTTCGCTGGCGTATCAAGTCCGGCAAACACACTCTTGTATTTCTCCCGATTCTCGCCTGCCGACGCCGACCGTGGCATCACCGCCCGAGACAACTCTTCCCGCGCAGCTGGAGCCAAATCCAACGAACGCGATACTCGATGGTCCAAAGCTTCATCAAAGCTCCCAAAGCTGCTGAAGTTCATCGAGGGCAAGTGCATCTGCTGAAGCACGCTATTGCGTGACGACCGAACAGATGGATGCCTCCGAGTTCCAGGTACACCTTCTGTAGACATCCTAAACACGGCAGGCTGGCTACCGCCAAAAGGACGAAAGTTGCTCGCGCTCGTGTTGAGACTTGAGTCCTCGTGCGACTCCTCCTTCAAATCAGGGAGGTGAGTGACTGCGTGGCGGAGACCAGGAAGTCTCAGATCGGTCGTGGAGTCCTCGTGGCTATTTCGGGCACCACGCGCACCTTCGACAGAATACGAGCGGAATGCATTCGCCCCGGTCCAGCTCAGGTGCGTCGTGGTCTGGCTGTCACGACGATGCTGTTCTGGAGTCTGAGGATAGATGACAGGAGAGACCTGACCATCGGACCCGGCAGAAGAGATATATACTGGCGAATATACCGAAGAAGCCTCCGGAACTGCAGGGGATGTAATACTGAGCGACGTCTGGCGTACATCGGAAGTAGCGGTGGCATGCGGATCCGATTTGGGCGTCTGTTCTTTCGGTGCGATGCTCCCTCCACGCATCGTCGTTGTTTCACTCTGTCTGTGCGGCAAGTCTCGCTCCTTGGTCAAGACTCGCTGGGATGCTTTCAGCGCTTCTACAGGCCGATCAGCGGATACAGTGATATTGCTCGTCAATATCCTCTCTTTCATGGGAGGTGGCGTAGGAATTCCGGCATCGGTATTCAAATCCTCTAAATACTCTGGCTTCGAAGTCGCATTCTCTTTACCAGGTCTAAGATTTGACCCAGGACTGGCTTTAGCAAAACGCTGGCGAACAGATCGCAGGAGGAAGTTAGCGACGCCCCTTGACTGCTGCGCTTCCTTCGACGAGCTTGATTCTCTAGGAGGTACAGCAGGGGGTGTGTGAGCTCCATGCTCCTTCAACAAAGAAAAGGAATCACCCAAAGAGCCTTGTGTGGAGCTTAGCTTTGAATTAGCTCGAATTCGACCAACGACCCTGGACATGCTTGATTCAGATATTGACGATGGAGGTGCTTTGCATTCTGAGAACAAAGGCGACGACGACGGCATCTCAGTGGATGGCCTTCGGCGAGGTGGCTCTGAAGAGATGAGGTGTGTTGATGGTAGCCTAGATGCCGGCAAAAACGCAGCACAGTTAGGAGTGACCGCATCCTTGCATGTGGTGAAGGACCTTGCATCCGGATCCTTGAATAATGGACCAGAATCTGGCAGATTGTCGCACGACTCCAGTGATTTGGCGTCGGCACCCTCTTCAGGAGGATCGATGACTTTTATCACATCCGTGCAAGACTTGAAGGACTGCTCATCCGAGGATTTGGCGGCGTGGTAGCTCGTATGGTTGCTTTTCTTCTCCAAGCGCTCCTCCTCTTCAACTTGCTCCTCAGCACCCTCTTTGCTCCCTTCTTTGGTATCTGTGCGCTGGTAGCCTTCAAGGAGATCCGTCATGCCATCTTCGCTTGTCGGATCTGCCTCAGGAGCATACACGGGCGAGGTCTCATTGTCTAAATCCAGCGTCACACCATTGTCAGCCACCATGGGAATTGAGCACCGAACGGCGAATTCAAGCGTGGAGGATTCCATCACACTCGAACCTGCTTGCGAAAGAATGCTGTGTCGATTCTCGATATCCATTGAATGCGCGGGGTATGCAGCCCGGCGCGGAACACCATCTTGTATGGCACTTTGTCCATCCTGTGAGTCAACCATAGACCGCTCTGAATTCCGCGCTTCTGCTGTTGCCCCAGATAGCTCTACTTCTCCGCTCGAAGATTCGGGTCCAATGCCTGCCAGAACTAGATCACGCGTTATACGGCGCGGAACCGGTGAAGCGGGGAGCTCAGGAATATCCGGAACCATTCCATCTATGTTCGTCTTATCGGCACTTAAGACATTATTCTCTTTCATGACTGGCTCAGGTGTTCCTCGCTCTTCAATGATGGTTTTGATATGCCGAACAAATCCTGTGGGTACTGCATCGATAGAAGGTTCTAGGGCCTCTTGACTCTCATATTGCTCGGTATAGTCATAATAGTTGACTGTGCCTGACATGCTGCGAGGCATGGATTGAGTACCAGTAGGACTGACAAGTATATCACCATCTCTAGGCGTTGGGGGCGAAGTTGAGTCGGAGGAAGGAATGTCCGAATCAAAACGTCGGTTTGTGGAACCGCTAGAGTTGGAATGTTTTGCCGATCTGTGGGAGGCAGTTCGATGTGACCTCTGTGACTGCCGCTCACGTTCGCGCTCCAGGGCAGCATGACGATGTGGCATCAACGGCGGCACAGGCGGAATGTCTGGGTACGGGTCACCATAATAGACCGGTGTCCGAGAGCGGCTAGGCGGCCGACGCATCGATGTCTCCGAAGGCCTACGAAGTCGCGTTTGCGCTGGATACGGCGGAAATCCGTTATCCGAGTATCCGTATCGACGCCGAGGGTATAAGCCAGTTGTGTCACTCAGAGCTGGCGAAGACGGTCGATAGCCAGGCCTCCGAAGTCGAGTTGGATACATATAAGGTGACTTGGGTCGCTGAAGACGATCGTGGCTGCGCAGACTGGCTAAAGATCGATTGCTCGACAGACGAAAAGTCGGCTCAGAGCTATTCGCCATGGTCATGGAGAGGCTGCGGTGCCCTTCCCTGCGGTCTCGTGCAAGTGGTATGAGCGGCGAAGAGCCCGAGACATTCATGACTGTTGGGGACAATGTGTCAGGGACGTACTGGGGCATGTTGTGCTCTCGCGAATGTCGAGTTCCTGCTGAGGCTGTCGAATGCCAATGATGGTGGCGAGGACCGGTTCGATTCGAGGTGTTTGAGTGCGATGAAGCAATCGACAGCCGCGAGGTAGCACCCCCTCTCCGTTGTGCTCGAGGGACGTTGGGCATGAGCGGATCTACAGCAGAACCCCCAAGGTTACCCATCTCGGTTGACGTCCGAAGCATCGAGGCAACTGCGGGTGCGAGCATGTCGTGCTTTGCTATCGCTGAACCCCTCGAGGGGCCACGCGACGCCACAGACATGTCAGAAGCTCGGCTGTTGCGACCAGAGGCATTCAGCTCGCGGTCAGGTGGTAGCATGGCGCTCCCGTCGTGCCGCAGCCGGCGGCGAAGGGGATGAGGGAGGGCCTCAGTTGGGTAGGAGCTAGATGATGTTGTTTGGTGAGATGGCGCTGCGGCCTGCAAACAAGAGATGCTTATTCCAACGCACACAAAAGGGTTGTGGAGCGAGTGACAGCGGCCGCAGTCCCGCGCTGCCGGCCAACGGGAGGAGAACAATGTTGTTTGCGGATGGTGGGGAGAGCAAAAAGAGACGATCACGGTGGAGGAGGACAAGCGTGGCAAGGGGGTGAGAGGACGGAGGGAGCTGCCGCCTATGAAAACCAGTACGGCAACCACGACGTCAACTCACCTGCGGGGGCTCTTGCCGCTACTACCTGGAAGACGCAAGAGAAGAACAACGCAACTACGACTCGAGGGGACGGCGTGACCCTGCAATGAGATACTTTTTCTACCTACCAGACGTATAGGCGGCCCACCGCATTCTTATGAGGGCACGAAAGCTTTCTCCTCCTTCTCCTTCTCTTGTCCTCTCTTCCGTTCCAAAGGGACCTCCGCGCCCATGGCCACTATACCACTGCGCTCCCCATCCCAGCCCAGCCCAGCCCATGCCAGTCACGGCGACTTATCCACGTCCCGGAACCGCGCTCACGCGCGCTTTACAAGCATCGTAACCACATCAAACGGAAACGGACGTACTATACAACCAACGCCTGGAACGCTCAGCAAGCGTGAATGCAGCCAAAAAGTCTGCCGAAAAGGGTATATGATTGTGCAACTCGCTGTGGGGAAAAGCAAATGCCGCTCAAGGAAACAAACACCTGGGGTGATCACTCTACAATGGTCTCTACAGAGCTGTGCTTTTTCTTGCTGAACAGACGCTTCAGCGACGAAAGACTCGACTTCTTCAACAAACGGTTACGGGAAGGGGGAAGATGATTATCGAGGGATGTTGAAGCGCGGGGGGGAACATGGAGAGCTGCCGTTTCTGGTGCTCGGCGCGCGGTCAATGCAGGAGAGACGGCGCCGTAGCGACCTGATATCGAATGTTTAGGTGTACTTGGGCCGCTGCTGGGGAACAGCCCAAATTGCGCGCGTGGATGCGAGAAAGATTGCGCAGACGCCGAGCGCGGATGTATTGAAGTTGGAGACGCATACGATGTGCCGGAAACAGAAGAATAGGCCGAATCTTTGCCCGTCAACGGCGGGCTGTGTACGAGCACTTCCTTTTCGTCGCTCACTACTACCTGTTTCTCGTCGCTAAAAGATGCTGGTTCTGGTGTTTGCTCATACATGTCCTGATGGAGGACAATCTGCACATCTTCCGAACGTCTATCCAGGCCGTTCGAGGAGCTACGGTAGTGCCCGGAGGGCCCGTCCATATCAGATGGTGGTACATCAACGTTAGAGTGCGTCTGTTCTCTTAGCGTTAATCGAACATCCTCCTGCTCGTGCTCCCTAAGAGAATCCTCCGAGTTTTCATGCGAAACGACGCGAATTCGAGGATGGCTAGACGGGGATTGTTGCCGCGTAGAACCCCTGGATGCAAGTTCTACATTCGCAGAGGGCGATGTCATAAAAAGGTGGTCGTTCGTTGGGCACACTTGGGAGCGGTTTGTTCTGCGCCATGTTTCGGAACGAGCGTGCGGCTTCTCGCGAATTCGAAGAATTGCGTGACGAGGATCGGCTGGCCACCTATGTGAGAGAGATATGTTAGCAGGCGCTACGAAGTGGTGAAACATGAGATGCAGAAGTTTGGAAAGGATCGACAGGTGTCGAAAGGGGCTCATACCATACTACGGCGGCTAGCTGCCCCGCACCGTTTCTCGATCTCGTTGCAATAGCTGCTCACTTGCACCAGGACGACACCCAGCTTTTCGGCTTTGGCGACCAGGCTCTGAAGGAATTGTGCCCAACCTCCGGTGTTCCCGCACATGGCTGAGTAGATGCGACCGATATCTCCATCCATTGCAGTCCAATTATGTCCTATTTGAAGGAGATAGGAGTCGAGCTGCTGGTTCGCGTTTTGAAACGTGTTTATGTCGACCAAGTAGTCGTTCAGCATCTGCGACATGCGATTGATGGTTCGTTCTATCGTGACGTTGCCCTCCAGTAGCTGGAATCGATACGTGCGATCGTCGAGAAGTCGGTCGAACTCATTTACGTGCTCCATGGGAACTTTCAAGCATTTCCTTCGGAACAGCATGTCCTTCAAACTTCCTTCAATATCCTCGTTTGCTCGTTGTAAGAAGCTGTCGAGCTCGTTGACATGCTTCAGCAAGATGTCGGCCACATCAGCAACCGACTTCTCCAGGTGTTGATGCAGCAAATGCACACCAAAGATGATCTGCGCGACCGTCTTTAACAGGGGATGGTATTTGCCCTTGGACTTGTTCCGCCAATGGCAATTGTACGTGAAATTCCAAGTGAGCTCAGGAGCGTCGTGTTCTCTGCAGAGCATGTGCTGGCGTTGCTCTATGGTCTTCTTGGGGTTCTTGAAAGGAACAAAGCCGGTTCCTCCGGTGGCATCGAGCATCGACTCTTCAAAGGGCCCCTGCATGAGGCCCAGAGGATGTACAGGGAAAGTCATGACGACGTTGTACTTGTTGCGCTCCTCCCGTTGGAGTCTGCTGGCGTCTTTTTCGGCATCGAGGTCGCGGAGGCTTCGTCGGTTGTGCTGAGAAGCCCGGAAGGGCACCATGGTGTGCCACGCGCGATATATAAGGCTGCGGCGCCAGAGACGCAGAGACAGCTACGACTTAGACGATTGGCTTCGGGCTCGGGGTCACACAGCTTGGCCACGGACCCAGGGCCCAGACGATGCGCGGTGTGGGCAATTGCAGGCGGTGCATAAGCACCCTGGACGACCGCACTAGATGGGCAAGGGGGTGAATAGAGTTAACAGCCCCGCGGTGATGCAGAACGAGGGCAGAGGAGGGCGGTTGGGAGCATGCTGGCTGGGAGACCGACAGCAGCGGCAAGTCTGCGAGAAGGATGCAGGACAAGGGGACGGTTTGCGGCACGTGGATCAGGAGCTCGAGGGGTTTCCACCAGGAGTCCGCCCTGATCAACGAGCGCCGCCGCGGCACCGGCCGTTCGCAACCTGGCCAGGAGTCGCATGGTGCATGTCCTGGCGCGCGAGAGCTCAACGAGGTTTAGACGGTGCAGCTTAGCTTCCGCGCTGGCCAATGCACCGATGCTCCACACATCCTCCTGCAGCTCATGCTAGCCGCCCGTCTTCGTTCCTTGCGCCGTCGTCGTTTGGCAGCGAAGCCTCCTCCAGCGCGCCTATGCGCTCTCCATCTCATGCCCCGGGCGAGCCGCGACCCCGAGACATGCAGCCAGAGCACGAGGATTCGCCGTTCAAGACCCCGCTGCCCGCAGACGACCGCACATCTCCGTCCGAACGAAGCAGCGTCAGTGTGCGCCGGGTCACTCGCACTGCAGAAAAGATTGCTGGGCTACTTCGCGAATTGAGGCGTGAGCTCGAGACCTCGGAACACACAGCAGCAATCGAAACACGCGGAACGCTCCAAGTCGCAGTCAAGACTCCTGCATCAACGACCACGATTAAGCTCGACGATGTTTCGCACGTAGACCGTGTCTGTTTGAGTGTCACCGATCCTAGCCCCGCGACAAACGGGCAAGAGCCACCCATTGATGGGTCAGGTGCAGACCCTTCGACCGCAATCACCGTTGAAGACGATAGTACTACCTCACTCCACAAGCGCACACGACGCGACTCAGATGCCGAGCTTGAGAAGGAGCTGGTCTCAAGGAAGAGGCAGAGAATGGATTGCGGCGAAAAGGATGCGAACATGCAGCAAGATGCAAACGATGACGACGACATCATGCCGCTGATCACAAAGGAGGACCTGGAAAAAATCGTGGCAAAGCTGAGGGAGGACATCCAGGAAGATACATCAGAATGTGTAAACCATGTGCAGAAGCTACTCCGTCGTTTCAAGGAAGAATGGCACGAAAAAACTACGTTGGACTTCGAGCGGCCGTCGAATGGTCAGAACGGTCAAGGTTCCAGGCCTCCCGCGGTGGGAACTGGCTTGACGCCTGCCGCAGCATTTCCCTCGCCGGGAGCAGGCCAAGATGACCAAGATATCACTGTCCCGGAGCTAATCAGACAAGAATCAAAACTCATCTCCAGCCAAATTAAGTGGGTCGAGGAGTGTCGGCGCGTCGCTGCAGATGCACACGACCAACGCGAGGAGAACTGGCGGACATCTTCGGCCAATTTCCACGATAAAGGTCGCCAAGAACGCGAAAGCTTCCAGGGCCGTATCTTGCATGAGCAGGGTACGCAGACTCAAACGCTCAATCAGATACTGAGCGAAGTCAGATCCTTCGGGTTGTATGTACAGAGTATGAAGTGGGAGACACCCGGCTCTCTATCAATGGGCCCACCTTATCATCCGGGACCACCAGCCTTCCCAACGCAGCCGCCACCGACACCTTCAAGAGGGAGAGGGAGACCAAGAGGACATGGAAGGGGAGGATGACAACTAAAGGTGGTCGACGCAGATTCACGCCCTCCATATTGAACATATAGAGACATTTACACACCCATGTTCAAAGGAAGAACATCGAACCAGCTACTTACCATCCGCGCCACCGGACCCAGACATCCACAACAGTATGGCGATCCTTTTCCGAATCAACGATCAGATACCATCCAAACCCAGCACCAGCAACGCAAGCATGGTTCGGCCATACTAGGACCTTGGACCCTATCTCTAACGGCCTCATCTGGTCTTCCGGGCCCTCCCATGTCAGGATTCCTGCCAAACCCGAAGGTACAAAGTCAGTGTATGTCTCACAGAAGCGGGGATGGTACATTGCGTTGTGTCTCTGCTAAGCGAAGGAACATCTGTTCTTAAGCTGTAAGCAGATAAAGTGGTTTTTCTTTCGCTTAGCGGAAAACACGCATCCACTTTGTACCCGGGAGACTTGCCATGCTCTTGGCTTATCCTCCCGACGATCCAGCCAGTTTTGTCTCCTCGCTCATCATATACAACATTACCTTTGTTGCCCAGTTCTCCCGTTACGATACCCCACCCCGTATAGCTCTTGCATGGCTCCCTACCCAAGGCCAAGGATCCGGCTGAAGCGAGCGCCTCTGGCTTTCCTCGCTCATCATAAATGGAAGAGATTTCGAGCAAGACCTTGATCCCGACGCTCTCTTTCGTCAACGACGCTCTTCCGGCAACTGGGCGCGCGTGCGTTGCTACTTGCTGCATGTCGAGCAGTGGATACACGCCCGCATGCAGCTCCACAGCGTACGTCTCTTTCAGGCGGTTCAATAACGTCTTGAACTCTGCGGCCCTTGGCGAACCCGAGAGCATGTTTTGCGCGGCGGTCGCAGTTGGGGTAGCGCCAACAGTCAATACCATTTTGCGCTTAAGAAGCCGCAAGTAAACCTCATCAACCTCGGCTGCGGCTTCTTCGAGCCCTAATGCGCGGGTACAAAGTCAGTATGAGCTAAGACGGTGTGAGCGAATACCTCGTGCATATCTCAGCCTAGCGAGAAAGAAATGTTTCTTCTAGCACAAAGACACATCCACTTTGTACCTGGTGGTGTGCTTACCCTCCAATTCAGAGATTAGGCCGTGTGCGGCGTCCTTTTCCGAGCTGCCAGCGTACGAGTGCCCGTAGTGCGAGTAAAAGCCTCGGAACGCCTCACCGACGGTTCCTACTACTTTTCTCACCAGGCCTGGGAATTTTGACGATGAGATCTTGATGCCAGCACGTTTGTAGCCTGTATCAATCTTGATGAAGACGCCAATTTGACCTTCGACGAGCGCTTTACTCATCTTGTTGAAAGCGTCGATGTTGTCAATCAGGATGTTCACGCTTCCTGGGGTGAGTTTTGAGGAGAGGTGGAGGAGGCGTGGGATAGCGTGTTGCGCTGGCGGCACGCCGTAGAGGACCTACTTACACACGCATTAAATTTCAATGGAACAATATGTAAAAGGGTGACTTACACTGCTTTCTCGTCCATTACTCTGGCATTCCAGCAAGAACGGCAAAAGATTCTCTGCTTCAGTCAGGGTAGAGACGATGAAATTCGCTTCGCCATCTCCGGTTCCAACCTGCAATTTCGACAATTCGAGCGTCTGTACACCACATCAGCTCCAACTTACACTTGCCGTTCGAAAATCAAACGTCTTCTGGTGTGTGACAGGAGGGGAGACCTACCTTATGACTCTTAACATGCGCTCTGAACCCGACCCCCAGTTTCTCGCACACATCGAGCATAGCATCGCAATTCTTCTTCACCACCGCGCGGTCCAGAACCACAGCAGGCGTAGATAGGTCTTCCAACTTCTTGCCCAGATATTGGAGTTGCAGGGAGGCAAGGGAGGGAAGTGGATGGTTGGCTGTAGGGATGGGGTCCATGATTGTCTTTTGAGCGGGCAGTGTATATGCGTATACTATGATGATTTTTGCTTTGGTACACGGTCATTTGTATACTTTTGGTATGCTCGCAGGCGTGGATGACAGGGAACGGGGATTCAATGTCCGGGGTGAGAGATTCCGGATACGCCCGGCGGAAAATCGTGTCGGGTAGATGCGGGGTGAGAGCGAAGAACGACTGGATCGGGCAGGAAGGATACTTTTCCGCGAATCAGTCGGACACGTAACACTGTTGAATCTGAGAACCGATTAGATTGGCAGCGGATGAACTGCGAAATCGAAGGAGTCACTTGGAATGCCCCTTACGTCGTCGGTAGGGCGGCTCGCGCTAGATAGGCGATGGCGCGCGGCTATTCAGAAGAACATGTCATCATAGCAGATTACACTGGTGAATATGGATGTCGAAGAACAGAAGATGTATTAGCCTGTGCATTGACTTCGCGTAATCTCTCCGTCTGCCTAATTCGTAGAGGAAGATTCAGTTCAGAGACATGGCATCTGGGCTACTTTGGAGTTGACCGTACGCTTCTACAACGTTGCCACGGAAGTATGTTGTCCACACTGGTGCGCTTTCTGACGAGTTTCTCACGTGGCGTGCGCCTTACTTCCTATAGTTAGGATGTTTCTTACCCCGGTCTTGTGCACGCGCCATCGGTGCTTCTGCCAAAGAACGTCACCCTTATCCCACCTCGCTGCGTCTTATATCAACGCTACTTTGCACTCCTCCAGGCATTCTATACGCGCAGAAGGGTCCAATTGACAAATATACCGCGCGCATATAGCCGTACCAGCGCAATACGAACCGGCCAAGCGTACTGTGGCCGCTACCCCACTGAGGCTTGTCATCCTTTCCTCATTAGGACCTTTCCTCACCCGCTCACTCTGCGACGATACTCCCGCTTTTCCGCCTGCTGGTACCCACCCTGACCTGATCCTTCATTATTGTTACCTAATACCGCTGGGCCTGCTCTACATGTCCGACCGTCCTCGCCTTCCGGCATCATCCAGCTCAAATAATGCGGAATCGCGACCTAGCTTTTACAGTGGGAGGTACCCTTCCAATGGCAGTGGCAATGGTAGCGACATATCACCTAAGCGCACCACTTCATCACAACACATAAGGATCTCCAAGCACCTAGATCGACCGCATTTGACCGGCAAGAACCGCACGTTGAGTGACGTGCTGCGTTCCCATCGAAGCAACCAAGAGCAAGAGACATTGCTTGGCGACGATGAGCTTGCAGATCATGATGGATGTGTGCGAGAGGGGACAGCACCACGTGAAAACTTTCATACCGACCCGAACACGAAGTTGAATGTATACTACAACATCCAGCGGATCCGTCGGCTAGTCTTGGCGAGCATCGAGGATCCGTACAGTATGGAGCAGCTTAAAGAACCTCGGATGAATGTTTTGATTGTCAAACCCCTTGTTGATCGGCTGTTTGATGATGAAGATATATCGATCGGTATGTTTCCCCTTGTATTGTCCCCGTGATCCGACTGACGCAACCTACGTGTAGTTTACTGTCTATTTGTTAACAGGATGCAATTTTTACGCGAGCAGCATTTTCAAAATCATCACCAGACGGTCAATCTGACGCGAGCCAACTTGTGCGAGATAGTGGCTATGAAGGTTCTCCGAAGGCACGACGAAGAGTTCGCCGGAAAACAAGGCCTACTTCAACTGGCTAGAATTTTAGTTTCTCCGTTTCAGCCATTCCAGAACGCCCCCCCAGAGATATGCCCTGAGCAACGCAAGTGGGAGTACCAAGGCGGCTACGAGGGAAAATTGACCGCACTGGAGGTTGCCATTGTCTCGGAGAGCAAGATGTTCCTTAGCAGCTCAGCGCCACAGAAGGTTATTGATGGTGTGTACCGCGGACGCATAGTCTATACACCAACTGCCTTCATGGATATTCTTCCCGACCACTACAAGCACAAACCTATTTCTCTTTACGATCCTCGGCATGCACCTCTCCTTAATCAGTACCGTTTGATCGTGCCTAGAACTCGTGCCTTTGTCGAAGCAACGTGGTTCGTCATTCTAATTGGGCTGTACTGCTTCTGCATGACGATGCAAAACCACGACGAGTTTACATTAGCTGAGGCTTTATTCTTGATCTACGGCGCAGGTTGGACCGTGGATGAATGTGCGTCCATGTTGGAGCATGGTTGGCAAGTACATACACAAGAGCTATGGGCCTTCTTAGACGTCACCTTCGTTGTCATCTATCTGTCCTACCTGGGCCTTCGAGTCTACGCCTGGTCAGCCAACAGTAGCGAGCTCGGGAGGCAAGCATTGGACATCCTTGCCATTGCTGCTCCAATCCTCTTCCCTCGGCTGGCCTTCAACCTCATGCCCGAAAACATGCTGTTCATCGCGCTACGGGCCATGGTCAAGGAATTCACAGCCTTGAGCTTGATCGCTGTGTGGTGTTTCGCAGGATTCTTATTGTCGCTCAAGTGGCTTAGTATGGGCAGTCCAAAGGACAACTTCGGAGACCAACCGGGCCCTATCGAAATCTCTAAGTGGATGCTCTGGATCTGGTTCGGTCTGGACGGTACCGGCATCACGGAATCGCCAAACTTCCACGAGGTTCTTGGCCCTGTACTCATGGTCGTCTACGCCTTCCTGGGCAACACGCTTTTCCTGACAGTTCTTGTATCCATCCTCTCGAACACCTTCTCCAAGATCGCCGCGGACGCAACCGCAGAAATCCAGTTCCGCCGCGCAGTCTCCACCTTCGAGGGTGTCAAATCCGACTCCTTGTTCTCGTACTTTCCGCCCACAAACATACTCGCCATCGTTTTCCTCCTTCCGCTCAAGTTCATCGCGTCCCCCCGCTGGTTCCACAAGATCAACATCACTATTGTACGTGTGCTCAACGCGCCGTTGCTCCTCGCCATTGGCTGGTACGAGCGCCACCACCTCTGGAAACCACGCCGGAAGCCTACCATCGCCGGGCCGTCAAAGCGTGGCAAGTGGGGTTTCTGGAGCACGTTCGACGTGCACGCCGAGATCCGCGAGGTCTTCGACGAGGAGCCTCCGGAAGCAGTGATGCAGCGTATTGAAGAAGAGGACGACCTCGAGCACGCGATTCTGGAGAACAGCTTTGCGGGATTGGCGGGTATTAGGAGTAGGAGCATGAGTCCCGGGAGTGCGATGCAGCCGAGAAGGAGGAGGTTGAGCAGTGTTTGGCATGGTGAACCATAAGTCGGTCGCTTCAGTGGACTTGCTGAGAGATTCGCGTGGATGTAAGAAGAACGACTTGTACCTCAAATTGGCAAATATGGGTGTTAGCGTTAGGGCTTCGGCTTACAGCATATTGAGCGTTCCAAGTGTACCTACTGTCTTCGGTCTTCAAGTCATGTCTGACACTACCGTTGAGTGACTCAAAGGAGATCCACTTTGCATCCTAAGACTAAAGAGCTACCGCCGCTCTTCCACTTGAGCATATCTCACCTCCCTCTTCCTCCTCCATCCATCCACAAAAGTATGACCATGCCAATCATAAAATTTCTTCGTCACTCTCCCATCGCACAACGGCCCACAGCTGCTTCTGCGTCATGTCGCAAAAGAGGTTTTCCTCAAAAGACACAAAGTCTGGACTATGCGACGTCGCACTGGAACAAGGTTGCTTACTACTGTGCTCACCGTGATGGCTGGCAACGATGCGGTCTTTGAATAGTACTTCTGCACCCTCATTGTGCGCCCAGGACGAGATTTGTCGGACAGTCGCCACAGTTGCGCGAGTAAGGAGGCTGAATAAACTCAGAGCCTGAAGGAACATTGTTTTGAGAGGCAGAGGCTGCAGGCTCGGCGCGGAAGATATGGTATAAAGCGGTAGTCCTTGTACCACTCCAGCTTTGGGTGGCTACAGAGACTTTTAGGGTTGTCTGGGACTTGGAAATCGTGTGTGATGCCAACGGCGCCGAAGTCGGTCATATGAGCTTTAAAGCCGGAGTATTTAGACAGTGTGTCTGACGCGGATGTTGCGCAGCTCGGGGTGGATGTTCCGTTGACGGATTGGTGTTTGTTGCTGTAGTAGGAACGGCTCCATGGCCGTGGACCGCCTGACCAAGTGCAGTATGGCTGATGCGGAAGTTAGTAACTCTCGCACATGCACATGGTGTCGTAAGCCTAGTGTTTACGTCCCGTTCTTTATGCTAGCGAAAAGATTCGAATAGTACCACTGAGTGCCGCAGTACTTTCCCATATCCCCCAACCACCCAAGTTGCGTCTCATCGGCCCAGGTCTGGGCAATGTACGCCAGACAGAAAGCCTCCGAGCCACCAGCGATCTCAAGATAAGTTGGCTGCTGGAAGAGGTAGCTGTCGTTGTGATGCACCTCCACTCTCTTGAAGGTCCCAGGCTGTATGTCGCGAAAGGAAGATCCAACGGCGGAACCAATTAGCACGCCTTCCTCAATCCAGACTCTCACTGAGGGGAAGGTTCCGCCTAAGCTCTGGGGAACGCTGGAGTTCAGTCCGATACCACAGCGAAGGAGGGAATGGCCCTGCTGGAAGGGGCTTGTGGGAATCTCGGGCGGTGGGAGAATGAGGTCGGCGATGCCGACGATATCACCGACGAAGAGGCCAAAAACATCGATGGCTACATACTGCGGCGGCCATCAAGATCGAAGCGATGCAGTCTCACTGGGACAAGATAGTTCAGAAACGATGGAAGCGCAACGAAGGTCTTCCGAACATGCTTGAGATCTGGAAGGAAAGCCTATTGATAGCAGGATGCGCTTCACTTCAAGATGTTCACTTGTGGCGTAGACGGGGAGTTGTGGCGGCATCACAGCCATCTTGAACGCTAGTACGAGAAGGACAACTGGGAGGACACTTTGACTCGCTAAAGACAGTTAAGCGCAAGGCAGCGCCGGACCAGACTCATTATGAAGTGGCTAAGCATGAAGCAAAGCTGCATATTGTATTAAAGTCATGTGTTGAATAGCGAGAGGTCGAGCAAATGGTATACTATCTCCCTACTGCGGATGTTAGGGCGGTATCACTGTCAAGTCGCTCGCCAATCCAAGTTGCAACAACGTCTATGCCTCAAAACAACCTAACTTGCGTAAGACTACTTGTAGCCTAATAAGGCTATGTTTGGTCGAGGAGAAAATCGGGGCCAAGGAGGAGGCAACCATGGCGAGGCTGAGGCTGGCGTTTTTATGGGTTAATCGAAATTCGCCTATCTGGTCCCTTTCGATTCCATGTAGCAAGCCACCAAGCCATCAGAAAAAGAGCAACAAGTGAAGCGAGCTACAGGCCGATACAGATGACATGAAAAGCCTTTCCGCCACCAGAACCTATTGCTTGGTGGGAACCATTACAATGTCTGCGCAAGACATTCACTCGATCTTCAGTCGCTGTACTATCAAATTCTGTGAAGGTAAAGAAAGAGTAAACGGAATCAGTGAAGACGTTGTCACAGAGGTCGCAAACTATATACACGATGAAGAAGAGAGACAATAGCATAATATTGACTGGTAGTGAAGAAATTCTGGTTGTCTCGGGCCAATGGATAGTCTCGGTACCTATTCCGGCGCTCTTGCGGGTCGGTGAATTCGATTCTTCACATTGAGATACGAGAACTTTTACGTCGGCCGTTTGGCATCTTTGTGTTACACTCTTAGACTTCCGGTATGTTCTCGTAGGAACGACCGAAGTTATGCTAGATTTGAATTCTATAACCTCTACCAAACGCCCAAACAGACAACGCCTCAATGTCACAATTGCAGAAGAAGCATCGCGCAGCCTGACAACTGCTTGGGCTCTACATCTTCCCGAATGGGACACTTCTCCGTCAGCAATGCTCAGTGAGGGGCTTCTAAGTAGTACTCACGACTCAAGTCGCTTACAGATTGGGAATTGCACAGTCGCTCACAATGGTCATGCTTATGTCAAAACTCGTAGCAATACAATCAATGTCCGCTTGTACGTCGTATCGTGCCTTGGTCGCACAAATGAGCCCTGAGCGATATACCATCCAAAGAATATATTAATGTCCATGCCACTTACGCGTGCTCCGCGTTTCGAATAAGTGAAGACGCTGAACGTTCTAGTGCGTCGCGCGAATGCAGGTGCGTGGTGGCCAAAACGGCAACCGCGCGCACTAAGGACGAATCTCAACCACTCATCATCCACCTCACCTAAACTTCGAAACACACAGCAGCCCCACCCGTCTCTGTCCACCACCCGCATCCACCCACGCCACCGCATCCCACACTTGCACCCTAGTCGCTCATCTCTCTATCCTGGAACAGGTTGAAGTCCTCGGCTTTCAATCACCCTTCACAGCCCAGAATGTTTCATCGTAACCGCCCCGTCGCTTCACGCGTGCTTTTAGACGCAGCGGGCCAGTGGCGCGTAGGAAACATTGTGGAGACGTTGTTTCGAAGGTAGATTAACGAGTCAATAAAGGGACTTGGGGCCCTGAAGAGACATGTAAACCCTCTTTTCGTTCCTCTTGTGACCTGCGTTGTGCGTGCCCGGGCGATGCGCATTGTGGAGTCACTTTACATTCATTTTTAGAGCAAGTCTATATTCATCTTGAGCAGGCTCTTCTTCCCAAAAGCGTTTCGGAATATTTACAACGGTTGTCGCAACTCGCGAATGCACTCTTTGGAAAGCCCATATTTGCAGCAGACACTCACTACATCATAAACATGCGCCCATCATCATTCCCTAACGCAGCGCTGGCCGCGACCCTACCAATCGTTGCCTCTGCCCAGGGGAGCTATACTCTTAAAGACGATCTCACATACAACAATTTCTTCCAGAACTTCGACTTCTTTTCCGGCAGCGATCCCACGAACGGATTTGTCCAGTATCAGACCAAGGATGCCGCGACCCAAAATCAGCTCGTCGGCTATTTCGAAGACACGCAGAGTGTATTCCTTGGCGTCGACTATAAGAACAAGGACCCGAAAGGACGGGCCTCCGTCCGCGTCGAGAGCACAAAGACCTGGAATCAAGGCCTCCTCATCGCAGACATCCGTCATATGCCTGACTCTACCTGTGGCACGTGGCCGGCCTACTGGCTCCTCGGCCAACAAACGGTCGGCACAGATGACTGGCCTAAGGGCGGCGAAATCGATCTCCTCGAGGGCGTGAATCTCGACTCTGCCGCCGCAGTCACACTGCACACGTCCGCCGGATGTGCCGTCGACAACGCTACTTCTAGCATCCAAAGCCGAGCCGAGTCTGCCTTCATGGGCAGCATGTCTACGTCCAATTGCGACGTCGCCGCCGAGGACCAAGACAAGAACGTAGGCTGCAGCATCCAGGCACCGAAACTTACCGCGCAGAACAATTTGGCGACGTACGGCACGGACTTCAACAACGCTGGGGGAGGCGTGTATGCTATGGAGTGGACGGACTCATCGATCTCGGTCTGGTTTCTTCCACGCAACAGCACGACCTTTGCGTCTGCGTCCTCGAATGCTACACAGACGCTCGACCCGTCCACCTTTGGTACGCCGCTGGCGAAGTTCCAGGGCCAGGGGTGTGACTTCCAGGAGCGCTTCAAGAACATGCGGATCATCTTCGATACGACCTTCTGTGGTGATTGGGCAGGCAAGACGTGGGAAGAGTCCACGTGTGCTGCTAAGACAGGCGCGGCAACGTGCGAGGAGTACGTGCAAAACAACCCTGAGGCGTTCGCCGACGCGTACTGGGAGATTGCGGGCCTCAAGTGGTTTGAGAAGTCAAGTGCTTCCGGCAGCCCATCGACACTGTCCGTGCCTGCGGCTTCACCTAGCTCGGTATCGTCTTCCGTTCCCGTGGCTTTCCCTAGCTCTTTGGCACCTCCTCCCAGCTCAGTGTCTTCTCCTAGCTTTGTCACTTCTATCGTCCCAGTGTCCTCCTCGGTCGTGCTCTCCTCTCTGAACCCGGCACTCAACCCAGTATCCTCCGCTATCGATCCCGCACCCTTAAACACAGCCGCTGCTCCCGCAGCTTCTTCCGCAGCGCCAGCACCCAGCAATGGCACTGGATCTGGCTCTGGCGGTGGCTCCAGTCCCAATATGCAGGGTTTCATATGGCCAACCGCACATGTTGGTGGCAGCCCTGTAGCCTCTAGCCCAGCCGCTTCTTCTGACGTAGCAGCTTCGTCAAGCCCAGGTGCATCCATTCCAGCAGCTTCTCCCTCAAGCCCATCACTTTCCGATCCTGCAGTTTCCTCTTCAAGCCTAGCAGCTTCTCCCGACCCAACAGCCTCTCCTAGCTCGGCTGCCGCCGACTCGACAGCTTCTTCCATCCCGGCAGCTTCTTCCACACTACTCAATGCTCCAACCCAAGCTGCCAACCCAGTCGCATCCTCTATCGCCGCCTCTCCGGTCGATGCTGCGCCATCAAACGCAGCCCTGAGTACTGCAACTGCTCCCTCTGCCGCCCCGACTGGTCTTAGTCCACCTGCTGCCGGCCTACCTGCTGCCAGTCAACCCGCTGTCAGTCAACCTGCTAGCCAACCTGCCGCCAGTGAGCCTGCTGCCACTCCCTTACCCGCGACTTCTTCTGCGTCTATACCTTCAACCACCTCATCTTCCGCCGCCCCGCTGTCCACCTCTAGCTCTGGGTCCAACTCCAGCTCCGGAACCGATGGTTCTAGCCCTAACATGAAAGGTTTCATCTGGCCCACAAAGCATCTTGGGAAGCGAGCGGCTGCAGTGGGAGGTGTGAAGCGACTGGGCCGAACTTCCCGCTGGTAGGAAAGTTATCATTTTTTTTCTTGTTGGATTCTTAGTACATATACCCCTTTGTTTAGCATTTAGGTTTTGGAGTTGTCTGTGATTTGAATAGAAATATTACACTGCATTGCATCGCATCGCATGGTTCAGTGAGCTAGTTGGGTGAAGTGTGCTGAGTGTAAGGGGAGAGTGAAAGCAATTGATTGTTACGAGCGAGGTGGAGACCAAGTAGACGATCCTCTACCATGGCCTACAGTGGACATCCTGTCTGCATCTTGGGAGAATTAGGACAGTGAGGAGACGTAGGAGAATCGGACGGAGTCTGGTCCATCGCATTCACGCACGCGCCGACTCTCTAGTTACTTCCGATAGCATTTATTTTGCCCGCGTGTATACGTTGCACGAGAATGCGAAAAACTTCGATCGGACTAGGAAGAAGATGATCGCTAATGTTATCGATGAGCTCATTTGACAAGTCTCATAAACCCGTCATGCCGATAATGTGCAATAAGCAGTTGAGGTTGAGTGGGAGATGAGCGTGTAGAGGTTGATATCCGGAGCTTTTCTACACCTGCTTTTACACATCTATATGGAATGCTCTAATCGTTCAGCTGAATGTTGCCGGTTCGCGGTCTAGTTAAAAGGCAATATCATTAGAGGCGGCGAGGCGGGAGAGACAAGCTATCGTCGAGGTATGCAGGTCGTTAGGTTGACAGAGTGATTTAGGCAAACTGATCGTACGGGAAGTGGCAATCGAGTACCCTACTACAGGACCCACCTACACAGGCTCTCATTACAATTACCGGAACTATATGTACATCTACTTAGTCTAATGGTGCGTGAAAGAAAAAGAAATTAGTCAATAGCTACTCGTTGGGTCTTCAGAGCTTCGCTTTCACGCTTCCAACTCCAGCCTTAACCTGCACCTTTCCATGTGAATCTGAGTCTACCATAACCACAATACCTTCCTCGGCGGTTCTACCGGTCTCCAGTTTTATCTCCTGGCAGTCCTCAATGCCCACTCCATTCGCAAACTGCACAACTACAAAGTCGATTGGCCGCGCACCGATTACAACCATGGGCGCATGCCATGTCCCCGCGCCGTACGTCACAGCTTGATTTCCTGTAGCAATGAATGCTCGTATGTTTTTGAGATCAGGAAGGCCGGGTCCTTTTGGTCGCGCAGAGGGGTGTAAACGTTCGAATTGGCTGGGCGGCGGCGCGTTTTCGTTCGTGAACGGACTGGGTCGCGCGCGAGCGAAGATATCCTTGATGCCATTCTTCTTCTTGGATTTGGGCGTCGGATATGGAGGCGGTCGGCCCGTGTGTAATCTTGACGATGAGGCTGGTAACGTCGGCGCGACAATGACTAGATACTGCGTATGTCGCTCCTGCCCACTCAAGCCCATTGGGACGAATGTTTGTGTCGTGAATGGATGTCGCTCTAGGATTCGCACATCGAACAGCTCTCTATCCGCGTTCCCGTAGTCGTCTTCGTCAAAGTCCAAGTCACCCCAGCTACTCGGCATGCTCTGGCTCGGCTCGTGGGGTCTCAGGTCTCGCGGTGCGCAGACAAACATGTTCATGACCGCTTTCGCGGGCTTCTTCGAGGGTGCGAGATTATACAGATTGGACATGTGCGTTACGTCCAGAATCTTGAGAGCGGAACCTTGGTTTGCGGAAACGGCAGTGGGAAGCGGACCGAGTTGCGAGCGCGGGAGCGGTGAATGTGCGGGGTTCTCGATGACGGTGCCGAATTGGCTGAAGGAAGATTGAGTGAGGAGCTCAATCGGTATGCGTATCGAAGGCGCGGGCATTTGGGTAGGCATTGTGGCGGTTGGAGGTGTGTTCACTCAGAGAAGAGTGCATTGAACTGACATGCATTGCGGGGAATGGAGCTCTTTCACATGCGGCGGCTAGCTCCGAGCTTCGCGTCGTAAGCACAGCTAGACCCTTCCTTACCGGTACCGCCAAGCGACGCGGAACAACAATCACGCTTTGAGAACAACGGACCAAAGAGTCAAGCTTCCACCATGTCGGACGGCGAGCCGTCATACATTGACTATGAAGAGTTTCTCGACCCTGACTTCTCCGCAACATCCTTTGCGAACACCCTTGTCCTTTCGACGAACAACCTCTCGGATACACCGCTCGACCTTTCTACACCCCTCTCGCGCGTACTCTTCGATGTCCAGGACATTGACACGCAAATTGATACCCTTACCACCAAGTCTGCACTCCCGCTGCTAGACTACACGAGAGAACATGCGGCATCCAGTGGGAGAATATTGGAAGAAGTAGAGGGCCAAGTCGCAAGCTTGACCGAGTCGTACAAGGCATTAGAGAAGGAGGTGATTGAGCGACATGAGGTGGCAGAACAAGTGCGCTTGACTGCCGAGCGCTTGTGCCAGACGGTCAAGATGGGCAGAGCAGTCGCGCGATGTCTTATGCTGGGAAGGCAATTGGAAGTGCGCATGGCTGAGATTGGTGGGGTTGGGAGCGCAAAGAAGGAAGACCATAGGGCAATGGTCCGGTCAGCGGACACATTACTGTCCTTGCGACAGGTCTTTGCTGCCACGGGTCCCGGCGAAGAAGGGGAAGGGCTGGACAAGGTGAACGTTGTTAATGCCTTGAAGAACGAGCTGTTTAGCCCCGGCGAGAGGAGCATTACGTCAAGAGCACAGCAGGTGGTCAAAGAGTTCTCCATGTCGTCACTACTTACCTCGGGAGGCCAGTCCTCAGCATCTACTTTCGCACAAACCGAAGATACGAAGTCACGAACGACATCTGCTCTACTCACCCTGTACCTCCTGTCGCCGACCCCTGCCAATGCTACCTTTTCACCAACATTGCTACTTAGCGCACTTCGGGATTACCTTGAGACACAGCTGAAGTCCTCGTTGGCATCTCTTGCGCGGTCGCTGGGAACCCTGCCAACTCTCGACCGGACACTTCTTGAAATCTCGGCCCGTTGCCAAAACATCGTAGCTCTCGAAACGCTCTTAGAGTCCACGAAAGCTCCGGCGCATCCCATACTGCACGAGATGGCAAATGATTCTTCCAAGCCGGGTAAGGCATCACCGAACAACTTTCTGCAGCCGCTCCTGCACGCGCTCGACACATCGTCGCTACCCTCATACTTTTGGCGTTCGCTGGCGTCCAACCTGGCGCCAAGAGTGCAGGACATCATGCATCGTGGTGGGATATCCGCGAGGACCCTGCGCTCGAACAAGGACAGGGTTAGGGATGCTGTGAGGGATTGTGTGAATCGGGGGAGCCAGGTGCCAGGCGCGCTGGCAGGCAAGGGTAAGGCGGGCGCGGCCGGGAGCTGGGAGCGCGAGGCGGCCGTCATGGTGTCGTCGATCTCGGGGCAGATACGGTGATGGATTAACCATGGTGTTCCTGGAACCTGTCGAGTCCTCTCACTAGGATATCACGTGACGTCTATCAGTCTGCGGGTCGTTAGGACGGGATGGCGCATGCCGTATACAGGACGCGCCAGCCCGCTGTAACGCGGACTCTTTGGCGTACTCCTATAATAGAACAAAACATCTCAATGCGGGGAGCGTGCACAGGTTCAAACGACGGAGAAACAGAGAAAAATTGGCCTGGGGCACGATTTATGCACTGTGTGTTCGATCTAAGCAGCGTTCGCGTCCGGCCGCACTTCTCAATGTGCAACATGGGCAGCGTGATGGCCAGTGGGGGTCATGCCTGAATTCGATGGCAATAACAGCCATGTCAGTGAAGCGATGCGCTTCGCGGCGTGGCGTGCGGCGAGGGCACCGGCTCGAGAAATTGAAACAAGACCAGTGTCATTCTGGGTCAAGGTCCGGTTCGTGGCCTTCCATGGCCGCTGCGGGTTGCGGGCTGCGTTTGGCTCGTTTGGGAGTGTCTGTCAGAAGCTGAACACGGGCGGCAAAGGTGGGCTTGGATGCGCCATTCACCGGGCCAGGGTCTGGAGTGTCGCGCAGCGATTATTGGTCCGCCACACAGGTCCAACGATCTTTCGACCCTGCAGGCACCTTCACTGCCTCCACTCCACCAAGACCCGCGGGCCTGCCTTCCCACCCTCTTCTCCTCACCCTCTCTTCGTTTCCTTCGCTGTACTTGGGTATTTTCCCGTCCTCTCTTCCGACCGCCGTCCATGCTTGTGCGCGTCCGCCCGCTCTAGCATCCATCGCCTGCATCTGCTCTGCGCTTTCACCGTGCCTGTCCCCTGATTCCCCTCGCAATCGAGCTCCTTTGAGGCCAGCGGGACTGCAGGAGACTCGATCGCACCCACGTCGCAACAAGATCGACCCGTCCACCCATTTACTGTGCGTTGGCCCCGGCCCTCCCGCTCCTGACCATCCTGAGACACTGGCCACTGACCAACTTCTCAGAATCTAAATTTCGGCCACGCAACCCTCCGACAAGAGACGACATGTCCAACATCGCCGGCAACAGGAACAGCACTCCAGAGGGCTCCAGCTCGCTGCGCCCGCCCAGCTCGCGCAACACCATCGGCTCGAGTCACCATCTGCGTGCTTCCGCCGACATGGGTGGCTTTTCCTCCCCACTCGCCAACCGCGGCATTCGCCCAGCCTCTGAGGTCTACTTTGGCCGCCAGAACACCCAATCTGGCAACACCGACGAGATGGAGCGTGCCGCTCAGCAGTGGCTGGCCGACATTGACCAGTACGAAACTACTTTGGAAGAAATGGCGACCGCCACGCTCGATCAGGACTTCAAGGACGAGCTCAGCGCCATCGAGCAGTGGTTCCGCGTGCTGAGCGAGGCTGAGCGGACTGCAGCTTTGTATGCACTGCTCCAGCAGACCACTCAGGTGCAGATTAGGTTCTTCATCCAGGTGCTGCAGCAGATGTCCAAGAGCCTGCCCATGTCCAGTGTGCTTTCTCCCGCCAACTTTGGGGAGAAGGGTGAGTGATATGGCAGTCACATCAAATATCTCAAGTCTGACGCATGCTAGATCCGATGACACAGAAGCTGAGCGATGCCATGAGCAAGTTGACCACCAACGAGAACCGCAACTCGATGGGCCTCGGTCGCCCGCCGCCATCCCCTGGTGCGAAGCGCAACTCTGGCTTGGATCAATCTACCATCAGCCGCATGTTCCCTGACGCCGCGGCTGCCATCGCAAAGCAAAAGGCAGAGTTTACCGATATCACTGGTATTGCCCCAGCCTCGAACCGCAACAGCACCGTGGGCGACCGCGGCTCGCTTGCCGCCCCAACCATTTCCGGTCCCGAAGATAAGAAGGAGAACACTGTTCCAGCCTCGCCATGGGGTGACGGTCAGCGCCCGAAGTCTTCGGGCCAGCCTCAACATCAGCCTGCCATGGGCCAGTTCACTGCCCCACCTCCGTCAGCAGGCCTGCGCTCTCCCCGTCTACCACTTTCTGGCGACGGCGGAAATGTGCAGACCACTACCCTGAACGCACCCAGCCAAGATGCCGGTGCTATGCCTATGCTTTCACCTTCTTATGCGCCCGGTGGAAGCTGGGCGTCGCAGCTGAGCACCCCCATGGTGGGCAACTTTGGTCAGACTCAGACTCAGGCTGACATGGTGGCCAACGCGACCGCCATGAAGCTGGCTGCTCTGTCGACCGTCAACAACCGCATCCAACTCGACGATGTGCGCAAGTACCGCCGTGCTCGATCTTCGGAGGGCCAGGGATCTGGAAACGGTCCCTTGTCTCCCGGTCTTCCCGGTGGAAACAGCTTCGTCATGACCAACGAGCTCGGCCAGCTCCTGACGCCGCAACAGGCAGCCGCTCTGCAGGCCCAACAGCTCGCTGCCATGCAAGGCCGTCGCTCCCGCCCCACCTCTCCTGGTATCGCCATGCAGGGTGCAGGCTTGGGCACTGCAAATTTCCTCTCGCCACAAGCGAACGGCTTCCTCACTGCCGACTACGGCGGCTCTCCCCTCGGAAACAACGGCATGGGCGCCCTGAATCTCGGTCAGTTCGGCATCGGCCTCGGTGACGGCCACGGCGGCTACATCTCAGACCACTCCGAGATGAATCGTGGCAGGTCTCCACGAGGACGTCGCGGCAGCTCGAAGCCGCCGGAGGACCCCACCGATGCGAACCTTCTCCAGGACATCCCGAGCTGGCTTAGGAGTCTGCGTTTGCACAAGTACACGGACAATCTCAAGGATTTGAAGTGGCAGGAGCTTGTTGAGCTGGATGACGATGGCCTGGAGAAGCGCGGGGTCAATGCGCTCGGTGCGAGGAGGAAGATGCTGAAGGCGAGTTTCTGAACCTTTCTTACCCTCGAAGGAAGTTGCTAATATGGAAAACAGGTTTTCGAGCAGGTGAAGGAGGCGAAAGACCAGGGCAGGCTCCGCTAAATTGCATCGATCGACCGCTCCCGTACATTATGTTTCGCGCGCGTACCATAGATTTACGACCTACGGATGGAGCGAGCTGCTAGCCAGCTGCGCTCTGTTCATACCACCATATTCCCAGGCTGTTCCATTACGATACGCTACATTGAATGAGACGCATAAACGGCTCATTTGGATGTGCTTGCTGCATGCATAAGTTGGGAGGAGGTTCTTCGACTTCGATCAGATATATATACCTTTGGCATGTGGCGTGTTTGCTGTGTGTTTATTTCCAGGATGGGATGTAGGTAGATGGAGAGAGGGTAATGAGAGCCTGTACACTTGTTTAAATTCTGTCACAACCTTCGTGACTATTGTGCTATGTCGTAACGAAGAGATGCATTTCTTTCCTTATTGCACTGACATGCTCACGTCCCCAATTGACTCCAGTCGTCACACCTTAATACCACCAGACAACACCTGCCCTGTTCTAATCACTTCCACATACGCGGGCTCAAAGTACTAATCTAAATCAAGACATTCTCCAACCTCCGCTCATCCCTCAACGCCACCAGCTTCCTCACCACCTCCTCCAATGGAATAACCTCCCCACGCTTCTGACTCTCCTGATCATCCCTATTCCTCACGTTTGCCGCCTTGTTCTCGCGCTCCTCAGCCCCCACCACAATGATGAAGTTGTACAGCGCGAGCTGCGCGGTGCGGATCTTCTTCTGCATGGTGTTGCCGGAGATGTCAATATCGGCGTGGAGGCCCTGCGCGCGGAGGAGCGACTGGACTTCTTGCACATAGGAGTTTACGGCGGGCATGACGGGGATGATCATGACTTGGCGGGGGGAGATCCAGAAGGGCCAGCGGCCGGCGAAGTGCTCGGTGAGGATGCTGTGGAGGTTGTTAGTGTTAGGGAAGAAAAGGGATATATGGCGGATGGAATGAGGGAGACTCTTACCCAATAAAGCGCTCGAAGGAGCCGTAGATGGCGCGGTGGATCATCACAGGGCGGGCGTATCCTGGTGGTGGTGCGGGGGTCTTCTTGAGAGCATCTTGCTCATGCTCTGCAAGCTCCTTCGGTCTGTCGTGCTTCTCCTTCTCCTCGGGTTTCTCCGCCTTCTCCGTCTCCTTAGCCTCCTTATCGGTCTTTGGCCGCGCCTCAGAGGTCATGTACTCAAGCTCGAAGCGCTGCGGCAGCTGGAAGTCGAGCTGGATGGTCGCACATTGAAAATCTCGCCTCAAAGCGTCCTGGATGGTGATGTCGATCTTGGGTCCGTAGAATGCGCCGTCTCCGGGGTTCAGCTCCCACGCGCCGCCTCCTTCGGTGGTGAATTGATTCAAAGCTTCTGTTAATTTGGCCTCAGCCTTGTCCCAGGTCTCAATCTCGCCCAGGAAGCCTTCGGGACGTGTGCTCAGCTTCAACTTGAAGGTGAAGCCGAACTTGCCGTAGACTTCACGAAGGAAGTCGAACAGCTGGGTGATCTCTTCCGTGATCTGGTCTTCTGTGCAGAAGATGTGGGTGTCATCCTGCTGGAAGCGGCGCACACGGGTCAAGCCGGAGAGCGCACCAGATGCTTCGTTTCGGTGGAGGATACCAAAGTCGGCCATCCTGATCGGAAGCTCACGGTAGCTTCGCTCACGGTGCCCGAAGATGAGGCAGTGGCCGGGACAGTTCATTGGCTTTAGCGCCCACTTCTCCTTCTCGACGTCGAATGTAAACATGTCTTCTGAGTAGTGCTGCCAGTGACCCGAGGTCTTCCACAAGGCCGAGTTGTACATGTTCGGCGACCCAACCTCCTGGTAGCCGCGCTTCCAGTACTGTTCCCTCAGGTAGGACATTAGTGTGTTGTAGATGATCATTCCGTGCGGTAAGAAGAAGCAGGAACCGGGGCTATACTCGTGAAAGAAAAATAGCTCCTGTTCTTTGCCGATCTTGCGATGGTCGCGCTTAGCAGCCTCCTCCAAGTACTTGAGATGTGCCTGCATGCGGTCCTTATCCGGGAACGAAACACCATAGATGCGCTGTAAACTGTCGTTGTTGGCATCGCCGAGGAAGTATGACGCAGAGTTCTTCATGACCTTGAATTGCTTGATTCGGCCTGTGTGTGGGACGTGAGGTCCCCGGCAAAGATCGATGAGAGGTCCGTTGCGGTAGACAGTGGTGGATGTGCCATCAGGAATTTTGTCCTTGATGATATGCTGCTTGTAAGGATTTGACCTGAACATCTCAAGCAGATCCTCCTTCGAAAGGACTAATCGCTGGAAGACCTGCTTCTCCTTGACAATGCTGCTCACGATGGTTTCGAGGGGCTTGTAATCTGAGCTTTCGACGGCAGCTTTCTCCGGCAATGCCATCTGCAACGCGTCAGCGGTGCCCACCACTTTCACAACCAGGTGCCGTGAATGTAAATTCAGCTCAGCACCATCTGGACTAACAACATACGTACCTCGTAGTAGAAACCGTCCTCAACTGGTGGACCGATGCAGAGGTCACAGCCAAATCTTCGCTCTGATGCTTCGCCAAGAATATGCGCGCTCGAATGCCAGAAAACCTTCTTGCCCTCCTCATGATCGAAGTCCAGCAATTCCAGCTTGCAGCTCTTCTCCAGTGGTCTCTCCAAATCCCACAGCGTCTCATCTGGTGTACCATGGTCTAGGCGAGCAATGACTGTGCGCTCGAACAAACTTTTGCTTATAGCTCGCGCAATGTCGGCTGGGCTGGTGACCCAGGATTCTCCATCATGGACCTTTCCGTCTCCAAGAGTCACCTTGATCTTCTCGCGCGGCTTCTGGGCGATCTCCTCATCGTATTTGGCCTTCAATTGCTCGAAGATCTTGACTCGGTGGTCGATGTACGCTGCGGGCGGGCTAAGTTCGAGCGGTCGGCCATCTGCGGTCTCTGCGCCTTTCTTTGGCTTCTTCTCCTTCTTCGGTTTGGCCTCTCCAGATACAGTAAGATTCTTGACGTTGTCGGTGACCTCCTTTACGGCGTCTTTCACTGCTTCAGCCATGATTGCGCTTTCAGAGGTCTTGAGAAGATCAGAACAATCTGTAAATATTTTGTAAGTCCCGAAGGAGACGGACCCACAGCGAGTGTTCAATACTTGGTATAAGTATTGCAGTACTGTTGTCGTCGGATGGATTCAGAACCCCTCGCGCGCAATATATGAGTGTTTCTCCGTGAGTCAACGGTCAATGTCGCACTAAGGCTCAGAAGTGTAAGGAGTGAGTCGAACTTTCTTACTTCGGCTCGTGGGTATAATCTGACTCAGACAGCTCGAGGTTTATCCGTCTCGAAACGCGAATTGAGCGATTGAAACGGATTCCTCACATTTGGAGCTCGCAGCCCACCTCTTGCCCGCGTTGTGTAGTGGGGCAAGCGCTACCCTGGCCGCGGCCGGAACAATGTGGCGCCGATTGGTCGTCAGCTTCAGCCATTTTCGATTTTCTCTTTCGACCTGCAGGCGCAACAGCTCACGACGCGCAAGACGATTGCATACCCAGCACAACTACAGACACCATGTCGTTTCGCGGAACACCCCGAGGCGGAGCGCGAGGCGGACGCGGTGGATTTACCCCCCGTGGCGGTACGTATATCCACAGCTGCAAAGCTTCCCAGTGCGTAAGAGCTGATAGCGTGCAGGTCGCGGAGGCTTCCAGCCATCCTTTGGCCCGCCGGATACCGTATACGGTACGTTACCATTCGATTCGCGCAGCTGAAAGTTGGCTAACAAAGCACAGCCATGGGCGAATTCATGCACGATGTCGAGGGCGAGATGATGTGCACCTCCACCAACGAGAAGATCCCGTACTTCAACGCACCGATATATCTCGAGAATAAGACACCAGTGGGAAAGGTCGACGAAATCCTAGGACCGATTACCCAAGTTTACTTCACGATCAAGCCATCAGAGGGCATCCAGGCCAAGTCCTTCAAGAAGGGCGACAAGTTCTTCATTGGCGGCGACAAGCTGTTACCACTAGACAAGTATGTTCCTCATTTCTCTCCCCCCACCTTACCCAGCGTTTGTTCTGTGTTTCCTACTTGCTTGAGCGTCGACTTCGGCCGCACGCGACATTGCTCCAAGTCCGTGAAGCAATACAGGAAACATATCAAATTCTCTCTTCGTCCGAATGGTGCTAAAATATGCTATCAGGTTCCTGCCGAAGCCGAAGCCCAACCCAGGCGCGCCGAAGGTGAAGAAGCCCGCTGGCAGAGGAGGAGCTCGCGGTGCTTTTGGACCACGGGGCGGTCGTGGCCGCGGAGCACCTCGTGGCGGTGGCTTCTCAAGAGGAGGTGCTGGTGGACGAGGCGGTGGACGAGGCGGTTCCTTCGGCGGCCGCGGTGGTGGTCGTGGTGGAAGCGGAGGTTTCTCGCGCGGTGGTGGACGTGGTGGCTTCAGCAGCCGTGGAAGAGGAGGTTACTGAGTGGGATCGCATGAATATGTCAGCACGACATAACGTATGAAGACCAACCCTACTTCATTCCACTGGTACTGGCGCGAGCGCATCGATACCTTGATCATTCACGGCGTTTGGTGTTTGGAGGAAGTCGCTTTTGGAAAGCTGCCTACGGATGTTATCACGGCGAGCCATGGAGAGCTCACAAGCATGTATATTGAAGTCTCAATCTTAGATGTTGCAAAAACCAGTGGAGGAATGTACGAGACAAATGATTGCACATCTCTACCAGTCGTCAACTTATCATCGTCATGCTTTGTCGCAATGCGATTGCATTCGGCTGCCACATATTTGAAATACCTTAACAAGCATTAAAAGATATGTATCGCAGCCTCCAGACAAACAGTTCACGACGTGCTTCTATCAATAGCGAACTGCCGTAAAAACATGTGGAGTCGCGAACGCATCCTCAAACCTTGGCACAGCCTAGCTGCGGCTTATGACGTGGGCCAGCTGCTCTTCAAGAACCTTGAATAGTTTCCACAATCCTGCACATCCCACACGTCGACGCGGATCACACTAATCCACTGACGCACTCGACGTCTATTTTACTGCTCCTACTCCCGCTTTCCTCACAACAAACACACATACCTCATTGCCCGCTGCCTGATTATTTACCTACCTCACCGCTACCACACCATGTCGCGCAGAAACGGCGCGCCCTCAGGGCCCAAGGACGAGGCTCCTCCGCCAAAGGACCAAAGTATGTAGCGAGACATGTTAGTACGAGAGAGAAGTTGACCATCCGCAGCGCAAGATAAGCAAGCCCGCCTCCTCAGCTCAGAAGCCGGCCACTTCTCCCTCTTCCGTGCGCTGCACCTCGCAGACTTCATCACTGAGATGAACGGTACGTACCCTCCCTCTCACCACTCCCTCTCGCCCAAAGTGATACTAACAATGGAAGGCTTCTGCGGCGTCATGTCCATCTTCTCCTCCCTACGCTACTGCATCCAAGAAGACCCCACAAACTACACAAACGCGTATCTCGCCCTGGGTCTGATACCTTTGGGTATGTTCTTCGACCTCATGGACGGCAAGGTAGCGCGCTGGAGGAAGAAGGCGTCGCTTATGGGACAGGAGTTGGATTCTTTGGCTGACCTGGTACGTCCCCTCTTCCCCTTCCCCTCTCCCTCACCCCACAGATAGAATGATTGTTATTAACGGGTGGGATGTATAGATCTCCTTCGGCGTAGCTCCCGCCTCCGCCGCCTTCGCCCTCGGCCTGCGCAGCCCCATCGACCATCTTCTTCTCACCTTCTTCGTCCTCTGCGGCCTCACCCGGCTGGCCCGCTTCAACGTCACCGTCGCCATGCTGCCCAAAGACGCCACCGGGAAGAGCAAATACTTTGAGGGAACCCCCATTCCTACGTCGATCGGTCTGGCCTGTGTGATGGCGTTCTTCGCGAGCAAAGGGTGGACGCACGCCGAGTTGCCGTTGGGGACGTGGGGAATGGGCAGCTGGTGGGAGGTCCATCCTATCGCGCTTGCGTTTGTGGCGCATGGGTGTCTTATGGTGAGCAAGACGATTCATATACCGAAGCCGTAGATGAACAGGAGTGTATGCGTCGTTTGAAGAGAAGAGGGGATGGGCAGGGGAGAGGCGTTTGTTGATCGAAGATTCTGTAAAGATTTCGTGAAGATGCCGTGAAGATTCCACAATTTGCAGCCTGTTCTTTGTCATCGGAAAGCAAGAGGAATATCTATATGTGGTAGCACCTTTTTCAAGGTCCGTGCATGAGTACATGAGAGAGAAATGATATATCCATTAGTATGATGAGGTCGACTTTCTTGGAATACTTACTGTTCAATTTACAGCACGAGATCGTGGATCATAGACTGATAAATCATACGTTCTTTGAAATTCGCAATGAAATTATGACCATGATAGAGATCAAAGCCACGTTGACAAGTTCGGCTGGATTTACTGCTTAACTGTTGCTATTACATGGAAGACACATCCCGACAGACCCGGGACCCCTCGCGTTAATCGTCGTCATCCAACACAGTGCACAGGCCCGTCTTGATTTTTTACATGTATATACTCAAACACCCGCCTCTCGATTAGAGTGTGTTGGTCAGGTCACATTCGTATGCTGTGTGCCAACATGATGCAAACCCCAATGCCAAGGTTATTCAGGACTTCCACCGAACGCCATATTAGGTGTCCGGAATGCGGTATTATATAGAAAATGTTATAATGCTGTATGGAAAAGATGCCCTGTCTTGAGATAGTTGCGCCAGTGCGTGATGCTGTGATGAGGGTCTGAAAATTTGTTTCTCCATGGTTTTGGAATGATGGGGTTTCCCGTCCAATCGTTCACCTGGTGATGATTAATTGGAAGCCGTCAAGCCAAGCCGCGCTCGAGCCAGATATACCACCGATGGTGTAGCCACGAGGAGGAATGAGCGTATGTCTGCGATGGTTAGCATGATGTGACTACATGAAATGAGAACATACCCGCTGCCGCCGTGAGCGTTGCCAAACCAATCGCTCTTCCGGCCAAGACTAGTCAAAATTTGTATTCCATCGATCCAAAGTCCAGCGCGCAGCGCGAAACCAAGTAGTAGCTCGCCCTTCCTCGTGTCTAACGCGAACTCCGTTCCGCCCGGCTGCCCGCCTTTCTTGCCGAATAGCTGGCTCGTGGAGTCTTCGTAGATAAACTCAAGACCATCAACAGCAAGTCCGTGGTATACTCGGATTGATAGGAGAAGTTTCGTTTGAATATGTGCGCTTTCGAGAATGAGCTCTTGCGGTTGCGAGCCCTCCATTTGTGAATAGCCTAATTTACCGCTGCGGTAGCCCCATCGTCCATCGGGCAGCTTCACGCGAGCGAGCTTTCGGTTTGCGAGTTGAGCAAGGTCCTCCACCACGTGCTTGCCACCACCAGCAGAGAATATCTCGACTTTGAGACGGGACTTTTGTTTCTCTTTGGGTAAAAGGTCGCGGAGTTCAGATTCAGCCAGTGACACCTGGCGAGGGTATTGATTTTCGATTTCAGGCCATCGCTTCCAGTAGCGGCAAACATCCTCACCTTCTGGGTACAACTCCACCCAGGCGATTCCGGATTTTGAAGTTGCGATGGCACCTCCCTGGCCGTTATCAACCGTCCAGACTTGTACACTGCCGTCTCCGGTTCCGTAATCCAGAGGTATCCGGAAGCACGGGTGGAATCGGAAGCGTAGGGCGTCGAGGATATGCCAGGCGCACTCATCCGTGGGCATCACCAGTCGCTGCCCAGGTGATTTAGTGCGCGTCGAATACGGTTCGCGAGTAGTGAAGGTACGGTTGAAAGTTACGTAGTCGCGCAACATAACGCCCGACTCCTGGTGAGGGCATCCAAAAAGATGACCAGTCTCATGGAGATGAGCTCCGATACCGATATTTGCGGATTCCCAATTGCTACCAGCTTCATTGCAGTCATTAGCAACGTGTGCGGTATCTGTCCTCGTGCAGTCACCGAACGCCTGCCACACTTCCTCAATACTTGAAGGATAGCTTTGTAAAGCATGCGATCCAAAGATGCCAAGTTGGAGATCACCGACACCCCCACCCAGAGCGGCATGCCCCAGAATTATCTGGTGGTGGGGATCCCAATGTGCGTCAAGGAAGAGACAAGACACATATTGCTTTTGGCCCGGCTTCATCTGGAAATAATTCTTCACAGCATCAGCAGCGATGCCGAACAAATCCCCCTTTTTCGTTCCTTTCGGATTTTGTTGTGCACGATCCAAGTCTCTGATCTCTGCAACGGTCTTGTCTGACCGAATGATGTGAATCTTGGCCTGGTTCCGAAATTGACCGGTCCCCCAATCTTGGTAGCTCAACGTTCCCGGCTCCCAGGAATCCTCGAAGCGAAAGCACCTCCTCCCAAAGCCGTGACGGTTCATCTGCTCGCCGGTGAAAGCTTGCCAGAGGTATGCTGCCATGCGGAATTTCTTGACAGCAAGATCCAACCCATTACCTTCACGCTGTATGCGGTCCGGCGTTGCATCGTAGGTTCCAGAGGAGTCGCTACCGAGGATGATTGCAAGTTGGAGCGGTGGGGAGTCGGTAAGAGGAAGATGATTAACATTAAGGAAGGAAGCGTGCGGGGAGACCGAGGTGTTGCTCGAAGACACTTTGGGAGAGGTAAAGTCCAAGCGGAGACGGTTCCAGCCCGGCTCAAGGTGTACAAGTGCCTTAAAATGAGAGTCGCACGCTGGCCAAGCTGTGGGAGGAAAGCGCCCTTGGTGATGGTTTATGGTCACGGTGCCGTCCAGCGGTCTATCAGCCGAGTCACCAATTTTCCCGAAGATCAACAGGACCTGCTGATGAACCTAGTGCTGTTAGGGCCACGTCGGTCGCACGTTGAATGAACATACCCATGAGCCATCGGAAACGGAAAGCACGCGGGGTGCGAGCAGCGAAGAAGGGTTGGCAGAGATCTGCGAGCTGCTAGAGGTCGACATACCCTGTCTCGCGTTAGCGACTGCGTATGCAGTGGGCTGGCTGCTCTCACGTTCAAGCTGTAGCGCTTTGTAGGGTTTGCACCAGGGCGCTGAGGCCGAGGCGTGGGCAGTGGTGGGATATCGTCTTTGACGCCGTTCGGGTGGCCGTTAGTTTCTCCGGAAGTCGATGTCGCAGGCGTGGTCGATGTGGTCGATGATCCAAGGGCGGTGGAATTCAAGGTCGACGACGATTTGCGCCGGGACACGCCATTGCCGTTCTGACCACTCATGTGGACATTGCCATTCACATGGTTCTGGGCATGCTTCTCCTCTATCTTGATGTTGGCCTTGCTCTTTCTCCGAAGGCTCGAAAGGAAGGAAGGCATGACCAAAGACGTCGCGATTGTAGTAAGCTACAATGCTTGGAGGCTCATGGGGCGAAGGGCGAAGGACGAGGGACCGATTGTTGCGGACGTTGGGCAAGGACGCGTAATCGCGCAATACAGTGCACTGGGCGTTATCGAGGAATGCGACGGGGGTTCGGCGTGCAATGGCAGTTGTTTGGTGGATGGCGGACGCGCTGGATGGCAAACGAATGAAGTCAGAAGCGACCGACGAGGAAAGAGGGTGGGAAAGGTATATGCGAGCGTGTCTCCGGAGAGGTAGATCTATCAGTATCTACTACACACGTTAGCGTGCAGGAAACCTGCAGGGCGTTGACCTTGGAAAAGCGGACAGGTGTCAAAGGGCAATTGCAATCGGGCTAGAAACGACTGCGAACCTTACGGATTAGCAGGTGCACGTCTACAGGCGAGCAAAGGGGTCGTGAAGGCCAGTTTGTGTTGCACATAACTTGTCGCAACTGCCTTCGGTATCAGGCCAATGACGTCGCTACTCCCAGTTCAAGCGCGAGCTAAACGCGCCGCTTCCGCCGGCAGCAACTCGCTTTACTTGGCCATATTCCAAGGTTTCTCTATGACTGAAGCGCATCTGCAGCCGTGAGCCGACTCTCCGATGAACAGTTCTCGCGTCTCGTACGCTAGGGCTTCGACAGGATCTTTTACTGCAGCAATATCAGTAGTCAAGTTCAAATACGGTCTGTGTTGCGGGCTGCGGATACAACCCCTTAGACAGTCTTAAACTACCATAGAAGCCACCACAGGTAGATTGAAGAGCCGAGTCCAGCATGAAGGTACACAGCATCTTCAGTTTGATTGACTAAGCATAGATTGGTGTGACTTATAGTTGCACAGCGGCAATGCTCCAACGTCTCGATTCCACGAACAGCAGGCCCTCGTCCTCGAGTAATTGTGGCTGATGCTGAGGCGGATCGCTTCTGGATCTCCGTCCGCTAGAGCTTGGGCTAAGCTGAAAACGTTGATATGTTTCTGAGCGTACAATACATATGTATGCGTCATCAATTGTTACACCACGCAGCCAAACCCCTGTCCTCGCCAAACACCAAAAGCAATCTCGCCAGGCTGCCCATTGCCCGGCCAGTGTCTTTTTGCGTGAGCAATGTGTAATAGTTGCCGTCTCTGCGGCTGTTCTCCACTGCCCTAACCTGGCGCTGACACTACTTGTGAAGTAGGCCGCCTCGATTGCCCGTTTCTGCGGCCTGTGCTCTAACAAGCTATTCCTATCCCTTCGGAGCACTGTCCACATTCCTCTGCCGCTTCAGCTGGTGCGACCTCGAAGCCTTCAACCGCCGTTGAAACGCTTGCGAGAGCTCGTCGACCTCTCCTCCGCACCGCACGCCCGCTCGCTGTAACCTCTCCACTATGGCAAACGTCGACCGCAGCGATCAGCCCGCCGAGGTTGCGAGCAGGGTGCTGCGGAGGGCCCAGGTCTCAAAGGTAGCTTCTTGTCGCAGGCCCCTTTGAGCATTGCATGCTGATTACGTCTCTGTAGATGACCCGCACACTGCAGAACCGTCTCGCTTTTGCCAACGTCAAGATCAAGCATGGATGGCAGGACCTCTCGCTCGACCATCTGGAGCCGCGGGTAGACGTCGAGCTCAAGCGGAAGCGCCCCGGCTCCAGCAACGAGACCATGTCGAACGCCTCGTCGGTGTCGGAACGCTTCTATCAAGACGGCGTGCTTGACTCGTCCCCGCTTGCAGCACCCATATTCTCCGAGGAAATTGGGCGGTCTGGCAGTCGGTCCAGCAACCATAGCAACCACAGCCTGAGCAAGCGGCCTCGCTATGCCAAATCCTTCAACAATTACCCTGGCACCAGCAACCACGATCGCATGAAAGTACGGACGTCGACTACCGCATCTCAGTCCTGGAAAAACAGCTTCCAGCTGCCCGAGTCGTCGCCCGTATATCATCGCCGGCATGCTCGCTTCGGTCGTGTGCAGCATGCCCCCAGCCTCTCCTTCGTCTCCGAAACATCGACCATCCCTGACCCTCGCTCCCCACTCATGTCCGAAGATGACGACGAAGACCTTCCCGTATCATCGTTCCAGATCAACAAGTCCTTCATACATTCCTCTCCGCCGAGGGTACCACGCACACCGCCTCCTGGCGTTGCCCGCTCCGCTCGCCTCCGTCAGAGTGGCTTCACAGCTGCCGGTGCAGCAAGAGAAGGACACAAGGGAGAGGAAGATGTTGGTCTACTCATGCATTTTGCTACCTCGCCTTCACCAGCCCGCCCTGGGGATTCGAAACAGCACATGCTCCCTCCGTCGACGCCGCCGCCAAAATCAACACCCTTACCATCATCCCACATGTCCACGCCAGGCGGAGGTCTCAACTTCGGTTTTGGTCTGCAAACGCCCAACGCTAACTTGAACTTTGCCGAATTTCTCAACATGTCCCCAAGCCCCGCACAGATCAACCAGTCATGGAACCGCACACCAATTGCCGGAAAGACGCCAATCGCTGCTCGGGAGGCTCGGCGGAGACTAAACTTCGACACGCTTGCACCACCTACAAGCGACGGCAGGATACCCAAGGTCGAGGGTCTTGGCATGGACCTAGGCGGAGAGCTCGTCTCCTGAAGAGCAGGGCTACCGGAATGTTAACGATGACTACCCTCGATAGGATGACGATTGATGATTGCGACACGAACTGGATACATGTGGATGTGTTCGAAGACGTGTTGTTGGATCATCCCGCTCGAAGGACCTACTTTGATTCATACTGTCCCTACCTACAGCACGGCGTTTCACGGAGGTTTTGCTTGTTTACAGCGGCGTTCAGAGACGAAGAGCTTCTCGCATCATCACACCAGTTCACAATGTTTCAAAATCGAGCGAACAGATACCACGGGCGACAAATCTGCCCCCTTTCTAACCGTCCACTGACATCTTATTCGGCGGCAGCTAGCAACATGGCAAGCGCTCTGTGCCACCATCTCCCTTGCATATCCCACGTCTCCTGTATCATCTTGCTCAATGTACACTAGCAGTTCCGAGTTCCCTTTGTTTGTCCATCTTTCACAACGGATACAAGAGATAGTTTTTATCATGGACTGTGCCGCGTTTGGGGGCGAATAGTTACTGGCCCACCCGGGCTGCAGTCGTTATGTAGATCAAAGCACGTCGACTGGAAACAATGCAACATGCTTAGCTTCACGTTATCCTTCCAAAACTTGTTCGCCACGGATCGTTTGTGGTGCTGATAGGCGCGCGACGAGTTGTCTGCAAGAGAGGGGAATGCCGACAGCGAATCGATGCGCCGCCACGTCTGGAGGTCGCCTATGCATGCAAATCCACCAGTAGGCAACACCGAGCAAGCCGCACTTGACAATGCCCGTACGCAAGCGCAACTACGAATGCGAACACCTGCACATTTGTTCGCAGCATGCACTGTAAACGTGCAATGCGAACCTGATCTACGAAGCACGCACGATGGTCTACCTCGACCTCTCTTCAGCACCCACCGGAACACGCTTCGCTTCGGACAGTCCACTTATTCCACGGCACGCCAACTTCCTGTTTACCAGCTTCCTAGTCACTTTTGGTTCTTTAGGATCTAAGGCGCAAATAAACGCTCCCAAACAAACACGAGGTTGGGCCTTGCATGACGCAAACCCAGCAAAATCGCCGGCTATTCGCTGCCCCGCCCCTCTTCTTTTTTGCATCGGCGACGCGCCCGACGCGAGCGAACGTGTCAGGTTCGTGGTCAGTGGCACGCTTGTCCAGAATAGCGCTTAAGTGTATTGTATGGTAGCAACGTTATATTTCAATACACAAGCAATGCACCGCCACATATCGGAACTTCCAGCTATGCCGATTGAGGCGAGATCGAGATCGTACATGGATGGGGAGATTTGTTGGGTGGAGGAATGCGCGGCTCGACGGCGTTTTTCTCGTCGATTGTCTGGTGGTGCTTCGAGCAAGTGTATCCATGTTGTCCTGCGCCTAAGACAGCTCGCATGCGCTCTCCTCTGCTCTGGGTTTCAGTCAACTCGCGTGTTCTCCAGCCAGCCACGGCGAGATCGCGATGGAGAAACAAAGTCAGATAGCGCATGAAAGTCTCACTTCGCTTCGCTTTCGCTCGCTTGGGAGAAGTACTAACATGGGGAATCTTGCTTTTGAGATAGTTGTCATGGCATTCTCGGTCCGTTCAAGGATGGTGATAGCGGAGATGAGCATGAGATGGATTGGATCGGGGAGATCTACCGTGGAGTGCCTTAGTGCCGACTGAATGTGGGCATGGGCTAAGTTTTATTGGATCACGGTGTGTTTGTACATCTGAATAATTGTCTGCATGTATGCGCACAGTTTGCATGTATCGATATGATATGGCATATATGAGGAAGTGCACTGAGTCCACACTGGACTGTAAAGAAGCGAGACTTAGGCATCGATTCACAGATGGATTGAATAACGTAAGTCACTTTCTTCGGAGCTATCGACACATATTCACCGATGCAGAGTGTGGTGAAAACATGTTCCCGATGTGCCTCGAAATAGCGACGACATGCTTCGCCTAGAACAACCCTTTTGTATATTTTGGGTGCTCTGCCGCCATCCTAAAACCAAACACCCATCCATGCATGCAGCGGTATCTCGAAATCCCAGACCCAGTAACACCTTGATATCTCGCCCATTGCTTCATTTTCGTGGCGGTACATCTTCTCAATAATACATTAAAGAAACAGGACGTAGGACATAGCAGATAAGGTCGAACCACAACGGCCCCTAGCCGTACTGATTTTGATTAACCTGGCTCGCCATGACCATGATCCAGACGAAAAACACAGTCCCGATAATCCAGAACGCGAAGGCGGCATTCCAGCACTGGCCTGTCCAAGGTCAGCCCTAATTCAGTTTCACCGCCATCCATGACTGGAAAACTCACATATGTTATTCTGTTGCAACCACGCAAGCGTGTCCGTACTCGAGCCATACGCACTCCCGCTCATATTATTCACATATGTGTTGCATTGACCACTGATATTGGGGCCGGCAAACAAGTTCAACGCGGTTCCGATTATGCCTGCGATGAAGAGGACGAGTAGGATGAAGCTGAACAACATAACGACGCCGGGAAGCAAGCGGCGTTGTGCGATGAGGATGAGCATGACAAGGATCCAGATGATGGTTAGAGCGCCGACGGTGATGCCGTAGGGTATGATCCTATCAATGCTACATTAGCACTTGCCCCCCTCTTTGGCAATTGAGAGACTGGGGTTGGAGATGCGGCATGGGAGATGGTAGAAAGGGATGGAGAGGGAAACGTACCAAGGCACTTCCTGCTGCATTCTCTGCTGAATGACAAAGAACTCTGCGAAGACACCCAAAATCGTGCCGGCAGTCGCGAGCATGACGATGGTCCAGAAGTTAAGCTGCGCATCCGGCCAGAAGAACTTCTCCCGGACTACTACCGCGGAGCCTACGACCGTGCGCGCCATTGTGCCTTTTCCTTTCTAATCTCCTGTTTGCAAAAGTGTGCGTATGGTATGGTTCAGAGCTCTGGGAGCGATGTGCTGCCTGACTTCGGTGCGCGCGGTTATGCGACTTCTCGTGGCTACACCTCTTCTTTTCTCTACTGGTCCCAGCTACCGTTCTCTTCCGCAATGTATTCCTCGTGTATCCCTTTTGTTAAAGATTCGTCGCGCAACAAAGCGGGGCAAAAGCCGAGGGCGTTCGAGGATCGCGATGCGGGCGCTCGCAGGCAGGTCGAGCCTCAAGCGAATGCAGTGATGTGTGCTACCGAAGGTGTCGTCGCGGGGGTGCAGCAATTGTGTAACGCTGTTAATTCGAAGCAGCAAAACGCACACAGGCGCAAAGAGTGTGGAGGTAGCAACGGTCGACACGGCGCGCGGTGCCTGGCGCAGGTGGATGCTTTTTGGCGGCGCGGCCGAGGATCCCGCTGAGAGGCTGGGAAGGGGTTGGGGTCGCGAAAGCTTGCGACCACCGACCAACACCAGCAGGGAAGCGTGCTTTTTAAATGACGATGCAATTACAATTGCTGCACGTGTCAAACGAACAACTGACCGTCGCTTCTGTCAAGGTGATATTACGCATTATTAGTATGTAGTATTGGACCTCTATACCGGATGTAAGTGGTGAGGCATCTATACAGAAGGTGCAACCCAATGGCTCTGGCCTATTGTCATGCTGGTCAAAACTATGATGCACTTGAACGCCGTCCATGCAGTAACCCCTAGAATCCTTCATGACTCGAATCAATGCGAGCGCTCATTTACTCCACTTGTTGCTCTTCACCACCTTGGTGATCGCATGTCGAATAGTTATGCCCGCCTTCTCCGTCTCCTTCTTGGTCAAACCAGAAGTCACGCAGACCTTGATGGCAGGCGTTGGCTGCCAGCCTTCATCTCGCGGATTGACTCCAAGACCCTGAGGGTAGGCTTTGAGCCTTGTGACGAGGACGCTGTTCGCAAGACACTGCTCCATGTCAATGTTTCGTTTGGTGAAGGTTGGAATGTTAGTGAACGTACCTCGTCGACTGCATCCTGCAACAGCTGAGTTTGGTCTTTGGTGCTCCAGCCCTTGGATGCGACGACTTCTGGCTTCAGCGTTAAGATCATGATTGGATTATCCACGTCGCTTGTACACCTGACCCAGTCGCTCCTGGGATCTAGCTGAGCCCGCATAGCTTTTATATTATCCCGCAGCGCCGTCAACAGCTCGGGCTGTTCCTGGAGCATGGATATTGTTTCGCTGGCGGTTGTCGAAAGCAATGCAGGAAGGGCAGCAGAGTAGGTGTATGATGCGGACGAGATGCGTTGGTGCTCCACTACTTCTTCCGTACCAGCACAGAAACCTCCTGCTGCACAGAGAGGACCAGAAAGGTTGCCGATTATCATGTCAATCTCCCTGGCGTCCACATTCTGTGCTTCTGTGAGGCCGCGACCAGTCCTGCCGAGGACACCGTAGGACCAGGTCTCGTCTAGAATCAATCGGAATTTGTACCTGTGCTTGAGTTCGACCTGATATCACCATCAGAAACCGCTCATGTAGTTCTCTAGAGAACGTAGAACTCACGAGCTTGGGCAGATCCGAGACATCTCCAATATTCTCAAACATGCCCTCCGTGATGATGAATCGTCTTGTAAGCGGCTTCTTCGCCTGCTCCTTGGTGACTTTTTGCAGGACCCTCTCCAAGTCCTCCATATCGTTATGCTCGTACCACCGCACCGTACTCCTGCTAATCTGAATGCCTTTCCGCGTCGAGAAATTGACCGCCTTGTCCGCAACAATGATGTCGCCTCGCTTCGAGAACGAGGGAATAACGCTGGAAATAGTTGAGAAAGATTGCGCATAGATAATGCACGCGGGTACGCCCAAGTGTGCTGCCACATCTGCCTCCGTCTTCATGTGGACGTCCTGCGTGCCGTAGAAACCAGGCGGGCCGCATGGGCCCACGCCGTAGGTACGCAGCGTCTGAATCGCCTTCTCTTTGAGCGTCTCGTTCCCAACGAAATTGTAGAAGTTGTAGGATGCGAGGTTCGTTACGGTGCGGCCGTTGGAGAGTTTCGATTTGGGCCCGGTAGGACTGCGCGCATCAGCAATACGATTCCGCGCCTTTGCTACTTGAACCGCTTACCCCACAAGAACTGCGCGTTTTTCATTCTCGATTTCGTCAGCTGGCGTCGTAGCAGCGACAAGCGGTTCCGGCGTCCATTCGTCCACCAATTCATCGATCTCCTGTTCACGCGTCAACGCCCCTATCCCTCCTTCTCCTCTCAGCACCCCAGACTCACCTCCTCAGTCAGCTTGACCTTCTTCTGCGTGCTATAGCTAGGGCTCAACATGTACCGGACCGCAAACAGGAACAAAAACAGCTCGATTGCGCTGCGCACAGGGTCATCCTGGTAGCTGCTCTTGATATACCGCAATATGATGGCCGAGCCGGGCATCTTGTGGAACTGGGCGTTTGCGTCGTTGAAAAGGCGCACTACCGTGTTCTGCATTTCATGTAGGTCCATGGTGGGCGGCGACAGCAGTTCAGTTGTTGAGGATTGCTTCTCCAAAAAATAGTGGTCCGACTTGGGGGGTCGCGGTTGCGGAGTGCGTCGGAAGAGAAGGAACGCGACCGCGCACGCACGTGCCCTGTTATTTCGAGGCCACCACTCCAGGGGTGTTCTGAACACGCCATATTGATGAGAGACTTCACGTATAGATTACGGTAAGCACCATGAATCTTGTCGTCTCGAAAGCTAAGCTGTGAGTCTTGCGCAAGATCGAACCAAAATTGATCCAAGGGCTCCGGTCGGCTACATCGAGGAGATCAAAGACAACAGCATCTATCACTAGCGAACAACCTCGTCACAATACAACAGTGCAAGAGATTTGTTAACACTAAGAACCGTGTATTTAATTCAATGCAATCGCTTATCTAACATGTTCGCCATCCAAATCCACCAAAACCCAGCCATTGTGTCATAGTATATGTGCAGCCACCTTGTAGGCGGACGAAGTGAAGAAAACATGGGCCTTTAGACCCAGTCCAACACCCTGAAGACAAAAGAGATGCTTGCACCTTTCGAGCGGCTCAAATATTACAATCATTATGAGAGACCCCAGTCTCCATGCGGTCATGCGTGCGCCATGTTTTACAATGTAAGGGCCAAATAAATCCAACTCAACTTCTTAACTTTCTAGAAGGCCATGAACCGACGGAGCTTGGCAGAGCTGTCGGTCGAGGTTGCCTCCGAATCATCTCCACCAGGACCAGGGCATGCACCGTTTATGCAAGTACCAGTGACCGACGATGTGGTATCGTTATTGTTCTGGCCAGTAGGCTGGAGGAGATCCATGGGAATGTCGATGTTCAGCTTCAAGAATTTGCCGGCAACCACTGGGCCGACGAGGAGAGCAATGAAGACAACCAGGAGGAGGAAGTAGAGGATGGCGTAACGGACCACTCTCCTCCTGCGCAGCTTGGTCTGCTTCAATGAGTAAATAGGAGGTCGGATTTGACGACTGCGACTGTTAGTGGGCTGTTCATGGTCAAGTTTCGAGGGAGAACATACCTAGGTCGGAGCCAGAACAACATGACCGAGTGAACCTTATCAGCCATAGGGACGAGCAGAGGCGGAAGCATGATGAACAGGATGAAGTGGCCCAAAATGAAATCGGCAGCGAACATGCCCAGCTCAGTAATCTTGCAAAGGAATTCGCGGCCAGGCTGGGAAATCGTGTGCCAACCCATAGTGTACCACTTTCCGGTCCACCAGGCGATGTTGGCAGTGTCAGCCTTGAACTCACGAGTGAGAGCAAGGGAGATGATGAGCTTGAAGAAGAATCGCTGGATAGCCACAACTGCGATCATACCCAACAAAGCCTTGGTGAAGTTGAAGCCCTCGAGGAACATCATGACGACCCAGAAAGCGAAGAGCATGATCACCGAAATAGCGTGGGCAATAGCGGCCAATACAGCACCGAACTTCTTGCAACACATGCCCAAGAGGGGACCAGCGCAGCAAGCCATAGCGAAGAGACCGGCGAGAACACCAGCATTGACGGCAATGGGACCGAAGGCGACTAGGGCGACACGGATGAGGGAGTTCGTCTTCTTGGGGGTCACATCATCGTTGTTCTCTGCCAATACACCAGTCTGTGCGTTGATGAACAGATAAGGAATCAGGGTGAGGGCGACCAAAACGAGGGGTCCGACGATTTCACCCATGAAGATGTTAGCGAACCGGGCGCGCGGAACATCACCAGATAGCTTGGAGGATGGGTCGCCAAGAGCCTTGCGCTTGTAACCCGTAAGTCGCGTACGCGAAAGACGGCAGAAACCGATCCAGGAAGCGCTGTGAGACCGAGTATTTCCGCGAGAGAGCCAACGGAGGTATTCGCGATAGTCGATGAAAAAATCGTCCCAAGAAAATTGGTGAGGGTTGAAGACGAAGGGAGAGATGCACATCGCCAGCAGGGATGCCCAGAAGTAGATCAACCACGGACCCCAAACGGTGAGGGTGCCGAAGAGAAGCATCATGAGGGAACGAGCACCCAGATACATGGAAGGCCCAGCGAAACGGGAGTAGAGAATACCGAATGGGATACGTGCGGTAGCGAAACCACGGCCGGTACCAATGTAACGAGCACCACCGAACGACAGATCAGTGGTGAGAGCGTTGGCGTAGATCTGGCAGACGAAGACCTCGAAGAGCGGAGACATGGAAGAGAAGTGCTTGCCCAGGCGGGTAGCGGCACGCCAGAAACCGCGCTCTGTCAACTCTTGGACCACGAGAGGCACGAAAGCGATGAAGAAGACGATGAAAATGGACAGGATGCAACGTGAGACCCAGTCGTAGACAGGAACCAAGTTTGCGCAACCATTGGGCCACTGTGGATCGGTGATTGGGATATCCTTGTTGTACCGGCAAATGATGGTCTCGTGTTTGAGCGCCCCGAGGTGGAGGAGTACGAACATGAAGCACTGCACCGACAACATAATGAACAAGTTGTTGATGTGGAAGCCCGGGTGAGCGTAGTAGAACGAGAGGAAGCGATCCAGAGGCAGTTGCGTACCGAGGTAGTAGTACTCACGAGACAACATCTGTTCGCCCATACCAGTACCAATCTTGGTGGTGAAGTTGAGAATAGAGCCGAAACCAAGATCACGACCCTTACCACACTGGTAGTACTCACAGTGCTTTATCCTGCCACCACGGAGAAGAGCGTTCATACCAGCGTAGATGTCCTCGTTCAGGTGGAGACCCTTCTGTGCCTTGGAAACACCGCCACGGGTGGTCATGAAGATACCATTGAGGAAATCAGGATGACCGTAATGCAGTTTACCACCGATTTGAGCCAGGGTACGTGCGAACATAGTACCGAATGTCTGTTCCTTACCGGCGGCAACGTCACCAAGAATACCAATGTTCTCGGAGAAGATGTATTCACGGGCTCCGAGAATGGCAACGGGGTTGAAATTGGGGTTCGGGATACCTGGGGTGTACGGGGAGACGTTATCGGTCGTCATTTCTTCGAATTCGGCGAGGACGCTACGGATCTTGAGGCACTCCTCGAGGTAGTTGTCCTGGTTAGCGTCGATCAACTGGATGTACTCCCCACGGTAGAAGATGATGCAGTGGTTCTGGTTGTCGGACTTTCCGTCTCCAAGGATGGGATTGCCGGAAAGCTGGACACGGAACTTGGGTCGACGCATGCCATTGTCCATGATTTCAGAGTGTCCGTCGATAAGAGCAGAATAGATGCGGGGCTCATCACCTTCGTTGAGCGGGGGCTCCTCGTCAAGGTAAGCAATCTGCAGATCGGGGTAGGCACGCAGCAAGAACTCGGTGTTCTCACGTTCCTCTTTGGAAAACTTGGCGTAACGCTGCATGGACACACAGATCTTGTACTTGCGCCTGGCCATACGCTCGAGTTCGCGTTCAAGCTTGTCAGAATTGCCGCCGAACATCTGGACGACTTCGGGGTTCTCGACGCGGTAAAGCAGCTTGATGGCACGGCTGTAGTTCATGAAACCTGAGATAGTGCGGTACAGTGTCTGAGATCGGAGAGAGGCCCAGATACGAGTCCGGAGAGTGTACTCAGGGGCAGCGGACTTGAAACCAATGCAATAGAAGGGAAGATCATCAATCTTGCTCTTCGCAGTGTCCTTCTCAGACTTTTCGGAATCACCATTGTACTGCGAGGTCTCATCGGCAAGAATCTTTGTGTCCTTAACGAAGCAGTCCCACTCGTGAGGGTGAAGCTGCTTAAGATATTCCAAGAGAGTAACGCGGGAGTACGGTTCGTCCTCGCGAATGATCTCACGGAGAGACAGAAGAATCTTCTCGCTGTAATGCGGAATCAAAACAGTGAAGGTAGGCATGTTGTCAACAGGCAGTGGCTCGGGAATCGGAGTGGACAAGGACTGCGCGAAGAACGAAATACGACGTTCAGCCTCGCTCATGGCAGGAAAGAACTCAGTCTTGAAGGAGTGGTCTTCCTGAGACACGAAGAAGGTGGGCGCACGAAGAGTCCTCTTGCCTTCCTGCTCCGAAGGAACCTGGTGATAGAGCAGCTTCTGGACGTGATCGATGGCTAGGAGATGCTCGCGATACATGGATATAACGATAGCATTCCAGATCTGAGAGATGAGAACCTTGGGCTTATACTTGATCTCCATATCTGTCGTGGCTAGAACCTTAGAATAGATTCGCTTGGGGAGGCGAGAGAAGATGTTTCTCCAGGGCGTCCAGATGGAGATACCGAGGTAGAAGGAGCGAGACACGGAGAAGAGCATGTTGAGAATGATGTACCAGAGGTAGGTATCCAAGAAGAAAAGGACCAGACTGGTGAAGTACATCAGGCCAAGGAGGATCCTGGGCTGGTACTTGCACAAGATGTCTCCAATGATCGCATCACCCAGACAGTTGGGCTTCTTCATATGGGACAGAATGCGGATGGGGTCCTTGAGCGATAGGGTCAAGAAGAAGTAAGACTCGGAGAACTTGGCAGCGAAGACCATGACCCACAGTCCGTAGGACATCCACATGTCGTTGCCCTTGAGGCGCGGGTAGCTAGCAGTGAATGTCTGGCTAGCGACGTACTGGCGAGAGTTGCGCTTCATGTAGCTGCCGAAGAGACCACCCAATGGCATGACCGAGAAGAAGAAGAATGTGATCAAGGCGATGATGAACTGTACGATTCCGAGGATCTTGGGGATCGTGCCTTCCTGGTTGTCCAACACGAAAATGTAGACGGCTGGGGCAGCGTTGATGACCAGAACGAGGAGGATGAAGAGTAATCGTTTCGTCAAGTGCTGAGCACCTGCCCATTTTCGTGGAACGTACGCCCATTCGCAGAGGGTGGCCATGAGTTGGATAAAGGCGGCAACAGTACCACCAAGACCGACAGCAGACAAGGTTGCAGCCTCATTAGGTTGGGTGTCGGTCTGCTGTTCATAATTCTTCGTGTAGACAGGTTTCGAGTTGTAAGCGGTGTAGAACCAGAAAGCCGCAACATGGATGACCCAGATGCGGTTGAAGTTGACGATCATGTGGAACCACGAGCGTCGTTCGTAGTAGGTCTTGAAAAATACCTTCTTCCAGACGACGTCCTTCAACTTGGCGAATCGCTCAGCCGGGGGCAGATCGACAATACGTGATTTGTCTTCCATCACGATACGCTCCAGACCTTCAGGGTACCAGAAGAGCTGGTTGATATCATCGTAACCAATGATGGCTGCGTGGTCGCGTTCCCGACGAACGTACTTGCCGTCTTGAATCTCGTAACCTTGATCTCGGCAGTATTGGTAAAGCGGAGTAATCACGTTGTTAAGGTAGGTGAACTCGTCAATGGGCTCGGTCTGCGCTTGGCCGGCAGGCGAGTTGAGCCAATCATCGGCGCACTTGAAAATGAAGCACAGACATTCCGGCATGTAGCGGACCTGGTTGGCTTCACCCCAGCAAAGGAGGTAAAGAGCAACCTGGCGCACGCGGTCGTGCTGGGACATGCGGTTCATGCGTGTCTTCCACCGGTATTCTGCGGCTTCAAGGCTGTTGTCACCTTCGTACGCGTCCAAGACTTCCTGCTCGTTACCAGGGTTCTCGGAAGCTGCCTTCTTTGCCGCTTTGCGGGCTTTCCGTGTTCTCCGGCTTGCCTTGCCGAGCTTCATGTTCGAGAAACCGACGGCATCGTCCAGGTCGAGGTGAGCAGCAAAGTACCAGCGGCGGTAGTTGGCGTTCTCACCACCAATGTAGTCTGCGTGGAGCGAGAGAAGGGCCTGATTGGGCGACATGCGGGACGCACGCGAGTCGAGCAGGGTCATGAAGTGGTCATACACGTTCCTCATGCTGTCCCTTTGGAAACCGAATTTTGCAGTCAACTCTAGAAAGATATCCTCGATCTCTTCCTTCGTGCATGGGATCTGTGCTTCGGCGGTCCAGGCCGGGTAGGGCTCCCGGGAGCGCTGGCCCGCAGGAAGAGCGTTAGTGTAGTCCATGCCGTAGATGGGCGTCGACGCCCCTGACGAGCGATTGCCGCCATACGAGATCTGTGATGATGGGGGACGGTATTGACCACCACCGCCGTAGCTGTTGTATCGTTCATCGCCGCGACCGTAGTAGTCCATGTCTGTCGCACGAGCCATGTCGGAGCGCATTGTGAAGTCGCTGAAGGTCTCGGAGTCTTCTTCAGAGTCGTGCTGGCGGCGAGGTCTCGCGCTGTTCAGCCGTTAGCTGGTGGCCAATTGGAAATTTTGATGAAACTGACCCATAGCCATCCTGGCCATGCCCTCCCTGGTCGTAATACTGATCGTTGTAATACTCGTCTTGATAGCCCTGCTGGCCACGATCGTCATAGTGGCCGTTCTGTTGATAGTGGCCGCCCTGCTGGCCGTCGTAGTAGGCACTGTGACTGGATTAGTGCAATGCAAATCGATGCAGACGAGAATACGCACGATTCATCGTAGTAAGCATCGCCGTGTTGAGCGTGCTGCTGGTCCTGGTAGGCGCCACGCTGGTCATCGTGGTATTGGCCGTACTGGTCGTCGTGGTAGTAGGCATCTTGACCTTGATGGCCGTAGCCATCGTCATAGTGGCCGCCTTGGGGATGTGCAGACATCGTGGCGGTGAATTAAGGTGGGATGTAAAGCTGTCGGCGGGTGTCAACAGGAATGCTTGTGTGGCGCGGCCCCGGTCGAGCCTGAAACACCAGTGGTCGGAGCGTGCGTACCTCAAACAATGTGCATCAGGAGCAACGGGCTGAGATTAATTGTAGTGGCACAGCCTCGATATTATGGGGTAGAAGGCGGGTGCGGGTTCTGAGGTAGCGAGTGTCGTTGTCCAGGTGTTGACGTGAGGAATTTGCGAGCGAAGGTGGAACGGGGCCCGCTGATTGTCCCGGCGTCGAGGATCGAGGGTCGAGGGCGTGCTTTGTTAGGGAGCCGCTGGGTAGAGGCAGAGGGCTTTGAGCGAGCGAGTGACGGTCCGGCGGATGCAGGAGGGGAACAGCTGGCGTCGTTGCTTCGACAACAGCTCTATGCGTGGCAGGTGCTGCTAGCTCAACCGCAACGGATCTCCGCGCGGTGGAAGGCACGAAGGGCACTCTGCAGGGCAGCAATGTCTCTCAGCACGCGGCTATGCGAACGACAGACTGAAGGAAAAACACGGGTGGGGTCGACGGCCTGGGGAAGAGAGCGACGTGCAAGAAGAATGCGAGCGGGCAGGGAGCGGCAGGTTTATGGCAACAATGGGTATTCACTCAGGGGCTGCTCACGGCTTGGCAGCGAATCCTCGCCGCCGCTTGCCCGCCTCAACGCTGGCGCTAGTGCCCCGATCCAGGATCTGCTCGACTTGGAGCGCTGCGCACTGCACGTCGCCACTTTTCGCGCTCGTCTAGCAGCAGGTTTATGGGCAAAGCGATTGCGGATGCGATCGCTGGCAACCAATATTGCTCGACGGTCGGCAGCGCTGGCGCGTGAGTGCATTCCCATTCCTCGGCGGGCTCGACGCGAGCGTGGCGGGATCGCCATGTGAAGCGCAGCAGATCGGCATTGTAAAAATATCGCGTCTCCAGCATCCTTCTGTTCCCGATGCGATTCCCGCCGGGGCAGTTCTCACAGGACATGGTACATGTCGTTTCGCTCACGACGTTGCGTGCCCCTCTGGCGGCGCTGGTAGGCGGGCGACGGCTCCAAAAGCACGAAGCGCTGGTGCTCTGGCTCGCCTCCCGCCTCCCGCCGTCAGCCAACCGCGCCTTTGCAGCACGTCACCGCTGAGTGGCAGAGGCCAGAGGGACGATTTGCGGCAAATAGGCCCGTCGGGCGATCAAACGCCGCCGGCGCAAACAGGCATGGCCTCGCCCGGAAGCACCCTGCCCGACATGAGATAACTTGCCTGCCCCCTGGCTGTCGATAGCGATAGGCTTATCGCCGGTGCCTTCACTTCACTTGCACGCTGGCGCCGCCGCCATCCCTGCCAGCCCATGTCGCAGCGCAACGGGGCCGAAGGCTTTGCCCACGACCCTCAACACTTTGAGCAAAGCGCGACGACGGTGGTGCTTCAGACGCTTCTCCCCGAGCTTGCATGGCGGCAGGCAGAGGGGCCTGCAGCGCCATCGCAACGACGGGTTTCCCATGCATGGCTGTCGGCCAGCCCTGGCTCGTCGAAAGATTATCAAGCTGCCTTGGATTCTGAATATTATGTACCGTCCCTGTGCTACCATCGGATAGCCTCCGCGGCGCCGCGTGGCAGGTTCGGCCGGTAGCCTACGCGGGCCAAATCGAGATTGCTGACCCAGCCACAGGACCGCTCTTCAAGCGCGCAGCGGACTGAATCCGGATGCCAGATAGTCGCCCAATAATAGAGCAATGTGTAGGAAGAGATTTACTTCGCATGGAGCATCTTACGCAAGCCGGCTGCTGGCTTACCCACCAGAATATAGGGCGCGGGTTCGCCAGCTACAGACGTGAGTAGACAGCCCCAGACCTGCCCATTGCGGATGCTGCGGACTTCCCTCAGCAATGCATGCACCGAACACAGCCCGGCGATCAAAGTTCGACTGTCGCCAAGTGAATCTGCCATACAGAGCTTGTGCAAAGCTTGGGAGGTCCCATGCTTTACATCTCAGGTACAATGCCACCTCCTGTCCGCTCATTTCCATCCATCTGTCCTGCCAACCGTTGCTGTGGCCGGGCGAGAAGCGCCTCAAATCGGTCCCGCGCCGTACCGTCTGCCACGGCCTTTTGACATCTGACGTGAAGTCGCACAGGCACAGTTACCTCCGTACGCACAAAAGGCCAAAGCGCCATGTCTCGTCACCTGTGGAGTTCCAAGAGCCTTAATTTAGGATTTTGACGCAGGCACAGGTGGGGCATTGTGTGTCGCATCCAGACGTGTGGATCGCTTTGCATGCACGAAGCCGCTCGGTGGCAGAAATGCACCAACTGCAGACTTCGTTGTCCAGAGAGACAAACGAAGAGATTGCAACTGGAGAGCCATCTGGAACTCGTCGCATTCCCAGGCCACGGCCAGCCCTGATTTGCCGTGTACTTTCAATGGCAGAAGATTGCGACGGACAATTGTGGAGAGACCATGGCCACTAGCCGTTTCGGGGCGCTCAGGGGGTGAACCCCGAGCTGCGAGCTTCACATTGCCCTGCAACTCCAGCACTCCATACACTCTTTAACTCGAGCTGCTTCACGCGTGTTTCTTCGTTCTTTATTGTTTATCCACGTCACTCTCTACAAATACTTGGTTTAATTAAACTCCACGCTCCTTTTGCCTCCGGCTCTTTCCTCGTGCCACCCAAGCAAACACCTCGTTCAACGCCCCTTCCGTGATATACAGACTGCCTTACGCCTTACGCCCAAGTGCACTCCAGGACGCGGCTCGCGCTTCTTCAACCTTTCGTTACACAGCAGACATTAGCTCAGCATGAAATTTTCCTTTGCAGCCGCTGCTGCGCTCTTCGCAGCCACCGCAGTTGCGGACGTCGACCCTATCGTCATCAAGGGCAGCAAGTTTTTCTACAAGACCAATGGCACACAGTTGTGAGTAGCACAGTCTTTGCTGGTGATCTCGTCTAAGACTTCACAGCTACATGCGTGGTGTGGCCTACCAACAGGGCGTTGGTGCCGCTGGCTCGACTAACGCAAGCTCCGACTACACGGATCCTTTGGCCGACAGCACGTCGTGCAAGCGTGACATCGAGTATCTGCAGAAGCTGCGCACCAACACCATCCGAGTGTACGCCATTGACCCGACCAAGGACCACAAGGAGTGCATGACCGCTCTCCAAGCAGCCGGTATCTACGTCGTTGCCGATTTGTCCGAACCTAAGACGTCCATCAACCGCAACGACGCCGAATGGAACACCCCGCTCTTCGAGCGTTACACTGCCGTCATCGATGAGATGCAGCAATACAGCAACACCCTTGGTTTCTTTGCCGGTAACGAGGTTTCCAACCAGAAGAACAACACCTTCGCTAGTGCTTTTGTCAAGGCCGCTGTTCGTGACTCCAAGTCATACATCAAGACCAAGGGCTACCGCACGATTGGTGTTGGATACGCCACCAACGACGATGCTGACATTCGTGAGAACCTTGCCAACTACTTCGACTGTGGTGAGAGCGCCGAATCCATCGATTTCTGGGGTTACAACATCTACTCCTGGTGCGGCGAGTCTTCTTTCACCAAGTCTGGCTTCGATGTGCGCACCAAAGAGTTCGAGTCCTATAACGTTCCCGTTTTCTTTGCTGAATACGGTTGCAACGAAGTCCGTCCCCGTCTATTCACCGAAGTCGAGGCTCTCTACGGCAAGCAGATGAACGATGTCTGGTCTGGCGGTATCGTCTACATGTATCACGAAGAGGAGAACAAGTTCGGTCTTGCTACTGTCAGCGGCAGCTCAGTCAAGACCAACAAGGACTTCGACAACCTCTCCAAGGAGATGGCTAAGGCTACCCCTACCGGCGTTAAGATGGCCGACTACAGCCCTACCAACACCGCAGCTGCCAAGTGCCCCTCCGTCAACAGCAACTGGGGCGCACCTTCTGACCCGCTCCCTCCGGTCGTCAACGTTCAGGCTTGCGACTGCATGATGGACACCGTATCGTGCGGCGTCTCCGACTCCGTGGAGACTGACGAGGACGTTGGCAGCCTTTTTGGCGTCGTCTGCGGCATGAAGGACGGCGAGTACTGTGCTGGTATCAACCGCAATGCCACCGTCGGTCCCTATGGCGCTTACGGCATGTGCAAGCCCAAGGAGCAGCTCGCCTTTGCACTCAACGCCTACTACAACGCTCAGAAGAAGGCTTCCGATGCCTGTAACTTCAAGGGCTCTGCCACCCTCAAAAAGGCTGCTGCCACCACCGCCGCTAGCTGTGAAAGTCTCCTCAAGCAGGCTGGCGAGGCTGGCACTGGTACTCTTTCTGGCGCCGCTGCCCTCGCTACCGGCGGCAGCTCGAAGTCTGGCAGCCAGGGTGCTGCTGCCGGCGGCCTCACCGTCTCGCACGTCTCGGTCGGCTACTTCGGCATCGCAACCTACCTCTTCGGCGCCATCGCTTCGGGCGCTGCCATGATCTTGTTGTAGACATTATCAAGAGTGCGAGCATGTTCGAACCTTTTGCATAGCGTGCGGGGAGTGCGTCCTGTGTATATTCTGTCTCTGCGGCAGCCTTAATTCTCTGAAGGCGCATGGCTTTATATCCTTTTCTTGTTTCTCCGTTAGATGTGAATACATTTTGTGCACACTCAAATGATGAAATCGTCGTTAATTTTTGGCGTTTGTTGGAAGTTTCTTGCGTGCTTGAGCAAACGTGATCTGCAGCACTGTTACACACTAAGTCAGTGATGTCTAAGTCTGACTCTGCATGATAAGATCTATCGGTGCCTACAATGCATTCAAGATATCGTAGATGCGCATGCACGATGATGATGTGGAATGTGGCGCGCTGCGCCCCCGCCACTCTTGCTTACCTGGCGACGGCATGGGGACGTCCGGTGAGCTCGTTCGGCGATGACAGAGTGAAGACATTACTTGCTCGCGTTATTCGGGATTGTATACGCTGGAATGGAAGTGTAGTGGGCTGTGGCCGTGGACTAAGAATGCAAGTGCCGTGAGGGAGATGCCGACAGCTGCTGACGGTCGGAACGCAAGGTTAAATCGCTAGGTAGTACTGTTCAAAATTAGTTAAAAAGCTTCACTGATATGCTGTGCTGGCGACATTATGTGGTAGGAATGCGGTATTCACTGCGGCAGAGGAAGGTGATTTAGACTCGGTACGGCAGGAATGCGGTCTAGCGATCGCTTACGGGACTTTGCACCTCAATGAAGACAAAACGGCATGTGTACGCGATCCAGGATAGCGGAAAATGAGCATATCGTGTAGCAGCATCGCGGGTCGATTGGAGAGGGGGTCAGTGTCGGACGTCGACTGAGGAGTGAGAGTGATGCTAGTAAATAAGTTGGCTCAATCCATGTGTTGTTGGGCAGTGTAGGGATCATCACGATGCCAATATTTTCGGAAGATATTACTGCTTTCGAGAATATCCGAATGGCTGTCTGCATGGCTTCGCTTTCACTTCTTTCGTTCAGTGTTTTCTAGAAAGTCGTTTCGAAGTAATATACTTCCAAAACCTAACGCCAAAGGTTTTTTTCTTCTTTTTTCCTTTCCCTCAACGACGTCGAATTTGTTACTTGTGAGTGCCTTTGAAGCCATGCCCGAGACCTAGGGAACGTTCTCATAACACTGAATCGCAAACATCATACCTAGATGCTCTTATCTGTGTAACGCGTTGATGTGCAACAAGTCATTAAGACAGGCTGCGGCCACGACGATGCCCCAATCGATGACTATCTTGGCCTTGCCAAAGGCGAGGAGATGGATCAAACTCTAGATACTGGTCTTCTAGGATGGTGATTTCTCCGAGTGTTAGTAGACTATACCCAGTTCATATGTGAATAGAACTAGGAAGAGCAGGCGTCCCTTTGTCTACCTAAGCGACGCTGAACCAGTATACCCCAACTTCATGTTGACATCTGATCTCATAGAACCACGACCAGTATTACATTTAGTGCTCTCAGTTTCAACGTGTCTCCATCGCAATGGCCTTCATCGAACGCTTCAGACGCTGTCCCGATGGCAGGTACTCTTCATTACCGGCGGATCAGAACGAACCAGATACATCGACTAAACGAAGATCACATGTCTGGAGAGAAAGGAGAATGGGTACATTCTGGAAGAATGTGACATCGCATATGTTCTTCGCCCTGCTTGGAATCCTCATTGGTATCGCGTGGAGCTACTGGGCCGTTGGCGGTCTCTTCAATGATGGATATCCTCGTACGCAATTTTTCCTCAAACTGTTGATCGTCATCGAAGTAATCATCCTGATGAGCGCCTACAGCACCATCAGGACACACACCCCAAGTCTGGTACGAGAATAACACATTCACTGGATCACCCACTGCCGAAACCCAACACGCCTGGCAAGCGCTCATTCCCAAAGGCAAAGGCTTCGTGGAACACCCACAAATCGCATCACCTCCCAAAGCCGTCGCTGCGTACCATCAAATACACTGTCTGCACGGCATACGCATCGCGTATTACACCCGCATTAACGAGCTGTACAAGCTGCAAGGCAAGTACTCACTAGTAAACCATTACATTAACAACATGGGCGCGAACGTGCATCTCTATCACCTGGATCATTGCTTTGAGTACTTGAGGCAGGCACTGATTTGCGCGGCGGACAGCAATTTGGAGGATTTGGTGGTAGATGACAAGGGTAGGGCGGAGGCGCCGGGGTGGGGGACGGAGAGGGTATGTAGGGATTTTGAAGGATTAGGAAGGTGGAGTGTGAAGTGGAGGGCGAGTGAGGATGAGACGATTTTGTGAGCTTTTGTATACACACGGCGTTGCTCATGAGGTTTGAAGCCTTGAGCTCACAGGTGCTTGTTATACAGAGGTCATTCGCTACCGCCCGAAGTAGGTTAGGCAGATAAGTTAGTGCTATGCATCCCGCATTGCGACCTTTTTTACATCAGACGACCAAATCTGAGTCCGCAAACCAGTGAATCTTGTGTGAAGCTTGTCAAGTTCGCCCTCCCTCGTACCGTTGAGTGCGAGCAATTTTGATGCTTACTGGAATTATGCGCGTCCAGTAAACGCCTCAACTTTATCGGCACTTTCGCACGCACCGACGTCACAGCACCTGCGAGGTTGGGCTGCAAAAACATAACCGTCGGTCGAACTGTACACACGTAAAATTGTTGGTCTGTTCACGAATGGCCCTTGTTCTGAAGTACGTATTTTCCAGATAGATGAGACGAAGTCGCCGAGACTGGCACTCTGGGGTCTGGTGACCAGAACATGCACATTGAGATTGTGAGACTGACAAACGAACAGGCAAATTCACTCACCGGCTTCGACGAATCCAATAGGTATTCGCGACTACTCATGAAGGTTTCAATACACATAGCAACACCCCGACCCGACGCGAACTGAATTCCAACGGTAGCATACATATCGAGGCTCCCCTCTGCATAACCACCATGGAAGTTCCTCCTAAACCAACTATCGAAAACCTACGACACGTCGTAAACACCTTTCCCATTATAGACAACCATGCACACAACATCATCCAGCCGGCCTTGTTAGACACGATACCCGTGGAATCGGTAACTACCGAAGCGCAGGGAGGCGCGTTGAGAGATACTTTCAAGTCGCTTCCTCACCTAAGAGCGGCACGACAACTACGTCAACTCTACGAGTGTCCTGACGATGCTAACTGGGAAGAGCTGCTTGCCCAGCGCGAGGAATGGCTAAGGTCGGATCCAGAAAGACTGAACCAGCACTGCTTCCAAGGAGTACATGCTCTGCTGATCGACGATGGCCTCTCCAGTTCCGAAAAGGTACTACCGTATCACTGGCATAACCGGTATACAAAGGCACCAAGTAAGCGCATCGTACGAATCGAAACGGTAGCCGAACGACTCATGGAGAGTATCCTGCACGGTGTCACTGATGATGATCTCGATATCGCTACTTTCTTCACTGATACATGGGTCGCTTTGACCGAAGAATTTGAAAGAGAGATCCAAGAAGCGATCCAGGACCCTGAAGTTGCCGGCTTCAAGACTGTTATCTGCTATCGGACCGGATTAGATATCGAGCCGGACTATGAACGAGCTGCGCGAGACGTTGGGCTTCCATTTGAACGCTACGTGGAACGGTGTGTCCGGAGGAAGAAATATCGAATCGAAAGAAAAGCACTTAATGACTATCTGGTATTGCGAGCACTGGAGATCCTCTCAGAAGAGACTGTGCATCCGGAAGCTATGTCCAAGCCTTTGCAACTGCATACCGGTCTCGGAGATAAGGATATCGACCTTTTGAAGTCAAATCCAGCATATCTGCAACCTGTCGTCGAAGGCTACCCGAACGTTCCATTTGTGCTGCTTCACTCGGCTTATCCGTACACACGAGAAGCCGGCTATCTAGCTACGGTGTATAAAAATGTCTATCTAGATATTGGGGAAGTGTTTCCTATGGTGAGTCGAGATGGTCAGAATGCCATATTACGACAAGCGCTAGAGATCACGCCTGGAAGCAAATTGCTCTACTCGAGTGACGGCCACTTTCTACCAGAAACTTACTGGTTGGCAAACTTGCAATTTCGTGAGGCGTGGTTAAATGTAAGTGACACGGAGGGTCTCAAAAAAACTAGAGAGCTGACTTCTTAAAGCTTCTTGAGGAGTACGTGGAGAAAGAAGATGTTACGCCCCACCAAGCCATTGCTATGACGAAGGACATTTTATTCAATAACTCCAATGTCCTCTACAATCTGCGATACGAAGCAGTTTTCGATGATCTCGTTGTACCACCCAAGGCCCTCACTTACAATCCTGAGTCGGCCGCAGGAGCATCGATCTCACCAACTGCTGCTGCTGCACCACTGCCCTATCCGGAAAACATCACAGATATACGAAGCCATGCGCCTACAGTTGTACCTTCATCGTTCCTACCTCGAACACCATCGGAAGGATACCAGCCGCCACCATTCCCTCCACCACCGAAGGAGCCACAAGTGTACGACGTCCAGCTATACGATACCTTCATGCAACAGAACCCTGAAGTCAAGTTTGTCTACGTCCAGTGGCTCGACTACATGGCCACTGTCCGAGCACGCATGGTTCCAATCAAGGAGTTCGACCGCATGATGCGCTCTGGGAGCAGGATTGGCATCTCTCAGGGCAATACAGGAACGCTCCAAAATGATGGCCCGACGCCTGTCATGAACCCAGTCGGACAAATCTACGTGGAACCAGATTTGCGTTCCCTCCGGCGGACCCATAATCGGGATCCACTTCCCTCTGCAACAGTCTTGTCTTTCTGGCGCGATGAGAGAGGCAATCTTCTTCGCGAATGTCCGCGAACGATGATGGACGTATTCATCAACGAGCTGCAATACCATCATGGAAGTGAGTGAATCCACAATATATTTCTCCGAATTCCTGCTTACGAAGGTGGGGATAGTTAAGCTTTTATGCGGTTTTGAGATCGAAGTGACGTTCTTGCGGCATAGCGATACGCCCCATAACCCTTTCAAATCAGCTTCAGATAGTCCTCAGATTGAAGCCTTTACACCACTGACGAAAACGCACGCATGGGGAACCTTAACACCCGAACAGTGGCTTCAAACTCCTTTGCTCGCGGAGATAGCTACATCTCTATCTGACATCGGAATTGAAGTCCAACAGTTCCACTCCGAGTCAGGCCAAGGCCAGTACGAGTTCGTTTTAGCTCCCCAACCGCTCCTGACTGCTGTCGACTCCCTCATCCAAGCCCGACAGGTTGTCGCGCAGATAGCAGCCTTGCATGGCGCTAGGGCTACGCTGCATCCCAAACCTTTTCCAGGCATCGGGACCGCAGCGCACGCACATATTTCCTTGGATCCTCCGGACAGAGATCTCCAATTCTTCATTGGCGGCGTACTTAATCATTTACCTGCAATCTGCGCGTTCACGATGCCTGAGGATGTCAGCTACGACCGCGTAGCCGATGATTCTTGGACTGGTGGTACATGGGTTGCATGGGGGACACAAAACCGCGAAGTGCCACTCCGACGAGTCAACGGTGGTCGCTGGGAGATACGGTGCCTGGATGGCTTTGCGAATATGTATTTTGCTGTCTCCGCCATCCTCGCAGCTGGTATACTCGGCCTGAAAAGCAGCGTGGTCGATTTTGCGCAGAGAGATGTGCCGTACAACCCATCGCAATTGGATGAAGCTGGAAGGGCGGAATTTGGGATCACGCAGAAGCTGCCGGCTAATTTTGGAGAGGCGATACGCGCGCTTGAGACAGATGGAGAGTTGAAGGAGGCGCTCGCGCAAGGGTTCGTGAGTGACTACTTGACAATGAAAGAGAGTGAGCAGAAGATGCTTTCGGAGATGACGGATCAAGAGCGTAGGGTGTGGCTTATCGAGAGGTACTGAGAAGTATCATGCTCTAGCGAGGTTGTCAATGGGTGGCTTTGGTACCTCTATTCTTTGCATTTACTAGCCTTGCTTGCCTGATGAAATTATGACTGGGACCATCGTGGGTCTCCAATAACCAACTGACTCAAGCAATGGTTCGTCGAAATTCGCGAAGTTAGTACCAAATCCGTTTATTAGAGTGTTCCAATGCCTTCCGGAGAGGGGTCCGTGAGAGAGATGCACACGCGCTCCCATCCCGCAGGATGGCACGCTTTTCTGTACTCCACCATGACGCTCTCGGTCATCTCATTGTCCAGTTCGACCCTGATCTCACCCAGTCTCTCTTCGAGCGGCAGCTCAGGTGGGCTCAACTCGTCAATTCCCGGCAGCGTTTCTGACGCAAAATCTTCCCCTTCGTCTTCATACAAACCCCCGTCTTCCACCTCCATCACCTTTCTTATGATCCTACTCATAATCTTACAATCCCAGATGCCTTCCCTATGCATTGTGCTCTCAAGTAGCCGCACAGCATGCAATCTTACTCTCCTCACCCTACACTTGATTGCTGTATAGTATAGCGGCGGTATCCACGCAAAGTCAATTACGGAGTGAGCCATATTAAAGCCCGCTCTGTCGCATATCTTGGGCCGTGGCCGTGAATTCCAAAGATGCGTTGAACTCGCAAGAATGGCGAGAAAGCGGGTGGTATGAGCGTCGTAGGCGAGTTCAGAGGAGAGGGAGGTAGAGCACAGAATTGCGGCAAGCGTGTAGAAACTCATTATTATGGCGTTGATGACGAGCGTAGGCTCTTCGGAGTCGAGATGGGGCTTGGATGTTGTGTAGGTTGTGTGCCACTGATGGAGCGAGGCCTGAAGTTGTTGCTGCAGCGGGAGAAGCTCGCTGTCGCAGGTTCCGTGATTCAGGGAATCGCCCGTTGGAAGTTGGTGGAAGTGGGCCTTGTTTTTTAGGGCAATGATCTTGTAGAGAATGCAATTAAGCTCAGACCAAGCTTCCCTTAGATCGCAGAAGGTATTCTGCGGGGGAGCAATCGTAGATATACTCTGTTGCAGGAAGATATTTGGATGATGGTGAGTCAGGTGGAAGAGTTCAACCTGTATGTGGAGGCGCTGAAAGGTCTCGGTAATACAACGGTCCGTATGGTCAATCGTTCTCATGATAATAATGCCATCATGTGTACCACCGTAAGTCTCTTGCAGCACCAATAATCCATTCCTCAGATGCGTCTGTGCGGTCTTAAAGTTGCCTCTTAGAAATTCGAGGCATGTAAAAATTGCACAAGCGATAAGAGCGATGCGAGTAGACGCCATATTTTTGGTTGTCAGGTGCGGTTGTAGATACCGAATGGCTTTACTGTAATTTTGAAGCATAAACTTCTCTTGTTTACCAGATATGTGAGAGCCATTTGCGTCGTTTCCGTCTCCATTGGTAGTCTTGTGCGTTGAGCCTAGAGTGAGCGTGGCATGGAAGACAGCTGGCTCAGTGACGCTCGCCTGCCGCAGTAACGTGCTCCAAAAACCTTGCGGAAAAATGCCCGGAATCTTTGGGACCGTCCTGATGTAGAACCAGTCCAGGTATATCTGTTCGTCTGGAGTGTAACACGATGTGGGGGCACTGATTCGCAGACATGGGTGCGAGTTGCGAGATGTTACGGACGGGATTCTCCCGTGACGTTCGGCGTCATTACTACCACCACCCCAGATACCATATCCATCACATGACCTGCCAGTCGAAATACATCTGTGGCATGCAGGTTTTCCCTCGTCACACTTGACCTTTCTCGCTCTGTCTTTGGTAAGCCTTGCTTGGGAGCATCCGCCTGCATAGACTGTGCTTACTTGCAGGTCAAGCATCCAGTTTTACACGTGGTCCTCCGCCGTTTGACTACATTCGAATTGCCGGCCATTTTAGTCGCATCTCGTTGTGCACACTGTGTATACTGGAATGCTTGATGAACGTTGCTGGAAACGGACGAAGTGAGCCGGAATTAGCGGTAGTAAATCCGAAGCTGGGCGTCCAATAGCGTTCATGTCGGTGCTTTCGGCTTGCGAGCTACACCACAATGCTTGCTCCGACCTTCCGTTACGCAAAACCTCTCGAAGGAGCTTCTCTTCGCCCGAGTTCCTTCTTCGGAAACCTGATAAGATCATTGGGTCGCTCAGAGACTGCGTTACTTGCCTGGACGCCACCGAGGTGTTCTCACCGCTGAATTAGTCTTATTCCAAGTTGAACCTTCTGTCTGCTTAACGACGGTCTTTGATGGAGTCCAATGACAAACGCCACAAAACAGTCCTCCATTCCACATCAAGGGTAATTGGCTTGTTCGGAGACTACAGAGTATGTATGGCTGCCAACAGTGCAGAAGAGGTCACGCCCTACCTCAGTCATAGAACGCTATATCCTCATCCTCGATATAGCTATATAGCTCGCTCGTCATCAATTTGTATGCGCTATAAGTTACTGCTGCGCAAATCGGTGCGAATACCTCTTCACCTACAACCAAACACAATTTGTCCGATCTCCCGTGTCTGTTCGTATACTTTGCCGACCAACTCCATACTTGCACAATGTCTTCCACACATTCTATCCCTCTCCGTCAACTGGGAAAACATGGCCCCCGAGTTCCAGCGATTGGCTTCGGACTCATGGGTTTAGCTGGCGCATACGGGCAAGCTGCCTCCGAGGATGAGGGTTTCCAGATCCTAGATCGTGCATTCGAGCTTGGAGAGACATTCTGGGACACTGCAGAGTAAGCTTACACCGTACATCATGCACAGCGATGAGCTTGCTAAGACACTGTCACAGTATCTATCGCGGTAATGAGCAGTTGATTGGCAAATGGTTCAAGCAAACAGGGAAACGTGACGAGATCTTCCTAGCAAGCAAGGGAGCTATCATGATGGATGGCTCGCAGTTTAAGGGCGTCGATAGCTCGGGAGAGTATCTCAAGCATGCTTGTGAGAAGAGTCTTGCTAGACTGGGTGTTGAGTACATTGATCTTTGTAAGTCAAGCATTCTTCGCGATGCGTGATCAGAGTGACTGATCCCCGATAGACTATGCCCATCGCCTCAATCCGAATACTCCTGTGGAAGAGTCTATGCGTGCTCTAGCAGAGCTGAAAACGTGAGCAAAATCTTTCAAGCCCCAGCCAGCTACTGACACTACACTAGTGAAGGTAAAATCAAACACATCGGCCTCTGCGGACTATCTTCCACTGCGCTCCGACGCGCTGTCAAAATCGCTCCTGTGGCAGCCGTGCAAATTGAGTACTCGCCTTTTGTGCGCGAAGTAGAAACAGGAGTATCAGGAGATCTCGCAGCTACGTGCCGTGAACTCGGTGTCGCCCTCGTTTGCTACAGTCCGCTCGGACGAGGCCTCTTGACAGGCTCCGTCAGCAATCGCTCTGACGTAACTCAAGGTACCGATATGCGCGCCAAGAACTTTCCCTGGTTTAGTGAGGAGAATCTGGATGCAAATGCGAAGCTTGTTGCGCGCTTCAAAGAGCTGGCGGACAAGAACGGGTGTTCGTCTAGCCAGTTGGCCTTGGCGTGGCTGCTGGCTCAGGGAGACAACGTGTTTCCGATCCCTGGCACGAGGAAGATCAAGTATTTGGAGGACAATGTGAAGGCTTTGGACGTGACATTGACTGATGAGAAGGTCGTCGAAGTGAGGGAGTTTCTGGAACACAACGAGTTGCAGGGATATCATTCGGTTGAACAGGCAAAGCACTTCGCATATGTTGATACGAAGGCGGATGCTTGAATAAGACAAACACGTGTCGCACTAAATTGGAACCGGTAGTGCTTAAAAGGTGAAGGAGATCGTCAATAGTTCATCAATCGTACATTCTATGAACGCCCTTCAGTAGTATTTATCGTAACCACACTTCAAGCCGCTATAATAAGGAAGACATTTGTGCCCACTTAGGGGATATTGCAGGCTCGAATCTTCCCTTTGCGCAACATCGATGAGCTTTCCGGATATCTGGGATTGGGGATCGGAGTAGACTTAGGCATTTGGCTGCTAACGTGCGAGCCTCAGCACCGTTTCGATACCGATAAGCCGAATTAGCAAGCTTTGATCGATGAAGGAAATAGCTTCGGACGCATGAACTATGCTTTATCACTTCCGCAGCCATTCATACCGACGTATCCATGATTGCCTTCGCACGGCGGACACACCGCCTGAAGGTGCCAGGTCTTTGAAAGACGGACCGCAGGCATCCATTACCAGGTCACGCAGCCAAGCAAGTATGCATTAGAGCTTTCGCGATCTTACAACTCCACATAGAGCGCATCGCTGCTATGTTGACACATTTGGAAAAGGGGACCTATGGAGTGCATCTAGGGTTTCTACAGTTCTGCATCAAGTTCAATCCACCAGGGTCTACTTCCCAGTCTATCATTCGTAAAGTAGCCAACTTTCTGTCCCAGTGAGAAAGCTCATGACTCCGAGAAGCGTAAGCATGTAGGAAGCTCCTTACAACGTGGACGTCGTGTTTCTGAGTTCGGTGCCTAGTCACTTTAGCGGCCTGTAGTGCGCTATTGTAGAGACCGATGTTTAGAATTGGTCGTGGGTTATGAGAGGGAGCGTGACCTTGAGCAGAATTACCCCGCTGCTTCTCCACACGATAGCAAGCGTCACGAACGGCAGCTTCAATCGACCCACTTTCCATCCATCCTTCAACATTCCTCGCAAACAACATTGTCAACAGTATGAATCATCAGTCACAGCCCCTGAGTAGTTAAAATGAGAAATCTGTCTTCAAAGCAGGGACGGACTCACGCACGCGGCTCAAAATTGCATATACATCCGCCGTGGGCTATTGTAGATCATGCACGATACCGGTCCGAACGTGGGACAATGTCGGCGAGTTGTTGCCAGCACACCTTCAAGATTCACTACACCATCAACCAGCGACACTCAATCTCCTCAGAGTAATCTCGACAACTTTGGTTGTATCTCATAGTAAGCTTCGCAATCTCAATAATGCAGATTATTATCGTGGGCGCAGGTCTTGCAGGTCTCTCGACAGCTCTCGCGCTGTCACACTCCTCCGCAAAACACCGGATTGTCCTACTTGAGTCCGCCTCGGCTTTGGCAGAGATCGGTGCAGGTGTCCAATTGACTCCCATTGCAACACGGCAATTCAAAGCCTGGGGCCTTGAGACTCAGCTCCTGGCCGCCTCTGCTCTGCCTGAAGCCTGGAACCTACGTCAGGGTTCAGATGGGGAGGTACTGAATCGCGTGCAGATGGATAGATTTGTAGAGTGGTATGGTGCACCATATGTTGTTGTGCATCGTGCAGATTTGCATAAAATTCTGCATGAAGCGGTCGCAGCGAGAGGTGTGGATGTGCGTTTGAATAGTCGTGTGGAAGAATTTGGGATTGAGCAGGGATGGGTCAAGCTGATGAGTGGAGAGACTCTGCTTGGTGACCTAGTGGTGGCGTGCGATGGGATCAACAGCTCAGCTCGAACACAGTTGCTGAAGAGCTTGGGAAGCAACACGCGCCAGGAAAACGAGCTGGAAGCCACAGGATGGGCTGCATATAGGCTAATGGTAGATGTGGCGAAGGTCAGGCAAGAATCCTTAACGAGGGACATCGTGAGCGAGCATGCTGGCAACTGTTGGTACAGTAAGATATCTCCGTTCCTGGTGTCTGTGCTAACAACACCCAGGACCGACACAAACAGGTCAATTATGACCTACATGATCCGCGATTCTGGCAAGCTTAACATGGTCTTGTCCCATCCCGATGATGTCGATACCAGCACTTGGACGCGGAAACAGTATCTCGCCAAAATCCAGAGCTACTATGCCGATATGGACCCACGCGCCCTGCACCTTGTCAACCTCAGCACCGGTCCTATCACTAATTGGCCCGTCCATCAAGTCGTCAAATTGCCAGCATGGACGTCCAGAAGTGGAAGGTTCGTGCTGATCGGCGACGCTGCACACGCGATGGCTTTCTACCTTAGCATGGGCGTCTCGCTTGCCATCGAAGATGCTGCAGCGCTCACTACAGCCTTAGACCTGCATGAATCAAGTCCGAAGGGAACATCATTGGTAAAATCGATGAGGTTATTCGAGAATGTGCGGAAGCCAAGAGCTGAGAAAATCAGAGATGCGAGCCTACATGCTGGGGCAATGCTGCATCTTCCGCCAGGGCTAGAGAAGAATTTACGAGATCAGTCTGCAAGGAACGATTCCGCAGTACTTGAGGCGCAAACAGGCGACATGTTACTGGACTGGATCAGTTACGGTATCACGGATAAGCAGGTGAGAGAGGAATGTTATGGCTACGACGTGGTTACTGAGATGCGGCGTCATGCAACCATCGGCAAGTTACACTAGGAATGAAGTAAAAAGTTCGAAGCGGGATTCCATCACCATATCGCATTGGGTCTATGGACCAAGAAGGCAGCATCTATATTCAAAGTCCTAAGCTCCAACCAGAGTCAACTCGGTAAAATTTGCGTGGTTATTTCGCCTGGTGATGCCAATACGTTTCTTTTAAAGACTAAAACGGGAATATATTTCGCTTTCACAATGATCTTGGGAGGCTAATAGTAAGGCAGCGCAGGCAGTTGCCTAGAAAACACAAAGGCGACATATCAGGGAAGATCAGTTCATTTTCTACAGAACGAAGAAGAAGAGCCACGTAATGCTATCTGAGATGTGTTTTGAGACGAGCGAGCTATGAGTTTGGAGGTTTGAGGCTTTTCGAGAGCACGAAGCCACATTCAGCGGTAGCTTTGTCTTGTTGGGAGGAAAATACAAAGACAAGTTTTTACCCTTAGCAGTTAAAGCAGAGAGACGGAAACCATCTATCGCCCATACAGCGTCAGTGAGGGTACATTTCTTATACGCTAAAGGCAGTCTGTTTTCAACAGCCAAAAGAGCAAGACATTGCATATGTCTCGTAAAGCTTAAAGAAAGAACCACATATGCAATCACAAATAGGTTGTAGATAGAGAAGGAGGCATAGCGACAGCTATCTTTAGCTAAGTTGCTTCTTCAACTTCATACTCAAAAGCTCTTCATCGCTAAGTCTTTCAAAAGTGGGTATCCTTCACAAAGCCTAAAGCTCTACGGTTTCAGAAAAGCAGAGCGAGGGCAACACCCTTCGTTTACGAATAACTTTCGAGATAACACACCCCATCGTCTCTGTCATTCAATCATGGCGTGAGATCGGCTTCTCCATGTAGAAATGAGACTAGACAGCAGGAGATTTAAGGGGACATAATTGGTCTGGATGTTCGCTTCCGGCATAATAATTCATTTGTCGTGTGTTCATCTATCTGCCATTATGTGGGGGCCACGACGCTCCTATCCAAGTAACCGAAAGCTTTTGGGAGCCGAAAGAGACATACGCCAATGTCATTTTGGATTTCCATCTGAGCACGAAGCCAAAAATCGTGGATCGTTTTTCCGTTCGGTATCCACGCGAGATTGCGCGAGGAGGTTGTGCGGCGAAGAAAGACAGAGGGGCGCGCGAGGAGGGTATAGAAAGTGAACCCATCCCATCTCAGAATTGTGTGTCGAGGTTGCACGTGAGGACTTGTGGAATCGGGCGCGTACTGCGCATGCTCGAAGTATTGTACAGAGGCGCATCACTCAGACAGGCAGAGGAATCGTTTTGGGCCTTCGCAATGACATTGCTTGATAGCGGATTGAAATTCCAGCTACTGATTGCGGCATCTCTACAAGCTCTGCCACACGATTTCCAAAGCAGCACTATGATCCGCTCCCGCATACACCGCCTGCTGCGTGCTCCCACTCGCAATTGTATCCGCACTCCATGCCGCGTTTCCCCCAGCCGCCAACTTTTCATCCGAACTCGTGAACGCCGTTGCAGTACTAACACTGCTTCCGCACGTGAACGTTCCACTTACAACACCGCACTTGCCCTTCGAGCTCGTAAGCGTGAAACCATTGCCGCTCGACGCCGCAGTGAACGTTGCGCAGGTACCGCTCGTGTACCACGTGCCTGCCGAAATGATGCAGCCCTTCTGCGCACCACCAGTGTTAACGTTAAGGTATCCTTTGCCGGAGAAAGGTGTGCCTGGCGTGGAAGTGCTTGTGGGCGTAGAGCCGGAGCCAGTGGTGGTAGCCGTAGGGGTGCTACCGCCACCATTCTTGGGGAGGTACTTGATACCAGTAGAGGCACAGGTGGACTTGGTGCCATCGGGATTGGCGGCTACAAATTCACCCGTTTGGACAGAACCGCGCACATCGTAGTGGTACCAGATCTCATTGAGCGCACCTGATGAGCAGCCTAGCGTCACGGTCACGCCTGGTCGCTTAGCAGACAAGGCAGCCTGGATCTGAGCTGTAGTGTATGTTTTGGAGGTGGATGGCGTGATGCCTGCTGCGGCAAGCCACTCGTAGCTGGGTAGTGATTGGAAGAGGTCGACAACCTTCTGGAAGTAATCTACTACTTCTTCGGTGGGCTTGTGGTCTGAGTAGCACTCGGGCTCGAGCGTGGATATGCATGTGCCGTGCTTGCTCCACTCGTGCTCCCAAAATGTCTCGTCGTCACCGTTGTAGTCCTTCCAGTATGTGTTCATGTAGCTGAGGAGGTCCGTCTTCCCGAAGGACTTGATGATGGCGGAAATGTTCGTATATGCGCGGGTAGGGTCACAATTCGAATCGTAGGTCCCATCGCAACGGTCAGGCCTGTATGTCAAGTAAGCATTTTTGGATCTTAGGGTGCAAAGAGGGACGGTTGAAGACATACCACAAGCCATGAATAGTCCATGAATCGTCGGGTCCAGTCGCGGGAGAGGTATCCCAGAACTGGGTCTGCAGCAGCTGTCCGCCAGGCGCATTGAAGCAGCACAAATCCTGAACGATTGTCGTGTTATGACAGCTCAGCTGTGGATTTGAGCATGTTGCCGGAGTCCCTCCAAGAACACCCTGTCCGCCACCTAGCAACACCTGCGCACCGCCAACCGCGAGCTTCGAAAGCGTCCTAATCGAGGGGACCGAGGAAGCCATTGTATGCGCGGCTAAATCGACAGTAGAGGTGACGGGGTCAGGCCGCAGCAGCACCCCATCTCTTATAGCACGGAGCCAGCCTGCCATGATGGGGCTGCACGAACAAGATGTCCCTGGCTGTAGCTAAGCTGCAGAAAGCAGGTACGACCTGGCTTGCGGCGAGGCCGCGATCGACGGAGCGTATTACAAGCTTTCGCGAAGGACGATCCGCGTCGGACGCCAAACGTTCCCTATCTCTTCAGCCTAATTGGCGGGGAGAGGATGCCTTGTGTAAGACAACGCGGCGTTGCGTAAGTGGATGCTGTGGGTATACCGTAGTGTAGTCCGAAAGCGGGAGGAGGTAGGCGGTAGCTTCCGACGACGCGCCCAGGAGAGGTGGGCAGCCAGATGAAGGGGTTTTATCTGATAAAGAAGAGCCGGATGCTGAGCCACTCAAGACGCAGCACCAGGCAGCGCACGTAGAGAGGTCACGCAGGCTAAGGCGCAAGGTCGTGTGTCAGACATGATGAGCACTGCTGGGGCCGAGGCCAGTAGAAGGTGGCAAGGCGATCTGAGGTAAGGATGCACGTGGGACGAGTGCGGGTACCTGAGTCTCAGCAAATCTGGCTCTAGCTCCTTAGGGAATGGCGCCTTTTGGTCAGAGGGCGCATCAGATGGTCGGGGGGGCCGGGGCATGCTGATCATCCTTCTTGACATTGTTTGAAGGGCAAAATGCCTGGGTATCATAGTTACTATACTCTCCCCCACCCTAGTATACAACGCTCTGAGCAAGCCTCTTGGCGTACGGTGTCTTGAGGCGAACCATGTCAACATGTGCATCGTATGCTGCCCGTAGGTGTGAGCTGCCGTCGTAAGAGGCAACATCAGCTCAGTAATACGAATCGGGGCCGGCTTGGCCCGGACCATTCCTGTCAACATCGTCAAGACTCCGATAGCTCGACGAAGGAGCGCCCCGGCCACGACCTCGCCCGCCGCGATCACCACGAAAGCCACCGCCGCCTCGACCTCTCGCGCCATACGAAGGGTTCCTATACCCACCGTGTCCGCGATCGCGGTTACCTCCCCGGTAGCCTCCGGGGCCTTTGGGCCGTTGCTGCTGAGCTCGGCCGTTTCCGTCTTCAGAGTGCGCTCGCTTATTGTATCCTCTGTTGGGGAAGTAGCTCTCGTACTGACTCTCGTTCGCATGCTCCTCTTCAATCCGCAGTACCACCTTCTCGCCAACGACGCTCTCGAAGATGTGCGCTTCCTCCTCGGCCACAGGGTGCCAGTTCTGAATCCGGGCCGCGTCCGCTGGCCGTCCGCCTTTCCTAATGGCGAGGACCACGGTGGGGCTAGGGTTCTCGGAATAGAATTTCGTAGCCTTGGGGATGGGCTCCACGCGCGCTGCCCAAAGCTTGTTCTCGAAGCTTGAAATGCCCGTTACTTTCCAGACTACCTTGTTACCAATGCCTCCCACCTTGTCGAGAATGCTCTTCGGAGCGGGTTTTGGTGTGATGAGAATGCTATTCGCAAGGTATCGAACGTCACCTTCTGGAGTGCCCTGGGGCAGCTTCACTAAAGAAGCCAATTTGTCGCTCATATCCTTTGCTATCATGTAGCCAGTGTAGAACACGGTTTTCTTGATTTGATAAGGCGGCATTCCGGGTGGTGTGGTGCCGGCCCTGACCTGCAGATTGTGAGAGTTGATGATGCGCTGGATCTCTGCGATTTCCGTGACTGGGTCGAGCTGAGTGGCATTCTCCTCCACCTGCACAACTTCCGCCACGATAGCCTTTCGTGAAGTAGGGAGTTGTCCGCTCATCAAATCCTTGTTGAACTGGAAGAAGAAATCGCGGAAACCTTTAGTGCTGTACACAGTTAGCGGGCGCGAAGCATAAGCCAGCAGGTTCGACGTACTGCTTGACGCGGTCCTCGTATATCCGAATATCGTCTGCTTCCTTGTATGTGTACACGATCTCCTTCAGCAGCTCTTGCTTGAAATTCATAGTCGATGTGAATTTCTGACCAGCAGGCCCCACGCTCGGTTTGAGGCAAACCATGTCGAACTTCAGACTCCTGCTTCGTACAATGCGCTTGATCAGCTCGGAGAAGCCATGTTCCGAGCGGCCGGTAAGGAGTACGCTCAGCGCGTCTTTTTGTTGCATAGAAAGCTCCACGAGCTGTACTATGTTCTCGTTCCACCAGCCCTTCCAGGCGCGTGCCTCCTCTTTCTCGACGCCTTCACCGGTCGCTGCCAGTATACTTGAGTCGTGCCACCAACCCCCATTTATGAACACATCGGGTGATGCGAGTTGGCCCACGGTAGGGCCATTCCAGATCTGCTTATTAGGCAGTGGACTTGCGAACAGCGTGTTATCGAAGTCGTAGATGTGGATGGACTTGATATCAGTCATAGCAGGCAAGTCGTTGTCATCGCATGACCATCGTTTCAGCGCGGTCACGGTGTGGTAGGCAGCTTTTCCGTTGCCGTTGCGACCTGCATTGGGCGCAGGCCGCGTCGAGGTCGCAAGCATAGAGGGCAGAGCGCGAAAAGTGGATGGCAGTGCGAACCGCTTGGTTGCTGTCAGGAGCATAGACGTCAGCGGAAGGTCGAGGAAGGCTCGCGGTCGGTCAAGAAAGGCGCAGCCAAGGCGCGCGTGAATGAAAAGCTCAATGTCGCCCAACGCTCACATTTAGTTCGTTGACAGAACGACGACCTGCACTTTCTGGAAGTCGCGACTCAGTGGTCCGTGCCCATCTTCCGATAACTCGCCTCATCTCCCCCCTCCACATCAGCGCATGGAAGGAAAGCCCGGCTTGAGCAAACATGAAGACGCTTGTGTCATCTGTCTCTCGGCTATCACTGAACGAGCAGTCGCAGTGCCGTGCAACCACTGCACTTTTGACTTCCTCTGCCTAGTTTCCTGGCTCGGGCAGCGTCCTACCTGCCCGCTGTGCAAGACTTCAGTCACAGCTGTTCAGTACGACTGGCGGTCGTCGATCGAGTTTAAACACTATAACGTACCCCTACCTCAAGGAGCCTCCACTGTTCCGCGTACTTTTCACAGCCTGCCACGCGGACGGCGAACTTCGCGTCGTCCACATGAACCACTGCAGCCAGATATAGCTGTGCTCCGACGTCGACATGTATATCGCCACAAGCTGTACTCATTCCATATCGGAAGTAACCCCCTCTCCGGATACCGGGACGTGACACCCGAAATGGTTTGCAGCTCAACCGAGCTGCAATCCAAAGCGCGGACTTGGATACGAAGAGAGCTCCGTGTGTTCATCTTTCTCCATACCGATCCTGAAAGTGGTCCATCAGATGCGGCAACTACAAGCAGCAATGCTGAGTTTCTCCTTTCGTACATTGTGGCTATTTTGAAAAAGGTGGACCTCAAAGCGAGCAATGGACACGCGGAAGACCTATTGACCGATTTCCTTGGCCGCGAAAATGCTCGTTTGTTTCTACATGAGCTGTATGCGTGGTTGCGCAGTCCATATAGTAAGGTGGTGGACTGGGATCACCAGATGCAGTACAGGGAGGAGCTTCCGGAGCTTCCAGATGGAAGAAGAGAGGGACCATGCACTTAGGTCCTAATGGGGCCATATCGGTCTAGCTCTACCTTCGCACTCTGCATCCTTCTTTCCGAATGCTCACACTGTGCGACTTGGTGGTATGATGCAGTGGAATCTTGCATCCGCCGTGCTACATGGAAAGGACAAAGCGTCTTTGAAATCATTGACCCTCTACAACCTCATAGAGCGTTGTCAATTTCGCGATGGGTCGCCATACGCCTACCGTGTTGAGCCAGGAGGTCGTAACCAACCCAAAACGCATGTCAAAGATGTTGAAGAGGATTGGCCGGACGGCTCATCGCCAGTCCAAGTCCGCTCAAGCTGTATGCGACACCTGCTCACCGCCGATATAGTGTACCACTGTCGAGATCTGCATACCCTGTTCCTTCGCAAACAAGGCCAGCAGCATAGCCAACAACAATTACCCAGCGACAACACGTATGAGGACGACGTGTATCACGAATGGGCATCCTTCATTGCCCAAGTCCACCCACGACATCTGCGGCTCGAACACGGTGGCTCCACGCTGTTTCCCTGGAAAGGCGGCAAAGATTCGGGAACAGATCCGAAAATCACAGTTCAAGATATCGCGCCTATGGACATCCGTTTCAAGAATATGCTAGCTCCTGTATTGTGTCGCGGATTGCATCATCTCCAGACCCTCGAGATACATGGTGTTTGCATCGACGTTACGCAGCCCATCGTGCAAGCCCTCAATCATCCTCTTTCCTTCATCTTCATTACTGTAACATGGTGTTGAAATGCAGAAGTTTCGCATTCGAGGCCTACAAATACGGACGAGCTCATCAATCCGCCGGTGCAAGGGCGTGCGCTGGTGCAGCTTGAGGAAAGGAGACCGTTGCGGTGGGCGCGGCCTATACAAGTGCGGAAAGAGGTTGAGAGCGAGGAGTATTTTAGGGAGCAGGATCGTATGTCGAGGTTCATGTGTGAAGAGGGATTGATTACAGAGATGAAGTTGAAGCGGAGGGTTAAGAGGAGGTTTTTATGGGCTGCAACGGCGTTGTGAAGGGTAATTCTAGAATTTGACATGGTGTACGGAGCACAGTGGGGTTCGAACTTCAGATGAACAGGGCTTAGTGTGTGGCTTTCCTTACCGAGTCATTCTTGTTCCCATCGATCATAGAGCGAAGACCCGACACCCATCGTATAGTGGTTTTCAATACTCTGAATTCGTCGTTGTTCGATGGCCACCTTAGTGGTTTCCTTTCAGTGATTGAAGGCTCCTGAGGTGAAGCCATTGCCCGCACCTGCCACCTTGACCAGCTCTCGGATTTTTCCGTCTGTTTTACGCTTCTTGTCTTGTTTATGATTTTCCTCGATTTTGCCTTTGAACTTCATCCCGTCTTTGTAACAGCTGCTTTTGTTCTGAGGCGGCTCCTTCACAAATTGTAGCGCTGCTTAGATTGCCATTTCACGGCTATGCTTGATGAGATCAGAAGGCATACTCGACAATTTTGGTAGAAACTATCAGACAGACATTGAGACAGTGAGAGGCAACATCTTTGAGGGTGAATTTCAATAGTAAGCCTAACTACAGTTCGAGACTATGTTTGCGCAAGACTGGTCCTGCTTCCTGAGTTCGCAAGGACATGTTCGTCCGCGGGTTGCGGGAGGCTGGACACAGATGGCGATATTCCTTTCATCGCAATTGCAACCACGCGTAAAGGTAAACGAATCACTTCTGGAAGGATTCAGCAAGGATGTCGAGGATATGGGACTTCGCCGAGAGAACTTGGCCATGAGTCAAAGACCTTGGTGACATTGCCCCCACGTAAATCCAGAGCATTGCCTCCTTGGTATAGAATATGGACATGCCAGTACTCCAGGTCAACTCTTCTTCTAGGTTCCTCATTGCACCGATGACTTATGTCTGAGCACTCGCAGCAGCAGCACCGGGACGACAGCATGTAATTGCGTGTATCCGGCGAATCGTATTGTTGTATCTTTCCAAAGCCCCTTACGCCTTCCTCGACTGGCCTCTATAGATTACTACGATCTAGTCAAACTAAATGCGCAAAACTCTTCGCCGTATCGATCACGCTCTTCTCATGAGGAATATACTCCCCGCCTTTCAGCAACTTCTTCGCCTTGCTCCCATCCGCATCTTGCACATTCTCCTTATCCAGTAGCTTATAGTCAGGGCTGTACCCCTGTCCTGGTGTTCCCTCTACAATCCTTCCCTTCGCATCTGGGAATGCCTTCCGGAGAATATCCGCGGTCGATTGTGCCGTAGCAACAGCCGCAGAACTTATGTAGCGTTCACCGTTTGTCTCCTCGGGATGCGAGATGGAATATTCGATCTGAGCCGCGACATCGCGAACGTCGACGGTGTTGCCGAGACCAGCGGTAAGGCCTGGTGGAGGAAACTCACCGCCGCTGAAGATATTCCAGATAGCGCGGACTGTCTCACCAACTTCTGCAGCTGTCTTGGGCGCAATGAGAGCCGGTCCGATGACAAAGACAGGGTTAAGCGCCGTCTGCGTGAAAGAAGGCTTAATATCATCCCTGAACTTCCAGAATGCTTTCTCGGCGGCGGCTTTGGAAGCACTATAGATGACTGGGCCAGGCGTCCCCTTGCCCATCTCCGCGACGGTTGGCTCGGCCCAGTTGTTCCAGTCTTTCTCGGTGAAGGTGTAGGGGGCTGGGTCCGCAGTCATAATGGCCACGATGGAGGAGAGGTAGACGAACGTTTTGACTTGGGGTCCGGCCTTGACTGCACTATTCAGAAGTGTCTTTGTGCCGTCGACGGCTGCTTTTATGATCGGGTCCGGGTCATCAAAATTAAATGATACAGGGGAAGCGAGGTGTGCGATTGCGTTCACGCCTTTGACGGCTTCATCGAAGGCGCCGGCAACGGTGATATCAGGAACCTCGACCACAGAGAGGGCGCCGGTTTGGGCATAAGACTTGAGAGGTCCCTCGACGAGCGGTGCTGCTGAAGAGGATTTGCGGACTGTTCCACGCACGCTGTAGCCGTTTTCCAAGAGGTACTTTGCCGTGACGGCGGCGATGAAGCCATTTAAGCCAGAAATGAGGACCGTTCCTTTGGACATTGTGGTGGTGGCTGTAGAGAAGACTAGGTAGGTTTTCGTGAAGAGTGAAGACAAGTGTGTCAGTAAATGATCACTTATCTGTTCTTTTTACTCTGTATATGCGATCTTGTTGTTCGCGTTGCCTCTTTGGCGAGCGCGAATGAGCTTTTATACGGAGCAACTTGCTCCTTCTTTTGGTCGCATCCATCGTGTTTACTGAACTAGATAACACAGTTTTCCTTCTTGCGAGACTGTGCACACTATCATACTATCCTAGCGATGACAATGGAATAGTGTACGAATTCTATAGTGTTGGTGCGTGCCGAGGCACACTGCAGTCTGGTGGGCATGTAATCTGTAAAAGCCTTTTGGGAAATCCGCTAACCAAATTTAAGTCGCTAGTGGCACATGTGTTCAGTAAACAGCAGAGATCATGACCAAGACGATAGGAGACCCACCTGGGCGAAGAATACGGCGCCGATAGTGATAGATCACGGTCGGTATATCCAGTATGGCGCCATGTGAGGAGCAGTCGAGGTTTCTGAGGCGGCGCATTCCCCGTAGCTGGCAGGAATTAGGTAGGAATTACCTAGGTACTGAAGACTGTAAGCGTGGTAAATGCTTGCGAGCATTCTAGGAATAGATAGGTAGAATTGAACTAGTATGGAGCTTGGCTTTGCGAAGTTAAGCATTTGCAGATAGGAACATCCATCAAATGGAATCTTCTCAGTGTGCTTTCAATGTCGTGAAAATGAGCTATAGCGCGTGAACGAGAAGGACTTCAAGCTAGAGATTATTGGATGCCAATGTCGCTAGCTTCGAAGAACGTCTGCTACGATCCCTGGTTCTCTTGTTATCGATGCTTTGCAAGAGTTCTCCCTCCGCCTCCCACGGCTTGGTACCTTTTTTTGCAATAATTCAGCCGGTCTATATACATATTGTAGAAGGCTAAGTGTTAGCCCCCACAGCTTTAACAGCTAGGTACCCTAATTTAACGTCTACCAGGCCCAGAACTATCTATTCAAGAGAATCTGGCTAATCAGCCTTCCATGTTAAGAACTGGCCAAGGAAAAAAACCATAGTTTCCAGAGCCGTGGGAGGTGGGGGAGGAACTTTTGCAATCGACTATATGGCAGAGGCCTGCTGCATCTAGAGACTTCCTACTTAACGCGGGCGATTCGTTTGCGCATCTGGCTTTCGGTGACACCTCTTTGAGCTAATTGTCTACCAATGTGACGATCCATGCAACGCGCTCCAGCACTGAGAAGTTTAGGTAAGTATGATCACGGTCGAGCAATGTCTTTCATATGTTATTAGAACTTCTCCCGTTCAATTAGCAAAGACACACTAGGTGCTATCAGAACTAATATTAAGCTCTTTACAGGCGTCGGATATTCGTGACTCATCCATAGCCCCCGGAGTCTCTGGTATGACAAATCTATCATACGGTTCACCAGCCTTTTTGATGAGTTCTTCGACCCCCTTCCCATTCGTAAATGACCATATGCGCACAAAACGACTGCCAAAATCAATTGAAAAAGTTTCACCCGCAGCAATAACCAGAGTCTGTCCCTCACGGATCTCGTTCCAACTTTCGCTAGGCTGAATTCGAACGCGGAGTAAACCTTCTTGAACACAAAAGCAATGGTCGACTCCAGCGAATGCCAACCACCGTGCCAATGGCCGCTGCTGTGCATCGTAAACGTTTGAGGACTCTATGCTCGAGATAGCAAATCTGCCACCGGTCTGTTCGGCATGAATGAATGGTCGCGAGATAACTCCACCCAAGATCCATCGCGGGCCCGTGTTTGCCCTCAGAAAATACGGGTTTTCTGGAGCTGCAAGCTGGTTTTCCGAATCTTTCCATGGACCTACCTCAGGTGGTTGATAATTCCTTTCGAAGTGAACATCGAAGCGCTCCTTGGACGCCATCAGCTTTGGAATGAGTATGGCCTTGAGATCGCGATTGTCGTTCTCTGGCACGATAACACCATCGTAGGTCTCCCCAACGTAACGAAAGAAATCAATCCAGTCGCCCGGAGCAACAAGACCAAACGTCTCTGTGTGCGGTCCGAGAAGCTCGGGATTGTGAATCACTTTCTAAAAATTATGAGCAGTGTATCTGTACCAGCAGCGGATATGCTTACTGGGGGGACATAGGCGAAATCTCCTGGGCCCATTATCCTGCACTTATCTCCGTTCCACAACTTGAGAAACCCTTTTGTCACCAGGAACACATCGTGCGCCTGCTCATGCCAGTGGAAACCAGGTGCGTCCGATAGTACGGCACCGCTGGTGAAGACCGCGATCCCACCGTTGGTCTGTTGAGACGATGCGAGGATCCGAAAGACGCCTTTGCTTCCGGGCAGAGTTACGCGCTCGCCCTCAAGCTGGTCAAGAATGTACGTACTCCTCGACGCTGGAGGGACTGTAGAGATGGGAATGCTCATAACTGAATGTAGAAACCGTCAATTAGGGAAATGGATGAATCGTTGCGATGAGGATTTCGGGATCAGATGTTGAAGAATCGTTCTGTAGGTCTAAACGCATCAAGGCGAGTCCACAGATTTGCCTCGCGGTCTGACTACTATTTGGGCGACCCCTACCGATTCCCATGCCGAACCTCCTGCGTGCGTGTACAGGGTCTCGTCGCCAGGTGTCCGAGCAACGGACCGTCCGAAGTCATGCCGACGCGGAAATGCCGGGAGTAAGTCTATCGGAATATCCGAAGGCTCGAACAAGAACCGTCTGAGAGCAAACTCGACTGAACAATATTCGCGTATCGTCTTCACTTCCCCGCATACGTGTCGCAGAGCAATTTATCGCAACAACACTGCTATGACCATGACTGGCCTTCCGAGCTTCCGCGTGGTTTACAAGATCGTGGACGGGCAGGAGATCGATGCCGACGTTTACATTTCGAATCCGGAACGCAACATTTCTAACCCGGCCCCAGTTCGTACGTGCACCCTTTTTATAAGCGAGGGTCGAGAAGCTAACTTGCGACGCGTCTAGTGATCAATATTCATGGCGGAGCTTTCATGCTGGGCTCATCCAAGATGGTTAATCAAGACCAGATACAACACTGTCTGGGTCGAGGTTGGCTTATGGTAGCCCCAAATCACCGGCTCTGTCCGCAGATCAGTCTTCTTGAGGGCCCTATGCAAGATTGCCGTGATCTATTAGCATGGATTTACGAAGGTGGTCTCGAGCAGTCTATATCCATCACGAGGCAACAATCGTTTCAGCTTGACCTGGATCATGTGTTCGCCTTTGGCACTTCCTCTGGGGGCACCTTGGCACTATGTTTGGTAAGGCATTTTCAGACATGCCTTGAGTCGGTGAAGCTGAGCATCACAGGGATTTGGAGTATCCCGACCAGTAGCTGGCATATTTGATATGTACGGACCGTGCAAGTTCGAGGATAACTTCTGGACCACGGAGCTTGCTCATGTAGCAGCAAAGCTTCCTAGTGGGCTCGATGACTCATTCTTGAACCGCGTCTTCGACGAACATCCAGTGCCTATTACGGGGGGTGTCTCGCTTGAAGGTCAAGCACCCGGACCGCCTGACTTCACTGATCCCCGGCAGGCATATGCTATGACGTGCATTGCGCGGGGTCAGGTCCTGCAAGCAATATTACCTGCGAATGGTTATGATCGAGCTGATCCTCTAGAAAATATATCGGCTTCATTTCCGCCTACATTCATTGTGCATGGCGCAGCCGATACGATGGTACCGATACACCTCAGCCAGGCGCTTTTTGCGGAGCTTTCAAAGCATGGAGTGCTTTGTGGTATGGTGGAAATACCCAATGAGGAGCATACTTTTGCAGCGAGGATGAGGGTAGGGTCACAGACTTGGAACCTGCAGCAGCAGGGTTTCAATTTCTTGCAATCTTTGGTAAGATGAATACAGCGTGCAATTGATGGAATTGCAAGGATGCCTTGGGGGCGCCTTCTACGTCAAGCAAAGCCTGTATACCATCTATCGTAACCATTGCCGGTCGGACTTCATTTTGTTTGCTCGGAAGCATGTTGAGACGACTGCTCGTTGCAGTACCAATCTGGGGCCTCTCGGTGGAGTGCATTCCGAGATCCGGGGAACCTCCAGATCGTTTGGAGCATCTGGACCGCATGGACTGTGGGGAAGCGACCTGATCAAGCACGTTCCCCGGTCTTGGTGACCGTTCGTGGGGTACCCCGGAAAACCCGGACACGCCTTAATCCCTTAAAAATTATCTGGGGTGAGCACACATCTCGGCACACTTACGACTCGGGCGAGTCTGGTCTAATATACCGCTTTATCGATGCTTGTCCTGCATAAAGACGATCTTCTGAACTGAATAACTCGTGGTACTGTTCTCTTAGAAAAGGTACACCCTCAAGCGCTTCAACACAAAGCCGGCGCTTTTTAGCTACGTGTTGTCACCATGGCGAACTTACCGACTCTGAAACACGATGGCGACGACCTCATTAAGAATCAGGTTGAGCAGATTGACCAGCTCCTCCCTCAGCCTGCTGATAGTGCATTGTCGGCCTGGCAATGCATCCGCCAGAATCCAAAGGTTTGTCTATGGGCGATTTGGGCAAACAGTAAGGAAAGATGCCTTATTTCTTGGGAAATCGAACTCTAATGTCGGAGTAGTTGGCTCTATCATGATCGGCTACGAGAACCTCGCTCTATCCGTTTGTCTGGCAATGCCGGCGTTCCAGTAATGCTACCATAGCTCTTATCATGTTCTGATCTGACATACATCTAGAATGACCTTTGCCTCTGAGATCAATGGCGTCCTGCTGATTCCGGCCCACTGGCAATCTTTATGGAACGCTATGTTCAACGTCATGACTATCGTTGGGTCCATAGCCGCTGGTCCTATCCAAGACTGGTTGGGTCGCCGAGCCGTATTCCTCACTGTCATCCTCGTTGCTTCCGCAGGCATAGCAATTGCATTTGTCTCGGAAAGACCTGCGACATACCTAGGGGCAAAGATTCTCACTGGATTCGCTCTTGGTGCCTCGATGGTCGGAACACAGACATTCGTATCAGAAATCACACCACTGCCCATGTACGCAGATTCGGGGTACGAAGTGGGTGTTCGTGCTGGGAGATTGTCTAAGACTCCGAGCTTTACATCTCTGAGGCTGAAACTTCTAGACAGTAGCAGCTAGCCAAAACACCCACTTCACCCACTTCCCTGATTTGTGAACATTACACTGACTTTGTAACTCCACCATTAGGCGAGGCATTGCTTTGTCGATCAACACTGTCGCACTTGTACGTTCTTCAGTCTACCAGAAGTACCTTCCCAGCTAACCTCAAGCCAGAACCTTGGACTCCTCGTCGCTATTTCGGCCACTTTCAGTCGCATCGCCATCATAGATCCGTTGGCATTTCGTGTCGTGTTCGCTGGCGCCTGGGCTTTTCCTGCGGCCCTGGCTCTAGGCCTTCCGTTCGTTCCCGAATCCCCATACTGGCTCGTAATGAGAGGCAAACACGAACAAGCCCGAAAATCCCTAGTGCGACTCTCTCCATTCGAGGAAGACATCGACACTCGTTTAGTCAATATCCAACATACAGTTGAGTTGGAGCGTCGTCAGCAAGCCGAAGCGGGCTTGCTCTTCGAGTGTTTCAAGGGATCAAACCTCCGTCGCACCCTGATAACACTGATCTGCTTCTACATGTCATTTACTGTGGGGTCAGTCCTTTCGGCCAACTCACCGTATTTCTTGAACCAGTCGGGCTTGTCATCGAACACTGTGCTCATGATCACCCAAATCGGCGTTAGTATGGGTGTTTTGTCGTCCATCGTCAACCTTTTCCTCATGATGAAATTCAACCATCGCATACTCATGTTTTCAGGCGTGGGTATCTGCATACTAGCCTACTTGACCATGGGTATCGCCGGTGCCATGCCACGAACTACCAAGACAATGACGGTCGTGGGTATCGCGTTGCAATTCTCGACTTTATCCTACGGACCAGCCGTCGGCGCTGCGATGGCAGTTGCCGGAGAGGTTTCTGCTACACGCCTTCGCGCAAATTCCCTCGCACTTGGAAACGGATTCCAAGGCGTCGCAGGTACATTCTGGCAAGCTGTACTCCCGTATCTCTTCAACCAAGACCAGGCTGATCTGGGCGGGAACCTTGGTTGGATCTTCTTCGGTATCGCAGTCTTACATGCTGCTTTGCTATATTTCTTCGTGCCGGGCACGAAAGGAAGGACTTTCAAAGAGTTGGATATCATGTTTGAGAAGAAGTTACCGGCGAGGGCTTTTGAAAAATTCCAGGCGCAGGAAGCTGTGGCTTGAAGTAGACGTTGTTCCGAATGATAATCTTCCTTGCATCCTTTTTTGATCCTCGTCGACCTGTGCTATAAATTGAAGCATAGAACTCCTTGCAAAATATGAGGTTTGCTACGTGATCAAGGGCTTTCGGCTCTGGAGGATGGCAACATGAGAATGTCATGGGCCGATTTCCAGGTGAACTACTGATATGCGCCTGTAGAGAGTGGCTCACTTCGCTGCAGTAACTCTTAGTATTACTCATACAGTCATGATTCATAGGAATGAAAGCTTTCTAAGATGCTCATGTCCTATGTATTATGACTCCACAGTGAACATTAGGTTAACTACGGCAAGAACGGCGATGGATGGGTTCCGAAGCGCTCACAGAGCTGATGCTAAGGATTCAATGTTGGTGATTTGATTATACACATACAAAACTTGTACCACGTTTTCTTCTCCATCGACAACTTCATCCTTGCACCATGACTTTGCCATGCAGTCTACGTATACTCAACGCCGCATACGCCAACGCAAATCCTGATAACAAAGGCAGCCAATCTGATAGCCTAGCAAGCCAACCTGCCTCGATTACTTCATCCCGTTGGTTGTTCGACAAGCGAGGAAATGGATCCGCCTTCACAGCGTTCTCGACTTCCTCATAAGCATCATACCCGTATAACCACGACTGTACCTGTGGGCATGTCCAGCGACTCGGAAAAGGGCCTTTGAGCTCGTTGCCTAGTTGTGACAGGAACAGTGCGTCTCGTGCCTCTTGTTCCGGTCCGTCATACATATGGAACGCGTCTCGCTATCGCAGGATTAGCTTCTAGCCACAGCTACGAAATGTGTATCTGGAGGAATCACCTGCTTAAAAGTCTCCCGTACAATGGATTCGCCTCGAGCCTTTCGTAAATGCTCATATGTTTTTAGGGCGTGTGGTATATGGTCCCTAGATTCAATGCGTCCGAGTAGTAATCCTAGCACAGTACCGTCTTCAATGGCAGAATTAGCCCCTTGCGCAAGATACGGCAGCATTGGATGGCAAGCATCGCCTCTGAAATACATTAGCCTGGGTTGAGAACAGATATAAGATGGTCAGAACGTACGTGAAGACTAAATTCGACTGGTCGTTGACCCAAGATGTCATCTCATCTCCTGAAAGTATATTAGGTACAACTGAACTATGAAATGTTGCGTTTGACTTACGATGCATCAATTTCCACTTATCGACAATGTCAACGAGATCTAAGAATCGTGCTAGAATGGGATCCCACCCTTTGAACAGTGCCTTCATTTCCTCGATAGATCCAGGCTGGCGGCTGACGCCTGGAGGAAGATCGTCAGGCACAAGAAGTACGATGTTGTACATCTTGCCGCCACGCAAAGAATATCCAACGGCATGTGCACCTGGACCGATCCAAAAATGGCAAGTCGGTTCAGATACCCAACGACGCAGTTCCGGGTCTTGAATCTGTTCGATGTCCAACACGACGCGGTATGCTAAGTCGCCAGTCGGTTTAGGAGGATCGTTGCGGCCTAGGAATCGTGACCGACAACGCGACCATAGCCCGTCGGCAGCAACTACAAGGTCCGCATAGCGGCACCCCTGCTCTGTCGAAACCATAGGCCGAGCGTGCTCGAATTCCATGTCGATTATCCGTGACCCAAATCGAAAATCAACACCTAGCGCTTTTGCTCGCTCATACAACGCTTTCTGAAGGTCACACCGATGCATGTCTAGAAACGGGGCATCGTATCGCTTGCGGATATTACATGAGAAGGCCTCGTCGTGAGCAAGTATTGATCCAGTGTATCGATGAACAGACAACGAAGTCGGTTCCGCGCCGGAAGCCCAAAAGGCGTCACTGAGGCCATATTGTTGGAGGATCTTGGTACAATTCGGCGTCAGTTGCAGTCCAGCGCCTACTTCGGCAAGTTCTTTCGCGGCTTCGTACACAACAACATTGTGGCCAGATTGTGCAGCAGAGATGGCTGCGGCCAGGCCACCTAGTCCAGCACCGACGATAACAATATCTAATTGGACATAAGACTGGCGATTGGATGTTGCAGCTAAAGAGGACGCCATAGATTCGGTGAACTGGTTGTGCGAGCAATTGGGGTTGGCAATGGGTCAACGGGCAGCGGATGTGACAATGGGGCTCTCATAATGTTTGCTCCATAATTCCCAATAGTTCCCCCCGCAAAGACGCAATTCGAGTCTGGATTTCCCTAGCCTCGCAATGCTTTCGGATATTCCGGGTGCGACTGGCTGGAACGTCACGGCTCTTCCGGACTTCCGTGAAGCCATTGCGAATCCGGCGCACGCTCTCGATGTAGTATATACGCCCGAAGAACCAGATGGTCATCGATCAGGCTTCCTACTATGGCCCCAAAAGGACCTTTCAAACTAGTCACAGTGAATACTGCTCCCGAGAGAGCAAAGGTTCTCATCGGCCGTGTTACGGAGACATTGAAAGATGATTATACGATCGACTACGTAGCCAATTGCATCAGTAAGTAACCCTTTACAAGAGAATAAAGTAGACGCTGACAAGATGCTTTAGGCAAAGATGAGGTAGCAAGTAAAGTTCAAGAGTACCAGCCGGACATATTGGTAGGTGGCCGTGAGAGCGACTATAATAATTGCAACTTGTGGTGGAATTCTAAAAGTCGCATAGTTCTCGGCATCGATGTGGACGACAGAGGACGTGGCGGAGATTCAACATATGGCCCGGTCAATCAAGCCCGATGTGAAACTACACGCAATTCCTTTTGGTTTACAGATAGAAAAAGGCCCAGATGCTGTTGTGGAACATCTGTTGGAGCAAATACCTCAATTGTTGCAATAGGCAGTTTGTAAAACGCTGTCGCAGGGCTGGAGGTATGTATACAATGCGGGGAGGGTGAGGAAATTGGATACATGGGCACATGGAAGCCCGCATTTGGATCGGCACTAGCGCGAAAAGGTTCCACGCTGCTGGTATAGGAATCCTTGTTAGATTACTCAGCATGCAACGGTGCTCCTCTCCGAATTCCATCGTGCTTTCACCCGCTCCATCGTCCAGCCAATTTGGTCCCTCCAAACAAGCTCGTTGATCCTATTATTTATGTGTACTTTCGATGGAAGCGAACGAGCGCAATTCCACACGAACGCCCCGGCGCTCGCGCCGACCCCGTGCTGCTCGCGCGTGCGATCTTTGCCGCGCGAAGAAGAATAAGTGCGACGAATCGTACCCTTGCTCTTATTGCAAAGGCCGCAATGTAACGTGCGTTTACCAAGGCCTGCAGCACACATCTCGACGCTATACAGCAGAATATGTGAAGCAGCTGGAAGATGAGGTAAAACGTCTTTCGACCAGACCTGTCGGTTCGCCTTATCTGCAGCCCGTGGTGCGATTTGATCAGAGTTCATTGGAAGACCGAGGCCCACAGCATGAACCCGATAGCACACCCCAGCCAAACACTTCCGCATCTGTCCGAAATGTCGGCCAAGAGGAGATTTCGGGGGTGAACGGGCACACAGACGGCGTTGAGTTCTATGGAAGTTCATCCTCCTTCGCTCTGCTATCTCACGTCCAGCGTTCGGGGCAAGGCTCTCGCGACCACGAAAACAGTGCTCAATTAGTTTCCAGCTTGCATAATGCTACTTTTCAGACGACACCCACCGCTTCCCACGGAGATGGACCAGATGCTGGTACTACTCGTGCTAATTACTATCCCCAATGCCGAAGCTTTATAGAGAATTTCTTCTCTACCATCCACTACATCCATCCCATCTTGGACAAGCGTGACTTTCTCCAGAAGTGCGAGGCACTCTGGTCACCTAGTACGGACGACGCTGGTCCCCAATCGCCTCCCAGTTTTGTTGCTCTCTATTACAGTGTTCTTTCAGTGGGCGCGATTGTGGGAGTCCGAGAAGAAGACCCGATTGACGGTCTGAGTAATCTTCAATGGTCCCGCAAGTTCTTCGACATTGCTTGGACATGCTGCCACCAGCTTGGGCTCGTCACAAATCTCGAGATGGTTCAATGTTTTTTCATGATGGTATGTGTTGATTTGCACGTTGAATAACGATCCTCCACTAAAGCCATGTTCAGGCAAAGATTTGTCAGAACGAACTCAACCCGCATTGTAAGTATCCTGATCACTGGAGCTATGCAAAAGCTAACACGGATTTAGGGTCATATATGTACATAGGGTTTGCTGTGCGAACAGCATTGGCCATGGGGGTGAACCGAGAACCAGCATCTGACACAAAGAAAACGATTGCTCAGCTGAAGGCGGAATCAAGAACGTGGTGGTGAGTCCTCATATACTTTTCTGGTTGCGGCGAATTGCTGGCTGACTTTCTAGGGGTCTTTACTCGCTTGAGACGTAAGTCAACACGACTTACCGTACGGACATTCTAACCTGAAATAGGGAAATATCTTTTTCCATCGGACGGCCTGACACTCTAGGCGCAGATATTTATCACAATCGGAAAATTCCCGTGGTGGGAATGGAAACAGTAGCAGACCACGTCAACCCTGAGATGCTCGAACCACCGCATTGTGCCATCATTGGCTGCATGGTCGATCTGTCGAGGATCACAAGGACCATCTGCCAGAAGATATACTTGTCTAACCCTAGCATGTCCGATATGATCGCTTTGACCAACAACATAGAGACAGAACTCGACGATTGGATTGACCGACTCCCTCCTGCTATTCGACCCTACGTACAAAATCAACTTCAGCAAAGGTCTTCTTTGAGCTCCGCCAAGGATGCCGTATGGGTCAAACGACAAAGACTTGTGCTAAGTATACGCTACCATAATCTAAAGATCCTCCTCTTCGGTTCTCTACTCATAAGATCATCGCCTGCCGAGCGGAAAGACATTCCCGGTTGCCTGGAGAATACCCACAAATGCCTTGAGTCGGCGAAACAGACGATCACTCTGATTTATCAGACCTACGCGCATAATGACTTCTTCCAGACTTGGTATGCAGGTTCAATCTTCAAAGTAGCTTTATGAACAGCGCATTGACTATGACGGCAGGTTCTATAACGCTACATATACCGTCTTTGCCGCTTCTGTCGTTCTACTCTACGTCACACAAGGTTCTGCTATTAGTGAAGAGATACGATCCCTCTTTGAACTGGTGGATATGGCCGTCGAAATTCTGGAATCTATGGACGAGAGCGTCGTTGCTGTGGAAGCTGCGAAGCTATTGCGCCGCGCGAGAGACAAAGCAGAAAGCAGACGGTCATCGGAAAGCGCCGCAACGTGCCACGAGAATAACCTGGGACATGCTCCTCCTGAACACCACCCTGTTGACCCTCTGTTCAATCATGTGGAAGGTCATTCAACCCAGCTAAACCATTATTGGGGCTCACTTGGACTTATCGACGGCAATGGGATGGACTTCGATATTGCGACTCAGCTTGGCGCTTTCGACCAAAACAATCCCATGTTCTTGTTTCTAGGCGATCAATAAGGTCCTATCTCTCATTCTCGAAAACGTTGACAAGAGTCCCAATATGGGGCAGGATCTCTACCGCAAACTCGTCACCGTCCCTGATGGTGACTCTCGGGCTGCATCCTGCACCTACGCCGGCCGGTGTTCCGGTGATGATGACTGTACCCGCAGGAAGTGTTGTGCCTTGGGACAGAAAACTGATCAGCTTGCCTATGCTGAAAATGAGATCGCTGTTTCCTTGGTCAGAATTGGATCTCAAGCGACAAATTCAGGCCTGCTGATACATACTCAGTGCCGCAATCCTGCTTGACCTCGCCGTTCTTAAGACCGCGGATACGCAGCGCAGAAGGGTCCGCAATCACGGACTTCGACACAATTGTTGGGCCTAGTGAGAGTAATTTAGCATGCGCCCTGCTCACGCGGACTGGCTCCTCACCAATAGGACAAGAACCGTCAAATCCTTTGGAGAAACACCATTGCGTCTGTGCAAATTGGCTTGCTCTGCTGGAGACGTCGTTGCAAGCTGTATAGCCCAGAATGTAGTCAAGCGCCTCCTCTTCCGATACATTCTTACATGGTATACCCAGTACGACTGCTAGTTCTGATTCGTAGTCGCCCGTGTCGGTTTCCTGCGTAAGCTTTGGCAGCACCGCTGGCGCCGGCCATGGGTCTGCAAGTGCAGTGCTCGGCTTTCTTGAATCATATTAGAAGCGTCGGAGCAGCGACAACGAGGAAGACTCACAGGAATACAGTAGGTACAGTTGGGAGGTCCACGCTAAGCTCTTTAGCATGTTGAACATACTACCAGTCGTCAATGTATACACCATTCTCTAGAGTGAATGCTTACGTTCAACCCGATACAACGGATCGTTCCGATTTCCGCTGCATGAACTGGCGAGAGCAGCCGACCGATGACTTCGCGCCGGTTGGTTCTGGTACCTGGAGATAGCACTGATGTACCAGACCATAGAAAAGTCGCAACTTGCTGCCCTTTCCGCAGGGCCACTCCAACATCCACATTATCTAATTCCGGTTCTCCTATGCATATTCTCGACGTGTCTGACAGTGGCACGAAACGCACGAGCCGTGTGAACGATGGAATTGACATCCTGGTGTGCAAGGACAAGACCTGTTTCAATATACGGTCAAAGCAGGGATCCTATTCTTTTGACTTTTTCTTCGGTAATTTCAGATGGTACTCTATGTTGTGTGAAAGATTCGGCTGTTCTGGGTCGAGCAATGGCGCAAACCTGAAATTAGTGCCAGTTGCACCGCGGAAAAGCCGCCCTAGGTGAAGCGAAGGTGGGAGATCCGGAACAAGCTGGCATATCAACAAAAACAAGAGCAGTAGGCCTAGTAAAAATTGGACAGCTCCACACGGGAACACATGCGACCATTCAAGGTACCACCAAGCGATGACAGAGGACGACAACGCCTTCTGGCAATTCTTGCCTGACCTGACCGAGCCCCGTTTCGCGACTTTGCAACAACAGGACGCACATGAGTATGCAGCAGCTTTCGAACGCAACGCGCAGCCTCCTTGGCTGCATGGGTTATGGCAGCATTGGAGGCAATTGTTTGAAGAGCCGTTTTGGGGAATCACAAACGATGGAGTGATACGACCAGGCCTCTTTTCGCTTCAGGAGGAGGATGTTCTTGTGGCCGAGATAGCCACCGTAGCTCAGAGATTACTCTCGTTACTGGAAGAAAATGAGAGGGAGCGTATCAGCTACCATATCGATTCACCTGAATGGAGATCCTGGTCTAACCCGGAGTTCCTGCTGAGCAACAAAGGCATTCGACTGGACGAGGTGAATGCCAACGTACGCGACGCCGCTATGAAATTACTGCAGCGCACACTGTCATTGGAAGGCTACCAGAAAGCTCTCGGGGCTATGCGGATCAACGGGTTTCTAGGCCGTCTAGTAAAGGCTCTGCGCATCTGCAACGACTTCTCGTACAACCTGGTACTATTTGGGAGACTTTCAGCTACTACGCCATGGGGCTTCTCTTTTTATGGTCACCATCTTTGCCTCAATGTTTTACTTTATCGTAACCAGACAGTCGTATCTCCATGCTTCACTGGAGCTGAGCCGAATGTCATTGACGATCCCCACGACCCCTATGTAGGCACACGTATCTTACAGGAAGAAGAACGCCTCGGACTACAGCTCATACAGTCACTTCCACCTTAACTTCAAGCCAAGGCACAATTATATAATCTGCTCCACGATCCAGCAATGCCCCACGGACGCTGGAATCACGACGATCAGCGGCATTTGTGTGGTGCACATCGCGACAACAGGGTGGTGCCGTATGAAGGCGTCAAAGTTAGCGGCATGAGCTCTGCTGCTCGAGAGCTGGTCACCGCAATACTATCAGATTTCCTACTGTACCTTCCTACCCAGGCTCGAAAGCTGCGCTTGGCGCAGGCGGAATCTTGGTATCACGAAACCTACTTTTGCTGGATTGGCGAGTGTGGCTATAATGATCCGTTCTACTATCGCATACAGAGTCCTGTCGTCATTGTCCAATTCGACCATCATGCAGGTGTGTTCCTCACGAACAAAGATCCTGCGAAGTTCCACATTGACACACTACTACGAACACCCAATGGCGGCGATTACGGCATGGCCATCAGGCCCTTGATGAAAACAATGGCACAAGATTTTGTCTGGGCTAGGTAGCTAATGAATTCGTTCACGACGTCTGGCTACGTCGTATGCAACAAGACTACTATCTTATGCCTTTTTAGGCAACGTAGAGCTACAGATTCCAGGTTTAAGGCCTGTCCTTCAGGCTGTCATACTACGAGCCCTTACAAGATGTCAAGCGATACCCGCCACACCTGACTTCGAAGCCTCCAGTGCTTCAACTGCCGTCTGATGGTTACACCCGTTACCCTGTCGGTTGGGGTTGTCACGTTAGAACATTGTGGTCCTCCGCACCACCTAAGCATCGTATGTTCCGACCTCTCGGGAATCCCGAGCGAGATCTGGCGGAAATGCCGGATCGCTCCTTGCATATCATAGGTACCACAATACCATGCAAAGCACTCACCCCGCAATCGATTCCCCACACGCCATGACCCAATCACCCGCTCAATTTGCAAGCCTACTCCCTAAGCTGACGCTTGAGGAAAAGGTAGGGCTACTCTCGGGCCGCGATTTTTCCACTGCGGCTGGTGCAGCACGTCTCGGCATACCTCCCCTTCGTGTTGCTGATTCAGTATGCGGCATCAGACCAAGCGGACTGGATGCCAACATTACAACAGCTTCGTTCCCTAACACAGCCTGCTATGGTTCCACTTGGGACAGTGAATTACTGGGCCGGCTGGGCGAAGAGCTGGCACGTCAAGCGAGATTGAAAAGCGCACAAATAGTGTTGGGCCCGACGATTAACATCCATCGCGATCCGCGTGCAGGCAGAAATTTTGAGTGCTTCTCCGAAGATCCGTTGATCTCGGGTGTATTGGCGAGCGCCATTGTCAATGGCATACAGCGTGGTGGTGTGGGTGCTTGCCCAAAGCATTTTGTGGCAAATGATGCAGAGACTCTAAGACATTTCTACAACGTGAAAGAGAAGGTGAATGGGAGGCCATTACGAGAAATTTACCTGGCGGCGTGGCAGCACCTGTTGCGAAATTCTGATCCAGAGGGCGTTATGACAGCGTAAGGTGACTCGAAGACTTTCACAATCACTCAATATCTGACGCCGACAGTTACAATAAAGTCGACGGCACCTTCTGCAGCGAGCATGCCGAGCTATACCAGGAAGTCCTGCGCGGTGAGTGGGGTTACAAGGGCATTACCATGTCGGATTGGTTTGCGGTTCACGATACTGTTGCGCCGATCAAAGCCGGTCTTGATCTCGAAATGCCTTTTCCAGTATTCCGCGGTGGACGGCTGGTCGCCAAAGTGAAAGCAGGTGCGGTCTCCGAGGCTGAAATAGACGCGCGCGCCCTCAAAATGCTCGAATTGCGAGACCGTACCAGAGCTTGCCATAGCGAAGAGCCAGAGCGTTCCGTAATTAGGAAGGAGACGGGAGATCTAGCTCGCGAGATTGCACGTAGCGGTATGGTTTTGTTGAAGAACGAAGGCAGTACGCTACCAATTGCGAATAGCGCTACAGTGGCGCTCATCGGCGAGTTTGCGAAAGACCCTGTTTGCACTGGTGGGGGCAGTGCGTCTTGCATCCCACAGTACAGACACTCGCCTCTCGAGGTCTTACGCAAAGAATTCAAGAGTGTCGAATATGCGCAGGGCGTGCGGACGCGACGCATCATTCCCACTGTGCGCAAGGACATTATTCGGGCAGAGAATGGTTCGCCTGGCGTTGACATCGCATTCTACAACAACGATGACCTTGACGAAGTTGTTTTCTCGGAAAGCAATGAAGAAGGCCGGGTTTGGATGTTGGGCGAATTTAAACCTGGCCTCAAAATTCCCGGCTCTCACGTTCGAATCTCAACTACTCTTACACCGTCGACGACAGGATCTCACACCTTAGCGGTGCGCTGCACTGGATCTTTCACTTTGACGATCGACGGAACAGAGGTATCTTCGGGTCCTGCTATCCCCATATCGACGGAGCAATTTATATTCAACCACATCCTCCTTGAGGTCCGCACAGTGGTCCAGATGCAGGCGCAAACCGAGTATAAGGTCCAACTCATTATGCAAGGGCCTGATAAACTCAGCGTCGGTGAACCAACGCCCTATGCCGCCGCCCTCTGCTTTGAAGAAGCCTACTCTGAGGGTGACGCTATCGAAGAGGGCGTCTCGATCGCGCGCAACAGCGATGTGAGCATCGTTTACGCAGGCCGCAACGAGGAGTACGAATCTGAGGGGTTCGATCTTCAATCTATCGAGCTCCCAGCGAATCAAACACAACTGATACGAGCCGTAGCTGCCGCCTCTCGCAAGACCGTCTTAGTCCTCCATGCTGGTAACCCGATCGATGTCAGTGAAGTAATTAACGATGTCGACGCAGTCCTTCTAGCACATTTTCCTGGTCAAGAAGGTGCACGCGCAACAGCAGACCTATTGACGGGACGTGTGAGCCCGAGTGGCAAGCTCGCAACGACATGGTTCAAGACGTTAGCGGATGCACCCAGTGCAGCGCATTTTCCGCCCAAGAGACAAGAGGATGGAAGCGTGACTGTTGAATACGCAGAAGGCGTTGGGGTCGGGTATCGGGCGGCTGGACTAAAGGATGAAGTAAGGTGGCCGTTCGGATACGGGTTGACTTACACATCTTTTGTGTACCGAGGACTTGAAGTTTCCATCGATGGCCTGGCGCTGGATTCCAAGATCACATGCTCTGTGTCGGTGAGGAATGATGGAAACGTGGAAGCGAGGGACGTCGTGCAAATATATATAACGCCCACTTCAAGTACGGATGTGTGGCGGCCGGCGAGGGAGCTCAAGGGCTTTACCAAGACAAAACCATTGGCACCAGGAGAAGAAGTGACCGTCACTGTCGAGATCCAATTAGACATGGCTTGTAGTTACTGGAACGAGGTAGGAGGAGCGTGGAAGATCGAGCCAGGGTCTTATGGTGTTATTGTAGGGGATCAGAGAACCACTTTCGAAGTTGCAGAAGAGAAAGTATGGAATCACTTATAACTTAGTATGAAGAAAGCTGAGCACAAGACCAAATGGTACCTGGCCCGACACACTGCTCCAGAAAATAGACCTCACAACACTGGTGTGGACCGGCGTCATGAGCATTCGCTTACTGCGGGAAGAATGGAACAGGCTATCCGGTGGCAGTAATCGTTTCTCGACCAGTACTAGAGTGGAAAGCTGTAGCTCTATGCATGTGACGAGGGACTCCATCGGCAACTGACGAGCATGGACAGGATTCAAGACATTCGTTCAGCACAAGAGCAGGAGGAAAATGGCATCGGATCCACGTGATGAGTTACTTGGTCTACTACAAGGCATGAGCGACGAAAATGTTGACCACCTTATCACTCCCGACTAGTCCGCAACAAATGAGACCTGCATCATTTATACAGACCTTACGCACAAAATCATAGCAGAGGCAGAGTCGGGACTCTGGGGCACTTGGCCGGCATGGCAAGAAAGTAACGAAAATCCCCGAAGGGAACTACCCATGTTGGTTATGCGGTGGGACATAAACAGCGCAGGCAAGCTTGAGTGGATATGGAAGAGAGGTTCACGGGAAACCACAAGAGGAGGACTAAGCATGTACATAGTCAGTCTTCCCTGGCTTGACGATGTCATGCTCTGAAGAAACTACAAGTTGAGGATCTATGGTCGGGTGGAAGGACAAATGGTTTCTTTGGTACGGCGATGAACCTTCCTTCTGGGTGCAGTGATAGATGGTCTCTCTGGGTATAGCAATGGATAGACTTCATTCAATACAGAGATACTTTCTAGATGGATTCTAAGTCGAGGTCAGTGCTCAGATCAAAGTTAAGGGGCGACTTCCACAGACCTTGAACAAGGCAAGAGCCTTGTCCGCCCACAGAGCCACAATACGCTTCAATTACGTGACTTCAACATCCAGGTATTCCCACTGTATAGTCTAAAGCTTCGCCTTGGTCGCGTCCTCACTAAAACGATACACCACGTCCTCGAACTTATCCGCCGCAAAAACATACAGCCACACCAAATCCTCTTCTTGATGGTCGTTTCTTATGCCATGCTCCGAGTTCCCTGGAATGAAAACAACGTCGCCCTTCCCAACCTCTTGCTGTTTTCCGTCGATGGTCACAGTACCATGGCCTTGTACAACGTGGTAGATCTCCGCATGCGCATGCCGATGACACTTCAATTGGCCTCCCTTGGCGGCGCATCTCGCAAGCCCAGACGTCAAGGTGTCGCTGGAGGTTCTCGACGACGACAGCAGCGTCTTCCAGGTAACATTGCCGCCTGTCGATCCGTCCAAGAAGCCCTCCTCGGGCATGTTTTGGATATCGCGGGCGGAGAGGACGATGGGTTGGGCCACCATGCTGTGCAAGTGTGCTGGGGTACTTGTACAACCTTGTGAGTACACCATCTGTGTATATGTATATATATATACACGACATGTTGCTGATGTCACGATGCGCCCAGCGCTGCAGCTGTCGACGTGGGGTCAAGGACTATTTTGCCCCATCGTGACTAGGCCGTGTCCTCTATCTCGCAACTTCCCTTTCTCCGCAGTTGAAGTCTGCTGTAGGAGAGAAGACGTGTGGATTCGGGGAGAGACACGAAGTGCATATTCGGACGCGACGACAGGAGGTTTCGCTTCGCCCTGTGCCAGTCACAGAGAGCACAGCATTTCCGAGGTGCCAGTCGCACGCAGCGCGCAATCGTACAGGTCGCATAGGCACGACGACAAAGCCACATGGCCCACACAAAGCAGCCGACTTCCGGATCCGCTGGGCATGGGCATGATGGGCGATACAGGGGATGTGGTATTTTTAGCGCCGCGTTCGGCAAAGCTGCCACGGCGTTTCAGATTTCCCTCGTGGCAAGCGGGCAGGTCGGTCCCGCCAGATGCATGGCATGCTTCCAGAGCACGGCTTGTTACCGACAGGCGTAGCCATGCCGTCCCATGCCAGCCGAGACGTGAAGTCCGCGGCATGCGTGCGGAGCCTGTCGCTGCTCCTTTTCTTCTCCCTTCTCGTGTCGTCTGCCGCCGTGCGACTCTGGCTGCCAGCGGCTGCTAACATGCCTTGCGAGCGGCGGAGGCATAGCGCTGCATCGTTTGACGGTTCCTGATCGGCCAGTTCCGGCATACCGAGCTTGCACTGCATAGCGAGCGAAAAGGACTAGCTCTCCGATGGGCAACGGGCGGGCGCTGGTCATCGGTGGAGACAGAGACAGACCCTGGGGAAGAAAGAGTTTGAGCTTTGGACGGGCGGCGGAGAGCTTCCAGCACAAGCTTGTTGCTTCCTTCCGAAGCGTCAGGCGGAGCGGGTTGGGGGCGCAATCAGCGCAGAATGGAAGGTATGCAACTTGGGCTCGCTTGAACTGCGCATGCTGATCCGTCTTCTAGTCCGTTGTATAGGGCACTGCTGCTGCTTCCGAACGAGTTGCTTGTGCAGATATTGTGCGAACTCTTCGTCGCGGATATACTGGCCCTTCGTAGGGCGTCGCGAGCACTGAACGAACTCGTCACAGCATGCGGTCCAGCTTTGGTCCGCTTCTGGGTCAAGCACAAGATGGGAACGCTTCACACCCGACTCTATCCACCCCCAAGGACTAATGAGGCCCATTTGCAATACCTTTGTGAGTGACCGAAACATGTAGTACACAAGATAAGAGCTCATCCCACATAGTGGCCATGCGGCGACGACACATCGCTTCCATACGGTTGACTCGGGAGCTTGCTACCTTTGTGCTGAAAGACACGCTTCGGCACACCAACCAGCGTCAAAAGCAGATGTGGGCTTCCGTGTACGAGAAGATGATACCGCTTGTGTTCGGTGTAGGATACTTTCTGGAAGAGCACCGACGCATTCTATTAGAGCGGGATCTTGGCCGCATCCGCCCGCGCTCTCACATTGGTTATGATATCTGTACGACACCCGGTATCACGAACCAGGAACGGAAGATACTGAAGAAACTCGATCGGCCCTTGCGCTTGCACTTCTTCTACATGTTCTGCTTCATCCTGCAGGTACTCATGCGGAAGCTGCGGCCACCCACGTATGCTGGATCTGTGGAAAAGGTGTTCCGTGGCTGGCACGGCAAGCCGGCGTGTGTAGAAGACATTGCCTTTGTGTTGATTCTTGGGGGTGTTGGCGCGGTTGCGAAACTGCTTGCCTGCCAGAACTACAGCGAGCGAAGACGGCTGCTGCATTCCTTCATCACTCGTCTGTCGCCGCACGAAAACGTCCGATGGCGAGAACACTGGAGAGACGTGGGCGTCACGTCGCATGCGCTGTTGGACGACATCCCGTGCAGCAGTATTGGTATAACGCAGCTGGACCAGATCTGGACGCCGCTCATCGTAGAGGGCATGAGCGCACAAAGCATGGAGTTCACGCAGCACGAGAAAGATGGGTACGAGGACGTTGTGGCTTCGCGGAACTTCCTCAACGAGCTCATGGGGTACGACATCCTTCGCGGTCGTCCTCCAGACGAAGATGATTCCGACGATGGAGGTGGCAACGACATGTAGAATACACAGTAGAATCCGCCGTAGGTAACTCGTACCCGCATATAGATGATCAACAGGAGAAATCACCCAATGCGGAGCCCATGCAGATACCGTGGCACCTCGCAAAGCGTTTGACATATGCACCTAGATCTCATACAAGCCACGTCTGTCTTCATGCAGCTGCATCTATGGCAATTTTACGTGTGTCAGATGTTGCGCAACCTTGCACGTTTCTCAAACAGATGTATGCAACTGGGGTACCCGGGTAGTCGATTGCTGCGCACGATGACCTGGTGCGGGTGCGTTCTGGTCTGCGCCTAGAGCCCGAAGGCGCTGTCTACCTGTTACCAATGGCTTAACAGGGCTGGACTGCTGTTAGTGTCAGCTCAAAAAGGTCTGTGCGAATGTTGCTGTGTGTGGCGTGGACTGCTTTTCTGATGTTCCGGCTACGGGTCCACCAACAGCGACCAGAATCCTGGTCAGCGGCAACAGCGTCAAAGTGCCTGTGGGACCAACAGCGCCCAAACGAAATGTGCGCACCACGCGGGCGTGCCCACGGCATCGAAGAGGGCAGAAGGAATCCTCCCAGACCCTGCAGAACCACTGGGTTATTCATCGGCTTGCGAAGACGGAGACCAGCGACCCCACTCTTGCTCCCACGCGGCGGCGCGTCTGGAGCGTTCGTAGCGGAAAAGAGGAATGCATTGCTGGTAACCTACCATTCTAGTCCAGCGCTTTCGCCGACTTCGTTGTCGAGCATGAGGTGCGCTTCCGCTGCCGGATGGGACGCGGAAGGGCGCGCTGAGGGGGGCTCGATCGAGGCAGGTGCCGCGGTGCTGCGAAACATGACGTTGGGCGGCAATCAAGGGGCTCTGCTGAACCGCAATATTGCATTCACCCTGATGATCTCGGTCCGGAAGCAGCAGTGTGTAGCCTCATCGAGGATGCGGAAGAATGCAGCGAGCGGGTGCTGCGTCATTGGCGGTTCGTTGCGAGAGCGAGAATGCAGGTCGTGCGAGGAGCGCCGCCCGGAGAGACGCCGCGGGCAGCCTGGCTGGTCGCAACTTGGCCGCGCTGTGCCTGGCGTAACGTCTCATGGCAGCCCAAACCGAGAGAGCTCATCGCAAAGTCGCAAAGCACAGGACAGTACACAGTACACAGTACTCGAGTACATGCGGCCGTGCGCCCGGCTCTGTATGCGTTCCCACATGTCAAAGCGCCGTCGTTGCACGGCAGCCTCTGGAGTCTTCCAATGGGGACGGCGACGATTCACCGCCATGTTAACCCCTGCCTAGTCTACTCACCATCGTCTCTCCGCGCCGCTCTAATTGCTGCCGACCCCATATGCCCATCTAAATCCCTCGCCCGCCCTCCAACGCTGTATTCCTTCCTCGAAAAACTGTGTATAGCCACATTTCTCCTTCGTGAAGCCGCCCTGCGACCACCACCTCGGCACGCTGTACCGACCGACGTTCGCGCCTGCGCCTGCGCCTGTGACTACGTATACTCCACACCACCACCGCACCCGCGCACGCGACATCGCCACCTCTGCAACGCCTGAGACCTGTGGACCCGTGCCTGGCGACCATATTCGCATATTCACCACTCACAGCGACAAGCCGTAGCACACCACAGCATTCCGCGCGCCAACTACGCTCCTCCCGGGCGTGCTGTCAGCTGAGCCACCCACGCACACGACCCACCTCCGCGCCCGCCTGCACACCATGAGCCCGTAGAGCGAACATAGAGGAGGAAACATGGACTTTACGGTGAGTTTACCACCCGTTCCCTCCCACATCCCAGCCCAAGCCGCGCCGCCGGTACCTCTCATCGAGTGCCCCCGTGCCGTCTGACCTCCCTGACCCGACCACTGACACGGCTTCAGATCTCGCTCGCACACTTCTGCGAGGTCCACGGTCCCACATCTATCATCTGCACACAAGCCTCTCCCTCGCCATGCGGCTCCTGCAACCCATGCGTGACGCCACCTTCCGAAGAGCCGCATCCTCATATCTCGTGCAATGGCCTTTATGAACAGCCTCCCACGACCCTCAAGCTGGGCAGCCGGATACCACAGCTCACGTCACCGCTGGAGACTCCGCCTACCAGCCCAAGGTCACCTTCACATAACCCTTACTTTCCCAGTCTTCCTACCTCTGATAGCAGCTTCGGCGGCAGGAGACCGAGCAGCACGTACAGCACTGACAATGATGTATGCGACAATTGCCAGATCATCGTCCCGAAGAAGGTCAGCGCCAGAATCCCAGACGGAGCCCCGGGAAGCCCGTCCAAAGATGGCCGCGGCCGAAATGGAAGCCCCGTGCTACGAACCTCGCACAACTTCCCAGTCCGTAGCTCCAGCGCATGTGACGATATGAGTAGTTCCACATCGTCGGATGCCTCCGACACCGAGCACTCCAAGTCTTTCGACAGCAACCGTTCCCAGATGTTCCCGGACTCGGTCCCCGCCTCACCCATGTATTCGCGGGGTATGCACACCCATACGCTTAGTTACGTCTCCACCAGTCAGCCACAGTCGCCTGCAGCCTACTCTTTGCTCCGACGAACCTGCATTCGCACGCTGTCCACCGAGACTCTGCCCATGGGCAAAGCCGCTGGACCGATGTTCTTCGGCGACTCGCACGCCGGATACACCATCGCATACGTATTCCGGTTACGGGATCCCCGTGCCCGTGGGGCAATGCGGACATACGCTCTCATCGCCATGGCCGGCCGTGACGGACTTCGAGCCACAAAGGCCATGGTCAAGATCACCGAAGTCTTCGAATCCATCGCCAACCGTATCGTTGCCCTCGCCGACAAGGTCCTCGAAAAGGATACTGCCGTGCAATCCCGGCCTGCCACCGCCGTGCCATACACCCCACCATTCGGTACCTCGGCCTCCTCGCTTCCCTTTTTCCAAACCTCTCCCGTCAAAGACCGTCCCGTCTCTTCAGTTGCAAGCTCTCCTGCTGCCCGCAACATCACACCCGTCTCTTCCTTTCTGTCTGCCAAGAAGGTCGATCCGGATGGGTACCCGCGGATTTCTAGCGAGGTGATGAAGGCCAAGAATCTGGTTGAGATTGTGGGCATGGAAGACTTCTTCGTGTGGTTGCATGGCATCTTCTGCGGACTGCTGCATTCACTGATCAACCAGTTTGGGCAGCTGCCTTCTGCTTAGTACAATTTCCGTCCAGACTCCGAGGAGAGAATGCAGTGTGGGGGTGCTGAGACGCCTTGCTCTGCTTTACGTTCTTGACTGTATACTATATTCCCTTGTCATGGTTAGTTTATCGTCGTGCGTTCCAGCGATTTGTGGGTTTCCGTTTTGCTTTTGACATTGGCGTCATGGGGTAGATTGGGTGCTTGCTAGCCTGCTCTCTTGGTGGGTTCCTGTTGGTTTCTGTGTTAACAGTTCAACGGCCGCTTTTCTTTCCGTGCTGCGGGTTTCCCAGCATATAGCTTGACTTTATACCCGTTGAGATACCCTCGGTTGCCAGTCTTCGTGTCGTCGGAGGCTGTGGCATCTTAGAGATGCGATTGATGAGTACGGGTGGAAAGCATGTTATGATGAGTAGAAATATCATGAGTGTGTTCACTCGGGTGTGCGGTATGCTTGTGATGTTGTGATATGCGTTCATCATGGTGCATTTTCCCCTCTCTCGGCGAAGGGAGTGCTTCATTCAGAAAGGGATTGGACTGGCTTGACGGATGATGATTCGCACCGGGAGAGAAGACAGCAGCGAAGATGGTTGGAAAGAGCGGAAGTCGGTGACAGGCTGGCACGAAAGGTGTTGGTGCAAGGCAGCCGTCTGCATTGGGCAGGCAAGGCAAGCAAACGGTGGACGCAGGACTAGCGTGCAAGCCTGAGGCGTCGAACGAATGCATGGCCGTTTGACTACGTGTATCTTCGCGAACCCAGCGAATTACTTTTTCGAGGCTGATTCGGAGATGTTGATTGATGTGGACAGATGGAAGGTAGCTCTATTCGAGTCGTACCTATCGCAAGCATAGGCAATCACAGGCGTTCGGAGAAGCTGTTCATCTCGTGGGCAACATATTCTCTCATTGTTTCTCTCTGCACTCTACTCTGCCCCTTTCCAACGACTATGACTTGCTGCTCTTCAACCCCACCCCTCTTTCGACAGGAGACAGAGAGGGTAGAGTTGATCGTAGACCCACCATGAAGGAAGGACGTGCAATCGTGCTTGAACACCGCCAAAATCCACATGTCTCTCGCCCCGCAACTCGCACCCCACAGTTTCCTTCCTGCGTCACCGCCATCGGGCCCGTGTCCCGATCTTGGCAGGGTCCTCGATGGGCTCGATGCAATGACGTCACACAGCCCTGCGTGCCCGCACCTCCGACGTCACTGCATCCTCTTTCGGCACAGGACACCCACGACGGACGTCAGCTATAGCGGAGCTGTGTAGCGGAGCATTAAGCGTGCCCTTGCATTCGACGTCAGCGATAAGCTTCCCAGTGGCTTCGAGCCAAGTTTCTCGGATTGTGACCATGGCGTCCTACTGGCTGCCATGGCATCACCGCCGGCGTCTGGCCGTTGATAGCACGAGCCGTGCCTGCTTTGTCTGCCAACTCCCAGGGTATATAAACATCCCGTCGCTCCCGCCCATCATAGCCTTATACAACCACATCTTGTGATCATCACATCACTATTTTCCTATCCCGCTTTGCACATAATCATTCCGATCGTCGATCAAAACAGACGTCAAAATGAACTCCAACACCAACAACAACGCCGCCGCCGGCCAGAAAGACTACCTCGACAAGGGCCTCGACGCTGCTGAGAAGAAGTTTGGCGGCTCGTGGGGACAGAACACCGAGAAGAACCGTGGCGTGAATGAGAAGATCGTATGTTTTCGCTTCATACATGGCACAGAAGAGCAAGCGCTGATATCATGACAGACCGATGGCGCACGCAACATGTTCGAAAAAGCCACTGGCAAGAACGTTCCCGACAAGTTCTCCAACTAAGACGGTGGACGCTGGGACTCGGGCCGAAGTCGCACCTGATCAGAAACCTGACGAGAACACGAAATCCGGGTCTGAAGATGGGCAACATCCGGATCAAGAGCATCGACCTGGGATATGGTCGAGGCTAGATGACAGTTGGCATACGAAGATTAGACCTACCTTTGTACGCATGAATGGCTGGATGTAGTAATATTTCGGTTATACCATTTTACGATATGGAATGGAATTACGTTAAACCTGCACCGCTTCTCGTTGCTGCTGTCACTCGATCAAGTGGCAGATATTCATTGCAAGGATGTTCTCCAGTGCATCGTACCGATCGTTGAGGTAGAAGCACCCATTCTGTCCCTACTATCTATCCGGGTATAGACACCGCCTTTGGTGTTCCCGCCCCATCCCACTTACAGTGCACATCTGGGCACGAAAATGACCAGTGTAGTCAATGCTGTGCGCACCATGAGCCGAGAAAAAAGGAAATACAGGTAGTGACTTGGATCCGCAGGTGAATATGGTTGGGTGCTGGGAGGCCTTGCGCAGCCAGTACAGAGTACTTGGGACGCTTTCGCCGAAGGCTAGGAGAAAATTGTCTTTGTAGCCTCCGGACGAGCAAGAAGCTGAGATGATTGATGAGAGCTTGGCTATATCTATCAACTCAGTTGGCAAGGGCTGACGATAGGAAGAGGGCGAGGCTGATATAGAAGAAGATGAGGGAAAGAACGTAGAACACGATGGTCCAAGCCGGCAAGCAGAGAGCCATCCAGACATCCAGACATCCAGGCATCCAGGCAGCCAGGTTGACACGCAGACGACACCAGTGCCGTACGATCATCCGTTTCCCTTCCCATAGCCTGCCTCGGCTGCATACGAGCCCGTTGTACGGCCATCTAGATCTGGACAAATACGTGCTAAAAACCACATGCGAATCTCATGATGAATGATTGTGGTAATTTTAGTTCATATGCGCCATGTCTTGAGTCATGGACGCCGCAGAGTGGGCAAAGCTGCACGAGGACGAAGAAGAATTCAATCAGATGGAAGAGACGTAGTCTTTGATACGGATCCGGCCGCGCCCAGAAGTGAACACGCACACAGGTATGCGGAACGTACAGCATGGTTAGACAGTGTACAGTGTAGAAGTTCCTAGCCAGCCCGGTATGTGCACATCTCACAACGAATTCTGGTGACACGAAGTTGGCGCGCCGCGGAAGGCTTGTGTGAGATCGAGGAGTGGTGTCTGGGATACATGTCGAATTGGAAAACTTCGGGCTCAGATGCACATACAGTCACCAAGTGCTCTGGGTTGAGCTTTCTGCGCACAGAGAATGTATGCACTCGAAGGCATCTATGCAATAGGTATAGTCTATACTGTTGTCCATAATAGTGCCTTGCTCACCGGTGTGTGTAACCGCAGATCAAGCCACCAACGCCCGTCCGTTCTCTGTCTATCCGGCGAGTTCCACCCTTCGCCCGAGCACAGCCCGGCCCTCGCTTTCACTCAGCACCTCCAAGCCCAAATCATCGAGAACCACTCTCGCACTCTGATTATCAGCAAACAACCTCTTTTCGACCTCCCAAAGTCCGAGCTGCCCGCCAAGCTCAGCGCCACCCTCGGCTTCTGTACCACCACCCGTTTCTTTTGGCGCCTCGCCGTCATCGTCTGCACCCCAGGCTTCCCAGTCCTCGCCAACATCACCCGTTTCATCGGACGATTTCACCTGCGAGTTGCCACCCTTAATGGGCAGATTGAGAAGCTGGGCACCTTCAAGGCATCGACGCAGTCCGGCCTCAGCAACGCCCGGTCCAACCGCTTTATCGACAACGCGACATATGGCGTGAAGATCAGATGAGAGCTGTGCAGCGCCCGCGGTCGAGAAGCGGTGTCGGCTGACGACGTTGTCCCAGACGGTGGAGCTCACGGTAGCGAGGGCGCCTCTCGCGATGCGGCGCAGTGGAGCGGGAGCGAGCGCGCGGGACAGGAATCCCAGCGTAGTGGTCAGATAGGTAACGAGTGGGTCGAGCTCTGCAGTGCTGGAGAGCGTGGTGCTCGATGCGGAAAGCGTCGCCCAGGGGTTGCTGGTGCGAGAGCAAAAAGTAAACATACGGACGGACAGGGAACGCTGAAATTACCGCTTTGGGAACTTACATGTGTCGATAGGCTCGTAGCGCCTCGCGCACGTTACTATTGAGGGTGTCGGTAATGATCTTTTCGCTCCGGATGCGGAGACGCGAGTATGCCGCGGCGATTTCGTCGAAGAGCGCGCCACCGTCGCTATCCCCGCCTACGGCTTTTGACGTGCGTTCTGCTACATCGGCGACAGACATGGCACCAATGTTATTGGCTCGGCGAGCACGATCTTGCAGCTCGTCCCATATGTCGAGGAAGAACTGTGGAGTCAGTTAGCTCGGCTTGTTGATCTGCCACTATGTCGGCAACCTACCAGGTCGTCGCTCCAATCTCGCATTGCTCGTTCAAGGTAGTCTGCACTACCGTATGTCTTACAGAGCCTTTCGAGGCCTTCTGTACCCAGCAGCCTGTCCTGCTCTTGTTTGGAAACACCGCCCATTGCACGACCTAAGGACGTCGTCAGAGTTAGATAGGCTTCCAGGTTGCCGCGAAGCCGCTCTTCAAGCTTGTCGAAAATGGTAATCTGAATATCCATCAAGAATCTTAATTTTTGGGTGAACGAAGTCAAGGGTCTGTAACGGTCTGCAATGCTGATCAGTGTTGAGCTGTCAGTAATTTACGTGGCAATCCCTACCTGTGATTGTTTCAAGCAAGTCATTGACGCGGATTGCTCCCTTGGTGGGTTTTGTGGCTTTGGGATCGACACTCTCGTAGTCCAGATCCCCAAAGTCTGGGGCCTCGACAATACTTTGATAACGGGCCAAGGCAACTGTGCGAAAGTCAGTCTCCGATGCGAATGCGAGTATCGAAATGTCCATACAGTCTTTCTCAACCTGCAGCCACCGCCCAAACCAGTCACCCTGGACAAGGAATTCCCATGACAGGCCTTTCCACCCCTCCACGCCGTAACCACCGTCGTATCTCCATTCCTCTCTAATTGTGTTGTCGAAGTTCATGAGCTCGTGCATGAGGTGGCTCAGCAGCTGGGGTTGAGACGCCACTTTCGGAAGGAGGGCGCCGATTTTAGACCTCAGCATGGGGAGTAGCGCGGTGATGAAGGCAGACATTGCATCGATGTAGACGTAGTTGAGCGCAAGATCAGTGCCACGAAATTGTTTGAGTAGATTGGGCTGCACATAATCAACAACAAAGTCGCTGTAGTCGTTCAGCAGGGTGGTGATGTGGGAGAGAAAATATTCGGGCCTATCAATGCGGTTTGTAGCTTTGTCACCGTCAAAGTGGTAGCGAAAGCGCATTTCCAGGGGCTGGACCAGCACCTGGTACGGGAAGAGCACTGCAGGGAGCTTGATCTTGCTCGCCTCGCCCTGGGAATACTGCACGCCATCCAACTCGGGCATCTGCAGGTCGAGCAGCTTCAGCACAGCCATGTCCCAGTCCTGTTGCAGCCCGCTGTCTATTGTGGCTTTTGGTGTTGGCCACTTGATCTTCTTGAGCACTTTGTCGAGATCGGCGGAGAAGGCATCTAGGATCTTGGACCGTAGGGCCTGGGTGATCTGGTCTACGTGATACAGCAGTTGCGGGGCAGCACCCTCGGCTTCATCTTGCAGGCGGATCAAGCGGGTGTGGAGGGAGCGCAGCTGCTTGTAGGGAGCGAGGGCGGCCTCGTTAGACGTCTGCAGCTGCGATTGCGCTTCGGTGCTGGGCTTGTCAGCTGGATGTGCTTGGGATGCACACAGGTGTGTCCTACCGGAGCACGTCAACCTCGTGCAACAGCTCTACGTATGCGTTGGCCACGTCGAGGCGCCGGAGCGTGTCGAGCACCCGTTCGAAGCGGGGCACGGCGTTGTCGCTGGTGTCCGAGGCGGCGACGACGAGCAGCCTGCGGTCAATGTCGGCCTGGTCAGTACGAAAGGCGCGGGCGCGGTTCTGTAGCTCATGGTGGTGGTGGTGCTGAGCCTGCTTTGCGTCGTGGAGGTCGCGCTGGGCGTCGTGCAGCTGCTGCTTGAGCAGGCCGTGCTGGGCGTGGATGTTGTGCAGCAGCTGGTCGAGCGAGTCGAGGTCCTGGGGCGTCTGCAACTTGTCGTCGAGGTAGTCGGCCACGCGGATCTGGTCGTCCATTGCCACGATAGTAGTCGGTAGGGCCACAAGACGGTTCTATGCACAATGGCATTCGCAGAGCTCGGGCTACGGTGGCCTAGCGTGGGGTTGCAGGCGGCTCACCTGGCCTGAGTCTTCGCCTCGGCGCGTGTGGCTCGGCAGGCAGCCAGTAGGCCAACCGGGACAGCACTACGCGCTGCGTCAGGAAGTACGTAAGCACAATCCAGATATACATATATCTAGGTGTGTCGACTTCTTTCCAGTGCTTTCCGATGCACTTGTACGTAAAGCGCTAAGACGGCAATTCGTAGCTGGTGACGTATCTACAGTGTACGTAAATAGTACATAGACAGCAGTAGAGTGAAGATGAAGTGCTCTACGGGTGCAATCCGAGGAGACTGCGCTCAAGATATGTAGTCGTCCAATTGCAAGGAGCGCTCGTTATAACTGAGCCCATGATTGATTCTTCACAGAGTCTGATGTACGTCGACAGGCCTCACCTCTTTGGCACACGCTTGCCTCCATGCACGGTCTGTGTTCAGACATCCCCCCAGCCCAGTCAAGCCCGTTTTCCGTGATACCCGCATCGCGTCCCTCACAGGTAGCAGCACCCGATGGCCACGCAGACCCAGGGACAAGCTGCGATCCAGGGCTACCAAAAGCTGGCGTGGGGGTTGCAAGCAGCGGCCATTTCCGCCGATCGATCTGGGAAGCGCGCACAGGCGCAGTGGCTGCCAGTGTCGCTGCAGCTCTGCTAGCCCGCTTTAGCACCTTCGTGGCAAACAGTCTCAGGCCACTGCCCGAAAAGCGTGTTAATCGTCGCCCTGCCCTGTGCCGCTCACAGCGCAGAGGGCCTGTCGCTGCACACCCAGCCCCCAGTCGTGCGCTCCCTGATGCCCGCCTGTCCGACATAAAAGCCGGCGCGGTCCCTCTTGCAAGGTTGGCGCCCCTGGCTTCCGATCTGGCATCCCCGCATCTCAGATAGCCGAGCGTTGCTTGGGTCCTTTTATTTTTTTTCCGCCAGCCCCATCCTCCGCCACTGCACCTTCGACCATGCCCAAGGAATTCAGGAAGCGCGGTCGTCGCGCCGACGAAAAGAAGCGCAAGCGCGACCACGAAGAGGGAGAAGGTGCCACCAAGCGCCGCAGAAAGAGCGTCGACGACGATGAAACCGCGCCCCAGGAAGACGAGGAGCCGTTCCAGGATGAAGCTATCGATGGTGTCACGCGCCCGGGCGCCATGCCCTTCTACGGCATGCTCGACGACGACGAGCAGGAGTATTTCAAGCGTGCAGACGAGATGCTAGAACTCAACCAGTTCGACGGGCCCGACGAGCGCAACCTGTTCATCGAGAGCGTGTACAAAGAGGCGGATGGCAAGGAACTGAAACTTGCCAACAGCCAGTCCTGCTCGCGCTTGATGGAGCGCCTGATCTTGATGTCTACTCCAAAACAGCTCAAGGATCTGTTTCAGAAGTTCAACGGCCAGTAAGTGCACTCGTTGTATGCGCTTGCTGTTCCCGTGCTGACATGTACAGTTTCGTTCACCTCGTCCAGCACCGCTTCGCGTCGCACTGCTGCGAAGCCCTCTTCATACAAGCCGCACCTGTCGTCACTCAGGAAGTCATGAAACCCCATCTCATTACCCCACCTTCCTCCGACCCGAACGACGTCGTCGTTTCTATGGAGAATCTATTTCTGTTCACCCTGGACGAGCTGGAAGGATATCTGGGCTACCTCATCACCGAACGCTTTGCATCCCATGTCCTGCGTGTACTGCTCGTCGTGCTTTCCGGTACCCCGCTGGAAAAACAAGGCAACAAGTCGACCTTACATAGCAAAAAGAAGGAGAAGGTCGGGGTTTTTGTTGCAGAGAAGGAAGAATTGATTTTGGGCGAGAGAAAGGTGCCGCAGTCATTCATGGACGCTCTACAAAAGGTCATCAACGACAGTGTTGCGAACCTGGACACCAACTATCTTCAAATGCTTGCGACGCACCCCACTGGCAATCCGACCCTGCAACTTATGCTGAAGCTCGAACTCACTCTGTTTGGCAAAGTCAAAGCGAAGGACGAGAACTCCATCATTCGCAAATTGCTCCCGGACGATCCCATCAAGGAAGACACTCCCAGCGCATCCTTTATCAACGGTCTCGTGTACGACGCTGTGGGTTCCAGGTTGCTGGAAACGATCATTGAAAATGCGCCCGGAAAGCTTTTCAAATCCATCTATAGACAGTTTTTCCAGCAGCGCATGGGCAGTCTCGCACGAAACGAAATTGCCGGATACGTCGCTGGTCGTATCCTTGAACGGCTCAGCAAGGATGACCTCGAGGAAGCTTCGCGCCAGACTATCGAGCAGATCCCGAACTTGGTCGAGCGCAACCGAACTGCCATCATCAAGACACTGATCGAACGCTGCGTCGCGCGAGGAGTAGATACGGTTCCCATCGCAGCACAGCTTAAAGCTGCATACAGCGGCTCTAGTGGGTTCGAGATTACGCGTCTTCTTAAGCTTGGCGAAGCTTCTTCTGACGATGGCAAGTCGACTTCAAAACATGAGCACCCTCAGCCAGATAAAGTTCATGGATCTCTACTCGCCCAGACGATGATGACGGTAGATGGACCTCTTGGAAACCTAATATTCGACTCTTTCACCAAGTTGGGCGACTACATGACCCTGCGAGTAGCTCGCGATCCGGCAGCATCGCGAACATTGCAGGCCGCGTTGGTATCTCCGAACGCGTCTGTGATCTTTAGAAGAAAGGTTATACAGCAATTCTATGGGCATGTTGGTGAACTGGCTTTGGACCCTGCTGGATCGCACGTGATTGACTCCATTTGGGAGGGCACGGCCGGCCTCGCCTTCATCCGCGAGCGCATCGCGGAGGAACTTGCAGAAAATGAGGCGGCGCTTCGCGAGTCCCACGTCGGTCGCGCGGTATGGCGGAACTGGCGTATGGATTTGTACAGGCGCCGTCGGGCAGATTGGGTGAAGCAAGCCCGATACACCGCAGGAAACGATGGTTTCCAGTCCTTCCCCGAGAGCAATGGCGAGATTACCCCGCCGTCTCAAGGCCGTAAAACTGGCGGCCACCTCTCAGCAATTGAACTCGCACGCAAGAAATGGGCCGAGTCGCAGGCGGCCAAGGCAAAATTGGAATCTGAAAAAGCAAAGAGAGACGCTAAAGAGGCAAAGAAAGAAAGCAGAAAGGATAAGAAACACGAGAGGCACGACAGCAGCAGCAGCAAAGGAAAAGAAAAAGCAAAAGCTAGCGTTGCGGCGCACTGAATGCTCACGTGAATTTGGCGTTGTTTTACACTTCTAAACCCTAATGCATCGTTGCAGTCATGGGGGCGTTCTTGTGGGCACTTAGGACGGCCTTTGATTCGATCTAGACACACCTTGGTTCGGCGGTGAGCTTTTCTGCCGGCAGTACTTCAGTGAGGAAATATTTAAGATGATGTCGACATCTCCATGTTGCCTTGCACCCACGTTATATCTTGCTTGTGAAAGCCTGTTCTTCTTTCTTCTCCTTTCGCTCTTCGTTTCTCTCATTGACCAGCTTTCCAAGTATGACTGGTCAAACTAACGGAACCGAGGCCCCGCTTAATCGCGCGGACGAGGTCAAAGAGGTATCCCGCATCCTTCCAATAATCATAGTCAATTCCGTCATTGATTCTACTGCAGCTTCTCTCAGCCGTGGAAGAGTTGATCATCCCATTCATCCGCTCCGCAGACGAAGACGCCGCCACCAAGCACACCGGTCACGGTCTCGCCATTTCCGGCGGAGGACCCAGAACCGCACTTGTCGAACATCACCCACCCAAGAAACTTGAACAAATTCTAAAATTGAACATCCCGGAGCAAGCAGGAGGGAAAGCCGGGTTAGTGCAGATTGTGGAGAAGGTCTTAAAGTATAGCGTGAACACGTGGGACCAGGGGTTTCTGGATAAGCTGTACGCGAGTACGAATGCGGTATGCGTTCTCCAGAGAGCCTACGGCCGTAGGCGGACATAGCATTCACCGACAGTGCTGATGGGGGACAGGTTGGGCTCGTCTCGGAACTGCTCCTCGCTACGCTGAACACGAACGTGCGTTCTCCTCCCAACCCTAACTTGCATTGATTTGATGTGCGGATGACAGGCACACGTCTACCAAGTCTCTCCCGTCCTCACCCTCATCGAAAAACTCACCACCAAGCACCTTGCCCACCTCTTCGGCTACACCTCCCCGCACTGCGGAGGCATCAGTCAACCTGGCGGTTCCGCGTCGAACAGCTCTGCCATTGTCATTGCGAGAAACACCCTGTACCCCGAAACTAAGGAGAATGGAAATGGAAACTACCGCTTCACGCTATTTACGAGTGCGCATGGGCATTATTCCCTGGAAAAGGCCGCGCAGATGTTTGGTCTGGGAAGCAAGAATGTCGTCGGTGTCCCTGTAGATGCCGAGGGCAGGATGAGACCGGAGGAATTGGAACGTCTGATAAAAGAGAGTAAGGATAGGGGCGAAACGCCGTTCTTCGTCAATGCGACGGCTGGGACTACCGTGCTGGGGTCGTTCGACCCGTTCCCTGCCATTAACACCATAGCCAAGCAGCACAATCTCTGGTTGCACATCGACGGAAGCTGGGGCGGCTCCGTGATTTTCAACTCTCATATCGCGCAGACGAGACTGCAGGGAGTAGAGTTGGCTGATTCCATCGCGGTGAACCCGCATAAGATGCTCGGTGTGCCCATGACGTCGTCCTTCCTTCTCGCCAAAGATCTACGGCAATTTTGGGCAGCAATGACCCTGCCCGCGGGCTACTTATTCCACAATGCAGGTGATAGCGTGAACGATGTTTACGACCTGGCGGATCTGACACCGCAGTGTGGGCGGCGCGCGGATTCCCTCAAATTCTTCCTCTCCCTCTCCTACTATGGCCAACAACATTACTCGGACCTAGTAGAAAGAGCGTACGACGCGGCAGACTATCTACTTTCGCTCGTCAAGGAGTCGCCGAACTTCGTGTCTGTGAGTCCGGAGCCGTTACCTTGTCTACAAGTGTGCTTTTACTGGGCGCGAGATGGGAAGTTGGGGGATAAGGAGATGAATGGAAAGGTGACGAGCGAAGTGGCACAGAGGCTCATTGCGAGGGGGTTTATGATCGACTACGCGCCTGGAGAAAAGGGCAAATTCTTCAGGGTGGTGGTGAATGGAAACACTAGGAGGGGGACGGTGGAGGGATTGTTCAAAGCCATTGAAGAGGTCGCTGGAGAGTTGAAATATTGAATATACATCGATATGGGAAGACACATGAATGGTATGAGGTCTGAAATTATTAGACGGATGAGTCGGACATAGTACGCGGAGTTGAAGCGTTCTCCATTGATGCGTGCTGGCTACCATCATCACCATTCTACGAACCCCTCTCCGATGCTGCTGTTAGTGGTAGGGACATGACAAGGCATGTCTCGACTCTCGCCTGCTCTATACATAATTGGACAGGGTTTCGCTTTCGTAACACCTTCCACAAGCCCTCTCCGTCTTACGCAAAGCTTACAATTTCAATCTGCCCAGCATACGACACCATACCTCTCTTTGACATGTTGATTAATCAGCTCAAGGCCACTCCTCACATATCTGGAGCCTATCATGATTTGATTCTGGATCTTCGAGTGGGAAAGAGGTCCTTCCAGGCACAACTCGTATGCGTGGAGTTGCTGAGATTTTTGTAAGCACAGGAAGATGAGCACCATTTTGCTTCAACTCTCTTCTTTTGCGAAAAAGGTAGGCGCTCCATATGTAGCGATTGTTGCCGAAATTGAAGCCAGAGGGTCCGACATCGGGATGCATGACGACGATATTGGTTATGCTGCTCCCCTTAATACCAAAAAACAGCACGGATGCTATACTTGTGGTCAGCTAGAGCGTTTCAGCCCTGATAAATAAGTCTTTGGTATGTCGGTTTACGACAAGGACCACAGTCTATATATACACAGATGTACTTTTGTCTCGTGAGAGGTGTAAGAAGTGCAAACTTGCACCGGAGCACATTTGAGTGTTGAGTGTGGATTCTTGATAGAGAAAGTGTGCTCCATTTGGTGGGCTTGATGGTGTTTCTAGAGGACAGGGCTCCACATTAGCTAATGGCCATGGGTCTTGGAGGGCACCAAGTTTAGGATCAATCGCAGTTGGTACTAATATCATCAACCTAATCGCGCTTTGGAGAAGAGTAGTCATACATGGATGATACGCCACGTTATCAAGCGTAAGAGGTTTATGTAAAGATACTGTGGTTGTCTCAACCGCCCTATCTTTACGCCGCGGATGTGTTATGGCGGCGAGGACAGCGGACCACATGCACATTCTACATCCCTTCGACGCAGAAGAAATGCTCCATAATAGATCACCATACATCTAGTGCAGTGGGAGCTGCAGGTGTGTGTAAGTAACTCTGTAGCCACGTAAAGGGTGGATCTATATATCGAGACCCCGTCTGAATTAGTGCCAATGGGGGCCATCCAGGGCGACGCATTCGATACATGTGTGCATATATGTGCATGTACTCACACAGGTCTAAAACCCATCTATACTTTCCCTTTCCCCCTCTATGCCTTTAACTCCCCTCACTACACAGTGTGGCGAACAGCAGTACTCCGTCCCTACCTCTTGTCCATATCGTACATTCTCTGCCTCGTCTCATCCTTCAAACCACCCAGCCAATTCCTTCCTCAGATCGCCCTCCTTCTTCCCCAGCACCCTGATGCCCCGCTCAACACAAGCCCTCTCCACCTCCTTCGCATCCAACGCCTGAAATCCACCATCTCTCCGAATAGCCCAGTCATCCTTCTGCAAATATGCTATCCTATTCCTCAAACCCCACCTCAGCAACGCGTTTGGCGGCGTCATAAACAGCCAATCCCACACCCTCGGTTGGGTTCCAAAACGCACATCCAGGCTCAACAGCGTGTATAAATCCGCTTTATCCAGTTCCTCCAGCTTCACCGCCTGAGGCCTTATTACTCCAGGATTTGTAGCCCCAGGTTTCCGGTCTCGCGCTACGAGTCTCGCAGCATCAATCGCAAGCCGGCGTTCTCTCTCTGACCTCCGCTTCTCCATCGAGGTAAGCTTCCGCTCAACCTGCGCTGGAATCCGGCAGGGTTCCGGCACCACAGGTGTAAGGTACACGACCAGCAGCGGCAACCACTCCCCAAAAAACCAACAATAGTGCGGCAAATGCCGGTAACCGTAATCGGTCATTTCCACTCCGCCTCACGATCTGCCATTCCGCGCGCGTGAGGACCGTGTGCCATTCGTGCTTGGATTTTGCCTGTGAAGATGCTTTTGCACGTAGAAGTTTTGCGATTTTGAGCGTTTTCCGCACGTTGGATACGCCCTGCTTGTAGAAGCTGATGTACGATTTGCCACAGCGCCAGAGGTACTTCACGTAGGCCTCATGGCCACGGGGTGGCAGGTGTAGTTCGGGGGCGTAGGTTTCCGGGGGTGGATTCAGCTTTGCACGTACTTGTGGCACGGGAACCGTGAAGCGCGTCGTCTTGGTCTTCGCTGGAACAGTGGCCTGGGTAGGCGCTGCGGAGCACTGAGGTAGCGCGGGTTTGCGGGCGGTTGCGGTGTGCGAGGCGAGGCGTATGTGAGGGCAAGTGGCATGCACATTGCGTAATGATGTATATCGGGGATGGTTGTAGGATTGAGACTCGTTTGAGGGGCGCGCAGTGCACGCGTAGGATAGTGGACGGCGGCATTGCGATGTGAAGGCTGGTCGATACAACATATGCGGCACTAAGCATAGGTGTATTATGGGTTGCGACTTCATCGCGAACGAAATCATACAAGAAGGCTACGGTGTTGAAAGGAGCGACGTGCGAGAAGTGCGTCACAATTCACGCTGTACGAAATCCATTACACGATGTCATCACAACTCGCGAACACGCTAGCCTAATGCGTGAAATTTCTCTGCGATTATGTTCCATTTGCTCACTCATCCAACATGCCCAGGTTTGTGTCCGATTCTTTTGATTCTGTGCACGTGAACGGTGTGCGCGGGCCCCGAAGAGAAGAGCTCAAGGTAATAACAGGGAAATGTTTACTTTGCACACGAGCAGTATCGTCCGAGAATAGTAGGTTCATGTGAACTTGCAGTAGCCTAATCGTAAGGCCTGCCTTGGGTATTCATATCTCAATGTTGATACATAGTTGTTCCACGATATGTGTTTTCAATGTTTCAGCCAAAGTTCAGCTGGTGTCCTCCGCGCTGGGCGATGATGGACATAAGAGCCATAGAACAGCACCCATTACCGCCGATCATATTGGAGAACAAACAAAAACTTACTCCGCTTTTCCTTAAAACTATCTTCAGGACTTCGACTTCTTCTCCTTCTTCTTCTCCTTCTTCTTCTCCTTCTTGGCCTTCTTTTCAATTCTCTGTTGCTGCTCTTCGGCTGACCTATGCTTTTTGTGCTTCTTCGTAGACGATTCCGCATCCTCGCCTGCGTTATTCTGATCGTGCTTCCGCTTCTTCTCCTTTCTCGTTGGTGGGTCGAATCCTTCGGGTACACCTAGGCCAGCAGGCACTGGCACGCGGTCCTCGTCGTCCGAATCACCTAATGTTGTTGGTGCAGAGTCCTCAAAACCAGAGGGGAAGAAGCGCATCTTGAGGCCTTTGACCTGGGGCTTCACAGCTCGGATAGTCGACGCTGTTATTGATGCGGCGGCTTCCGAACCGGTGTTCTGATCGGCTTGTCGTGACGTCAACTTTGGCAGGTTGATGACCTGCTGCATGTTGAAGCTCTGAACGATTTTCGTAGGTACTAATTAGATGTTAGATCATACAAAATGGGAAAAACTGACATCGACTGACCTGCTTTGTAGCCATTTGCAACAGGGATCATGACTTCCCGCTCGCCCGTGCCCACTTCTGCCGGCGAGAAACCGTAGCTTGTGCCTTTGTAATCGAGTACAGCCTTGCCATGCTGTGCCTTGTCCATTACCAATCTTGTGAGGTCCTTAAGCGATACATCTTCCGGTGCTGTGATGTGCCATAGCTGCTTCCCGTTGAGGTTCTTGAATATGTTTGCATTGGCCGAGGAAGCTGCTCGCTCTGTAGATGCAGCCTTGAAGTCTTCCGGGGGAATATAAGGTCGCGCTTGTTGGAATGTAACGGTCTGAGATTGTGATTGCGCTAGTCGAGTCTCCGTACGCTGTGCTGCTGGAGCTCCCTCTTCCTCCGATTCATCACTCGTATCTTCTGAGCTACTGTCACTATCGTCCTTCCTTTGCGCCTCCCGCTGCTGCGCTTGCTTTATATCTGTTTCCGCATCGTCGCTGCTCTCTTCCGAGCTGCTGGAGGCGGCCTCTTCTTCCATCGTTATTTGTTTCGGCGCAGGGTTCTTTGAAACCGGAGCGTCCTTCTTCGCTTTCTTTGGGGTATCTTTCTGCTTCGTCTTCGCTTCCTGCGATGATTTAGCTACGCCATTCGCCTTCGGTCTATGCACTGCGATATTGATTGGCGCCTTCTGTTGTGTCGCGTTGAGTTGTTCTATGGCCTCATCTGAAGAGTCGTCGCTATCATTAACAAGCTCGTTGCTTAGTTGGGTCTTGCTCTTCGGAGTCTTGGATGTAGGTACGGGTATAGGCGTTTTCTTGGAGCTGGGGGCTGTTATGGATGTTTTCGTCTTGGAGCCTGGGAGCGGCACGGGGGTTTTCCGAGGTTTGCTCATGGCGGAGGTGGTATTCTTACAAGCGCAAGTTGGGATTGGAGCTGCCGCGACGACTTCAAAAAAGTTCTCGCGTCGCCAATCGGCGCGTTCTGCCGTACCAGGCCGCCCTGAGTGCGGGACGCGCTTACCCAACTTCGTCACTAGTGTGCTAAGATACATCAGTTCCAGTGTCACTGCACGAGTGTCCGAAATGCCTGAACATTGCTTCACAACAATCATAATGACGGGAAAGAGAAAGAGAAACGAGATGCCTGAGGGAAAGCTACAAGCCAAAGGTAGATATGAGCCTCGAAAAAACTCATTCTGATTCAATGAACTCACTCTTGTAGCACCTCTAACTGGCGCACCAAAGCCAATGAGCGCCATTGCAGCCGCAAGATTAAAAGCCGAGAAAGCAGCGGCTCCAATTTCTGCTACGGATGGCCTACAAGAGCCACCACCCAGTCCACTTGCTGGGTCCACAGCATCCGAAGCTGCAGAATCAGATTCAGAAGACAACTGTCTTATTCCGCAAAACTTCAAGCTTAGCACGTGGCGCAAGACTAAGACCAACGTTCTCTCTGATAGTCCCCGGGAACTAACTATTGTACTGGACAAACATTCTACCGCTTCTTTCGTTGGTCACTTCGACGTCAAGGTTCTAAAAGGGGCGGTAAACATCATTGGCGCTAATCTGGGTGCCAAGTCGATAGGAAGCCAAGAGAGGGAAAGAGAGTACCGTATTTTCGCGTGTTCTACAAACCCAATCATGAAGATCAGGGGTTTAGATCGCACAAACCATGTGCAGCTTCGGAGTTGTCTGGAGCCAACGCCATTTGCAGATATCAATCCGCTCTTCGCCAATATCTGGGGCGGGAATGCAGAGAATGATAATGGTAGATCTTTCACTGGAGTAGGTCATTCGTAATGTCTTAAAAGAGCATTATTAACCTTCACCAGGTTACAGAATCCGATGATGATCCCCTCAAACGGCCTCTTGTTCCAGAACTCGCACCAGAAGACTGGCTTCGCACAATAGACGACATCTCCACCGCCGCATCTGCCACCTTCATTGTCGGTAGCTCAACGTCTGGCAAGTCGACATTCGCCAAAAGGTTGCTGAACCGCTATGTCACCGGCTTTGGCAAGACAGCCAGGCCCATCCCCGCCGTCTGCTACCTGGATCTTGACCCCAGCTCCCCTGAGTATACGCCCCATGGCCAGATCTCTTTGACCATCGTAAGAGAGCTTAATTTGGGGCCTGCTTTTACCCATCCCGCTGCTATCATTAATCGTTCGAACGGCAACGAGACGATAGCAGCGCACGCAATTCCTCATCAAGACCTCACCAATCATGAAGCCTACTTCACCACCTGCGCCGAACACCTCTTCCAGACGTACCAGAACCTACGCTTTGATGGTCCAAAACTCCCTTTGATCATAAATACGCCTGGATCACTCTACAGATCACACTTTCCCCTCATCCAAAGACTCCTCACGAGTACGAAACCAGACCATATGGTACATTTCGGTGACAATAAATCCATTGACGAAGACACCGCCGCAAAGCTACACTCCTTGCAACTTCACTCACGGAAAATCCACTCCAAGCTGCACGAGCTAGCCGCACAGTTTCCTCCGATTCCTCCCGTGCGAAGCGCCACGGAGTTCAGGGCAATGCAAATGGCAACCTATTTTCACCTCACGAGCTTCTCGACAACCTACAATCACCCGATATATGCCTCCACCCCTCTCTCAACCCTTGCCCCATGGACATTCAGCTACAGAGACACCCCCTCACGCGTACAGGACTTCCTAGCCGTCCTACCCCTATTCGACCGAGAAATACCTCCCTCTACACTCCTCAATGCTTTAAACGGGTCCATCATACATATCGTAACCACCACTTCTCCTCCCACCTACTCTACCCCTCTTCGAACCTCAAAATCACAAATCCCGTATTTCGCGCTGCATAGAGAGACACACCTTCCACCCACCATGTCCCCAACGACAACCAGATCAGTCTGCACAGCGTTAGTTCGTGGGATAGACCCCACGACGCACACATTCCACCTGCTTATCCCTCCCCCTTTCGAATCACTCCTGGGCGCACTCGAACCGGAGAAGACGATGCTGATAGCAGGATGCGCAGATACGCCTGAGTGGAGCTACACAGAAGATGCGTATGCACAAGTTTCGCGGCGACGAAGGGACCTAGGGGATAGAGCGAGGTTTGCTAGTGACGAGCGGCTGCTGGAGGGCGTGGAGAAGGGACCGTGGGTCATGGAAGGGAAGGTGCTGGAGGGGATGGGGTATGCGGGTGCGGTGCGGCGGGTTCGTCGGTTTCTTGGGTAGTGGCAGAGATGGAGGAGAAGAGGACGCTTCTCGCACATCATATAACAAATATCGGAAGTCGAGTGAGATCTTTGGATCTTGACTGTACTCGATCTGTGCGCATTAGCAGACCTACGCATGTGTTGTGCGTCGAGGCGCTACTTAACGCATTACTGAAAAAATTATATCACTTTCACCCTACAAGAGACACTGATCAGATACTGTATTCGTAACAACGCTTTGCTTCTTACAAATAACCCTACACGACAAAGTGAACTGAAATGGGGTTATGCCACACCGCTTATTTATCGCCACTCCAGAACTGCCAGAAATGCCGCCCAAGTATACAAATGCAACGCTGACGCAAAAACAAACCAAAAGGTGAAACGTTAAAAAGAATTCCCTAGTCCGCTCAGTCCACATCCACCAACCACTCCGAGAAGTTCATATCACCCGATTGCAAAGACGGCAGATCGTGAACCGAGTCCTTCCTGGGTAAATTGCGCGGACGCGAAAGTACTGAAGAGTGTACATCCGGGGGATCAGGCTGAAGAGTTGGAGATGGGGCGAGGATGCCGACGAATTCGCAATTTGCGGTGAGGCCGGTAAAACGATCTTCGTAAGAGCACTGCCAGTAGTCGGCACCATGTTGTGCTAACACTGTGAAAGGACTCGGTATGTCTACCACACGCTCCGGTTCCACCTTAAACGAGTCGTCCGATAGTTGCTAACTTTTGAGAATGGCGGAGAGTACGCAGATGTTGATCCAAGCAGGTAGTATGATCAATCGACAAGGAGGGTTCTGAACGAATACTGGACTGTACTGGGAACGGGGTACGATGCAGCGCCTGATGATGAAATCGATGAGTGTAGAGGTCAGAGATAGTCGAAGAGACCGACATTCAAGTAGGCTGGTCAAAGCATGTTAGCTACGAGGTACCAGACATGAGCTCTCATCGCTGGTACTTCGCAAGCTGTGCCATGATCTCTGCCATGTCTGGTGCCTTAGCACCTTGCGCCGGTTGGCCAATGTATTGTGTATTCTGGGGCAATACATATGAGTTAGTAACCGGCAGATTTCCGGGTGCCTGGACAGCTGGCTGCGGTTGCTGAGGCTGATAAGGTGCCGGAAATGGCTGTGCTGTTGGCGGTTTGTACGCGGGAGCCGCGGCAGGAGTTGAAACAGAGCTTAGCAAGCGCGCAAGATCAGGCGTGAGCGCAGCCTGCGCTTGCGGGGCCTGTTGTGCACCGTTGCCAGACATTGCTCCAAGGAGTTGGGATAAGCTGTTCGGATCAAGGGTGGAGATGAGGTTGGTTAGGTTCGGTGCAATGGCTGCATTGGCCGTCGGTACATGGGGTGCGTAAGGGTTTACAGCAGGAGCACCGTATGTTTGACCGTATGTAGGCGGTGCTGGTTGCTGCACAGAGAAAGAACGGCTTTTCTGTTTCGCGTCGGCTACAAGGGCAACAGCCGTCGGCGGATCAAGGTCGGCATACTCGTTATATGAGACGTTATCGTTGCCACGGCTCCGGTCGAAGAGCTGCACATGGATCGTGCTTCTCGGAATGGAACCGCTGTTCAATCTGACGATTGCGAGAACACCCTCAATGATTTGTCGCCTAACAACGGCGTTCTCATTTAGTCGTGGGCTCAGGATGAGTACGTTAACGCGAAGACTCGCACGTTCAAAGGTTTCCTCGACCCAGCGAATGAAACCTCGCGGAACTCCTTCGTCGAGTACCAGTACCTGTACATCAGGAACCTCGTGTGGAGCACGGAATGGCAGCGACAAGTCAGGAGTTGAACCTCGTCGCGGAGACGGGCTGCGGTATCGACGAGGGGACCTTGAGCTACTGCGTCGACGCCGGTATCTATCGGGAGAGGGGTCTCTCGCGCGATAACCCTGATTCCTGCGAGGCGAGGGGGATCGCGTAGGCCGATAGTCGTCCCGGAACCGTCGATTGTCGGGTGGAGATAGAGGGTTTGCGTTCCGGCTGCCACGACCGTAGTCGGGAGAACGTGAGCGCCGCCGTCCGGCATTACGGTCAGGTTCGGCCTTTTTCGTGTTTCTTTGCGGTTTGGAGACTTCGAGGTCTGGTTCCGTTAGGCTATGTACACTTTGTAGTTGTAAGGCGATAGTCATGGTTTACTAAGTTACCACAGAATGGATAAAATAGACTGCACTTAAACTTTCGGCTCATGGCTGTACCGTTTTGGAGGAGACTTACGCATCTTTCTGCCACGCACCTGTTGTCCTTGTTCCGCTCGGAGAGCCCGAGAACATGACTCGGCAGTGAGAAATTGCACAAAACCATACGCCTGCTTGATGGATATTTGAGCGAGGTCACCGTGGCGGTGGAATCGGTGGAAAATGTCCCGTTTTGTCACTTTTTCAGTGGGCAAGTTTCCTAAAGAAAAGATTAGCATGCTTCAGGAGGAACCATAACGAGAGGACACATGGGAAGCCGTGGCAGTGTGTCAATATAGGATATACGTGACCACGACTGTACAGAGACTGTACAGTGCCTGGGAATAGTTGGTACACAACGTGCGGTTGATTGTATATCCCGACATGACACACACATCAAGGACCCTTGAAGAGTATCCCTTTCGACTCGATAGTCTGTGCTTACCAATGAACAGCCTGGAGCCCATCGGAAATTGATCCCATTGTCCATCTGTCACAAATCGGCGCTCCTGATCCAGAAAATCTTCATACTTCTTGTTCACCTCCGGGGGCCATCGAGAGTCTTCGTCATCCCCGTGTGACCCACTGCGGTTAAAGTCTTGCGACTGGCGCTGGCCGTATCCGGAAGAAGCGGAGCCTACAGTTGGACTCATCTTATCAGCGCCTCCGGTGCCCCCTCGTACATTCAGCGGCTGTAATTGGATGGAGCCTCGGTGGCTGCTGTGCGGATGGAAGGATCGAATATCATCATTGGGGTTATAGTTCGGATGGGTCGACGGTTTTTCTTGCGGCGGCGGTCGTGGAGGTAGATGAGGGGCGGCTGGGAGCGAGGAGGCATTGGTGGATTGCTGGGAGGGCTGGGGAGGCACAGTGGGCGGCGCATATTGGCTAGAGCCCGCGGCGTTTCCTGGTGTTGACAACTGGTCAAGCAAGGCCTGGACATCGACGCTCGCGACATTGGGAGACTGGGCTTGGAGATTCTGTTGGTTGGCAAAGGCGTTGGCATCAAAGGCATAGGAATTGCGGTGTTCTTGAGCAGGCGCATGGTTTGCGTCACTAAACGAGGCTGAAGGCTGTGAGAAATTGTGCATTGCAGGTGTATCTTGCTGCCCAGTGTGCCCTTGTGTTGTGTATCCTGGGGAAACACCGGCGCCTACAGCGGGCGCAATCTGAGCGTTCTGCGAGGCATCGGCGTAATACGACGTGGAGGAATTTGCGCTCGGCGTCTGTGTCTGCTGCGGATACTGTTGGTAGGAGACGGGTGTACCTATGCTCAGTGCTGGCTCGCCGAGCATCGGGTCCATCTGCTTCTCAAGAATAGGAATATTGGAGGGCGATGGATGGTGGAGGGGCTTGGGTGACTCAGGCGTGAGGGTACTGCCGCGAAAGTGCTGCGCGTCTTCTGGAGGGCTTGGACTTGATCGCATGTATGCGGACCCGGCGCAAGGCGCGTCAACGGCGAGCCACTGCCTCAATACATCTACAAAGCTGCGCGCACACAGCGACAGGAAGGGGAGGCAGGTAGTACACGGCAGACGGGCGGGGTCTGTGTCTGTACGAGCAGCAGATCAGGATGCAAATCGCCAGTCAGTCAGCGCGGCACGGCGGGCAACGGACGATGGGTAACGGGCGGCGCAGTGCAGACGAGTGGAAAAAGGCTGGACAGCTGCGGGGTGCAATATGGAAGATTGAAGTCGGCAATGGGCGGCAGAGGTGAGAGTGAAAAAGGCAGGCAGAGGTTGTTGAGGGCAGGAGCGTGGTGGGGAGATGACACAAGCACGAAGCCGCGGACCCAGCAGCTTTTCTTCGTCCAGCCTTGCCCAGAGCAGCTCTAGCCGATTACCTAAGGCCGTGCAGCGGTCCGCAATTTGTTCGCGCAGCTTTGCCAGCTGCATTGCATCACGGCGATTTCACTGCACAGCATGCCAGGTGCGCGTTTCCCCGCCGCCAGCATTTCTCTTACCACACGCCCGCTGCTGGCGGTTGCACCGTCCGCCCGCTTCGCCTCGGGCAGGAGCAACGGCGAGGCGGCTCCCGAAGAGCTCCAGGCGGCGCGCAAGTGGCTCGCGCAGCTGCATGCAGAGACTATTCCCAAAGGCATCGGCGAGTTGAGCTTCAGCAGGTCTTCCGGCCCCGGCGGCCAGAATGTCAACAAGTAGGCACACGCTAGCATGAGTCCGTGTCGTTCGGCGCTAAAACCGGTCAAGAGTGAATTCTAAAGCTACTTTGAAAGTGCCCCTCGATGCACTTCTGGAACACGTGCCCAGCGCCCTTCACCGTGACATCAGGACGTCTCGCTACGTGGCTGAGCGGTCCAGTGCCATCATCATCCAGGCCGATGACAGCCGTAAGCAGAACGACAACGCCCACAGTTGCTACAAGAGGCTCTACGAAGCCCTCGTCGAGGCGGGCCACGCTGCTATACCCGGCGAGACGTCGGCCGAACAAGCCAAACGAGTCAAGGATTTGTACGTCCTCGTGCTTGCATGTAGACCCTAGCTGACAGCTGGCAGACAAGAGTCTGAGAACGAGCGGCGGCTCAAGACTAAGAAACAGCATAGCGCCAAGAAGAGCTCGCGAAGAGGTCGCGGTGACGATTGAAGTGCAGGCTACAGGCCATCCGTCAACCCGGGGTCGCATTATACTAGATTCGCTTCGTGTCACGGGAGTAGGGATACCGCCACGTCGCTGGCTCTGGTCCCTTTCCAAAGGTCGCCTTGATATTTGTCAACGTAGTTATCTAACCACCGAAGGATTGGCGGCGATAACGGATTGCCGCCCTCCTCAGGTGGTCAAGGCAGCATTGAGTTGTTGAAGGCGCTCATTGGTGCCGAGTCGCTTCATGCTCGATTGTACCAGATGTTTTGCATCTTCTTTCTTCCCTTCTCTTTTCAACGCCTCACTCAGTGTCGCAATGCTGTCTCCGGTGCCGTCTCCGGTCTCCTCCAAAAACACAGTGAACTTTCGTAACTGCGATGAAAGAACTTTCCTAACGACCGGATCCATGTCTTGCGCAAATCGGATCGACGACAAGATCTGTCGAAGGGCGATTTGAGTTAGGTGACGTTTGTGGTTGGAGTGCTGTGTAATAGCTGCATTGAGCTTTTCCAGAGAGCTTGCGAGCACCGTCGGAAATTCGGAAGATGCTGCGTGCAAACCAAAGAACGGCAAGCGGAAAGCGCATGCAGCTGCCTGGACGGTCTCCGCAGCATTCTGGCGCAGATGATCCTCGACATGTTGTAGGATGCGTGTGACACTGGGTACTTGGTCGAATTCGGCAAACATGTCGAAGAATCGCTCTGCAAGCGCGGCGTTGCTGTTGAAATGCTTCATCGCCGAATCAAAGATTGCAATGGGTATAGCTCCTGTTAAGACTGGTGCAGAGGCCAGATTCTGGAGGGCCACCTCGTCCACGCCATCATCTTTCTTCAAGCTGGGGTTGACATCTTCAGCCGTTACCTCCGGAAGAGTGATCATGTCCTCGTCTTCTTCATCTTGTTCTTTCTTCGTGCGATCGACGTCCAGTCCTAGAATCTTTCTCCGCCCCGCAATCTTGCCAATGTAAATCGTCTCCAGTTTGGCGTACTCTACCCACAACTGCTCGGAGCTCTTGCAGAACCGCAACCCTCGCTGCATGTAGCTTCGAGCATCCGTAATGTCTGCCTGGGTTTGAATGAAGTAGTTTGCTGCATAGATCCAGAGTTCCGGCTTCGTGGGGTGCAGGCGCACAACCTGAGTGAAGATTTCATTCAGCCTCTTGTAAGCCTTGTCCTTGCGCGCAAACTCGATGTATTGCATCCATAGACCCAAGTCGCCCTGAAACTTCCTGGTGCTGCGGTTGTAGAGAGAGTATATCGTGCGTTGCCCGCTGCCACGGTATCGCACGGCTAGTCTCTTAATGCGCTTTCGCCGCAGCGCGTCTACATTCTTCTCGAACTCGATGTAACGCAGCCAGTCGGAAGGGTGCGAGCCGCGAGCATTGACGATGTGCTCGAAATCGGAACGTTTTCTTGCTATTGAACTGATCTCTTCCTGGCGCAGGTTAGCATACTCTCAAAGACTAAACTGGCTACCAACCCTCGAAAAGATCTGCTTCCGCTCGAGCTCATTGAGCTCCGCGGCGGACTGCTCGAGAAAAAAGCGCGCCTTGTCGCTTGGGCCCGACATTTGCGTGTTGCGTGAAAATGAGTTGTGTCGCAAAAGATTTTGGATGCAAGAAAAGTTGTCGCGTAAAGCTGCCCGCCTCGCTGCCCGCCTCGGCTCAATCCGCCTGCCGCATCCTAGCGAACGTCACGTAAACACTTCAGGGGACCTTGCCGTCTTACGCGTGGAGGAGCTCACGACACTCATTCTGTCTTTCTTTCGATATAGCCGGGACGTCTTTGAGAGTCTCACATTGCACCAGGCATGCCACCGAAACCCAGAGACACCGACATTGTCGCGAGTGTAAGCAGTTCACAGTCTTGGAGCTCAAGTGCACCGATGCTCACAAGCTTACAGTTCAACGGGCAATGGATATCGTGGTTGCACACCATTGCAGCATACAGTAAGTCATGAGATGCTCCAATTGAAAGCTCCAAGCTAAAAAATTGGCAAGCTGCGTTCGTAGGCGCACTCGTCGTCGGCCTGTACGCATCCGCGAACCTCCCACACGCAAGCCTCCCTAAGCTTTGACAGGTCCCTCCATTACCACAAAATCGTACAGAATGAATTCTACGTCAGTGTCATCGCGCCGTATACTCTGCACAAATACCAACGGGTACATAGGGTTATCCACAAGAATGGTTTCCATCCGTTTCGTCAACTATTGGAGACCGCTACCCAGAACGATCGGTTTTCCAACTTTTCATTGCCTTGACTTCAGGTAAGGATATATCGAACTCTGGACCTGGAGCCACTATACTGAAGACACACAGGTCCGCGATTCGCCCTCGTAGGGCTGTGGTATGTTCTCACGCGCCGACCGAACTCGACCCTCCCGAAATTCATACTCGGAGTCGGCATCTTCCGGACTTTGACATGCGGAGGATGGACATACATCACGTCGACCGATGATCATGACTGGCACGATGTCTTCATGATCTCATACCTGGTCTCTACCATTCCGTGGACGTTCGGTGTGATTGCGCTTAGCCCCAAGAACCCGGTATCCGTCCAATACCGCAAGTACTTCTCCGGTACTTTCTACGCCACTATACTACCTCTCATTTACTTCTTCATTCAGCACAAGGTGCACCACGTAGCTGGAGGTATGACCAATGATCCTTGACTATGTGAGACTGATCTAACAACTGTAGCCTACACGATATATTCTTTCTTCGAGTGGGCGCTCGTGCTCCTCGATGTCGGGTTTGACGCTGTTACTGTGATTGAGTTCCAGAACTTCGAGGTTCAAGTCAGAGATCTGAAAGGCATTAGCCGCGGGTATGTCCGTCCGCTCCCCGAGTAAATAGTCGTTATCAATGCAATATTCTGTGATCAAGTTCTGATCCGATCTGTACTCTAGTGCTGGCAACAAAGCCATCGGCGACGCTGTCCTCGAGAAGGAGTACGTCCTCAAGCCGTCACAATTCAATGAAAACCCTGACACAACGGCAGGAACAATAGAGAGGCTCGTGCGGTCTTTGACAACCGCTTTTCCTGGTTTGCCCTGTTCGATGCTGCAGCCGATGTGTACACCGGGGTAATAATCCTCAGCAGCAATACACATTTGCTAAGCTAACATATACAGTTCGTTTTCTGGTCCATGCTCACTTCTCTTGGACTATGCGTGTGGTGTAAGTGCCTCAGAGCGTTGTGAAAGGCAATTTCTAATACTCCGAAGACTTCCCGCTGTGGCACATGGGCATCTCTGGGTACGAGGTCTTGGTAATGTGCACAGTTTCTCCCTTCCTCCTGGGTATCAGGCCTTTGCGCTACATTTTCACCCGACATGTGCGCATCTGCCACTTACTCTCACTCTCAGGCCTTCTTGCCTATCTCATCAAAGACCCTGCGAATCGCCTCTTTGCAGTCGGCTTCGGTGTTTGGATGTCTTGTCTATCATGGGCTGCTACCTTCTACGGAGAGAGGTCTCAACCGCATCGTCTTGAGGCACGCATTACCGCTTTTGCTTCAGGCTTGATCCTGTCCAGTCTCGCCAAATTCGCATTCCATACTAACAATCCCATCTGGCCTGTCATGCATGGACCGAACGGCGGTTGGAACAAGGTCGGTTTGGCTCTGGCTATCGTAGCAGTGATTAGGTCTACCCGTTCTACTGCAAGCTCTGGCGCTGACCTTCAGGCTCCTGGTCCTACCAAGGGCTCTGCAACATTGACAGCATTTGGTCTTGCCGGCCTCTTCTTCAGCATGCACTCCCTCCTTTCTGACTCTAGCACTATGATTCTCTGGGTCTGGGAAGGCTATCCTGTCCGTGGTCCGCTTGCAGTGCCCCACGGCGCCTGGACTCTACTCGCCATGGGCTTTGGTCTCATCATCGGCCTCTTCACACCAGCTCTCGCGCGTTCGTGGGTCTTCTATGGCATCGGTTCGGTCGGTGCTGCCATCCTAACCACCTCCAAGCATTGGACCGGCTACTACGGTGCACTCTCCCTCACGGTCTATACCATGGCCGCAGTGCCCGTCCTGATAGGCCACGCAGCACGCCACTCTCCTGCAAAGACCTTCGGTATCGGCTTCCTCGTCTACAATTTACTCGTTCTAGCACACGTTTGGATCGTCGCCTATGCCTTCGTCCCCGGCGGACCCCTCATGCGCGAACACACCGACTGGGTTATGACCGCGATGATGCTCTGCATCGGCGCCGGCGTCTTCAGCGCCTCCGCCCAGCCTTCCCCCCCTAAGGCGAAGGGTAAGCCCACGGCGCCTAATCCCGCAGCCCGAACGCAACGCGCATACTATCTCTACGTTCTCCTTTTCCTTGAGTTGCTCGCTATCTCCGTGGCGTACCTGCGCTTCCCAAGCTACAACTACACGTCCTACCACCCGGAAACGAAGAGCATTACAGCCGGTATCTGGACCATCCACTTCAGCCTCGACAATGACATGTGGAGCTCGGAGCGCCGCATGCGCGACGTGATTCAGGAGCTCGAAATCGACGTCATGGGCCTTCTGGAAAGCGATCTCCAGCGCATTATCATGGGTAACCGCGACACGACGCAGTTCCTCGCCGAGGACCTGGGCATGTACGTTGATTTCGGACCCGGACCGAACAAGCACACCTGGGGTTCCGCCCTCTTGTCCAAGTTCCCAATCGTGAACTCCACGCACCACCTCCTCCCCTCGCCGGTCGGCGAACTCGCGCCCGCGATCGAAGCCACCATCGATGCGTATGGCGAACTCATCGACATCTTCGTGTTCCACTCGGGCCAAGAAGAGGATCCTGAGGATAGGAGGCTACAGAGCTTGTATCTCGCCGAGCGCATGAAGGCTACGCCGCGTCCGGCGATTCTACTATCCTACCTTGTTACGAAGCCGCTGCAGGGGAATTACAACACCTATGTGGGTGAGAAGAGTGACATGAAGGATATCGATCCTAGCGATTGGGATAGGTGGTGTGAGTACATCCTATACAAGGGCCTGAGGAGGACGGGGTATGCGAGGGTGAGCAGGAGCACGATTACGGATACGGAGATTCAGGTAAGTCACTCCTTCTTGACAGTATAGTGAAACGGTGTGCTGACTTGGGATAGGTTGGCAAGTTTGTTGTAGGACAGCCGGAGGGATCCAACGATATCATTCCTGAGGACCAGGTTCCGCAGGGACTTAGGTTTCCGGCATTGTTCAGGGGTCAGGGTGTGAGGGGCCACCGGTATCATGTTTTCGATGAGCCGAGGTACTACGCGTAAGGCAGTGAAGGGCGTATAGATAGGTCATGGTGGAATGCTAAAGGGGTGTAGGGTTGGGTCGCAGGGGACTTGGCCTGTTTTTCTTGTACATGTACGCTTTCGAGAGGATGTCTACGCTTTGTGTGTAGTAACCTGCTGCAGCCGCAATCGATTCCGTGCCGTGATGAGGCATTGGAGTGCTGATGTGTCGTACATTGTGGTGCCCCAGGGTATGTAATTGCCGGGTGGGTTGGCCGTTAGTCAGAAGGCTAGGCAACAATCAGAATCGCACGAGAAGCACGAGTACGAGTGCGGCGTCCACTGGTCTGGGCGTATGCCGTTGTAATATGCAATACATATCATGTCTTTTCTGTACAGAAATCCTTCGCGTATTAAAAGCGCATTAAGGCTGTATGCATCCCACTACCTGTAGCAGAAGTACCCATTTGGCCCTCACTCCTTCCGTTCCTCAGGCGGCGGCAACACAACAACATACTCCCTCTCACTCCCTGCAAACTTCAGGATATCCTTATCCCTTAGCTCAAAGTACCTTGAAGTCTCCACCCTCTCCCCATTGAGCTCTGTCCCATTGCTCGACTCTAGATCGATCACATACGGCTTGACCTTCCCCTTCGTCTTCTTCACCCCATACTCATCCTGCACGGTCTTCGTCACATACCGGAATTGGATCACAGCATGCTGCCCACTGCTGCTCGGATGCTCAAGCACATAATCCACGACCTTCACCTCCCTGCCAAGCAACCAGCAGCTCTTGACACCCAGCTCGATCGTATCGACCACGTCCTCTCCCTTGAACACAATCACTTTCCAAGCTTGTGAAGAAGGCGGTTTCCGCGCTTCAGGCGGCTCGTGGTATTTCAGTGATATCTTTGTGCCTTCGACTTTGTTTGCGGCTTTGGCGAGGAGGCCTGTGGGTTTGAAGTTGGGTTTTTCAAGGTTGGGGGGTGCGCCGCCATATTTGGTTGGGGGCAGGGCGCTGTTGTCAGAGCCGCGGAAGGAGACTTCTTGATCGGGGAGGGGCGGTTGGAGCGGGGTGGGGAGAGGGAGTGCGCGAGGGGAAGGTGTGCGTTTGCGGCGGCGTTTGGGCGGCGGTGAAGAGGACGGAGAACTGCGCTTGGCGGCGCGGTTGGAGCGAGGGGAGCGTGAGCGGCGGTCCTTTGAACGGTCGCGATGTCTTTGTTGGTCTCTATTTCTATCTCGAGAGTGCGGACGATCACGATAGCGGTCCCTTGAGCGCTCACGTTTCGTCTCGTGGCCTCTTGATCTCTTCCTCTCTCGGGATCCGTCGCGCTTGCGCTCGCCGGACCTTTCACGATGTTTTTCCCTGTGTAGATCTCTTGAACGGTCTCTACCCTTTGATTTGTCCCGGCCTCGTGATCGATCGCGGTCCTTCGTCCTGTCCCGGTCTCTAGAGCGATGTCTATCCCTCCTGTTGTGCCTGTCCTTCGAACGATCCCTGTGCCTCGATCGATGCCTCTCCCTCTCTCTCGAAGCTTCGCGCGGTTTCCTGTATGGCTCTGGAGATGCCTCACGTTGGCGTGCGGCTAGTTCAGGTTCAATGGATGGGTCCTTCGACTTCGCCTTCTGCGATCGGTCCTCTGGTGAGCCGTCCCTCACACTTCTTGGGGGCGATGGCTTGCTCTTCTCCCTCACTCCGCTACTCCCGTCTGATGGCGGCGACAGTCTTCCGCCCCGTCCCCGCCCTTTTTGTTGCATTGGTGATTGGTCGTGACCATTCTGCCTCCGCTCAGGTGGTGGGCCGCGCGTGTCCCATGGCCGACTCTTATGCTCCGCAGGCGCAGACTGGCTGCCTTGTCCCTGCTGCAGCTTCTGCGTAAGCGCAACGCGGGCGCTATATGGTGAGAGCTCACGTTCAGGCATGTCTTGAGCTCATAGACCTGTCTGGATGCGGCACCCTGCGTCGATGGGGGCGCGGTTTCGGATGGAGGATTGCGGCGTATAGGGCGTGGTCAGCGGCGCACAAACTGAGGTGCGTCGACTAAGCGCGGAGAGTACCAGGGAGGTGGTGCTGCCGCATAACGGTGTTGAGGGCAATTGTGAAGACGCACGTTGGTCACGTTGTTTGCATCGAATCAATATTCGCGACAAATGACGCTCGCCGCGTCGCGCACAGACCGCTGCACAATTCACCCACGGCGCTTGGGTACACGACATGCCACCCACAACGCACCACAGAGGTGTGCATGCAGTTGCACGGCACATGGCGGCCCAAGTTTCGTAGTCGATCATCAGCGAGCCGAAACCGTTCGAGGCGCTGTTTCGCGCCTCGGGGGGAAAAGCTGGAGCGCCGTCTTACTGTGCATAGGATGGGGCCAAAAGCGTCTCTCGGTCCTAATGGGGATATGCTGTACATAGCCGCCAAAGCTGGTCGCCGCAATGTGGTGGCTGCGCAGGATGCATCCTCAAGAAAACCATACATTTCCAAGGCTCTCGCGCGCATTGCGATTCTGCTACTTTCCTCTCCTCGCCCTCAATCGCGTTTTCACTCTTGTCGTTCCTTTTTTGCGCTACCCTACACCGTCGGCGCCGTCTAATCTAATGTCTACTACGGCCCCCATACAAATCGCATAGGCTTAACGCCAACAATGTCCATGGCACCCACGTCGAGATCCAAATTCTTCTCATGGGGATCCAAGAGCGGCCGGCAGCAACCGAACCAGGAAATCTACTATCGCACAGGAGGCCTCCTACAGATCGATACGACCATTGGGAACGAAGACCAATTCGTGCAATGCGTAGACGTAGGCAACACCAAGGTAAGTGCCACCGCGATAGGCGATGCGCTGTCAATGCCTTTAGTCGCGTCGTTTCGTTGGTTTACCACCATCGACGTGTCACCCTACAGGGGCTGGACGTCCTGCATTCGCGTGTGGACAACTCCCATTGGCTTGCAGCTCAAACTTACAACTGCACAGGATACAATATGGCGTCGAAATCTAAAGAACCTTTCCATCATTCCGCCAAACTATATCACCGGTCAGAGTCCCAACTCAGCGATCCAGCATGACGTCCTGGTCAAATCAGCACCTAATCTACTCGCCGTCTTCAGTGACACTACTTTTCCTGCTACTTCAGGACTGAGCCCTACTACGTGCATCAAATCTAAATACTCTGTTCCGCCATCGCCAGCGCTACCAGCAGAGCTCCCAGGGTCCACCCCGCTTGACATTCAGGTTTATTCGGCTCCAGCAACTCCACCACCTGAACCTCATGCAGAGTCGATCCCCAGCAGTGCAGTGACTAGCGTCCGCAGCATGTTTTCCCTGAGCTCGGGCAACGCTAAGACTGGCCCATCAAAGGTGCCGCAACATCGGAAAAGTGCAAATGACTTGCAAAAACGATCAAAGGCGCGACCTAGTTTGATTGCTTCACCGTCCTCCACCGATAGTAAAATCACAACGTTGTCTACTTCATCTAGTGACAACGCGAGTAGCGCTAATTCAACGAAGACACGCATAGGGCCTGATACGATAGTAGAAGGGAAGCAGTGGCACACTGTGGAAGAGGTCACCATACAAGTGAGTGTCTTCCACTTCATTCTATGGTCGTCGAGGAGGTCGATGCACTGTTCGCCGTGTGCGGAGGGAAGGCACATCTCTCATCGAGAACGCCTTCCGTTGCTGTACACACAGGCGCAACTGTCACCTCACGTTTCATGTTCGACCACGGGCAGCAATGTTGACAATTTTCAGCCTACCGCAAGCAAACAATCATCAACGACGCGAACTAAACAATTAGATGAACTCAAGGCAACAGTCACAGCGCAAGATCAGACAATCTCAACATTACAGTCGCAATTCGCTAGTTTGCGGGCGTCCCACGAAGCTCATGTCAATAGCCTGGTCAGTCCTTTTTTTCGCATGTACGCTCATTCGCATACTCATGCTTTACAGGTCAATGCGCACTCTGCAGAAGTCTCAGCGCTGAGAGACTACACAAAGTCGCTTGAAAGCCAACAGAAAAGCCTCCATCATGCATCTAGTAATCATTTGTTGTTCATGCTCGATACTACGGATAACCCGCTGTCGCCGAAGCGAGAAAGTCCATTCTCTTCTGCCGGTAGCACACCTGCTAGCTCGATCCGGTCAATCAAGCCATCACAAGAAAACCCACGCTCGCCCCTCCGATCGCGAAACAATGCCGAGATGGAGAATCTCAAGAAGAAGCTTAGCATGGCAAGGAAGCCCGATACTGGCAATGGAGATGCGGTGCGCGAGCTGAGTCTGTACAAGCAGAATAACGAAGCCCTCCAAAAACAACTTGAATCGCTCATGAAGAAGCTCAATCAGTCTGAAGAAGAAGGGCGAAAGCAGAGGCGTACGCTTGAAGAAACTCAGAAGGCTTGCAACGAGTGGCAAGAGAAGGCAAGCAAGGCTGAAGAGTTGAAGAAAAGCACTATGGCATTGCAAAATACGATTGACCATCTCGAGTATCGACTGGAGCTGGCTAATGTTGATAAGGTGGATGCGGAGGAGCAACTGCTCAATTTGCGATCGCACAGGATTCCCTTTGATCCAAAGTCACCAAAGCTACAACTTCCAGATAACCGACAGAGCACCCGCACCAGCATGAGCACCGTGTTTGCCAACGAATCTCCAATTAGCCAAAGCGACCAAGAACCAACAACGCTGGCCGCCTTCATCTCCCATATTGAGCGACTGCAAGAGCAGGTCCGCGTGAAAGACATGCAAATCGCCGAACTCGATGCTGACAACAACCAACTAACCGTAAAATACAATAAGATGCGGAGCGACGCACGAGGGTTGGTTCTTCAGTCCGACATTCATGATCAGCTTCTCCAGAAGGCCAAGCAGAATGAAATTCACATCGAGGAGCTGCGTAGCGCTATCATCACACGTGAGGCTATGATTGGCGAGAAGAGCAAGGTACTACAACAAACCGAACGACAATTGAGTCATCACAAACTTCTCCTGGAAGCCGAGATTCGACGTCATGCAAATCTATTGCTCCTTGCAGATGCCGAAGGCAACCCACTACCTGAGCTCACATCTCTGGCTTCCAAGGACGACATCGACCGCTGGATCGAACGACTCCAAAAGCAGCTGAATAAGGACAAAGCGGAAAAGATTGGCAGCAAAGCTGGCGATGAAAGCACGATTGAAGCTCTTCGCCGAGAGAACGACTTCTACATAAGGGAGATAATATACTATAAGCTTGATTGCAGGGGCTACAAGTCGGATATCAAGAAGCTCAAAAAAGATCGCTGCGCAGATGGGAGGTCACGATAGCCGACCAGGCGACATGGAGTCTCCGGACCTTTCGGTCTCAAAGTCTGCTGAGACTCCTGCGCCTACTCAGCTTCTATCCATTCCGTCAAATCTTGGGGCTTCCACATTGCCATCCCCTGTTTCCACCGGTCCCATCTCTCTTTCAATCCCATTGACTCAGCGTATGACGCCCCCGCCTTCCGAGCTTACTCCCGCCCCATCTCCAACCGACAAGATCAAGCGAACGATAAAACGCGTTCCTTTGCCGCTTGACTTCAACATGCCATTGACCCCGCGCACTCCGCCTATGAGAGCTGTCAACTTAGCAGACGAGGCTGACAATATCAACCCTGGAATTTCACCTCGATCGGTAACACTGCTGTCTCCAGAGCGTCGGAAGCCTACTGTATGGGACACAGCCCTGCCCTGACACCCTAGTAAGTGTAGCATACTAACCATCTCTAGCCTCCCTCTCCAGACCAAGAGTTTTTCGGAGAAATGGCAACGAATTTTCCTCTAAGCACGCCTGCTGCTCCCACAATACACGCTCGTCGCAGCATGAGCGATTCGATGATACACTTTCCCCTGCAATCATCACAACCAAGCTCATCTTCGAAGGTTGAGGTCGGCATCATACCCATTGGCACACGGGAACGCTCGGGATCTGCCCCCGAGGTTCCAAAGGGCAAGAATATCCCAGAACGACCGCCTCGGCCACGCTTCGGTCTCTTTGACACAGACATAGACAACGCCACACCCCTCAGGCTTCAAACACCTCTACGCGTGAACGTCTTAGCAGAAGCCATGCGCAACTCTCCTGATCAGATGAAGTCAACGCGACATCCTATCACACGGAAACCGTTGGCTCCGCCAGGGACTCGCCTCTCCTGTGTTGTCGACAATTGAGCGCGAGAAGCACCTCAGCAATACGAGTACAGACTCGGCCATTCCTGCACCGTTGCAATTCCGATCGCGTGAAGACTCTACAAGCTCCAGTGCCGTTATCACCTCACCACCCTCACGGCGACCAAGCACTGCATCAAACTCCAACATTCCATTCGTCATCGCTATGGGTTCGCCCCATAATCCAGCTCTCATACCATCAAACACCTCAGTATCACCCACGACATGCTCGATCACAGCCAAGCGAAACGTGGTTTCGCCTACTTTGAGGACTGGCGTTGGTGGCACCATGGCATCAACGACACCCGTCACATCTCCTACATCACCCTCCAATGCTTCTAAACAGGCCTATTTCGGCAGCGTCCTTTCTTCTTCCAAAAGCCACTACACGAACATCAAGTCTGCGTCCGCACCGCCAACCCGCAACACCAGTCTCTCCTCAAGCTTCGCCGCACCAACCGCCGCATCCCGCTCTAGAACCATGACATCGGGCCACGCACGCAACCTTAGCGCAAGCTCCATTCGCGCGCGGATCGACTTCATAAAAGGGAAGGGCAAGTCGCGAAAGGAAAGCATCGGACGTCCAAACCCGTTAGCGAGTCCCTTCGATCCCGAGCACACGACGCCGAGTAAGAACACCGGAAAATCCGTTTAACACTCAATACTCTCATTACTGTTACTTTAGTACTCCTTGCCATGTATTTGGCTCTTCTTGTTTATCTGTTTTCACTTTGTTATGACTTTACGAATAACGAATTTCAATTCTCCGCGGGGATACAGGGCGGCCGGATACATGGTCGGCGGAGCACAAGGGCATGTATGGACTGGATTCGGGATTCAGGAAAGGCATTTGGATGATGTAAAGCTTATACATTGCCCGGGCGGGCTGTTCCATTTGGTAGCGTGCATGTTTGTATCTCTTTCGTGTGTTGTTATATTCGATGACGGTCCAATGTAGATAGTACCGTCCATCGCGACTAGGCGAACGAAGTATAGATAGAGGTTAAAACAGATGTTGAGAGGAGAGAAATGTGTTTGTGTTCTACTAATGTAACCGTCATTCCAGATAATGGACATGCGCATTGGTGACCTCTTCTAGATTAGCCAGAAGCTTGCTAATTAATAGAGGTTTGACGGATCGAATGCTACATCGCATGTCCCAGGGTTATTCAGGCTACATTGTATGATAAGTCCTCAAGACTTGATAAGAAATGCGGTCGACTTTCGCATTTACTTGCAGGATATGCGGGGGGTTTGCTTCGGCGAATGGGCGCTCTATGAATAGCCATTCGCAGTGTTTGCGAGCAACTTCACATGCAATAGATGCAAGTGGAACTGCCTCCGCAATGCGTCTTATCAATCAATGACCGTCAGCAACCGAAATCGCAACGAGCACTCTGACGACATGCGTTCAACGCTCCACCCCTGGTGCGCACGGGCCTACAACAACACGCGAGGCAGGCGCGTTTCGTTGTCACTGCAGGCAGGGGTACGAGTATCGCAGCGCTCACCAGCTTCCCAAGCCCCAGCACGCCTCTAATCATGCTGATGGCCACGTCCCGGAGGACTCAACACACACGCGACGACACTCAACCTAACGCGCCACCCGCCCGCTATGGCGTCCGTAAACGACGATGCGGCCCTGTCGACGGCTGATGCGCCGCAAACACATTCGCTAGAACCGAAACCCTCTCTATTTGTACTCCAATCCGCACACGAGAAGGGCCTGACGTATGATATATCCGACGCTGAAGATGTGCGATCGTTCGATACCCCCGACGCCGACCTGCCTCCACTACCTGCCGACGATGAAGACAGCTTCCTCCAGCCCGACAACGTTGGAGTCAGCCAGATCCAAGGCGACGATAGCGCAATCATGGAGCGCCGACTTATGGACATGGAGTCCAGCTTTCTCATTGAGCCCGAAGCATCAATCACCGCAGACGCTCCAACTCGCGCAGCAGCTGGCGCGGACGACACTTACCTGTTTGGTGGCTCTCCTGGGCACTCGCGACCAACGTCCAAAGCAGGCGAAGTCGAGAAGAAGGCGGAACCACCGACTCCATTCCACGACTCTCACGAGGGCGACTCATCCATCCTATCAAACGAGCCACCAACGCCTGCAGGCGCTTACAAGACACCAGCAGTACGACGGTCGGATATCACCGACGACTCAATAGACTCTGGCATCTCCACATCCGACGTTATGCCTTCGTCGCCGTCTGCTGACGCTGCAAGGCGACGCAATAAGTCATCGGAAAGGACAAACGAGGAACAATCCGAGCAAGATATTTCGGTCTTACCCGAATTGCCCGAATTGCGACCCCCAAGAGAACACGACGATGCCCACCGACCAACTTCGAGTGCCTCTACGGTGAAGGCACCACCGGACTTTACCGCTACCACTGGTGAAGATGAAGATTCTTCATTCACGGAAGACCATGAATTCAGTATGGAGAACGTGCAGTCGTCTATATCGCAAGCCCCGACCACTGCTTTGAAAGTCGGAAAGCGGCCGAGCTTCTTGTCAACACGCACTTCTAGCCAGCGATCATCGCTGTCTTCCCTAACCAATCTTTCCAACATTTCTGGGGACAATGGTAGTACCGTCAGTCTCGGGGCAGACTATGCTCTACAATCAGGCGGCTCAGCACCACGCTCTTCCGGCCCGCGCAACATCGAACTTTCAAGATTACCAAGTCTTGGGAGTATTGCATCTTCAATGTCTGGGTATAGTGACACCAACCCCTGGGATAAGATGCGAAGCATCAGTTCAAATTCCCTCTCTGGACTTCTACACCAGGACACCAGCTTAGGACCATTGGAGGAAGAGGCGCCTGGTTCCACAACCCCTCCAGAGACCCCACGTGCTCCAAACGTAAAGATAGTTCCTCCTACCGATACGGTCATCGCTAGGCATGTTCAAGGCATCCAAGTCCCGGATACTGTCGCGCGCGAATTTCGACAAAAACATGGCGATTCGCCGAAAAAACGACACATGGCGACTCCTTACACTCGAAACAAGCATAATTTGACACTCAAAGAACAAAACAGTAAGATTGACAAGTTGAGCAAAGAGAATTTCGACCTCAAGCTCAAGATTCATTTCCTTGACCAGGCGCTCCAAAACAGGTCCGATGAGAATGTGCAGGAAACGATCAATAAGAACGTACAGCTGCAAACGGACCTTGCGAATGAGAAGAAAGAAAATCAGTCACTGCGCAAGAGACTCCGCGATCTGGAGAGGAGACTGAAAGCACATGATGATGGGGTGACGACCAAAGAGCCAACTAGTGGGGATGAGGAGGATAGGAGTGACGGCGATCTGTCAAGATCTGCGCTCGAAGAAGAAATTGAGTTCCTGCGAGAGCGCCTGGAGACAACAGAAACGACTATAGAACAATGGAGAGAAGAAGCGTTGCAAAAGGAGGCCGACAACAGACGCATGGCCGACTACATCAGAACCATGAACGAAAAGGGTGCCTCGGATGATTCGGCCGGTGTCACCGAGGCCATGAACATGTGGAAGGAAGATTTCGAAAACGAACGAGCGCGGCGCGAGCAAGCGGAAAGTCGATACGCGCAGGCAGAAGCTGAGCGCGATCAGCTTTTGAAAGAAGTGCAGCGCCTCCGTGAAGACCAATTTCCGCAACAACAGCAACACTCTACGACCAACAACCACATCAGACACGTGTATAGCAATCGACACCTACGTACAACAATAACCACCCGCTCGAATGCCGGATCAGATGTCAACGAACAACAGGCTATTTCCTCTATGGGTGGCAGTAGCGGTACGTTGGTGGAGCATTTACAGGTTGACAACGAGAAGCTACAGCGTGACCTTCACGCTCAAGCATCGATGCTCACTTCTCGTAACCGGGAAAACCAGAGATTACGAGAGGAGAACGAAGGTCTCAAACTCACCATTCGAAGAGGCGACGTTCATTCCATTGCGGGCGACAGCATTCTAGAACGCTCAATTTCCCGCAATCATCAACGGTCTGTTTCACGAGGTAGTAGAGACACGCGTGTTACTCAAATTAGCGACCCTGCACGTGATCAAGAACGCGACGACCTTGAAGCCAAATGCGCGTCTCTCCGCGATGAACTTTCCCAGACGAAGCTTCAGTACAAAGAGCTTGATGACCAGCTTATCGGACATCTTGACCTTCTCGAGCAGACCGAAGTCAAGGTGCAAGAACTCCAAAGAGAGCTCGATGCTTCTACTGAAGACTTGCAAGCGCTGTCGAACGAACGAGATGAGATTCTTCAAGGTCTAGAAGAGAAGGAACAGGAATGTGAAGACGTCAGGCAACAGGCGCTATCGACAATCCAAAGGCTCGAAGCAGAGATCGAGCAAAAGGAGCAAGAGTGCAATCGTCTCCTTATCGAGCTTGAGAACATCACCGAAGATTTCAATGCATTGCAGCAGGAGATGAAGAGTGTCAGTGAGAGTCTAGTGCAACTTGAGGACGACCGGGACGCCAGCATGCGCAAGATTCAGCAGCTGGAGTCTGAGCTTGAAGACGCGAATCAGGAGCTGGTCAGGCAAGACAAACTTCTTGCGGACGAGAAAGCCAAAAATGAGAAGCTCGACATACAGCTTGAATCCTGTCAAGGCGAGATTGATTTCCTTCGCGAAGAACAGGAGGGCGATAAGATCAAGATTGGCGAGCTTGAATCGATGCTCAACGCAGCACAGATCACGAATCAAGATGAGAAGGAACGATATCGTGAATTGGAAGAGCACATCGCCGAAGAAAGACGTCAACGTGAGGTCTTGGAGACTCAAGAGAAACAAGAGGTTGACAAGGTCGTTACCGAATTGAACACACAGCTAGCGAAGCTGAAGGACGAGAACAGAAAACTTCGCAAGAGTCTTTCGGGTAAAGAAGTCGAAGCAGCTCAATGGAAGCAGCGGCTAGACGAGCTTGAGGGCAATCTCCGCGATGCCCTAGGTAACCTCAACGGTACCAGGGCTAGCTTGTTGAAGGTAAGTGTCGCCTCCATAACGGCTCGGTTCAATTCTAACAGCGAGGTGCAGGACGTCCAGAAACTACAGCGTGACTTTGAAGCCACTCAGCAAGAATTGGATAATTCAAGGCAAGATCTCGCAGAAAAAGACAGGCTTCTTCGCAACCGGGATGCGCTACTGGAAAGCACCGGCCTGGAAAGTCGCCGCTTGTCTGATATGCTCGAGAAGGAGCGACAAGCCCGCCGACAGGACCAGACCTCTTTCGAGAACGCCAAACGCGGGCATCAGTCCGTTACTAGGAGCATTCAACAACACGAGACGAGGGTGCTAGAACTTGAGACGCTCCGTAGCCAGGACCGACAGAAACTACACAACTTGGAGAAGAAGTATCGCGACGAGCTTCTGGAGCGGAACAACTTGCTTTACGCTCTCTGGAATCGCCTTTCAACTCTGTGTGGTGGGGAGTGGGCGCGCAACCACAGCCTCGTTAATGGCGAGTTGCCGTCCATGGAGGTCATATCCAAAAACATCCAAGGATTCAACAAGAACATTATTCTCGCAGTAAAGTACGTCGAAGGCATCATCGGCGGCTTCCGCCAGCGAATACGCAGCCTAGAGAAGGATCTTATTCGCGACTACCAAACACTCGAGCATACCCTCGATGTTAGGATAAAACGTCTCGACCAGGTCGAAAAGCTAGTACGCGCACAACGGGACTCCATCGGCCGACCGAGCACCGTCCGCGGCGGCATTGTCGAACTCAACACGCAGGAGCTTAACAAGCTCCGGCAGGAGAACAAGACCCTCCGTACAGAGGTGCAGACCCTCCGCGCCATTCAGGTGACAACCCAAGTCTCACCAGGAGGCTCCCGCGCCGGCTCCCCCAGCTCCAAGCGCGCCAGTGTGGCAGCAACGCTACTTCGCCACCACTCCACATCCGCCGTCGAAGGCATTCAAACCCAGTCGCCAGATCATCCGTATCCGCAAGCCGGGCCTCTGCAACACAATGAGCAGAAATGGATTCACAGGCTTAAGGAGCTGGAGCGGCGACTGAAGGCTGAGCGTGAGGCGAGGCTGTTGGATCGCAGCGGTGCGAGGAAAAGACTCGAGCAGAAGGTCGAGGAGAACGCTGAATTGCGGGGTATGCTTGAGAGGGAGCGCGAGCGAAGTGGGAGCATTGTTCAGTCTGTGGCGGGTAGCCTGGCGGGCAGCCGGAGCGCCAGTCAGAGTAACTTGGGGCATGGAGAGGATGTGTATTAGTATTGCATTGTCTGGGGTGTTCTTGGCGTTTTGTGTGGTTGTGGTTATGAGGCGCGTCGTTCTTGGTATGTGTTATGTATGATCAGCTGGATGGAGCAGGAATCACTGGAGCAGGACCGGCGTCTTCAGTATGTTGTAGGGTATTGGAGACGGAGTGCACGGAGAATGCCACGTATGGTGTGCTAGGGTCAATGATGGAATCTTCATGATGCAGCGCGTGCATGGGCATACGGTGTTGCGTCACAACGTCAAAGAAGATGATGATTTGGTATGGTATGTGCAAACTACTCCCTTCCTGGTATAATTTTGCTCTGTTGCAGCATAAGATTCAAGAGCCTTCATGCGAGCACTACTTAGCCGCGGCAATTACTGTATCTCGACACCTTGATACCACGCGTGTTTAGCGGTATAGGATGCGGCTACCTAATTGTCGCACTTAACCTCGATTTCTCATCCAGTCAGCCATTCTTTCACTTGCAAGTCAACTACCCCTAGCGCCACTCTCACCGACACCTCCAACCTTCAGCACCTCGCGATGGATCGCCCGGTTCACGCAGCCACTTCCTTCGATAATTTACACATTACCCTAGCACCACGGCGACTTCAAACAGCCAACTAGGCATCGGGCATCCCTCCTATACAGGCACAAGCGATTCCATACGGAACGTTGGGCTATCGCCACCACATCATCTTTTCATGAGACTACCATCTTGGAGAAAGATCACATATACCTTATATCACTCACTCGAAACCGTCTTTTTACTTCCTTTACCTACGGCTTCTTTGTGCCTTCTTCTTCTGGTGTCTAGGTGTCACGCGCATCGACCAATTCGAAGGCCACAGGCCTGTCCTCTTACTAAACACCCTCAGATCGGAAGCGATCCTCTCGCGACACTGTAAGTCGCTTTGGCTTCGAGTGTCCCCCTTTGCGTGTCACGGTGTAAGAGACGCGTCGCTGTGCACGATATAGACTGTACGATCGTCAGTAGAATTCTAATTCAAGCTCTAATATGTCGCCATCTTCTCATAGCAGACATCGATCCAGCTCCACTCGGAGATCGACACGTCGTGGTCCATCGTCTTCATCTGTATCTCACGGCAATCAACAACGACTTTCCCTCCACTTATTATCGACGCCGCTTTGGGGCCCTGCACTTTGGAACAATCTCCTCGCTGCTAGACCGCAAGGGCACAGAGAGCGACCTGCTACGCCGCGGAGCCTTCGCAATAGAACGCCAGCTTGCTCCAGCGAGGGCTCTGGCTCAAGCAGCGAGGAAGAGCGCAGCAGTATCACGGTGAGCAAGACTCAGACAAGGCGGCCGAACACGCCGGAAAGACGCCAGCACGGATCTATTACTTTTGGTGAAGGAAACGAGAAGATGCTGAAAATTGCACAGGCTAAGGCCCCTCCGGTAAGTAAGAAGCAAGGTACAACGCAGTCACAGAGCTCAACTAAGAAGAAGAAGTCTGTCAGACCCGTCGTTCCGCACAAGAGGAGCACGCCGCAACATAGAGGAGAAGAATCTAAAGAGCGCCCTTCTAAGGTACAGAAGACTAATCAAAGTGGTGCCAAGCCTATTACGTCGAAGGGGGGATCATCTCTAGCGCCAATATGCCTCGAGGACGAGGATGACGATACATTATCAAGACAACTTGAAACCGCGCCGAAGATCAAGAAAAACGAGGTAACAGAGGGGAAGAGCTTCTTTCAAGGACTTGGTGTACGAAATTCGCGTAGTACTTGGTCATTCGCGGGGAACTCTAATCAGGGTACGGTGAACACTAGCGAAGACGCAGACCTAATACCGTCACCCATGACTCCCGGCGAGCAAGCTACCAGATCGGCGTCTAAGAACTTCAGTCAATATCAAAAGAGCATAGCGGGCTCAGATCCATATGCTAAGCGAGTAGCACAATTGGAGAGTGAGCTGGCAACATGCAAACGAGACTACGAGGCTAGGATCGAGACTATGAAACTCGAGAACGATGCCAAGGTGCGACGAATGCAACAAGACCATGTCTCTATGATGGCGGAATTGCGACGCGAGCATGAGGCCACAACGCAACAGACTATGCAGGACCGTGAGACTCAGATCAACAATATGCGACAGGACTACGAGACAAGATTGCATCAAAGTCAGCGTGAGCATGAGTCTCAAGCAGAAGCACAGAGCCAAGAAACCAAGACAACTCTTGATGATATCCAGCGCACGATTACGGAACAAGACGGCGAGAAGGTCCAACAAATCACCGTACTGCAAACGGAGAATCACTTGCTTAAAGATCGGCTCAAGGTAGAGAAGGCCGCTCATGAGCAACTGATAAAGGATCTCGACCAAAGAGAGGTGTTTGTGGATACGGAGGAGTCTGTTAAAGCCCTAGAAGCAAAGAACGCCACATTGAGTCAAGAGATCGAGACGTTGAAACGGCAAAGAGACCAGTATTCTCAAGAAGAGTCGCCTACTCCAACGCACTCCTCGTCTCTCCACGCCTCTGACGAGATGAAGACAACAAACGTCCGCAAAATGTTCCTCAAGATCAAAAGGAAACACGACACTCTCATTACGGTCAGCAAAAAGATTCACGATGTCACCATCAACATGGATTTGGCTGCTTGGGGTGAATTCGGCAAACACATCAAGGACTTGCGCAAAGCCATGGAGATCAATGGGGACGAGGACGGCGGTGCAAGTCAGAGCAATGAAGGAGACAGATAAAGTGCAGTAGGGGAATTCTGGGCTTCGTGGATACTTGGCAGTCTCATCATTATTGCAATTACGCCGCAGATGTACATCAATCGTTTCAGATACAAAGTCCGAATCGGTGGCAAGCACGCGGCGCGGCGTAGCTCGGATCAAGTCTGAGTTTCTCGAATCAAGGTTGATCTTAGTTGTTCTATTCTAGTTCCCTTCTCTTGCACTTCAGTTGACGACATGGATTGTCAAGGATTGAATGTTGACAGAATCCGGGGCACATTCTACCGTGGAAAGAAATTGGGCCGGATTCCATGCTCTACGCTTGGACTCGAAGATCTGACGTGCACTACAGGTTTTGAGCTAGGATCGAGAGGCAGATATAAATGATGCTAATCGGTCTAGGGTCGCAGAAAGTTGGTTCAGCGGTGGCCATTGGTGCGCTCTTCTGGGGGTAAGCTATTGCTCTGGCTAGACACCTCCCTCAGCATCAACAACCAATCCATGCCTTGGATGAGACCGGATTCTTAGTCGTTGTGAATACTCGTGAAGGGACAAATGAGGGGCGACGAAGCCCGTCTCGAATCTTGTACACAGCGACATCAGATAGGCGCAATCGAGTCTTTGGTCTGGAGATACATGCCAACAGTACTTTTCTCGGGAGAGAAGTGCTGTTCAGTACTACGTCGTGTCTGTCCGTCCAAGGTTGGTAGCGTCGGGCCCTTTTGTGGTGACGTCGCCAAACGTCATCACGTGAAGCCTGCACCACCGGGCAACGCAACTTCCGTCGTGCTGTGCATGTGTGTTGCCGGCTCTGCGGCCGAAAGCCTGTCACTGGCCGTGGCGCCATAACAAATCTGCAAGGCTGCGACATACCATGGTTGAGTTCTGGTTGAGCTTGCTGTCCGTCCTTTGTTCATGTTGCAGTCGACGCAGCCGGTGACCAACAGTGACGATGTTGTACTACCCACGGTACACACTGCGCGTAGATGCGCGTAGAATTGCGTGTATAAGATTGCTGCGTGCGTGCCGTCAAACAGTCCTGGAACCGAATCAAAACTTCGATACGTCAAGAACCTCTATCTGACTCTAAGAATGAGCTCACCCACCGATTCCTACAGCGCCCGCCGCCGCCCCTACGATGGCCCTGCCGATAACCCCACCTACGACAAGAGGGATCAAACTGGCCTCTTGACACGCTTCATCCCAGACAAGCTGAAGCACGGCCGCTTCTACCGCTGGTTTCTGCGCTTCACGCGCGTCCTCCAGTTCTTGTCCTCCGTCATCTCCCTCGGCATCTTCTCCCAGCGTCTCTACAAAGTGTACCGCCTAGTCAACTCGATCAAAACCCGACGCGGCGTCAACGGCGCTTTCGGCGCCGTCGAAGGCATTCTCGCCGCCGCCGTGCTATACACACTCATCTCCATGCTACTCGGCTGCATCAAGAAGAGCGCTAACCCCGGAGGTCGCGTGATGCGTTGGTTGTGGGTGCTGCTGGACGTCCTGTTCGTCGGAGCCTTTATTGCCGTGACTGTTCTCACGAGGCCGAGTGGCGGGCTGGCAGGCGCGAAACACTGCTATAATCCTTCGCGTCTGGGTGGGAATAATGGAGGCAACATTACAGGCCAGACGGCGAGTCGGGATGACACTTGCAATCTGCCTTGGGGGACGTTTATACTAGCTATTGTCAGCACGTAAGTTGATGCACCCAATCTTCGACAACCCAATCACTTTAAAACATGCTAACAAGCTTTTGAGGCAGTGTCTTGCATGCTATCACGGCTGCATTCCATGAGATTAAGGATCAGCGGAAGAAGAATAGGCTTGGTCATGAGAAGGGTGTGCAGCAGCAACACGCTAACGGAGCCAATGGTCAACCTTAGTGGTGAGGACTGATGAACAGATTGCAATCACTTGGTTACGGAGCAGATGGTTTGCTCATATGAGACATCTAATGGTTTTTGATAATTTTGGATGATAATACTCCTGCTAATGCGTTGAAACCATGTGCACCTCAGTACGCGGCGCCTTCGTGAATACTTCCGTAACGGATGCGCATGTCACATCTTATACCCATCGTCTTCCGTGGTGTCACCTTCGGCATTCCTAAGGGTCATGTCTCGTGCACCGGCTATATCGACATATGCTCATAGTCCATACAGCTTCTGTTTGACAGGGCGACAGCTCCAAGGAAGTATATTGCAAGGTCGTTAAGCGAAGCATGCAAGTCTGCCATAGGTATGTTTGTCGTGGTGGCAACGTGGTAAGGTTGAATGGGAAACGACTGGAACATGGGATGGTAGAAAATGAGGATGAATGCTCAATGAAGATTTAACGCCGAAAAACTCCGATATATGTTGCCAAATGCATAAGTGGGACTCCGAAAGAGAATGCTGATTGCGATGCCAGGCCGATCGAGAGTGTCGATACAGAAACTAAACCCCGAGCGCCATAACCTGAGTCGCTGAAACAGCACCCTCACTTCTGGTCATTGCATGGTTCCAGGTGTTTCTCCGTCTGTCACACGCTCTCATCAACTACCCTCCCAACGAAGCCCTCTAAACCAGCAAGGCCTTTCTCACCCCTCTCAATGCTTCCACTCAAACCAGGCCGTCCACCAGGCATAACGAGCACCTTTGCATCATCCTCTACGAATTCTCTGCCCCCAATGAACTGGAATTGGACAATCGCGGTCACGGCTGTAGCTGCGGCACCGCCTCCACTAGCCCCATCGCTAGGATCGCTAGCCGAATCATCATCAAATCCAAATCCAAAGCCGAATCCTTCATCTTCTAGCCCCGCATCAGCGTGATGTGGAGTCATAGTCTCGCTTGTCGATAAGATCGGTGTCACCGAAAGTACTTTCGATGGGGCTCGCACGCTAGCGAAGAAAACCACAACGGCACTGCCGACGGTCAAAGCCTTGGCATTGTCTGTTTGTGGTCCAGTGAATTGGACAGTAATGTTCTTGCGCGCTTGAGGATTCTGGTCGGAGAGGATCATGCCTTTCCTGATCCGGGTAGTGGCAGGGCTTGAGATCGGAGCATGGATGGGTACTAGCCCAAGGGTACCGACTTGTCCAGAATGTAAAGTGGAGACTGGCAGTCTGAGATTGCGCAAGGACGTGACATGAACCTTTCGCCATTCGAATAGCGGGCTGGAAGCGGTGTGCGTGCGAGCAGTGGATCTCTTCTGTAGAGCACCTGGATATGATCGCGATGTTGGGACTGGTGAGTTACGGACGGATAGCCTTCCACTTCCTGAATCACTATCATCTGGGCTTGTGTCCATGGGGTACGGTCCAAGCACAAGCTCGTCCCCGATGTTCACTTCGCCGGAGCTCAGGTGACCGCCAACGATTGTCGGCTTCACGGAGTCATTCCGTGACGCGTGAGTCGCATATACGTCTTCGACATGGAACAAAGGTTTGCGAGGGACCGAAGGGGGTGAAGGAGCTGCAGGCACAGGCAGCGTCCGAAGAAGCGCATGAAGCTTGCGCAGCCCTGTGCCACTGAGCGCACTAGTGAGGATTATGGGAACGACTGCTAAAGGTGCCGTGTCGAAAGCCTGTGTGACGCCCTCTGCCTCCAGTAGATCATCAGACGAAATCCTCTCAAGACTAGCATTCAGCGGTGGTGTAGAAGGGTCGGCAATGATCCGTCCTGTTCTACCAGCATCTCTCAGAGTGGAAAGCACCCTTGTGAGGACGCTCTTGAGGCCAGCCTTCTTGGCCAAATCATACTTCGTGATAACGATCAGAAGTGAAAGTTCCAACGACAGACACAGGCGAAGCAGCTCGCCCGATAGGTCCAGGTCCGCAGTAGAGGAGGTAAGGTTGTCCCTTGAGCCTGACGATGAGCTGTCCTCAACGTTATCTGCAGGAATACAGAGTAATGTGTAATGGGGATCCCAACCGACTAAGCCACGAACCGTAGTCCGCCGAAACCGAGGGTGGCCTGCAGAATCGGTAAGGAAAACCAGTCTACCCGCTGTTAAAGATTCTGTAGATGCGTGAATGTCGGTCCACGACAATATGTCCGTACCACCATAGTTGATGATCTGTGAGAGAGACCTGTCCCCGTCCGGATCAAGTAGATCCCCATAGCCGATCAATTCCTGTGTGATAGAGCTCGTCACTCCGGACTCAATCTCGTGCCTGTGCTTCAGGAGACTCAGACGGCTCTTTCCTCGGCCGTTGTCGAATGTGCCCGTCGAGAGCGTGCCAAGCAGACTGGACTTGCCGGACATCGTTGCACCCGCCAGTGAGACACGAAGTTGTGGTAAAGATGCATGCGCAGTTGGATGCGAGCTTTGATCGTTCTCGTCCTTGTGATCTTGTTTAACCAAGAGCTGATCTGGATGCACGTATGCTTCGGCGACCAGTAGCCTCGATTGTCGCGGTATACCGCCTTCTACCCACTCGCAATCACCGACGGCTAACATACGCACTACGTCGACCTGGCAACCCAAACTAGCTCTGAAAGGAGGTAACATAGTCAGCTTCATTCATATAAGTGTAAGTGGTCATCCGCGGGAATTGACTAGCTGGTGATGCCTAAAGAATTGGAACAATACTCCTACTTGGTCAACTCTTGAGAAAAGGGCAAACTTACGCCATGGCACGAAGATTATTCAGGGACTCTTCCATCTCGTCCTCAGCAAGACCAATCAATTCACCATCGTCAGCGACACCAATTTCGTAAAGCGCACCCTTGCTCTCTTCCAATCCAGGATACAATCGTTGAGGCATGACAGGGCCAACAAGATTTGCCTCATCCGGGAATTGAAGCTGGACCCCGGCCATTGATGAAGAGCCATGGTGTGGACACGATTGCTGCAGGCGCCACAGCATTTGAGTGGTGAGTTGTTCCAGACGATGCTGCCGGCTTTGAGTAGCGCCCAACGGTGGCGATGTGTTTGAATGTAAACTATGGGCGGATTGCTTGCCTGGTGCATAACTGTCACTCCTACGCAAGGGTCCAGAAACAGGGCGTCCAGTGCTGGCGCTCGTGAATGATCTACGTTTGCGAAGCAGCAAGTGTAGCTTGTACTCTGTAGGTCCTTCCTGTGGCTCAGCCTCAAGTCTCGTAATCGTGCTGTAGTCTACCGTAGCCGAAGCTTCATCATCTCTCCTCTTCTTGGAAATGAGAAGCGGTCCGACACTCTTAGGTTTCGGAGTGAGTGTTGAGCGTGGTTGCTGCTCTGGAGGTGGAGTCGCCCTCGCCCAAGGGCTAGAAACCCTCGGAGGGTCCGGATCAAATGTGAATATGGATGCCATCATGGTAGTCCCAACTACAGGTTTTCCTGATTAGGGGGTTAGGGCAGTCGTGATATTAGCTGCTCAAGGGGTGTGGTACCGCCGCCGCGTATAAGAGTTATTTAGAGACGGTTTTATTGATCGCGAGTTCGTGTGTGAATAGTGTGTCTGAAAGAGTACAACCATTGAGGGAAACATGGTCACGGATGTTGGACGCAAGCGCGGGCTGTTTCTCTGTCAAGCGGGCAATGTGGCCACGGTTTCTGGTGGCGACCGTACGCTGGAGCAAACGATCTGCCTTGACAAGCTAGATCAGAGGCATTGTAACATTGTTGTTCGTGATAGCGATTGAGGATGATGAACGACGAGCGCCTTCGCTGACGTGGTTGAAGTGATGTCGGTTTTAAGAGTCAGCGGAGCGGGAAGCCGCCGCCAAGACGTTTCTGCTTTAGGCAGGTCACGTGTGAATATCGGTACCTACCTACCATACTTGAGTACCCACATAATCTGGGCAGCCGTTGAGTCACCGGACGCCCTTTTTACCATGATCGTATCCGAGCTGGAAGGGCCATGCAGAGGAAACCTACTATCGAAGGCCCACTGCGCCTGCTCATGTCAACCATGATGTGGCATGCAAGCGAGGCGGAGCGGGGATACGATAAGCTCAATGGCCGGTGGAGCAGGCTGGAGTCACCAAGCGAGGCGATGCTTGAATGCAATCAAGGGAAGTCTAGCTCAGGCGTCTGTGTGGAGCGAAAAAGATCGTTCCCTGGAAAGCGTACGTCCCTTCCGAGGTCTGTATATCAGAGTGCCTATGTCAGGTGAGGATGCAGCGTGTGAGAGAAAGTGAACCTAAGGCACCATCAGTCGCGGTGTTATGTGCTTTCCGAGATTCGCATGCTCGGGGCGCAGCAGGCCAACAGCCACGCATGCAGAAGCCATGAACGTAAATGACGGAAGGTGTGCCTCGTTATCCTCACTCGTGCGAAACGCACGAGACAACTGGACTGTGTCCAATTCGGTTGCGAGACGGAGGTACCCGTGCCATACGACACACACTAGGGAACCCTCCCCGCATTCAGCGTTACCGGTCACACTGCATACATTCGTGGGATGGTTGCAGAATTCCAACCCCAAATATCGTCTTGACAACGCGAGGATCCCTAGCCCACAGCTCAACGCCTCCGAGGACCCGGTACCTGCATGTCTACATGTTTTCGCATCCGAGTGAGCCCGCGGTAGCTTTAAAATCGCATCGTAGTCCTGCCGCGTTGACAAAACGCAAGCACGAGTCGCAAGGTAATTGAAACGGTTATCCCTCGTCACCGAAGGGCAGCGCTATAGCTCGATACACTGCATCTTTTGAGTGACTCGGGACTTCATATTGCGGATTTGGGTGGGGACTCGCTCCAGAGCCGAGAATCAATGTACTAAAGATCTTGCAGTTGCCAGCACGTCTGGTCTACAACCACGCCTCTGCACTGCATCAAAGTGCTTCTTCATGGAAATCGTACTCACTATGCTACTACACTCAAGCTAAATGTCACTCACGTTGCGAAGAATCCCGTCCTTCGTCTCGAATGTAAGGGTCTCGTGCATGACAGTATATGCAACGCACACCGATGTCGTGGAATCGCCTTTGACGCCACGTGTAGCGACCATCAAATTTACGCTGGGCAACAGGACATGGAAAAGGGATGTTGTCAAGCTTCTGCACCCATCTTCACTGGTGCAGTTCGGCAGTCAGACCCGTCACTGCCGCCCGTCTTTACAGGTCCCCTTTGACAAGGTTAGAGAAAGAAAAGCACAATACAAGTCAGTATCGTGTCAAAGTCATCTTTGTGATGACGCGAAAGGCCAACACCACGCCGTACTGATGAGATCTGTCTGACTACCCTCGTATATGCCGGGCAACGATGTCGCGACAAGGGTATGAACGATCGCGCAGACGCGGGTACAGTCATCTAGCACGCGAGACGGAGAGCCCGAGCAGCCTCGCCCAAAATTGCTCTGATGGTGCTGACCATGTGCGATTGCGCAGTACGAATGCCTGTCTTCCTGCAAAGTGCGGTCAATTGAAGGTTTCCCAAAGGATCAAATAGATTCGCATCTTGATGTTCCTCCCGTGGAGTCCTTCCAAGGAACGTTCCAGGAGCATGGCGGGGGTAGGCGGCACAGTGGCCTCAGGCGGACGTTGGCCCCCATATTGGCGTGCGCCGGCTCCTGTGCAGCGAACCCACCCACCGGCCATGGTCCGATTTCGAAAATTACCGGCCCGTAGTGCAAAGTCCGGCAAAATGACGGTATTGATGGCACGCGAATATCGGATCAACATGCTGTAATTTCTTCGAAAGAAAGCTCCGTCAGTTGAAGTTGACACTATGACGAAAGATGTCAAACGGGTAAATGCTCAAACTTGATTGAAGATCACGCTCACAACCAGATTTCGCCAGATGTGGTCACCTAAACGCCCTCGCACGGGCTGACCTTCAGGCCATCCATGCTACATTCTCCGGGGTCTAATGTGCGACCGGGGCCCAAGTAGTGTCTTGGCTGCAGCATAGGCCATGAGCAACGTTGTGGGTACCGCTGGTAGCGCGGTCAAGAACGCTACTGCAGGAGTGGTCAGACAACGCCATGCTTCATGCACGATGACTCGACTGAAGCTTCGGGCCGTGCAAGCGACGCAACAGACAAATGGGCACACTGCAGCTAACCCTGTGGAGAGACTGTCATGAGACAGCCTCGCGGGACCGCCATCGTAACACAAAGACGCAGCCCTACAACGTGTCCAACATGGCTGTTACTTTCTCTCGGGCGTTGGCCTCATAGATGGTCCAATGTCTCTTCTGTCCGATATTGACCTCGTCCTCGTCTGGTCGACATCGAGAACCAACATCCAACATGATTCGCTCGCAATCTCCTGCGTTTCGAGAACCTTGCCCTGTTCACGTGCACTTACGAAGGCCTGTCCTGTCAAGGGTCGAACGCCATCCTTCCCGCACAGCCGTCCCGCAGGGATTCCTGTTCAGGGATCCCATATGCCTGTCAGCGAATTCGTCAAGCTCATGTCAGAACTCTGTTATAACTGCGGCACGGTCTACGAGCGGACCATTCACGTCGCAGACCGCTCCTGACAGCGCTCTCGTAGAAACCCATGTTTCCCGATCTTACAGGGCACACAGTCGCCATGTAAAGGGCGGTGTAAGATGCGAATGCGTCGTTGTAGACTGTTTATCTCCTGTCGGGTCGAAGCTGGAGTGTTCGGTAAAGCAAAGTCAAACACGCTCGGCAAGATACTGCTCTAGATCATTAGGTGGAGCCGTTACCATTGATCGACTCCAAGTTGAGACAGTTGGGAATACTAGTCTACACCGCGCGCTATACTGTGTAGGACTTTCGCCAGAGTGATCACCGCATTGCGCGTCGGACGGAGCTCCGCGACCGAACGCCAGGCTTGAGTGGCGACGTCTGTGCCCGTGCTCGCGGCTCGTACGTTTCCACATTGAGGAGACTAGCCACAAAGTGAAGGAGGCCTTAGCTCTGCTGTGTCATTGTCTCATTGTCTCTAGCTGATCAAGACAGTGACAATTATAACGAACGAGATCATTTCGCATAGTATTACCCGACCTTCTCAAAGGGGCTCATGTGCCTCATACTGAACAAAAGCGTTTTCGCCCAGGTAGGGCATCGCCTCAACCTTCCCTAGCGCAAGAATCTTGGAAGGGTACCACATCCGGCCCCAGGGTAAAGTACTCCAAGGCTTGAAGCGAACAAGACCGATCAGTCAAGCCTCGAAGCAATCTGCGAGCGCGACCACGCTTCTCAGGGTACCCCAGCACAGAGTATAAATTTAGCTTGCCGGCCCCCCGGGCCATGTGGGGAAGAAAGGATATCCCCGTCGCATCGGAAATCGGCTTCATTGGCGCAAGGTACCGTTAGGTCCGGTTCCTCGCGGTACCTTATCTCCCTCCGCGTTCATGGTAACGTGACCTCGCAAAGCAGGCTCGAATTGTAGGGCTCCACACGTCAAGCCACATGCATTTTGTAACCCGCCGGAGGTGACAGTGACCCGCCCCCCGTCGGGTGGCATGGCAGTAATGACTCTCCAGAGGTTTACACAGTATAGATCATCACTGTCGAATCATCGATGACATAGGTGGCAGGCTGGGCCGATGCATAGCAAGGCGCAACTGCTACGGAAGTTTGACAGACATGCATGGATGTCATCGTCTCGATGCACTGCACTCATCGCATTGCGCATGACTCGGTGATGCAGAGCAAATCTCAGTCGTGCAGACCTCCGTTCGGACTCATCGTCGGAGTATAACTCAGCAATGTACGGGGTCTCAGGTAGAGACGAATTGATCGGTGCTGGGTTCCCACGTTTGGCAACACGAGGCTTCCCGCCCCAAACCGTCCGCCACGAGCACACTTGGTCCCTGACCGTCCATGGTGTGCAAGACTGACTTGGACACGCTCACGTATAGCACCGAAAGGCGCAGACAATGGTCCGAAGGTCTCGCGCTTTTGCACGCCCGTCGCGT